AAATACATAATTCAAGCAACGATTTGGCAGGCGGGCGATCTTCTAGTGGACCCCTTCACGATGCTCCTCTGGCCCACCGGTGAGGGTTTGATTCAGATGACTAGTGAGCGCAACTGAGGGCGCTGATTGATGGAAGAGAGCTATACCCCATCGCACTAATCCCACTACTGTAGGTACACGGCTTTGCGGTGAAAGCCAAGAGTGTTGGTCTCCGACGCTTGACTAGTAATGGACCAGTAACGATGAAGTAATGCCAACCTATTGTAGTGTGGGATGTCTAAGGTGGATTCAGGGATCTGAATTGGATGGAAATGAATAGATTAGGTTGTGTGTCCTCATCACCACTTTAAGGTGACATTGTATATGTGCAAACTTTCTACTTTTTTCTTAGGGTTTTATATAGAACACGGAATGTCCAACCTTATAGGATAATGACCATTCGGACGGGAATTTTCCAAGGTTGAACGACAAGCTTACTCATCCGAATTCAAGCGCCATGATTGGGTAGATGTAAGGGTAATCTCGCTGTTCGGGGATTAGCCCAAAGGGGAATTTAAATTGTTTCCGGGCGTTACAGTAATAATACTTGCATATTGCTACATATTGGAACATATTGGCATGTGCGGAGGGTTTAGTCTAACAATGGCATAGCGAAAGCGGCAAGATAAGAATCATGACGTGATAGTGTTATTCTTATCATCTAATTATATTCATATGTTTTCAATGTCTTATTTTGTGCAATTGATGCCGATATTCCGAGTCAAAAGAAAAATCAGAAATCAGGGTTAAGAAAAAAGACGCAGTAAGCTGCATTAAACCCATGGAACGGTCCACGGGTTACGGACATGGAAGGCTTCTAGAAAACATCCAGAACACCCTAAAATATATGCTGTACAGTAAAGGACACGCACTGAGAAGGTTGGCTCCACTCCGAAAAATTTCCAATTCGCCGGCGTTTCGGCACCGAGTCCTCCAGTTTTTCTCCATTATTTGGGGCCGGCCTCCAGATTACTCTACACGCAGCACTTCTGATATCAGTAATAGTTTGAACGGCTTTACCGTCTGTGGCAATGGAGCCTCAATTCAACCAGATTTGCCGTTTTCCGTCTCGGTCGAATCCGATTGATGAGGCATTTTGTTGTTCACAATGCGCTCATCCTTGGACTTTTGGACCTCTCCAACGACATTAGCGGCGTGATCGCCCAAAGCCACAAGGATGTACAACGTACATTCGCCGCGCCTTCTATACCTTGTATGCTTTTTCCACGTGTAGAAGGATCCTAGCGACTGCAACACATGCCCGACCGAGGGGAGATGATTAATTTGCACGGATGCTATAGTCTAGTTATTCGTTGGATGTGATGTGTTCATGGGGTCATGTTGTGTAGCTTTCGATGGAATGTCGTACAACTGATTGCCTTTTCCCAGCCCCCTACCATGTACACGCACACCGATCCGACTATTATATTGTACGTCGCGTTATATATCGGAAATTTCTGTACTCCGTAGTGGCCTATGATCAACGGAAATCATAAAAATATACACTTGCAGTACTGAAAACCAAAATCCTCGGGACGTCGAGTTGCCCGGAAATCATGTTTGTACCATCTTGTATATTGTATACATAAATCTGCATAGAATGTATAATCTACTTCCTACAGATATCGCTTTGTCCCACAGAATGATCCACGGGTCGTGGCGTGGGGGAATGGCCCTGCAAAGCAAATTTCCTTTTCTCGATGCTTCGATGATCCAGCCATTTTTTTAAAATTCGATGGGGTCAAGAGAAAGCTCTCCACTTATGCACCTCGGTTTGAATGTTGGAAGGGTCGTGGGCCCGACAGATTTTTTTTCTGATCAGACGAACAAAATGGATCCAAGACACTCTACACAACAACACACCAAAAATTCGGTACAGTGACCTAGGCGGCGTTGAATATACTCCCCAGGATCGTGCACTGCTGCCAGTCAGGCTTGGCTGACGTGGTATTCTCAAAGGCTAAACGGCGAGAATCCCCCGGAATGATCGTAACTCAATTGGACTTTTCTCCCTTCTGTTTTTTTTTTTTTTTTCTTTTCTTTATTGCCTTTGCCTTTGCCTTTTTGCTCGCACGGGGCTGCAGGAGGACGAAGCGTAGTGCTGCGTCGAATAGAGACGACGGATAACTTGGCTCCACCCACGGCCGGTTTCCCGAATAAGTTTGGCCCCAAGAGCTACTCTGTTTTTGTAGCTGTGTTATTAGTTTTATTTGGAGTGAGATGTGGTGATGAGACAGGGGGCTCCAGAGTGACGACAGCGCCGGGAAGAAAGCGGAATTAGGTCTCGTTCTTTTTTTTCCCCCGTAGGAAATCGTAACAGAGCGGCTACGACCAATTTAGATTCGAAGCCGTAATATTTATTAGGTATCATTATCTTAATCGCCAGTCGGGGGCCCCATAATTCGCTATCGTACTATTGTCTTCAATTGGTTCGCATCGTGAACGGTAACGCCTACCGCGGAAAGCACCGGGCGCGCGCTACATTGGTTGAAGTACATACGAGACGGGAAGCAAAGAAAGCCAATGTGAATATGTAAATCGCAATACAAATGTTTGAAATTGAGCTATATCGTGCATCTAGACTAGACTCGATGAATAAAAATCACTTTGTCTAGATCGCGTAGACTCGGGATGCCAGGACATTCGGACTTTCTCTCCCGCACTACTCACTCACCCCCAACGGCTCGTGCACGATCAATTCTGGGAAACCCCAGCCCTGAGGAGATTGATCCTCTGGGGAATTGCCAAGGGAACTCACCGGAAAGCCGGGGTGCATCGTCTAAAGAATGGACAAAAGACTGACTTGCCAAGGGGTTCGTGATTGATTGTGATTTGACTGGCCTAGCTAAGTCCATGGCTATACTTTTTATTTGCTACGCTGTGATTCGAAAGTGAAGAGTCCATCCAATCGCATCCAGGCTTATTATGCGTAAGGAAGCTTGATGGCGGATGGAGGGTTCGGTCGCGGATCACCCCAATGATATGTATTCGTTCAGCATCGGCATACGGGGAACGGTCTACTTGCATCGCGAACTAGGATTGTTCCTTGTTAAACCAAAGGTAGCTGGTGGTCATGCACACCATCAGACGATCAATGAATAAATTGGCCGGAGCAATGATGATAGTCTCATAGCGATAATCAGAATTTACAATTATGATCACGATTGGAATAGCTTGTTTGTGCTGGTGCTGGTCTTAGCATGTGGATTGTGGAGGATTGGGAATAGTTTCATTTCAGCGTCTCTCGGCCAACTTCCTGATTCCTTTTCCCTCATATGTGATACAACCCTTGCAATTCGTGAAGCGCAGCTATATCAGAGTCGGGAACAGCACGCCGATCAACGCGATGAAATCATCGGCCGGTGTCTGCACCCGGTGATTCGATCAAAGCCGACTAGGAGTTGTTAGTTAGCGGGGACTTTGACGGCCATCGTAGCCAGTGAGGATCGCCGAATTAAATGACGCTTCTGGGGACGCTCTCCACGAGGCCAGGGGGAAAAGAGCGAGGGCAAAGATCAGCCATGGTAGTAAGATACGAAGGAGGCAGCTTCGGCGAGGGACGTGGCATAAAGAAAAGTGCGTATTGATAACAGAAAGAAAATGTCAAGCGATGACATAAGTGTAATCTATTTTTTTAATTCTGTTTTTCGTTACGCGGGTATTCGGTATGCCTCAGCATTGGCATACATTGTACAGATATGAGAAAAAAAATCTCAATCTGCCGCTTCCGGACCCCTTGCTATGTTTAAAATGGTTCGGGTGTGACGGCCATGCGATATTGTCGTCACCATAGGCACAGTGCCATTTTGTCTTTCTTATTGTGACTTTGAAGAAGCTGCACTCGGCAGAAGTAGTAAAGAGTGAAAAGAAGTGTAGGGTAATTGAAATCCGTATTCGTATTAATCTAACCGTAAGGGCAATCGATATCTCCTCAGGCCATGTCACTCAATACAGGAACATTCTCCTGCAAGGGCATTGTTGTCTATTGTGTTTGCCATGCCATGAATTCTCCGCGCACCTAGCATACATAGAGCTAGATCATACTAATGCTAATCGTCAATCGCAATAACTTCAACTTGCAATTTCAATCTCATTTGGTCTTTTTTCTTTCTCTTTCTCTGTTGGCTCCAGGGCTCTCTTGGTAAAGACTATTACTCCCCAGATACAAAAATCGCGCATAGTTAGAGCCTGGGGCACTCGGCTAAGGTCTAAAAACTGTTTCGTAAATGGTACCAGCTCATACGAAATCTTTGTCTGTGGCCAACTCGGCAGACCAGTGCCGGTCGCACTTAGCTATGAAAATGGGTATTGGTCTCGGTATTAGTGTCGGTATTGTGTTTTCATACTAGACTGAAAGCGGGAGGCCCCACCTAATGCTATGCGTATTGGAGATCTCTGAGTGGCTGCAGCCGGTTATCCGGTTGGGGCTTTCTTGGTAGGGCAAGGGGCAAAATTTGGTAAAACCAAGAAAACAATAGAATCTAACCTGTTTAGGTAAGATAAAATATCAAAATGAAAAAATACAGAAAAAAAAAGAAAACCAAAAAAAATAAGTCAAGCGGGTCTACAGTAGTACCTTGACTATACCTTCCCCAGCAACCATACTCAAAAGTATTTCCCCCCAAGAAGAACAAACACGGGATTTTGGTCCAAAATACCTCTCCTTCCCTATTTTAATCAATTCCATTTAATTTTATTTTAATTCCCAGCTCTTCAATTTTTTCAATTTTTCAATTTTATTTTATTTCCCTCACTCTTTTCGTTATCCACTAGCCCACTCCGGTTCCTTCTTTCTGACCCCCCCGTAATCCATTATAAAACACGTCCTTCCTTCACTCTTTTCAATTTTTTCCTTTCCTTCTCTCTTACATAGGATCGATTCCGACTCTGTCATTCCTGTCATCTCGTTGTGTATACTCATATCGTTGGGTTCCTAGGCCGTGTGAGCCAAAGCAACAACAATGGCGGAGCGGAGAATTTCCTATGCTGTTGACGTCGAAAATGGCGAACGTCACAACCGTGAAGCTGGTGAGGAGTCTAACCTCGATGAGTACTCTGCCCTCAACCGCTACATCTCGACTGCTCGCGACAACCGCCGTGGCTCTACCTCGAGCGCCGGTGCTCTGAGCTCTGGTGAGGAGAAGAAGAAGAAGTGGTGGCAGTTTGGCGGCAAGTCCGACGGTGTCTCCGATGGCTTCGTCACTCCCGATGAGTGGCTCGAGACCGACCTCCGTTCTGGTCTCTCCTCCAGCGACATCGAGCCTCGTCGCAAGAAGACCGGCTGGAACGAGCTGGTTACTGAGAAGACCAACATCTTCATTCAGTTCATTGGTTACTTCCGTGGTCCTATTCTCTATGGTAAGCCACACTAACAATGAAAATGGCATGAATTGAACTAACAATCATCTGTTTTTCTTAGTTATGGAACTTGCTGTCCTCCTCGCTGCCGGTCTGCGTGACTGGATCGATCTTGGTGTCATCTGTGGTATTCTTCTGCTCAACGCTCTCGTCGGTTGGTACCAGGAGAAGCAGGCTGCCGATGTCGTTGCTTCTCTCAAGGGTGATATTGCTATGCGTGCTCTCGTTGTCCGTAACGGCCAGGAGGAGGAGATCCTCGCTCGTGAGCTCGTTGCTGGTGATATTGTTATCGTCGAGGAGGGTACCGTTATCCCTGCCGATGTCCGCCTGATTTGCGACTACAGCAAGCCCGAGATGTTCGATGCCTACAAGGAGTACCTCGCCAACGCCAACTCTGATGATCTCAAGGAGAAGCACGGTGATGATGACGATGATGAGGGTGAGGTTCACCAAGGTGTTTCTCTCATTGCTTGTGATCAGTCTGCCATCACTGGTGAGTCTCTCGCTGTCGACAAGTACATGGCCGATGTCTGTTACTACACCACTGGTTGCAAGCGTGGTAAGGCTTACGGTATCGTCACTGCTACCGCTCGTCACTCCTTCGTCGGCCGCACTGCCGCTCTTGTCCAGGGTGCCTCCGACTCCGGTCACTTCAAGCAGGTCATGGACAACATTGGTACCTCTCTGCTCGTTCTCGTCATGTTCTGGATTCTGGCCGCCTGGATTGGTGGATTCTTCCGTCACTTGAAGATTGCCACCCCCGAGGACAACGACAACAACTTGCTCCACTACACTCTGATTCTCCTGATTATCGGTGTTCCCGTCGGTCTCCCCGTTGTCACCACCACCACTCTCGCCGTCGGTGCCGCCTACCTTGCTGAGCAGAAGGCTATTGTCCAGAAGCTTACCGCTATTGAGTCCCTCGCTGGTGTCGACGTTCTTTGCTCCGACAAGACTGGTACCCTCACTGCTAACCAGCTTTCCATCCGCGAGCCCTTCGTCTCTGAGGGTGTCGATGTCAACTGGATGATGGCCGTCGCTGCTATTGCCTCTTCCCACAACATCAAGAACCTCGACCCCATTGACAAGGTCACTGTCCTTACTCTCCGTCGTTACCCCAAGGCCCGTGAGATTCTCGCCCGCAACTGGGTTACCGAGAAGTACACTCCTTTCGATCCCGTCTCCAAGCGTATCCAGACTGTCTGCACTTGCGATGGTGTCCGCTACATCTGCTCCAAGGGTGCCCCCAAGGCTATCCTCAACATGTCCCAGTGCTCCGAGGAGGAGGCCAAGCTCTACCGTGAGAAGGCTTCCGAGTTCGCTCGTCGTGGTTTCCGTTCTCTCGGTGTTGCCGTCCAGAAGGAGGGTGAGCCTTGGCAGCTTCTGGGCATGTACCCTATGTTCGATCCCCCCGTGAGGATACCGCCCACACCATCGCTGAGGCCCAGGTTCTCGGTCTCTCCGTCAAGATGCTTACTGGTGATGCCATCGCTATTGCCAAGGAAACTTGCAAGATGCTTGCTCTCGGTACCAAGGTTTACGACTCTGAGCGTCTGATCCACGGTGGTCTTGCTGGTTCCGCCCAGTACGATCTCGTTGAGAAGGCTGATGGTTTCGCTGAGGTTTTCCCCGAACACAAGTACCAGGTCGTGGAGATGCTCCAGCAGCGTGGTCACTTGACTGCCATGACTGGTGACGGTGTCAACGATGCTCCCTCTCTCAAGAAGGCCGATTGTGGTATTGCCGTTGAGGGTTCCACTGAGGCCGCCCAGGCCGCCGCCGATATTGTCTTCCTCGCCCCCGGTCTCTCCACCATTGTCGATGCTATCAAGCTTGCCCGCCAGATTTTCCAGCGCATGAAGGCTTACATCCAGTACCGTATTGCTCTGTGTCTTCACCTCGAGATCTACCTGGTTACTTCCATGATCATCATCGACGAGACTGTTGACTCTTCCCTGATTGTCTTCATCGCTCTGTTCGCTGATCTTGCTACCATTGCCGTCGCCTACGATAACGCTCACTTCGAAGCTCGCCCCGTCGAGTGGCAGTTGCCTAAGATCTGGGTTATTTCCGTCGTCCTTGGAGTTATGCTTGCTGCCGCTACCTGGATCATTCGTGGTACTCTCTTCCTTGCGAACGGTGGTATTATCCAGAACTTCGGTTCTCCCCAGGAGATTCTCTTCCTCGAGATCGCTCTTACTGAGAACTGGCTCATCTTCGTTACCCGTGGTGGAAAGACCTGGCCATCGTGGCAGTTGGTTATTGCCATCTTCATCGTCGATGTCCTTGCCACTTTGTTCTGTGTCTTCGGATGGCTCGCTCCCGACTGGAAGCAGACCCACCCCCACGACCCTGCTGGTCCTGGCTTCTCCAAGAACAACGATGTTGACATTGTTACCGTTGTTGTCATCTGGGCCTACTCCATCGGTGTTACTGTCATCATTGCCGTTGTGTACTACCTCCTGACCATCATCCCCGCTCTGGACAACCTCGGCCGCAAGACCCGCTCCAAGGCCGACACCAAGATCGAGAACATGATCGCTCACCTCTCCAAGCTCGCTCTCGAGCACGAGAAGGACTCCGAGGGCAAGTCTCGCTACGTCATCGGTGCCCGCGCCGAGGAGATCGAGGACGAGTAAATGCTCGATTCTTCGCTTTTTTCGACTCGTTACTGATCCGAGCTCTAATTTCTATTCATTTTTCCCCGCGATTACCACACTACGCAATTTGCCGTGCCACCTACTTGGACATGCATGCCGTGGGAATAAAAGAAGGCCTAGTCCCGTCTTTTTTGTTTCCTTTCCCCGTATTATAGACTTTGTGTGTTTCATTTACCCCTTGGCTGTGATTTCCTTTCGAGTTGATAGAGTCAAGTTTTCTTTCTCTACGTGTATGTATGTCGTTAATAGTGGCACTTAGTCAATCTAAGGGATTCTAATAATTTTTCTTCCTTGTAAATTCTAAACCCCCTGTAGATACCTGCACTCCACTCTGCATTCTTCGACTGTCTCATCCAGTTATCTGAAAATCTCGTGCCCTGGAGTCCCATCTTTACCCCTGTCAATTGCGGCACCCTTGTATCCCTCGCCTCGGCCGCTGACAGGTGGAAGCCAATTCTCCGTTCCCCTGACCCGATTACTTTCCCCGGACGATTTATCGCCATGCGGGGACAAGCTTTTCCGCGAGACTCCATATCGCTGCTCCCTATACGAATATGGCATAATGTAGTCAGTCAATTGGCTTCTCCGCCCACTCGGAGATACGATTCATCTATGGATTAGTCTTTGATTGGGCGAGATGAGTATTCTAATTTTCCGTCTTGTGCTGCAATGTACATGCAACTGACAAGACCCCTCTTCGAGGCCTTGTATAAAAGATGGAAACCAGCCATTCTTTTATACGTCACTGGAAGTGAGCACATCCAACAAGCACTATGCTTCGGCTATACTTCCTCTCCCTCCTAAGCCTGCTGCTGCATGCAGTAGGCACCCGCAGCGCCGCTGTGCAACATGTGTCGAGACAAGAATGCCAGTCTAAAGGCACCCACTGTCCTTCCGGAACAATCATCGTCAGTGCCTCTGACAAGCGCGCCAACTACCCCACCATCCAAGGCGCCATCGACTCTCTGCCTGATGATACAAGCTCCCACACAATTCTCATTCTAGCAGGCAACTATACAGAGCAGCTCAATGTCACCCGCTCAGGGCCAGTTACTCTTCTTGGCCAAACGGCCGCTTCCAAAGATGCAACCCGCAACCGTGTGCGCATCATCTGGGCTGCTGCCAACAAGGACAACACAGGCCAAAGCGTGGACAATGTCTACTCCAGCGTCCTTGTTGTAGCACCCACTCTGGAATCAAGCCTGACTGGCTCCGGTACCACAGGCTATGCAGTGCCTGCTGATACGCCCTTCGGCAATACCGACTTCCGCGCCTACAATATCGACTTCGACAATATCTGGGCCGATTACTCAGATGGGCCGGCTCACGCACTGAGTTTCTCACGCGCTAACGGTGGCTTTTACTACTGTGGATTTTATTCCTATCAGGACACTGTACGTTCAAACGGATCCAAATGCGATGCGAGTGCAAGCTCGTAATTTCGCATTCGTATTCGCACCTACCATATCAAGCCCCGTTTTACTAACAACACCTTCCCTATACAGGTCTACGTAGGCAAACTCGGCAATGCCTACTTCTACAAAAGCATCATCGCAGGCCAAACAGACTTCCTGTATGGTTTCGGTACCGCCTGGATTCAGTCTAGCGATGTCCAACTCCGTGGCTGCGGCGGCGGGATAACTGCCTGGAAGGGTACGAACACGACCTTCACGAACAAATACGGCGTGTACATCGTGGATTCGAATGTGCACGCGGCAAACGCCTCCGTCGCTCCGGATATCAAGGGCAAGTGTGCGCTTGGCAGGCCGTGGAATAGCCAGCACCGGTCTATCTTTGCGCGCTCTTACGAGGATGGCAGTATTGAGCCGAGTGGATACATTGATTGGGTTGTTTCTGGTGTTGCAAGATTCGAGGAAGGAGTTACTCTCATGGCGGAGTATCAGGCGTATGGACCTGGATTTAATGCTACTGGGCGTGCTGAAGGCGGTGTTACTACTGTTCTCAAGAAGAAGGCGTATGAGGCGTATAGTACACCGCAGAAGGTTTTCCAAAACCAGGAGGGTGTCTTTGGGGACACGAAATGGATTGATTGGGATACTGTCAAGGCTGGGAATTGAGAGAGGCTTTGGTTTTTGTTTGGTACCGGACTGTAGTCCAATTGAAGAAAATCATCAATTGATGTTTCGAGGGACACTGAGTCCACCCCCAAGCGTCTCATCATTTTTGTTCATTGCCACGCCATTGTCAAGACCATCATAGATTGATTCTCTCACCATTATGCTCCTTCGCGTATTCAGACTTCACGCAATTTGTCCAGCTTACCCAAGCTGGCGAGATATGCAGCTCCCGTATCTGCCCAGACTTGATATTCGCTGACTTTCAAACAACCTTTCTTCTCTGGATCATCGCTTACATCCTCAGCAAGCTTGATCCGATAGGCAAATGTCTCACTCCAAGCTTGTCGTGTCTTCTTCCAGATGAACGTTGCTGTGCCGCGTAGTGCAACGGACATGCAGCTCTCGTCGATGACCCAGTTCTCTTCAGACTCGAATGCCATATTCTTGATCTCAAGATGGGTAGAGAGTAGGTTAAAATAGGTTGATATGCCCTCTTGGCCAGTAAACGAACGGCCTACAAAAGGAGCCAATTGTGGGAGACCGTGCTCATAGGCTACTGGCTTCGGGCTGGTTGTAAAAGCCGAGGAGAACTGATTGGGAATATTGGGGTCTGGATTTGTTAGGACCTGGAGGAGGGTTTGAATTGGTTCTAGAAGTTGGCGTGTCATGTTCGCTTGCTTTTGTACAAGAGGTATTGGCGTAGGAGTAGTAAGAGGTTGGATTCGAAGATTTACATTGAGATGAAGATCTAAGCAAGGAAGTTTCTAGTCAGATATCTCCGACGTGGCCCTGAAGCTGAGACGAAGATTCTGATATAACTATGACGTTTTTCTTCATGGATGACATAATCGAACATAAGAATGGTACATTCATAAATTGGCTGACGAATGATCAATCCGAATGGGATATCTGATTTTCATAGATCATTGGTTGATGTCTTTGAGCTTTGCACGTGAAGAGCAATTGATGTAGAAAAGAAATACCCTTCAAAATCCGCAGAAAAACTCCGTGCCAAGTCTCAGTTGAGTTAGATGGCACAAATAAAAAAGGTAGACAGAAAAGGGGGAGAAAGGAAAGAGAAAACACCGAGTCCCAGAAAATAATACAAATCTCCTTTTAAAGAGTTCTCCATCTCCCAAGCTTACTGCCGCCAAGACTTGCCGCAGTTCGTGCACGTACAGAAGAGAGTCATCGGTTCATCAGCAGCACGGGTTTGGGCTTCGGTATAGGTAACTTCCCGCTTGCCACACTTGCCGCATTGCAATGTCTTACTGATACTGCGCTCGGCCTTGGCAACCATTGCCTTGTCCATGTTCTCCTTCTGGATCTTAGCGTCTGCTTCACGCTGCTCGACAGAGCGGAGCTCATCATGAGACATGCGCACAAAATCATCTGGGGCGATCTCTCCCTCAAGAACGCGCACGCGCAGCTTCGGGTTGGACTTGTTCTTCAAGTTTTGGAAGAGACTGCGGATTTTCGTGCGGTATTCCTCCTTTGTTTCTGGTCCCAGGTGCTTGTAGGCAGCGGTCTCAACAGCAATCGCGCGAACAAGAATGGTTTTGGGAGACTCGGTTGAGCCCAGACACAGTCCATCGTACATGAGTCCGGTGCAGCTATCGCGCACCCTGTTCGAGGTATGGTTGACATCTACTCCATCCGCTTTCCATGTGCGCTTGTCGGGAGGCACAGACAACTTCGAAGCCTTGTCTGAGGGCGTGGCACCGGCTGGAGTTGACACCCCCGCACCATTTTGTGCAGGCCGTGGAGAGCCACTCGACCCCCTGCTGGCTGCCGTACCGCCACTTTGCTTTTGCTTGTTGACCTCTGTCCGCCATTTGGATACAATCTCGCTAGAGAGTCGCGCGACTTCGGGAGTTTTGCTTTGCTTGAACTTGTTCACGATGATACCGATGCGCGTCTGACGCAGCAGATCCTCTGTCGCCCGGACACCTGTCTGAATATCCTTGAGAAGGCCCAGAATCACAACTGAAGACTCGTTGGATGTTGCGGCCTTGCCCAAGGCCTTGGCCTTAGCCTCGATCTCTTTGGCATCCATCGCCATGATGTGTGTGGGGTATAACGGTAATACGATCAGAATGGAGAACGAAGCAAATGTAGGAGTAATTTGGAAATTTCAGATGGATCTATAAACCCGAATTGTCAGTAAGTCCTCCCAAATGCTCAGAGTGCAAGGTTTGCAAAAGTGCCGGATGCCGGCGCATTCGAAGGAAACAGAACAAGCACTTGTCTCCTTCGGATAACAGGCCACTGAGCACTCAATGATTTTGTACGAAGCATAGTCATCGAGGTGCCCCGCCATATGTATGGGATACTGTGGGCAGGTGGCATATTGTTGATTTGCACGTGTCCATCTTCTCTCTCTGTCCTCCCCAGGAACTCGAAAAAGAGGCCCCAGAAGTTCAGGGGAAAAAGCGCATGCTGCGATGCTTGCCGTGGCATAAATCATGCTTGAGAGTATTGCAGGCGCGGTGTATGTGGTGAGGGGTGTTTGGCGCGAGCACTCACCTAAAGAAATCCCACGGGTCGCGCCAGGGGTGCTGATGCAAGAGGCTAGCCGTGGCGAAAATAAAGAGTGGAAGGGCGGTAGAAAGAAAGCACCAGGGGTAAAATAAGTGGGAGAGATTGATTTGTTGAACGCAAAGAGTCAACGCGTATTTGATGAGTTGCAGCGACTGAGGTTTGCGCCAAGCCTTGTTTTCCCTTTTCGGAAATTCTCTTCAATACCTACATTCAGTGCTGCTATGAGACAGATTTACATATAAAAACTACAGTTATCCTTTGAACTATGGAGATTTTGCTTGTCCAAGTATGTATTCTATCTATATGGTTGTGTATCCTCCGAAGAAAACACGGGGTTCCATGGCTATGCAAACAGAATGTGGATCAAAGCAAAGGAAATTATGTGCAGCAGCGGTTCATCATCGTAGGTTTGGGGTATAACAAATGGAGGTGTTTTGTGGAAGGAAAAACGTAAGCGTCGTCAGTCAGATCTTCATACCCAGAGCCTGTAAGAGGCTTCAGAGTCGAAAGATGGACCATGAAAAGACAGAACCCTCCAAAGGAGCCGTAGATACGATTTTCTCGGCTGCTGTTGATACCAGAGTCGGATTGACTCCATGATCCGTCTGTGATTGAAAACAGGGACTGATAGAAGTGGTAACTGTTCGACAACTTCAAAGGACTAGATGGCAGTCTTGCCCAGCACATCGGCCAAGGCATCAACATCTTTGTCGTCCTTCTGGGCCACCGTCTCTTCTTCAACCTCGTCAGCCTGCTTGAGATCCTTTTCGGCCTTGGCCTCTTCTTCCTCTTCCTCCTCTTCCTCCTCGTCTTCATCTTCCGAATCCTCTTCTTCGAGCTCATCAAGCTCGTCGACGCCCCAGGTATCCTCAGGGTCTTCATCAGTGCCATGTTCCTCCTGACGAGCCTCCAAGAGTTCGCGCAGGTCGACGATGTTGGGGTCGTCCTCGGAGAAAATGTTGCCATTGAGCTCAACGCGACGCAGGCTAGGAAGTGCGGTCTTGGCAGCATGAGTGAAGTTCTTGACGGCTTCAGCCTTCATTTCGTTGTACTGAAGACGCAGGGTCTGAAGGTTTTGGTTTTTGTTTGCCGCCAAAGCGTTGGCAACCTTCACACCACCGCGGGCAGAGAGGAGACAGTCGCCAACACCGAGCTCGCGCAGCGAGGTCCAAGCCGGTAAAGTATTCGCAAGAGCAGTGGAGCCAATGACGGTGAAAGTGTTGTCCTGCAGATCTAGGACCTCGAGGCCTTTTGCGTGGAAGAGACCTTGGGTCAACAGGTGAGAGATACCCTCCTGGCGAATTCCATTCTGAGTCATCTTGACTGACTTCAGGCCTGCGGAGTGAGCCTTGTAGGCCCGAGCCCATGCCTCCATGCTGCCGTTTTCCAAGCGGTTGCGTCCGCAGACAACGCTCTCTAGCAGATTGACCTTCTTGTCTTCTTTGCGAGCTTCCTCTTTGCGTTCAGCCAACTTGGACAGCGCATCGGCGACCTGGATTCCAGCATAAGGACCAAGTCCGTTGTTGTTCAGGATGAGGTGACGGAGGGGCACATGGCGGGATAGAAAATCGACAAGAGGGGCCGAGGTGTTGAGACCAAAAGCATTGTCATTAAGGTTCACGGTGTGTACTGTGGAGATCTCGAGGATTGCGTTCAATAAAGAAGTTAAAGCGGTAGGAATCTCTGACAGGAGACGACCGGTGAAAATGTCATCGAGGTAGGCGGCTTCAAGGCTCTTTTGGGTCTTGAGGACCTCAGCCAGGCGCTGGCAGGCGCCAATTCCCAGGGTGTTTCCACCGAAACGGATTTCGGTGTAATCAGTGTTATCTACCAATGGTTGGATGTGCGCATTGATATCGTCAGAGCTGTCGAGCTTGAGGACCTTGCCCTCGAGGGAGAAGACCTTAGGAGGGGCCATGGCGGGGTAATTGTTGAGCGGGATGGGATGTTGGAATGAGCAGAGGTAATAAGTGTGAGTTCAATGGCAGGCTAACTCCCTACGGTGAAAAGATCGAAGTAGCCCAAAGACAAAAGAAAAAGACCGAAGCAGTCAGTGTAGCAAAAAAGGAGGCGAATTCGGGGAGGCAACATTTGTTGACAACCAAAAAAAAAATAACTACGGTACCGCATAGAGGCTGGGGCCGCTATATGCGCATTAATAATCTCTGATGGTGTCAGGTCATTCATAGAATTCTGATCACTACAACCAATTCGCAATTCAGTTCTTGTCTTTTGCTCAGCTTTCATATCTATCCCAAGCTGTACCTACATCATGTCTTGGCTCTTCGGTTCCTCAAGTGGTGAGTCTCCATATCGAATTGCTATTACCCTCAATCCATACACTTGCGCAATGCGCCAATTACATTGCATTGCGGAGATGGAATATAGCTTTTTCTTACCCTTGGACCTTACAGAAAATAAATCTGCTGCATCAGAGCAAGCACCAGCTCAAACTTCTCAAACTGAGAAGCCCAAGGTGTGTTCCGATGCAACCGAATCCGCATGCGCAAGCGTTTAACCCTGTGTTCACTCTAGCCCTGCTGCGTCTGCAAGCCCGAGAAGACCGCCCGTGACGACTGCATGCTATTCTCGAAATCCGAAAACCCCGAGGAGGAATGTAAGACCACGATCGAGCAGTACAAGACTTGCATGGCTGGCTTTGGCTTCAAGGTCTAGACTTTGATCTCTGATCGAGTTTGCCGATCTGTATCATCACCATACAGCATTGTACAATAGCGTCTATTGGCGGGAGTTTCTTGTTTTCTCTAGTATCATCTGCCCAGGGGGCATCTTCCTACATGAGAAATATTGGGGTTTAAATTACTAGGGATTGAATTCCCCAACGACATCTCACATCATGCATCAATAATGACTCGAATCACATTAAATAAAATGAACCAGCACCGTGGGTGCTCTATTTCTGATAATCACACAATAAGGGGTATCACTGAAAAGCACACGGCTATCCACCGAGAAATATCACTGCTTCTTTTTTTGATTGTCCTCCACAGATGCCTGTCGATCAATCTGGCGGCACTGGGTGAACAGTTTCCACATACACCACAGATAGGCAGTCCCGAAACCAGCAGCCCCGATCAAAGCATTCAACACTACCCATAGATCAGGCTTGCCAGGGGGTGGAGCCACAAATGCATCAAGAATATGCCAGGCAATCATGGCTAAATAGAAACCAAAGTGCAGGATAGTGGTGAGAGTGCTTGGCTCGAATTGACTTGCTTCTTGGGATGCCCGGCTTCGGTAAGTCTCGAACGAAGTAGGAGGGAGACCAAGGAGATATGCCCAAAGCAGAGTAAGAACTATGTAGGGAACCCGCAGCTCATCACGTTTAAGAAGAGGGTACATGGTCCAGGAGCCGAGGATATTGGCCCAGCCCACCCAAGCACGGATCTCTTTGCTCAGTCCACCGTCACCAGCAAGAAGCAAGGTCATCGGTAGAAGAGGCAATAGAACACTCTTTTCATGTACCTGGAAAGAGAACAAGAAGAATCCCCAGGAGACGGCGGACAGAGCGGGAAGGAGAAGGGAGGCGCGCGGATGGCGGAAGATGATTGCACATGGAATGATGATGGACGTCAAAGTAGCACCGAGAGATGCCCGCTGCAACAATGAAGCATCGAAGCGGGTGAGCTTATAGAAAGTATGAATGGCACACCAAGCGTTGGCGACTTTGTCTTCGAAAAGGCCACGTGCGAAGGGGAACACGCGATGTATGATCTGCGTTAGCTGGAACAGCAAGCCATATAGAATGGAGTTCTTGTCAACTTGAGCAGGAAGCAACTGCAACAAAGGGGGCACTGGAGCAGATGCGAACAACTCTCTGGCTTCAGCAGTGGAAGCACCAAGCATGAGGGGAGCCAAAAGCAGCGCAAAAGCCGCCAGCGTGATGAGGGCTATATTAACGAGGCGGGGAAGGTGGAGCCGAGGAAAAGTGCAGACGCCGAGGAGATAGGCGAACATGACCGGTGCATAGTATAGCGCCATTTGCTTAAATCCCAATGCACCAACGAAGAAAATACAGGCCCAGAGCATACGCCCAGCCAAGATAGCGTCCAAGCTCGCGACAACCAAACCTAGCATAACTGTATTGTATTGAAAATGGCCATGGTCGACGAGGATGTTCGCTGGCTGTAGAAGGATTGCCGCAAGAGCAATCGAGGCAGACCACGCATGGACGCCCTGTATCCGTGTGTAGCGGCGGAGGAAAGTGACCACGGCGGGGATGAACACGAGATACTCGGAAACAATGACGGTGGCGCGCATGTATACTTTGAGATGGGGGTCCTCGAAGCCTCGGGAAACATCCAGAGCGAACCAAGCTGGATCAAAGGCGGAGCCACTAGACAGGAGAGTCAACAGGATTCATAACACAATGAGGTGGCTGGTAGACATACATCTTCCCAAGTAGCCAGCTGTGGTATGCAGTCAGTGGTGGATAGTCCAGACCCCAATACTGCAAATCGTAGGTGTACCACTGTGTCGTTGGGAGATGCGTGGTGATTTCCATCCAATGGCGTTGCGCTTCAAAGTCACCATGCATCGGAGGAACCTGAAAGCCTTCAAAAGCGTCAGAGAACGTAGCCCGCCTCAATAGAATAGTGAGCACACACCAGAGTAACCCCACAAGCTCACAGCCCATCGAAAGAGGCCAACGGCCATCAGGATGAGAGGAAGGATCAGCCATTGAGAAACACCTGCTCGTGCAGCCCACAGGAAGGAGACAAGCGGAAATGCCGGAGTTTGTTTTCCATCACCAATATCCAAGATCAAATTATTGTTGGAGCCGGGGGAGGTCGCGATTCTTCCCTTCTTGCGGGGACGGTGTGATGAGGGTGCCGCCATCACGATACAGGCCAGGTGGCAAGTTTTAGCGTCCCATTGACTGGAGAAAAAAAGCAAGAATTGAGAGTAGTAGAGAATAGAACAAATAGTTGAAGGACTATAAGGTTGTATTGAGGAAGCAACTTGGCCTACATGTAGGAATAAGAAAGGTACGACGAAATGACATCTGAATATTAAGGAACCAGGGCGGACTGTGAGTCGTCAAAAGGTACTCGAAAGGTACCCACATCATTTCCACGCTAAGTACCTGATCTAACCAGGTATAGTAGGCGGCGTATTTCTGCCAGCCTCCGAAATTTTTTTTCCAGAAATTTTTCTGATAAGAAAGTTGATGGTCCCCCAGCTCTCAACTTTTTTTTCTTCTTCTTCTCATCCTCTCTACTTCTTTTCTCTCCTCCCCTTTCCATTAAAAGTAATCTATATCAGGTTCCTTTTCTTGTTTTATTACCAAAAAACCTTCTCTTGTCTTCAAGAGAACTCTTATTTCACTAACTAACGCAGTCGCGTGGGTTCTATCTCGTAAGTTCTTCAACAGATACTCTGTGGGCTTCTATCTCTCTGAGGGCTGTGGGCTTGTCATACATCTATTCTGTGGGCTCTGTGGGACATCTTCCTCGTGGGTTACATATTCTAGACAGTATTCGGCTGTCGGTCGCTTGTGGGCTTGGAAACACTCTTCCGTTCATTCCGTTCCGTGGGTTGCTTGTGGGTTAACGTCCAGCTGTGACTAGATCACTTCTGGCAGTTCTTTTCTGAGGGCTGTTCCATTTTCATCCATTTACGGGTGCTTTGAGGGATCGTGGGCTTTGCCGCACATACTACAAGAATTTCACTTGTCAATACAGTATGTGCAACCCTACCCAAGCTACAACCCAGCAACCAAGCCCTCCACCACACGAGTGTAGCTAGATCTGAAGGCAAATTGCTAACATATTCTCTTCCTAGTTCACAATGTCCAAGACTTCCAAGGTTGCCGATAAGGGCTCCAAGGCCTCCAAGGCCCTCAACAAGGTCAAGGATGCCGGTGTCACCAAGGCCTCCCAGTCCCCCGCTGCCAAGAGCAAGACCATCGCCGCCAAGGTCGTCTCCAAGGAGAAGTCCAAGAAGGACAAGAAGAAGGCCCCTACTCCCAGCTCTTCCGAGTCCGAGTCCGAGTCCGACGAGGAGATGAAGGATGCTTCTTCCAGCAGCTCTTCTGAGTCCGAGTCTGAGGATGAGAAGCCCGCTCCCAAGAAGGCCGAGAAGAAGGTTGCCGCCAAGGCCGAGTCTTCTGACTCTTCCGACTCTTCCGACTCTGAGTCTGAGTCCGAGGATGAGAAGCCCGCTCCCAAGAAGGCTGAGAAGAAGGTTGCTGCCAAGGCCGAGTCTTCTGACTCTTCCGACTCTTCCGATTCTGAGTCTGAGTCTGAAGATGAGAAGCCCGCTCCCAAGAAGGCCGCCGCCAAGGCTGAGTCTTCTGACTCCGACTCTTCTGAGTCTGAGGCTGAGGCCAAGAAGGCCGAGGTACGTACTGTCATTGACTCGTCGTTTCCGAACACTGCTAATTCTACTATTATAGTCTTCCGACTCTGAGTCTGGCTCTGACTCTGACAGCTCTGACTCTGACTCTGAGGACAGCGAGCCTTCCAAGAAGCGCAAGGCTGATGCCGAGCCCGAGGCTGCTGCCAAGAAGACCAAGACCGAGGAAGCTCCCGAGGGTGCCTCCGCCAACCTCTTCATCGGCAATCTGTCCTGGAACGTCGACGAGGAGTGGCTCCAGCGTGAGTTCTCTGAGTTCGGTGAACTTTCCGGCTGCCGCATTGTCACCGACCGTGAGACCGGTCGCTCCCGCGGATTCGGTTACGTTGAGTTCACCAGCGCTGCCGATGCTGCCAAGGCCATGGATGCCAAGAAGGGTACCGATCTTGACGGCCGTACCATCAACCTTGACTACGCTACTGCCCGCCAGGCTCCCCAGGCCGGTGCTGACCGCACCCAGAACCGTGCTCGCTCCTACGGTGACTCTACCAGCCCCGAGAGTGACACTCTCTTCGTTGGCAACCTTCCCTTCAGCGCCACTGAGGATGCTCTCCACGAGGTCTTCGGTGCCCAGGGTTCCGTCCTCGGCATTCGTCTTCCTACCGAGCAAGAGACCGGTCGCCCCAAGGGCTTCGGTTACGTTCAGTTCTCCTCCATTGAGGAGGCCAAGGCTGCCCACAGTGCCCTCAATGGTGAGGAGATCGAGGGTCGTGCCATCCGTCTTGACTTCTCCACTCCCCGTCCCGCTGGCGGTGACCGTGGTGGCTTCGGCGGCCGTGGTGGTGGCCGCGGTGGTGGCCGTGGTGGCTTCGGTGGTCGCGGCGGCGGCGGCGGCTTCGGTGGCCGTGGCGGTGGTGGTCGCGGTGGTGGCCGTGGTGGATTCGGCGCTCCCCGTGGCGGTGCTCTCAACAAGGGCAAGGGCTCCATCCCTGAGTTCAAGGGCTCCAAGGTCACTTTCTAAGCTTGACATTATCTCCCGCATACGTTTGATTTCTGCAACATATCGGTGTCACTGGGTCTCAGGTTTGCTTTGAAACAAAAAGTTCGTGTTTAATTATGTGTAATATGATCTTAGCTCAAGTATCTTCAATTTGATACATCATTTCAATTTTTATCATCTTCGTTCTACTCCGTACTTGTGTAATCATAAGCCATATTGCCGGTAGTGACCGCCTCCCCCGCGTTTTCTTTTTGTTTTGGCTATGTTGTATCGCGATTTCATGATCTGATCTAGACTTCTTTGATCTTTTGAGACTTATGGGTATGAGGTTTTTTTCTCTTTCAGTCATTTTCTTTCAAGCTCAACATTCTTAAAGTTGGTCTCATTGTTTGGTAAGCCCCTCGCATGTTCAGCCTTTGCACATCACGGGCTGCCAATCACCTCCAGGGCTGTTCGGTCTGCTGATCACCTCATCATTCGATTATCTTTTCTCTAGGGACTTCCCAAGGCAACCTTTCTTCACATATCTATTTTATCTATTTTCAATATTGATTCCAGAGTTTGAACTTTTTTTCCCCTCAACACTAGTCGCTTTATGACTGGGCAAACACGAGATCTGTATGCAAAGTGCTTGGGCATCAGCGGAGGATCGTCAAACACACTCCACTTTGATAAGATAATCTCATCCCCCACGTTGACCGCTCCCCCCTTTGTACCCAGGGTGGCCTGATCGCTTCTCCCTATTTCTATTGACATATTTCCTCTTCTGTTGAGATCTTAACGATCTCTTATTCATCTCTTCGGCCATGCAGCCAAATCACTGCGACCTTCTGAGTCAGGTGCGTGAGCCTGGAGCTGCAAGTCGGATGACGCGCGATGGCCATCAGCCGCTTCGAGATAATAGTGGTCAGCCCCAGCCATCTGGTGCGGCACCCATGAGATCAGAGGGTAGGTAGTCCTTTTTATAATCTGGCCGATACCTCCCCTGCCGATCGAGTTTCAATTTGCTTATATACAAATCGTTGACCACAACATGTACTCACTGCGATACTATATAGATTCTTGGATCGACGTATCCTCACAGCCGTCTTCCTCCTCCTTCTCCTCGGCTGCTACCAACGATGATATCATAACCACCGGCTTGCGAGTCGAACATGGAGAGGCGGCGGCATATCAGCGTCGCAATCGGCGACGTCGTCTACAACATCTTGCTGCGATCACCACAGCCCAGGTAGACTATTCATCGCGGGACACTAGCCAAGCCAGTAGCAGCCAAGAGGAATATGAGGAGAGCGACAGCGAGTCGGATCGAGTCCTCAGCAGTTCGAATGAAGATATGAACCGCCCGACACTCCCAGATTCTTTAGCACCTCGCTCTGTACCACCCTCGTCAAGTCCAGACGAAATCTCCAGTGACGAGGAAGATGATACTTCCACTGCTTTGGGGATGGGGATAAGCCCATCACCATTCGTTCCCCAACCGAACATATTTACACACCCACCACCCACATCAAATGAATCATGGGCTCGTGCTCCTGATACGCGACGTGCTCACTCCGACATACCATCTACCTCGAACCGACGCACAGGCCCTCGAAGAGAATCATTCCCCAGTCCACGATCCTCGCGGAGGACTCAACACCAACATAGCCCCTATAACATGATATCACCTTCTCACCATGCTGATCACGATGCCGCTCTTCGTGCTAGCTTATCAACCCTGCTTTCATGCGCCGCTGCCGCCAGAGGCTTGCCAAAGAATGATAGTCAACCATCGCCCTCACCAGCCACCACATCAAGAGGCGCACGGCCCGCTTCTTTCCGACTAGTGGGCGAATCTGTCGCCATGGGCGAGGAGAGCGGCGACGAAGAGGTCTCGCCGACTCAGTATCCAGAGACAAGTCCCTCTATCGGTGTACCGAGACAGATGCGCGCACCCACAGTGCCATCTGGCCCAGTTGTAGCCAAAGCAAAGCGGCGATCGAGCCCATCAAAAGATCGCAACGCTGTCTCAAAGAAAAGTCGGCGCGCGAGCATGATAGACTCGACAACGCCTGTCAGCCCCACTATCATGACATGGGTCATCAGTGCCGGTGTTGTTGTACTGTTCTCTGCTATCAGCTTCTCCGCCGGATACATGCTCGGCCGTGAGGTCGGGCGAACCGAGGTCGGGATGATGGGTGATGGTGTTCCTGGTCCTCGCCCCTCGGTAGGCTGTGGCCAGGAAGCTGTTCGGGGTGGACTCCGAAAATTACGCTGGGGATCGGCAGCTGCCGGGACTGCAAGCCTCGCATGAATGCAATGTCCTTTATATGAATGGCGAACATGATCTGAACGATTTACGATGCCACAACTGGATTACAGAGCGCTTGGGCTACATTCATTCCGTGCTGTTGAAGCTCGCGCCCCATTGTCCTTAAGTTCCCCTGCCTGATTGAAACGTTTCTCTCATTTCTTTGGCGGATATTCAAGAGTTAAGGTTGTCACATGCGGGAGGGCTCCTGCCAATCAAAAATCGGCGCATTCCAGTTTGTGTGTTTATGCAATTTGCTTCTGTCTGGAAGCGATGGAGTTTGGGGTTTGTCCGTCCCACTAAGGGCATCTGTCAAGTTTCTCAACCAGAATTTCAACCTATACCCTCTTTCTGTATCCAATGGAATTATCAGACTTTCCACATGTGTCATCGAGTCATAACAATGGTAAATAATGTCTAATCGCATCTTGGTTATCGTTGAGCTCCAACTCGTGATAGTAATTGTCACTGTATAATTTCCGAGATTTAAATATTAGTCGTAATAATTTGATAATTACGTACTATATATATTCGCGTGGCTGGCTATGTCTCCTATGTTAGAAATGGGCGGAGACGCCTCTAACTCGGCTTCGGCTAGTGCCTGTAGGCTTAGAAACATATATAATATAGGTGTTGAATTTCATAGGACTCTAAAAAATATGTATTCTGTTGTCCATCAACCCAAGAGCCATATGATCTACAAGATCTGCAGATTGGTCCAGATTCGGTATGCAGCTGACTCATCATCCTATCCAATTTTGAGACTTCATGTGTTGCCCAGGTGCCCAGGTGGACAACCAAAAACTCTCTTTTATTACATTTTCTACCTGCCTGTTCTCTCTTGAGCCTACTTCAAAACCTGGCGGGAGGGGGTTTCTGAAAAGAAAACCCAATCAAATTCCAGAAACGACCACGACAGAGATACGATGACCCCTGCACTAAGCCGACGCAAGCACTTGAAGAGCCGCAATGGCTGTATCCAGTGCAAGAAGCGTAAGATAAAATGTGACGAGAATGGCTCTGTTCCATGTGCACAGTGTGTCAAAAGCCGCCATACTTGTTCATTTACTCCGCCGCCACCTCTTGTTGATTCGAACTTCTCAACGAGTGCTCTACTGGACCTCAAACTATTGCACAATTTCACCACCAAAACATCGCAAACTCTATCAGGAACCTCCGAAGTCCGCGCATGTCTTTCCACGGGGTTTATTGAACTTGCAATGCAACATGGACACGAATACCTGCTGCACTGTATCTTGGCACTGTCCGCTTTCCACATAGTCAACCAGCAAGAAAATAGGGAGTCTTCTCAGCCGCCCCAAGTCGAGGACCACCCCAAAGAGGTTTATCTCCAAGCAGCCTATAAGCATCACGAAAGTGCATTGAAGGGTTATCGACACAGTCTGTCAACCGTGAGCCCAGCCAGTTGCCATGGCATCTTTGGATGCGCAATTCTCCTCTTCATAACAACTTTTGCACGTCCACCAGATAGTGCTCTGCAACTAGGCCAACCGCAAAATTCTACAAATGTTGGCGTATGGCTCAGCTTCCACTTATCAGAGTGGGTCATTCTTATCAAGGGCCTGCCATCCATCGTCGCGTATAATGAGTTTCGCACCGCACTCTATAATGGGCCGCTCGCCACCCTTATGAATGCACAGAGCTATCGCTCGGCGGACGTACAAACTTCACCGCAGAGAGAAGCGGTTTCTTGTCATCTTCATCATCTGTCGGAAGGCATTCGGGTTCATTCTTCTAACGACACAAATATCCAAGTGTGTCTACCGGCAATTGAGACACTTCGTCAGGTTGTGACGGAATTAAATCATTCCAATGACCATGCCCTTGCGTTCCTCTGGCCGATTAGAGTAACCCCTGAATATCTCACTCTTCTCGAAGCAAAAGTACCAGAGGCTCTGGTGGTATTTGCTTACTACTGTGCCATTCTCTATATTACGAGTTCCACGTGGTGGACCAAGGGCTGGCCTCGACCAATACTCGAATCTATCAGAGAGACAATTGATAAAAAGTGGAACTCATGGCTTTCTTGGCCATTGGACCTGGTCTTTCATAATCCAGAAAAATTCGAAAACGGACTATTGCCTGTCCCAACCTTGCCTTCCCCAATAATGTACAATCCCAGGTGATTAAAATACATAATTATTAATACCACGCGTGGCCAGATTTTATCCGTTGATGCACGGAACATCTTGGCGGTTTCCAGCCAATTGCCTTGCCGACCGAGGATTTCGTACAGCCCCAAATCACAGGTGGACCAGGCTTTATAACAATGATTAGGCATTCAGCCAATAGATACATCATGATCAAATGAATACTGTCTTTAAACGATTCAAACGACAAGCTATGGATATAAGTGCGGGAAGGTCCATCTAGCGCCAACGGAAAGGGTCTTCCCGGTCTGTTTTGCTCTTTGCAGCGCTATCTACTTTCATATAAGAATATGGTAATCCCCTGGTTTTATTAGTCCATAATTCTCGAATTGTTTCCCCCAAATGGCAAGTTTTAATGAGAAGTTCAGGCCAATTAGCGAAACTGTGCCAAATATTGAGTCAGCACAGATACTCGCCGATGCTGCGATAAATGATAAAACGGCGCTTGGCTCTAACCTGGTAGACTGGGATGGAGAAGATGATCCGAACAAACCAACAAATTGGACTAGCAAAAAGAAATGGGCAAATGGTGGCCTTCTTGCGCTCATGACGCTCATCACGTACGGAACCTTCTCACCTTCTTACCGCCATGAATCCTTTTTCGATTGACATTGTGATAGTCCCTTGGCGTCTTCCATGTTCGCTCCCGGTGTGGAAGATGTAATGATCGAGTTCAAGTCGACAAGCCAAATACTCGCCTCTTTCGTTGTCTCGATATACGTCCTTGGGTATTGCGTTGGGCCTCTTATTGTCGCGCCACTATCTGAGATATATGGTCGTGTCCCTGTTTACCATGTCTCAAATGTCCTATTTGTCGTTTTCACAATCGCTTGTGCCGTAAGCTCTAGTCTTTCCATGCTGACAGTGTTCCGGTTCTTTGCTGGAGTGATGGGTTCTACTCCATTGTCAATTGGAGGTGGATCATTTGGGGATATGTTCAAAGTCGAAGAAAGAGGTGCCGCAATCGCCATATGGTCTATGGGGCCACTATTGGGACCAGTGATTGGGCCTGTGGCGGGTGGTTTCCTAGCTCAAAGGGCTGGATGGAGATGGGTATTTTGGGTAATCACAATCGCGGTAAGTCTTTGCAAAAACTTGACTCTGAGATCGATGGCGGACTAATAATGATTACGTAGGCGGGCATCATGACGGTGTTGATGTTCTTCTGCCTCAGGGAGACATATGAAATAGCGCTGCTCAATCAAAAGGCTAAGCGTCTTCGCAAAGAGACGAACAATCTTGATCTCAGATCCGCTCGAGACCTAGGCCTGCCACCAAAGCAGTTACTCAAGCAGGCTGCTCTCCGACCAATGAAGCTTCTGATCTTTTCTCCCATCGTTCTTGCATTGTCAATCTATATCGCCTTCGTTTACGGCCTCCTCTATCTTCTCTTCACCACTATCACATCTGTGTTTACCGAAGCCTATGGCTTTTCTCAAGGCTTGTCAGGGCTTGCTTATCTTGGCATCGGAATCGGAATGATGGTAGGCCTTGTACTGGTTGGCGGATCGTCAGATTTGCTCCTCAAGAAGCTAGCCGCGGCCAACAATGGTGTCATCAAGCCAGAATACAGGTTACCTCCGATGATCGCCGCAGGGTTAATTTTACCCATTGGACTTTTCCTATATGGTTGGACCACCCAGTACCAGATACAATGGATGGTTCCAATCATTGGAACAGCTCTTGTTGGAGTAGGGTTGATTGGAAGTTTTGTAAGTTTGCGACTACTCCCGTTCGAACAGCATCTAACAACTACGTAAGATCCCCACCTCGACATATCTTATCGATACTTTTGGAATCCACTCAGCGTCAGCGATTGCAGCAAATACTGTGCTACGATCGCTATTCGGTGCTCTCATCCCTCTAGCAGGACCGTCTATGTACGAGGCACTGGGCCTGGGGTGGGGCAACTCACTCCTCGGGTTCATTTCTCTGGCTATGATTCCAATTCCAGTGCTGTTTTGGAAATATGGTGAGAAATTGCGTACAAGCCAAAGCATGAAATTGTGAACCGATCTGTATGGATGGGGTTGGCATAAATTGGTTTACCTTGGTCATCAATCCAAGCAAATATCTATACAAATCATATAAATAAAATTTAACAATGTCAGTAACAACTGGCGTGGTAACCATAGAGTTCCCAAGGTTCCTCTCTACATAGATTGATTGGAGTGGGTCGGGTGGAAAGTATCATCCAATCACAGCCTCGACTTTGATGAAGTGTCAGTGACGCTAAACCCTATCTGGTGCGCGAGAACGATAGCTAGTCCCAAAAGGGTTACTTCTTTTTTTCTTGGGCCTCACATAACTTTGCCACCCCACGCCTTGAGCTATCGACAATATGAAGCGCAATGTATAAGCCTGTTCGCCCTAGATTCAAAAAAACGGATATCGTTCGATCACGTAATGGATGTAAATGTTGCCGCGAGAGGAGAACTAAGGTCTGTGACTTTCATCTCTTATAGTCCTGATGAACGTGTTATTGATAAACTAGCAGTGCGATGAACGGAAACCCTCTTGTGGTACTTGCTTGAGACTGGCAAGGACATGTCAACCCTTCTTGGCTGAGCTCAAATTCTGCATTGTGAATCCACCGAAGCCGAAGACTTCTCTCAGTGACAGTGTCAAACTCCAGTCATCTTCAAACCAGGTCACTGGAAAAAGCGCAAAAGCTATTCCCATCGGCTCATTTACCTTGATTGGCTCACTAAAGCACACGGAAAGGTCCATCTTTTACTCTACATACTGGGAGGATGTCTGTCTACCAGCTGTTCATCCAATGTTTCGATCTGCGTCTTCCTTCATGAGTGACCAACCCATATTGAGAGACGCCATTCTGGCCTTGTCTTCATGTAATATGAGTCGTTTATATCCGGAGAAAAGTTCCATGTCCACGGGCTCCACGGGCTCCTTCCAGCCCAATCTTACACATCAGACAAGAAGCCAATTTTACTACTCATCAGCCATCAAGAGATTTACTGCGTTGAACCGAGATGATCATCAATCCCAAGCCAAGTTGATTTTCACGATTCTTGTTATTTTTGCTCACATTGAGTCTTCAATGGGGAATATTCGCGGATTTTACTGCCATGTGCAGGGGTTGGCGAATCTTTTCCTCGATCTGCATACATCGATAGAAAAGACACCGTTGAAAGCTCTTCTGACTGCATGGATGCAAGTTCGATTTGGAGTCTGGTGGGCACGTTCGTATTTCAGCTCGCTCGAAGTACATCTTGGTCTTCCCCCAGTGCCTCTACCGAGGATCCTTGAAAGGAGCTTTTCGTCGATAGAAGAGCGGCGCATTTCGGCTCTCAGCATTCTCTGCGAATCCCATCGGCTGAATTTCAAAGAGGTTTTAAAGATTTGGACCTATCAAACCGACCACGAAACATTCCATCAGGGGGGCCACCGATCTGACCAGGACTGTGACACCATCGCTCAACTTGCTGAGCAGGCTAGAAAGTCTGATCAATGGCTTCTTCATCTTCCTGCAACGGAACACCCACTTGGCCAAATGACGCTACCACAGGACTATGAGTTGAATACGCCGGTTGTGTTTCGATCGCATGATGCTGCGCTCAATTTTGCCTACTACGTGGTTGGGCGAATAATGCAATCTGATTGCTTTCTGCGTCGTCTTCAAATCTACGATTTGAGCGACCTTGAGAATGGTTGCTCGGAGGAGGAGCCTTGGGTTCGTCTTTTGCTTCGGATTGCAAAGGGAAGTAACATCCAGACTTCAATAACAAGAAACAACTATACCGTTGGATTCTCGGGTCTTCTTCTGGCCGCAATCTTACGATGTCATAGCTTGGCATTAAGTATTGAGATCCAAGATTGGCTTGAAACCCTGAAGGACTTGCAGCCCACCGAGGAAGGTGCTTTCCCAGTTTACCAGGCATTTGGGGTTGCTAAAGCCATCAACCAACAAAGAATGATGGGCCGCCAGATATTCGGCGTGACTCAGCCCGTCGATGATGGTGGCGGAAAACCAAAATTCACCGCGTACAACAGTCAATCCATCAACACTCTGCTATTTCATGGAAGGTGTCAGGTATCTGGGCGGTTATTCACAGACTGTGTGTGGATCGATTTGTAATTCAACAAATTTATTTAACGAAACATTTGTTCCACCTAAGGCAACGAAGGCACAGATGAACGTCCTATTAGACCCTATGGCATTAGCAAACGGAGCAAGTATACCTGGGTATAACTTGAGCCTCCCAGCCGGTGTATGGACATATATTATCTTACATCTGGTTACAGGCCAGGACGACTCTTTCTTTTGATATAGTCAAACTTTATTCTCTTGGTTCATTGAATTCATTTTTTTCCAATCAATATCCCCATATTCCATAATATGTTGTAGATCTATAAATCTCTAAATTCGAACCATGGCAGACCCCGGATGATACGGAAAGTCAAAAGCCGATTATGAACCAATCAGAAGGGAGCAAAAAGCAGCTGAGTCAGGAATTCTCTTACTCTTGGAACGCGGGTGGAAGTTCTCTGCTGTGACTCCCGGGCCTTACCCGCGGATAAGTACTACCCCGGTCCAACCCCGCGGTGTTATAATAACCCACCCGCCACTCGGCTGTTGCTGCTGACCGATACCAAAATGAAACAATCTATGATTCACGCGATCAACCCATTCGGCAGGTGGCGACGGTATTTTTTGGGTTTGACACCGTTGCGGCTCCCCCACAACCATGACCAGCCGAACCATATGCCGTCGTCCGACCGTGTATATAGACCCCCTTGAGGACCTCGTTATGATTTTGTTTTCTTAACTTTTTACTTCCACATCTCACATCCACATCACAAAATGTCTTCCACCCGCCAGTTTGATCCCAACTTCACTCCCTATGTCATTAACGGCATGGGCCCCAAGACTCCCGAGCGTGCCCGCGTTGTCTTGGGTTCTTTGATCAAGCACATTCACGACTTTGCTCGTGAGGTTGAATTGACCTCCGCCGAGTGGATGCTCGGTGTTGAGTTCATCAACTCTATCGGAAAGATCAGCACTCCTATCCGTAACGAATGCCACCGCATTTGTGATGTGATCGGTCTCGAATCGTAAGTCTGACAATGTCTTCTCATTTTTTTTATTGTTGAAAATGTTGAAAAAAAAAAAAAAAACAATCACTAACGGATTTACTAGTCTCGTCGATGAGATTGCCAACAAAATTGTCACCGAAGATGGCATCTCCCCCACCTCCAACGTTATTCTCGGTCCCTTCTGGTCGCCCAATGCCCCTTTCCGTGCTCTCGGCGACAGCATCATCCAAGACCCTAACCCGAATGGCCGTGTCACCTTCATGCACGGTACCATCAGGGACATGGAGACCGGCAAGCCGATCGCCGGTGCCGTCCTCGATATCTGGCAAGCCTCGGCCAACGGCCAATACGATTTCCAGGACCCCACCCAGTCCGACAACAACCTCCGCGGCAAGTTTACTTCCGATGAAAACGGACAGTTCAACTGGTACTGCTACCACCCCACCCCCTACTCCCTGCCCACCGACGGCCCCGCCGGTGTTCTCCTCAACATTATGGACCGCTCCCCCATGCGTCCCGCCCACATCCACCTTATGATCACCCACCCCGAATACGCCACTGTCATCAACCAGATCTACCCCAGCGACGATCCCCACCTTGACATCGACTCCGTCTTCGCCGTCAAGGATGATCTCGTCGTCGACTTCAAGCCCAAGACCGACGACCCCAAGGCCTCCCTCGACTTGGAGTACAACGTCAAGATGGCCCTCAAGAAGCACCACCCCAACCCCAACACCGCCCCTCCCGTGTCCTCCTTCGAGCGTCACGCTAAGGCGGCCGCTGGAAAGCTGTGAAATGAGCAAAAACATTTGGAACGGCGTTTTCTTTCTATGACTTATGTACAGTTAGCATTTTCTTGAATTTACGAGACAACCTCACGTTGAATGATATCTTGACCGAACCATGCTCCAGACCGTATCGTAGGCCCGTGCGGTATATTTAGATCTCGCCTGATTTAGATCGCGCCTGGTCGGCCCCCCGCTTCCAGAACGCGTAGATCTTTCGATCGCGGGGCCACTACCTTGATCACCCGCATGCATGAAGACCCTGACCCCGGAATCTGTAGTCAGCATGCCGCCTGCCTTAGCCAGTAAGACTTTAAGCCAATATGGCCGCTAAACATTCACCCGCCGAGTGGCGACCGGAGCCTTATACATTCACCCCGGGTCCACTCCAGGGGCTCCGGGGCTGCTATATTCCACTTGTAATGTAGATTCCCCTCTCTAATCAGGTGCGACCGGGCGGTATACTAATCTGGGAAAACTTAGGTATATGGGCACGAGATCACGAGAGCGACACATAGTAAATGCTATTAAATGGCACAAGTATTTTTTACAAAACCGTCAAACCCAAAGGTAGTCTAGTCAGTTCCGACTATCTAGAAGGTCCTGCGGGGATGGCCGGACGGATCCGGTCTCCAGGAAATATCAATATCATCTTTAGAGGGCTCGTTGTAGGCGGTGGAGGATTGTGGCTTTGCGTGGCGAAGGCTATCCCCGTCGAGGATGTTGCCTTTTTCAATGGCGTCTTTAAAGTCCTGGGCTGAGGCTTTTTGTCAACGAATCTGAGAAGATATATGTCTAGCAGTTACCTAGGCAGTCAGAGCTACTTACTCATTCGTTCGTCGACATCGGAGGAGCTGGGCTCAAGGGGATCCTGCATACTCCGGGAATCGTTTTGTGATTCTTGGAGTTGATAGTTCTGAGACTTGTTGCCTTTTGCATGAACCCCATGGCCTGATGTTTCGAGAGGCTCCATTGTGGGTGAAATGGAGATGACTATACGATTTTGATCTAGTAGAATTGTCGAGGAGGACAGTGGCCATACTTTTATATTGAGATTCTACCTCGTCATTATGACCATTGATGACATTTTGGAATTTGCCCACATAGTTGCCTCCTAGGATATAGATCGCCTTACTTGTTGAAAGTTTTGTGGTTAATGAATAGATCAAGGGACCAATGAATGCATGAATTTGATAGTTGCTGCCTATTTGTTATTGTTGTTCCTAGGTACTTAGAGGTATCCTTTCGATGAGACCTAGCAGTAAAAAGTATGCATCTTCAATCTTGCCCAATAGCTCTGAATGCAACCTATACCGGGATCGGTTTATTGAATATAAGAAGCGCATTTGGGTCCCATTGCCTTCTCAAAGCTGATAGCCTTGGCAAGTCGCTAGAGAATACCAAGCCGCCGCTCCCCTATTTCCGCGCGCATATCCAGAGGCTTGAGTATCCTGAAGACTTTGCGATCCGATCTCTCAAGCTTCGTTCAAGCTCATCTACTATGCCATATATGGACACATCGGTCATGCATCTTTCGATGCTTCCAAGAACTGACAAAAGGTATGAGCAGGGAACACTAATCCAGCTGATATAGCCTGGCCATTGTTTGTGATATCTCAAACTCTGAAGGTTGCAGAACTCACGATCCCGAAATTGCTTCCTGCCCCTCGTGTGCCCCAGAATAAATCAGAGTTGTTTTCTTTCGAGGCTGTGACGACTCGCCCACCTGCTGTTACGAGCCTGACTGATTTGAGTGCATATATCATTAATTCACGGTGGCCCATGAGGGATCCCAAGCCCGCATTGAGAGTAGCTCCCATCACACCAAGACAAGCACACGATCCGAGAGCTGATGGACGTTTCAGATAGTGTAGATCTGTGGACACGAGAGCAAGTACACACGAAGTTGATTTGAGGCATTGGAGAGCACATCAGTCAACTGATTGTGAGGAAAGTTTGCGTTTCGTCGAATTTGATGGAGTTAAAATTTACAAGATCGATCGATATGCCTTCGAAGTTGCTGTAATCGGAGAATGATTGTCCGCCACCCGTGGCGAGAAATTTAATGTCGTTGAGCTGGGCTATCTTCAACTAGTTGCGAGAGGATCATTGAGCACCCGAGGATTATTTTCCAGCTATTGTGGGAGCGCGCACGGTATGTTGGATATCAGATTCAGTCATGGGCTTGATGACGCCTATGAAGGTGTGAGCTGTACAGTCTGACCAGCGGGCTTGCACTTTAGTCGTCCAGTCGATGTCTCCGGGTAATATGATACACGCATCTGGAGATATATAGGGCCCAAATAGAGCAGTCAGGTATTAAGTGGCGATTGCTAGCGGGAAAACAGATAGTCTAAGGAAAAAAACTCGTGCCAGCATGATTATATCCAGGATGTAATCTCGAAAATGGGAGCTCGCATTGATACCATCAAAATGGTAATAGATGAGAGTTTCGTCGAAATCGAAACAATGTTACCTGTCCAAAGTCAAGTCAAAAGACAATTGATTAGAAAGACTGAAAATAAGTTTGTATCAGCTAGGGCCGAGAAAACTCCGAATTGATCGTAGCATGCAATCTTTGAATAATGCATTAAAGTATATCAGTGACAGTTATGTAGCAGCCGGATCTTGACATGGTAAAGTAGGAGCATCAGAGCATCAAATTTGCCTTGTTTATCTTCCGTCAAAACATGCGTCCAAGGTAGTATTGGTGAATAAAGATATACACCCGCGCATGTGGTAACTCCGGCTGCAACATCGCGAAAATACCTCCCGGAATCCGACTGAGAGGTTATCCAAGTGAATCTCTAACAGAATAAAGGCTGAACACGATACAATACATCTATCGATTGCTGGATGACAACTCATCAAAATGACAATGAAATTCGACGAGCTTATGGAAGCTCTTCCCGACACAGAGATATTTCTTCCTGGATATATCGGCTATGAAGATCGACTAAAACGGTGGAGTGCTTCATGCATCAAGCCGGCTGCGGTGATTGTGTGCCCGCGAAATGCCTTCGAAGTGAGGATTGCCCTTCGCTATGCTACCCAGCACAAAGTCTTTCCTCTTGTGGTTTGCGGGGGTGGACACAGCACCGGCGGAGACAACTGCTCTGACGGGGGCATGGTGATAGATCTTCGTCGAATATGCTCAACATTAGTCAACACGGAGAGCCAGACAATCACTTTCGGTGGTGGATGTACCTGGGAAGACGTGAATGGCGCGCTATGGCATCACGAACTTGCAACTGTGAGTGGTACAGTCGGCGACACAGGCGTTGGAGGGTTGATACTCGGCGGTGGGTATGGGTATTTGAGTGGTAGTTGTGGACTGGCACTCGATTGTCTTCTTAGCTGCGAAGTGGTTCTGGCGAATGGAGACATTGTCACTGCGAGTAGAGAGGAGAGTCCTGATTTGTTCTGGGCCTTACGTGGCGCTGGACCGAATTTCGGAATCGTCACCCATTTCACCTCGCAGGCTTTTGTGCAAGGAGAATCTTGGGCAGGCTTCTTGGGTTATGCCCCAGACAAATTACCGGCTGTGATCGAATTTGGGAACCGTTTGAGTAAGTACATCAGGAATAGTTGCTGTTCGAGTCCTGCACCTGTATGACATCTGAACATCATAATAGTGGAGACCAACGACGGTAACTCTATGATTAGTGTGATCATCGGCAATTTCATTCCTCCCGAAAACTCGAGTGGCTTGATGGTTGTTGTGTTTCACAACGGAACAGAAGTAGAAGGGAGGAAGACTTTCAAACCGCTTTTGGATCTCAACCCTCTGGGTGATACGACAAGTGTGGTGTCTTATCCAGATCTAAACATGATGTTCAATAAGTATCCCAGAGGGCCGGATGACAGACATCTTTTTGGTGGCGGGAGTTTTACATTCCCCCTTGATGTTGCAGCTGCTCAAGAGATTTGTGACCAATTCTGGATGACCACAAATGTACCTGAGAACAATGATATTCGCGGTAGTACCATTGCGTTTGAGTATAATCCAACCAACAAGATCTGCGAAGTTTCCCTTGGGGAGACTGCCTTCGGAAACCGTGGTCAATTCGCATCAATTTGCATATCAATGAACTGGACAAAGGAAGCGAATGACGCCAAAGCGCGGTCAATCTCCAAAAAAATTGCTCAACTGTGTGCCAATACTGTTGGTTGGAAAGGAGACAAGTACAGCGATGGAACAAGCACCTATGCAAATTATTTCAGTGAGTCTTGAATGGATATATCATGCGTTGAATACAAAGTCTCATAGCTAACGTTTATGAACAGGCAGCATTACCAAGGCAGAGAAAGTATATGGACCTAACGCAGCAAGATTGAGAAAGCTGAAGAGCAAATACGACCCAAAGAATGTGTTCAAGAAGATACAACATTTATGATACAAGGGATGACGGATATCTAGTACATTAGCTCTGAACAAGTTTGTGATGACATTTAGTCTCAAATAAATTGAAAATATGCATGTCCCTATTATTAAAGTCATGTAGAGCGGTTATTCTCCATCGTGAAATATGGACAGAGGTTGGGCGTGTGAATTGACAAAGCAATAGAAAATTGTTTCACGAAAACTCAGGAGGTTTGCGACTTGCGAGCCTTCAGCGCCTGTTGCCCAAGACGAACTAAATCTGCGTTTGAGAGAGTTTCCTTCTCAATTCCGTTCACAGCCTGGTCGAGGACTGCCGCCGCAAGCTCATTCCTATCAATATTTGGGAAGGGGCGTCCGATGAAGTTGACAACACGGAATAGATTTGCTACTAAAGCTCTCGACCACGTAGTTGAATTTGCTATGACGCCAGCCTGAGCGATGCAGACCTCTACACCTTTTTTCTCTTTGGGAAATTCGAAGACCATAAGTTCGGTGTTGCACTAGTTGATCAGAAGCCATCGAGTCAGATTGAATCCCTAAGATAGGGTGATGGCTTACTCACACGCATGACCTGATACTCTCCCATGATAGCTGGCTTCTTGCTTGGGTCCCTGGGCGTACCATCTGCACTCAAGTAGATGAACCGGAAGGGGCGCGTGGGTCCAGCCTGGTACATGGCTTCGAATCCTAATTTCGTGCAATCTTGACAGACGCGTTTGACTTCAGCAAAGTCGAAGCTCCTAGTACGAAAGGGGGTGATGGCGACAGTCCTAGACGCGCGAAAAGGTATTTGGTCAGCATACAGTCCAACCTTGGAAGCGAAAGAGATTTGAAACCCCGATTGCAACACACCAGATACACGCGTCAGCGCCATCAAACTCCGACTTCACTTCATCTGAATATTCACCATAGTCTTGGATAATAACGCTCTTCAATTTGGAGGAGTCAAGGCTGCCGTCGGTTTGGATAGGCTTGCGAGCCAAAGCAATGACCTGCGTAATCTCGGGGATCTGCAGGCTCTGCCTGATGATCTCAGTGCCCAATAGGCCAGTCGCACCAGCTACAATGAGCTTCATATTCGAGGTTGTACTGGGTTGAAAGTTGGGTTGGTCGAAACTCGTTTTGGGGAGTTCAAGTGAGACGGGTTTCGGACACGGGATTCAACACCAGTGTTCCGGACTTTCTTTTCAGGTCACACTTTCCTAAGAAAGTCTACCTAGGTAATTTCCTTTGACTTTGCTTGTATTCTATGACAAGTGCGCTCTCGTATAGAGAAGATTGAACTTTCTCAGGGCCTGTTCGATTGTGAATACATACCGCGTATACAAATTCGTAGACATAAAGAGCAAACGCTTAATTTCCGGCCCCACTTGCCGTTACGCGCTAGTACTCACCTCGTATGGCTTTATTTTAAGACCTCTTAACACTATAAGATGTTAGATAGGCCAGACCTATGGTCTACAGCTAAGTAGATTGATTTTGAAAAGTTAGCCAGAAGCTAGTGCTTCATACTATCCAACAAAACCGACTGTAAGATTACTGACAGTTCCAACGCGGAGTATTGCAAGGAAGCTTGAACACAATATCAGTTGAGATATTTCTTTCAGTCAGTGTGATTGGTTTGGTTTCTGTTTCATGTGCAAACTCATAACGGGTGATTTAATTGTGGAATTTCCTCCATACGGAAGTGATGATTATGACTTAAGTCGCCGATGTAAGACTTTCCTATCTCTATCAATTTGTTGGCTTTTAAAGATCTCGTAAACCATAGCTCAAGAAGCAAACGGGTATATTTTATTCAAGATTCAAATATTGTAAAGAAGAGGCGAGTCATAGAGAGCAAACTATTGCTTCAGGTCCGGGCTAATGAAGTGAAATAGAAATCCCCGCTCAACTTGCATCGGAGAGCTATGTGGTTCTCAAAACTCTCGCTTCTGACCAGTTATTGCCTGGTTATGCCAGCTTTCCGTAATGTTCTTGATCCCAAAAACTACGATCCTGCAGATATAATCGTGGCTGATGTTGCGATCATTGGAGGTGGGTCCTCGGGCACTTATGCCGCTATCAATCTGCGCGAAATGGGCCAGAATGTTGTGGTTGTGGAGAAAAAGAAACATCTGGGTGGCCACACAAACACTTACAGGGATCATTCCACCAACGTCACGATAGACTATGGTGTGCAGGCATTTCTGAACAGCAGCATCACTCGTGATTATTTTGCTCACTTCGGAGTCCCGGTTGTGAACTACACTGGGTCCAACAATATCTTTTTATTGGCAGACTTTAACACTGGGAAACCTCTTACTATCAATCCTAGCCGAGATTTAACCGGTTGGGCTACCCAACTCGCCAAATACCCTTGGCTGGACTCGACCTGGAATGTCCCCCAGCCTGTTGCCGCAGATCTTTTGTTGCCTCTGAGGGATTTCCTCACGAAATACAATTTGTCCGATGTTGCATTCGCCATATACTTCGGCGCCCAGGGCCTTTCGAACCCTCTCCAGCAATCCACAATTGACGTGATGAAGATGGTAGATCCAGCCTATTTGTTTGAAATGACCGGGAGTAGTTTAGGAACAGCACACCAAAATAACGCCGAAATTTACCTCAAGGCTCTCGCCGAACTGGGATCCAACGCCCTTATTCATTCAGGGGTGACAGCTGCAACAAGGACGGAAAAAGGAAACGTGTCCCTAGCCGTCAAGACTCGCAAGGGGGCAAAACTCGTTCAAGCATCGAAGGTTCTGATAACCATTCCACCAACTCTAGAAAACATGAAGCCATTTGACCTGAACCCGGAGGAGCGTCGGCTATTTTCACAATGGGACTACAAGGGATATTATACCGTGCTCCTCAATAATACTGGTCTACCTTCTGGGTACCAGTGGATCAACGCGAACTATTCAGCCGTCACATACAATATTCCTCAGCAGCCCTCTGCTTCACAAATTACCAGTACCCGAATTCCGGGCATTTTCTACGTTTGGTACCGGAGCCCATCCGAGATGACTCGAGAGGATGTGGAGAAGGCTGTTATTCTGGCCATTCAAAATATACAAACTGCGCAGAACTTGACTGTCACCACCCCCCATATCCTCAAGTTCAAATCCCACACGCCGTTCAAACTAAGCGTTCCGGCCCAAGCTATTAGAGATGGTTTTTACAGCAACCTTTACTCACTGCAGGGGAAGCGCAGTACATGGTATACGGGAGCAGCTTTCATCGCTCACAATAGCGGTCTAGTGTGGAACTTTACTCATGGCTTACTACCCCAAATAGCTTCTGATTAATGAGAAATCAGCTGGGGCTCGGCTTGGGGCATCTTGATCTTTCAGAGAAAATATGAATCTCATGGGGTATATTATTCCGTGTTGTACGTCGCTCAGTGTAACAAGCTACTTATTGACGGAAAGAGCAACAGGGTTTCGAACAAAATGAAACTTCTTTGGCAACAAGCAAGCTGTCTATGATTAGGCCGACATATGTTGTTCATTTTGTTAGGACAATGCTAGTCCCATGAAACAAGCTTGTTAATCACTCGTTCCCTTCTTTTGGTTCAATGCTACCAACCTTGGAAGTAATTAAGATAGACCAGTCTTGTCAGTTATACCGCCCTGCTGGAACCTTCGAAAGAGCAATACAATAAAATTACATATTACCCTGTCATATGAATCTGTCGTTATATGTCGGTGTAATGGTACGATATGGGGTTCCGCTACGGAGGAGGCCCTCAAAATTATTGCGTTGATCTACCGTACCACCTTACTATATTAGGAAAGGCCTATGAGTGTTGGTATTATATCCATTCAACCCCTATATCTTATCACGACCTTCTTGATACTAATTGCCACCCACACATGCTATAATCTGCCGGATATGCCAAGGTATACCCTCTATCCAGGCCTAAATTTGCTCCCGAGGAAGCTCATCCCACGCTGATTTCCATATAATATAAGCTTCTGCCTTATTTTTGGTGCATCCTTTCTTGTAGTACGTCACTTTAACCCAAACCAAGTAGGTTCAATCGCATTTAAATCAGGCGAATTCGGGCACCAAAGTAGGCGCTATACGTTACAAATACTGTAAATTCGCTTTTTAAACTAATGTGCATGCGATAGTGCGTTAAAAAATCGTATTCGGATGATTAATAGCATATTATTTCGTAAAAGATAGCAATTTTCGTATTAAAATATGCTTTTAGTATCGCTATTAGTTAATTCTACACCGTGAAGTTCGAGATAGTTTACCGGTTTATTGATTAAACCGCCATTAACGTTAACGACCTAGTGTTTAACAAAGATGTAAGCGTCGTATACTATTCGTGATCTTTTTTTCCTAATGAGGTTTAGGCTCTAAGAACGTTTTCAATTTGTTCATAGCTTTCTCGGCTTCGCGTTTCTTAGAAGTAGTCTTGGGTATCTAGTAGTGACAAAATCCTTTTTTATCATAAGTAAAATGGCCTTAAAACATAAACTCCAAAGCCCCTTTCGAGCGCTTACGGATATAATATCGAGATTAAGCTTCACTCGGAGTTCGCTAAATTCAATATCCACCTCGTCGATAAAGCAAAATAACGGAAGCTTTGTCTGACTAAATGTTATTTTCGCAGTCTTTAATTGTCTAGTTTTAACGTTCTAAAGCCCATTCGAGACGAGCCCCGTCATCGCTAGTGTCAATCTAGACTTCCGAGTCAGTATGGTCTTCTGAAAACCATTTTTTTCAGAAATCGGCAAAGGGTTTCGGCAGATATATCGATCCTAAGCTTGCTAAGATCACCAGCAAGATCAGCATAGGATTTCTCCCGTCCATAACGATCTGATCGAACCTTCGAAATAATGATTTCTTGCCTAGGGGTATCTTGTTTTGCAGGTCTTCCGGGTCGAGGTTTATCTTCAATATAACGATCATGAATCAGAGGATCTTCGTGTGGGTTGAAACCCCTTTCGATAGCTCGCGCGTATATACGGTTCACAGAGCTGATAGACAGACCTTTTAGGTTGGCAATCTCACTACTTGATTTAGTAGTAAAAGCCCTAAGTGTCACGACCTGCGCGCGAATTGCCATTTCGGTTTGCATATTGGTAGGTTGGTAGGGAGGGATATAGAAAGAAGAACAGGAAGGTGAGGGGCTGTGTGATCTGTTTCATCGTGTTCGGTAGTATTCGCTCTCTAATTATTACCGCTAGTAAAGTCGGCCGACGTAATACTTTTAAAGGCCTCCGTATGTAAAGGAGAACTTCGTTTTGTGATTGAATACTGAACTGAATAAAAGAGCTATACTTGAGAAAACAAAAGTTAATCACATCGAACATATCAATAAACTCTCTGTATTTTTATTTCATTACAAAAAACTCCACCACCGAGCCAGCAAATATCATGACACATTGACATGTGTGCTAGCTGAGGCGACAGCATGAGAGAGAGCCGCAAGGGATGAACTCTGCATAATATTGAAAATGGAAATTTCCGCACCAGCTTGCACAGCCAGCATATTCCGCAATCCAACAGCCACGAGAGAGTCTACGCCAAAGTCTGCCATAGACTTAGAGTCGACAACTTCCTCCATGGGGATCATGAATATATCCGCCAATTTATTGACTAGTGCGTGCAGAACAATCCCGGAAGCTTCTTCCAGTGATGACGCACAAGAAAGCTGACCAGCAAGGCCCTCAGACTGCGTGACAGGCTTTGAGATATTGCTACCAATGTTGGCTGGTTTTATATACCGGAGAGCATCAAAGCGCGCGTCACCACCTAAGATCGTGTCATGGCGCTCAGATGGGGCGGTGTTGATACCGACCATAATCTGGGGGGATGGATAGAGAATGGCCGACTCAAAGGCCGACAATATCTCGTCCTCACCGAGAAGTCTAAACCCCATTTTTTCCAGCCTGTCGTAGATTGATTTGTTTGATGCGACATAGCCCACATTCTTGACGGCTCCGATATCTAAAGATACCCCTGGAAGCCCCTTGCTCACACGGTATCTGGCAAGCGCATCTTGGAAGGCGCCTCCACCTGTATAGTTGGACTGGCTTGGGTTGCCGATAACGCCGGCCAAAGAGGAGAGTAAAATGAAAAACTCCAAATCGCCGTGGATGTGCTGATGAAGGTTCCATGTCCCCTGAACTTTGGGAAACATGGCAGAATTGTAATCATCCATGCTCATGTTTTCAAGAATAGAATCCTGGAGGACCATGGCGGCCTGGACAACTCCGCGTATTGGGGGAACATCCCCAACACATTCGTCCAGGGCGATGACCAATTCGGATTCTTTTGATATATCACACCCGACCAGTTTGATTTTCGAACCAGGATGCGACTTTTCGAGCTCTGCGACAAAGGTTGTTGTGCTCGCTCCGGTAGTAGCACTCCGGGACATCAGAATTAGACTTTTGGCACCATGCGCTAGTAGCCACTCCGCGATAGATTTTCCAATACCACCAACGCCACCAGCAATCAGGTACGAAGCGTCTGGTCGGAGTTTTACAGAAGGCGTAAGGGGGATATACTACGTTTCGTTAGCGTCTGATGTGAGATACAAAGAACACGAACTTATTGTACTTACCGGGACCACGCAATCATCAACGGACAAAATAATTTTGCCCATATGCTTACCCACCTGCATGAGACGAAATGCCTTTTCAACATCAGAAAGGGGGAGAGCCATAATAGGGTCGACAGGATGAATCAATCCCTGTTCTAGAAGCTTGGAAACACTAGTCAAAGTGCGGTGGATGATTGGGCTCCCTAGCCTGACTAATGCGAGGATATCAATTGAAGAGAACGATGTGACACGAGTGAAAGGCGCCATTTCCAGGTAGTTGTTATTCTCCGAATCAAACTTTCCGATCTCGACGAAATGCCCGAACGGAGCGAGGCAGTTGAAGCTTTCCTGTAGAAGTTTGCCTGATAAACAATTAAGCACGACATTGACGCCTTGTCCACCCGTGATTGACATCAACTTGGAACCAAACGTTCGGTCACGACTGGAAAAGACATGGTCTTCCGATACACCAAATTTGGATGTGATGAACTTGCGTTTCTCTGAAGAACCAGCAGTTGCAAATATCTCAGCCCCAAGATGCTGAGCAAGCATGATTGCAGCCTGTCCAACGCCACCGGTTGCTGCATGGATCAAAATGGATTGCCCTTTGTAGAGTTTTGCTGTGTCATATAAAGAGATGTATGCCGTGGTGAATACCATGGGTATTGACGCAGCCTTCACAAAGTCGAACTGGGACATGGGACAAGCAACAATCCAGGGAACTTGAATACGATTCTGGTATTTGCCATCAACTAGTGCGATGACATGGCATCCAACGGAGAAACCGTGGGACGCAGCACCAGTTCCTACACGAGTGATGACACCGGAGCATTCTAAGCCCATGACTGTCTCGTTGAGCTGCCCCATGGCGGCCATCACGTCCCGAAAATTTAGGCCAAATGCCCTGGGTTCAATTTCAATATATTCTGGATCCATGGAGGTATCATATTCCAAAATCTCCTTGTAAGTCAATGTCTCCAAGAGGCCGGAAGACTTGACGTCCAGCTTCAGGATTCTGTCGCTCATTGCACCTCGTTCAATAAAAGAACCTGAAACTATCTTCGAAGGGAAATTAGAGCCTGCTGATATGAAATAATTTCTTTCAAAGTCCTTAACGAGTCTGGGAATAAGTATTGTGCCATCGCGCTCTGCAAATTCAAATTCACGATCGAAGCTATTGGTGATTGTGCTCCCCATAACACAGGCAAGAATTTTGGAAATGGCGTTAGCCTGCTGGGGACCTGGGGCAGGTGGCTGAGGGTCCAGATCGAGAGAAATATACTTATTCTGGGTGTTTTCAAGACGAAGGGTACGAAGAAACCCGGAGCTGATTGCCTGTTGAGGCGTTTTGCAATCAATTGATCCGCCACGAGTGACCCAAAGTAGGCCTTTGCAGCGAAGAACGAGGCTTACAATGGCCCGGAACTCCGCTGCCGAAGGTTTCAGTAGCATTGACTGGTCGATGTCACCGAGGAAAATGCAAAACTTACCAGTGGCATCGACAGACTCAATTGATTCGACACTGATTAAACTTCCATCGGTGACAGTAGCAACGGAATCCTGCAGCGTCTTCATCCATGTGCTATAGCAGAACAAAGAGATTGTGTTCGTGACTAGAGCAATCGGATGAGGTGTTGAAGTTTCGAGTTGATCGGGGATGGCGGTAGACATGATGACGCTGAAAGTATAAACATCCTCACGTTCACAGTCATGGATGTCTAGATCACAGCCACTGAATCCAGTGCTCTTCAGCACCTTATCCCACAAAGATACCGAAAGGATTGGACTCGTTTCCCGCTCGTCCTCGCCTAGGAACTGGGTTAGTTAAGACTTGGCTGCATGGGGAGTAGGAGAAATACTGAGCCACCAACCCGGCAAAAGCCCAAACACGAATTGCATGTCCATCTGATCTTTCGTACTCTCCATGAGTAATAGTTTCCCACCAGGCTTCAATAAGCTACGCACATTCCTCATCGTTGATCTCATAGTCTTAGTTGCATGCAGTACTTGACCCGCAACGATAATATCGTAGCTACCGCATTCAAAGCCTTGTTGTGCAGGGTCAAGTTCAATGTCCAACTTCCGGTAAGTCATAATATCACTCCAGTCCCCATATTGATCCTGAGATTCCGCAAAGAACCCCGAAGAAATATCTGTAAAATGATATTCGGATGCAAATGGGCCCCAACCGCATTTTCTGCCATTCCCAATGACCTCTAGCAGTGATTGGGTTGTGCCACCGGTACCAGCACCAATCTCAAGAATCTTAGCTCGAGGATTTTTGTGAATAAGATGTTTCGCAAGTTTGGCAAGCTGAATATTGCATCGTGAAAACTTGAGAGCCCCCCGATAATATTTGTGCAGTAATTTTCCCTCCATCAAAAGTTCCAGAGGAGTAGCCTTCTGCGTCAGGATTGAGAGTAAATGTGTCCCCAAGTGACAAACAGCTTCGCCATTGACGCTAGACAAGCCAACAATATCAAAGAGGTGTCTTTTCTCTTCCTCGTTATCTTTGATCCACTCTGAGCTGGAAGCTGCCAGCTCGTCATCGAGAGCTAAATTTACTTGAAGCTTCATCCAAGTATAAAATTTTTTATGGTGCCATTCTAGCCGCTGTATGTCCGCCAAAGTCAAGGATGCTAGCGCATCATGGATGTAGTGAAAGCAAGCTCGCCTCAAATTGAGGATGGTTTGCTCCTCTCGTGTATCCAATGCAAAGCTGAGCTGCTTTGAGAGCACACCTGGGCTCATTAAAGATATGTCGGGAGCCCAATTCAGTTTACTGCATATGTCACTGTTGTTTGGCCCTGGTTCTCGACAATGAGCTACCCCGAGAGACTGACAGAGAAATCCGTCCATAACCAGAACAGGCGGGTGCGAGTCATCAATCTCTTGCGAATCAAACATGGTTATTTTGGATTTGAATTGCCTGTAGTCGACATGTTCAATCTTAACGTAGGATTTGAATTGATGACCATGTTGAGAGCCAATCGTTCCAGATACCCATAAGCTTTTGATCCTCTTCGGTACTATTGAACTTTCCTGTTTCGAGTTGCTTCCAAGCAGTGCGCCATAAGCAGACACAAACACTGAGTCTAATGTGATCGGATGGAGAACATGTGTTTTTTGGTAGTGTTCCGGCATCATACATGCAACATTTGGAATAGACAAGACAACCACAGCTTGGCTTTGACCAACTTGCACAGATTCAATATTTTGGAATATTTTGCCATGATATATGGCGTTTGTTCTCAGTGATGAATATATATCTTCCGCGTCGACACATTTAAGATAACAAGGTCGAAGGGTAAGAGTGGAACATTTTTGGTGGGAAATTGGTTCACTATCAGCTAGGAATTCAACAAGGATGAGCCCTTTGCAATGCTCAGTCCACTTGTCTTCCGCTCCAACTGAATATACTTTGAATTCTCGCCAGCCCTGAACCCCTATAGCCTTCTCGCTCACAGACTGCAGACTCAGCTGAACTTCGACTCCTCTTGCTCCATCGGGAATGATGAGAGCGTGCATAATATCAACATCTCGAAGGCGATAGCCGTTTATATTCTGAGCGGATGTCGTGACTAGTTGACGAGCTGCTTCAATTGCCATGCAAATATAGCCAGCCCCAGGATATATCACATTCGATTGGACGGTGTGTTCCCGGACCCAGGGCATGTCCGAGAGTCGGATGGTGTGCCTCCAGGTAGGGGCAAGGAAATTGGTGCCATCAACAAGAGACCCAATAAGATCGTGATATCCGAACTGCTTCACTCGATGGGATTTGTTGGCTCGGCACTCATCCCAATGACGCATCTGATGATTCCACGGATAGGAGGGCAAGTCAGTTATAACGGAAAGATGGTCTTTGCCGGTAGGAAAATTGATGCCTTTGAGATTGACAGTAACTCCTTTACAGAGCAGCTGAGCCGCGAGCGCCTGCATAGTGTATACCGCATTATTATCACGGATCAAACAAGACAGGTACGATATGCTGGTTTTACAGAACTCAGGCATCAAAAGAATATCCCCAACAGGACCCGAAAGTGCGGCATGTGGACCAACCTCCACAGCAATATCAATCTCAGCCTCTCCACTAACAGGATTCAAGGCCATTTGACGAAAAGCATCAAGAAACAAGACTGGCTTTATCATGCTTTGAGCCCAGTGTTGGGGACTAGAGAGCTGAGTGGCATCTTTTACCCGCATGCCAGTGGTGGGTGATGCATAGATAATTGGCAGTAAAGCTTGATCTCCTGTTTCCATTCTTTCCTGCATACTCTGCATATATGGTTCGTACAATGGTTGCATATGATGAGAATGGAATGCAGTACGAACACGGAGACGGCGAGCAAATATGCCTTGACCCTTGAGGAGGACTTCAAGCTGTTCGATTGCAGTGATGTCGCCAGATACCGTGACGCTCGACGGGCTATTGATGCAAGCGATCTTAGCCTCGCCCACATTGGAAATTTTCAGGTAATCGTTAATCGCGCTAATATCTAGACCGACCGCAATCATTCCCCCGTCCATTTCTATGAGCTCGGACCCAATCTCACAGCGACTGTAGCATGCTGCCATAGCTGATCGGTAGCTCAGAGCCCCTACCGCATAGGCTGCGGCAATTTCACCACTTGAGTGGCTGCAGACTGCAGTCGGAGTTATTCCCCACACGTCCAAGAGCCGCACGAGTGAAATTTGTACGGCAGTACAGACTGGCATGCCAAACAAAGTCTCAGCCACACGTGTGGTTTCTGCGTCGCGACAAAGCTCTTGCAAAAGTGACCACTTGCACCCAAACTCCTTGAGGTACTGTTCAGCTTCGAGGATGGAGGATTTGAACACGGGATATGTATCAAGAAGCTCCCTTCCCATAGCGTGCCATTGAGCACCCTGGCCTGTAAAAATGAATCCGATCCTTGGTCGATTACCGGCCCGTGTTGCAACCAGCTTCTCATTACCGAAAGCCGCGCCAAGCTCCGAAATTGACGAGGCTTGGTAAACAGAGGCCCAAGAAAAGCGAGAGCGGCGCTCACCGAGCGTAAAGGCAAGATTGTTGAGAAACTCAGCTTCTTTCTCGGCATCTGGATTGTGTTTCCGAAGGTAGGCTTCCATGTTAGATGCCATTGTTCTGCAGCTGTTCTCATCTTTTGCACTTAAAATGAATAGCTGCGGTGGAATCATGCCAACTTGGTCTCTGTTGACAATCCTGTTCATAGTCCTTCTAGAAAATATTGAGCTTTTTAGTGTCCAATCTTCCATAATGACATGTGCGTTTGCTCCACCATATCCGAAGTTGTTTACAGATGCCCTTCGCGTCCCATCACGGCCAACTGGCCAACTTGTGCATTGAACAGGAACTTTCAAATTCCATTTATCCAATGTGAGCCGCTCATTGGGTTCCTCAAAATTAATGCTGGGAGGTATGATCTTGCGTTCTAGCGCTAATGTGACTTTGATCACACTTGCGAGGCCACTTGTAGGTTCTGTATGACCAAGGTTTGTCTTGACAGACCCAATGTATAGTGGCCTTTTGCATGATCGGCCTTCGCGAAACACGCTTGCAATCGCGCTGACTTCGATTGGATCTCCAGTCGGTGTACCTGTTCCATGGGCTTCAAAATACTGTGTGCAAGAAGGGTCGATATCGGCCTTCTCATAACATTCACGGATTAGCTGTTCTTGGGCATGACGACTGGGTGATGTGATAGTCTCTGTCTTGCCGTCTTGATTAAGATGCGTGTCCCGGATCACCGCGCGGATTGGGTCTCCAGACTTGACAGCATCCTCCAGTCTTTTAAGAACAATCGCCGCCACGCCTTCTCCCCGTCCGTAGCCATTTGCTCGGCTGTCAAAGGAATACCTATACACAAGCAAAGTTAGGTTGGAATATCGTAGATATAAGTCACACTCACGATTTGCCGTCTTTCGAAAGCATCCTAATATCCATTTGTCAGCTTATGCCAGGAGCCCGGAACAGATAAGACTCACCCCAAAGTAGAGATTGAGACAAAGTAATCCGGGTTGATCAACAGGTTAGACCCTCCCACAATAGACATATCTGCATCACCACCTCGAAGACCCTGGCATGCTTGGTGCAGCGCGGTGAGAGTAGTGCTGCAGCCTGTGTCAATAGTCATGCTTGGCCCAAGAAGATCAAAAAAGTGCGAGATACGGTTTGATGCCATAGCAGCCCCATTCCCTGTCATCAAAAACCGTGGCAAGTTCTCCGCATCTCGCATGTGACCATCCTGATAGTCATGAAAAAATGCCCCGGAGAAAACGGACGTTTTTGTTTTCGCAATCCGGTCCAAAGGCATGCCAGCTATTCCAATTCCTTCATTAACAACAAATGCGAGATCTTGGTTAAGTGTACTTGCCATTTTCTAATGCCTCATATACAGCTTCGAGCAACAGTCGGTATTGTGGATCCATTGTCTGATTGTTGTTAAAACATTTCTTCTGTTTTAGCCAATAGGACACTCTTACCGAAGCAGTTTCGGCCGAGAGACCGAAGAAATTTGCGTCAAAGAGGCCCAAGTTCTGTTTGAGAAAATGACCACCTCGAACGTTTGTCTAAAATAAAGCCGTATTTCGTCAACGAATGAATTTCGACCAAGAATGCACGAATTCACTAGCCAGGGAGGGTGAGTTACTGTGCTGATGTTCTCATGGTTGGGATGATACCATCCATCCAGATTGAATCGAGAAGATGGGATTTCGCTCCAAGCACTCTCTCCATGTTCTAACATCTCCCATAGCTTCTCTGGACTGGTGGCATTGCCCGCAAACCTGCAGCCCATGCCAACTATTGCAATGGGCATACCGTTAGGCTGTGTTTCAGGCATGATAGATAGTTTTCGACACTTTGACACGAATTTTTCGGCGAGAAAAACGTCCTCGATGGGATCCAGCCTTTTCTTGTGCTAGTTGTCCGAATTTATCTTTTTGCTTGTTTATGTGCGTGGGCCTGGATTTGAGGGACGCTCCCCAAATAGAGATTGTCCACCTGGGAAGTTTTAATTTTGAACTCAGCCATAAAGTCACACGGTTGCTTTGGTTGCTATTATCGGAGAGGGTATCTAATGTGCTAGTACCACCACATTGACGTTAATTTTGCCTTGCGATTTGATCTACGGGGCCAAAGAGCTTGGCAAATCAATAGATACTCCGGCCGTGATGCAACCACGGAAAGAAACCACGCATTGAAACCAACCACAACTCATCACAAAGATGGCTCTTTCAATAATGGATCAGTATATGGTTTAGACCTGTCCACGGGGAATGAAAACTCCAGGTCATCTCCCTCTCCGGGGTATATTGATACACCCGAGGTTAGTGTGACATTCATGAACCAGGGACCACGATGTAGCGGGATATAGGGGGATATTAGACGATAAGCTTGTTCGACAGGCAGAAACCCGCCGCAGCACTGGGCGCGATCCTCCGAATTTCCACGCGTGCCCATGCGTGTATGTATCTTTATGCCTTCTAAGCGCTATCCGTACATTAGCACGTTATAGGTGTGTCGTGACAAAAGCATAAAAAGTGCAGATTACGACATTTTCAACGAGTTATTTGAATCAGCCGGAATCTGTATACCAGAAATAGTCAGGTGTTCCGTTCAATTTGCATTGAGTCGCAACATCTGACTCCATTGACATCATGTATCAAGAAGCTCCACAAAACATCTTAATATTTGGACCCCAAGCCCTTGCTTTCAATCAAGAATCATTTTGGAAGCTCCAGGCCAGCATTGCAAATTCAATGCAACTCGGTTGGGTCAACCATGTCGTTGCAGAGCTTCCAGATCGGTTCAATGACCTTAGCAACGGTATCTCTCGGCTTAAGGTCGTGCCTGGTGCTTCGTTGTTAAAAGCATTGAGTCAACAGATTGGAACTGGCGATCTGGCCAGTATAACAGAAGCAACCCATCTGCCAAACATTGTTTTGACTCCGCTTTGTGTCATTTCCCACCTGGTATCCTACACGGAATATCTCGAACTAAGGCACAATGAGTCAGGATGGGATGCATGGAAGAAGACGAAGGACACCGATGTCGTGGGCTTTTGCACTGGTATCTTGACAGCTTTGGTCGTCTCCCTTAGTGATGATCTAGAAAGTTTCAAGAAACACGGAGCTACCGCCATTCGACTTGCCATGATGATTGGGGCTGTGGTAGATGCGGAAGACGTGATGAACGGCAGTTCGGTGTCACTTTCTGCTGCTTGGAGAACACGGGAAGGTTTAACCAATTTGGAGAAAATTATTCGGGAAAGCCATGGTGTGAGTGATCCTGGAGATTAATGCAATTTTCAACAAGTGGCTAACAAGTGGTTGGGCCTAGACCTATATATCTGTTCATTTTGATGAGAATAGGGCCACTGTGACAGCCCCGAGGGCAATTCTTTCCGAACTGATGGACAGTCTTGGATCTGCCGGCATCTCGGCGGCGGAAATTGGGCTTTTTGGGTGTTTCCATGCCGAATTTCACCGGACTGTTCTGCCTTCGTTGGGCCGTTTTTGTGAATCCAATCCCGAGTTTGATCTTCCGGAGGCATCTCATCTCCGACTGCGTTGTCTGGCGGATGTGGACCCCCAGGGATGCGAAATCACCACAGGCAAGCTATCCGCTATCGCTTTAGAGGCCATACTAGTCAAGCGATCGGAATGGTGGAGAGCGTTTATGTCTCTCTACGCTATTAGTCAAGGACAAACTACATTTCATGTTCTTGGCCAAGAGAAATGCGTACCGCCGTCACTCGCTCATGGCTTAAATGCAGACTCCCGCCTCATACATCTCGCGGATTTCACATCTCAAATAGATCGTTTTTCTTTGTGGCCAACCACAGCAATGTCATTTTCATTTTCTGTTGTTGGAATGGCGTGCAAGGTCACCGGGGCTGATGATGTGGACGAGTTTTGGGATATTATTTGTGAGGGGCAGTCGCAGCACGCTGAAGTACCGGAGTCTCGTTTCAGTTTTGAGACGGAATTTCGCGATTTTGATCCACGCAGGAAATGGTATGGCAACTTCATTCAATGCCAAGATTCTTTTGACCACAAATTTTTCAAGAAAACACCCCGAGGGGCAGCTTCAATGGATCCACAACAAAGGTTGCTCTTGGAGGTCGCCTACCAAGCCCTTGCGCAGTCGGGATATTTCCAAAAGCCTGTTTCATCGTTAGATGTCGGGTGCTATATTGGGACTTGCGCTGTTGACTATGAGTACAATGCGGCTTGCCACGCCCCAAATGCGTTCTCGTCTACTGGAAATCTTCGGGGATTCATAGCAGGCAAAGTCAGCCACTATTTCGGGTGGACCGGTCCGGGTCTGACCCTAGACACCGCATGCTCAGGCGCTGCAGTTGCCGTGCACCAAGCTTGCAAGGCCATTCTAAGTGGTGAATGTAGAAGTGCACTTGCTGGTGGCGTAAATATCATCACGCAGCCATTGTCATACCAAAACCTCGCTGCCGCCTCGTTTCTGAGTCAAACGGGCCAATGCAAGCCATTTTGTGCAAGCGCAGCTGGGTACTGTCGTGGGGAGGGCATTGGCGCAGTGTTTCTCAAAAAGAAATCAGTAGCTATAGCTGACGGGGACCAGATATTTGGCGTGATCTCCGGCACAGCGGTCCGTCAAAATCAGAATTGCACACCCATATTTGTTCCGAACGCCCCGTCGTTGTCGGAGCTTTTTCGGGATGTTCTTTGTCAGGCCCAAATAGAAGCCGAGCAAATTTCTTACGTGGAAGCCCATGGAACTGGTACACAAGTGGGAGACCCCGCAGAGTATGAAAGCGTTAGCGAAGTTTTTGCCGTCAAGCGGGCGCATCCGGTCCAATTAGGCTCGGTCAAAGGCCTTGTTGGTCATACTGAAAGTACTTCTGGTCTCCTGTCGCTAGTCAAGGTACTTCTCATGATGCATTATAGCACAATCCCTCCCCAACCAAGCTTCCGAACCTTGAATACTCAAATTGAATCGCATGATTTGGTGGAGATTCCAGTTTCATTGAAGCCCTGGGACAATCCATTCAAAGCTGCACTCATCAATAGCTATGGCGCTTCGGGGTCAAATGCGTCGATGATCGTAAAATGCCCGCCTGTCCTTAAAGCGGCTGTCAGTCGGGCCGCGGAAGAGTTTTCATATCCATTCCGGCTTTCGGCATTGGATGACAAAAGCCTTCGGGCTTATAGCGACAGGCTGGGGAGCTTCTTGAGTTCAAGGGATTGCGACAAAAAACCCAATTTCATACAAAGCTTGTCATTCAATGTCTGCCGGCAATCGAATCCACAACTCCCCAGAGTTATTTTCATCAGTTGCTCAACGGTTGATGAGTTGCGGGAAAGTCTGGAGCAGCTAATATGCAGCGAAAAGATACTGTCACCACCAGTGGTACTGTGCTTTGGAGGTCAGACATCCACGTTCGTGGGCCTTGACCGCGACATAGTCGAGAGAACGACTATATTACGCTCTCATTTGGATGCTTGCGATATGACCTCGAGGTCATTGGGATTTGGCAGCATTTACCCTGATATCTTTCAGAAGACGCCAATAGAAGACATTGTCAACCTTCAGCTGTGTTTATTCTCTTTACAGTATGCTTCAGCGATGAGCTGGATCAGCTGCGGCCTTCAGCCTTCAGCCTTCAGCTTTGGTCGGTCATAGCTTTGGTGAGCTTACTGCGTTATGTGTATCCAAGGCTTTGAGCCTCCATGATGCAATGAGAATGATCGAAGGTCGTGCGAGAGTTGTCAGACATCAGTGGGGCCCTGACAAAGGCTCTATGATGGCAGTGGAGGGGGACCTCGAGCAAGTGGAAGCCTTAATTTCAACAAGTGCCACAGCCGGATATCCAGTAACCATCGCTTGCTTTAACGGACCGAAGAGCTTTACCCTAGCAGGGACGTCTGAATCGATTAATAATGCGATCGAACTCATTCTTAATGACAACTTACATAGCTCAATCCGTGGGAAGAAACTCAATGTCACGAATGCGTTTCACTCTACCCTTGTAGACGGGTTGAAGCCGGAACTCGACAGAATGGCATGCAAGTTGGATTTCAGCGAGCCGGTGATACCAATAGAGTTTGGCTTAAAGGATGAGCGTAAAGAAAGGCTGAGCCCCCAGTTCGTCGCTCGTCATATGAGAAACCCGGTGTACTTCCATCACGCCATCAAAAGGCTATCGGGCAGACTTCACTCATGTGTCTGGCTTGAAGCAGGGTCTAATTCAACGGTCACCCAAATGGCTAGCAGGGCGCTGAGTGGATGCAAACTGAGCTCTCACGTTTTTGTTCCCGTAAACATAACGACCGACGGTTCTACGACTAATCTCGCATCCACAACTTTGGATCTTTGGAAAGCTGGCCTCGATCTCACATTTTGGCAGCACCATTCATCACAGACAAACCAATATGCCACTCCGATCTTACCGCCATATCAATTTGAAAGGTCAAAGCACTGGATGGAACTGAGGGTACCATCGAAAGTCCAAGCACCCGCTGCGAAGTCTGTGAAAGAAAAGAGGCTCTGGGAGTTTGAGTCATACCAGGATCTTGAACATCGCTCAGTTCGTTTTCGAGTGCTCAGCGAGTCAGAACAATACAAATCAATTGTGTCATGCCATCTCATTGCTCAAACAGCACCAATCTGTCCAGCAACATTAGAAGTTGATATTGCGATTGACGCCCTTATGAGTGTGCATCCTGAGCTTCATAGCAACGCGTTGCAGCCACAGATTTTGAATGTCGATAATCACGCTCCAATTTGCTTCGACACCTCGCGGGTTGTGTGGCTAGATGTAATGGCAAATGATACCGGCGTAACGCCAGGTCGTACATGGCGCTGGAAGATCACAAGCGAAATTCGCCCCAAAGATGCAACAGCGATGGTACACGTAACTGGGCAAATCGTGTTTCATTCCGTGGATGATCGAAGTTTACAGAACGAGTTCACTCGGTACGAACGATTGGTCAGTTATCAACGTTGTGTCAATGTGCTCGATGGCAATGATCCTGTGGATGAAATAGTCGAAGGTCCGAGCATCTACAAAATATTCGATGAGGTTGTTCAGTATGGGGGGCGATTCCAAGGGCTGAAAAGATTAGTAGGGAGGGAGTCAACAAATGAGTCTGCAGGACGAGTGGTCAAGAAATACACAAAAAAAACCTGGCTTGATGCAGATCTTTCAGATTGTTTTAGTCAAGTGGGTGGGATTTGGGTGAATTGTATGGCTGGAAAAGCGCCCGGCCAAATGTATGTCGCGAATGGGTTCGAAAAATGGGTGCGTTCTCCAAAGCTTCTGAACAATACCTTACGGCCAGAAACCTGGGACATTCCTGCGTGTCATCAGAGGCGTGGGGATGAAGCTTTCTTGACGGACATATTCATTTTTGACCCCAGGAATGGGAAATTGGCCGAAATGATACTGGGTATCAACTTCGCCAGAGTGTCCAAAATATCAATCAGCAAATTGATAGCTCGACTTACGACCGACATCGAAGCTATTCCTTTGGCAGATCCAAAACAAGGCAGTGTGGTCTCTGCTGGTAGGATCGATGAGGGCATTTCAGCAAAGGAAGAAGCGGCATCCGGAATTTCGAAAGCCGATGTGTCATCGAAGATACGCCTTATTCTTGCAGATCTGTCTGGACTAGATACCTGCGAGATCAAAGACGATTCACACCTTGCGGATATTGGTATCGACTCGCTTATGGGAATGGAGCTTGCACGCGAGCTAGAAGGGGCCTTTGACTGCACCGTCTCGACGGATGCTCTGATTGAAGTATTCAGCTTTGAAGGCCTTGTCCAGTGTATCCGACAAATACTGGGACTGAGTATCAGTATCAGCGATGGCTCAGATGCCAATGGATCTTCAACAATTGCCGCCGATACCCCACAGACCTCGTTAGAAGAGCTCCCGTGTGACACGCCCACGCCGAAAGTCCCACTGATTGAGGCTATGCCGCAGGCACCAATCGACGTAGCAAGCAAGCCTTTGTCAAATGCAAATGCGAAGATCTGTCTCGGACTTCCTTCGTCAGCAATACTCGACGCGTTCGCCGAATGCAAAGCACTCACAGATAATTTCATAGAAGAACATAATTGCAAGCATTACTTGAAGCTGGTCATGCCGATGCAAACCGAGCTTTGCATTGCGCTTACACTGGAAGCATTCGCAGAACTGGGGTGTGATTTGAGACAGGCAATGCCAGGACAAAGTCTCAAGCGTATCCATCACATCCCATCATTGAAACGTCTTGTTGATTATCTTTATGACATGCTTGAAAAAGAGTGCCACATAATCAAGCTCGAGGGTACCCAGATTCTGCGCACTTCAGTCGCAGCGCCCACATCCTCGAGTGCTGATGCACTGCAGGCTCTAATGCACACCGCTCCCGACCATCAGTATCCCCACATGTTGACATACTTTGCCGGGTCAAGGTTGACCAAAGTATTGTCTGGAAAGTCCGATGGAATCAAGATCATATTTGAGACAGACGAAGGGCGGCAACTCGCCTCCGGTCTCTATGCTGATTCGCCTCTCAATAAACTGTCGTACATGCAAATGCAAGATTTTATCAAACGACTTGTTTCAAAGCTACCAGAATCGAATGGGCCGTTGAAGATCCTTGAACTTGGAGCCGGAACTGGAGGAACCACCAAGTGGATTGTTTCTCTCCTGGCTGACTTGAGAATTCCAGTCGAGTACATCTTTAGTGACCTCTCGCCTTCATTTGTCACTGCGGCGAGAAAAAGCTTCGGGAAGCAGTATCCGTTCATGCGCTTCAGGACAGTTGACGTGGAGAAGAATCCCGCCGATGATCTCATCAGTAGTCAACATATGGTGTTGGCCAGCAATGCTGTCCATGCGACTCATAGTTTGACCAAATCACTGAGGAACATTAGACGGACGCTGCAACCCGATGGGTTTATTATGATTCTGGAGATGACAAGGACAATTTATTGGGTAGATATGATTTTTGGCCTGTTAGAAGGATGGTGGCTCTTCGATGATGGGCGTCGCCATGCGATTGCCCACCAGTCCCGATGGCGTAATGATCTTCACTCGGTTGGGTATAGCCATATTGACTGGACAGACGGCATTCACCCAGAGACGACGATCCAACGCGTTTTTCTGGCTCTTGGTGGAAAAAAAAGCACTGAAATGTGTCCTACATCAGAGCTTCAAGCTCGCGAGGCAATGATTGATGCTTATGTGGAAAATTACACGGAAAGTTTCTCAGTTCCAACTTTTCCCTTGGGATGCTCTGTTCATAGGAGCAAGAGCAATTTTTGCATCCTAGTGACTGGGGCAACTGGTAGCCTCGGCTCACACATAGTGGACCATCTATCTCAATTACCACAAGTCAGAACGGTCGTCTGCTTGAACCGGACAAGTTCAATGGATCCACATGAGCGCCAGGTACAAGCCTTGCAGTCGAGAGGCATTGAAACAACCGACCTGTCAAAATTGGAGGTTATTGGAACGGATCCAGTGAAGCCGATGCTTGGATTAGAAAGACATCAATATAATGATATCGCGTCAAAAGTCACGCATATTGTGCACAATGCATGGCCGATGAGTGGCAAGCGGCCGCTAAAAGGGTTCGAGGCCCAATTCAAATTTATGCGTAATCTACTTGATATTGCCAGCGCAGCCGCTTCCGTGCAAATGTCAGTGATTGGCTTTCAGTTCGTATCCTCAATTGCGGTTGTTGGCCATTGTCCGACCATGACTGGCAAGAGCGTGGTATCGGAAGAGAGGGTGGAGACAGCCGAAGCAGTTCTTCCCAATGGTTATGGCGATGCAAAGTGGACATGTGAACGTATGCTTGATGAGACCTTGCATAGATATCCGCAAATTTTCCGCGCCATGACGGTTCGCCCAGGCCAGATCGCTGGCTCCAGAACGAGCGGGTATTGGAACCATATGGAACACTTCACATTTATTGTTCAGTCTTCACAGACCCTCGGGGCGTTCCCAGGGTTCGATGGCATAATGTCCTGGACCCCGGTCAACGATGTAGCTGCTTCTTTGGGCGATCTTCTTCTCCATGACATCACCGCATCCTACCCAATATACCATATTGACAACCCTGTGCGACAGCCGTGGAGCGAGATTATACCGGTATTGGCAGATGCTATCGGTGCAGAAGTGACTTCCTTCCAGGACTGGTTGGAGCGAGTTCGTTCCTCCTCCTCAGTTGCGTCTGAAAATCCCGCAGTGAAGCTCATCGACTTCTTCGATCAAGATTATGCTCGCATGTCATGTGGTGGTTTGCTTCTGGACACAAGTAGGGCTTGTCAGCATTCTGAATCGCTGAGGACCGTGGGACCGGTGAGCTCAGATCTTGCTCGTAAATATATCGCGTCATGGAAATTAGCTGGCGTTTTAAAGCATAGTTTTGTCGCGGGTGCAGTGGGTATTGGGACGCGTCAGGGCGTTCAATGTGATCATCTCTCCAAACTCAAGTCTTAGTCATAGGGTTTGAGCTGAAGCTTTGATTCAATACTCTGTGGTTCATGTTGATGAATTGGGGGTAGTTGGTCAGTTGATTAGTTAGTGAATGTTCACATGTTCTTTGTCGATCACTGCCAATAACGGACTATTCATGCCCTTGATATATGGCGCTTGATATATCAGTCACGTGGCTCATTCATATTTGAGTATCATATCGTCAATGCTGGTGCATATCTACATAATCGGTTTAGGATTGTTTATGGTTTTATTTTTCTGCACTATCTTTTCATGCTGAAAGCACTTAAGTGTCCCATACATACGCGTTTGTTGATTAGAACCTTGAAAGTAGAAAATGATCTTATTATTTAAGTAAAGAACAGAGCAGAAAGAGGCGGTGAATTGAACTAAAACTGTAAAAGACGACTTCCGATATATATTCGCGGACGAATGATTTGTTCTTTACTCAATTACATGAGTTTTAATTTCATCACTTCCTGTACCTCCTTAATCATGTAGTCAATATCATAATCCCAGATTAGGTGAGATCGCCGCTCAGCCTCACTGTGACACTTAATAGGATCCATATTGCATTCAGTCTGCCACTCAAACAACTCCCCCATGAATCGACTGCTTTCTACAAGCCACTGGGTTCGTTCGTACCGTACCGCCTCGTACGAGGAAAGCGCCGCGCAAAATGCTTCTTCTCTTTCGATCGGATCATGCTTTCTGCTCGTCATTCCAACTGCCTCTTCTAGCGCTACAGCTAGAGCGAGTACATCCTCGAACGCAAGTCCCGCGCCTGCTCCGTGATGTGGGGCAGCAGCATGAGCTGCATCTCCAACAAGACAAACTCGGCCTCGTTTAGAGATATAAGCCGGGGCTGGATTCTCGTGCAGATCAAAAATACCCCACTTGTCTAACTTGTCGTCTAACAAGTTCAATATCGCAGTGACAACGGGGCCAAAGTTGGTAAAATATTCAAAAACTTCGCGTTTCGTCGCCGGAAATGTGAGCTTTTCATGGCTAGGCCAGTCGCCTGCATCGGTGACAAATGCCACCACATTCAACATTGTGCACATAGCAACAGGATAGGTCAGTACGTGGCAACCAGCTCCCAGATGCATATATCGCGTCAAGGATTTGGTTTCCCCGATGGCCTGTATTGCCTTTTCCATTGGAATAACACCCCGAAACGCGAACTTATGTGTGTAAGATGGGCGAGTAGCTGGGTGATCGACACCTAATATATATTCTCGAGCGCGGGACCGAAGTCCGTCACAACCAAGCACCACATCTGCCTTTGACGTAGACCCATCGGCAAAGCAAAGCTCGACCTTGCCATTATTCCAGTCTGGTTCAATAATCTTTACTAGGTCTTTGTTGAATTCGATACGGTCGTCAGGTACCATCTTTGCCAGTGCGTCGAGAAAGTCGGTCCTGCGGCACCCCTCGAATCCCCTTTCTCCTAGATATATTTTGAACAATGGCTCTTCGCCGTCTCCATCTGGCGATTTATTGAATCCATCCACATATTGGAACCAGTCCTCAGTGTTAGGGGTCGCGAGTCTTTTGAAAGCCGCATGGATCCGCTGGTCCAACAATAACATTGCTCGTTCGGCATTTGGCGAGAGGCCGATTCCTGCTCCAATCTCACGGAACTCCGTGGCACGCTCATATACCTTGCAAGATATACTTTTTGAACGAATACCAAGCGCTGCGGTGATTCCCGCGATACCACCACCAATGATGGCTATCTCCAGGACCGTATCTGGTCGTTCCTCGCACTGGTCCATTTGTTGGTTGTCGAGGGATTCATAGTGAATTTTCAATTCATTGCATATATTTTGTAGGTAAGCTCATCCAATTGTCGCAAACACTGTTCTTCTTCAATAGAGTGGTCGGCCAACAGGCCCGGGGAATATTTTCGGACTTTCTATTCGGCCAGTTTGATACTCTCGTGACGTGACACATCTCGGTCAATAATAGCCACGGTCTACCCCAGAGGTGACCTGTGCGCAGGATTTGGAAACGGAACAATCCTTTCTTCCACAGGCCTTGGCTTCAGTTGACTCAAAAGCGCCACTCTACTGCAAAAATAGTTCACTAGCCAAACCTTTGCTCATTTATACAATCATTGGAGAGATAATGTCGATCTATCAGGATGTCATTGGGCAGTTACCAATTTTGAAGACATACAGTCATGGAACACTTGTTTTTGCGATTGACGAAGCCGCCCAGCGAGCAGACGTTGTCGTAGCCTTACAGGTAGCTATCGAAAAGCTTATTGAAAAATTTCCGTGGCTTGCCGGCGCTGTTATCAATAAAGGCAGCGGGCCTGGAAATTCTGGCACCTTCGAACTGATTCCTTGGCCGACAAGCGCGTCTTCGATCAATCGGGTCTTGTGTATCAGAGACCGCACAGATGCCATTCCGTCATTTGAAGAACTGATGGTCAAAAAGGCCCCGTGCTCCAAAATCGACGGGAAGCTTGTGACCTCACATCCAGGATTCCCGCAAAGCTATGAAGACTCTCCTGACAACCCAGCACCAGTACTTGCCATACAGGCCAGCTTCATCAAGGGTGGGCTCCTTTTGCATTTCTCGACTCAACATAATGCGATAGATGCAAGTGGTATGATGCAGGTCATCCAGTTGTTCTCGGTCGCGATGCAGGGAGTTGAGTTTAGCTCTTCTGCTATCAAGGAGGGCAATCGAGACCGATCCAGAGTGATACCGCTAATCGCATCCGGGGAGCCAATTAAGGATCACAGCCACCTACGACGCCCATTGGACCTTTCCCCACCGAAGCTTCCCGCGTCAACCAAATGGGCCTATTTTCTGATGGATGGGTCGGTAGTTCCTATAATTAAGGCTGCGGCGTCGCAAGGTGAAGGCTATGACCCATCTGTACCCTTCATTTCTAGCAATGACGCCATGACTGCCTTCTACTGGAAGTGCATCGCCAAGGTTCGAGCATGTAATGGCCGATCTTCAAATGCTGTCTCCAACTTGCTCCGGGCCATTGATGCCCGTAAAGCAATGGGTGTCTCGCATGAGTATATGGGTCACATGGTTTATCATGCTGCAACCAAAATGACATTGAGGGAACTTGACGAAACGCCCATTTCGGCCATTGCATGCAAATTGCGCACGGATCTCAACGATGTCAACAATAAATTCTCGGTTCGGAGCTACGCGACCTACATTGCTAACACGCCTGATAAGTCCCTTGTTATGTATGGAGGGTCGTACAATCCGGACATGGATATTGGTGCCTCTGCTGTAGCAAATGCTGATTTCTTCCATTCATTTGGCCTGATCGGCGCACCCAAATTCGCAAGGCGACCAAATCTGGCCCCAATCCCTGGATGTGTCTACTTTATGCCCTCTGAAGGCCAGCATGTGCCGGTTCTGGTTTGCTTGACAGATGATGACATGGAAGGGCTGAAGAAACATCCCGAATGGAGCAAATACACTGAATTTGTTGGGTAGGCACTGGGCCAAATCGCACAAATATACGGAGGTAGTCCGTGATCAAGCAATCAGAACACTTTCTGTCCAAGTTCTTCTTGATTTAATAACAAATAAATATCTTTGCCATGGATACTTAGTGGATGGGAAGCCAGAAAGACCATCGTGGCTTTCGTGTATCTGGTTGAGATGAGTTGATTTATAGCTATATCCATCAATCATCGCGACTGTAAGAGCATCCCATTCAACTCTATCCAGTCCTCATTGACATTTTCAGGCAATCCCATGGATCACTGATCAATTCCATTCTCTTCTGGATGTTGCTTGGTACGGAAGTGCCTACCAGCTAGCGAGGTATGCTCCCTCCTCCTTCAGATTGAATGAACTGACATTAATCCGACTAGTGCTTCATTCCAGCCTTTTACTGGAAGAGTTTACACGTATCTCAGTTTGAAGGTAATTGCTCACCTTTGCATCCGGTCCTCTTGGCACAGCTCATTGACAATGGCGATAGTGGACCTACCTTACATTTTTCTTGATTTTTGAACTGGGATCACTGCTGTGTGCTATTGCCAAATCTTCCAAAATGTTCATCATTGCACGTGCTGTTGCTGGGATTGGGTCGTCTGGCCTTCTAAATGGAGGTTTGACCATGATCTCAGCCGTTTTGCCTAAACACAAACGCCCAGGTATGGACTTGGTCGCATGAAATAACTGTTGAATCTGTTTACCAATTAATCATTCTGCGAACAGCTGCGATAGGAGGTCTGATGTCAAGTAAGTGATGCCATCCAATGATGGGCTACATTCAAGCAAGACTAATTCACCTCAGTTGTGCAGCTAGGTGTGGCTTGCGGTCCCCTCATTGGCGGAGCGCTCACTGAATATGTGACATGGCGATGGTGAGTATCAACTAAACCTTTCAAGGACTAGCCAACAGATAACATTCTATTTTGTGAACCATGACTTGACGAACTTTGAAAGGTGTTTCTATCTCAACCTTCCAATCGGTGGCCTCGTCCTTGTCACTCTAGCCTTTGTTGATATACCGGACAATACAAAAACCCTCACGGGGACAACACTCCGCACACTACTAACATCCTTCGATATCATCGGCTTCGTCCTCTTCGCACCGGCGATTATAATGTTCTTCCTTGCGCTCCAATACGGCGGGAATCAATATGCGTGGGACAGTGCAACTATAATCGGCCTTTTATGCAGTTTTGCCGTGTTGCTCTTTATTTGTTTGTGCTGGGAATATAGACGAGGTGATAATGCAATGATACCCTTCTCAATCATACGACAACGGATTGTGTGGTCGAGTTGCTTGAATACCTTTTTTATAACCGGTGCTTCCCTCTGTGGAGGATATTATCTGCCAATATTCTTCCAGGCCGTTGAGAACAACTCACCTATCAAGAGTGGTATCTACTACTTGCCAAATGTCTTGCCGCAATTCACAATGGCCATCGTGTCAGGTGCATTGGGTAAGCAACAATCCCTCGAGTTTGCGTAGTTTCGATGAAGCGTCTAATACATCTAGTTCAACGACTTGGCTATTACATCCCATTAGTGGTTACAGGAAACGCGTTAGCTTGCATCGGATACGGACTACTCTCGATGCTTACCCCAGACTACCCGATCGCAAAACGCGTGGGATTCCAGGTACTGGTGGGATTGGGCATTGGTACTTCAATCTCGATGGTGAGCCCTTTGTTTGTACCGCATTAACTTATCAATGGTGACTGACATGGAAAATATAGCCAATGGTTGCTATGCAGAACATCGTCTCCCACGATCAAATACCAGTCGCGATGGCTATTCTCGTTTTTAGCATGAACCTAGGCGCTTCTTGTTTCCTAGAGTTTAGTCTCACTGTCTTTGCCGAGGGATTGAAGCACAACATCCCCAAATATGCCCCTTCGGTTGATCCAAGATTGGTTATCCAGGCTGGCGCGACGAACTTCCGGAACTCCATTACCGAGGATACTATCCCGGGGGTTCTGAAAGCATATGCAGTCAGTATTTATCATATCTTCTACCATCTCACTGGGATAACTGCGCTCGCGTTTCTGTTTGGATGGTGTATGGGCTGGGAAGATATCCGAAAGAATCGTCCCAAGCCTGATGAGAACTCCACAAATGCTTGAAATGCTCGCTAGACTACATATGGGTGATTGAGCAGCAAAAGGCCTTGTTGGTGTACATTCTCCAACGATGCTTTATGGCGTGTTCTTCTACCATCTTTCGGGTATTTCTTAAATGTCTCTATTTTTATGGCGCTTTATGACTTGCTGTTCTATTTTCTGGGGTCTTTCTTGAACGTCTCAGTTTGATGGCGCCTGATGACTTGCTCTTCTATTTTTGTTGGGGTCTTTCGTGAACGTCTTTACGTTGATGATTCATGATTACGTGTTTTATTATCAGCTTTAGCTACTCATATCAGATATGATCAGTCAAACTGGAATGTCCGCAAGAAAGACGTAGTATTGCTGCGGTTGGATATATCTTATGTCCACGAAAGCGCAATCACGGTTACATAAGTATTTATAATATCTATCAGTTCTGCGCCATATATCACAAGAGTAATGCCGAAGTGTCTTTAGCGAGCTGCCCCTCAAAAGGCTCATTATAGTCTCACTGCTTGAGATATGGAATTATATAGCGCATTTCGTCCCTCAGAGCCACAAGATTGTATTCCTGTGTCCTGCTATACGTTAATTAATACAAGAGCCAAATTTGACCTCTAGCATTGACAAATTCATCCTTTCAAGATATTGTCTGTCTACACTTACTCTTTCTGTTTTAGTGTAACAACAATTTTCGTTGCACTGACCCCCTGTGTGAACATCTAGCGCCTCTTGCATATGTTCCAGCCCACAACCAACAACTTGAGCAATAGGTGCAGCGAAGTAGCCACCCCCAGCCAGTGCACCTGAGAGAAAGTTTTCATATATCGCCTTACCTATTTCATTGCGCCCAAGTTCAGCGCCTTCGACAAACTTTGTCTCGACCCCAACTTTGTCGCCCATTTTACGAATTGTTTTATTCCAGCCATCAACCCACTTCATATATCGCCAATACTCCGCATCATTTTGAGGATCCTCTTTGGGCCAAGGAAAGCTCGCCTTGGCAACCACCTTCCGACAGCCTTCCCCAAGCTGATCCAGCACGTGGATGCATAGCACGACAGACCCCGGTCCAATGGCAAAAGCACCGGCAACCGCCTTCTCCTTAAGTAATGCTACAATCTCCTCTTCCAGTGTCGGGCTGTTATAGTCAACAGTATACAAGGCTCCCAATTCGCGGACACGAGGGAAGTTGCGCGGTGAGCACGTGGTCACCACTCCATACCCGCTGGCCCGCGCAAGTTGAATAGCATTGTTGCCAACCGACGTTGCCCCACCCGTGATAAGAAGAAACAGTCCATTTGGACGGGCTGCTGGGAATTTCGGGTATTCCAGAGCAAGAAGGTGCCTTTGGTATAATGCACATGAAGCCGCCGAACAAGCCATGGGAATGACGCAGGCTTCTCTAAACGACAAGAAGTCAGGGATAGGTGATGCCATGTGTTCTCGCACTATGGTGTATAGCTGGAATGCAGCTTCCTCTGCGCGGTTTCCGTATGCATAGAACCCGACTGCGTGGGCAATGACTCGATCGCCAATCTTGAACCTAGTTACTTCATCGCCGATCTCGAAAACCTCGCCGGCGACATCCTCGCCCAGAATCCAAGGGTGTTTTATCCATTCCCACTTCTTATCGCCGACGAACTGCTTCGCCCAGTCCATTGGGTTGATCGCAACTGCAGCATTCTTTAGAACAATCTGCTTTGGACCCGGGGGCGTGTAGGGCGCGGGTTTCACCTCGAGAGGTCTATGGCCAGGCGCGACTAGCCATGCTGCTTCATTGGTCGGGGGCATCTCGTATTTTGATGGTGGAGTCAAAGGAAGATAGCAATATGGTGATCATCAGCTGGTTCCTTTTTGCTCCATTGATCGACCATAGACATGTTATACAAGCTAGCTCGGATTTCGGGTTTCGTGCACTTTAGGCAACCCCTCGGAGTTACCCACAGTCCGGACCGTACCGGCGCTAATATCGTCGTACCGTGGATCCTCGGAGGTTATTCTAAACGCTTTTTCGGGGGACTTTAAGAGGCCGGAAAACTCGAATTTCGGATTTCGTGTTAACTGAATGCGCCAGTGAACCTGGGTAGCCTTATAAATGAATTGATCTTGAAGGATAATTTTGCTGGGAACTTTTAGATTTATTCTTATATAAGCCTTTCACCCGGGAATGCACTGGATATGAATGTTGAAGGGTCGATCCTGTCGAAATAGGCTTTCTCATATCCCTGGGACATGCAATTACTTCAGATTGGGGAGTCGCGTGGGTGGCCCTACCTCCCCATCATGTCAATTGAACGGAGATCCTGGAAAAGCCTGATGTGGTTATTCTAGATTGCACTTTGCCATGAATGAAGGGGCTTTCTCTTCCAGAAGCAGTTTGCCAATACCATAGAAATAGTTGGTCACCTGGATCTGAACACCGAAACTCTACAAATTCCAAATAGTTCTATCCATTCGGATTCAGCTTAGACGGCGTGCTCTCAAGTTACCCATATTTTGTACCATTGGAAAATAGCCATGAAGGTACCAGATGAGCCCCAATCAATTCCATGGATGAGATTTGAAAAAGATGTGATCCACGGCTAAACGCCTAAACTCCATGTTGCTTTTTTTTCTGAGCAACAGCCAAGCTCCGCCACCGCCAGCTGGCTATATATGCTGTTTGCATTGAGAAAAACACTTTCCTGGGAAAAGCAATATTCCTTCTCTCTTTACGACAGCGGCCACTGCATCGCAGTGCTCCACGTTGCCCTTGCGGAGAAATATAACCAATAATGCATCACCTATCTCTGGAACGTGGGGCACAGTGCGACCGGCTCCTCATTTTGTACTTGTATCTTGGCATCAACAAAAGGGTTCTCACAAAGTCGCATGACTCCACTATAAGAAGTGCTTGTGTATCGTTAATATATGGCTATCAATAAGCAGTACTCATTGTCATTGGATAAACGAAAGTGTGGGGGCATGGTTTCTATAAATCTCGTGGACAAGACCCATGTGCTATTCATTCCTTTGTTCTGGCTAGATTGAGCTGTAACAAGCTAGCTCAGTCACCCCCCCCCCCCTGGATCCGGAGCTCTATAATCGCTTTTCAGATCGGACTCTAACGTCAGCAGAATCATTGTTGGTAAATCTGACTTCAGAAATTGGAATAATGGCGGCTGCGAATTGGACATGTATATTTAGGGATTACCATTATCCAATCAAATTGTGTTGTTGTAGTATGACTCCCACTTGGGCATACCATCTATTGGTAATGCTTACCTTGGAACGTCCTGAAACATGTCAGTGCATCAATCAATGCTCCGTCCATTTTGGATGAGATTGCTCCGTCCATAGCTGAGCGTTGTGCGACTGTCCCCTTGGCTCCGCCTGGCCGAACACACCATAACACCACCTGGGCATTCGACTTGTGCTGTTCATGTGGAAGATGCGATAGAAACGAACTATTCCAAATAATAGTCCACGTGCCATATTAACCAATTGCAGAGAACACCTAGTCGGCATAAGACAGTTCGGAGACAACTTATCACTGTACTGAAGAGAAAGCTTGACTACTCAAGGGCCATTCACGATCAGCAACTAAATAATGCGGCTATCGAACCAGTAATCGGAATGATCGATTAGCTCAAACTTAACCGAACAACTGACAAATACGGCTCGTCGGCTAGTACATGCTGCTATCAGCCATCTTATCCATACTACCCAGGGATTTAATGTAAGGAAAAGTTTCCAATGAATGCAAGGGTTGAAGTTTATTGATGATAATCAGCTTCCATATTGGTGCAGCCTTGATTTTGCTTTAGCTACTTAGAATATTGGGCAAGGGAAGATCAAGGGTCTCATCAGTCTTTATACTAGTATGAGTCAGAAGCTGATACTAAGTCTACTCAAACCTTATATATGATGCAATTGCCCTAAACACAAGTACCAAGTGGAAAACTGGATATTTACTTTCCAGTCGAGATGGTTTATGGCTACGCAGCTATATACGTGCCGAATGTTAACAAACCTTGGGTTTGGAGACTTCAAGGGTCATAGCCAAGTATTATAAATACCGACCACCACGATTATCTGCCCCATTGGCTCAGTTAGTCTTTTAATTTCTAGAAGCACAGTAAACTCTGAGCATCACATTAGCACACTCTCTATAAGGCCTAACAATGTCGGGTTCACGACAGCAACCAGGGCTAGTAAGTAACATCAGTATTACTTGCATGATGTGGCCTCCGGTACTGACAACATAGGCCTGTGAGGAATGTCGAAAAAAGAAGCTTCGATGTGACAGACGTCGTCCTCAGTGTGATCAATGTGAGGACGCCGGCACAGCATGTTATGTGAACCAAGTTCGCTCGCCGCGGGGTCCAAAGAAGGGCCACCTCAAGGCCCTACGTAACCGCATTGGTTTGTTAGCTGCATATCCTCTAGTCAGTGGCATAACTGAAGTTAGTTGTAGCCACACTTGAAAGTATCATCAAATGTGACAAATCGAACCTCTGTTCTAAAGAGACATTGGAGCTAAGCGAGAGATGCGTACCCGAAAATGAGACGCGGCAGATTCTAAGCGCGCCTCAAGGATATGCTCTTAACGCGTCAGTATCTGAACACTATTCTGTGTCAAATTCTTTCAAGGAGTCTTTCGCAAACGCACCCATCACACCACCTGACCAAGAGAGCGCCGATATCATCGAAGCAGATCTGTAAGCAAAAGAAGCACCCTTTTCTGAAATCTTAAATCAATGACAAATCACCCAGTGACCAGCTTTACTTCGACAGGGTCCACCCTGTCGCACCTATACTCCACCAGGGCCGGTACTTCTTCTGGGCGCAAAAATGCTACAAGTCAGACCCACAAATATGCCTACAGCTTGCGATGTGGGCCCTGGCAGCAGCCTCATCGCCACATTTACAACACATTCGGGTATCGCTGTACAGGCGCGCACGGTCTAAACTTGAGGCCCTCGATAGCAATATCGAGTCTACTGATGCAGCCTCCCTGCAAGCAGCGCAAGCCTGGCTTCTTATCACCAATTATGAATTTCGCTACATGGGATACTGTCGAGCTTGGCTGACTGCAGGTCGCGCGTTCCGGATCATCCAATTGGCTAAGCTGCATGAGATGGACCGGCTTAACGACGTTGGCTTGAATATTACTATGCCGGAAATATGGGCAGAGGCGGAGGAGAAGCGACGCACGTACTGGTTAGCGTATTGCTTGGATAGGCTTCTTAATATATCTGAGGAGTGGCCGCTGAGTCTGCAGGAGGAAGCTGTAGGCACTGCCGCCATCGCCACGAACCTGCAAGTAGGCAGACCATGCTGACATATATTCCAGCTCTACACATACCTCCCTGTTTCGGATTCAGACTTCCAGCATAGCAGACCTGTTGTCACGACATATTTATATGGGGCGATTGACAGCTCAGGACAAAAAATGCTTCCCCCTTCGCCGAGACGATCGTCCTGACGACTCTTTGCTGGCACAGCGTCGCCTTCCAGCGCACCGCAGCTGATGATCACACATTTCCAAATGCATCCTCCGACATCTGGAAGCAGCATACCCGACTTTACCAGGCTGTCCAACAGCGGCTCATGCTGCTGTCCCTTCCGGCGTCCTCGCCGGAACTGAATGACCCCATGCGCCTCTTCACGAACATGTTAGCAAATTCAGCAGTCATCTGGTTCCACAATATGCTTGAATCTCTACAGACCGACCTTGACGAACAGATGCTGCTCTTTCCTCTCTATTCGGCATATGAGATAGTCAGATTAGCCAAACCGCTCACACGGTGCAGTTATTTCAAAGTAAGGCTTGCCCGTCTCCAAACTCACACCAAACAGAGACTGTATCTCATAAAGCTAAACAGGCACACCCGTTCTCTCCAATGCTATTGTTTCTGTCGGCAAAATTCCTCAAGGCCCACGCCGAGTGCCCCTGTGTATCGGAGGATAAACAGCAAAGACTCGAGGAACTCAAAAAAGCGTTGCGAGTTCTACAGGGCGGGAACAATCTGGCCATGAACTACGTCGAGCTTCTGGAGTCGGACTGTTTTCACAAGCTGTGCAATCTATCGCCGCTTCAGGGGTCAGTCATGCCAAATGTTGCAGAGCAATCGGAGCCGTCGTTTTTCTTGGATATTATGAATCTGTTCTGATATTCAAGAACATGTTCATAATTTTGGCTTTACTGTCACTGTCGCCCTACGTCAACGGTAACTAGAGTTGTCATTGTACCCAGAACAAATTGTTTGCAAACCAATATTCACAATATGAGATAAATCAGTGTATTTTGCATTGATTATCCAGAGGAATACGAAAGAAATGCTCAGTCAACCATATCGTAGTAGTCGTCGTAAGTGCGCCGAAAGGGAAACGGAAAAAGGAAAAGCACCTGAGACCCTTCAATATTTTCGTTCAACCGATCAACCGGAGGAAAATGTTATCTCCACTCCTTACAACAACAGTTCCACTTCAAAGCGAAACCACAATCTTGCTCGCAGATACACCTTCCATGTGACGCATCATTGCCGGCTGAATTTGCGCCAGACCCTGACCTGAAACAACGGCCTTGGGAGCAGGCACATATTTTTCCTCTTCCAAAGCGCGGGGAAGGAAATCGTGGTAGATCATGGCGCCAACCTCGTTGTTGGCCAAGGAGCTGCCGAAGACAAACTTGGTCTTCGTGCCGGTGAGCTTCGACTTGAAAAAGATGGTGATATTGGACCACAAAATGGCAGCCATGGCGCGCAAAACTCCGAGCTTTGTCTGTGGGATTTTCCCCGGGAACGGGAAACTGATCTGAGCGATGAACTTCGATCCGTTCGTTTTCGACAGGATCTGAATGCACGCCTCGGTGGATCCGTTTCCGATAGCTATGGCACCGGCAACCCTCTTGGTACCGATTGATTCAATAATGTCGTGGATCACGGTCTCACTTGCATAGTCGAAGGTCTTATTCGCGCCTAGGTCGTGGAGGTACTTGAAATTCTTAGGAGAGGAGGTGGCGATGACTTTGTATCCGGCGGCCGTGGCAAGCTGAATGGCGTTGCAGCCAACACTAGTCGATCCTCCCCACACCAAGACAAATTCCTGGTATTTTGGAGGCGCAGTCAGGGTCCCGAGGTTATCGATATTGGGTTTTTCGAGGGCGAGGTAGTCCTGCTGGAATAGAGCACAAGCGGCAGTAGACACTGCGAGAGGCAAGACGCAGGCCTCTTCGTATGACATCCTTTCCGGAATGAGAGACGCCATGTTGTCGCGGATAATGGTGAAACGCTGAAACGCGCCCTCCGCGGAGTTGTTGACAGTTGGGTCCATTCCCAGCGCGTGGGCCAAAACGCGATCACCGATCTTGAAGCGGCTGACCGCGTCACCGATCTGCACGATCTCACCGGCGCAGTCGTTGCCGAGAATGAATGGATATTTAATCCAGCTGAACATGAGGTTGCCCATCAGTTGCTTGCACCACTCCACTGGGTTGATAGCAACTGCACCATTTTTGATGACGATTTGATGGGCGGTCGGGGCGACCAATGGGGCATCATTCACCTCAAGAAAGGCGTTTTTGCGGGTCAACCAGGCAGCGCTGTTGATATCCATGATGAGCATGAGCGAAGTTGTATGGCGTGAGGTGAGGTGAGGGGGGAGATAATGCTAAGAGAGGAAAGAAGTGATAATGGAAAAGGTAGTCAGGCGCCTCCAATATGCAGCAACTTAGAGCTCCAAAAGTGTCACACTTCGGAAGGTTCTTTCCTTACCAAGCACATTTCCTTCTGCATCCTTAGAACCAAGTACTGAGACACTCTGAGACGCGGAAGACAGAAGATTGCTAGGTTCAACTTCATTGCCAGCATTCTGCTTCCGCCGGTGAAGAAAGAAGAAAATAGCTAAGGCGATCAATGCAACAGCAACCACTGCACCGATTGCAATGCCGGCGATGGCACTGGTGCTGAGAGAAGAGTCATTGGAATCATGGGAAGAGGACGACATTGGACTTTTGTTTCTGGGGGATGAAGACTCGTCGGTGTTGGTGCCTGAGCTCGCATAAATAGTGACGATGTTCTCTTCCACGCCCTCATCCCAAATGCACTGCGAGACATTGACAACTCGGCTTTCATAATTGGCCATGAGATATCTAATGCACCAGTCAAGTCAGTGTGTTTCCAATTTCTTCCTTTGTGAATAGGGTCTCACGATTCTTGAAGGAACGCCCTGCCCAGTGTGTACTGTGACTCGTTCGCGGCACGCTTGAGAGGGAAGTAGTAGCTTGAGTTTTCGACTAATGGACACTCCGCCTTAATGTTAAACGCATTATAGGGAAGAGTTATCGTAGCCAGAACAAGTTCCAATGATGCCAGCAACTCGGCCGGTGGGAATAATGTTATTGCCAATCAGGAAATACCGAACCTGTTGCATCAAACCCCAGTAATCCCCAAACTTCTACAGGTGCTCCAGTGGGTGATGAGAACTCTCAGCCAACTGCTATTACCGATGCACCCTACACTACCGTGCTAGGAGTTGAGGGCCAGTTTGACCAGACCGACTACACGGATGCCGTTGTGTTGACAACCTCCAAGCAGGTAGCCAGACTAGGAACAGGCGGTCTTGAGATTGTTAACCCTGACACAGGAATAACAATGACCTCTGTCTACGGTAGCACGGTGCCTACTACAGCCTTCTACAGCGGACAAACTTTGACTCTGGGAGGCTCGGCTGTGACATTTACTAATGTCGTCGTTGTGGTATCTCCTGGTCTCGCGGGCCCATCTGGCGCTACCCATGGTGCAGGCTCAGGCGCCAATACCAATGATGTTGTGTCGACAAACTCTACACCGGTAATCAGTCTCGGAGTAGGCGGTCTTGAGGTCGCCAACCCCAACACCAGAGCATCAATGACCTCTGTCTACGGTAGCACGGTACCTACTACAGTCGTCTACAGCGGACAAACCTTGACTCTAGGAGGCCCCGATGTGACGGTTACCAATAATGTCGGCGTGTCTCGTGATACCACGAACCAAACTGGCGCTAGCAATATGGCGGACATATCTTTTGGTTCCGCGGACCCAACTAGCGGCACCACAGCTGCAGGCACGGGCTCCACACCCATCGCAGCCCCTTCGCCGAACTCGTCAGCGAACAAGGTTTCAGGAGGTGTCGTTGGGCTGCTTCTGGCCCTGATGACTTCTATCTGGGTGTAGATAACGCAGCAATCTACGATATGATGCGGGATGAAAGACTTTAATTCAATACTTTAATCCTACCTATCTTTTTCACCCATCCCACCTCTGTCGGTCAGAAACTTTCTTGTCATGCTTTTGCAAGTCTCCTCGCGATAATCAAGTTTAAACTAAGTCTGCCAAAAGACACTCCCAGTTTTGCTCGAGAGAGTCTGGAGGTGCCGAGCTAGTGCCCGTAGTGCCCTTCCAACCTTTACGGACTACAACAAGGCGAGAAAGTCGCACGGTGTGATAGCTTTCTGTGTAGACATGCCGTGAGAAAGATGCAGTGGAAGGACAGTACCAACAATTACTTCGGAAAAGCGATCCAGGAGTGGGAGTAATAGTATCATTTGCCGTGACCCCTCGCGAACGATATGCAGGTTACAACAAATTTGCAAATACATGTTTATTTGATCCACGAAGACTGTTCCAAACTTCCTGAACGGTCAACTTTGAGCCTCACCTGATAAGGCCTGTCGTGGCCTCGTTGCCGTTTGTGGCGTTAGGCTGCCTACATGGCGCGGCTGTAATAGATATGCAAATGAGATGGACAGCAGCTCCGTTATTGGCCGTATCTCTGCTTGCAACTGTGAGAACGCTGGTAATGTGAAGTTCAAGAATCCGGACAACGATTCTGTTGCAGATGCGGGTTTGTTGCGGGTTCTGTTAGCTGGGCGTTTTCTTGTCTTGTGTTCAAGCTGAAATGGTGGTGGTTTATCGCGGAAGCTAACGGCCTTAGCGTAGGTAGATAACTAGATATAGCCCGTATAACTTACTAAATACTTAGTTATAACTAGTTACGTTAACTAGTAAGTACGCCCAGTTCTTAAATAGACTTCTATATAGCCTTTCAGTGTAGATTACCGGTAGTATGTTATCAATCCTTCGATTGAACCGTTTTTTATAGAAGGTTACTACTCCTACTCTTGCCAACTAAGATTTTATTGCGAATAAAGCCTTTCTCCTTTATAACTAAAGGGTGGAAAGGGTACATCTTGCCGGGTCTAGCGGCGTCTTTAGCTAGTCGATCTATCACAAAGTTACGCGTGGAAAGGCGGCCGTTTCTGGCCTCGAAGGCGGTCATTTTCGGCGTCAATCGATAGGTCCTCAGATTCTAGGTGTAAAAGGAAAGTCACACAACTTCACTTCACATCGGTCCACGTTCCTCCGGTCGGCAATCACAGCCAAAATACGATATTGATCGGAGATAGATGACAATTTCCGATCATATTGTCGATCACAGCCAAGGCTAATACCGCTATTAAAATGCATCATGCCAGATTATACTGTCACTATGCTCACAATGGTGATGATGTGAAGTTATAATTCTCGGCAAATAGTATAAACGGCACTCAAAAATGCGATCCGCTTAGGCTCCACATTGTGTCTCTTCCTTGGCAGGGCTCCATGTTTACTCCATATTTACTACTCCGTAAATATAGGGAGGGAGTTCAGATATGAGAACTGAATATAATAAGTATAGGTATATATTAGTATATAGAACTGAAATCGAAGTAAAAAGAATCGAAACTAAGACTAGTACACGTGCTGCAGTGCAGAGATTTCAATGGCTGAAGAAAACCAACGCTATAATTTATGGCCCACTGGGCGCTATTTCTCATTTCTTTTAACTTTTTACTCTTCGTTTTTGCCGTGTCAAAAGTCCCAAACAATCAAAAAATGTCAAAGGCGATCTTCAAATGCACAGATTCGGATGAGTTCAAATTATTTAAAGGTCTGGTCAATGAAGATGTGACAGTCGAAGATGCCGTACAATGGGTCATTGGCGCAACAATGGACCGTCTAGAAGGCTACGGCCCGGGAGGAACGATCGACAAAGCAGACGCCATCACTTTCAAAGTCATTCTTGAACTTGCAATGCAAATCGACCAAGCTCAATATGGCCCATTGGTCGCATTTTTAAAAGAATTGAAATTGTACAATGCTGTTGATTCAACGACGGGCCTCGTGTTAAAAGCACAAGATGGAAGCTGGGTGTGGTCTCATTTACCCTCCCTCACCGTCTGCGCCCGCGAAATTTGCGATGACTTCGAACATGATGATTATGACTGTAAGTGACCCAGATCTAAGATCAATTTTAAATCTTTAAATTTTGAGAACGGCGCTGATCCATGGTCAGTTTTATGTGATCCCAATATGGAGCCCGAGCAACAAATCAGATGGGCAAAGCTGAATATCTTTCTTGCCCAAGTCACTCAAGCCGCCGATGTCAAATACACTTCTTCTTCGCAGGCGTTGATCAGCGATGCAATGGATGAATCGCATTTTCTACTCCGTGGACTGCGACGAATCTTTGAAGAAGGGATTCCCTCAGAACAACTTACTTCTGGAGTGGGTTTGCTCGGCGTGTGTTACTGGTTTATTTGTGCAGGCGATCGACTCTGGGAAAATGTTCTCAATGACCGTAAGTACAACAAGTATGATGGTCGTCCAGGAGAGCTGTATTGGAATCGGAATTGGAGAGGCTTCGAGCGCGAAAGATGGAATGTATGGGAACAAGGCCTGCGAGATGCAAGGGCGGCCTGTACACCAGGCCAAGAAGATGTTGAAGACCTGATAAACCGTGCTTTATCAAAGATGGAGAGTCTAACGACCAATGAGCTATGTGACTAATGTAACTATATACCAACTAGATCAAAACAATATCCATGATTCCTATGTATACAGCACCAAGGCATCAACTTATTGAGGCCTTAGTATTAAGGCTACAGATTATAAATCCGTCTAACCTAATTTGGTTAATTTTCTGCCTCAGGAAATCACGAAAATCACATCGTCAACCTGGTCTAAAGAGTAGATTCAAAGCTATTTTCCGTATGGCTAAACAATCATTCGAGACCCCTTTGCTGGAGGCAATCATCATCAGATAACGAAGCAAAAAACCCATAATCTAGTTGCCACCGATAACGCTTAGATTTGTCACTCAGAAATTAGAATTATCGGCACACGACCAAGCAGCTGAGCCCCCTGAGGCCTGATAACTGTCAATAAAGCTAATGACCGAGCCAGATGTGCCTGCAACCATAAAAAATGTTCCAGACAAAGCTACAAACCCGCTAAATTCGACCATCAACGTCCACTTGAGCGATCGATCGCCCTTGGCCCTTAGCCAGTTGTCGTAACGCCACATGCAACCCATTGGCTGGAACGACAGGAGAATCCCAAGCAAAGCACCCACAAGCGAGACGAGATCATCAAAAACAGGTATACTGCTGGTGATTATATAAGCAATGTTTCCCGAACCAGATTTGAAGCCGATAGGCGCTTTGCTCTCTTCCTTGTTCCAATTCTTTTTACTCTTATGCAGATTTAAGAGACTTCTGTGAAACAACTACCTAGGTACGCAATATATATATTTTTTTTTTGTCTTCGTGACCATTTCGTATGGAAAGTAAGTGGTATATCTCTAGATAATTGAAAACCAAGCACGTTCAAGTTTCGAATGCGAAAATGTACAGCTTGCTGGGCGTATTCGTTCAAAGACAAGGAGTTCAAAGCCTCACAGAGGAAATTTATTTAGAGCCCTGGGGCAATCAAAGAGTGTATAGTAGAATATAAATGCCTTAATCACTAAGCCCCCAGATAATATAAACAGAAGGTGCCTACCAAGAAAACGCCTCTTCAAACAGATCAACCGTTTTTTCTCCCTGTACTTTCCTTACAGCCTCCCGGACACTGTCGCCTAGGCCACCAGGACCACATACGCTCACCGCCATCGCACCGATTTGCTCTGACTTTTCTTTCGCCAGTAAAGACTGGATGCAAGGCTTGCCGTGGTGAATACTGACAGGCACGCTGGGCGGAGCGCACTGCATCCACGGTGTGTCCGGCTGAGGGATATACTCTTCAACAGTATCTTTGTGGGCTGTGATATGTAGGCTGATGGAAAAGAGAAGCCGCGGAAATTGGAAATACGAGTGCCCGTTGGAATTGACTGGGCTGGATAGAGAGTCGTGGCCGAGAATCTCGGTCATGAATGTTTGGATCCAAGCGAGATGGTCTGTCGATTGAGTTAGTTTTACTTTATTTCAACGATATATCGATGGGAGCAGTACCTAGACTGCGGACAATCCAAACTAGGTGGACCTTGCGAGTGGCAGTTTTCGATTCGCTGAATGTGGTGATAACCTCGTTCAAATATGACATTGGGTGAGTGATACCAATGCCACCAGCAATCAATAACAGGGTGCCATATGAGTCAAGTGAATGAATGCCACCTAGGAAGATTAGTAAACACAAACTCATGTCCTCGAGACGAATTCATACCAAATGGCCCCTCTGCCAACGCCATAGCTTTGATTTGTCCCTCTGCAGAATCCTCGGCCTTCTGGATCAGCTTCTTGGTGAATCCATCCTGACCTTTAATCAAGACAGACATGGTTGTTGTTTCCGAGCCTCCAATCAGAGCCTTTAATGAGTCACTCGAGCCACGCTTTTCGCTCAGTTTGGAGGAGTCCGAGGTCGACGTCCATGCGACTGTAAATGGGTGCGATGTCCACAACCCCAGGCAAGGCACGTAGAGATACATATGTTGACCAGGATGGAAGCGCCAGGCGCGAGACACTGCCACATCGACCCGGGCCACTGACCCAGGCAATGCTTCAACGACCGCGGTAGTGGGTCTCTTTCCAAGGTTTCTCCATAGGAGTATCCCGAGTCGACCCGCGCGATCGAGACCCCATAGGATTAAGGTGCCCAAGAGAACTTTCTGCTGCAGGAGATTTTTGAGATGATACCAGAGAGCTACGAAGGACATCAATGCCAAGGCTATGTGCAGATGAAGGAATAGCTCGTAGAATGCATGTCGAGCCGGCGACAATGATTGAACGACAATGAAAAGGAATCCGAGAATAGCCTGTGCGAATGTCTGTTAGATGTTGGATCTCATTATAGGCTCGCTGGATTCGATCACATACGATAAGACCGCAAATATAAAGCCTCTGCTGCCAGAGACCATATAGAACGTAATCCGTACCATCTAAGCTGGATATCAGTATATACTCTGGGCATCAACAATCAATAGCACTTACGCATGAAAGCTTGGTTGGCCAGCACGGCACTCATATGGACGACCGCATTGGCTGCGATCACCCGTCCTACCCATCGATGCATGAAATTGAAGGAATCGAATGAAATTCCCAGCAGCTGGATCAGCGGGTTATTCCGCCCAGCAGCCAAAACCAGACCTGGTGTATTCATGACAGCCAGGTGACCCGCAGAGTATTTGAGCTGAAACATCTTCATCGAGTAGTCGCTGATCCACCAGTCAACCGTCACAATGATGAAGATCAAGTTCAAGCTAAGATATATCAAAAGGCAGATTAGTTCCATCCTCAACGGAAGAGAGCCCATGTGGAGCCTGAAGAAGCGGTACTCGCGGCTATGGCGATCACCCCATATCGGCGCATATAGGACGTGCTTCTTCAAAGCTGCATTCAATCGACTTGTCCTTGACAGTTGTACATGGTCGGTTCCATTTATGGCCTGTCTTGATCTTTGGCTGTTTCTAATGCGAATGGCAGTTTGCCAGGCAAATAATATGGCGATTAGGCCACCAGCGACGAATAGTGGTACCCCAATCGTGGGATTCATAGGCCGCTCCCCTGGGCCACTTCCTTTGAGTTCGACGCCCATTGTGCCATTCAACTAGGCAGGGGGAGCTCGAGGTGTGTTGGTCGCTAGATACGGAGAACGTCGTCAACCACACAGAGCGTGAAGTATCCGGTCACTCCTGGAAGACTGAAAACCAAGGACGGAGAGGAGCACAAGGTTTTGGCAGGAGACAACTGTAAATTGTACCGGGGTCGCGTGGGAAAAGAAGTAAGTTTAGCTCATTGGCGTTGTATTGGATTTCTCCAGGCTGACAGATGTGGATGCCGTCATTGACCCCTGGAGAACGAACAAGTTTATTCTGGGATAAGGCGAATGAATGCATCGTCACGTTTTGGAATTGCGGGGACAATTTTGTCTCACATGGTGAGTGCAACGCCGAATCAAGGGAAATAGATCTTAGTGCGGGTTAGAGTTTAAGGTTAAACAGGGAGGCGGAGATAGATGCGCGCGGTAAGTGGTCAAGGAATTCTAGATCTCCGGGATCTGCCCTGTCAGAACTCTGTCAGAATCCCAATTGGGGAGAAAAGTGCGTAATCTAATCGTGACCTTTACGGATTTGCAGAAAACAAGAAAAGAAGGGGAAGGGTCTAGACGCAAGCCGTGTTGTTCGGCAACCCGAAAACGGAATGTTGACAACCGCAACCGCACCGAGCATTCCTGGTCCCCTTTTTTTCGGTCAAGGGGTGAAAAAACATAAAAAAGCAGTTGAAAAGGTTCAGTTAGTTTATTTAGCTGCTTTGAATTGGGGTCTTCGTACTGACTTTGTGAAGTCAATGTAAAATATACAAACTTTCAATATCCAAACGTCATCCCTTCAAAGCCCTAACGTGGTCGTCAAGTACCGGCGGTTCCAGTCAACGCAACTGCAACGTTATATTTAAACAATGGTCAAGTTCGAAGTGGGTCAACGTAGCAAATATGACGCCATGGTGGTTAGCAAAGTAAGGCCCCCGAATATGATTACTTCCTATGATTTGGCAATCCAGTGACAACATATTGGGGAAAGGGCCGTGTTGTATATATCCATGGTCATGATTGCCGGATTATTTGCCTCGGCTTTCATACCAAGCTGATCAAGTCAATTTTGCCGTTTCTTGCGCACGTACCGCTTCACGAACTGCCCAAAACAGCACAAGAGTCGCAGCGGGTCCGAAATCCCTCACTACATCGGCCCTTGAATCAAGGCCGAGACAAGTCCAAATCTCGCCCCAGGGCACTAGAATATGACTTCATGTCGCAATGTGAATAGCAAGATGAGTTGTGTAACCTTCAAGCACAACACCCTCCGTCTTTCTGTCTTACACTGAAGAGATCGGGGTCTGAGGTCGGGGTCTGAGGTCGGTCTTGAGTCCAGACCACATTGAGCGTCGCATGCACTACTGTCTATACCGACGTTGTGCTGACCAGAAGAGAATTGATGATGCCAGACACTGAAAGGATGAAGAGCGCGCATAGGATCATCTACAGTTTACGCAAATCGCCTCCCATTCGTGGGGTTCCAAATCAGATCTGTCGCAGCTGTGACTGGTTCAGATCAGCTTTCACTATGATGACTAGGAGCAATATCTTCAACCTGTAAAATACAATAATTCGCTAGCCAAATGAGCATTCTATAGGGACTTCACTTTTCTTTTGCGTCTACACGACATAATGTGCATAGATGAAATCAAGAAATAGTATCCAAGCTTAAAGCATCATAACAAATGAACTATTTGCCACCCCCAAGAGGTGATATCCGAGAAAAATGGGCACTAGCAAAAATATAAAGACCTTAATAACGGAGCTCAACAGCTTTGACACTTTTTTGTCGACTTGCCCGCGAATAGGAACAGTCCCAGGACGGGCAGGAAGAGGCAGATATTTGAGGGGTAGACCAGCATTGAATACTGGTCCTGCCTTGAATCCCACAATTCTGAGAGATAGGAATCTGGCCAGTTTGAGTTGGAAAAACTTGAGAAAAGTCGTTTCAAGCGCCTCCAAACGTTGGGCGGCATGGGCGCCTTCCACCAATCCACGGCTAATAGGCCCCCGACCTTGCTGATAGTCTCGGAAGGCCTCTTCGACGCTCGCTTGACTGGGCACATTCTCGCGATTAACGAGATCTTTTAGTACATCCGTGAGATACGCGGCCCCTGCGATTGCCATATTGCCGCCCTGTCCGGTGAGAGGATTGGCCTAATGAGGTGTCATTAGCTCGACTAACTTTTGAAGAATTTTGTATTTTTTTGATAACAACTGACCTTGTGCCATGAGTCTCCAACAAGGACAATTCGCTTGTAGAAGCATGTTGAGAGCACACCTTGTTCGAGAGGCACAAGAGCTGTCGCAGTTGACTTTTGATAAAGATCACCGAGGGTTACCCCTGGCTTGATAATGTCATCGGCGTAATTCGCAACAAGTTGGTCACGATCTTTGGTCGTATATCGTGGGATGGCGTTTCCCCGGGTCTCCTCCTCATTCTTGAATAGCGCAATCCAGTAGAGTGATTTACCTACGGCCGGGCTGCATAGATAGCTGCGACCGGTCCTGTAACCCTTGAACGACTCGTTCTCCTCGAGGCTATCGACTCCCTCGGATGTCCCGAAAATAGCGCGATAGCTGCACTCAAAATCTAAAATGGGTGAGCCCATGTTTTTCCCCGCAGAATAGAACCTTGAAATCAATACCCACCGTCTTCGTTCCGAAATAGTTCACCATTTCCATCGGCTAGAGCTAGGCGTTCCATCTCCTGGCGCACAGGGCTATGGACGCCGTCCGCACCGACAACAACATCGCCCCGAAACACCTGTCCATTGGTCTCAACTTCGACCCCAGTATCGGTTGAACAAATTTCTAATGCCTCGCAGGAGGTGTGAATTTTTGACTTGTCGCGCAGGTTATCGTAAAGAACCTGGGTGATCTGCCGTCGCTCCAAAAATCTCATCTTGTACCCAAAACTATGGGGAAAGAAGAAAATCAGACCCAACACGCTACATATCTGCACGAATATCAATCATAGCTCAACTAACCTGCTCTCCATCCAAGCTCCAAGCTGGGATAGGTGGAGACACCTCTTTCCCCTTTCATCGAAACCAGACACAGAATTGACAGGCGAGCTCAACTTCTCCAGTGCATGGTAACAGCCCAGCTGATCGAGGATTCTAGCACCGTACGGCATCATTGCGTATCCAGCTCCGAGTCGGGGCGCGATATCTTCATGTTTCTCCAAGACTGCGAAATCTATGCCGTACGCCTCCAGCATGTTCGATAGTGTTAGGCCTGCGACACTACCGCCGACAATGATCACCCTGAACGGGGGCATGGTCCACGGGCTGTAACCGGTAATTGGTTTTAATTTATCGATATAAGTGTATTTAAGGCAAAATCAGTACGTTTGCCTACTGGGGTTGCTCAAAAGACGTCTTGTTTGCGACCTAAGTGTAGTCAGGTGATTGACACTGCACAGATGATAGGTCGGTTTCTTTGGAAAAAGCAAGGTATTGGGAGGCATTGGGGGCCAAAAATATACACTAACACCTGGGCATTACATTTTCAATGAATGCGACACATAGTGTAGATATTTACCAGAATGATATTGACAGATAACGGGGGTCAATCCGTGTTCGAGTGTACCATAGCCACCGAAAATGTATCCGGAAAACTCTAATGAAAAATTTATGTCTTCGTTGATCGTCAACAACGAGATGTTTGCACTTGATTTGTAGTTCGGTTTCATTTTGTTGAAGTATTAAATATGCGAGCCTATTCAATACTAACGCCCATACAATTGCGCCATTCATACCATTCCGTTTCCCGCCTCTTTTCTTTGATGAACTGTGAGTCCAAGTCTCCAGTCTCAATCATAATCATCTAAAAATACAAGAACAAAAACGCCAATTTCATTATTGGAATGCACCAGTGCAATCCGTGTTTAGAACGATGTATGAAGGGTCTCAAACAGAGACCTCACGTACATTAGCAGGGGCATGAGGAATTGGCTTGCCATCCTCTTCTAGGGAAAGGCTGCCATAGCCCGTGTCGTTGCTAGCAGATCGCTCGCGACGGAGTGTCCGCCGCTCAACAGGGCAGTCGAGCAGATCTTGATCGGCGTCGCTTTGAGATGACTGAGACTCTTCCCTGCGCCGGTGGGATCGCCGCTTCTTAGACCGAGTCTTGTCGGGTGGGGTGTGGACAAATTCATCAATGTCCAGTCCTGCATTCTGACATATTGCCGTGCAGGAATTTACAATCACTTCCACAAGCGTGGACGAAAAGCCATAGAATGCCGGGTTGTAAGCGTTCCGAGCCCAGTAGACGAGCTCTGCAGATACTCGCCCGAGATTCGGGATGTCGCTGGGACAGATAGAGATTTTGCGGGGTGTGCGAGGCTTTTCTTCAGCTTCATCATCTGCTGAGGAGGTAGCCTCGGAGGCGGGGGCGGAGGGAGAGGATGAATCGGATGACGCGATATAGTCCACGTCGGAGGCAAGAAGATGGAGAAGATGGTAGACAGAGGAGAAGCCAAGAAGAGACAGCTCGACGGGATCAATGGGAAGTTGGTTGAACCAAGTGATGGCCTTTTGGATGGTGAAGGATTCTGGCAGTGCCGAGGCATCTCCGCCGGTGGATCGTGCGGTGACAATAGCGGCTATCATAGCGCAGCGCACGGCAATGGAAATCTCATCGCGCACAGAAACAGGGAGGGAGGAGTCGAGGAAGTTGGAAGCGTGGGTTTGGCTTCCCTTTCTCTTCTCCTTTGGAAGGGTAGCAAGGACGGTGTTCACATTCTCAATGCGGTTCTGTTCAAAGAACACCGCTTTCATTACAAGCGCTCGGGTATACGCGGCGGATAATCGAGGTGCGACCTCGAGAGAGATGCGGATCTTTTCCTTGAAAGCATCACGGCTTGCCCTGGATACAGGTCCCTTTTCGCTGGCCTCAAAGTAATTGAGAAGAGCGGTCTGCAGGAGATGGCTAGACCACCAGGCAGCCAGTGCATCCTGAGAGCACTGGATGGCCGGATCCTCATCGACAACATCGAGTAGCACCTCATCATCGCCCGTGCCTTCTTGGGTTGGTCGGTTCCAGGTGAGATTCACAGCGCGTTGTATGATATTATCGATCATGACATCATCACAGTCGAAATTAAGCAAGGCGTCAAGATGAGGGGGAAGTTGATCGGGATGGCCCTCGGGAAGTGACTTGTTGATTTCACGAGCCACGCCCCATTGGAACCTGGCAAGAGCTCGGGCAATATCGTTGGACATGTAGAAAGACCAGGAGCCTACTTCTCCAACGTTCCACAAGAGAATTCGGACATGCAAAGCTTTGATAATCATTCTTGTGGGTGTCGAGGGTAACGTGCCCGCAGCAAAGATAGTGAGCACAAGACGACTTTTGCTGATCTCAGCATCTCCTCCCGTAAGTTGGGCGTCAATAGCGATATCCCAGGTCTTGACACGCCCTCTCTCATCTTCCTCAGTGATACCAGTCGCCCATGAGTAGATCTTCCAACCCATGACACATCGCAAAACATATTCAAAGCATCTTGAAGTGACGACATACCACTCTCGGAAGAACCGATGACGTGGAACACCAGCCCGTTGCATGCTGGTCAACCAAGCCTGTCGACGGAAGTCACTAGACGTAAGAGGCGCAGGCGGGCCATCAGAAACCGACTTGGATGGACCGCGACGTGTGATGGGCTGGGCATTAAACAGGTAGAGAAAGACAAAAAAGGCACTGCCCACGACCAGCGTTGCGAGAACCAGGAAATGAGAGAAAGCGCGCGCCTGCCATGAGTACCAGAATTGCTTCAGGTAGTATTCCCAGTGTGCCATTGGAGGTGTCTGTAAACGGCCAAGAATACGGAGAGGGAGTGCGAAGAGGCCCTTGGACTCGGTCTCAGAGTCGTCGGAACCCATTCCCTCGAGAACCATGAGACCGGCTAGTGCGCCTATCATATACTTGTTCGGCATCCTTGATCGTCGAGTTGATGTCTCTTTCCTTGCGTACTGTGGTTGGTGGGGCGAGGACGATGAAGATGGATATTTGATGTAGGACTCGGCGAAGACTCCTTGTTGCGCAGTCTGGGCTCGCATGCGCTTCCATGCGTCTGGGACCTGGAGGAGGCCTTCTGGGGGGTTCTGAGAAGCAGATGAACCCTCGCTGGAAATTTCTTCAGCCTGCGAGAATACACTGTTGGGCGATGCGCCGGAACCTGCATCTGTCGAGGCATAATTGCTAGGGGACGAAACAGAAGCAGATGATGTGACGGCTTGATCCGCTGCTTTGTCAGCCTGGCGCAGACGGTTCTTCAGAGCAGTGTTTTCGTCTTCCAAACGTTTGTTGCGAGTTTCCAAATGCTTGATATACTCTGTGGCCTTTGATAAAATCGATGCTTTGTTCAGCTTGCTTGCGGCATTTGCTCCATCCCCCTGCTCATCCTCATCGGGGGATCCTCCGTTTGAGTTCTTGGTTGGTCGGAGACTGGGGACACTGTCGCGAAGTTCCGCAATCTTATCGTTCAAGTTAGCTCGATACCGTTTTTCAATGACGTTGTGAGCTCGCTTCTTGGCTGGCATCTTCTTGCCAGGTTGCACTGGTCCAGTCACGGTGGTGACATCGTCATCGCTGCCAGTCTTACGCTTTCGGTTGGTCCCAACACTCGAAATCGGAGACACCAAGCCGAAGTTCTGCGGCTGGGTTTGGGGCCAATTCGGATCGGGAAAGCCATTTTGGCCCACGCTGATGCTGTTTCTCGCATTGGCGTCATATGGAATTTCCATCAAGCCAAGTGGGAGATTAGGTGAAAAGTCTTGGTGGTTCAAATGGGTTGGCGAGCTCATTTCGGTATGCGGAGAGATGGTTGGTAGATCTGAAGATGAAGAAGTCATCGGCTTTTGATCTCCCTCAGCAAATACGGGCTCGTCCCATCGCATCCACTGAGTCCAATCTTGGTTCACATTTTCTCCAGTTGGATCTGCGAACATCTGACCATATCCTCGTGCTTCGTCCCCTCCCGAGTGTTGCGGAGAGAACAACTGAAAGTCATCCTCTATCTGGGGACCTGACATCTTGGCTGGTATCCCGCGGTTGGATCCTCGGCCAGTGCCCGTGTCAATCTATGTCCGATTGGTATAATAGGCACCCGAATGGTTCTCACTGATGGAACGTGTTAGTCTCCATAGAAGACATAAATAACGTTTCTTATAAGCAAAAGTAATTGAGCTGCCTGGAGCACTGCCTTACTCAGGTCACTTGTAAAACCGGCCAAGACAGGGCTAGCGGGGATAGAGACCACGAATAAGATAGATGAGAACTCACTGGGTTCAAGGTCGAGTACAATGCTCAAACTGGCATTTGAGAAGCTTGACGAACGTAGATATGCTTTGCTCGGAGAGATGTGAAGACTGAGTCGTGAGGAGGGGGAAATGTTAGAGTCACAGCCACGGGCGGTGGTGGGTGATTGGCAGAGCAAGAAGCAGGGGTGTGGAAGATATCCACTTCCAAAAACGTAGCGCAGACAGTTAGGCCCAAGGAACCAAGTGGGTTCTAAAATCCGTTCTTTGCGCAAAGGTGATCGTCTCCGAGCGTTAAAGGAGGGTGGATCAAATGATGTTATGCCCAAAAAAAAACAATAATGTGTAGGACAAAAGAACAAAGCTATCCGTTTACGATGCGATCGAGCTTCCAGTCTCCATGCATGAAGATCAGGGGAGGTTGTATGGGCCACGTCCTAAGCAGTCGAATGAGATGCCAGTTTTGGTCGTATGATCGCGGCTGGCCGCACTTCCGGCTCGCCGGTGGTCACCCCTGATTGAAATCCCGATGTAAATTACACTGACTCATCCATATTAGTATTTGTATTATTGTATTATGTCTTTCTGCACTGTAATTAAATAACAGTTTTCATTGGCTTGAACCTTCCCCACTTTATTTTGATGATTCAGCGATTTCTCGGGGCATGTGATCTGGAACTCTCCCACTGCATTTACATCGTTTTGTCTCCAGGTGCTTTGTCTTTTTCTTGAATATTTGACACTCAATTGAAAAAATACAGAGAGATTACTCGGATTGCGTCTTCTCTGATCGTCTGGACACATCAGCGCGTGGATTCTTGGCGCCCCGCTGGTAGGCTACACGGGAAAATTTTGAGCGCATTATGATCTTATCTGATCGAGCCAGTCTCCACTATTTCCTCTGCTGGCAGCAACGGAATCCATAAGAGCGGCGCAAAAGACGAATAGAATCAAGGCGGCAAACTAAAACTAGCAGTGGATCAACAATCCGGTGTCGGCGACTATATTAACAGAAGAACTCGGCCCTTGCAACCAATTCTCCAAGGGAGTTCGAACCATTCTTTTTTTTGTTCTTTCCTAAATGCTATATCCATCGTGCGTTATGAGTGGTCCCTTTCTAGCTTATGGCCCATTCATGCAGCCTGTTGTCGGCGGAGACTCGGCTTTACTGCCTCAAAACTCATGAAACAAGCCGGTCACCGAATTATTGCTACCGTGGTTTCTATTGTACTCTACAACATACAAATACATGACGCCCTGAATCGCATTCTCAACACTGGCGATAGCCCCCACCAACCCCTTGACCGACTTTTCAACTTCCTCACCAGCCTCGTCGTCCGAGGTTTGAGCTTCTCTAGCGCATTCTCCACACCCGCCGCCGGAGCAGAATACAAAGCCACTGCATATTTGGAAGATGCAACGTCATCTTTACGAGGCGTTTCCACCAACGCCGATAACCGCTGCAACTCCATCGCCTCATTCAGCCTCTCAACTTGAACAATTCATAACCCCTTGGCGCGATGTCTTCGGGAATACTTTTGCAAACGTGGAAATACACCCGGCCGGCCCGACCGTCAGCCCGGCAACCATGAAGTCAGACTGACACCCGGAAATCAAATTCGTCCGCCCGGAAGCTCGCCGCTAAAGATGTAATTTCCCCACCAACCCGCATATCAATTTGACCCCAACGATGTTCGACATACCCTTATTTGCAGCTGCGGACTCCGTCACTATTCTGTGATGGCCTCTGAATCAATGTCTACGCTGTTGCACACACCTGAGAAGTTGTAAGGCCAAAACAGGCAGCGGGTTTTTGTCCGCGATATCGGCGAAAATTCCCTTTACGACTCCCATGTTAGTTGCTTTCCCGAAGTACGCGGATGATAGAACCGAAAATTAATCACTCCGAATTTGGCTCCGTCCTGCGCTTTTCGAGGATCTGTCTGCTTGAATGTGTGCCTACGCCTGCCATGAAGGATAGTCTGGGCCGACGGCTTTGCGTGCCGTTGTGACAAGTTGCGCGCGTTCCTCGCGAGTCAAGAGGACTGCTTTCAGGTTCATGCTCATAATCACTAGGCCAGCTAGACCACTTTGCGACAGTTAGGTGTAGTACTTCATTTGGGAGTAGAGATCAAGGGTGTTTGTTGCATTATCGATTATTGTCCCTGCTGGACACCAGACTCCCGATTTGGCAATACTAAAAACAGCGGTGGATCAACAACACGGTGCCGGCGACTACATTGACAAAAATACTCGGCCCTTGCCACCATTTTGTTTGCGGGAACTCGAAAAGTTCTTTCTTTTGTTTCTTTCCTAAATTTTATCCACTGTGAGCTCAAGTAGCGGGGACTCTGGGGCTTATAGGATTGATTGGCGGGTTCGAGGTGATGTAAGCCTATGTATATGTGCTTTTAGAGTCAGCGAACAACATTCAAGACATAGAGCTTTCAATTTTATAGATATCAAAGAGTCTCTTATACCTGAAAGGTGCCGACTATATGATTAATATTTTGGCGAAAGAGAAGCGAACAAATCTAGTGACACACCTTTACATCTTGCAATACGCTATGTCAACTACCAGAGCCCGGCTGCTCTACGCCCAAATTATGCATCATGACGCGTGCGGTACAGAGTCTATAAAAATGGAGCCACTCTAAACACGACAAACAAGAGCGGCGACGCCTCATTGGACTTGGCTTGACAGAGCTGTGTCGAAAGCTCTGGTCATCTATTATTGAGAGAAGTTTTCGAAGTTGGTATAGACAAGTTTGATTTCTTATCCTCGGTTATAGAATCAGACTCGAAAGGATCACACCTAACCCCCTCGTGGAGCACCGAAAGCTCTCCAACCTTGGAATATAAGCATAGAAGAGGGTTTTTCCTTACTCTGCTCTGCGCTATTTCGTAAGTCATAATTCGATAACAACTCTGTTCTTAGGAATTTCACTACAATGATATCAAAGGGGATCGGCATTCCGACTTGCACGAGTAAATTACATCAAGGATGGGAATTAGGATGTGATCATACGCTGGTGGCCAGAGTAATCTTAAAGAATGATGCTGTTTACACTTCGGATGGTAAACCTCACCCTAATCTTCGTTCACCCCCCTCGGCTGACACAAGATCATGGATGACAGGGCAGGCTTGACTATTGATGCGCCGGTGATGGAAAAAGTGTCACAGACCAATATTGTGGGACGATGATACTTGAATCGCGCTAGAAGTCGATCTACCATGCAAATTCCTGCGTTGGCACGTTAGTCAGGATTCTACCTCATCTGGCACTTTAGTCGACTTACCTCGGTGTAGAATGTGATCGGTAAGCCGTCATTGCACAAGTCACTGTTGATGGCCTCCCGTGTTGCATCCAGAAGCTGGCTAGGACCACAAGCCCCAACGATGATGCGGTCGTCTGAGTTATCACTTTTACCAGCAGCGGCGGCAATCAAATTCCCAATATGCGGGCGCCCAGGCAATATCTCATTGACCAAAGGAGAATCATTGGCTGTGGATTGTTGCACAGCTCCTTTCTCGAGGTCATGGGTTGAAAAGTCTGGAGAAGATTGTGTAGGGGTGACATCGTCTTTTATTGACCCTTTTTCGGATGAAACGCCTGGGGAATTGGGTAAGCGTATGTCAGACAAGTCTACCTGACGGGTGACGTGAATAAAAAAATTCACTTCAGGATGCAACTGAAGTTTTTCCAGCTCTGGGGCAAACCATTCCAGGTTATCTACAGGGTAGAGTTAGTCCATGCATTCTTAGAAACTTAGTTTACTCGCAAATTTCTGTCGTACCTTGGTGTCTCACTACCCAGATAAAGTCAATCGACCTCACTGCCTTGTTAGAGGTCTCGATCAAGTCTAATGCAATAGCAAACGTGAAACTAGCACCACTGCCACCGGCGACCAGAACGACTTTGTCAAAAACTTTAAAGTTGGGGACTTGACCATATGCACCGTCCACGGAACAGCGTAGAGATTTCCCCGGAGACTCTTGGGCAGCTTTATATAAACTCCTTGTAAAGCCATCATATACTTTGATAACGAACTCAGGCGAGTCCGAAGACAATAACGTGAATGGATGGCTTTCAGTCCAACGGATGGAGGGAACCCACAAAAATGCATGGGAACCTGGATTGCAGCGTATGCGACGATGTAGCTTCACCCGGATAGCATCGTCGGGAAACGCAGTGATAGTGAGAGAATTTCCAAAAAAGTTCCAAAAAATCTTTGCCCCGCGGATAATACGGTCCGCAGCCCAAAGACAGGCCGTGAAAACCACGATAATCAGCGTTGAGCTTGAAAATTTCGGACGGTGCATTCCGACTGTGATCATAATCAAAACGAACATGATTATATGCAGCATATAGAATACTGTGGATAGTCAGAACTTGAAACCAGAGGACTATTTGATCAAATGACTCACGTTCATAATTCCTCCGCATGAAGTATGTGATAGTTGAAAGCCCAATAACTGACATAGCAAACCCAGCAATTGCACCCGAAAAGTTTTTTGGTTCTTCCATTTCGATCAGGTTCCCAGTCTCCGACCAGGCAGCCAGGTACACAATACCATGCAAGAGGCTTGCGAAAATGCAGGTGTAACCGGCGACCTTGTGTAGCGGGCGAAGCTTTTCATAGGATGTGGCTGTCAAAGGAGCGAGGGGCGTATTCTTTAAGGCTAAGAAGACCAAAAGCACCAGGTTTGCGACCGAGATCCTGTTTATTAAGGCTGTTAGGCTCTGTGCCGCAGGGGGTAGAGTTATCGAGAGATGTCACGAACCAGCCAAATCGTTTGGCGACCTAGAATGCGTTTTGGTCAGTCAAAACATTACCAAGGTCAGATAAGGAACGAGGTCCACTCACATTGGTAACTTTTGTAAGGTCGACATTGGTTACAGCGAGAATCAAATTGATGGCCCAGTAAACGATATACAAGAGACAGCGATCCGTCCTCAACCCTACCCATGAGCTAGAAAGAAAGCGTCGAGCTTGTCTGCTAGGGTCAGTCCACCAATACCATTTGGTCCATGTGAGAAATGAATATACCTATATATCCGATTCAATGTAGGATGGCTCTTTTTGGGACCATAGTGAAAAAAGATTACACTTGACCAGTGGTATATAGCGTAAACGGCCATCATCATGCCGATAGCGATGGCAAAATACTTATTACTCCACTCATTGTTGGACTGGCGCAATGCCTTGGCGGCAGCTTTGGAAGCTTCGGAAACTTTAAGATCACTCATAGTAGCCGTTCTAGGAACTCAAGACAGGAATGTGACAGAGTTTTTCCCGGGACATCCTCTCAAATAAGCACAACCTGACTGGGGAGGTCAATGGCTGATCTCACTTTTTCTCTCATTTGAAATGCAACGGAGAACCTTGTGCCAGCATGGTGGACTTAGGCCGAGACAGACTCCACCGTCTCAAAAGATTTGCACTCGGCTTCAGTGCCCTTATCATATAATCTATAGTGTAAACTACATACAATGAGGTATTTTTGACGTCGTACAGTGCCGAGCGCCATTTTCCCACATCAAAATAAAAAAATGTAACCACAATATCGCCTGCGTAATTACTCTACTCGCGGTCTGATGGGGCCCGAAAGAAGGATACGGCTTGGCTGTTGGGCAAGCATCAAGTATGGTCATTTTATGCGTATCTTTCCAATTCCAAAGGGGCTCGGAGAGAAGAAGAGATAGAAACTTCAAGCGGCTAAGATGAATTTTGAGTCCTATTGACTGTCAAAATTTGCACAAGAGCTATATCGCATTATTATCAAGAGAATATATAAGGTGAAGTTGTATCTGGAGACGGAAAAGTTAAAACATATCTAATCAATCAGATAAATACATATCCTAAATCTCATTCAAATCTCTGCCAATCATCAAATTTCCTATGTTTCCATGGAAAGTTTGGTAGCGCCGAGACGCACGAAGTCAAGGGTGTCAGCAGAGTGGATCAAGACTAACTAGATGGCAGGAAACTGGAATATAGTTTCCGCAAATTTTCCAGTGATTGTTGGAATGCTACGATGCCACAAAACCCCTTCATTATAAAGCATTGGAAGTCCACTGCGGTATTGTCACACAAAAGTCCATATAGTGTATCGACTAGTGGGTAAAGATCATACACAGAATTTAACATCAGAGTTTCCAAGGTAGAAACAAATTTTGGCTTGTTCACTATTGGAGTGAGCGGGTATAGTCACCGGTGGACCATACAATGATAAGATTATCAATTGGTGAATCACCCGTATTCGTACAAGGCTAGTGGGGGTCAGAGAAACAGAATCCAACCCCCCGGGCCCTATAGCCCTTTCGGCTTGTGCTTTGAAAATAAAATTTGATAGAAAAGGCCGACCGGGCTGGTCAGTCCATGAGTAGAACTTGGAATTTTGGAAGCATTTAACAAGACTATCTTCTTCCAAGATATTATGTATTGAACGAAATATCCAGACAACGCATGTATGTATAGTATAGTATCCTTCGAGTCCCAAGATGCCAAGACACGAGTAAGACACAAGACCCTGCATGAAAGCTTAGTGGGGCTTGGCGAGAATGGTAAAATTCCTATGAAATACATCCATGTAATTTTACAATTTATCAAAACAAGGGCTGTACAATACTGAACGAGTCCAATCTTTGATATACAGCCGCTTCTGCTTCCCCGCTCCTCTGACCCAGAGATCCTGTCCTCACGTAACCTCGTCGGATACTGGATCTGACCTATTTGCGTCAAATCATTTAACCTAGAGATCCAAAACACCAGTCGTCGCACGTTTGTCGGAAACATGAACTGTTGGCTCAACTGGTGCTGTGGGATCTTCATAGGGACGTCGCAGAATAAAGGCTCGAGTCTTAGCCTTGGCCCTTGCGACGCTGTTCATAGCTGGATCGATGACAGGGAGAGCACCGCGTCTCTCGCGGTAGAGCATTAGCCCATACCCAATTATGACACAGACCCAGTACAGGTTGTATGAGATCACCGAACCGTAGTCGGCCGAATTAGTCCAACCAAGGAGCGCGTTAAAAATTCCCCAACCACCACCTCCTCCAATCTCCGGGTTACAGCAATTCACGTGCCAGACACTTTTTCTGATGTCGTAGGACCCGGCGCCAGAGCCAGTCTCCGAAGCATCGCCTCCGATGATGTTGTTCCAGGCGTTGTTCTCGAGGTACCAGACACCACGCGAGAAAAGACCGCCGGCAACGAGGTAGAGGAAGCAAGTAGAGATAATCAAGAATATCTGCATTGAAGTCTGTCTCCCACCTCTATCATTACGTCAGCCTTGTACTTTATTCGATGAGAGTCGACATACCGGTAGATGATATAGCCCACTGCGACACCTGCCAAAAGGCCACAAAAGACAGCTAGGGGGAAGGACGTGGCGGGAAGTCCTAACCCGACGCCACCAACATAGACAACGGCCTCTAGTCCCTCACGAAGAACCGTGATAAATGGTAGGATAAACATAACGTATTTCTCTAACCATCTCTTCACTCGACCCTTCTTCGTCTCGTTCGGATTATTTTCGTGTGCGAGTGCCTTTGCGAGCTTAACACGCCATTTGTCTTGGAGCTTTGATACGCGCAGAAGAGCAGCTCCCATAACAGTGATGATAACGGAAGCGATGATGCCCAAAACGCCCTCCCATATATCTTCGGTACTAGAGAAAGTATCTGTCCCGAGGCCGTAAAAAGCACCAATCATGCCCGCTCCCACGGCAAGACAAATGAACAGGCCCAAGCCACATCCTAGCCAGACCTGATATCTTTAATATAGGGACGCGAGTGGAATTGAGCGTATCGCATACCTGTTTGACCAGTCTTTTATACGTCGGGCGATCGTCTTCGTAGAGCGACTGCTTCAAGAAAGCGAGTAGAACCGACACAACAACCGTCGTCTCGAGACACTCTCGAAAGCAAATGAAAAACACTGATTGTACCAAATTGATAAGAAGTTGTCCGTTCCCAAAAGGAGTGCATGAACTGTACCAGTGACTGCAAAAACCTGATTATTGCCCATGATGCTTGATATGACTACCTTTGGCAGTTACCCGAGGTTCGAAGCAAGATGATTTTGAGCAAGAAATTCTTTGGAGAGCAAAGGAGCAACAGATAAGACCCCTCGTAACTAGGTGACATATGTCATTTGAAATACAAACTTGAACAATACACGGTCTGCAACAGCCGGTTGTCGACCCACTTGTTTATCCCTAGGGTATTCAGCCGAGCTAACCCTTCTCGGACTTGCCCGTGTCCAAAATCCTTTGCGATAATCAGACCATATGATATGTGATAGTGGATTTCCTTTTAAAATAAATAGAATTAAAGTTGAGTGTCTAGCCATCCGGCAACTTTCAAATAGCCGTCTTACCATGAGACAGCTAACAAAAAGAATCGCCAAAAGAGGGAGGAGGCGTGTCGTCTTTCCCAAACCAGCAAGTGTAAGTTTATGACAATCTGATATGGATCCGCCTCCTCACTATTCAAGCGGAGCCCATTTGGCCGCAAGAAATCTTCCCCATGATAGATCAACCGAATCAATGGAAAATTGATAAACTCCCGCGTGTATATGCAATCTAGTTTTGGGTTACATCTGATTAGGATGCAAGAAGATCAATCAAGCAGATCGGTGAAACATCGGGCTTGAATCCCTGACCTTGCGGGGACTTCCCGGAGCTGGGAACGTTTCAATCTTTACATGTATCAATCTTTACGTGTATCAATCTTGTACTGGCGATAGTGGATGCCTCAGGTTGGAGGTCAGGGTGAGATGGATTGGCAGATCTTGGATTTCACTCTCGCCTCTTACTTTCCCCGTCTATCCCAATCAGCGGAATAGGCGAATTTCTTTGTTTGTTTTATAACCCATAATTGCCTCCCTGGGCTGTTGCAAACCTCATTCCCATTTCTGTTCGCCGGATCTTTTTGTCCCGAAAATCGTAATTCATTTTCTTCTTCCTCCTGACCAAACGGCCAAGCATGACTATTCTTCATGGAATATTGGTCCGCATTACAGTGTTTCTATTGTTTGCGCAGTACTGTCAAGCAAAAACAGTGAATCTGGATTTCAATGTCACTTGGGTCACTGCGAATCCTGACGGTCTCCATGAGCGCAAGGTGGTGGGTGTGAATGGCCAATGGCCTCTACCTGTTATCGAGGTTGACAAGGGGGATCGTCTGATTGTGAATATGTATAATGGTCTTGGGGATAAGGACACTTCTATTCATTGGCACGGCATGTTTCAAAACGGTACCAACAACATGGATGGTCCATCAATGGTTACCCAATGTCCGGTGGCCCCCGGCGACTCAATTACCTACAACTTCACAATCCCTCAAAATGGCACTTACTGGTATCACTGCCATACCGACGCCTGCTACCCGGACGGCTATCGACAGGCTTTGATTGTACACGATGATCAGTCATATTTCAACGATATGTATGAGCATGAGCTCACCGTTACAATGAGTGACTGGTATCATGAGCTTGTCGAGGACATTCCGTTTATTCGTGTGGAAAACCCGACAGGAGCTGAGCCAGTTCCGGATTCCTTCCTTTTCAACGATACTTTGAACACCAACATTCCCGTCGAAGCTGGAAAAACCTACTTGATGCGATTGATCAACATTGGTGCTTTTGTGGCGCAATACTTCTATATCGAAGATCACAGCTTTCGTATTGTTGAAATCGACGGAGTATATGTTGACGAGCAAGAAGCTGATATCCTTTATATCGCCGTTGCGCAACGCTACTCTATCTTGGTCACTATGAAGAATTCTACAGAAAAAAACTACCCAATCGTTACCGTTGCCGATTCAGTCTTGTTAGACGTGATCTCGCCTTCTCTACAACTCAATCAAACCAATTGGCTCGAGTATAATAGCAGTGCGGCGCATCCACAAGCCATAATGAAGGTAGAAGTTGCCTCCGATCTTGTACCATACGATGACATGAAGCTCATTCCTCATGATCGGATGGCGCTCCTCCCAGAGCCCGATATGACCATCGAGGTTAACGTCATTATGGCCAATCTGAACAACGGCGCTGGATATGCATTTTTCAACAATATTTCCTACACGAGGCCCAAGGTTCCGACATTATACTCAGTCCTTACTTCTGGGGATTTGGCGACGAACGAAGTGATTTACGGAGAATACACGAACCCGTTCATTCTCGAGCACAACGCGGTCATCGAGGTCATTCTCAACAATCAAGACGGTGGCTCACATCCATTCCACCTGCACGGCCACAATTTTCAACTTATTAGCCGTACCCCATCATATGGCGCTTCTTTCTATGATTTCGCCGACGGTGAACCGGTCGCCTACAATGCTACCGAGAACCCCTCGAGTAGCTTTCCGACCTTCCCTGCTCGCCGGGATACCTTCGTCGCACCGCCCCAGGGCAGCTTTGTTATTCGCTTCCGAGCTGATAACCCTGGTGTGTGGCTGTTTCATTGTCACATCGACTGGCACATGTCGCAGGGCTTGGCGATGTCATTCATTGAAGCCCCCAGGCAGATCCAAGAGCAAATGTCGCTCACAGACAACGAGATCAATGTTTGCAAGGCTGCCAATATTTCCTACGAGGGGAACGCCGCCGCTAACACGGAAGACCTATTCGACCTTGCCGGTCAGAACAAGCAGCTTCCGTGGCTCCCTGCCGGGTTTACAGCGAAGGGAATTGTCGCCATGGTTTTCTCTTGTGTCTCCGCTTTTCTGGGAATGGCGTTCATCACCGTCTACGGCATCTCAGACATCAAAACTAAGGACGAGACTGCTGTGACTACCCAGCGCGATGATCTGTAATGTCTATTTACTTTCTTCTGAAAATTTCAATTTCACTGAGTCGATCTGCGTATAGTAGTATTTAGATACCATCACACAAGAAAATATATTTTGCTAGACAGATAACCAGTACCGCCTCGAACAAAGCTTGATGTACAAGTAATTAATCAGTATCAGCCTTATAAGGCAATTGTCACTCTTATCAATCACTTTAATTGTTCAGAGAATTAATAGATATGACTCTTCGCCAACTGGCTGGTGAGCAAGCCGAGCGTTGGGGGCGCGATTGCTAAAGAGGTTAAACAGATACAGACCGAATACTTGACAATTGTCGACGGGCGCAATGATGAAGATTTGGCAGAAGGTGCTATGAGGCAATTGATTCAAATCCAAATGCGGTTGCAACATTTCTGGGGAAAGACCCAAGAGATTCTGGAGGAAGAAATTGTCTACTAGGGACTCCACGGAGAGATGTCAGGAAAAAGCCAACTATAGACGCTAGAAGCTCTCACAAAGAAGACGGTGGCCGCAAAGATACCAAATCTTATTCTGGTACAGCCTCAGTCTATTTTCTACCAGAGACTGGAATCCCTCGGAGTTCGTGCCATACACCAGATCGGCAAGACCACTTTGAGACAGGTAGGCGTAGTACTTCTTCAAGGGACTGGAGATCAAGGGTGTCTGCTGTATGGCCGAATATTGTCACTGCTGGACACCAGACGCCTGACATGGGAATTTGAGGCTGCGAAGAGACCTGTAGATTTTCGAACCCCATTTTGAATGCAACTGGTAAAAATAATTTAGGGAAGTTTTTAGATACATGTAACTAGACGCTTTGTCAATACATCTATATTTAGACTACCCCTTCATAAATATACACACGATGCGGGGAAGTAAACGAAAAGAATCCGCGTCGGCACGGGTGCCGATGATGAGCCTTATCTCCATCGCGTGACGCTTGCCTGTCCCCTCAAGGCTCGGAAGTGCCCCGAGTTTCTGGTGAGGACCTTTGTGTGTTTTTTCTACATCGGTTACTGGGACTTGAACTTGCTGACACCGGGCAACCCGTCTTGTAAAATTTTTCTCTTTAATAAACTCCTTGTATCATGAACACACTTAAGATCATACTGACGAAATCTCCAGCGAGAGAAAGAAAAAGACTACCGAAATTCGACACCAAACCCAAATTTAATGCTGCCAAAAAATCAGTAACTAATCTTTACATGGGAACTCGTTTCCGACTTACAGCAATGTCCTCCCACTTCTCCCAACCACGTCCTTTGACTTGAGCCAGCTCTGCGTCTGTGAGCTGCTTACCAGTGGTGAAGTATCCCGATTGGATCTTAGCATCAATCTCAACCCGCGAGTCGCTAGGAATCATCTCGTCGGGGATGGGGATACGCTCGACAATCTCGATTCCGCTGTTGACGATCGCATCGTGCTTCATATTAGACATTGACAGCATGCGGTCGATCTTCGTTATACCAAGCCAGTGCAGGATGTCGGGCATGAGTGCTTGGAATCGCATCTGCAAAAAAAGGTAAGCATTGTGCAAAAGGTCCCTGGGGCTAGGAATCGTACATCTCGGACTCCGGCGATGTTCTCTGTCCGAGTGAAATATTTATCGGCAGTATCACCTCCACGCTTGCGCGCATTGTATACCAGGTACTTGATCACCTCTCCCAGGGCTCGACCTTCCTTGCGGAAATAGATCACGACACCACTGCCTCCATTCTGAGCCTCGCGAATGGCTTCCCGAATACCGAAGGCCAAGTATGGTCGACAAGTGCAAATGTCCGACTGGAAGACATCACTGCCGTTACACTCATCGTGAACTCGGAGGGCCAGCTTGACATTCGGGTCTGAAATACGCTCTGGAGGTCCGAAGATATACACGGTAAGGCCTCCAATGGGCGGCAAGAAAGTCTTAAGATCGGGCCGAGTGATGAGCTCCGGATAGCTTCCACCAGTGTGCTCGAACAAAGTCCGACGGAGAGTGCCCTCATCCACGCCGAAGCGCTCGGCAACCCCTGGCAGATACCAAACCGGCTCGGCAGCAACCTTGGTTACACGAACCTCGCCCGAAGAGTCCACAAGAATCGACCCATCGACGTCAAGCAGACCGTTTTTGACGTCATCAGCAATCTCCGCGAGCTTCATGTTAGCACGAGTGACGGCCATGGTGGGACGAATATCCCAACCCGCATCCAGCTCCTCCTTGAACTGGTTGACAATGTCATGGCCATAAGGATCCATAGAGACGATCTTGGTCTTATCCGCCCACGCAGCCTGCCAAGGGAAGTTGAAGGTGGGCTCGGAGTTGCGGAAGTCCGGTCGGAAATTCGCATCCAAGTCGCCTGCGGCAATTGCGAGAGCATTGTAGATGCTGTAGCTGCCGCCGTGGGCTCCGATGGCATTGCGGCGCTTGAGGAGGTTCCCACTGCGCGATACAACTATCGGCCCGCGGGATTTGGCATCGGCGGCACCCCACTCAAGAGGGACCGGCTCAATGCCGCTCTGGCCTGGATATGTGGTCAACTATACTCAATGTCAGCTTCTCATTCATTGGCCCGGGGAAAGTCCCTTCGCTCATACGATAATATGATTGCTGTGTCGGGTGTTGGTTGTTGGGGAGTCTGGGGATGGCTGCTGGGCAGGGGCAACCGGCACCTCGGTGACGATAGGCTCTGTTTTCAACATTATTAATACTTGGATAATACTTTATATTCTCTGGATCAGAATGAGAGAAGTTCAAGAAAGAAAGAAAAGGCAGAGAAGAGGGAGAGAGGGGGGTTGTCCATGTGACTTGTTCTCTCCGCACGTTATCGCAGAGGGGGGCTTATCTCATTGTGCAGCAAAACAAAAGGTACATACTTGTTCTATTATTGTTGGTTGATTTTGATGTAGTATCTTGTATAAATCAAGTAGCGGTCACTTATCAAACTGTTCTAGAGCTGTCGAGGTTATCGCATACATAATACTCCATACTATACTGTAGACCCATTTTATACAATCAATTGTCTCCACCGGTTTCCACCGGAGTTCTTTCGGCATTCATTTCTAACTGGTCGGAGTTGTGAACGCCGACCCTCTCTCGCTGTTAGGCATTTGGTGTTACAGGGTTTCACAATATTGTCTTGTGCCCAAAAGGAGGGTTTGCCCTCAAATTTTAATTTCTCATGAGGTGAATAACTTGCCTTTCATTTATTGCCGACGTAAAGTGGCCTTGCTAGTGCCCACTAACCACCCACAGTACCTCCCGTCGCCGCAATGGCAAACCAGCTTCTTGCGAGCCATGTCGCCGAGACAAAGTCCGCTGCGACCATACATTACCAGTGTGTACCCGTTGTAGAGACCGTGGTCTTTCCACTCGTTGTTTCTATCATCCGGCGCCCCTGACGCGGCCGAAAGGCCGTCGCATTTTCCCACTGGCAGAAGGAGTACCTTTTGATCGAGTTCCATCAACAAGGTATGTCAATACAAGTATATTCAATCTATTTTGTCCTATCGTCAAACGATCTATGTCGATCAGTGGCTGCCCAATGGTTGAGCCAAGTGCCGCCCCTTCCCCCCAAATGTGCTTCGTAGCTTCTGCACGCATTCGATGACTCTTATGGCTCTTGATTCCCAGGAACCCTCATTTGAATGAAACATCATTCAATTCATACGTGGCAAACGAGGTGCAGGAAAGCACTTCAAAACCAGCCTCCCGCACCCAACCACTCCTTTCTGGCTACTTCGGCCCAACCAGTTTCGTATCCCCTCTAACTGAGGATGTCGACCTCAGATCAGACGGCCAAGGCCTAGGCCAAAATGTGGAGTCCTCACAAAGAGTCCTGCCCCCCTACTGGGTCCACAAGATCTCCGAGGTTCTATTAACCCTAGGCGACTTCAGCTCAGTGGAGGCTTTGATCCGAGAATATTATGCCTTGAGCCAAAGCGCCGTGATCGCGGCACCTTTCGTGCTAAACAGCATCAGTCCGATGCAGGCCATGTGCAAAGAAAGTATATCCAATCAAAACCTTGATGATTTGGCGTCTTCTCTCACAGTGCGCATCATTCAAAATACATCTGAGATCTTCGAAGTTCCATCTTCGACGAGAGGGAGAGATTTTCACACTCTCTTCACGGGTCAAACTATTCGTCTCGAAATTGTTGGGATCATGTGCGCGCTCGCCGGTCGGGCAAGATATCTTGGGCTCGCCCGAGACAAGTTCACAGATGGCCAAACCTCGCGATCTCAATATGCACGCAAGATGCTTGCGGCCAGTGACGCCGCGTTGTATATTTGCAAAATCCTCACGCCACTCAATGATCTTACAATATGGCTGGTACATGAAAATCTCCTGTTGTCAGATTTAGTCAATGGCGATTCCAGTATGTTTAGTTCAATTTAGCTATTACGTTTGCACTGACACTTTCTAGGCCCATCATGCTGGAACCGGCTCGGTGAGCTTTCCACTGATATCTTCGCTCTTGGTCTCCACCGAGACACCAAGAGCTCAGGCGATGTACCAGAATTCCTACTGGAGACACGTCGGCGGCAGTTTGCTGCGGCCTACCAACTTGACAAAAGCATCGCCACATTCCTCGGCAGGCCACCGAGAATACCATGGCGATACGCAGACTGCCGCATGCCTCTCGATATCAGCGATGAGGCATTAGCTACCGATAACATGGTCTTAGACTACTCTCATGATTACATTGATGAGAACGGTTGGAGTCTCCATGGGGTCGTCCAACGGTCATCATGGATGCGCGTACGTTTCATCGTGAGCACATTCCGGGATGAGATTCTCGAGGTTTCTCTCCGGAGATTGACACCTGATATGGAAGACATGCTTGAGTGAGTGTACGATCACTCTCTTCTTCTTCTTGTAGCCGCTGACACTACGTAGGGATATCTCCCGGCGGTGCCATCTGGCATGGGAGGCGCTGCCGATCCACCTCCGCTACACCCCCCAATGCTGGGACAACAATCTTCCTATAGCAGTCTGTCTCATGATGATTATCTCGTACCTAGCATATCTCTATAACGACTTCCTCATCCAGCGGCTCATAGCCGGGAAGAACAATCCTCGAGGAAATCCAGCGTTGTTGGCCGTGAGTGCGGGTATTCTGTCAACAGTTTTGACCCTAGGCACGCAGCGCGAGCAGATGGTCGACATACAACCTGATTTCACATGGACGGTTTGTGTTACCCCAATACCACCTTTAATTTTTCAGGATTTAATTGAGAGCAGGTCCTCTTATACGGGTTTCCCAGTGCAAGTCTACTAATCAAAGCGCTTCAACATCAAAAGCGCACGGGCGAGCCATTCCTCTACGATTCGTCGAGATCAGCACTGATCCGAAATTTGAGCGTCTTCATCGCGCATCTTGAGTCTATTGCGCGCCCTGATAACGCAAATTACGCTCTTTTTCAGCGAGCGAGTCAGGTGTTCTCGAAGATAATTGATGAGATTCTGGAGCCGCAGTCTGTCCTCGCCGCTGAAGATCTGGGTGACTCTTCCCTCATCAATTTTGATTCAATGATTGAGGTCGACGGATTGGACTTGTTTAATAATATGGATTTTGGCGTCGCCTTTAATCAGTGGCTGTTCTAAAGCACTATTTCGACGTTGATACCCAGGTGCTCTGTATATATGTCGCTGGAAAAAAAGGCTGATTGACATCCAATCTCATTTTCTAGCATCATGTGCTCCTGCAAACCTTTAGCCCTAGCACTGAGATTGTTCGAACAGCAATGGTATTACTAAAATAAAAGAATAGAATAGAATAAAACCCCACAAACAAACATTAACATCATCATCATCATCCATGTTCAGCGACAGCTATAAGCTCTCAACGTCGTGATACATATCACCTTCTTTCCGTCTCACTCACTTCCACGGTCTTGGGTTGGCCATCTCCCGCCTCACTCACCCCACTCATAGGTGGAGGAGCGGGCTGACCTTGCGGAGGGGGGTTCCCATGAGGTGGATAACCCTGCTGTTGAGGAAAAACCGCCATAGGCGGTGCGCCAGGAGCACCCACAGGAGGCGGGTACCAGGGGCCGCCCTGTGGGGGGTACGGAACACCAGTAGGCACAGGCACAGGCCCAGGGCGACCAAGTGCGACAGCGGCGGGATCCTTTCGACGGAACAGATACTTCAGCCACATTCCAAGACTTGAGCCGGCAGACATATCTTTCCATCTTGCGACCAGGAAGGCCTGTTCCTCCTGTGATTTTGCAGGATACTTCTTGACTGTGATGAGCGACAGACAAGAGATAATAGGACACAGACAGGCAAATCCGTACGGGAGACCACGACGAGCCTTCTGCCCGAGCATGGCACGGCGGAATGTGAACCAGCTCTCGATCAAGCCAATGATCAGGAATAGCCCGAACCACCCGAAAAATATCGCAAGGGCCAGACCCCATGGCGGAATTCCCCACGTGTAGTGGCATCCGTCCGAGCAACAGTATCCACCGGATAACTCTGAGCCGCCAATGTACCAGACGAACTTGCTGCAGCCGGAGTAGCTGGTTGAACCGCTGCCGCTGGTTGAACCGCCGCCGCCGCTGTACGTGGTACGTCCTGTTCTGTAATAGCTGTCACAGGTCTTGTACATGGATGGTTTGTAATAGGAGCTGGCGGAGGAGTACACGCTGGTGGGGATATCAGAGACATCTAGCATCGCTCTAGTCCTTGTATAGCTTTCTGTGATGTATTGGTAGGTGATCGTGGTAGTGACAACGCTTGGGTGAACGAGATCCTCTGCGGCTCCCGGGACATAGATCGGAATGATGGTTGTAAGTGTTTGGCTTGTTGTATAAGAACAAGACGAGGGCGCCGTATAAGTCACTGTAGCGTAGTGATCGGCATAGTTGTAGCTCGTTTTGATCACGCCAGCTGTGGGCTCAACGACAAGCTGGACTGCTGTAACATCGCCGTAAAAGTTGTACTCAATGTCGGTGAGGGTGCTGAGGACTGTGGGATTTGGTACTGTGGGGGTGATCACTTTTGTATAGGTAACGACCGCAGCGTCTCTTGTGATATATTGCCCAGTGTACCCAGATCCTATGGTTGATTCCACTTCCGCAACGTACTCAGTACCGAACCATGGTGAAGCTATGGCACCCCAGGTCAAAGTCTGCGCTAGAAGCAGAGAGATTTTGAGTAGCTTCATGATATTCGAGGTTTGGTCTGAAGCCGCCGAGATTAGCAGAGAAGCAAAAAAAAAAATAAAGTAGAGTCAGTCTAGGGCTCAACTCTATATATCCTTCAAGCATCCCTCTGAGTCGCAGGAGGCTCACCCACTTCACCATGCCTAATACAGCCGCACTTTTCGAAGCGAAAAGCCACCATCACTTGAGGAAATGAGTAGGCCGTGAACGCTATACAGCGCCAAGGTCAGGGTGTGTCAAAATAGGGGATTAGATTCATTCCTAGCGATGTGATTGGACTGGAGTCCTTGGCAAGAAAGGAAGGTTGGCAGTGATTGCTGTTAGTGCTCGTATTTGATGGGGCCATTGCCCTGAGCACGGGTTGATACGAAGGGCCAAGCATTTATTCCAACGTTAGTGTCATGAGCCCGTGATTGCTCCTTTAAGGGTTCTGATACTATTGATTAGACTGGATGTTTCCGTAATTCGGTCGATTGACCTACCTGATGTACCTCTAGACCTCCAACACACATACAATAAGCGGCAAGTCACCGGTGAAATTTAGGGAGTCAATGCACTGAGCGAAGACGGGCGTCTACAAGGAAGTCAAAACGAGCAAGAGAAGTACACATGTCATTGACAATTCGATATGCATAACATGAATCCGTCATTGCCGATTGATATGCATGAAGTGAATCCGGCCGTTCGAATTTAGCGACGTCCGGATAGCAGGATGCAGGATAGTGTCGGGAAGTAAATTGGGCTGCAGACGCAGCAATGCGCAAATTGGTATCTAATTTCCCTTCTTGACCTCCCGCCAACCCGCAGCAAAGAGAAGAGATTTCGTCACTCTTCAGAACATGAAACATAAAATAGTTTGGCCAGTGACGTCGATGAAAAATGTTGACGGAGGCAAGTGAATAACATCAACTCCGGGCTTCGCGTACTCACTGAGCGAACTTAGCCTGAGCTCGGGTGTTCTTGATCGTCTTCTTGATGAGCTCCTCCACTTCATCCCAGTCGCTAGTATCGATGCGATCAATGACGCATTGGAAGTGGTCTTGGATCTTGCGAAGCATCTCCCATTCTTCACGGTTCGAAACGAATGAGATGGCCACTCCAATGCGGCCAAAGCGACCAGTACGACCGATACGGTGCAGGTAGGTTTGGAAATCGGGAGTGTGGGTCCGCTGGCCGGAAGTGTACTCCTCGGGAATATCCTGAGGGAAAAATTAGTTTTCATCGTTAAACGAGAGGTCAATAAGAACTTACGTAGTTGACGACCAAAGAGACAGTTGAGACATCGATTCCACGGGCCAAAACGTTGGTCGTGATGAGGACCTTGGCCTCACCACTGCGGAAAGAATCAATGATCGCATCACGCTGGGATCCTTCGACACCACCAGTCAACGAAGCAACGGTATGTCCTTCGGCAACCATGCGACGCTCGATTTCAGCGGCAGAAGCACGAGTCTGGGGGTTGTTAGTTAGGATCACTCAAACAACCAAACAAATTGGGGGTACATACCCGGACGAAAATGATGGAAGATCCAACAGTAAGCAGTCCATAAAGCTGAACCAAATTCTGGTACTTTTCTTCGTCACTGCCGCAATCCATGTAAAGTTGCTTGATACCCTCAACAGTCAACTCCTCGTGTTGGAGAGTGATTTCATTGGCTCCGGGGGCGAATTTATTCGCATAGCGGTAGACGTGTGCGGGGAAAGTAGCGGAGAACAAGACAATTTGAACATCACGAGGGAGCATCCTGTTGAGTAAAAACTGCGTATTAGTACAAAGCAAATACAGATGTTGGTGGGGGGAGTCTTTACGCTTTGGCACGAATACACTGGTCTCCCAGCCCTTGCTGGTCCAGCATGTTGTCCGCCTCATCCAAGACGAGAACTTTCAATGTGGTGGCATTCATAATGCGCTTTTTGATCATATCTTGAACAGTACCCGGTGTGCCGACCACAACCGAAGCTTCCATCTTTGAGGGGCGAGCGTTCGAATCGGCGGGAACCGCAGTTCCGATAGTGAGGCCATCAAGGAACTGTCCCATAAGCTGAATGACGCCGACAATCTGACGTGCCAATTCACGGGTTGGGGCGAGGATAAGAGCTTGCGGCGACTTCTGCATCTGCTCGGTGGAGAGATCGAGACGGCTCAGGACGTTAAGGACAAAGGCAGCTGTCTTACCAGTGCCGGACTGCGACTGTCCAACCAGGTTTTTGGGCGGATTGCTCATCAGAAGAGGCAGAGCGCGCTCCTGGACCTTGGAAGGCTTTCGAAAGTTCATGGTGGAGAGACCCTTAAGAATGCGCTCATCACTGGGGTGGGGGAAACAACCGAGTAAGCCCATGGAACGTTTGCGCAAGTAGACTGACGTAGAAACTCACAGGCCAAGATCTTCAAAGGTTTTAATTGAGTAAAGAGGGTTGTTGGGGTCCGCCTGTAAGTCACTCAACTTCACCGCGACAGTGTAATCGGGCTCCTCAAGGTTCGCTGAACCCTGCGCAGGGGCAGAAGCGCCATCCTCCTTTGGGGGTTCAATATCTGTGAAACATGACATATGTATTAGCTATCAGCCAGGCTATTATCACGGTGGACTGAAGGTCGTGGAACTGAAGATACAGCGACGGTGAGGGCGTTGTTTCGTTCGTACCGGTGGGGGTTGACTCGTCGGGCTTGGTGATACGGTCGGCCAAGGAACCGCCGACAGGGGCGGACTCGGTATTTTCAGCAGACATGGCTTATAATTCGATCAATGACGCGAAGAACAGGTTGAGGGAAGGAAAGCAGCGGGGTGATCGTGGGGTAAAGAGAAAAAGTTTGTAATGAGATGGGATGCGCCCACAGATGGATAACTAAACTGGAAGAAGCTTCAGTTCAAGTAAAGCACCAAGAATGGGAGTGTGAGATAGATAGCCCAATGGAGAACAATCGCTGAATGAAGCATCGGACAACTTCGCGGAAGAGGACGCTAAGGTTCTTTAGATTTCGCCGCCTGAGGAAGAAACAAAACTAGTCCCAATTGGGCCATAGAAGGACGGAGGTCTCTCCCCGCCTGAGATCAATGCTTCAATACCTCATTGAATGCTATTTAATTTTTGACAATAATCTATGTTTTGATTCATACTGAGACACCCTCACTCCTCTATTAGCAAAGAATACTGATCCTAGTATTTTTTCAATTGTTTGGCCTTTCCATTTCCCCGCGCTTGTCTCATGCGCGTCTGCCTTGCGACCTCAACCAAGCCATGGCCGACGTTGCTCCACAATTCGGAGCAGAGCTGAAGGTAAGATTATTGATTGACTATTGTCGCATATGTTGTAGCTAACCAATTCACAACATTAGGACTCCTTCAAGCCTGTCAACAGTTGGGTACGTCGCCGAAATCGCTTCCCCGCAACCGGCCCATCGGATTACTGCGTGCGCTGGATCGGAGCTAATGCATAATGCTTTGCCACAGGTCTCGAACGGTATATCGTGGGTGGACGAGATACATCAATTCTACCGCGAACGCAGCGTTATCGAAAAGGAATATGCTTCCAAGTTAGCCGCCTTGTGCACCAAGTACCATGATCGAAAGTCCAAGAAGATTAGCCCCTTAAGTGTCGGCGATACACCTACCTTGACCCCGGGATCTCTCGAGAGCGCATCACTCACGACATGGACAACACAACTGAATGCCGTGGGATCTCTCGCTGCCGAGCGAGACAAGTTTGGATCCGAATTAATAGCGCAAGTGGCGGATCCTTTGAAGCAAGCCGCCACTCAATATGAGGAGATTCGCAAGTCCCATGTTGAATATCATGGAAAACTGGAAAAGGAGCGGGACGCAGCATATGGCGATCTCAAAAAGGCAAAGGGAAAATATGATGGTGCGTGTCAGGAGGTTGAATCCCGCAGGAAGAAGATGGAATCAGCCTTTGATCATGGCAAGAGCAAGGCACAAACGGCATATCAGCAGCAAATACTGGAAATGAATAACTACAAGGTATGGCTTGTTGAAACCGATGGTTTTTCGTCCCACTCACAAGCTAACTTCGAGACAGAATCTCTACCTCATCAGTATCAATGTGACAAATAAGCTCAAGGAAAAGTTCTACCATGAATATGTCCCTGAATTGATCGATGTAAGATTTTTTTGCCTTCTCACCATTAATACTTTGGATCAACAACGTTTCTCATACCTTCCTATCAGGGCCTACAACACCTCAACGAAACCCGAGTGGCAAAAATGAACGTGATGTGGACTCTCGCCGCCCAGCTCGAGAAGTCCTCCTTCCAAAACAGCACGGAGATCATGGCAAACCTTCTCGTTGAGATTCCTCGCAACAACCCACGACTGGACTCATTGATGTTCCTCCAACATAACGTGACACAATCACAAGAACCTGCTAATTTTGGCTTCGAACCCAGTACAGTATGGCACGATGACGCCTCATTGATCACCGATGAAGCAGCCAAGGTGTTCCTGCGCAATGTTCTAGGTAAGAGTAAGACTCAAGTCCGCGAACTCCGAGTTGAGGCAGATCGAAAGAAGCGTGAGGTGGACGCCGGCAAGAAAGTACGAGAGAATATTCTCAGCGGCAAGGATAATCGAAATGAATTGGACGTCCTTCGATCCATATTTTACACGACAGAGTCCTTGCACGAGGTGGATCGCAAATGGGTAACAGCCGAGGTAGAAACAGCAACCATCATCGCTGTAGCTGGCGATCTGTCACTTGGAGCCCAGAATCACAACTTCCGCTCACAAACTTTCAAAATCCCGACAAACTGCGATCTTTGCGGAGAGCGCATTTGGGGATTGTCTGCCAAGGGCTTTGATTGCCGGGATTGTGGATACACCTGTCACAGCAAATGCCAAATGAAGGTACCCGCAGAGTGTCCGGGCGAGCAGACCAAGGAAGACAAGAAGAAGCTCAAGGCTACGCGGCAGGAGCAGGCCGGCTCCGTGCCTGTTGTTGACCTCGACTCTGCTGCAGCATCCACTGCCGCCCCGACGCTCACGCGACAAAACACCATGAATTCCCTTAGCTCTGGATATGCAGCCAGCACGGCTCGGTCTGTATCGAATGTTGCTACTCAGCCCACTCCAGAAGCACCGGCAGAAGAGGCACCAGCCCCGGTTGCAGAGACAAAGCCAGCCGCGAAGAGGGCGCATCGGGTGCTAGCACCGCCTCCGACCGCGTACATGACTGCACCCCCGCCAATTGAATCAAAACCCAAAGAACCGCGAGGCAAGATGATTTACGCATATCAAGCCACTAGCTCTGATGAAGTCACTGTGGACGAGGGTGATGACGTGACAATCCTGCAGCCAGATGGTATGTTATTACATTCCCCTCCTATCAACGACTTGACTTGCTAACCATGTTCCCCAGACGGTGGCTGGATGCGTATCCGCGCAGGGAACAGTGAAGGTCTTGTTCCAACTGCATATGTTGAGGCTGTGGCAACACCATCACCCGGGCCCCCTGCCAGTCCCGCCATGACTGACCGGCCCGGGTCAACGTACTCGAACTCCTCTGCGTCACTGGCCGGCAGCGCTGCGATGAAACGCGTGGGGCCAGCCGTTGCGCCTCGTAGAGGAGCCAAGAAGGTCCAGTATGTCGAGGCGTTGTATGAGTACGAAGCCCGGAGTGATATGGAATGGAACATGACAGAGGGCGATCGGTTCGTTCTGATCACCCGCGACAGTGGAGATGGATGGGCCGATGTTGAGCGGGGCGGTGTCACCAAGAGTGTTCCGGCAAACTATATCCAGGAGGTTTAGTCGGGGATGTCTGCGCAGTATATAGTACATTGGTTGATGGGCGTTTTGCAGAGCATCTCCTTCCGTGGCTGTTTACAAGATGGACATTGGCATCGTTTTGATCTCTTTATTTTGCTTTCGTTGTTTCCCTTCTTCTGTATAGTCTGCATTTTCAGTGCCATTGCCACCATGGTTTTGCATCAGCGAGGAGCGTTGGGGGGGCATTCGTGCTTGGCATCCATTCGCGAAGTCTCGGATATAGCATAGTATACCTTGTTTCCTCTAACTCCCAATTGAATTTGACATGTTAACATCCCAAAGCTAGTGGCATGCCTACCAGTCTGACCGTACCATCTCATCTTCATCTTGACTCGTTACAATAGGTCCATGGTTAGAATCAGTTTCTGCTTTCCATTTTATATGTACGGCTATAGAAGCATATCGTTATCATCAATCATCATGCGAATTCTTAAGCGGGCTCACAACCCGGCCCCCTAATGTTATCCAGATACAGGCGGAAACCCCGTATCTATATGCTCAAACCCAGTCTCAGCCGACCACATATACCTCGACCAATCCTCCACATGAAACACCTCCTCCGCAGCAGGCAATTCCATGTCCATATCTATCTCATCCAAATACCCCATCCCACCATCTCCCAGCGCCAGCGCTGGATCGATAGGGAATTCGAAGGGATTTACTCCTTCAAAGGGACTAACCATTGGCAACGTCTGCACGAGCCGAGGATCCGAAACCGCGGAGGTAGCGGGCAAAAGCGAATACGCAGGATCAAACAGGGCAGTAGCGGCTTCAGCCTCCGATACAATAGGATACTCGTACAACGAACCGGGCGCGGAGTTCGGTAGGGAGCAACCCTGCCCGGTGCTAAGGGTCTGCTCGGATGCAGAAACCGGCACCCTCAACGCAGAGAAAGACGCAGTATGACCGGAAGATTCATTTCCTGAAAACTCCCCCTCCGAGCCCGACCATTCTCCTGCTCCAACGGCATCATGGTAAACGGGAGTCAATCCCGCCGACGAAGCATCCGAAGTCGACCGCGAAGGTCCCACCTCAGACTCATCGAACTTTGAACCCGATCTAGACTTTGACATCGACTTGTTCACGGCGCCTGAGGAGGTCGAGGTCTTTGCCTTTCGGCCACTCACACTCACGGAGCTCGACCTCGACACTGGCGTCGATGCGGAACCGGGACCGGGACGAGGCGCAATGGGAAGGAAACCGGTGGGGTTATGATGCCGCGGATAGAGTCTTCCGTGGGAGGCTTTCTAGAAACAAGAGCAAAAAGCAATCAGCACCATGGCGTTGCAATTTCTCTTTCTTCCATGTGGCGAAGACATGGCGTCTTCTTGGCTTGTGTTGTGTTTGCGTTACTTTTGGACATTTGAGCTCTGCGTCACGTTTTGCGCGCGCGTGCTCGGCTGGTGCTGTGCACGGTGTTGCGTTGCATATCGTGCATGTAGCGAAAGGGCGGCCTTTGCGCTTGATGCGAATCAACGGTCGATCTATGGACGGGTGAAATTGTTAGGATTTAAGTTATGTAGTGGTAGTCGGAGTAGTGGTATATTGGATTAATGGGCAAGGAAAGAACTCTTGCTTTTTTTTAAGGTACTCACCATGATGTTTGCAGCTGGTTACACGGTGGCCCCGTATACAAGCTTCACAAGCCCACTTTTGACCGTCGATAAGCATCACTCGTTAAGATGAGAGGAAAAGATTGTGTGCGGACGGGAGCCAGCATTTATACCTTTTTTTTTTTTCTGAGGAGATCGACCTTTGGACTGAGGGGCCAGTACCTTAGAAGGTCCTGATGACATAGGATGACACAGTAATTTTTCAATTTACTTACTCCGGCCAAAGTGTGTGTCGTGAGAAACCAGCCTCGAGGTATGATTCGACTCTCAGCCACATGATCTACGACTGGCTCATGCAGATTTTGGAGGCTTCCGTACATTGTAGCAAAATGTTTTTACTTATTTCGTTCTCTTAATCCTTGATTGGACCTTGAATCTGACAACAATGCCTAGATATGTACTAGCTCCATATGTATACCATGAGGTACTTTTGACACGGGCGTGGGTCGTTATGGGGTCTGAGAAGCTACGGCCACAGTCAAAAAATACTATCAAAGTACTAAACTAGCTTAAGCTATACTATCACTAACTCGTTAAGCATACAATTTCTCGTTACACTAGTTCAAATAAAATAAAACCACTAGTTTATTTAGTAAAGCAAAACCCATTCCAGCATAGCTATGAGGGATTTCTTGATAAAGAAAACCTCGGTTGGGGGCTCTTCAAAATTGACCGCAACATCCACACAATCCATAACGGAAATTGATACGACCCGGAAAAGTCAGGTAATATACACAGGTCATAAACCGAACCTGAACGTTCCCCCCGGACTGCCAGATTGGTGCTAGATCTTGGCGACAAATCCCTCATACATTGCATCCTTCTCACTGTACTTTTTTTTTCGGAATTGCTCTCTTCGTTATACCGAGACTTGGAACTGCTCATGACTCGAGATTCAATACTCGATAGTTAATTCATCTCGGCAACGAAATAAAGCCCGTTCCACCATGGGGCTGGTGAAATCGTGCACGGGTCATATCCCACATGTCGGGAGCTGCAAGTTTCCCACACTGGTGATCGATACGGCCGATATATTTACGGCCCCTGATTATAGCACCTAGGTAGCTCCCCCATACTTTTAGAATATTCTATTCAAACTGGGCTCAACAAGGGCTTAGAAACTACTGTCAGGAGATCGCTTACCGCCACGTTTAAATAGTGCTATTATCACGAAGTAGGGTGTGCATCGCCAGCAGATATCTATGAATCCTAGTACTCTTAGTACTCTTGTCAGCCAAGCCCTAATCATGGCCAAGGCCTTAGATTGGTTGGTAGGTGGCTGTGCTGTGCTAGCCTTCGCTTAGTGGCGTTACACTGAACCATTCCATCAACCGCAGTAGTCTCGATTCCCGATGGTGGAATGTTTCACAATCATGACCTTGTTTCACTATGCCCGTCAAGGCAGCAGCCAAACGAAGTAGACCGCAAATTTCTCCCAACGTCCGTAAATCTTTGCACATACCTCGGTCCCAAAACAGCTCTAGCACAATTTAAGGAATATTAAGCTCCAGCGTACTCCAATCATTAATGCTTGAAATCAAAACTTGATCGGAACTCGCAATCAAACCGCCATAGCGGCGGATGTACTCCACATGGCTCCAGTATGCGCCATTTTATATACCTGAGGCATTTTCCCTTCCCAATGATTTCTCAAAAACGGGATCTTTCACCGTTTTTCAATTCCCAGACTCCAAAAAAAATTTCGTCGCCTGCCAGGTCACACGGAAAGGACAGTTGGAATCGAAAGGGGGGAGGCTGAGTTCCCAGGAATGCTGCCATTTCATTTCCCCCTTCCTTCAGTGCGACCAACGTCTTTTCGTCTGCTTATCTGCTCCCCAAACTGAAGGCAAACGGTTGCATTTAGACACAAAACGAAGCCCATCTCCTTAGCAAAATTCTTTCTCATGCAGCATTCGACGAGTTGACAGCCAGCATTACCATCTCTTCATGACGATATGGAAATTAACCCCCGGCCGGTGTGTCCTTGATTATCGAATCTGCCCAAGGCCTCGTATTCCAGAGACTCAAGTCTCTGAATCATTCGAAAACGCGCTCCCGCAGCAACCGTGTTTCACCTACTTCGAATACTTGAGCTCGGGGATAGCCGAAAGTGATATTGCTGCCTGCAATCGCCTGTGCGACAGTAAACTCCTGAACTTCGCGGTCGCTGGAGGATATCCTATATTCTCATCTGTGGTAAGTAATCCTGGAAAAGACCATGGAAAACGAAGGGTGCAGACCGGCCTATTTATGTGAATTCCTATCACTCCCTGACACCGCGCGACGTTATCTACGTCTCGAGTGCGATCCTTCTCACGCCTCGTCGGTAAAGCACCCTGTTCGCTCGTTTATATAGCTCATAACACATTCCTGCATAAATCCTGGACCAGACAGGGTCCAATCTGGCCATGGTAATTCCCTCTCGAGTGTTGTGTGTTGTACGGACATCCTTATTGGCAGGATGGGCTTTGTGGTGCCGAGGTACATTCTGTTTGGTTTATAAATTACCATCTAGGTAGAAAGCAGTAACAAAAGAGACTTTGGTACAAAGGAGATATTACCATTGAGCCTCATCGTGGACATTTTCCTCGGGTCTTGTGCGGTTCTGGTTGGCTTTCTTCGGTACATCTTGCCACTAACCATCTGCTCCTTCATGTCGAATCCAGATGGACTGAATCTCTTGCTCTTCACCTGTCAAATTATCAATGGACGTTCTGCAGTCCCTGCCCGGATCATTTGTGACTCTATGATACGGGGTTGGTAGCGCAATTTCAGCATTTCATTCTCACAACACAGCTATCTGTAATCAAGACAAAGCCTCGTTCATAGCTCAAACCCCGACAGGCGATTGCACCCACTGTCTGGTTTCTGGATCCAAACAATCCCTCTCGGCATCCCTCCATTCCCTCACAACCAAATCCGCCCTCTCCCTCGACCTGGGCACAATCCTCGCCGGAAACTCTTCAGGCATACACACAAAACCCTGCGTCAACCGATCAGGATCCGGCAAAATCTCCATCCCATCCCCATCGATCTCCGGCGAAATCTCAAAAGCCCACAAAATCCGCGCCATGCCCAGAAACAAGCTGCGCTCGGCAACATGGATCCCGGGACAGATACGGCGGCCCGCGCCGAACGTAAACACATCCCGCTTCGACGGGTCCGGGTTGGCCGCGGCATCCCCGAAACTCTGGCGGTCATCTGCGTATCGGTCTGGGTTGAATGTGCGAGGACTGGGATGGCGCTTGGGATCCATGTGGATTGCCCACACGTTATTCAGCACGCCCGCGCCCTTGGGTATGAAATACCCGTTGTACTCGTCGTCTTGGGTGACGGCGTGCGGGACAGCGCCGAGAATGGTCGTTGGCATCCAGCGGAGGGTTTCCTTCATGCAAGCCCGCACGTATTGTAGCTCGGATAGATCGTCCATGACTGGAAGGCGGAATGGGCCTACGACTCTTTCAATTTCTTCTTGGGCTTTGCGCTGGACGGTTGGGAATAGCAGCATCGCTTGGATGAAGGCGTACAGCGTGCTCGATGTTGTGTCTGAGCCGGCTTCTAGGAGAGTTCCGGAGATGTATGCGGCTTGGTCATCGCTGAATCCGTCTTCTTTCTGGGCTGAGTACATTCCGGCGCAGAAGCAGGGGTTGATTTTCTTCTGGTGGGTTTCTTCCTTCGCACGCAGCCAATGGCCTAGATATAATTCTTTCTCGTGTTTGTGGAGTTCCTTCGCCTTTTCCTGTGCTGGGAGTAGAAAGTCGGGCAGATTTCGTAGCCATGGGTAGAAGTCAATTATGGCAGCTGTTCCGGTCTGGTTGATATCTGCAAATTCTGAGAATCCGTCGAATAACTGCATCATCTTCTCGTCTTCGTAGGTTGGAGTACGCCATCCGAAAACCATTGTGGTTGTGAGAGCATTCGAGTATCGTCGAATGTGCTTCAAAAAGCCTTTTGGTTGCGTGAGGAACTCGTAGAGTAGCTGTCGGTTCTCCAACATCTGGTAAGGTATGTATTTCTTCGAAGTAGTGACGTTGAGCAGACCATGTACCATTTTGCGAAACTACATAAGTCAGCATTAGATATCCAAAAGATCATTGTTTTGCTTACTCCGCGCCATGTTGGACCGTAACCCTAGAGATGAACATGACATGGTTAGCTATAATGCATCTTACTATTTGGTCGCTTCTTGCAAGCTCACCATCATTAGCATTCTTAAATTACCGCTGCACAAAGTTTGCCCAATGTACAACTCCGGGCGATGTGAGTATATACCACTCCGCTTGTCCAGAAGCTCCTTCACTGTCTCATCACTGGATAGGACAATCAGACACTTAGTACCTAACATCAAGCTGTAGATGGGGCCATATTCGCGGGCCCATTTCTCAAATTGAAGATGGGCATCTTGGGAAGGCATCTGGAGATATAAGATTAGTTCGATTTGAATGAATCCCGTTGCTAAGTCTTACTTGATGAATGTTCCCTAACAGGGGCAACGTTGATGGTCCTGGGGGGTAGTTCTTGGGTCGTCGTCCAATCCTCAGAATGCGAGAAAGTACCAATACAGCAATAGCTGATCCTATCAATAGAGTAATAGGAAGCATATTTCTTTGGTCTTGCGGTGTGATTAATGCTCAAAATTATATGATTGCCAGAGCTGTTTCTCGAGGCTTAGCATCACTTGTTGACGACAAGCCCGATACTTTATATACACCAATGACATTGTATTCTATCAACCTTGACATACTTTGGTCAATGTAGTATCACATCGGAGTTCAGAGTGGGGTGTGCATAATTGCGGATGTGGAGGTGGGCATTTGCGGACTTCGTGGGGAAATATCAAGATCATGACAAAGTATAACGTTACTTTTATGTATGTTATTTCTCATCACAATCACTCATAGCTGGAGAGAAACATAATATCATAGAACTTTGGGTAGCAAAATGCCTGGGAGCGGTTGCAAACCCTCCCAAACTTCGTTATCACATCGCTTTCGTGAAGGCCGTAAAGTTGAGCTATCTTTGAATTGGTATTTTGGGACTCTTTGGACGACCACGTCTGCAAGAACAGATAACACAACCAAGCACCAACAGCAGCAAACCCCCTCCAATACCCGCAGCAAGTCCGATAACCAGCGTCAAATGATCATCAATCCACGACGAAAACGAATCACGACTTGACCGGCCATTGCTGCCATTTCCCCCTTGGTCAGTTCCTCCTCCAGTCCCTATTCCAGTATCCGAACTATCGCACTCGCTACCTCCCTTCCACTGACATGTCACAGAGTCGCAGCATTGAGTATCCTGCTCGTCACACGACCCATCCCCGCAATCACACGCTTCTCCAGACTCGACAATACCATTCCCACACTGTCCACCAGTGCCAGTACTGTTTCCATTGCGGGAGTCCACCAGACAGCGCGCATCAACCTGCCCTGACCCCATCCGAGAACAAACATTTCCTATAGTGCAGGGCGAGAAACGCGTCATACCCCGGCCAGATACAGGATTCATGATGTATTGTCCACCGGCATCGCAGGTATTAGCAGACATCGGGCAGCACTGCGATGAGCCTGTTCCACAGGAATCGGAATTGCAGTCGTGGACAGCGCCGAATGTATGAGCGGATTCGTGGCTTTTATGAAGATGCGTCAGCTTGAACATAACATCATATCTTAGGAAATTCAACAGCCATGCCGCTGCTTCACTTACGCAAAAACCTGCCATTCGGACTGTGTGCGCGCAACGACGTTGGCGCTGGCTCCGCCGTTAATTGCACCAGATCCAGACCCAGAATTGCACAATGCGCCAATCCAAGAGACGCCGACCTCGCCTCCGTTCACTGAACATCCGGTCAGAAGAGTCCAATATGCGTTCGTGTCACTGATTGAGCTTCTCCACGAGGAGAAACTCTGAAGACGAGAGTTCAAATCGCCCTCGGAACATGGAGCATTCCACGTAGATGTCGAGGTAGTCGTTGGGCACTCATCGTCACTTATAGTCAGATTCTGAATGCTGAGGGAGACATTGAAGCTATTTTCAAATACAACCGAAGCCGTGTTCACCATGTTCAAGATGTATCTGCGGGCAGATTCCGAGGAATTGAAGCTTGCGCTGTAAGTACAATCGGTCATGATACCGATGTTGGCAATCCGTCTTGCGTTCGGACAACCGTAGGTATTTCCAATGTTCTCTGCCAGATTATCGCCCCATGCATTCCATCCAAGCTGCCGTTTGTCTAGGAACTCTTCATGTGCAGTGGCGCACGAGTGCGATGTGTGATTGCCGACTGTGAAGTCTGAATTGCGTTTGTGGGCTATCATTTTCGGGGACTCATTGTCATCTCCCTCCAGCTGCACCTCGTACTGCGAGTCAAAGAGGGTGAACGTTCCATCAAACGAGACACCTTCTTTACCTTGGCTGACAGCAAAGCGTGCCCATCCAGCGTCCTCCCACTTTGTGCCCGCTCTTTCTTGAATCCATACTGATCCTTTGGTCAGGTAGAGCCTGGGGATGGACTGTCTTTCGCCCGTTGTTCGTCTATTTGAATGCTGGACAGTGGCGTCTTGTGATATAAGGTCGTCGTTTGTTTTTAGGGAGAACTTGATCGCAAACTTTAATTCGTCGATGTTAGTGATGATATCAAAGGCCGATACCGGTCGGCCATCACTCAGAGAAGGGTATGTGGTTGGATTGGTAAATCGAAATGCGCTTGCTTCGGCTAAGGAGGTTGGTTACTCGACTGATCACTTCGGGGTTTAAGACTGCCATCATGCTCACATGGTAAAGCTGACACCGACACCGGAACGAGGAATACAAGTGAGACTATATAGACGAACAGATTTGATTGCTTCATTCCAGGCGTTATAATTCCGTACTGTGTGCTATCCAAGACACATAGGAGCGACAACTTCGACGTTATATATATCTACACATAAATCATGCATCCGATGATTGCCCAGCAATTCCTTGGCTGATTCCATGTCTCTCCTGCAATGTACGTATAGGTACGAGAACGAAAGAGTCGCTGACATACAGCCCAGTCATCCAATAATTTCAAAAGGTCCCAGTCTAAGCCCCCCGGGAATAAGACCATGCCAAGTAGAGGGGGTACGAGTATATGGTAAGAGCGCCGACATAGGAGTGACAAGAACCACAATATCACCCAGGACCATGGGTGTTGATATTCGGCTGCCTTGAGCTTCTGAGTACACAATATCATCTAAGCCCCGATTCTTCTTCTAAGAAATCTGTATTTATAATCATATCAAATTATAAACCATAAACCAGGGTCTAGCTCGACGTTATGGTGAACAATATCTCCACTGTGGATCTCTTGGCTGTCAGCCACTTGCATATCTGATCTCCGAATTTTGCTGCCTTGATGAGTGAGTCGGTCCCCAAGGAATTCTGGAATGCCAAGAAATGATTAACATTTTATTTTAAGAGTCCGGGGAATCGGCATTCACCGGGTTGTGGGACATGCCGAATAGTTACAGGTGTGGTCTGATTGGGATAGTTATTGGTGGTTGTGCTTTCGACTTCGGGGGATATTCGGGTACCAGAAAACGTGGACTTCTCGCTAGAATTATTGCCGTGTGAAACACGTTCGAAAGACGCATACGAACTTATAAACATTTTTAATGTTGAGCTTGACTTGACATAAGGGCTAGATAAAGATAAAGACAGCGTTCTGACAACTCTAGTTCAACGATTGCCCACTTAAAACCCGTGCGCTAACCAAAAGAAAACTGGCGTGGCCGATTTAGCCTCATTTGCTCTGGGAGTACGTATATTCGTACGTAGTAGAACCTAAAATTGAAACACGTGGATGGATGATATAAGAAAGGAATATGTTATAAGTTCAATTTTTCTTCTATCTACTATATTTCAGTCCAATATTATTAGCCATCATACACTAAAATAGATGTGTATCTAGATCCATTTGTCTGAAAAGCCAAGTCCTTAGCAAACTCCACAGTAATCAACACCGAGAAACCAGAGCTTAAGTCCGCTGCCAAGCCTACTGAGCCACAGACTACGTTATCATCCAATAAGCGCCAAGAGTTGCTCCGCATGCCATGGGAGTCTTGATCTACAACCCAAATAAGGTCTAGTCCCCAGTCGAGAAAGGTACATTAGTTCACTTGGTCCCCGATAACCCAAATAAAGTAGTCTAAATCTCTCACTCTGCCTTTACTCTTACCTCCTCCTACTCCTCCTCAAACAGATAAGATAAGAATGTTCCTCCGGCCGTTCTTCACGGTCCTTCTCGTCCTCCTCTTTTGTCTTCATGCAACATGCGCCACAATAAAGATTCGGTCCGTACCGATCTCAAACACAAAGGAAGTCCTCGAGCACACAACTGAGCCCATCTCACCCTCAATACACGACGCACCACCAGTAGCAGCTGTACTTCGGCGGTCCAAACGTCACGAAACAACGATCGACTGGAGAGAGGATCAGGCTTTGAGGCTGGAGTCGGAACGCGAGGCGGGATTTCGTCTGGGCTCTTATGATGACAATAATAACGACGATGATGACAATGAGTGAGTGGGCCTTTTATTGTTAAGAATTCTGCGTTGCCTTTTGCTCTGCTCAATGCTGATATCAGCACATTAGTCAATACCCATCACCGGCGTTCTGGCCTCTGTTCAAGATTTGTATTGTTTCAGCGATCGCGATTTCCATTCTGAAGGTCATACGAGACTTGCGTGGATGAACCAATCGAATTTACTTCATGTCCCATAATAAAAACCAGTTTAAATTGTACAACAGGGCCCGACAGTTTCAAATCTGGAACGTCTGAAAGCCCATAATCAAGTCATTGACCTGCCGCATGCTGGTCTGGTCATATTTGTTCAAGAAAGGATCCAGGGGTCCCTCTTCCAGTGGCTCGAGCTCATTCTCTTGCTGAGACGTTCCGAGCACCGCCAAGCGATCCGCCATCAGGTTCGCGAGAAGCCAGTACTCCGGCGCGTAGCGACAGAATCCCATCCGTGTCCACAGTTCCCCCGGTTGAATGTGGGGGTCTTCGATCGTCTTGTGGGGTGATATTCCTTGGGGGAATGTCGTCGAGAATGAGTGCCAGATATCGCGCCAGTTGCTCAGGGCATTGCGAATCGGGGTGAGGATTTGGGAGCTGCCCACTGCGCTGCGGAATTGGAAAATTTGGGAGTGTATTGCTGCAGCAATAAGGGTTAGAACGCTTTTCGACTGATTGTCACGAAATCAACATACCTGATGTCAATGCAAATAAATTCAAGGGACACATTGTGGCAAGGAGATGACGGAAATTGGCGGCGGGATCGGTTTTGCATAGTGACTCGAAGGCTCCGCGGAATGATATCGACCAGTAAAGACTTCTTGGTGGAAGAAATAGTTGGATTTGACGGTGGCATTCGTCTGCTGTGGTAGCTTGGAAGCAGGCTTCTGGCGTTGCCATGTGCAATCTCATCTCTTTGATGACCATTCGCGGAGGTAGATTGTTGAAGATAACAAACGCAGTATCGAATAAATAAACCCAGGAAAATACTCTGCAAAAATTCAGTAACAGTATATCAATCATTGAGAATGAGTTGCTTGAGTTCCAGACTTACCGGATCAACTCCTCTCTGGCCGCATATTCCCGCCATTCAAAATCGTGTCGACCTTGCTCGCTATAGTTCAAATGCATAGCAGATGTGATACCAATGTCTCTAGCCGTCTTCGAATCATTAGCAAATTCCAATCGATCAGCAAGAGAGTAATATCCACTCACAGACACAAGTGTAGCAAAGCGGTAGCGTCGAATACGACTCTTGCTCGCATCGGTGCCCTCCCAATTTTGGTAAAGACAGACTATGTATGCAGCTTGAAGGGCTTGTATCTTGCGTCGCTGAGCTACCATGCTGCCACATGGCGGATAGGTCATATCGCTATTGAAGTCATCGTCAATGAAGACCATCTCCTCAACACAATTGAACCAAGTTCGAGCATCTTCGTTATCGGGCATATCGGGAGATACGCAGGCGCCTTAGAAGAGGTACGTTAGTCTATATCATTATAGCGTTGTAGGAGCGCTTACCGATAAGAGCCATTGCAGCTAAGACTGTGGGTTTTGCTGCTAGAGGGTCGAAAGTTGGCCGATGCACGAAGTTGACATTGGGATGCCATATCGCCCAGTAAAAGCCCAGAAGCCGCCGTAAATTTGACGGCGAAAAAAATTGTAAACATGCACTCTTGAGTGTCAGTGACCAGTCCAGCGTCACGGCGCTGTTCCGTGGTTTTATTGTGACTACCTCTTCGATCAACAAAAGGATCTCGTGGGTCTTGAAGGACAATGGATCATTGAACCAATCTAGGGGGAACTCATCGGTGGAGCTTGTATCACTGATGGTCTCCAAAATCAAAGGTGAGGGAACATTCATGCTGAGGGTCGGCAATGACATGATGCTCTGTTGTAGCTGGGCCGAGATGTGCCGGTCCAACTCAACGGAGAGTTTCTCCCTCTGTTCGTGGGTCCCACAGTCAAAGCTTGATACCAAGCCTGTGTTACTAGTGAATTTACCTAAAAAGTGTAGCGATTGCTGGGGACGTTGTTCGTTCGACGGGGGTGTTTCGAATATTGACGGGGCTTCAGGGGCTAACGGTGGAATTTCTGGCCAGCATGGTCCAGAGTATTGAGCGGAGCCTGTGTCAAATAGAGGATTTATTGGAGTTGTGCCAAAGTCTTGCAAGTCCTCGACGGTAAATCCCCACGGCATTATTGTATTCGACGCCGGAGGCGTTAGACCGATCACTTGAGTATCGACTTCCGGCTCTTTTGGTGAGTGTTTCTCGGTGCTCTGCTGGTTTTGACGTGCTGCAGACCCAGAATCTGTCGGATACCAACACTCAGTGCCTCTCTTTGCACAACTGTGGCACGGTTGATGTGAGCTACAAGCCTTTTTCTGGCGGACGCAGCGATCGCAAGCCCGTCTCCGGGTATATGCTCTCGATCTTCCACCATCACAGGTTCGAAGGTGGCGCTTCAAAACATCAGCACGCTGAAAGGCCCCATCGCACGAACTGCATTGGTATGGCCGCTGCGATGTGTGGGAGCTGATGTGGCGAAATAAATGTTCACGCCGCTTGTATCGTTTGAAGCATACTGAGCATTCGTACTTTGGCGCTGACGCTTCTGTATGTCCTTCCGGTAAAGAACTGTCAGTCGACATTGTTCATACATAGAAATTTGAAATTTATCAAGAGCCGAAGAGTTGGAACTTGCGGGGACGAGTTGTGGGGCGATCAGTGTCTTTAGAGTTTGGCGCGGATGACTTCTTCGGTAATTGATTTTTCCTCGGTTTACGCAATGGTTTTTTCTTTTTGCAATTGCCGATGATATTGTTTAATATAGTAAACATCTCTAAGGTCTCTTGGACGAGCAGTGACTTTGCTGGCAGCAGGTATATGCGGTTGTGTAGACATCTTGATGTCGTATATAGTCGGGTTGAACAATAGGAAAAACCCCACCTTGACGTACTTTATGGTAAAAGTTATAGTGTGGAATTTACTGGCAGAATTTGAACATCTCCATAATTTGGTTGCTCTGCCGGATCAATAACTCCAGTTGATCCATGAAGCTCTGCGGAATCGATAAGTAATGGCAGGAGAAGAAGCATCACGTGCAATGAAATGAACAAGAATTTCTATAACTAGTGAGAGGGTGAAGAACATGATTGCAAGGAACTCTGAAGAAAATGCAGGAGGGTCTAACCCCCAAAATTTACCCCCTCTTTCAAAGAATTTCCTTGGTGGAATGCCATCCCCGTAAACGAAATCCTGATCTTGAAATCGTCATCAATACCTGTACTCCTGGTAACTGTTTGCTTGGGGATGTGACAGATCCTAGAGATCAGACCTCAGAATGCCTTCATGCTCAGGCCTCCATGAGGTACATCAGACGTAGAACATTCATGACACAGAGTTATAATTTCTTTATCTTCGTGGCCCGGAGACCGTGGCACAGAAGGCTCGTGCAAAACTCTAGCCGAACCGGACATGCAAGTAAATCGGTATTGCTGGGGTGCAGCGAGTCGTCTTCATCGGGAAAGCGAAGTGGACGTGATATCACATTATTGTATAGTGTATAGGCCTGTGCCCTCATCTCGTGGTAATAATTCAAGGCCGGCTGTCCAATCATAGTCCACGCTCCCCTGCATCATACCTGTATAGACCATGTACAATGCACAGTATACAATATTGTATGTAGTGTAGGTCCCGCATAGCAATGGAGATCATGGAGATCATCCACCCCTCCTTGCTACATTGTGTATATTGTACTCCACACCCCGTAGAAATTAAGGAATGCCGCCATAAGCCTCGCTTTATGAGCTGCTCATGCTCCGCAGTGTCTCAACATTTGACCTATCTTATAATATCGAATTTATTGGAAGCTAAGACACCATTGGGCGTATTAATTCTCCAGGATGACAACGGTTGCTTCCAAGTCTAGATATGTAAGCCAAGCGAAATCAGAAACCAAAAAAAAGCCACAAAATTGATATCAAAGAGTTGCAATCGTCAACTCCCGACAAAGATGAAGACCCCTCTATCTCAAAACTTAATACAAAGGCCGAATGCTACGTGGTGAACTATATCTCAAATACTCGGAGCAACACCATATAGTCGTCACGGGTCGGCCCTTGGAGCCAAGCGCCCGGGCGCCATGAATTTGTGATCCAGCAATAATATTGTACACTTTACAATATTAAAGATCGATTCAAAGAGGACAAGGTTCAAATCCCGCGATAGTTGTGTCACCCCTGAAACTTTGTATTACATAGTTCTGCAGGAACACCGTCTCGTGCCTATTTTCATTGGCGCTACATTTTGATCGCATGAGCGGCTGCAACTGGGTTTCAAGGTTAGTTTACCTCACCTAGTTGTCTACTGGTGACAAATAAGAATCAGTGGCAGGTTTCCGAAATATTAAATTGGTGATTGGTGTTATGTCGATCAATGTGGTTTTTTGGTGATGTTGGGGCGATCGGCGATCGACTAGTTAGCGCTGGCGAGTCAGGTTGGGCGGTAAACGCTCTTATATTGTATGGTGATTTTGCTTTAGTTGGTGTGACAACCCTGGTACTCTAGCCCCTTCTCTTGGGTCTGCAGGGGTTCAGCGCTGCTACCGTGGCTTTGGGATCCAACCACGAGGTTTTGGTTCTAGAAAGAAAGCATTTCTAACTGTGAAGTCACCTTGTCTTAGGCTTCCCGCTAATATTGGCTACCTAAATGTGGAGAAGTGTATACCTTGATTTTTCTAGAGTTTGAGATTGGGCAAGTAACGTACAATATTGTGATTTGCAATTTGTAATTTGAAGTAGATTAAGTCCACTTCATGATAGTAGGCTGTATGCACATTAAAACATAGGATATTTGCGACCAAATGATATATAGCAAGAATTGAAAGTATGCAAATCCCAACCGTGGCTTGTAGATGCCGAAGAACTCCTCGCTGTGATGTCGCTTGCCCAAAAAACAGAAAAAAACATGATGCGCTTATAAGAATCGAAAAGAGATATCAAGACAAAAGAAATCAAAGGCGGATCAGAGTCCTGCTTGCTGCCTCGATGGCGAAACGTCGAAAGGTCAAAAGATCAAATAGTGAAATTCGCTCAGTCGTGCGTGGCGGTGAAGTAAGTTCGCTCAATTCAACAAGGAAAAATAGAAAAGAATGTGCAGTTCATGCAGTGGCTCGAGATCCCCGACGGCGCTTGAGGTCGTCTCGGCTGAGAAATCGGCGTAATTTAGAAACAAATCGACACGGTACACCATCTACAAAAATGTTAGAACTATATGCGACCGAACAAAATAGGACCAAGTTCGGACTTACCCGTGCCGCGACGAATTGGCATGGAAAAAGAGTCCTCTCGAGGCTGAGTGGTATAGGCCGCAGCCCAATATCCCGTCTCATGGTAGCCGGTGAAGGTGCAGTTACTGGGATTGTACTGTGGCTGCAGGGCCGCGACATGCGGGTACAATTCTGCTAACGGTGAGAGCAACAACTCATCTGGCGGAGGTGACCGTCTGCTGTCGATGCTTCCCCGAGACTGAATCAAATACAAGTTAGATTGATATTTGGTGAAGACCTCGGGAGGTGTATATTACTCACGTAAAGCTCATAGTTGGTCTTGTAACTCATTGTGGTTGATGGAGTATATAGAGTTCAAGTGGGATTCAGTGATTGCAATCCTTCGGATTGAAATTCAAAATGCAAGATGACGAATCAATGTAGGGTCTTGGCCGTGTTATGCAAGTCTGCAGTTGAGTTATGTTGGGATGCAGGATTTAGAAGAAGCGAGCCAGGCTGCATTTAAACGAAATGACAACAAGTTGGAAACCCTCAGCCGCAGCAATTTGGAAGCGGGGAAAATCAGATGTACAATGATTTAATTTAGCATCTAGTAAGCATACTTGTTCTGGATAGATACGATCTTGTTGCATCCAGGAAGTCGGGTTTACCAGGCCCAACGAGGCAATCAGGGCCTTGTCATTGGATAAAAAGTAGATGATCTGAGCGTCACAGCCGATTCAACCGATCTGTCGGAGTTGCCCGATATGGGAAAGCATTTTAAATACGAATATTTAAATTCTTGTGGGATAATCCCTGCAGGCTACCACGAACAGTCTCATCTCGTTCTTGGCTCCTTGCATCCTGTACACGTTTTTGTCTTTTGGTTTTTGGTTTTTGGTTTTTAGTTTATGACTTTTTTGATTTCATTATATTGAAATGCAACATGTAATGCCATACTGCACAGGAAACTGGGAATTATTCGCAGATCATTAGTACAATGGAATAATGACGTGATATGAGCTCCAAAACCCGAACCGATCCGTGATCCCCCACTACAATATAGTGAAAGTAATATAGGGCTAGAGAGAAACTATCAGCGGTCAATTGTCATCTTTTAGAGGGAAAGATGTGGGCCTTAAAGTGTCAGATGTCGCACAGGTCAAAAATCGAAAAGTTAAGCGAGTATACAACTTACAAAAAGAACTAAAAAAGACTAAGTGTGCGAGCCGCCTACAGGGTAATCTCCATATTACTTCCAAATCATGGATCTAGGGCGAGATAGTGCCGAGATTGAAGGAACTAGGCCCAAACTATTGAACTATTGATTACACTAAAAAAATATAGATCAACAATGGGGGTTACCTTGTATAGACTAGTACCTAGTAAATCACAGCCACAGAACCCCTTACTATTTAGGGATAGTGCACGAGCCACATCCTCGGTCTCACCGTGGCTCACGCGTGGCTAGTGAACATCTGTGGCTCAAGCCCAATCTGCGATAGCTTCCCAGATCCACCCTGCTTTACCTCCTCGAAAGCCGAACTAGTCCGCCCTTGATCTTCAAAGGTTATCGAATTGGGCACCCTTGATGGATCGGTCTTCCCCGTCCGCGCTGGAGCGCGGAACTATAAGGCTTCCGCCTCCCCCAGAATCACAGACTATTCTTTATCTCAAAGTCTAGATCTTCAAGCTTGCCTTGCGCCTTCAATCTTTCGAGCTACCATTCTCATTTTACCTATGCCGACTGTCGAACATGTCACTGAGCATGCAGGGTTCAGGAAGAGAGTGCTGGGAAAACTCTCAGCGTATGGAAATCCACGATCCCTATTCTCGCGAGCAACTCGCTCAACGTAAGTGACCCTCTCCATCCTATCCCGGTCTTGCCTATTGTACCGGTTGCACAATGGCCAAAATTCTTATCTTCTTGGTGAAGGATCCGTCGCACAAGGCGCTGAACGCAACTCGGATAGGCGCGAGCGCCCCGACGAGGGCATGAACAATCCAGACGTCCAATCGATTTTGAGCGATAGCGAGTTTGGCCGTGTGGATCCTACCGGCTGGTTTCCGCACTATAAGAACTGTGTGCAACATTTTGTCGACTACAGCCAGCACACGCCTGCAGTGCAATCCATTGCCGCATTTATCAACATCCGACTACCCTGCCAGCGACCATCGGAAACTCCAGTCACCAACTCACAATCGGTACCTTTTGTTTCGCTGCGGCCTTACATCAGGCGCTTGATTGTTACTGCGCAGGACTCGCCGGTCGTGATGCAAGGATTCTTTGGCGGGGACTGGGAAGCCGGTGTGGGCTGCATCTACAAACAAGAGCGCGCAAACTATATGTTTACGGCGAAGAGCAGCGGCTGGGCTTCGACCAAGGCTGCCTACGATATCTCACCAGATGAACAGACTCCCTTCTTGAGGCCCATGCGTGATCCCTCCGAGGACGAAATTCGAGTGGCCGAGGCCCGGTGGAGTGAGTGGCTGGCGATGGAAGACTGGATGGTGGGCGCGCGAACTCCCTGGTAGGACTTAGCTGTGATGAGACACGAATTTTCTTTTCCTTGGATCTACAAAAAAATAGTGATAATTTGGTACCAAGCCCATTATGGCCAATCCTCTTTCGCAAATTCGGATTGTCCCGCTAGTCTGATTTGCCATTCCACTAGCAATGAAATTCATGTCCAAAGCCCACTTTAGCTCGCCGATGCAGAGTTGACAGATCGATCCACTATACCTGCGCTAGCGACTGTATTTTTATCCATCACCATCAAGTGTGATTCTCAATCAGGGGTAAGAGTAGTAGTAGTTGGTTTTTTTTTTTTTTTTGCACCTAGTGTCTTTTCATGAACATTCTTTTTGTAATTTTTTCATAATTAGAATATATACTCCGTACTTTAAAATGTGTCTTTATTATAGTTACCCTACAGGCTGTCATGTACGCCTGCGATAGAAGCTTTTATGAAAATTTCCGACAGCCTATTTACGTCAGTACACTACAAGACAGCTAATAAAAGATCAAAACTCCTCTCGATTTATACTGCAAGCCACATTTGCTCTAATCACATGGTCTTTGTGTAACCAATGTAAAATTTTTGGGGATGAAACCCTAATTAACCTTAAGATATGCTGAGGTCTGTTGATGTCTATTAATGTCTAGTGAGAACATCAGCATAGACCACACCATCATTATGGAAATTTCGGGGTCTCTATTACCTAGGTAGGTTCTCGGCTTACTTCAATCCTTTTGTTGGCAAGAACAACAAAGTGTGGTAACGCAGCAAAAACGGCGAGGTATGGCCGGGTTGTTTATAATTCATTACGCTTGCCAGCAATCTCGTTCCAGATGCTTGTTTACAATTGCTTTAAGAATCACATGTCATCGTAATTCATCGTACCAAGGAACAAGGGTGGATTCCAAATTCTGTTTCACCTCATTAAAGCCAGACCCTCGTCTGTTCATCGGTGTAATTGTTTTTCTGACGCCTGGTGACATTACCCGGAGTTTCTCCGAGACCAATTCCATTGCTGTCAAAAGCCTCAAAGACGCCACAGACGCCATGGGTATCACAGCCTCTACGCTCGACCACTTAGCTCAGGTGCACGAAGTACTTGAATCTGCCGACAAGGCAATCAAATTGGTTCAGAAGGGTCTCGAGCTATGACACAGCCGTTGAAGCTATTCTGGATTTCTGGATTCAAAAATAACCTGGGCTGCGCTTACAGCACTGCTAATGACCATGAAAATTCCTGAATACTTGGAACGGGGGTGTGGAGCAAGAGAGCAAAACACCATATTGATGCATTAATACAGTAAACACTTGCGAGACTCTATAAAAGGGATAGGAATTCACAAAAAAAACTTGCCTATGGAGCATGGACGAAACCTCTTCAAGCTTTCAGAAGCAATGACTCGAGATAGCCCATATGAAGTAGAGGACGCAAAACAGCTGCTTGAAGATGCAACAATATATTTGAGGCTCGACAAGCCCGATGCAGCTACAGCCAGAAGCGAGGAAGCATTTAAGGAGCTGATTGATATCTTTCGGAGATAATCAACTTCGAATTGGCTTCAAGCCTATTATTTATCAATCAACATAGTTTGTCAGGTATGATAATAGCAATAGGTAAGGGCTGGAAGACAAGGAGACCTCACCCAACCTTTTTGCACTATTTGCTTTATAACTGTTCTCTTATTTATTGTGCTTAAGACTATGTTCTCAAGCAAAGTGTGAGAAAACTACAACCCATAGAGACTGGTTATAACCTAACTATAGAAGAGTTTCAAGGTTTGGAGCATACTTCGAGGATAACCACAGAAAACCTAATAGATAGAACCCTATAATGACGGAGTGTCCCTGCAGCTAGTTTGTTTTGCAATATTTGTGCTCTAGGGAAATGTTTCCGCTAGCAATGAAAGTCAATACCAAAACAAGCCCGACCGCCTTAGCACGGCGCCAATGCAAAGTTGACAGAGATCGCCCGCGGATCTCCAAAATCGATAGTGCTGCACCGCCACAGGCACATACGATCAGTATGACAAATACTTGAGCGACTAGCGAATATTCAAAGATTGATTTTTAGGATTATTCTCATTCACATTTATTCATCTTGAAGTCGAGGATTAACTAAATTTGGCTAGGTGTGGGTTAGCTCGGCCTTGCTCGGGGATGTCAAAAGTTAAATCACGCGATATTAGGCCCCATAATCCACACTCTGACTCATGACAGCCTGTCATACTCTATATCGTAAAGATCCAGGGCTCTCAACCTGTCACTTCATCAATTTCAGAATTAATAGTCTCTTCAAGTTGTGACTGCCCTGTCCTTCGTGCAGAAATCGACGCCCCTGAACCCAGGTACCCGGGAATCCCAGCAAATCAAAGGATCACAATGGGATCGGAGGCATGCATCTACGAGCACGATGGTGCCACAATAATGCCGGCGCTCATATCTCAATTGCCGTACACCTTGACTGTTTTACGGCGAGTTCAACACAGCATCGCTTATCCGTTCGAGACAGCAAAAATCTTAGCGACTTTCCCTCCCGGCTCTACCCCTGATCCCGGGCAACCGTGGCTGGCTGCGTGGGTGGATCTCTTTAGAGGCCGCGAGACCCAGATGTTCATTTATTCCAGCCTCGAAGCGGAGCACACGTCAATTCCGCCGATCAACCCTGTCAGCGATAATCCAGCCAATGGCGCGATATTAAAGGTGGACAAGAGTTCGGTTACGGAGCCCAATAATAGCAGCAGCGATGATAAAAATCCCAATCTCACGCAGTCCATTGTTTCATCCTTTGTCGCCAGCCAGCCGGTCCTTGACCTGGCCCGTTCGCAACTATTGGCCTTGCTGTCACATGTCAAAATCCACCTGCTGCCGTCGTACCTGTCATCGCTGGAAAAGTCCGAGCAAGGCACATCTTCTGCTGAAGCTCAAATCTCATCAGCTCCGAACCCTGTCCACAGTGGCGTTCCCTTGATTCCTGCGCCCGATCCACGGGCTTTTCTCATCGGCAGTCTTCATACAGGTCTCTATAGGCTTCTGCAGCGATCAGGCACCTATACGAGTTCGGATTCGATACCCAATATCCGGGTTCATCGCTTCGACAATCCACCTTATTACAAGTACTTTTTCCAAAAATCCGATATCAGCATCGCGGAAGAGCCTAAAATCGCTGCTGGTCATGAATCTGCCGATCTGTCTCTTCCGGTCGGATATAGATTCCACGACCGTGAGGGCAGGGAGGGTGTTCTAAGTAAACATTTGGATCTTGTGCAGAGTCGCACACATATTCCCAGATCTAAGAGGCAGCTTGCTAGTATGCCGGGTGTGGCAGTTTATCAGTCCACCGATGCCGATGTTGATGTTGATACTGATGCTGATGCTGATGAACAACCTATTGCTTGGGGATTCTTGGGTATGGATGGCGCGCTGGCAACACTGCATGTTGAGCCGGAACACCGGGGACATGGGCTCGCAGTTCCATTGTCTAAGGCAATTATGCGGCGTGGGATGGCAGAAGATGGCGTATTCGGGTCGAGGAGTATCAAACTCGAAGATAGTCAAGCTCTAGAGCATGTGGGGGCATGGGCACATACTGATGTGTCTGGGACCAACAAAGCTAGTCGAAGGGTGATGGAAAAGATTGGAGGTCAGGTCTTGACTACTGTTGGCTGGGTGGTCATTGAAGTGTGCAATTGATTTCCCGAGCTTCGTTCTGTATAAAGTGAGAGTTGATCCAAGTATATAATTCGAGGATAGACCCGAGATCACAAGTATATACGTATATAGCTACAAATTACTTTGCATCAAACTGTACCTCATACAACCTCATATCCAACTCTTTTCAATATCATGTTATTCTTCAAATCTAAAGAACATCTATAACATGTATTAATGTACGTAAGTGAACAGAAAACATCCATGGATTGAATTGAGTCATAATCGCTGCCCCAGATATGCCTAATTGAGTTTAGCGTACCGATGATCGGCCGTTCAACGATGCAGGGGGATTCGCATCTCATTCTTTCTTTCTTTCCTTCTTTACTTCTCTACTCTCAATTGTCAAGCCATTGAACAAATCATATTAAAATAACAAAATGAGCAATTCCACAGGTGTCGCTGAAAACATGCTCTGGGGAGGCCGCTTCACCCGTTAGTACCGCGAACCCCTCCCATCCCACCAAAAATCCCAACTGACTCATAGCACAAAAAAAAAGAGGGCCTGGATCCCCTAATGGTGCAGTACAACACATCTCTGCCTTATGACCGCGTATTCTGGAAGCAAGATATCGCCGGTTCCATTGCCTTCGCCCGCGCCAACACCAACTCCGGACTCCTCACGCCGCAAGAATTCGCCGAGATCGAGCGCGGCTTCAAGCAGATCGCCCAGGAATGGGAAACCAACTCCTTCGTCGCCAAGGAGAATGACGAAGACATTCACACCGCCAACGAGCGCCGTCTCGGCGAGATCATCGGCAAGGAAATCGGTGGTAAGCTGCACACTGGCCGGTCGCGCAACGAGCAGATCGCCACCGATATGCGTCTGTGGCTCCGCGATGAGCTCCGTCTCATTGACGAGCACCTCTGCAACCTGATCAAGGTCTCTATTGCCCGTGCCGAAAACGATATCGCCTACCTCATGCCCGGCTACACCCACTTGCAAAAGGCCCAGCCTGTCCGCTGGTCCCACTGGATTCTGTCACACGCTACTGCCTTTGCTAGCGAGCTGCAGCGTCTGCGCGAGGTTATCCGTCGTGTTAACAAGAGCCCCCTTGGCACCGGTGCCCTTGCCGGTAACTGCTTCAACATTGACCGTGAGGCCATGGCTAAGGAGCTTGGCTTCGACGGTTTGCTGTACAACTCTATGAACGCTGTCGCGGACCGTGACTTCGCCATGGAGACTATGCAGTGGGGAAGCTCTTTCATGCTCAAGATCTCCCGCTGGGCCGAGGATCTGATCATCTACAGCAGTCTGGAGTTCGGCTTTGTCCGTCTGTCAGATGCTTACTCTACTGGATCTTCTCTCATGCCCCAGAAGAAGAACGCAGGTCGGTTGTCCCCCTCCCAATATCGTGCTTTCACACTTAGAATGGGTTACTGACATTCGCTCTAGACAGCCTGGAGCTGCTCCGCGGTAAGGCTGGCCGTGCCTTCGGTCAAATGGCTGGCCTGATGTGCACAATCAAGGGCTTGCCCACCACTTACAACAAGGATCTGCAGGAGAGCGTTGAGCCCATGCTCGACCACATCAAGACTGTCAGCGACAGCATCCAGATCGGAACCGGTGTCCTTTCCACTCTTACCGTCATCCCCGACAAGATGATCGCTGCTCTGGCTCCTGAGATGCTGGCCACCGAGATTGCCGACTACCTCGTCCGCAAGGGCGTTCCTTTCCGTGAGGGCCACCACATCTCGGGCCGTGTTGTTGCTCTTGCTGAGAACACCAATGTCCCCATGGACACTCTTTCTCTGGAGCAGCTCCAGCAGATCGACGCGCGCTTCGACGCTGATGTTCAGACCTGCCTTGATTACGAGCGTGCCGTCGAACTCAAGGACGCTATTGGTGGAACCAGCAAGCGCGCAGTCTTGGAGCAGATTGCTGTGCTGAAGAAGTTGCTGTAAATTATTTTGGATACACATATAACAAAATGTCGGGATTTAGGGTTAGACAAAAATGAACGTATCAATTTTTGAATGATACATATAGTGCTGATCAAAAGGGGCGTAATAAATCATGAATCAAATCTCCTCAAAGACACCCTGAACCCAAACACAACTTACAGAAATCAAACCCCCCTCAAGCTCATCCCCATCCTCCTAGCCGGCGACTGTATCTCAGGCTGGACAGGCCGCTCATTCGTCTCATAAGCAGGCGGGATATCCACATCCAAAATAACCTCATCAGCCCCATGCCCCAGCCCATCCACACCACGATCCCTCATCACATCATTATCATCCAAAGGCAGAGCACCCCTAATCCCAAGCCCATCCGAACCACCCCGTGATCCCTCCCCATACTGCATAAAGCTCAAAACATGATCCCTATCCGGCTCACGCTCAGCGGACCTCCCCCTCTCCCTCACAAGCGCATCCCCAATCTCCAGCCCATTCGAATACCGATCTAGATTCGCGCCCAGCACGATTCCCTCAGAGGTAACGACCCGCCCAACGGCATTCACCAAGCCCCCACTTCCATCGCCGTACCCGCTCTGCGCATTCGCTGTTTCCCTAACCGGGCTCGCGCGCGGACTAGCTGCTATCGACGCCAGAGACGGCGACTCCCACGCTCTCGGGCCTGCTCTGGTTCTGATAGAATTTTGCTGGCGGCGGCGTTGGTTCACGGGGACGTTGATCAGCTCGCTTTGCGAATTTGAAGCGAGTTCAGCGCGTAGTCGGTAGAAGCCTGTGTCGCTGAGCTCGGGGGTGAGTCCTATGCGTGGGGGGATGGAGGCGTAGAGCTCGTTTGTGTTTGCGAGGGGTGGTATTGGTGGCGTGGGGAGTTTCTGTGGTGAGTGTGAGATGAGATGAGGTGAGGAGGAGTTGAGGGTTAAGTTTGGGGTGAGAACGCTTGGGTGTGTGTTCGCTGTGCTGCTCGGTGAGACGCTGCTGGAGGTTGGTGATCCTGTGGTTTTGGTATCAGCGGCTTACTTGGATTGATAAATGAGAATGTTGCCTACTACTAGCTTCGCTGTCGCATGGTGACAGCGGACCTTTCATTCCAGATCCTGCTGCTCGGTGTTTCCGGTATAGGTAACATGAGTTGACCGTTGAACGTTTCTCGTGCTTGTGTTGCTTTCTTCTCCGCCAGAAAATAAGAATAGCAAACAGCGCCAGAGCTACAACAGCTCCCAGCACCCCGCCGATTATTGCTCCGCGGTTAGATGATGCCGCTTTCGGGATGCTGGTGGGAGTGCTGGATGAAGTGGCCAGCAAGGAAGATAACGCAGTGGCACCACTGGCCCCTGAGGTGGACGAGTCAGTAATTGTAGAAGAAGCCGTGGAAACAGATATTGTTGTCGATGAATCAGCCGATGAGACAGTAAGTGTTTCTGTCGGCGTGGTAATAGCCGAAGTTGTTGTTGTTTTCGCCGTCACGCGATTATCAGTCCCAGCTGTCGTTTGCGATGATGTGTCCGACGACGCTGTTGTGAAGGTGGCCGAGGAGGAGTCATTATCTGGACATATGCCTATTGTGCACGGGTCGCTTGAGCAGCACCCACGAAAGCCTCCCGCCGTGCAGACATACCATAGCTTGCCTGTAGTGCAAGTACCTATATCTCGAGGGAGCAGCAACTCGGGAACATCCATGTCGAGGCCCATTCCGGGTTATCACGACCAAATCGAGAGGGTTGCTGGAGATCACAACTTTGAACGAGTGGAAAGCGTGACAATTCGTTATTTCAGAGGTCACTCGATCAATTGAGATTGATCTGCCAGCAAAAGTACAAAAGAGGTCAGGTGGAAAGAGAGGCCATGACCTCGACAGATATTCATGCACGAGGCATTGTGTTCCTGAAAGAAGGCAGGGGTTCTTTGTCCGACATCTTGTCAAGAAAGGCACTGATATGCCAAGTTTAGCACCATGGGTAGCCCTAATTATGGAAGTGTTCCTTGGCCAGTGTTAGTTCTCGGGTCCTTGACGAGGTTGAGTTGGGAGATAAGTCTCTTGGCGATAAATATGATGTTAATATACTTGTGAATGAGCAATCTAACAAACAGTTGCCCTATAATGGAACAACTGCTTGTGAATATTGTTGAGTTACCCTTTAACGTGATCTCTTTGTTACTGTTCTGAGCCGCAAGCCAAGAAAATTTCCGAGGCAAACAAAGAAACAGAAGACAAGAAGAGTACTACCAAATGCAGATCAAGCAGAAGAATCAGAGATCAGGAAAAAAATAAAATAAAAATTCAATCATATGAGACAAACTGAGGGAAAAAGCACTCAGTACTCCAACTCTTCGCCTGTCAAGATAAAGGAAAAATATGGCTATACAGGATGGTAAATAACACAGTCAACAAAAAAAGGGTTCTTTTTCAAAGATGTCACCCCATGAAACGGGGACGTCGAAACGCCACAGGCCCTAGATGCACCTCGAATCCACGAGGCTGGGAGAGCGAGCGGCATCCATTGGGGTCCATCTGAAACAACTCCGTGGTATCCTCCGTATTGTTTGATCGATTCCCAGAAATAGCGCGCTTAGTAAGTACGCTTGAAAGGTGGGACAGGCTTGCACTCAGCCTCATCCAGAGTGTTAGCCTCAACGGCACGGTAGCTAAGCTTGACCTCGCCGTGGGGCTTCTTCTGCCAGGAGAGGGTGTGCTTCATCCAGTTCTCGTCGTCACGGTCGGGGTAGTCCTCACGGGCGTGAGCACCACGGGACTCCTTACGGGCAGCGGCGGAAGCGGCAGTTTGGGTACTGTGGTATTCATGTTAGCAAAGAAAACGGTGGTCAAAATGTTATCAATCTGGAGATACGTACGCGCAAGTCAAAAGGTTGCGGAGTTCGAGGGTCTCAACAAGATCGGAGTTCCAGATCATGCTGCGGTCCTTGGTGCCAACCTGGGAGTAGAGCTGGTCGACAGCGTTGACCTTCTCGACACCCTCGTCCAAGCTCTCCTGGGTACGGAAAACGCTGACATCAGTCTGCATGGTCTTCTGCATGGCGTTGCGGACTTCGTGGGTAGACTTAGGACCCTCGGCAGTGCGGGCGTAGTCGAGGTCCTTGATGGACTGGGCACCGGCGTCGGAAGCGAGCTCCTTGTGGGGCTTGCCGGGAGTGGCGATGTCACGGACACGGTGAGACACAGCGCGACCGAAGACGATCAGATCAAGCAGGGAGTTGGCACCCAGGCGGTTAGCACCGTGGACGGACACACAGGCGGCCTCACCACAGGCGTACAGACCAGGAACGACCTTCTCCTTGCCGTTCTCATCCACATCCAGGACCTCACCAGTGTACTTGGTGGGGATACCACCCATGTTGTAGTGGACGGTGGGCAGGACGGGAATGGGCTGCTTAGTGACATCGACACCGGCGAAAATGGAGGCGGTCTCGGAGATACCGGGCAGACGCTCGTGGAGAAGCTCAGCGGGCAAGTGGCTGAGCTGGAGGTAGATGTGGTCCTTCTCGGGTCCGACACCACGGCCCTCACGGATCTCCAGAGTCATGGAACGGGAAACAACGTCACGCGAGGCAAGATCCTTGGCGGTGGGAGCGTAACGCTCCATGAAACGCTCACCCTCGGAGTTGAGCAAGTAACCACCCTCACCACGGGAACCCTCGGTGATCAGACAACCGGCACCGTAGATACCAGTTGGGTGGAATTGAACGAACTCCAGATCCTGGTTAGGAAGACCAGCACGAGCGACCATGGCCATACCGTCACCGGTACAGGTGTGGGCGGAAGTGCAAGAGAAGTAGGCACGTCCATAACCACCGGTAGCCAGGACGGTGTGGTGGGCCTTGAAGCGGTGCAGAGTACCATCCTCCTGGTTGTAGGCAATGATACCACGGCACTCACCATCCTCCATCAGCAAGTCGAGGGCGAAGTATTCGATGAAGTAGTTGGTGTTGTGACGGAGAGACTGTCCGTAGAGAGTGTGCAAAAGAGCGTGACCGGTACGATCAGCGGCAGCGGCGCAACGGTAGGCCTGGCCACCCTTACCGAACTCCTTGGACTGACCACCGAAAGCACGCTGGTAGATACGTCCATCCTCGGTACGGGAGAAGGGGCAACCGTAACCCTCAAGCTCGCGAACACTGGCGGGGGCCTCGCGGGTCATGTAGTGAATGGCGTCCTGGTCACCAAGCCAATCGGAACCCTTCACGGTATCGTACATGTGCCATCTCCAGTCATCCTCGTGCATGCTAAAGGTCCAATTAATACCGATTGAGCTATGAATTCTGGAGGCAACCTACTTTCCAAGAGCAGCATTGATACCACCCTGGGCAGCGACAGTGTGACTTCTTGTGGGGAACAGCTTGGAGACACAAGCGGTGTTGAATCCAGCCTCGGCCAGACCGAAGGCAGCGCGCAGACCGGCACCACCGGCACCGACAACGACGGCATCGTACTCGTGATCCTGCGCAGGTGAGATTTAGTCCTCCATCCCATCCGTTTAGCAGTGTTGTCTTACAATGATAGGGTACTTGTCGGTCAGGTAGTTGAGGGACTCCTTGCCGCGCAAAGGCTGGTTGGCGAAGATACGGGCTGGCGCAATAGTTGGTTAGTAGTGCAAACACACGGCAGTAAAGATTGCAATGCTTACAAACTGGCCTTGAAGACGAGAAAAGACGTCTCTGGTCCCGCAAAACGCGGGAAATCTGGAGAAACGAAATTCGTCAGTATGGGTGTTGGCAGGTGTAGGCGGGCCGAAAATCCAATTACTCACCTTGGATGCAGGAGCTAGGCTCCGCAGGCTCATGGAGCTCATGATGGATCAAAAGAGAATATCCCTAATGAACCAAAAAAGACTAAATGACACCGGAGGTCGGTGGCAAGCTTAAGGAGATATTGAATAGCGAACTCCCTTCAAGGACACATTCTGGAGTCTCGGGGTTTCGGGAGTAGAAAAAAGATGACTAACCATTCTCGCGGGGAGGATCGGGGCCGACAGCAGCCAATCAGCGTTCGCGCAATCCAAAGCAACCCGAATCGTTTTGCCGGCGAAGTATTCTAGTTGCCGGAATCATTTGGTAAAGCCGAGGTGTTGATGGATTTATACTAAGTTGGTTTTGAGGTTTATTGTGACCTTGCATTTACATATATATGTCTTTCATGTTTTTAATGACCTCAGGAGATATGTTTTTGCAAGATACATCTCACTGAGGGCTATTCATATAGCCCGTAATCCCCTCAATAAGAGAGTTGTACTGTTGAGGTGTGGATGATCACATTGTTATAGCTGTGGTCTGGTGCAAGTGAAACAATTAATTACCACCAAACAGCCCTAAACAATATGCCAGATCTACTTTATTCAATTTGAAAGAGAATTTGGTACTACTCACACCTTCCTAGTAGCTAGGCAGGACCTGCTGGTTATACGATCAAACATGGCCTGGGATCAAAGAAGATTGGTTTAGATTATAATGCATTGACCTGGAATAAACTCCAACATAACAAAACAATTGTTGTTCATACATCCCATACACCATGCAAAGTAAGTCGGGATCTCTCTAGTTGTATTGCATGTATGTCGCCGTCGAGTTAAACTTCAGGTTACCCTTGATGACCTTCTCCACAGACGCCAGGAAGTCCTTCTCGGTGGCCACCTTGCGGCGAGCACGAATGGCAAACATACCCGCCTCGGTGGCAACACTGCGAAGCTCAGCACCTGTGGCGTTGGGGCACAGTCGTGAAATTAACTCCCAACGAATGTCTCGCTCAACGGACATGCTCTTGGCGTGAATTCGGAGAATGTTTGCACGACCCTCGACATCCGGCAGTGAGAACTCGATCTTACGATCGATACGGCCAGGACGCATCAAAGCGGGGTCAAGTGTGGAAGGTCGGTTAGTAGCGAACATAACCTTGATGTTACCACGAGAATCGAAACCATCCAACTGGGTAATCAGTTCCAACATGGTTCGCTGAACTTCGTTGTCACCACCAGCGCCATCGTCGAAGCGGGCACCACCGACGGCATCAATTTCATCGAAGAAAATGATACATGCCTTTTTGGTACGGGCCATCTCGAAGAGCTCTCGGACCATTCGAGCACCCTCACCAACGTACTTCTGCACCAACTCACTTCCAATGACACGAATGAAGGTGGCATCTGTCCGGTTGGCAACTGCACGGGCGCAGAGGGTCTTTCCGGTTCCGGGGGTCCGTAGAGCAGAGCACCCTTGGGCGGGTCGATACCAAGGTTCACGAAACGTTCTGGCGATAGCAAGGGCATCTCGACGACTTCTCGTAGCTTTTCAATTTGTTCTTTGCAACCACCAACATCGCCGTATGTAACGTCGGGCTTATCCTCGACTGTCATCATCGTCACGCTAGGGTCGATCTTTGGGGGCAAGGGCAGCATGATCTGGTACTTATTGCGGTCGACACTAGACAACCAGGTTAGCCACAATACACAACAGAAAAAGGCCATTAACTCAAATCACTTACCCAACTCTCATTCCTTCTTCGATATCTGTGGGACTGACGCGCTCTCCTAGGTTGACAACAAACTTGGCAATCTGCTTGACGTTGATCACATATTTGCTCTTGTCGGAGTCTTTCTCGTCCTGGATAATCTTCGTACACCTTGCGACCTGCAGCGGTTGTTCCTCCGCCATACGTTGTCGATCAGCGGCAACATCCCAGAGGTGTGGAGGTGCGAGACCAGTGTCGGATTCCTGTGAAAGCGTAAGCTTCCATTGTCCAAGGGATCGGGACAAGTATTCACCTTGACGCCGATTTTCTCATTGACGCTGTTCTGTTTGTTCTTGATATCCTTTTCGAGCTTCTTCAGTGCGTTCGCGTAGGGTGCCGCACCGTAGGTCTTGAGTACTGCGATATCACTTGTTTGAAGTGTTAGTCAAATCATTATCATCGCGCATTGCGTGAAAATGAAGCAAAACTCGGCACCACTTACTCGTCTGTGAGGGGTGTGATCTTCTTCTCTTGTTCCTCGTCGTCTGCGTAGGTCTTCTGGTACTTCTCCCAGTTCTGACCCGTGGCGCTAGGCATATTGAAAGGTATTGACAGCTGACGGCCTTGCTAAGGGAGGGTCCGAGAGATCAAAAAAACCAACAGGTAGAAATAGATATGCAAAAAGCTGATTTAAAAACAGAGTTGAGTGGGAAAAAGATAGATGGGGTATTGAAAGAGCAACGGTGATGTAGAGAGCTGTGGTGGTCGAGCTAGCCTCACTAATCAGGTGCCAAGCTTCATCACCGCCCCAGAACCTCGCAGAATTTCCTTGTGTGTCCTCCACCACAACAACCCAACTACCTCCCTTCACTCATTTTTTACGGTTCATTTTGAAGAAAGATTCTCAAAATGGCAGCCGCAGTTTCCCAGGGCAATGGCGGTAACAACTCCTTCAAGGTGTGATACCTCAAAATGATGTGTGTGAACCGCTGATTTCTGATTGCGTGCAGGACAAGGAGAAGCCGATGGCCGTGCGGGCCTCTAACATTATGGCTGCTCGGGGTATGTATCTTTTCGCGGACTAAGAGGGACTCTTGCTGACATTCAAATAGCTGTCTCCGATGCCATTCGCACAGTATGCTTGTTCAAAACCATCTGAAGATAGCTTAATGAGGGGCTAACCAGGAAATATAGTCGTTGGGACCCAGGGGTATGGATAAGATGGTGAGTACATCCCAAGTATTGTTTATCTACATATATGCTTATATTTCCCTCTAGATTCAAACGCCAAAGGGACAGACCATCATTGTACGCAGCCTACCTCCATTCGACCATTGCCGACCCCCCAACTGACCCCCGCAGACCAACGATGGAAACACCATGTTGAAGGATATGAGCGTGATGCACCCCGCTGCCCGTATGCTTGTCGATCTGAGTGCTGCGCAGGATGTGGAAGCTGGTGATGGAACGACCTCAGTAGTTGTCATTGCTGGCAGTCTGCTCGGCGCTGCCGAAAAGTTGCTGTCCAAAGGCATCCACCCCACTGTCATCTCCGAGTCCTTCCAGAGAGCCGCCGGTGCTGCCGTCGAGATCCTCCACAATATGTCCCGCCCCATTAACCTCTCCGACCGTACCACCCTCCTCCAAGCCGCCTCCACTTCGCTCTCTTCCAAGATCGTGTCCCAGCACTCCGGACTCCTGGGCCCCATGGCCGTTGACTCCGTCCTGAAGGTATGCGACCCCAAGACTGCAGAGAATGTGGACTTGCGCGATATCCGTATCGTGAAGAAGGTTGGAGGTACAATTGAGGACAGCGAGATGGTCGATGGTGTGGTGCTCAACCAGCCCGTGATCAAGAGCAGCGGTGGTCCCACAAGAATTGAGAAGGCACGGATAGGTCTCATTCAGTTCCAACTGAGCCCGCCCAAGCCAGACGTATGTTAACCCACACCTTGAGCTTAGGTGGGGTCGAGACTGACAATTACATCTTTAGATGGAGAACCAAATTGTGGTAAACGATTACCGCCAGATGGACAAGATCTTGAAGGAGGAGCGCCAATACCTGCTCAACATGGTTAAGAAGATCCAAAAGACCAAGTGTAATGTCCTTTTGATTCAAAAGTCCATCCTCCGTGACGCGGTCAACGAACTTTCCCTGCACTTCCTTTCCCGCCTCAAGATTCTCGCCATCAAGGACATCGAGCGTGATGAGGTCGAGTTCCTCTGCAAGTCTCTCGGCTGCAAGCCCGTTGCCAACGTCGACTCTTTCACCGAGGACAAGCTCGGTACCGCCGACCTCGTCGAGGAAGTCCAGGCATCCGGCGCCCGTTACGTCAAGATCACTGGCATTAAAGCTCCTATCACCGCTTACAACCAGACCGTCTCCATCGTTGCCCGCGGTGCCAACAGCCTCATTCTTGACGAGGCTGAACGTTCCTTGCACGATGCTCTGTGTGTCATCCGCTGCCTCGTTAAGAAGCGTGCCATGATTGCAGGTGGTGGTGCCCCCGAAATCGAAGTCGCCCACGCACTCGCCATGCGCGCTCGTGAGCTCACCGGAACCGAGGCTATCTGCTTCAAGGCCTTTGCCGATGCCATGGAGGTCATCCCCACTACTCTCGCTGAGAACGCCGGTCTCAACTCTATCAAGGTTGTGACTGAACTTCGTCACCGTCACGCTCAGGGCCAGCATAATGCTGGTGTGAGCATTCGCAGCGGTGGTGTGAAGGATGATATCACAGAGGAGAACATTCTGCAGCCTCTGCTAGTCAGCACCAGCGCGATTGAGTTGGCTGCGGAGACTGTGAAGATGATCATGAGAATTGATGACATTGCTCTGTCGCGGTAAACGCCTTTGGCGGCGGCTAGCGAGAGCTGTATGATGGAAAGCGATCTCATTCGCGACCAGTAATTAAAAAAATATCCCGTTTCTGCATAGAATTACTCTCGCACAAATTCTGAAATGGCAGCCCTTGTAGTAATAGGTTTCTAAATGCCTTGGTTTCCACCATATATGTACCTATATACCTAGGTACCTAGGTATATGTTGACTTCTGTAGACTCATTCCATGGTTCCGGTATCTTTCAAAGTTACTTTTATAGAAGAACAGATCTTATTTGATTTGATCTTGAATTCTCGGGAAACGTTGCAGGTATCCAATTGGTTGGAATATATCACAATATATATCACAATATCTTAGCCGACTGCACCGATAATCCTCTAATTCCCAGTATTTCAACATCTAGATCAGTCTAATTCGAGCTTCTCGCCACAGAAATACCGAAAACAGAGTTGAATAAGGATAGAGCTAAATAGATTGAATAGCTTCTTTGTCCACGCCAAGCGATAGCCTCGGCGCGTGACTAGGTTTCACAAATATCCCCCAAATTTTCAAGTCAGCTCTCACAATCATTAAGAACCAGTATCGAGTATGATATCTGAATTGTATATGAGCTGAAGTTGATCGACTTTGTGTATATATTCTGTTATAATAGCGCATCGGTACTCAGGTACTCGGGAATTAGCGATAAGATAGCGTCACGGACGTCAGCTCCCGCCGCGAACTCCGATCACCAATCCAACAATCATGGGGAAACTCGATGAAGGGACCCCAGAATCCGTACCGCTAACTCGCAAGCGGTCGGAATCAATTGCTTCGCAGACTTCAACCGAATCCGACCTATCGATCGCCTCCGCAGCGTTCATGGAGGGTTACAAGGGAGGCAACACTATACCGATAGACGGAGACGGGGAGAGATACCGGGATCTAGAAGATGGAGGAGAAGAAGGGTCAGATGAGCCTCTTATAACCAACGGAAAGAAGAAGACAGGCTCGTCAAATCGTCTGCGCCAGATTCTCTGGTTGCTCGTGCTGCTCTGTGTCGGCGGCTGGGTGCTTGCCTTTGTGCTGTTTCTAACGCAGAAACGGCCCGATGCCGCGGCACTCTCATCTATATCAACGGTGGAGATCCATGAGCCGGATTCTGCGACCGGTGGCACCAGCTACGGAAAGCCCGTGACCCTTCAGCAGGTCTTGACGGGCGCTTGGCAACCCAGGTCCCACGCAATTTCTTGGATCGCCGGTCCGAACGGCGAAGATGGTCTTCTGGTTGAAGTAGGCGAGAAGCAAGATGCATATCTGCGAGTGGAGGACATTCGCAGTAGTAAGGATGCTGTCAGCAACCTTGAGACCAAAGTGTTGATGAAAAAGAGTTATATATGGGTCGATGGCAAAACCTACCACCCAACCAAAACATGGCCAAGCCCCGATCTGAAAAAGGTGCTGGTGATGACCGACGCTCAGTCTAATTGGAGACACTCGTTCTTTGGGAAATATTGGGTGTTTGATGTGGCGACGCAAAAGGCCGAGCCACTGGACCCTGGCAACCTGAGCGAGCGAGTCCAGTTGGCAGTTTGGTCGCCCAAGTCCGACGCAGTCGTCTTTGTTCGCGACAACAATCTTTACTTGCGTAAGCTGGGTTCCTTGGAGGTCACCCCCGTTACTAAAGATGGCGGCGAGGACCTCTTCTATGGAATTCCGGATTGGGTGTATGAAGAAGAAGTCTTCCAAGGCAATACTGGCACTTGGTGGTCCAACGATGGGAAATTTGTCGCGTTTCTTAGAACAAACGAGTCCGCTGTGCCTGAATACCCTATTCAGTACTTCCTTTCTCGGCCGTCAGGAAAAGCGCCACCCCCAGGGCTTGAAAATTATCCCGAAGTCAGGCAGATCAAGTACCCCAAGCCAGGCAGCCCGAACCCAATCGTTAACCTCCAGTTTTATGATGTCGAGAAAAATGAAGTATTCTCATTTGACATGACAGATGACTTCGACGATGCTGAAAGAATCATCATTGAGATTGTTTGGGCGTCTGAAAGCAAGGTCTTAGTTCGTGAGACCAACCGCGAAAGCGACGTTGTCAAGATATTTGTGATGGACACCAAGGCCAGAACTGGCAAGCTTGTGCGGTCGGACGACATCACAGCTCTTGATGGTGGTTGGGTTGAACCTTCACAGTCGACCCGGGTCATTCCTGCTGACCCCGAAAATGGCCGTCCACACGACGGCTATATTGACACTGTTATATACGAAGGTTATGATCACCTGGCGTATTTCACACCCTTTGAGAACCCCGAGCCTGTGATGCTGACCAAGGGGAACTGGGAAGTTGTCAAGGCCCCATCGGCTGTGAACTTGGAGAAGGGCCTGGTATATTTTGTTGCTACAAAACAGGCCCCAACTCAACGTCACGTTTACTCGGTCAAATTGGACGGGACCGACCTTCGCCCCCTGACTGACACAACTAAACCCGGCTATTTCGACGTTTCGTTTTCCGACGGCGCCGGGTATGGTTTGCTCAGCTACAAAGGGCCGGCAGTGCCGTGGCAAGCCATTATCAACACCCATGAAGATGAAATAGATTTCGAAAGCATCATTGAGGAGAACGCCGACCTCGTCAAGATGGTTGAGGATTTCGCTCTTCCGGCAGAGGTGTACACCAATGTAACAGTTGACGGTTACACGCTCCAAGTCCTCGAACGCCGTCCTCCACACTTCAACCCTGCCAAGAAATACCCGGTGCTCTTCTTTTTGTATGGTGGACCAGGTTCGCAAACAGTCGACCGCAAGTTCCAAATCGACTTCCAATCGTATATTGCCTCGAGCCTGGGTTATATTGTCGTGACTGTGGACGGACGCGGTACAGGCTTCATAGGCAGAGAAGCACGATGCATTATTCGTGGTAACATAGGCCATTATGAAGCCCATGATCAGATCGAGACCGCCAAGATTTGGGGAAGCAAGAGTTACGTGGACGAGACTCGCATGGCAATTTGGGGCTGGAGTTATGGTGGCTACATGACCCTGAAGGTGCTCGAACAGGATGCAGGCGAGACATTCCAATATGGCATGGCCGTAGCACCAGTGACTGACTGGAGGCTCTATGGTACGAACATCTTATTTCTCCATTATTTTCGTCAACTAACCATATGCCATTTCCTTCTCCCGCAGATTCTATTTATACGGAACGTTACATGCATACCCCGGAGCACAATCCTTCGGGCTATCAGAATTCCTCAGTGAGCGACGTCGAGGCCTTGAGCAAGAGTGTTCGATTCTTGATTATGCACGGTGTTGCCGACGATAACGTTCATCTTCAAAACACTTTGGTATTGATTGACAAGCTGGACTTGGCGAACATTGACAACTATGACATGCAGGTCTTTCCTGACTCTGATCATTCCATCCAATTCCATATGGCGCATTCACTTGTTTACGAACGTAAGTCAATATGTGTTGTTTGCACTTACGACCTAAAAAGGAACATACGACCTAAAAAGTAACATGGCTAACTTATGACCAAGGTCTCTCGAGCTGGCTCATCAATGCGTTCAACGGCGAGTGGCATCGTATCGCGAGCCCACGACCTACGCCAGTATAAGAGAGGGTTTGCGCTCCCACATTGACCTTCGCGTTTCGGGATAATCTTTCTGTCTCTTGTGTGCCAGGTCTTCACCTCGTTTACACTAGGCACATATATACGTAATATCTGGAACAATGGATGCATATTATAATTAATTTGCATTTCGTAATTAACACTAAGAATCAATAGGGGACTGTAGTCGCTAGGTATTCCTCAATTTCTGGACATGTCAAACAAGAGCTGGTATAAAAAGTCAAACAAAAATATTGACAGCTGGCTTTTCCAAATATTTCCAATGGCTCATCCCGAAGACCATATGCGACACCGGAGAATGCAAATATAAACAGAAAATGCGATGAGAGAAGTATACAGAAGGAATGCATTATGTGCAGGGGAGGAATTAGGCAGAGAGGTCAGGACGAGAAAGGACTGGGATTGAGCCCACCAGCCTTGATGAAGTCCTCGCGGTTGGCGACGCTGACATCCGAGTTGCGGTACGGCGTGAAATCCTCACGTTGCAGGCCCCGCAGCTGTTCTCGACCAGCGGTCGATACGGAGCGCGCATTGGACCCGGCGCGGGAGTGGGAGTGGGAACGGGGACTCAGCACAGACAGTCTATGGTTTGAAGTCCACATGGGCGATCTGTTACCTGGGGAGCTGGTATTGGACATCATAGACTGCCTCGGTGCAAATACAGGCAGGCGAGCAAAGGACTCGGTATCCGTGGACATGTTGCTCACGCTCATGAAAGAGATATCGGACATAGGACGTTGGTAGCCACCACGACCGGGGAGTTGAGAGGTAGTGCTGTATAGTGTGGAGATACCGGACTGGGCAGATGAGCGCCAAGAGTTAACAGCGCCGCGGGGAATCGTGATAATCTCTTCATCGACGCCTGTTTCGATGGCAGCTGCCACGTCGGCGGGCTCGACCGGGTCGCCTGCAGCGCGGCTGGCCATCATCTTGGCGGATTTACCAATCCACAACATCTGCTCGTGTTCGCGGAGGTAACGGTCACCGCTGAAGGACTTTTGCACGATCTTGCGGGTCATCATGCCGAGCTTGCGGCGGTGCTCGCTCTTCTCATACATGCGGCGGGTGATAGCTGCCACCTCTTCTGCTGTGGGAGCGGATGTCAGGACTGGTGCGGGAGAAGTATCCTCGCTGTGTTTGCTCCATTCACCCAGCATCGCAAGCATGCCAATCTGGGCCTTTGCGAGAGCGAGGGCATCGTTGGGTGCAACGACAGCACTGAACCGAGAGAAGTCATCTGGGTCACTGAGAACGCGGAGGGAAGCACCGACGTCCGTACAAACAACCGGGGCACCAGTAAGAGCAGCTTCACCCAGAGCAAGAGGAAGACCTTCGGACAAAGAAGAGTTCAGGAACAGCCATGTGTTTTCCAGGACCTTCATAGGGTCAGCAGTTCCACAAAGTGTGACTCGGCCGCGAAGACCCTTGGAAGCGATGATCTCTTGACATTCCGTGGAGTATGTTGGGGCTTTGTCAATGGCACCGTAGATGTCCAGATGGTATTCGTCGAACTTCCACTGGTTGATGATGATATCCGCAGCAAGAAGGGCAGTCTTGATATCCTTGGCATACCAAACATGGGACAACATGGTCACAGTGGGACGCTCAGACTTGATTTCCTTGACCGGGGAGAACTTTTGCATGTCAGTGATACCGTTGACGACGGGATCAATCTTTCGGCGGAAGGTGTTGCGGTGCTCAATCGTGCCTTGGCAGGTACCAATCTCAACCTCCCAACCGGGGTTGAAGAAGTCTGCACAGGGAAGAATGATATCTGCGTGGTGGAGAGTCAAAACAGACGTAATGCGCATCAATCCGAGGAGAGCGTTCCGAACGAAGGGCGAGAGCTTGCACAGAGCGGACGACAGGCAAAGATTGGTTTCACGCCAACTGATGGCATGATCCCAAATTTGAAGGGTACAATTGCGCTTGATCTTGCATACAACACCGTAAGAGGCACTGACACTGTGATGCGAGGCTTGGAACGTGGAAGGAATCTTCTCAGGAACCGGGATCGAGAAAATGAAGAGGTAGCGGTACCAGAGCTCCAGGGCGACATCTAGAGATGCCAGGGTGGGAAGCTCGGTATCAAACCATTCGGATGATGGCATAGTGTTCGACATTTCCTGAGTAAGCCATAGCTCGCGCCAACTCTGCTTCACCAACTCGCTGTTCCACACTTGGGTCCAATGACGGGACTCCTGGAAGTATGTGTTCAGGTTGACCAGCGCTCGAGTTGCTTGGTGAATGTCGGATTTAGACAGGTGAACAGCGCGAGCGCCCTTGACCAAAGCGGTAAGAATCGGAATGAAGTTCATCTTGATGTCAAACTCGCTCGCAGAAGTAACATTCTCAACCTCAGCATCCAACTTGTTATGGAACAGACCGTGAGTCGGAGTGAGGAAATCCATACCCCAAAGTGGGATGAGCTTGAGAGACTGGATGTTCTGCTCGGTCTGATGCTTGGGGACGCCAAAGTCGTTTGCAGACTCACAGATCATGTGCCACTTGATAGTTCGCAGAGAGTTGATCATGTCTCGCCGACAAGCGGAGACACCACCACCTTCATTTGGCCAAGTGCCATTATCAGCTGCCATGACATGGAGTGTCTTGTCAGTATCGGTACCGAAATTCTTTGAGCGAGTATTGACAACAGCGTCACCACCAGGGCCAAAGTTGAGCAAATCAGTAATCTTCACAGCGAGTGGTGTCCAGCTGGAAATATTGTCATCCAAATCGGCACTGGCCATGATCGCATCGGCACGGAGATCCATATACTTCTTTGCAGATCCAAGGTTGCCCCAATCACGGCTGCGCCAGTAAGGAGCGAGAACCTTGTCTCTACGTAGAATGCGGTCATCCATCCAGCGGACAATGATAGCATCAAAGTCAACGCGGTCCTTCCACGCCTTCCACATCAACGAACGAGCTCGGGAAGTTGAAACCACAAAACGCTTCTTGGTCATTCCCAAGGTTCGAGTAAGCAGGTTTGATTGAAGGCTGTCACAGTAGAAGAAGGGGTTGTCATGCACAAAGCTGGTGTACTTGGGCTTGGCCAGGACACCCAGATAATCGTGCTCAATCATAGGCGGGGTCTGTATCTTTTGCCCGTTGATAGTGGTGAAGATTGTGGGATGGAACTTGTGATCATATAGCCAGCGACTCTCATAGACATCGGCACCTTGCACGAAGCTAGCCTCGGTAACCTTGGAGTGGGGAATCCAGCGCTCGACCTTCTCGGGGTGGCGGCGGGGAGCCGCACACCAAGACACCGTGCAGCTGATATGAGACAGGACGAACTCGGCACGTAGCAACTCATCACCAAAGCGAGGATTCTTGCGATAATGATACTTGAAGCGGATAAGATTGCCGTCCTTCATGTAGGAGCCGGATTCGATGAGACCCTTGCGGTTATACTGGACACTTTGTAGATGGTTGGGTCCAGACACGCAACGGCGTCCCAAGGGAATGCGAGAAGAAGACTTGCTTCCGAGTTTGAAGGCCTTTTTGCTCGGGGATTGGTAATCGTAGTGGTATTCGTTGGTCACCTTGCCGTCCTTGAATTCCTGCTTGACAAGCAGATGCATTTCACCTGAGTAGGTGCTGACGTATTTGAGAGACTTGACCTCCTTGGGCTCGGTCTTGTGCTCGCCAGCGTAGTGGTAGATCTTGAAGCCACCATCGATTTCGTGGTGCCTGAAGGCTGTAAAGGTACCCTCCAGACTCTGAACAATGACCCGGGTTTTCTTGATGTGGATTGTCATGCCCTTGGTTTCCTCCCAGAGTCGCTTGACGTTCTGGCGACCATGGAACAAAAAGAAAGACAAGCAGAAATCTTGCATAAGCTTGGAATAGACCCAAATCATGTTCATCAAAAAGACAGTGGGAACACGAACAACCGTTGGGAGGTTCTGAGTGACGTAGTTGAATTCTCTCTGGAACTCTGGATCTGCGACCAAAGCCACAACGAAGAACTTGACCATTGTTCCCAGCTTGTGATAGACATAGCTTGCGGGGGACCTGACCATCGACAAGGCTAAAGGAAGCTTTCGGGGCATGTAGGGAATGTACTTTGAAGTCTCAGGTTCCTTTGGAAGAGCTGCTTCGCCAGTTCCCCAATGAGCGTAGTCCAGGACACTAATAGCAGTGGCGGCTCCGAGATTGCAACGGGCAACATGAATATCAAGGTCATCAGTGTCAAATTTGCAAAGACTCTGCTGAAGCCACTGCCGTTGGCTGTTGGAAAGACTGCATTGTTGTCCCAGGCAACGCTTCAGCAATACATCACGCACTTCGGTCGGCAGCTTATCCCAGTGGATATCAGCCTCGAATCCTAGACACAGCTGACGAAGAAGTTCCTTCTTAGCCCAGCGCACAACTGTAGAGGTGTTAGCCTCCTCGCGTAGCTGGCGAGCCATTGTGTGCGTGACACCTCCGGAGACAATTGATCCTGCAAGCGATGCATATTCGTGAGGAACACCCATCATCAGCTCTGTGACAGCATGGAGCAAAGTCTCAGCAATGATTTGGCAGTTTGCACTGATATCGAGACGCTCATCCAATAGGCCGCCGACGGTGATGGCTAACTTCAATTGGTTCGTTCCCGTACTACTGCAGCTCAAGGCACGAATGCCAGGGCCAAGAGAGCCAGGAGAGACAAGCTCAATGACAATGTCGCCTTTTTCCCACGAAGAGATCGCAGTGTTGACAATATTATTTGAGAAGGGGAATGCCTCCTCAATCCTGAGCTCTTCTCTGCGTGAAAGCAGAGCACTCTTGATTTCAACACCAGGATGAACAGCAGGGTTCAGCTTGAACCGCGAGTCCGAAGGCAGCAGCAAGTAGCTTTCAAAGAAAGTTTGCAGTTCCTGCTGGGACCACTCGGGGTCTGACCACGGGGTAGTGAAAGCGTGGAAAGTCCGGCCAAGTTCAATCGGCGAGTCCACCTTGTTTGGCATACCCATCTTGGAGTGCCATACCGAGAGGATGGCGACAGTCCAAGTGGCAGTTCCGAGTCCGATGATTGGGCCGTACTGGAAATGAGGCACGCAAACATTCAACGCAATTCCGAGAGGCAAACCGATGCAGATACCAATGAGAAGAGGCTTCAGCGCGTGAGGACCCGTGAAGATCTTCGTGTATTGATACCAGATCAAACCAGTGTAGGCCAAAATATAAGAGAAGAAGATGATAAAGCCTTGCTTCGATTCCTGGAATGTCCAAATGAGAGCGGTAGCAAGTGCCAAACTCCAGACGTGCCACAAGAGGAACCTGAACAGAACCCGCCAGTAGACCTTTCGGCGGAGTTGAATCTCTTTCTTCTGAGCGATTCTAATATCCTTTGCAGACTTGACACAGATAGGGGCTTTGCTACCGAGAGCATCGTGCAATTCTTGAGCTTTAGTGTCAATGAGCACAGCTCCAATCAGATAGTAAGCAAGGGCAAAACCGACAGCCAATCGGTTGGCATCGTTGTTATCCTTGGAAGCGTTGGAATCGTTGGAAGGGCTAACCCCAACACCCACAGTACTAGCGCCAGCAAGACCGAGCATATGATCGCCGCTAAGGAGTTGTACCCATCTGTCGAGAAGTGCGATCACGAAGTAGAGAACACCACATCCAATCTCCTTGCTGGACTGGCGCCAGTGAACAAATGCGTTGTGCAGACGCAGACCTTTCTGGGAGTTGCGCAGAGTGTCGAGCGCGACCTTGGTCTGAATGTTCCAACCTGAGCTGAAAGGAATGGGACGGGGAACATCTGCATGACGACAGTACCAGTCGAGAAGAAAGTTGGTTGACTCCCAGTCTTTGGCGAGCTCAACAACCATTTTATCTTTGGATGCCTTGGAGAAAATGCCACGGCTCGTCTCGGCGATGACATCCTTTGATAGGGCTTCTCTGGCCAGCTTGAGGGCAGCTGGGTCGCTCAAACCCGCAAAGACCTTTTCATCATCGTTTCCATAGGCAGTGATGTACCATTTTCGGATCTCAGTATCATCAGTGCGTCGAACACTCTGATACCAGGTAACCCACTTGGAAGTCACGTTACGAAGACAAAGCAAAAGCACACCGATGAAGACATAGATGATGGCGAGATAGATGACGGAGTCATGGCCGGCCCAGGCCGTGATGATCGGCGACAAGAACAGGATAGGAATGCAGTAGATGATTGGCTTGCGACCTGACAAAAATGTCGAACCTGGATAACTGAAGCTTGCAAGGGAGGCAAAGGTCGAAAAGTAGATTGTCAGGGCGATCAAATAGAGGTAGAAAATTATACCAGCGCGAGGGCCCCGGACACCGGAAATGGCGATGAAGCCAACCAATCCACCAGCCACAGTGAAAGCGATACCAGCAATCAGGCGGATGAGGACGAACATGTTCGCCGCTGCGAAGGCCATCGAAATGAGGTAGTAAGGGCCACCGCATGCAATCCAGGTACCAATTGCACCAGAAAGAAGCAAAGAAATCATCAACGCCATGGTTGCACTGTCTTGCTCTTCGTAGGACATGGCAGCAGAGAGATAAAGGCCACGGCCAATCATAGTAAGGAGGATGATATCGATCAAAGCTGGAATGGCGAAGACACTCAAGAAAGTGAAACGCTGATAGCCACGCATAGCCTTCGGTTGCTCATCGGGATTTACATCGATCTGCGCTCCGGCGTAGGAAGTAGCAAGTACAGGAGCACCGTTCGCCCAATTCGGCGGCTGGTGGTGGTTATAATAAGCTCTGAATCGGTCGGAAAGCAGCTTTCCGAACACACTGGGAGACACGTCAAAGTATGCTTCACAGCGAGATCCAAGGGCAAAAGACTCAGCAAAAGCAGCAGCTTGGTCTGGGTGGTTGTTGAAGAGAGGATTGCGATCTGTCACTTCCGCGTAGATCTCATCAAATGCACCTTTTCTCGCAGCACAAAACAATGCGAGGGCCATCATATCCACATAGGCGTCAACGGAGCCGCCCTGGAGAAGCGAGCAGAGACCACTAGTGATAGCAGCAAGCTCATCTTCACGGCGGTTTCTCAGAACATCGAAAAGGACGCTCTCGACTTGGCGGAAAAGATCAAGGCAAACGTTCAGCGAGGGGTGACTGCATCCTTGGTCCATGTACCAGTTGATCCGAGATGTAATCAATTCCTCAGCAGAGGTAGACTCTTCAAGATATCCAACGGTGTTGAGAGCTTTCAATTGGGCAAAGGAAGGAGCATCCACGAGTTGCTTGCGAATGTAGGCGCAGATAACGTCGGAAAGCTCGCTCTGGACGTCAGTGAGAGACAAATGCTGCAGGAGGAGCAGACGCTCTTCGGGGCTGAGAACATCGATATCTTGAATCAGTCGACGAGGCAGGCCAGTCTCCGGGGAAACATCCTGGGACCAGGTTGCAAAAGTCGCTTCTGCATCAAAACAGACATGCCGAGGGAATCCTTTAGCCGAAAGGTAGGTGTGAAGAATAGTACCAGCCAATCCCTGCGCATTCTTTGATACGTAGATCTCAATACCGTCGTCGTTGTCCATTTCGAACACAGACCAGAAGCGGAAATCGGAGCTCTTGCGTAGACCGGAATCGAGACAAAGGTTGACACGCAAAGTATCTTTAGATGCCCAGTTAGCAAGTTCTTTGATTGAACCTGCCAGGTGGTGGTCATCATGTGAGAGGTCCAGAGAGTCATAGAATTGACGCAAGAGGATTCCAATGCTCTGGATCTTTGCCGTAGGAACAGGATGAAGCAGGTTGAGGGCTTTGAGACGTTGTTGAGACTGAACGATTTCCGCAAAGGCCAGTGGCGTGGAGTCAGCACCGAGTGGGAAACAACCGAGGGAGTTGTAGGCCATTCCTGACATCGAGATAGAGAGAGGGCTGCCCTGTGATTTGACCTGTGCGACCCACTCTGGAGGATCGCGAACTCGGGCAGTCGGACTATCTGGAGCTTTGGAGTCGTATTCCGACGAATCGAGCAGTGCATCCACAGTGGAGAAAACCGGCTTGAGAACATCCCAGCCATCCTTGCTATCGGGCGAAGGCAGAATGTTCAGGTTGGCACGCCAGATATCGTGGGCTTTCATCATTTCCGCTTCCTTTAGCCAGCCGAAAGCCGGCAGAGGTTCGAGGGTCGAACAGTTCAAGTCTGCGTCGTGAAGGGCAGATTCGGTGCCGATCCATGTAATTGCGCTGTAGAAACCGCACCACTGAATAGACCGGCGAACGATGGCATTTGGAATAGTCGCATTGTCATCGACTGTTTCCCAGGCCATAACGACAAAGTCTCGCATACAAGACTCGGAAACAAATGCCTTGATGGTTGCTTGTAGCTCGGTCATTTGGAAGTAGTCCCGCTTGTCGCCCTGGGGCATGATGCTGGCGTTGCGAATGACCAAGCCAGCGACGGCATCGCTTTGCACGGCCTTTCGATCCTTCAGGAAATTCGGGGCCTCCGTTTCGAGGTAAACTGCCAGACCGAGGCTGCTGACAGCCTCTAGCAGCTTTCTCCGGGCGGTAGGCTGTAGCACATTTTCCCAGTTGGCGAACAGAATGCCAGAAAATGCAGAATCGTGGAAACTGCTTGCTAGCAGTTCTTCGACCTTTTCAATGATAGCCAAGGGGGACGCCTTTTGGGATAGTATCTTGGCGAAATCAACACGTCCCAGCACCTGACTGTGCTGGTGTCTCAAAATAGCTTGGGCAACACCCGTTTTGAACGGGTCCACAATCAAGACGTCCCATTCTCGCAATAGCCTCTTTTGCGAGGCGGTAGGTGGGTTTTCAAAGCTTCCCAAATATACTCCAAAGCTTGCGGGCTTTCCCTTGGGCGAACGGGTATCAACCAAGTTAAGTTCTCGGTTGGCTAGTTTGCTGAGACGGTTCAAGACGTTTGAAGAGACAGCATCGGATGGCGGTTTTGTCTAAAGATAAGCCCTGATTAATACCCAATCTGCCCAAGAACTTTGTGGTTATATCTTACCTTATAGTATTTGATAATTCTTCTTACTCCCGAATATATGATCGATGCAGTGCCGATAGTGATAGTGAGCAATAGTACTCCAATAAATATCTAGGTAAGTGGTTAGCAAATCCATGTTAATGAGCTCACCAACGAGAACGCGCACGCTTCACGTCAAGTTGTAAAGGGAACCAAAATCAACATACAAATTGCCACCAGTGCCCTTTCATGGCATCCCAGCCAAGGGGATTTGGCCTGACTGGAAGGCGATCCGTCATTTTTGGTGAGGTTGTGAGTCCTCGACTCGATTAAATGTTCGGCGCAGTATCAGAGCTTGGAGATTAGAATCACCAAGTAGAGGTGAGACCTTCTCAAACACTCAGGCGCATAGCGATATTAAACGAGTGACTGATCGCAAATAAAAGCTAAAGGTGAACAAAAGTTTGGAGAGGTCTAAGGGAGCTCAAATTGTAGACAAGGTGATCAAGGTAAAAAAAAGAGTAGTGGGGGGATTGCTCAAGTGAATATCCACTTCTCCAAACCGCATAAGTAAAGTAGACAAGTTCGCCTCCCAGGGTTTCCCTGTCAGTTGCTGTGTCAGGGGGGAGTAAGAAAACAGAAAAAGAAAAGAATTTCTATAACTTCGCCTTTTTTAGACTAATTAGGACAAAGGTAAAAATTATAACCGGATAGAAGTCTAAGCGTCTATTATTTGAAGCAACGATCTGGAAAACACGGGGCAAAAATAGCACACTAAAGGTTCTGTTAGATGCAGAACTAAGAAAGGCCGCTACCAGACCGCACCAGGAGTGGCCGATGAGACAAGGCCTGGTGGAGCCAAGTACCATGTCTAGTGCATGTACAGCAAAGCCATGCGATTCACATCGTGGGCAATTGGAGGCACCTCGATCCAACCTGCTGGGGCGGTTACCTGAGCACAACACACAACTTGTTTGATTTACACTGTTCGAACACATCTTCTTTTTTTTTTGTGTTCTATTGTTATTTTTCTTTACTGATTGTCGATATGTATCTATTCCAAGCCGGATTTCGCCTGCTTAGCGTGTGAACTAATAATAATAAAAAATTCGAATGCATGATGTTAAACACGGCCTAGAATTATCGCAGTATTCTGCAGTGGCTGGATAAGACAGACCAGGAATAGTCAGGTCTTGGCAGGAAAAAAAAAGAAAGGAATAATTCATCATAAATGCACTGGAAAAAAATCGAAATCGAAATAAAAGCCTGTGCCAACAAAGAATTGGACTTAGAAAAAAGACGTACAAAAGTTACTAACCTTTAAGGGGTAAGGTCCCGGCGGAAATCGAAACAAAACACGGCAACCCCGTAAGGCTGTGTAAGTGAAAATTACTATGTAATTCTAGTATTGACGGTAAATACATACATCTCCGAAATACAACCGAATACGAAATCCACCTCCCTAAATAGGTACACAAGGTACACATCGGTTATCCCAGTCGCTTCCCCACGCCAAGGTTAGGACCTGACGGATCTACCCCTGACCGATACGCCTCTGTATTTTGTAAGAGCCCCAAGTCGAAGTGCTTCGGATTTAAGAGGTCTTTGCGTCGGGGCCGAGCCCCGAACATGCAGAGTATTTTCATGTTTTCATTTCGGAGCATTTTACTTTCTCTATGGCGTTCTTTATGTCTCGGTTAATCGATCAATCGATTCGATTGCCTAGTTTCGATGTTTCCCCAGTTTATTTCTTTAATTGATAATTTTTTATTCCGAAGATAGAATAGAAATTAAAATTTACATACGAAGTAATAAATAATTATAATTTTTAAACGTAAGCCATGGCTCACCCTGCAGTACATAAAATTTCCCAGGCCCTGCCAAGATTAATTGACGATTGACCAATAGTAAACCCAGCAAAACTGTGCCAACACTTACGGATGTCTCAATCCCCCCCCCCTAATTCACAAATCACCCGATCTCAATCCCGAAATAGGAGCATTTCGCCTTATGCTCCCCATTCTAGAGAAACCGAACGCCACATGGAGACCCATATGGAAAGACCGAAGTGAGATTTTAGATCCATTCGGCATTATCTCACACCTAATTTACACATAATTTAACGAGTAGACACAACAGGCGATAGGTCTTTGCGCCTTGGCCAATCTCCACATGGGTTCTATAAAGGTTATGATCCTCTTATGGGATGATACAGGTCAGCTAAGTCCATTCGTTCTGCATCTCGCATTGCATTTCCCTAGCTGTCAGTCGTTAGTGTCGTCGACGTGCATATTGTGTGACCCCCCCATACGCGTCCGTGCCTGGTCAAGATCACGATGGTTGCCATTCCAGTCTGGGCCTTGAAGATCGGCTGTTTCTATGGACTTATAACCTGCGACACTGCCCCGGGTGTTTGGCCTGAGAACAATCCAACTGTCATTGCCTATCACCCTCCAACTTCGACTCCCTCTAGTATTCCTAGTAGTTCGGGTGGAGTGAGCTCAACTGCTGTCGCTACTTCTGTTCCCTCGTTGACCCCCTCGGTCTCGGTTTCCGTCTCTGTCTCGGCCTCTACCCCAATTGGTAGTGGTTCGTCCATTGTAACCGTTGCCCCAACCAGCACCCCTGGTGCTTCCACTTTCGTTACCCTTACCACTTCCGGTTCCGCTTCGAGTTCAGTGATCGTCACTGTCCCGTCAGGCTCTTCCACCCCTGCTCAAAGTGGGTCTTCATCTGTCTCCTCAGGCTCCGCTTCCAGCTCTGTGGTTTCGCCTCCTGGAAGTTCTTCCGCTAGCGCCTCTCCTTCATCTGCTGCTTCTACCAGCCCGGCTGCTTCTTCCTCTGCATCCAACAGTGTCTCTTCTTCAGCCACTGTTCCCCCAGGAAGCTCTTCTTTGAGCATCCCTGCTTCATCGTCGGCTGCTTCTTCATCGGTCGCTTCGTCTTCCGTTGCTTCATCGCTCGTTTCCTCGTCAGCTGTTTCTTCATCAGCTGTCTCGTCTTCGGTTGCTTCGTCCTCTGTCGCTTCCTCTTCTGTTGCTTCCTCTTCTGTTGCTTCCTCTTCTGTTGCTTCCTCTTCTGTTGCTTCCTCCCCGGTTGCTTCGTCCTCGATCGTTTCCTCGTCGGCTGTTTCTTCCTCAGCTGTCTCGTCTTCTGTAGCATCTTCCTCTGCTGCTTCATCTTCCGGGGCTTCATCTGCACCTGTCTCATCAAGTGCTTCGTTGACTACTCCCATTATGTCTTCCACCTCTATCTCCATCTCGGCTTCTGCCTCAGCCACCCCGCTGAATCACGCCGCCGTTGCAGCCAACATTCTGGTCATTGCCAGAGATGCTGCTTCCGCCGGTGTCGCCAGCTCTGGTCTCAATGGATATGGTATTCCATTCACCACTCTGATTGTTCCCTCCGCCGGTGTTACTCTTCCCGATCTTAACGGTACTGCCGGAGGAAACTTCGGCGGTATTGTCGTTGCCTCTGAAGTCAGCTATGACTACGGTACCCTCGGCTTCCAGAGTGCCCTGACCACCGATCAGTGGAACCAGCTTTATGCTTACCAGCTCGAGTACGGTGTTCGCATGGTTCAATACGATGTCTACCCAGGCCCCAACTACGGCACTACCGCCCTTGGTGGATGCTGTGACACTGGCGTTGAGCAGCTCGTCTCCTTCACCGATACCAGCGACTTCCCCACATCTGGCCTCAAGACCGGTGCTGGTGTCAGCACCAGCGGTTTGTGGCACTACCCCGCGACTATCAGTAACACCACCTCGACGAAGCAAATTGCCTCTTTTGCCGCCACCACTGGATTCACCACTGAAAGTGTTGCTGCTGTTATCAACAACTTCGATGGCCGTCAGCAGATGGCTTTCTTCATTGGATTTGACACCACCTGGAGTGCTACTTCCAGCTACCTGCAGCACGCATGGATTACCTGGATCACCCGTGGTCTGCACGCCGGATACCGCCGTGTCAACCTGAACACCCAGATTGATGACATGTTCCTCGAGACCGACATTTACTCTCCGGCTGGCACTACTTTCCGTATTCGCCCCGAGGATTTGACCAACGTTGCCACCTGGACTGATAGCATCAACGCCATCATGCCTGCCGGCAGTTCTTACTTTGTCGAAGTCGGTCACAATGGTAATGGTAACATTGAAAACGCTTCCGACAGCTCAGACCAGGGTTGGGACACTTGCGGTGCCGCTATCGAGTACGATGGACCCGTTGACACCGCCCTTGAGTTCCAGAAGCCCCTCGGCACCGGTACCAACTTGTGGCCCAACACTCCTACTGTCTACGACTGGACCTCTACCTGCAACTCCATGGATGAACTTCTGCTTTGGTGGACCACCGAGAGCAACCTCAACAAGTTTGGTCACATTTCCCACACCTTCACCCACGAGGAGCAGAACAACGCTACCTACAGTGATGTTTACAAGGAGATCAGCTTCAATCAGGCTTGGCTCAAGGCCGTCGGTATTGACAAGGCTACCAAGTTTACTTCCAACGGTATCATTCCTCCTGCTATCACCGGTCTCCACAACGGCGATGCCCTCCGCGCCTGGTGGGTTAACGGTATCACTAATTGTGTTGGTGACAACACCCGCCCTGTTCTCTTGAACACTGAGAATGCCATGTGGCCCCTCTTCACCACCGTTGCCGCCAACGGTTTCGATGGTATGCAGGTCAACCCCCGCTGGGCCACTCGCATTTACTACAACTGCGATACTCCTGCTTGCACCGTGGCTGAATGGATTGCCACCTCTGCTGGCTCCGGTACCTTTGACGACCTCCTTGCCACTGAGAAGGCCGATACCATGCGCCACCTCTTCGGTCTGTACCACGATCCCTACATGTTCCACCAGGCCAACCTCCGCAACGCCGATGTCGACCCGATCACCATCAACGGTGTGTCTAAGAAATACTCCATCCACGAGGCGTGGGTTGAGACCGTGGTCCAAGAATTCGTCCGCCTCGCCTCGTGGCCCATTGTTACCCTTACTCACCAGGAGGTAAGATAAAGAGCCCCGTTTTCCATCCCATAACCTTGACTTCCCTTGCTGACTGATTCCTTGCAGATGTCCGCTGCCTTCCTGGCCCGTTACAACCGCGACCACTGCGGTTACGCTCTGAGCTACGCCACCAGCAACAAGAAGATCACCGCGGTCACCGTGTCTGCCACCGGCAACACCTGCACTGACCCCATCCCTGTCACTTTCCCCGTTGCTCCTACCAGCACCCAGGGCTTTACCACCGAGCAGCTCGGCAGCGACCCCCTGACCGTCTGGGTTAAGCTCTCTGGCTCCCCTGTTACATTCACTCTGTCTACCCCCATTTCCTTGTAAGAAGTTTGAGGTATGACTGGCCTGTCTTGACTTGACAAGCCGATCTACTGTCAACTTTCTTTTGTTGATTGCCTCTCTTTTTTTCCCCATTTTCTCTTGTGGATATCTCTTCAGATGTCAATAATGGTTTCTATATATGCAAAGCAAAAATTCCTGCTTTTGTTGTTGATACGAAGATTGAACGCCCTCCCTAATGTCTGGAAATTTCTAGTATAGCTATATGATAATATACGTTGATTCTTTCGGAAAACGATCTATCCTTCTTCAGTAGTTTGTAGATATCTTCATTGAGAGAGGACATCGTTTCGAAAAGCGCTTCCGAGCAAGTTAACTGGCGGTCTGACACCGGTGGACGGGTCAGCAATCCCGCACTGCAGGTCCCAAGTAGCAGTGTCGACAACGTTGTGCCAACCACGGAACCGGACCCCTTGTGTGAAGTCCAGTGTACTACCAAACCAGCACAGATTACTGGAAAATTCTTTCATTACAAACTCACCCCACTGAGCCTTGTTCCCAAAGAAAAAGAGAGAAAACTCTGATCCTATCGATGAAACTCGGCCATCTCTTGGCAAGAACTAAACGGGTCAAGTCCATCCCATCTAGACCCAAAACAATGCGCTCTAACAACACTAAGTCTAATTATGTCTCTAAACATATCCCGCTCTAAACCACCATCGCCACTCTATCCATCCGACCCAGCCGGAGCCCCATTATCCACACATCTGAGCCCGTGCCAAGCGATCCCTCGGAAAATTAACGATCATGTCTCGCAGCCGGTGGATGCAGTAGTAAGCCAGGTAGCAATAACATAATGTAACCGAAACTACGTGGAGCCACCTGTGCTTTCCCCGTCGCACTGCAATGTCTGATGATTCCTGCTTACACGCATCCACTCTACATGCAGGGTGCATACACAGGGCATTTACGGTGTATCCGGGGAGGGGATATACGAGGCTCGCCTATGCAGTCTATGTGTTAATGACTCAATTGGGCCTGGCATGGGGAGGCTCAACACCAAATTCGGTATAACGGACCGCACAATGGTGCCATTTCGGAATATGGTCTGGAATAAATATATTTATCAGCGAAGCCACTCGGATCCGGGGTTATGCATGGTACAAGGTAAGCAATATGTATGATGTAGGGTATATGTATATGCCCGACGCTTGGATTGACCTCAGATTTTGGTGCTTACTCCAACTGTCAATTCCGCTTTGACTTTCAATATTGACTTTCTTTCCCTGCAACTTGAGTGCGGAGAGGCAAACTTTTTCTCTTAAAAAATACAAGTGGAGAAATACCTAGGTATATTTTGAATGAGGAAAGACGGGAACGAAAGGTCTTGCTAGCGTGCATATCTAGTACAGTATCTCCATCTGAATCACTTGGGATCAAACAGGTAAGGTTCAAAGTGGTGATGACTTGTCAGACTTGCCGAATACAACACCGTCAAAGTGCTGAATATAATCTTGGCGCGGCTGAGGCTTTCAATCTCAGACAAGAAGCCTCTCGTAAATCACCTCGTACAAAGTGAGCTTTTTAATTGCCAAGCCCCGCAGTGCTGTCTCAGTAAGCGGTTGTGGCGTCCAACGGAATATCGGGAATGGAAAATCCGACGATTGGGTTATTTAGTACTAGATTCACAAATTGACGGATCAACAAGAATATTTCAAAGTAATTTGGCCTGTCGGGTTTAACTAGTCTGATTAGGGCTAGAATAAAATACCGGTGTTTGGTGGTGTTGCGAATTACTGCAAATACCACATTCGCTCGGACTTTGTGTATGATTACAGTGCAATACCACCCACTAATACTCATTTTGTAAAATATTACGAAAAAAACACTCCCCAAATTCCCGATCACGAATTCCTTTTTCTAGACACCTAAGGCGCTTGCCAGCGCACGCATATGGCCTCACATTAGTCATTGGCAGTGTTCCAGATGAGAGCATTTGGGGAAATCATAAACTTTTGGCTATTTACCGCCCGTCCCATCTGACACTACCAAAATCATGAGTGTTGTGCATTCGAGGTGTGTCATTGAGTCATGAGTAGAAGCAGAATGACTAGAAAATTGGATCGCTCTACCAACATCTTCGTCTCGGTAAGTAGGTACAAGAATTTCGGCCGTTGGCGGCATCGAAACCCATTGCAGTTTAGTCAGTTCTTGGCGAACTGATATTTTCTATTCTTTGTGTCTATTTCGGGGGCCTTGTGCATGGCTCTACTGCATACAGAAACACTTCGTGTATTTATGACCGGCAAAAATCACCTTGGCGATTCATAATCCAACTGTCAGCCCCCTGAATTTCTGTGGCTTGCCGATTCGACACTATTACCTTTTAATTCCCTCTTTGATTTTCAGTGTTGCTGGTTCTCTCATTCTTTGAGAGAGTGTGTGTATAAGCTCACAGTTGTGAAGTAGATCACCATATCAGATCAACATAATCTCGGCAAAGATACCTAGGTAATTAGTTTTAAATATTAGATCAGCATTGGTTCCACCACCTTATTTTCGCCCATACTTTTAGTTCTGTGGTATTGGGCGCAAGACCAAACCAAAAAAAGCAACCCTGTGGCTAAGTGAAGTGGGCTTTTCCACCGCCCTCCAGGCACCCTCATTTCTTGCATTCAACATTCAATCCTCTTTGTTCATGATCATCGTTCACCTTACCTTTTCAAGTATTTTCAGGGTCTCCTGACAGATTGAAGTGCTTTTCTGCCGGGATCTAAGGCTTAGCTTTTGCTTTTCCCAGTGTAACATCCTCGTCTTCCCGATCGCTGTAACCGCCCTAGAGGATCGCCACGCCTCAGCCCCGTTGGTCTGGCCGGCCACCTTGGACCCTATTAACTGGAGTTTAAGATGCCTATCTCCCGATCTAGTACCTGCTGATCTTCACGTCTTTCTTTTACTCCATCGTCCTTGGGTTACCCCCCATACCCCCTTCGTTAGCTACAAATATTCCTGGCGCATGCTAGGTCTCCACGCTTGATTCCACAACAAATATACAAACAAGTCACTAGATTCTTTCCCTGCAAATTATTTCATTTCCTCCGCCCCTCTACAATCCATCGCCATGGGTGCATCAAAGGGAGGCTGGTGGGCCTGGTCCACTAAGAAGAAGGTCCTCATCTTTGGAAGCATCGCGTTGGTCATCATCGCGCTGGGCGTTGGCCTAGGCGCTGGGCTCGGTATCGGTCTCAAGGGCGGAGATGACGACAACGGGGATGACAGCGGTAACAATGGTGGCACCGGTACAAACACAACAACACCAACCAACACAACTGTTAAATGGCAGCCAGCCGTCGGTGTTAAGTGGCAGATCGTTCTGAAGAACCCGATCAACGACACTTCAGTGGAAGCGCCGGTCTACGACATCGATCTTTTCGACAATGACGCGAGCGTCATTTCTGATCTACATGACTTGGGTCGCAAAGTCATTTGCTACTTCTCCGCTGGTACCTACGAGGACTGGCGTAGTGACGCCAACGACTTCGACAAGGCTGACCTGGGCAAGAACCTCGATGACTGGCCCGGCGAGAAGTGGGTGAACGTCACGTCCACCAAAATTCGCAACATCATGGAGACACGTCTCGATCTTGCCGTGAAGAAAGGCTGTGACGGCGTTGACCCTGACAACATCGATGGGTACGACAATGACAACGGCCTGGGTCTCACTGAAGCCATGGCTACCAACTACGTGAATTGGCTCGCATCTCAATCCCACAGCCGTGGACTGTCGGTTGGACTCAAGAATGGCGGCGCTATCATTGACTCTGTGATTGAAAACATGCAGTGGTGTGTCAATGAGCAATGTGCTCAGTACGACGAGTGCGACACCTATGCGGCCTTTGTCGAGGCTGACAAGCCCGTCTTCCACATCGAGTATCCCAAGGGCGATACCACCAACAACAATAACGACGTGACGGCCAAGCAGGAGACGTCTGCCTGCACAGCTAACAGTTCTGGAAACTTCTCGACTGTGATCAAAAACATGAACTTGAACAATTGGGTTGAATACTGCTCGTGATCAACACGGCAAACTTAGACTCGTGCTTGGTGCATTATATCTGTTTCAGGGGTTCATATCGCATGTACAAATAATCAAATTTTATCTTTTCGGCGCTATGATGAAAGCATTGTATGTGCATCTCGTTGGATGTAACCATATTTGGTCAAATGACCTGAAAGCCGATGAAAAGAAGTTAGCAGGAAAGTCGCTTCAAAGTGCTTGGCGTTTGAGTAGACATTAGAAGAACCCTGGAAAGCATTTGCACTCTGCTATCGTCAGCTTCTAGACTTCAAAGAACAATGGAGCCGAGTCTCCGTGTCCTATCCATCAAAGCACCAACTCCTTTCAGTTCTCACGATCGGTTGCCATTGCCTTCGATAGACGGTGACAGTTACCAGAAACACGATACTTCAGGTCGCAAGCCCAAGGATGCGAACGCGCCTTAGCGAGAAAACACATCATGCCATCACATAGACGAAATCCAATGCGGACGTAGAATCGCCATTTATCACCAGAATTGGACCATTAGCCTGTTAATAGTCGCTCAACACCTCGCTAGCCTAGTCTCAATCATCCACCAGCGTTGGCACCATTCAAGCCCAAATGAGGAGCTCATCACAAATGAACCGCCTTGTGACGCCATCCTCGGCGCGGAACTCTCATATTCTAGCACCTTCCCGGAGTCACAGCCTCCGAGGCTTCCAGAACCGCGGCTAGTGCCAGTCCAAATATCCTATTATCGGCTTTACTGGACGGGCGGTTGAGCAGTTGCGGGTGCCAAGGCCGGTGTTTTGCGCCGGGTCAGCCATCCGGCAATAGTTGTATTTTTTTTCCAATTCTACAAGGTATACCTAGAAAAAGTGGGTAATTCGTCTTGGTGTTTGGCGTGCGCTTTGATGCCTCGGTTAAGTAGTTGTAAAATCCCGGAATACAAGCAGGACTTTATCCTTGTTCATCGTCTCTTATATAGTGCCAATGTTAGTACTATAGTATGATTCAGATCAAATCGGCAACAAAACAAAGCAATTAGTTATTATTTGTATCCACTCATTGGCCTTATGAAACGATCGCCAATTCTAGCCAATTCTAGCGCGTTTATTAGTGAAGAAGAGGGGGTCGATGATTTCCTGCATGTCTCTGTGCGAGGACTACGGAGTCGGTACTCCGTAGATCGATTTTTTGTTAGTCTTGGCAGACTCAGCATCTTCGAAATTCTTCGATGCCATTGGCTAGGTTCGAGAGCTCTTACAATTAGTTCCTGTTAGTGGGGAACATGGTTGAAATAAACAAATATACAGTTGGGTTTGGGGAAGTGGATTCATTCCGTTGTATTTTTGCTTATCAATCCGTGGGTTGATCGTTTTTTAAAGTATTTTTCAATTTAAATTACACAAAATTTCTGTTTTTATTTTGTTTGCTCGTAATCAGGGTATCAGGTACCCGAGTACGGACTAAGTTAGGTTTGCGAGGCTATTTTCGATGAGACGTCTTTCGCTCAATCGCTGTAGACATATCATAAATGCTGAAGTTTAAGCACTGAAATTAATCTGTCGCCCTTGCATCATACGAACCCGGGAAGTGAACTTTGTACGAAGGTTGTGGTATGTCACATTGTTACTTCGCTAGAAAGTAGCTTTACTATTCTTGAAAAAAGTCCTAGACTAGAGCCTAAAGCGTTTTTTTTCTCGTAAAGCCCACCCGCTAAAGGTCAGATAAATTCCATCCGCATGAAAAGTATTTGCAAGTTTCATGTTAGATCTCAGTGTACGGAGTCAAGACCGGTGAACTTCGGTAGAGACATACCTAACTCCCCGATGTTTCTCCTCGATCGGCATGGCCAGTAGTAATGCGCCATTGTTGAACTTCTTCACTTCCTTTATTTTTCTTTCCTAACTCTTTCTGGTCCTAATCCCCGTAGATAAAGATCTCTGCTATACCCACCTAACTCGAACTAGCTAAGCTGCATGGTTCGTGTTGCCACAAAAATCTCAAAGCGGGGCGCTAGAATCGGCCGCCCGAGTGGCTCTCCCGAACGGATCTGCCCGGTTCCTGTGAACCTGTCCATGAGTGTGTTTATTGGTGATTTTGGATCGGTTCCTTTCTCCACTTTGCGGGTATTCGAACAGAATTTTTTTTGAAGGAATCTTTGCGCCACAGCTAGTGTGCTTGGGTGGAGAATTACATTCTAACCGAGAGAATAGCGCTCATTTGCAGACAGCTCTGCCTAGCCACTATCTCGAAATGGACGGTCTGCCGCTGATAATTATTGACCGGAATAAGGGTCGGCGTGAACTCTCTCTATCCAGACGCACTGGCTTCGACAAGTGATTTGCCACTTTCCAACACTCTATGAACACCATGCGAACTTACACCCAATCTCCCCCTCAAACCTGGACGCACGCGCAGAGGATAGTTCGCCAAAGGTTTAGATCTAGACGTGTCCACCCATGCATGTTCAAAATTGATCGCGCCACAGCCATATGCCCCATTCCGGACTCCTTCATTATTCTCCAAACGCTGGGCTTGGCGCCTGTGCTTTTAGCGTATTCGTCATGCACCTTGTAAAAGTGATCGACTGCATAAAACCCCCAATCGATAATCTCATCTGTGCGCAAAAAACAACAGGATTTGCAATGCTATTACTTAATGTGTCTAGTTTTCGGTAACTACCAGAGGCAATCGTAGCCAAGAGACAGATCGAAAATCCTTTCAACCATGTGCAGCGCGTAAAGCCGCTGGTGGCGGAAGCCACTATCTCGTGGCATGGACCGGGTACTTCGGAACAAAGTAAGGGCAGCGGTCAATCTCAGGGGTATAGCGTGGCTTATAGCTAAAACAGCGGAGTTGAAAAAACAATGGTACGGCATGTCGGTAATTTTCCCCTAACTGCACCCTGCAGAAGCATGCCAGGGACCATCCTGTCTTTAGTAGTGACAGGTGATCCATTTAAATATACCGCCGGGCTGAGTATCAATATTATCCGCGACAGTAGCATTACGCATTGCGCCAGCGACGGGGATGGAGGACGACTAAATTGTAATCCTAACGATTTTGCCAGATCAACTTCAGTAGATGCGTGTCATGTCTTGGTGTAACAACATCGCATGCTGGCCTGGTTCCTGGAATAGGCCCCATTACCGTTAGAATGGGACAGGTCGAATTTGCAACATGCGCCAGCTGTACTTAGCCCCCCTTGTACTTATATCCATGCATCGTTCCTGTTCCAATGCAGCGTGGTATCGCGTGGTTTTAGGTCTATGTATAGTGATGACATACGCTAATGCTGAAGTCTAATTTCCGGAAGTCTGCTATCGATGCCATGTCATACGGTGCTGTTGCAGTGCATGACCACTTTATTCTATCCGAGGCGCCTGGAGCATACGTTATGTGAGCCTAGGATTTTGTGTCACAGCCTGGGCATTGTGTCAAGATGTTCCAGATGATAATATCCCAATCTTGAAAAAGGATGATGTCCATCGCACATTGAAACAATGGCGGTTGTGCGATAATATACCTTGCCAAGGCATCCGAGCGCCAGGCCTGCATGGCTATTTTGGGAGTACTTCGCTCTTTTAAGGCGGCATTAGTCGTACGCATACAGGGCGCTATCTGCATGTTTCATGGATCGATCGGATCATCGGTAACTCAGAAACATTTCCAAAAATCCCAGCTTGGATCGTGATCCGGGAAAGGAAGGTGTCCTCTTTCCTGAAGCCTACTTATATTGACAATACTAAATTCAAGGCAAGCCAAACCCAAATCACGGTCAGCCAAGCTAAGCTTAGGGCTCGCATCGAGACCCAAATCAAGAAATTTAAGTATGGGTTTTTGAGCGGACCTACCACAAATAACCCACCTGTTCCGATCATAAACATGTGTTTTGTGGACCAGGGGCTTTTTAATTCATGAGCACACGTCCCAATTGATAGGTTCTCCGTGAGTGGATGTGATTCACGTAAAGAGCTTAGTGTAAGTGGGTATTGATGTGTCGAAATTCTTGGCATTGTTGGATCAGGAAAAAATTAAATACTAAAACTAGGAATTGTACGGAATAATTACGTGGTAAGAAAAGAGCATGTGAAATTACCGTAATACGGTATCTAGGTATTCTCCACTTTATCGAGACGACGATCTTTGATTGTTCGTTAATGAATGTGAAAGTGAACGGCAAAAGATGGAAATAATTTTTTCCTTCACAGTTTCCTGCAAATAACCGCCATACCTTTTCTATAGCAATCATCGCAATAAAAATTCAACTCATAAAATCGTTAACCAATATGACCGAAAAAGAAGCTAACTATGCCAAAAATCCACAAGCTCGCCCGATGCAATTAGTCTCGCAGTATGTTATGCCAAAGTAATATGCAATAAGACAAAAAAAGGAAATCTCAAGCGGCCATCAAATCGACGAACTCGGTCCACTTGTCCCCGAAGGAGGCATAGTAGTTCGTGCTAAGATGAGTGATGTACACCTCATCGGCCACCTTACGTACCTCTTTCACGAGGCCGCGAAGCGACTTGCCCTCAATGTCATCAGGCACGGAGTGCACGATGGCACACAGTTGGGTACGATTGCTGTCCGAAATGCCAGTGAATAGCTTGGCGCCCTGACGTTCTTGGAAAGTGTTGTAAGCAGCTTCAAAGACAACCGTCGAATCAGCTGTTGACAGGTACCGGGAATCGGGAACAGCACCGGGATTGTGGACGACCTGATAGCCTCGCGTTAGTTTGATGGAATTCGCCTATGTATCCCTGAAGGGGAAGGGGATGTGATGCAGGTGTAAAATATGGGTTATTGAGATGGAAGGTTATAGAGTGACAGGTAGCGAGTGGTTTCCGAAATTCATGGACAATAAAGAATCACGGTAAACAAAGGGTAAAAACGAAACATTGAAACAGGCGTATAGAATATGGGCGATGGGAGACAGGGGTCGTATTGTATGAATGATGGTAAAGTAAAAATGAAAAAAAAACAGTGTCGAAATAATGGCACTTACAAATTGATCAGGACCAAGACCCTCGAGGTCCTTGACGAAGTCCGTCAGCCCTTCCAAATAACTGAAGGTTTGAGCATCATATTGCTGGGGGGTTTCATCAAAGAAGATTCCGCGAACAGCCAGGTTGGGGTTAGAAGAATTGGTCGGCCAGTCAGCGTAAGTCTGAATATCCTTGCGAACAGCAGAAACATTGCGTTTTGCGTACGAAGTATGAACATAACCCAAAAGACGGACGTTTTCGTAAGCAGTGAGCTTCGGGATTTCACGAGTGTAATTGGCATCTGGAAGGGCGTTAGGCCCTGGCCCGCTTCCTGGATTGATTACGACGGTAAAGTTCACATCAGGGTGGGCAGAAATCCTGTGGCGTTTAGCAGCTGTATTTTCATGGTTTTTGTTTCATTCCTTTTTATTTCAATCCCTGATGGTTTGGCGCGCGAACGGTGCAGCACCACCCCATGTATGTGGCGGGCTACCGGCCGCCTAGTATAGAATAGCATCGGGGAGAGCGAAACTGGGGAAGATGGGGGGGTTTGAGGTGGGCGAAAAGGGTTTAGACATACACGTTTTCAAGCGGAGACCACGCCTCAGGAGCAGGGTACACATAGAGTGGAACGAAAACCTTCGCTTTTGGACCCATGCTGTTATTCTTCTTCCGGAGAGTTGTGACGACCACGGAGGGAACAACGGCAGCAATAATCACAATGAGAACAACAGCTGCCAAGAGAAAACGAGAGCGCTTCGACTTAAGACATCCGCGCTTGCTCACGTGTTTTTCGGGGGTTTCGGACATATTGAATTTACTGAGAAAGAGATTTGAAAATGAACAGAAAGTGGATTCGAGAATGCTAGTAAATATGCCTTAAATTTGGACAGAGGCAAACTAAAAAAAAAAGAAAAATCAAATAACAGATCGGAACGAGTTTCACCAGGCGAACAACAACTTCGAACAACTTCCAAGACTTAGTGTCCCAACACGGCCGAAATAGATCCGGGGCGGGTCTCGACCCTATGCAGAAAGGGTCTTGGATGAGACGTAGAAAAAAATAGAAAGAAGAAAGAAAAAATACAATAATGTCATTTATTTGGATTATTTTGTGGTCGATTAGCTCGAGCTGAGGCCCTGACGTACCGCCAGGTGGATGCACTTAGGGCATTTGGATGCACAGAATGATATCCCAAGGCCCAGCCACGGCTGGCCCACCCCTGCCCGATGGTTCTGTTCCAGTTCTGCTTGTGTTCGCCCCCTTTCATTACGCTCTCTTTGTTCTTTTTTTATTCCCGCTTATGCTCGTACCTTTTGTTTTCTTCCTTTTCCTTTTTTGCCGGTGGGGACTGTGCCGAGGCCTCATTCGTCCAACTATGATGGCATAATAGATGAACTGGAACGGAGAATCCGAGTGAGGCAACGCTGGTACCTCGCTTGTTTTGTATAAAACCTTGGTTATGGGCCCACTGAAGCACTCAAGACATCTCCGTTGTGAGCAGAAAACTTAGAACATTTTCATTCTTTGTCTATAGTGGTGGTATAACAAAGCGAGCGTGCGTTATAGATCCACTTCGTCACCATGGTTATTCCCACTTCAACTCCCTCTTCGAGAGCCGACAGCCCTCAACGGTCCAGTGTCGGCAGCCCGCTCGAAACTCCGAGTGTCCTGGAGACGCCGGCAACAGAGGTCGGAGACCCATTCGACAATATCGGCGAACTGTTGCGCAGGCTCCCTTCCGAAAGCCACATTCTAGTGACTGGCGGCCTCGGCTTCATTGGAAGTCACACCACATTGGAGCTGCTGAAGGCCAACTACAATGTCATTGTGATCGACAACCTCAGCAACTCATTCGAGGTTGTTTTCGACCGCATTAGCCTCCTGGCAAAGAAGCACCACGAGGAAAATGGCACCAAGATGCCGTCTCTGCGTTTGCATGCTCACGATTACCGTGACACCAAAGCTCTTCAGCCGCTCCTCGAGGAGTACCGGTTGCCGTCTCGATGGGGAACTGCAAAGTCCAGAATTGGTGGAGTCATCCACTTTGCGGCTTATAAAGCCGTCGAAGAGAGCATTCGCAAGCCACTAAAGTATTACTCCAACAACGTCAGCGGTCTTGTTGACTTTGCCACAACTCTCGGGGACTTCGGTATCAAGACTTTTATCTTCTCGTCCTCTGCCACCGTATACGGCACTCTTGCAACTTCAGGTTTGCCTTTGAAGGAAGAGCTCTGCGTGCACAAGGAAGAAGTGTACACAGACCACGCCGGCGCGAAGCAAGCCATGCAGCCAGGATGTACCGGAATCACCAATCCGTACGGACGCACAAAATGGATGTGCGAAACCATCTTGGCGGACTTGGCTGCATCAGATGCCGAGTGGACCATTGTTGCTCTTCGCTATTTCAACCCCGTTGGCTGCGATTCGTCCGGCCTTTTGGGTGAGGACCCGCGACAGGCTCCAACGAATCTGCTCCCGGTCGTCGTCAAGGTCATGACAGGTCAATATTCCGAGCTTTCAATGTTCGGAACAGACTGGGAAACCGAGGATGGTACCGCTGTCCGTGACTTCATTCACGTTAGCGATCTGGCTCGTGGCCACATCGCCGCCCTCAGCTCGGCCAACGAGGGCAAGCTGTCTGAGAATTTCCGCACATTCAACTTGGGAACTGGCAAGGGAAACTCCGTTATGGACGTGGTCACCACCATGGAGTCTGTTATCGAGAAGCCCATTCCTCGACGGGCGGCGCCGCGTCGGGAAGGTGACGTGGGAGCCTGCGTTGCGGTTGTTGACCGGTCGACCGAAGAGCTTCAGTGGAAGACACAAAAAAGCCTGAAGGACGCATGCCAGGATATCTGCAACTTTTTGGACGTCAGTGGTTTGTCCTCATGACAAAGTCTTGCTCTTGTCGGTCTCGTCATCTGACGATTGTTGTTTGTCTTTTGTTCGCCTGTTCCTAATATACCTGCTCCCCGGAACGAAGGCGCTTTGGAAGCATGTGTTTCGGTATAATGATTTTGTGTTTCCTGTTTAGCATTAGCATTTCGGTTCGAGTTGCGTCGCTTGTGAGCTTTCCCAGTCAGGTCTTGTATTCAAGCCTGGGTGTACAGTCATCTATATAGTTCTTTTTCCGCTGGATATGAATTGAACAAAAGTTTCTTATTATGAATCCTGTCATTTGTATATCTCAATAGTTGTAGGATCTTGGAAGGTTAAACGATGATCACACAATGCCCTTTGTCAACATTGGATGTTGGCTGGTGCGGAGAAACAGACCCCAGTCTTAACACCTGAGGCATCACACAAATCACATCACGTGATCTCACTATACAACAACTTACTCAGACAAGGTCCATGGGATAAAAGGCTGTCATTGTTTACCGAAAGTCTGGCTATATGGCTCTCTAATGTGCAACATTTCTCGAGGCTAGAATAACTCATTCCTACGGAGTATGAGAGAAGGTTGTGCTACGTTGTACCTTATTGGTGACCACGTGATCTCCGTCTTGGCATCAAATCTGGCCGGCCAGGCATTTTTTTGCGATAGCTTTGTCAACGCGATAATCTCAACATATCATCCACGCAATTGGGCTCTAACATCGTCCAGGGTATTCGATATAGCTTTCCCATCCCGCCCTGTCTCCAAATACCGCCTTTTGTGCTCATAACCCGCCACAATGATCTGCAGAAGTTGCCGCACGACGATGCTCTCCCGGTTCACCCAGCCCATAACGCGAACGGCCTCAGCATCCGCGCGTCAGCTTCCCTTGGCTCGCAGTCAATTCCGGTCATACAGCAGTGACAACAATGCTTCCGTAGCTGCTGCTCCTTCACCCCCTGCTCCCCGCCAACCCACGATCGGCGACATTTCAACCCCGTCTGCTATCTCCTCCGCTACCCCGGGCGTTTCTCAACCTTTGAGTACCCCCGAAGGCGTCCACGTCGATGTCAATCCCGCAGAATCTAAAAAACCCACCGCCGTGCGTGAACCAAGCAGCTGCCCCGCGGGCACCAAATTGAACGGACTCAACTACTTCAAGAACAAGCCGGAAGTCTTCGCCAAGGAGGACTCCGAGTACCCCGAATGGCTGTGGGGTCTCTTGGGTGATTCATCCAAGGATTCTAAAACAAAGACGGGTGGTGTTGACCCGAGCAGTAAGTCTTATCTTTATATTTAATTTCTCATCGGTGGCAATGGAAAGCTAACCCCGTTACAGCCTTGAACAAGAAGCAAAGGAAGCGCTACGAGAAGAAGCTGGCCGCCCGCACTGGCCCCTTGGCTGCTAAGATCCCTGCTCACCACCACTCGCACGATATCACCCCCGCATCCTACAACCGCGACGGAACCCCCGCGGACGCCATGGCCGATGCCACTGGCGGCTTCGAGCAGCGCTCGGAGGTCATCAAGAGTGCGCGCGATGCCAGACGGAAGACCATCAAGGAATCCAACTTCCTGCGTGGTCTCTAAGCTCGTGACATGTATTTTTGAGTGGAACTCGTGGAAGCGATTGTATTTCTTGGGGCTGTTCCGGAACGAGAACCACCTCTACATTGCATTGAATATTGAATAGACCGGGTCCTTTGCGGCACCCGGGATGTATTATTACATTGATTGCTTTTTTTCTATTGTGCTATATATCAAATGATACTTCTTTAAATTTTCAGGTCATCGTGCAGCATCCGAACCGAACACAATTCCGAAAACAAGCACGTTCATATTGCTGATCGACCTGACAGCCTATTGGGGGATTGGCCAATCTCTCTCCTCTCCCTGTCCCTCCAGCCATGGCAGGCAAGCATCATAAAGAGCTTTGAACTCACCTTCCCCCAAAACAATAATTTTGTCAAAGCTGCTTCGATCAACACGGTGGAAGAATGCCAAAATCGACGCAAAAATGATATCCGCATATCCAGCCTTCTCACCCTCAAAAAACGGACCCTTCTTCCCCTCTTTCCCTTTCAGCATCTTGATGAGCGTCTGCGTCTCCTTCTCAATGACCTGCCACAAAGCAAGCAGTTCCCCCTCATCGGTAGGTCTGACCTCAGAAAGCGGCTTCCCGAAGGCTTCAGAGCGCGTTCGGATAAAATACTCACGCCCACGCGCATCCAGTCTACTCGGAACAATGGGGACGATCAGCTGCCGGATGCTCGGCGACATCAGGGCCAGGATCTTTTGCACAGCGATTACGAGCGAGTAGCTGGCGTCGCCGGATGGAAAGAGCGGCGGCGACGGGTACAGCTTGTCAATGTACAGGGCGATCGGCTCGGAGTCCATCAGGACTCCATCTACGTTGCTTGTGATCGAGCCTTTGTGGCTGATTGCCGGTAGGGTATATGGTATTGCTGAATTGCCGGGTGGCACGTCATGGGCCTTGAGCAGAGGCGCAATGTCCGGGTATGAGACCCAGCTTTGAGTATAGGGGATTCCCTTGAAGTTGAGGACCATTCTGGTTCTGAGGGTGTTTGGTGACCCTGACTTTTCGGGACCTGTGGGTGATTAATAGTTGGCTTACAGTTGCACTTATATATAGCTTCGGGTGGTCCCATACCTGGCAGGTCAGACAACAGGTCAAAAAAATGAATCGGGTTTGATTCAGCCATGACTATGTTTAGTTTGGAATAGTAAATAGTTATATTTTGCACTTCGGTTCTCAAGGCAGATGAGTCAAATACAATGGGGTGAAATGTTGACGAGGCTTATGAGTCTTGCTGACGGAGCGGGGCATATCTACTTACTTAAGTATTGATTTATCAGCTGGAATCCTGCCTGGGCCGTCTTTGCAAAAGAATTCAAGTGTTCTGGTTGGCGTATATATTGGTAGATATGAATGATTAAACTGGATGCTCGTATTGGAATGTTCATTTGAAGCCGTACGGGCATAAGGACTAACACTATGTATCTGCGAGTCGATAGTCAAGAATATCGATAAGTACGTGATCAATAATTTATGATCCATTTCAAGGAAACAATGTATAGATTCATATTGAAATAGAAGTTTATCTCAGGTTTATATCAGCAGTTCCGCCAAGTGATGTGCGGAGACACGCTGGCAGTGATAAGTCTGGGCATACGGGTCACTTGACGATTTGTTCCACTGCATGGTAATATCTTTTATCCTTATCCCCCAGCTCACTGCGTTGTATGTTGTGTCGGATATCGAATAGACTGCCTCAACTCCCCTGAAACTATCTAGCGGGGCACAGGTGGACCTCTACCAGTAAGCTCAGCCAACCCCTCCATTTACCGCCAGTCAAGTAAGAAGTTGCATTTCTCACCATAGGCCGATGATACAGTATTGACTGACTCAAGAAGAAAAAATGGAGAAAGTCGAAGCTCTCGTGGACCGCGCCAAACACCTGGCCCTCCACGAATCACCCAAGGGCACATTACACACTGTGGACACATTCCACTCAATTCTCGACAACCATATCCAGAAGATCTACAAGTCTCTTGGTGCATCTGCTCCGACAACAGATTATTTCCTGAAAGAGATCCAGCATGATCCTGCTACCGCGGTTGTGACCGGCGAGAAACCCGTCGACGTCCTGGCGTCTGTGGATGCCTTCCGTACGTACATGAAAGATGCAAACTCCTGTGCCATGGCACCTGAACCAGGCCTAGATATCTCAGCCCCGCTTTCGGACTACTTCATTTCGTCAAGTCACAATACCTATTTGACAGGAAATCAGCTGTATAGCGATGCTGCTGCGAGTGCCTATACCTCGGTGAGTAAATTACCTGAAGGCTGCGCCATCTATTCTCGATAGTATTATAGCCCGCCACTCATCATATCAGAACATACTGATACATGGGCAGGTCCTTCTCCGGGGCTGCAGGTCTGTTGAGATAGATGTATGGGATGGGGAGCTAGAAACCCCCGACTCCAGCGACGGTGAATTAAGCAGCGACAGCAGCAGCGATTCAGAGGCTGAACATGGCAAGTCCATGGGAAGCAAGCTTAAGGAAAAAGTCGGTTCAAGGAGATCTGGTCAGGAAAAGCCTGCCAAAGGACCAAAAGAATCGGTCGCATCCAAATTGGAGGCCAAATTAGAATCGGTCCTACGTCGCAAATCGGCGAAGTCGCCAAAGCAAGATAGCCAGGAGGAGACCGCTACCAGCCATATGCCTATTCGAGCTGAACCTCGTGTGCTGCATGGTCACACACTCACCAAGGGAGCTACGTTCCGCGAAATCTGCTTTGCGATCCGCGACAGTGCCTTTGTTGCTAGTGATCTTCCAGTGGTAATCAGTTTAGAGGTTCATGCCTGTCTTGAGCAACAGCAGATGATGGTCGATATCATGCAGGAGGCATGGAAGGGAATGCTCATCGAAACCCAACAGGCTGAGGGAAAACTTCCCTCGCTCGCTGACTTGAAAGGAAAAATCCTTATCAAGACCAAGGGCCTTCCTCTCAGTGGTGGCGATGAGAAGATTGAATCGACAGAGGCCTTGACACCGCAGAACTCCGAGGATAAACCCCCGGGACAGCAGCCGCCGAAGCCGTCAAAGGTCCTCGGGGCTTTGGCTGACTTGGCTGTGTATACTCGAGCATATCATTTCAGCCATTTTGATCAACCAGGTAAGTATGGATTGTCATTATAACTGAGTATAGAACCATACTCATTTTTGAACAGAGGCAAAGGTACCTGTCCATGTATTCTCGCTCTCCGAAAAGTCAGCGCGAGAAGCCCACGTGAACCATCGTGACGCCTTGTTCGAGCACAACCGCTCTTCTCTAATGCGCATCTACCCCTTCGCATTCCGAGTGACTTCCTCGAACCTCGACCCAACCTTCTACTGGCGCCGGGGCGCCCAGCTAGTCGCCCTGAACTGGCAAAACCTAGATAAAGGCATGATGCTCAACCACGGGATGTTTGTTGGATCGCACGGCTGGCGACTGAAACCCTCCGGTTATCGCAGCAGCGAGGCCCCGACAGATATCATCCAGCGCCGGAGTCTGACTCTCTCGCTCGAAATATACGCCGCGCAGGATCTGTCTCTGCCACAAGGCGATCACAGCGAAAAGGGATTTCACCCCTACGTGAACTGCCAGCTGCACGTTGAAGAGCCGGAGGGCGAGGTTTCGCCGGATCAGGATGACGCAAGCTCTGATACAGAGAAGAGTAGCTACAAGCGGTGCACGAAGAGTTCTGCGGGACGAAACCCGGACTTTGAGGGTCAGAAATTGGAATTCCCGACCGTGACTGGGATCGTGGAGGAGCTTAGTTTCCTAAGGTCAGTGCTTACTTGGTTATCCTTCTCCCTTACTCCGTGCTTTGATCCCCAGTGCTGCATTTTGTTTGCATTTCTATATCCAACCTCGTTTGCGCTAATGCAAGCATCACCCTGCATTGTGATACCCGCCAGAGAATATGCAGACACCCAGAAGCGTTAAGCTAATGACCGGGCGCGATATTTGCTTCTTTCGGGATTCCCCCTTCTTGGTCTGGTGTGGCCATTATGGCTAGGGCGGCTTGTAGCCTTTTCCTCAATTCTCCCCGCCTTTCCGCACGCTAGTGTTTAGTTTCCTGTTTCTTCTTGATTATGCTATGCACATTTGAGGTTTCTGCAAGCCACTAACCGTGTTTGCGTCTCTAGGTTCAAGATCAAGGATGACGAGATCGGTCGGGATCCGTTGGCTGCATGGGCTTGCATCCGACTTGACCGGCTGCGCGAGGGATATCGGCTGGTCCACCTTCATGACTGCTCCGGTGAAAAGACGGGGGGTGTTTTGCTGGTTAACGTTGTGAAGCAAATCAGTTAGGGGGTTCCATGCTATTACGAAACTGAATCGTAGATGTGTTAGTTGTCAGTAGCGGTGCGGTGTGATGTATCATGGATGTGACATGTTACTATATTTTGACAGATAGCCGAGAGCCGAGTGCGTTCTAGAGTGTAGAGTGCGTTTACCAACAATCTGGTTACTTGGGCATTCAGGCAGCATGTCGTACACCAGATTGCCCCTGTGGGTGATGAAGGGTTTCAAGGTTACAGCAAAGCCTCTGATTAATCTAACAGTTCCGAGACTAATTCTACTGTATCACACTTCACTACCACAAGTGACCTGCTATAGTTCATCGATCACGATTGTGACATGCAATCGCGCCAGTCATCGTGCGGATCTGAACCTAGGGGGTCGTTACACAGGGACATTGGAATTTCGGCATTGGAACTACTTTGTTGTCAACAGTACCTTTTCTTATCAGTCAACGATCGAGTAGAACCCGATAACATGTGCCTGATTTCCTTCCGAGGTTGTCTGAGTATGAAAATTAGCACCGAGATATGAGCGGAGCATGTCTCATTCAAACTGTCAAACGTGTATTTTGCTTATTTTGCTTATTTCGCGTGTGTCACGAATCCTCTCTAGAATCATTGCTCTGGGAAGTACGGAGTACGAGCTGCAATGACATGCACATCACTCATGCCACGTCGTTGTATGATCTCGGTGGTACATTATATGTGCTCAAGCAGAAGGGCCTACATATCGTGATCTCGCTACGAAGTAACCCTAGCTCTCCACTCATAAATTAAGTGGCGGTGACGGGAATGACGGGAACGGGATATCACACAAGAGGATTGTGTCAAACTGCGGTGAAATAAGGCGAGGTCAGAACGTGGATAGCCCACTTTTCTTTTTATGTTCGAGATTTCCAAAACAACAGTCATGCATGCTGCGAGCCATAATTCTAAGACCTGACACTTGTTTATTGCATATGAACTGGGCAAGTACAGCGATCAGCGTGCCAAGCAACATGCATCATATTGATCAACGTTACCAGTGGGGAACAAGAAAATGAAAGTGTTCACTTGATCGGTTAATCCTCCGGGTCTTTTTTAGGCTGTTCACAGGGCTTTAGATTATCGACTGGTTTTTGGGCCACTAATGTGAGACGTCTATTATTTGATCTGGATCGTCACGGCCTCGAAACCCGTCAGCTTAAATCCACCACAACTCTCTCAAATAGCGTAGAGGAGAATACAAATGAACTTCTTGTCTTTTTACAAGGAGTATTTGTCATTTGGCAGAGGTTTGCTTCGGAGGGGTTCATGGATGCATCCATGGATTGCATTAACAATCATGGAATTTTGCATGCATGAGCAGACTAATCCCTTAGGAAAGTGACAGCAACAAACAGGTAGCATGATCTGGCCAATGATCGGGTCAGATCGACTTTTTGTCAAAAAAGCAAAGAAGGTCCATGTCCAGAACAACTGACGAATCACACCTATCAGCATCACCGAGATCGACCGAGTGGATCCATCTTCAGCCTATCCTGGGTCTGGGGTTGATACATCAACTGCTAAATTCCTTCCCTAATTTCATCATTTTCCCCTTTTCCCCTTTTTTTGCAAGGGGAACACGCGACTCGGTGACTCAATATGTTTGACCGAGGCATATCAATCACACTTTCTCTATTGAACTAAGCTGTTGATCCTTCAATCAAGCAAACATCACGAACTCCTAAGGACCGGAGTGTTCGGGAGGTACCGAAGATATCCCTATGATTGGTCTCAGTGGACCCGTGGCGTAAAACAATGGATGACTTCTTCCTCTTTGGGCTCTGATCCCTGCACGAAACCGAGCCCTTACAAGCCAGCGATCCATCTATTATTTCTCGTTGGGTCGATCAAATATGGAACAAAGGTGTGTATGATCCCAGTGTTTCTCTTTGAACGGGAACTACCGAGACTCTATTCAAAATGGGTTTTAGTTATTTGTGCATTTTCTTTTCGATTTTTTCTTTTCTTCTTTCGCATCTTGTCCTTTTGCCTCTCTGATTAGTCCATACGATCCAATCTGCGATCGCGGGGCCGTGTGAAATAGATCTATTTCTTTCCTTGCTTTCCAGGCCTTACAATATATAAGGACGCTGATTCCTGTTTTCAGACTTCTTCATGGCCCCATACTGCTCAAGAATTCAATCACGTCCATTCTAACCGGCAAAGAACTCTATTCACAATATACCATTCTTGACTTTTGACCAAAATACCTGCATATCGCCACACTATATACAATGACCTCCTCATCAAAGTGCTCAAGCCCCGTTATCAGCTTGGTAAGTTCTCTCGATTTAGGTGGTACTTGTGTAATACTTTAACGGACATATCCTGACCCTTCATCTAGATGCCTGGTGTGAAATGCCCCACTTGTGCAGCCAAAGGGCAAGAAGTCTGGGTGATCCCAGGAAAGAGCTGCCATGTGTGTCACACTCCTTGTGGGCCTTCATGAGAAAGTCGATCGAGGCGCTGTTGTGCATCTCATGCAGTGAAGCTCATCCTTACTTCTCTGGTACCGTGTGCAGCCGCATATGTCTACATATGTACCTTTCGGCTCGATTTGGTTATGTCACATCATTTGTCGCATAAACTTAAAGCGACCAACTCCTGGGCATTTCTGCAATGCGCCCAAACATGCACGAAAGGACTGGGTCATCTGCAAAATCGACATTCCAAACTCAGGCTCACTATGGAGTCAAGCGAAGGGCGCAAAATGGGTTTCACGATGTCTTTGCGTTTACTTTTTCTACAACGATATACGACATTTTTGCCTGTTATTCTCATACCTGAGTATTACTTATTAAATATAATGATGTGTGCTACTTCACCTTGATTCTACTTACCCTAGCGAAACCCTGAACTTTCTATGCCTAAATTTCATCGGGCCGACCTTTCATCCCCCACGTTTACCGTAGGGAAACCTTATCGAACCCGTCTAGAAAGTAACAAAGTACCAAGAATGGAGGCCATGAAGTACTTTTGTCCCGCATATAATTAGCCCCACATAAATCATTTCCTCGTGGCATATTGACATCATAGCTTCCTTTGACTTTGCACAGAACCTTGCATTAACAACAGCTCTGTATTTTGTTAAACCTTCCACGATATACATCTCTCAATCTGGATCTGCTGCCGAGGACATACAATGACAGAAAAGTATCCAATCGGCACGCGCTCTGAGAGCGAACGCCTGGTTCGCCAGTGGGGCTTTAAACATATATTTACCTGGACAGATGGAAGGTCTGTATAAGAGTTCCTGAAAAATTGAATTTCTATATGCTTCATATGCTTCATATATTTCCAAGCCAGATGAAGGCCAAACAATGGAGTCAGATCGAGAGATATAAGTACTGACTTCTTCAGCAACGCTTACTATTCCCCGCACACCCATTCCGGCCTAACGACACACCTCGTCCGCCGAGGTTCTCTGACAATCAGCTACCCAGAAGATAACTCTACGATGCTCAATGGGCAGGCAAAAAAAGAAACCTTTGGCGTTGGGGAAAGGGTTGATGTTCCTGCTGGGAAGGTCCATGAGGTTTGGATCGGGGATGAGGGGTGTGAGTATGTGATTGGAGAGTAGCAGAGGAATGACTAGGTTAAGAATACTACTGTGAGAAGACCATGCCAATTAAACAATATGTTGCATTGGTATCGGATGAGCCCAGCTCATCGAAAAGCTCTGTTCGAGATTTTTTGTTTTGGGGTCTACGGGGTCTAAAAGGTCTTTGAAAGCAGTCCGTATAGTTGAAATGTCTTTAATGCAAGAAGCGGAAGTCGACTCTGGATGGATATTAGTGTTTGTTCTCATGGCACATGGCACTGAAAGGCTGGGCAACGTACCTCTTGTTTCCGAGATCTTTGTTCTCAGCCACATATCGCTCTCGCTCTTCGCTGGACATGTTGTCCCAGACAGCGGCATTTTGTCTGGTGTCATTTATTAGCATAGACCTTCAACGGGATTATCCGATCAAACATACTTGTTGCGCCACACGTAGTACATTTTGGCGACAATAAATATAAACGCACTCCACACCGAAAGGCCAATAAGCACCTTATTACCAGTGCGGTAGTATGGCTTGTCTTCGGTGCGGTAAACCTAAGAGGGCGGTCAGTCAAACGGTCGAGTGTCAAGCGGCTGGGCTGAAAACGTACGTTGTTGCCGATGATGTTACTCGCCTGGACCATCATATTGTAGACGGCACTTGCAACTGTCCGTGTTCTCACAGAGCCCGCATTTCGGGATGTGATCGCAACGATGATAGCATGCACGTAAGGCATACCAATTAGCATGATGAGGAGCACCCAGCGAGCCCAAGCACTAGCATCCTCGGGAAGAACCTCCAAGGCAATCAGCATGACCAACGCCCAGAGTTCGGCGCCGACACCAAGCAGCAACCGCTGATTGAAGCGCTCAGAGACCCAGGTCCAGATCAGGAGATTGATAATGAAGATGACGTAGGCTGGAATTGTGAGAAGGTTGGTATGGAAAGTGCTGAAACCCAGGGACTTCAATTCTAAACTGATGTATGCTGTCGCAGGGGTGTTGGGGATCATCCAGGTCAGACCAAGAAGGTAAATAACCCACATATCGTAGTCCTTCAAGGCCTGCCAGAGCAACTTCGGAGTAACAGGTTGACGATTGTGCATAGTTCCCTTGCTAGGGTCATCGCGCAGGACACGATTGACCATGATTTTCTCCTCGCGCTCATTGAACCAACCATCCTTACCACGGAACCGACCCGCGGTCTGCGTAGGAGAGGGCGGCATCCAGATCGCAGCGATAATACCAATCAAGCCAGTGATCATTCCCTCCAGAGCGAAGAGGTATCTCCAGCCTCCAGTGCCGTCCGACATGCGAATATGCAGGAAGCCAAAAGCAAGGAAAGCGCTGACGATTGACGTCGCTTCATATGTAACCCAGAAGTAGCTCAGACGGATAGGCAACTCCTTGGATTTGTACCAGAAGGACAGGAAGAGAATGGTATCGGGAATAAAGCCACCCTCAAGGAGACCCAGTAGAGCACGAGTCGCGTAGAAGCCGTTCTTGCTCTTGATAAATGCCTGGCAGGCGGCAATAATACTCCAGGACACCATCTGGACGGGAATCCAGCGGTCGGGACCGAACCATTTCGACAGAAGCTGCGAGGGGAGCTCGGCAAACAGGAAAGTCAGATAGAAAATTGTTTGGCCAGTATTATAGTCGTTAGTGCTCATGCCAAGGTCGTCCAGCATGTTATCTGATGTAGCTTGGACAATGTTGCCTCGATCAAGCTGGAGTGCAAAGAAAGTCACACAGGCGAATGTGCACACACGCCAGTCGATCTGCGGGCAAGTTAGATTGTATCTAACAGAAGCTGAGTTATTCTTACCTTTCTGACCACGGCCTTTTCCTCGTCTTCTGTCCATTCAAAATCGGGGTCCCAGCGATGAGCACCTTCATATTCAGGGATGGGTTTGTAATAGCGCGGGTCTTCAGTAGTGTCAAAAGCACAGTCGGTCTGCTTGACCAATGCACGAGGACCGTCATATGTAGACGATGATGAAGAGTCTGCAGAGGAGACTCTTGGTTCAAGCTTTGAGTCCGTGCCTTGGGCATCGGAGCCAGTGGTCTTGACTTCTTCGATCGCCATCTTGCAGGATCAGAGATCGGAGTTCAGATCACAGATGGAGAAGTGAGAAGAGATTAAAGATGCATGGGAATTAAGTCATATAAAGGGAACGATGCGATAACTACACGATACGACACCATCATATTGGTATCACGTCATCGGGGCCTTTGCGTTAGCCTTCAGAGTATTAAAGCCCGCAGGAAAATAGTCGCGAATAGGAAGGTTTGAAACCATTTTAGCAAGATGTGCATGGGCAATTGAGGGTCCCAATTGCGACCTGTTTGGGATCCACATGGTAAGGCTTTTTGTCTTTTGGCTATCGAGGCGTAAGCTTGATTTAATTATGGAGGCCTCGACTCGTGGGAGTTAAGCCTATTGATTGCGCATGTCGGGATGCTGCCAGAGAAAGCAATGCGTGCCATGCAATCAGGGCCTAGCGTTTGAAACAAGATAAAAATCCGAGGATTCTGTCCAGTTGAAATATGGCTTGGCTGTATCACGCAAAACTCGAGCGATTGACGTTAGGTTGGACGAGTAAGGCCCTACCGACTCTCGGTACCTAGGGGCTGGGACTCCACTATGCACCATTCAAGTTTCACGGTATACAATATGTTTAATTCTTTTCTGGAAGGTCGATGTCTTTCTATTTGGACTTTTTTAATTATTTTATATCATGAAGCTCTGCAACATTATACGTAGCTATCAAGTGTGATTCTCACGTTTTGACTACTCGTCATTGAAGTATGCTATACCCAGCCACATGCAGTTAATATAGAACTACACATAAACTACATATAAAGTACAGAAGAATAACACCATTAAAACAAGATATTCATGTACATATGTAGATCATTGAATAGTAATCGTGAAAGTTCATGGAGATTTCAAAATGAAAAATCACATTCTAAATGTTATCTATCACGCCATCAACAGGAGAATTGACACCAATTGCCGGTCAAATCACCACATACATTGGCAACAGTTATCGTACTACATATGAAAATGAAATTTCTCAATCTGAAAGACAGAGTCGCGTCAGCAAATCACGTCCATTCTTACTGGACGCACGCCATTCTCCCTCGGCCGATATGAGCTCTCATACGTGGTTGTAGGATATACTGGTATAATAACCCCGCATAGTCGGGCTCGTCGGCTCTGTCGCCTATCCATGGTCATAACAAAAAGTTTAACACTGACCTAGCAGTGAATCAAACAACCTGCCGACCCCGCAAACATGGCGCAATTCACGTTCGGATTGAGTGTGCCGAAAGTGATATATAAGAATGATGCGGACCCCAAAGATGCGATTTAGATGATGCGATCTCCCACCACATAATATAAAAGACATTAACACCCATATCACCTTCTTATCTCTCTTTCCATCTGTTATACACCTCGTTATAAACTAATATCGACTTGATCTCATCAAACCACAATGGCTCCCGGTCTTACTGATACCTTGGCCCTTCGGGCTCCAACAGTTGCGCCTTCACTCAAGTCAGATGCCGGTCACAACAAGGAAAACCTGATAGGCTACAAATACGAGAAGGAGCGTGAGATCAAGGGTACAGATAAGCTGCCTCCGGCTTCCTATCCAGAGTACCTGCCCGTCTGGGACAATGAGACAGAGAGGTACGTATCTCCACAACCCTAATGCGGCTCCACTTCCCTCAATGAATTTATAGAAACTGACTCCCTGCAGATACCCCCCTCTACAGCCTTTCCAGCACTACGACCACGGGAAAGATGCAGATGCCTCCTTCCCCGACCTGCTGCCCAAGAACCAGGCCAAGATTGACCACATCACGCCTTTCATTGGCTCTGAGATCCACGGCGTGCAACTAAGTCAGCTCTCCGATAAGGGCAAGGATCAGTTGGCTCTCTACGTTGCACAGCGCCGAGTTGTGGGTACGTTATACAAATTACTGTTTCAACTCCCGATAAAAAGTACGAAATTAACAAAAACGCAGCCTTCCGTGACCAAGATTTTGCGTCCCGCCCCATTCAAGAGGTCGTCGACTACGCCGGATACTTTGGCCGACACCACATCCACCAGACCTCGGGAGCCCCCAAGGGCTTCCCCGAGATTCATCTGGTCTTCCGCGGCGCCGACGATCGCACCGGCGAGACGTTCTTGGAGCAGCGTACCAACACTATCACATGGCACTCGGACGTAACCTTCGAGAAGCAACCTCCCGGCACCACCTTCTTGTATGTCCTGGATGGCCCAACAACCGGTGGCGATACCTTGTTCGGTGATATGGTCCAGGCATACAAGCGTCTGTCGCCTGAGTTCCGGAAGCGTCTTCACGGGCTCAAGGCTGTGCACTCCGGCCTTGAACAGATCAATGCTAGCTTGAACGGTGGTGGCATTGCTCGTCGTGATCCCATTACCTCCGAGCACCCAATTGTCCGCACTCACCCTGTTACCGGTGAAAAGGCCCTCTACGTGAACCCGCAGTGTAAGCTTTGTTGATCCAGGCTGAAAATATATGGAAAATTAACACGAAGTATGAAATAGTCACCCGTTACATCGTTGGATACAAGAAGGAGGAGTCAGACCATCTCCTCAAGTTTTTGTATGATCATATCGCCCTCTCGCAGGATACTCAAGCTCGTATCCGCTGGAAGCCTAACACCGTCGTTGTTTGGGATGTAAGTCGCGAAAATCGGTCTTTGCCAAAAGTGGGAAACCAAAAAGTACTAATGTCTATGCAGAACCGCCTCGCATGCCACTCTGCTGTTTTCGACTGGGAAGATGGTCAGCGCCGACACATCGCCCGTCTCACTCCTCAGGCTGAGGCTCCCTACGAGACACCTTTCGAGGGTTAAGCGAGTCCCAAATTCCAATTCCCGATGAGTTTATGAACCGGATTGAATCGCATCTACAATAAGCGACAATTTAATTCAGAGAAATGAAATGATACACACTTTATCCAATTGCGGTGAATGTAGAGTCTCATCAAATACATACATAACATCATATCAAGTTTCAAGCTTTCCCACGGGTGAATCGACTCAACAGCCCAACATGCCACTCGTTGAATCTCCTTGCGGACACCGGAAGCATCGAGTTGCTGCTGGTCAAAGCATTTGCCATCGCTTGGAAGATCATCGATGGCAACTCCAATTCTTCGACGGACAAGGGTGACGGATTCCCGATCTCTGGATGGAGCAAAGTGTCCACATCGGCGGATTCTTGATAGAAGACTTTCATGGCATGCTGGGCCATTATAGTAAGGCCAGCACTGGAATTCGAGTATCGCATGTCGGGGTTAAATACCCAAAGCTGTGCGTAAACTGTCAGTTGGTTCGGTATAGGTGGATTGAGATGAGTGCTTACCACGAGGCCGGTCTTTTGACCGCAGTGAACGACAAATCGACGAGCACTTTCCCGTTCGATCAATTCGAGTAATTGAGCTGCGACTATCGTTTCTGTTGGGTGATGCTCCCACTCTGGTATGGTTGATTCGGAAGCCTTGTTGGTGTTTAAGGAGACGTTCGCTTTCAGGAGTCGCCATCCCTTGGCGATAGGGTCTTCCATGCCAATTATGGATCTGCAATTGGTGCAGTCCAGTGTTCTTTGCGCAGAGGTTTCGATGTTGGATTTTTGTTCTTCTTCGTTGCCCTATTGATAATATTGCTGGTTAGCATCTAGGTCGAGACTATGCGAGGGCTGGAAGTAGAATTGGATAGTGGAACATTGCATTCAAACTTTGCGTTATATAAACATTTTTCTGACAACAGAGAGTAGTGAAGATTTTATGTGCCTCTTATGATCACGCCTGCTCCACTATGCAAATAGCTGGCGCTGAAAATTGAGGACACTTTGCGTCACAAAACAGGAAAAAGACCGCTCACGCAAGTCCATTATCGCTAGCCTAAAGGCGAGATCCATCTGCAGAGAGAGGATGACTACCATTCAAGCCTGTGATCATGTACTCATGTGAATACCGCCCCAGCCTCGAATTGCGGATACACAAAATGGTGTTCGAATTCATCTCGGGCAATAGTATCGGAGACCACTCCACTGAGAACTGAGTGGCCCCCTTCTAAGTTGCCCGTTTGGGGGAAATGGAAGAACAAAGGCAGATGAGATCCACAATAAAACAAAAGGTCATGACAGGGGGAAAAAACACTGGTATTGATCTTACCTTTTCGAGTCCTGTGCAATCTGATTCAGTAAGTAGAAAAGTGGCAACATCCACAAGCACAGTTCGAGGTATAGCCACGACCTGACTATCAGCACCATAACCCTTGGTCTGTGCCGTTTGCTCTTCGATCTGAAGCGCAGAATCCTTCTGGTCCTTCTCATGGCCTTCATGAGGATCTGGCTTATGGCAATGCCAAAAGTCCATCATTTCAGCCCAGTTGCCACTGGGTAGATCTTTCCAGATCCACCCCTGGGGAGGAGGAGTCTTATCAGTATTATCATCTGATGTCGACGAAGGTTTAAGGAAATTCTGAGCACACCACCGACACCGAATCCGCGTCAAAGGGGACATTTCTTCTGCTGTCCAGGGCACAAAGTCATCAATTAGTTCATCTCGAGGCGCCAGCACCTCATCGTTGGCATCGACTTGCATGCGGAAAGAAAAATCATAGGATTTTCCACCAGCTTCTGGTGCTGGTCCTGTGCTGGATTGGAGAGCGAGTTGAGACGCGTCGCTAACACGCGCTGGGAGCTTAATTGTCTCCGATACATCTTCGAAGGGTTTGGGTAATGAAACTGTCACGGCTTTTCTGGACTGTGAGAGTTGGATATCTGGGCGGACCCCGTCAAATGTCGCGCCCCTAGGAAGGGAAACATAGAGTGTTATTTGACGGATGTTTGGCAGAAACTCTGCATGGAGATAAAGTGGTACTTCAAACTCCTGCATCATGAGTTCTGTGTACACGCGCGTGCTTCCCGTATGGTTGGAACAGACAGGGGGAACAGCGAATGTATCTGAAGCACTGAAGTTTCCGAAAGGAAAGGAATGATGAGTTTTGACCGTTCAAGGACCTGGTTAATAACACTAGGCCAACATGCCGAACCCGAAGATTGATGAATTTCATTAATACTGACCTCAGATTATCCACGTCCCATGTTCGCGCTTTGGAAATGCAAACAGCACAAACATATTTGTCACGTGCAGAGATTGATAACTGACTCCATTACGTCATATCAGCACTCTGCCTCAGGCGACGAATCCCAACAATCCCATCCAAACCACCAGGTGTATCTTTTTCATCCATATTCGCCATGCTGACTATCTCGTGGCCTTCGCTGCCGTCGTTCAACCCTTTCTCACTTGCACCTCGCCAGGCTATCAAGCTGCCCCCGGTCAAAGTTCATGAAACCGAGACTGCTCATGAGAAGCCGGCCAGGGCGTTAAAGCATCTATTGAAGTTGAACCATGTAGAAAACGGGCTGTTTGATCGCCGACAGTTCCCAAATCAGATGGCACATGTAAGTATCCCGATTCAATTCACAGTCGGAATGTTTCATGCATAAAGTTTGGTTACGAGACCACGACACTAACACGTTTGTAGCTTTTGAGCTCATCCTTCCTGCAAGGGGCAGATGCCAATGACTTGGGTCGGATCTATGAAGACCAAGTAAAAGAAGTGTTGAAGTGGAAAGACTCGCCTGCAGAAATCACAACACAAGACTGGCGAGGCCATTTAGGACGTCGAGAGTGAGTTTAATCAGAGCATTCATCCATCTAAAAATCCTCGCTAATCACAAAGTTCATCCGTATAGATTTGATCGGGCTTTTGTTGACTTCTATGAGGATGAATTGGTCCGCCTTGGCTACGACTGGAAGCAAGTCGTGGACGAGTACTTGTTCAACGACCATGCGCCCGTGTTCGATTCTATCATGGCGGCTCGTATGTCCTTCAATCTCAGCATGGATTCGAATCCCAACTGGTGCACAGGCTAATTTCACGTTTAGTTGGCCTTCCATTGATCCACCTTGCGTACGCTTTTGAGATGAACAGCCGTGAGATTGGCATGGAAGCACTTGGTCTCGCAGCAACATGCCACAATGATATTTACAAGACCCTTGCAGACTCAAAGCAGTCAACTCAGGGATCATCCTATGAATCCAAATCACAGTTTGAGATTTTGACCCTAGTTCGGAAAGATAAGGACCTGAATGGCCTCTTCCCGACACCAGGGAGTGACAACCTCGAAACCCTTCTCACATCCCGCAACACTGCGCTACTTAATCACTGGAACGCATGGAAGCTCGAAAATCCCACGGAGCAGTTCCGCGAGAGTCAACAACTTGCAGTTGCATTGCTTGTCGGCACAGCTGCGGTCGACTCTAACGGTTACTACGATCGGTTCTTTGCCATGACACTTGCAACCAGTCATGCCGTCCGCGTCATGCTCCCTTTCATCCCTGCCCAATTCCAAATTCCTCTTCTCCAGCAATGGTGGTTGAACACTATTGGTATCTATATTGCGCAGCTTCGACCTGAAATTAACATGGACCGAATTCACAAGTACGATCTTCAAGGGAAGGGCTGGGAATGGGTTGCCGGGCAAGCTGTTAAGGGTGAGTTCTCAACGGATGTGTGTTTTGTGAAGACCACGCGCGCACTGAAGGAGCAGAGTGAGACCTGGGGTGACTCTGATAGCTTCTTCTTGAAAGCTGCTGTCCAATTTGTCACTGACTTTAAGGGGTGGCGGGGCAATTTTGTTGGGTTTGAGCTATAGGCCCCTTTTCTTGTATGTTTCTACTCAGCTTCTTAATATCTACGATCTAACGAAAAAAGAAACACCGTTTCGGCATCATCTTACGGCCATCGCCAGTCAGGTGGTCTGAATCCTATCATACCCTACTAATCTGTACACTATGCAAGCTACCCTCATTCCTATCCTAGAGATCACAAATGGCCTTGTAGTAGAATCCAAAAAGCAAAGCGAGGGTTTCTATCACGCACCAAGGACTTGGCAAAGACAAGCAACAACCTGAGCCACGGGCACCTCCAGACCCACCTTTTTGTAAATTGGCCTTGGCTTTAGCTTCACTCTGAGCTCGAGCATGATCTAATAGACTAAGAACCTTTTGATAATCTTACAACAGAACTTCTCGAATATTATCGGGTTCATTCAGCCAATCTGAGGAAACGCATGATAAGATTTTATTTAAAAGGATTTCATATTTTGCGCTAACAAGTACAAGATAGACATTTATTCAGGTTACGTAGAGCTTTACTGCTTATGCTGCTCCACGAATGGAATTGGCTGTTCCGGCTGGGGGCCAACCTCTCCGGTGAAGATTTCGACCTCGATGCGAGGACCAACGAAGTTCTTGCGCCCGTCCACAATCCACTGGATGGTGGAAATGATAAAGACGATTCCAAAGGCAGCAACACAGTAGTCTATGATGAACATCAGGTTAGCTTTATTTCTGGAAATGGGATACGAAAGGGCCCAACTTACTCATGCTGCTACCAGTGGCAGGAATTGAAGGGGGGAAGAGGAAGAGGATGGTGGTAAGGGCGATGTACGCCAACGAAATCTGGGAGGTTTCGATAAGTAATGGTCCCAAAAAGAATGTGTGAAGCGATGACATACAAGGTTAATAGTCCATCCAAACCACGGGGCCAAATTGAAAGAACGCTCAGGAAGCATCCTTCTTCCTCGAGCACAGTTGACTGCGATTGGCATCGCGTATGAGAGGTCCAGGAGCACTACTGATGCCGACACAATGGCGTTGAAGGCGCTGGAGGAGCCCAGGAAGATGCAACCGAAGATGGTCACAAGGGCCAGGTTGAGGTAAAGCGAGTTCAAGGGGACATTCAGCTTGGGGTGAATGCGAGAGAAGAATGGGGAAGCAGGGAGACCACCGTCACTGTGAGTTTGTCAGTATTTTAATGCTTTTTGAAAAGCAGAATATCTGGGAAAACCTACCGTGCGAAGGCATAGATCATACGACTGCTGGTGGTCATGATGGCTGTCGCGGCAAACAGGACACAGACGAGGGGGAAGCTTGGTGGCTGTCAGTACACCATCTAATCGACAATCAAGCACTGAAACCTACATCAAAAGGCAAATGGCGCCAGCGTTGCTCTGTGTGGCGTTCTTCAGGATTGCGAGCAGCGGAGTTGCCGCCGACTCAATGATTTTGTTGATATCACCAGCCACGAACAGCAGGCAGACCAAAAAGATGGTACCAGTGATGGTACCAATGCCAACGCAGGCGATCATAATTTTGGGTCCCTCAACGGAGGGGTTTGGAATTTCTACAAGTGGTTAGCGTCAACTTCCTTGTCAGACTCAGTGTTGTGCTAGTCACCTTCAATCATGTGGGCAACACCGTCGAAGCCAGTAACACCGAGACCTCCTTGCAAAAGCTGTGAATATGTTAGCAGTGCTCGTGGGGTTTAGAAACACACGACATACACCGAGCAACCAAGCAACTCCATCAGGCCCTATATAAAGTCAATTTTAGATACGTGGACAATTGAGGCTAGACAAACTTACATCCCGTAGTGTTGATGAAATCGGTAAACACGAACCTGCGTTTGTCAGCTGACAAGCTTCTTGAATCGACGGTAGCTATAGACATACTCTGCAGAGTTGTAGTTCGGCGAAGCACATGAAAGAACAGTGATACAGATGACGGCGAAGCCAGTCAAAGACCAGATGACTTTGAAGTATTAGCAGCAGTCTCTAAGGAGTAGGAAATGGAAGAACTCACAAGCACCCTTGGTGACATAGGGCATGATGTTGTTCATCAGAGCGTTGACGACGAAAGCAACAATATTGTAAGCGAGGTAGATCAAAAATTGGTGCCATCGCTGAGGATTGTACGCCTGGTTTCAAAAGTCAGCATAGGTACATGAACATGCAGCAGGCGGAAGACCTACCGGGTTCATCAGCGAGATGACACCGAGAATAAGCTGGCTGCCAAGCAAGCCACCCGTTGCGACCAGTGCAACCCAGCCGGAGCAGTTGACCCAGCCGGTAATCCACGACAGGATGGGCATGTAGCGTCTCCATGAAGTCACAGCGACCCAATGGTATTGACCACCGGCTGTGGGGTATGCAGAAAGGAACTCGGCCAGAGAAGTGGCCATGCACAAATTACAGATACCTGCTGTGACAAGACCTATAGTGACTCCTGTTAGCATCGCGCGCTGGAGGTCCTCAAAACCGAGAAAGATAGGTGTGCATACCCCAGACGACACTGGTACTGCCTCCGGATGGCAGACTCAGAGATAAACTCGCCGACAGAGCGGTCCATGACTGTTTGATGTCAGTTGTTGATTCTACGCTTCGGTGAAGTGCCGATCGCGTGACGTACATTCAAAATGGCGAAAGCAAGACCCAGCATGGAACTGCGAACAAATACCAGTTAGCATAATCCAGGAAATCCAGGGACTCGACATTTTCGAATGCACATACATTAAGGAGTAATTCCGCTTGAGTTCAGACTTATGGCCCATCTGGGCCAGCTGAGTATCATCATTGTTGTATTCGTCCTTGTCCATGACGTCTGTTGACAAGAGATGAAGAAGGAAAAAAGTCAGACAGGGAGGAAAAAGGTCATATTAAGAAGGCGATGGAAACAACATGACGACAGATTTTCGAATATCACTTTCCATTCCCAATTATTCCGATACTCTCCACGGCCGTTCACCTCCACGCGGGGATAGGTACTCACAGGTTTTAGGTAACGACTTGGGGTAGTGGAGCGGCAAACCCGATAAGCGGCCGAGTTCATGATTTGATGAGCGGACCGATTCGGCGAGTTAGACCAATCACAGTCAGTTATCCGGTCGGGCTTGGTCTAGTCGCGGACCGATAAATCCCTAGAGCTTATGCCATTCCTGGTATCTGATTGGTTGGCCCTAAACCCACATGGCTGACTGCGGGGGAAATGTAACTGGGGGAAATGGACGATCTTTGGGGGTTCTGGATATATGCGTGAATATAGTGCATTGTGGTAAGTGAACCCAGATTTGTATTTTTTGGTGGCTTGGCCACCCTGTTCAAACTTTTTACGGACTTTGTCCGGTGCGGTGAATTGCAGCGATATCAACAACTCTGATAGGAAATTGGGTCGAGGTGGAGCTGTGGGCCAACCAAAACCTTGTTATCAGCGACAAATCAGCCTATGTCAAGGATATCTAGGTTGTGTGTATATCGCTCACCGAAATCATCCAAATAATTCATCGCCTTATCGTCGTGTTCTACGAGACTTCTATCAGGATCTGCAGGGGCAAACTCATTAATCTTAGTCTACGGAGTACCCTGGATCTTAAATCTAAAACTATTTTCTATCAAATTGTCTGACCCTAGCTTGTAAGAAAAATGACTAGGACTGTCTAGCTTGGCTTCTAAAAACCTTTTAGGTCATATTCCACGACTACCACTAGACATTCTTTTACTCTTTTTAATGGCCGTTTTAAATGGTACAATTAAATGGTACAAATGTCTTTTCCAAATTACCTTCATTTGTAAACATATGATCCTCGATTAGGTTGTAATAGGCTCTCAGCGGGTTTCAAGTATTTAGACACTATGCAATCAGATGATTTGCGGTGCTACAATATTGTACAAGAGGTTATGAAGGTTAGGATGACCGATCGGCTCTCGAGCCTGAAAGAATTTAGACCGAGCAAAACAGAACCTTCCTAAAGTCAAACGTTCCTTCAATTGAATCCCCATATTAATCGCTGCGTAGAGTATTATTTCTCTTCGCTAAATAATCCCAATTTGACTCATTTCCTGAAGTCCTCCATATCACGTCCCACGTCCAACATCCTCACCTGGCGAATTTCAACTTGTGTCCGTTGATATTGAATTATTAACCCGACTACTCAGTAGTAGCCTACCTATAATGCTATTTTGAACTACCATACGCTGGATTGCTATATCCTATACCGCTATATAAACACAATTGGATGTCCGAGGTAGCGTGTGTAAAGACATTAGTTTTCTAGATAGATTGGTATAGAGCAGCTTATCCAAACATGGCTTTTCGCAATATGCGGAACTATGGATGTCTTCATTCTTCTATCGCAAGATTTGGAATGTAATTGCAAATCCTTATTGGAAGTCGGGTTCAGTATTCCGTCTCAAGAGCTGACGATATCCTAGAATCCGGATAGCCTGCCGCATCAATTCGAAAGACAAATTGCCTTCCTTAAGCTTCCTCCTAATTCGGACACCGATAGTGCATCCAGGCCAGCGCTCCGAGATACTCTGTTCGCAAATGCTTGTTCATCTCATCCGCAGTCCGAAGACGATAAGCTCGCCGATACACGGCTACCTCAAGGTGCCAGTCATCGAGGCCGGGGTCAATACCCATCATTTTCAGATGACGCTCAGCGATTCTCTTTATCGAAGGAACGCACAAAACAGCAGCCGCGGCATCGCCGAAGCATAATTCGAGAATTTCCGTCAGGAACGACAGCACTGGGTATTAAACTTTACGACAACGCCACTTCACTGCGGCCGGATGGGTTGACATTGTGTTGCTTCTGGAGGTTCTGTGTCTGTTAAACAACATAGTCGTTCGCAGAAAAAAGGTGGTCCCATTTGCTCAAGTCGCGGTGTCTTCTCTGTTGCGGGTGGTGTTTCCTCCTGTTTTGGTATCGTTTCCCGTCGCCTCGCGCTTGGCCGCATTGAGGATGACAGGATACTGCCAAAGCGTTTCCCAGACGGCCATGTGTGGAACCCAATATTCGGAGTCCTTGATACCCACACCATTCCCAGTGGAGAATCGGATAGATGGAAGGTCAGAGAACACAGCCTGGTCGACACCTAAAGTCAAGGTTGTCTTGCTCATAATTTATATAAGCAGCAGTCTGGGATGGTTAAACCAGAGACTTCATCTGAGTCAAAAGAAAAGGCCTTAATTATATGTAATATAGTTATGTGCAGAGAGGTTTGAACCAAAAGGATATCAATGTACAACTGAGAAACAGGTATATCAAGTCATAATAGTAGATACAAAGGCCGCCACGCAGTCAGGCGAACAGTGCTAGCACGAAAGAACTAAAAAGATGTGCATGACTCTATTCAACCTCCTCCATTGGATTCGCCAAGTGAGCAGTCCGGACGATGTAGTCGTCATCATCATCCTCATTGGCACCATCTGCCATATCCTCCTCATCGCCATCAACAGATCCATCGGACTCTGCAGCGCGGACTCCCTTTCCTTTCTTACTGCTCTTGCCCTTGCCCTTGCTGCTGGTTGTTGATTGGCCACTGGCACTGCGCGAAGGCCCGCCCGAAAATTTGTTCAGACTCTTTATGCGGCCGCGAATACTTCCTGTTGGGGTTTTGTCGCCATTGGTTGATGGTGTTCCGTCTATTGTGATGCCTTCGCCTAGGCTGAATGCTTCCATAGCCTCGGCGATTGTCTGTGGTGCTGCGGCCTTGGGGTCTTGCTTTGATTTGTCTACTGCTTCGAATGTGTCGCGGATGCGTTCAAAGTGTTCAAGTTCCTTGGCACTGTGAAGTGTTAGTATTACGGTGCAAGAGTTGATAGGTTTGGATGGTCGGGGGGTCGGATAACATACCTAACACTGGGAACCAGCTCTCCTTGAGCAGACAGGAAGTCCTCTTCCATTACAAGCACATTGACATCCTCTGGCGTCGCAAGGTGGTCAAAGAACCAGGCAGTGCTAACGGGTCCATTAGGCAGACTCTTGATTTTTTCATCAACGGCCGTAGCCTTTCGAGTGATGGCTTTCAGCATGGCATCAGAGCAGAGAGCGTACAGATCAGCACCGGTATAAGTCAAAGGAAGCTGTTCAGCAACACGGTCAAGGGAGACCTCCGGGTGAAGAGCGAACTTCCGAGTTAGAGCTTCGAGAATAGTGGCTTGCTTCCTGTGTGTATCTGAAACGCCCAGGTAGAGCATCTTGTCGAAGCGACCAGGACGTAGAAGAGCAGTGTCAAGCAGATCGGGACGGTTAGTCGCACCAATGACGAAGACACCACCGCTGTTCTCCTCGCCACCGTTCATGCCATCCAGCTCAGCAAGCAGCTGACTGACGATACGGTCCATCACACCACCACTGTCTCCCTGATTGCCGCGCTTTGGAGCGACAGAGTCCAGCTCGTCGAAAAACACGACGCAAGGGCGAGCATCCCGGGCACGTTGGAATACGCGGCGCACGTTTGCTTCGGATTCACCAATGTACATGTTAAGCAATTCAGGTCCTTTGACGGAGAAGAAATTAAGGGAGAACTCGGTGGCAATGGCCTTAGCAAGAAGGGTCTTTCCGGTACCAGGAGGACCATAAAACAAGATACCACTGCGCTTCTTCATGCCCTTCGCGAAAAGCTCGGGTCGCTCAAGTGGCAGCTGAATGGTCTCAATCAAAGCGTCCTTAACGTTGGTCAAACCACCAACATCATCCCAGCCAACGTTTGGAATCTTAGGAGCACCAATCGAATCGGCAAAGTTTTTGCGGGCAGCCTCAACAGCAAAGTCGAAGTCTGCCTTGTTGACACCCCGTGCACCATCGCCTCCTGCCAGCAAGACATCTCTGACGAAGACCTCGGAGCCAGAGAGTTTCTTGCTGGCCGCTGCTAGGCCTTCGAGACGAGCCGTTCGCGCTCCAGCAGCACGTTCCACGACATCGACCAGGTCTCCTGCGACAAGTGCCGCAGTCTTCAAAGCAACAGTTCCCAGGTCCACGTCAGCTGAAAGCTTGATGCCTCGCTCTGCGACAGCGTTGTTCAGAATGCCTTCGCGCTCCTTTTCTTCCGGGGCGCCCATCTCAAACTCATGAGTGATAAGACTGCGAATACCCTCGGGGATTGTTTCGACATCGGTGGTAGTGGCAATGACAACTCTTGCGTCAGTCAAGATATCGGTCAAGGCAGTGACGATGCGATCAGCAGTTAAGACTTCGATATGCTTGATAAGCAGCGAAGTACAGTTTGGTCCACAGTGGAAGGCCCGTTCGGCTCGGGCCTTGAGGTATGCTTCGGTCTTGACGTCGCCACCATTCGCTCCTCCTTCGGTCAAGATATCGTATGCGTCAATAGGGAATGTGTGGAGACCTATATCTGCGCCCGCCCGAGTCGCGACAGTGGCCTTGCCGATATGTCTCTGCTGGGATCTGAGAAGAATGAAGACAGGCTTCATTCCCAATTGGATAGCCCTGGGGCTGGTAGCAGCAGACATCAAATCACGGATACGCTGCTGCAAGGGTGGAATGAATGACTGAGGCGGATCGGCAAGAATGCCATGAGGCGCTGGGGAATCATGGACGCTCTTAGGGATCGTCTTAACCCCCAGCCAGTACTCCCACCCATTGCCGAGCACACCAGGCACACGGCTCACGTCACTTCCAGCCTGCACCATGCGAGTAGTGGCCGGGTCAAGGACAGCAACACCGCCCCACTGGTCTTCGCCTGTTTCCTCAAGTTCTTCTAGGGTGGTCGGAGCCACCTGACCAACGCGGAACCAGGCCACACCAATTTTGCGGGCCCCGGAACTGCCGGCATTGGAGCTCTGGCCAAGTCGAGCGGTTATATCTTCCTCCTGGTTGGCACTGTCACCGCTAGCAGTTCCAGAAAAGACCGCCCTGCCAAGTCCTTCGTCAACACTGATACCAACCAGATCGCCACTTTTGAGGATACGTCGGCGGGACTCAAAGTACTGCTTGAGTCCTGCAAATAATGCTGGCTGAAGAACACGATCCATTGAAAGAGGGGTTGAAACCTTGAGCAATGTGACTTCCTTGGCCAGAGGTGGGTTCTTCGTAGCAGTGTTCTTCATGTGATGCAAGAGGCCAGGCTTAGAGGATCCGTTGGGGGTTGCGAATGTCATGGGAGAGATCCGAAGGTACTTGGGGTTTTCGATGTTTCCAAGGAGTAGAGGAGGAACAAAAACTGAAGGCGTCAAGCGTGTGGGTTGGCGCTGCGAGATGCTAGGCCGACGTTCGCCGGAGTGATTAATGGCATACCGGGGTTTCGATGACGGTAGACCTGAAAGGCCAAAGATCTTGACCGGGCGCCAATCGCCAGAATCTTCAGGGGAGTCGTTGAAACTTCCGAACTTGAGTGAGGCGAACATATTAAGCTGGGGTTCCTCGGCAGCTTCGATCCTAACCCAATCTCCGGAAAAACATCCAATCTTGGCCAGAGTGCTGATATCCACAAAGACGAAGGAGTCGACATCTTCATCATCACGAGGCCGGGGATGTAATACTTCATTCGGGACTTGTTGTAGGAGACCTTCAACCTTGAAGGTCTTTCCTCCGCCACGGCCCGGACGCATAGTGGTCGATGTGAAGTTCGATGCCACAGAGCCGGGGGTATGGATTCCATCCATTCTTCGGCCACCAGCTCTAGGAGTCGCAGAAGTCAAAGCAGACATAGCTCCCGAAGGTGGCTGAGGTAGTTCAGGCGCACTGAGGGAGATCATGTCTTCGAGAGAATCATCCGACGAATCACTCATAGAGCCTGCGGAGCCCTCTGTTTCCGATTCCTCTGCAGCTGATGTAGCCTCCATTTCCGTCCCACTTTCACTGGGCTTATCTTCCGCCGCGGAATAGAATTGTTCGTTGGAGGTGTCATCGGCCTCGTCCTCGGCCACTTGTTTCAAAAGCGCTGATCTGGAGGGTAGAGTCTGTTGGGAGCGAAGGCCTTGAGGTCGGGCCTGAACAAGCACAATCTTCGTGGTAGATATCAATAGACCTTGCGAAACAGGCTCACAGAATGAAATTCGCGCAGGTGGTGGGGGCGCGTAGGTAATAGGATGAGGAGGCAGAGGCAGCGGCAACACGTCTCCAGTATGTACAATGCGCTGAGCTCCCAATGCCTCACGGACTGCCGCAGTAAGACGCTGTTCAGCATCCACAGAGGCTCGTTTTGAGTACTTCTTGGCTTCTGCTGCCTTTCCCGCCTTGCCCCAGAGCCCGTTAGGCCCCTGCGCATTCGTAAATCCACCACCAAATTTATTCTGAATGTCATCATGGTTGCGGAGGAGATGTCGCTCTACTGTCACGAATATCGTATCGAGGTGGATCGGGGCAACGTCCAGAATTCGAATCTCTACAGAGCGGTGTGCTTGTAGGGAGTTGCGCGAGGAGTCCACCTTCCCCAAAGCCTGGAGAAAAGGCTGGAGAGAATCGGCTGATTCGGGGAACAAAACGGTAGAGTGTGACAATGGAACCGGTGATCTCTCTGTAGGCTGGATGCGCACGGGGAGGATCGTCCAAGCCTGATCCTCCACGGAGGTATAAGTCGGGGTATGCGGGGCAATAGCAACATATAGTACTCCATCGTCGGAAGTGGTGACATCTGATTGCAAGAAGCCAAAACTGTTATTACTCATGCCATTGGCCTTTTCTAAGGTCGTTCGGAACTTACCTTGAAGGGCTTGCTGCTGGAAGAGGTCGTTCGCCAGATCCTCGGATAAGATGCCGACCTTCCCACGCAGCTGGGGATCTAGCGCCAAACGAGCTGCAATAGGAGCCTTGTTGTTCAATCGCCGCTTTCCAGCTCTTCTTCTCCGTTGCCTGGGCTGCTGGGAGCTCTGTCCGTATTGTTCAAAGTCCATGGATGCGGTGTCTTCTCCGGTTGCCGTCGGCACACGAAGCGGGGGAGATAGGGGAGATATGATGGGAAAAAAGTATGCAATCACCAGATCATTCGGTTAACCAGGGCCCATGAGAGTAATTCCTATAGAGTCCGCCAGCTTTAACAAAGATACTGAGGGGAGAGGACGAGGCGCGCCGGATTCAGAATCCGGGGGAAATCAACACGCGGGCATCTCGGCACCGCCCGCCGTTCTGCCATCTCCCGAAGCCGAGGTCCAATCGGCCGGGGAGCTGGTGAAGAGTTACTGTACTTTGTACAATCTATGAATATCACAGGTTTACAAGTATTTCAGATCATTTAATATTGCATCGAGTCTTCCAAATGGATGAATTGGGCTTTGAGATATCTCGAAAGTGTGCTTTGTCGCTATCGGTTGTTGTCTGCCTGTGATAGCGAGTCTCGTTAATGGGCTTCTACAGTATTTCAGGCTCGGCTAACATTACTTGAAGTTTTCGAAGACAGTATAAACATGTCCCGAGGTCTCTGGTGCAGGTGCCTTCCTATGTAAGTAGCCTAAAGCACCTCATAAGTGATACCAAAGCAATGCAACTACCTAGGTTGTTCTCCGTAACAACAAACCTCTGCGCATGTGGTCCCCAAAGTTTGAGGGGCCTGGTATATAAATTGCTACAGACAAATCTGGGTACCTCCAGATTTGGCTATGACCTTTTTACCTAGTGGTTAAGTGTTGGGTTATGTAATAGTATAGGGGGTAGCAACCCTATAACCCTTGTGGAGTTACTCGCAGGCCAAACCGGAAACACGTGACCGTGACTCTATGATCTAGGTCGCAGTCCCCACATGTGATTGGTGACTGGCATGTCCGTAACACTTTAGAAGCCTAGAGGAGCTTACCTACCATCTCGTTAACACACATTATTGGCGCCCTAGGCGGCAATCGCCCAAGAAACGAAAGTGGGCAGACTAAAGTTGATACACACGACTTTTCGTCACGATCCGTCGTACCTAATTAAATGTTCTTTTGACTTAGTAATATAAATATAACGTGTCAGAGCTGGTTGATTCCCACCAATTTAGATATAGCAACTCTCTTTTTCTCTCTCGGCGTCAATTTCCCCACCTTTCTTCCCAGCTTGCTACTATCTAATATTAACGGAGGGTGGCTTTAGCTTGCGTTTATCAACGTTATTCCGAAGATAAACTGCATCAAAAATCAAACCTTAGAAAAAGCTTTATATAGAAACTATTGCTTATTATCGATTTAAGAAGTCAAAGCTCACGAACTATGTGGCTTTTGGCTATATATCACAACCCGCAGCTGTCCTATAGTCTAATTCTCTGGCGATATATCTACTCCAAATTCCTCCCTCCCCTACTACAAAATACACATAGTAGCACACTGGGGTTTGTGTTCCCTTAGGACATGCCTGGTATCGAATAAAGTACGGTTAGAAAATATTGATCTTACCACTACGATCTATAATACCGAATTGGACCCACTTTTCCGAGGTACGAGTGTCGTATGAAAGATGTGAGGTGCTAATGCTAATTTATCTATATCTCTAGGAGACTTTCCATTTTGAGGTAGGTTATCTGATGTCCTAGAGGGGTTGTCTTTTATTCTGAATTCTATACAGTTCTGCAAAATCCGAACAAGCACATAAGAAACTTCCGTCAGAGCAAGTCATCTTAAGGATATCAGCTCTGTGAATTAGAAACCCTCAGCTAGTCCATATCAAAGTGGATTTCCATTTACTTCCCAGGCAAGACCGATGGCCCCTATTAGATGGAATATATGTCCACTCGGCGGGCTTCCTAGCGTCCCGGGCGGAATTTAGCTGCATCTGTGTCCCACAGATCTCCTCTCTAGTGTAAAACATACGAACTGATTACGACGGTCTGCCTCTTACGACAAAAATAGAAGATTCTTTATTACGACCACTGCTACGGGGTAAGATACAAGTTTCTTTTGCTACTCTTAAACTGATGGGCACGCGAGGATATAGTCAAAGAACCTCGTTAATGACGTGCTATAAAGGCTCAAATGCAGGTTCTTTGCATTCATTTCATCGGTCACGTCTTTCCTAAAACATTCGAGTACCGACTGACGCAGAGGTCATAGCATTCTCTCTCTGTGCTAGGACTAGGATAGTAAAGCACAAAAGGCTGGCGATACTGTCGGTTCCTACGATGATAGCGGCTAATGTCTGCTTCGCGAGCTCCTTAGCGTCCTGAATGACGGAGGCTGTGGTGTCCACAAATGATAGCCCATTTGTTTCGTTCCAATTGGGGGCTTTACTTTTGTCTAAAGGCCCTCACGGATCTTTGTTCAAGGATGTCACAGCAAAGGGAACAACATACTGCTGAGCCGTCTCGCAGGCGGTGTGAGAAATCGGTGAGCGCCGCTTTACGGTCGCGCGACCGGGGGTGACAAGGGTGAGTGCGCTATAGATCAGGTTAGAATCGGGGCGAAAATCACCCAAGTCGCGCGACCACTGCACTGACCGTTCAGCTAAAACAATAACAAAATGTCATTGGATTGTAACGTTACTTCTGAAATGCTAAGGATCTTGGCATATGCACGTAAACACAACGAGTAGCATAGTTCTCGTCTTACATTCAGGCCCAGCCGGTACGCTGTATAGCGTCCAACTAGCAACCTGTAGCCCGGGGTTTTCAGCACCCGAAGCCTCCTTTGTGCGCGAAGGACACTTTGTCGATGTTCGTTACTCAACACAAAACTTGATTGATTATGAGTTGCCGCGTAGGTTGTAGAAAGGACCCTTGGACAGCGGTTAGCTTAGCTTCCACATCTATCTCTGTCTTCCGTACATTCGCCAGTTTGTGATACACACACACACACAATTCATTAACGCCCGGCGGCTGAGCCGAGAGGGCAACTATCACTAATATACCAATACATGCATGTTTGGGTATACGCCGTGTCTCCTTGGAGCCCATACAGTACTTCCTTCCGTATTTGATATCTTAGCTTCCACTCTCATAGTCGGTCCCTGTGGGTTAGTATTGGTTAGTAGACTGGCTTGAAGGCGCTTCTCCAAGTGTTCAACATCCTATCCTCGGCAGTTGAAGCGCGTCTATCGTCTGCCACAAGGGCTTGGGGGTTAGTAAAAAGAGGTATTCTATCAGTTCGTCGGCAAGTCTAGGTGGCCTCAAGTCGGCCCGTGGCGATGGCGAATCGTATTGACGCTCGCACTGCTTCCAAATTCGGCTTCCACTTTTGATCATCGGAGGGTGACTTCCCTCCCAAGAAGAAGGACATGTTACTTCGGTGAGTGTGGGTACATTGCAGCATTTCCGTCCGGTGCGCGGTCCACTTCCGACATCGAAAGAGAAAGTGGTCTACCGTCTCTCTTGCTTGTCCACATGCACATTGATCTGTCTTGGCGGCATTGATTCGAAAGAGATATCCATTGAGTCTTGCCATCCCCGTGCGGAGCTGGGACAGCACGCTCGCTTCTTTCCACGATAATCGGTCATACAGCTGTCGCGTGTGTTTTCCCGGAAGGGCTTTATCCACTCGTCTCGAATGTTTCCCGATGCTCTCAGGTAGCTTACTGCTGGGGATTGCTTGGGTACGCGCGATCTTTAGAGTCGTCGATTTCATTTTGGGGACCTGTCCTTGCAGGATGGCATCTTCTTTCGTCGCGGCTCTCGCCTGCTCTTTCGCCAGCCCTAGTAGTTTGTTGTCTTCGCTAGTGGGGATCCACCGGACGCTGATCTGATTTCCATGCTTCTGCAGTCTTCTCATCAGCTTGTAGATTTGACAGACAAATTCCTGGCCCGACTGTGGTCGCGGATTCTTCAGCATGAGAGCTGCCCCTTTGTTGCTCGTGATCAACGTGATCCTAAAGTCTTTCAATCCCACGAGTGTTTTGAGTGTATGCGCCATTGCCGCCAGCTCCGCGGAAAACGGATTGTGCTCTGTCCTCGCGCTCAACGTGACGGACAAGGTCTTCAGTCTCACTTTCCGATAGCGGGGTGGTTGTTTCTCGATCGCCACTCCAAATCCGACCAGCTCGTTCCGTGCCGAGCTGCTGAACGCGATCCGCATTGATCCGCCTGGTACAGTTGACCAATCTGAGACAGGCTCATCATCAGTCTGTACGCGTGCTTCCCATGGTGCCAGTGTGAACGGATTGATGGTTTCCAGCGATTCCATGTCGATGTTTTTCAGCGCGTCCGCTACTTGGTACAGTGGTGAGCGGTGGTATCTCCTGAATTTCCTGATCCGATCTGTGTTTCTGCGGAGAGGATTGGTCTCTGGTAGTGTGTGGAGGTCCGTCCACATCTTCACGGCTCGTCTCCAGAATCGGTGTCGTGCCGCGGCGATATGGGCCTCGGCCTCCGCTACGCTGGTCGCCACGGTGAGGAATGTGCCCACAATTGCTTGCGCTCCTACCCTTTGCACCCGGTTGATCGGTCCTATGTTTTGATTCTTGAGGGCGTGCATCCAGACGTTCGAGGCATAGTCCACCACTGGAGCTACCGTCGATGAGAACAGCTGCCGCGCTGTCGCTGGAGAGAGACCTCGGAGACGTCGAAGCTCCATCGCTGCCTCCAGACCTTTGGACGCTGCTCTTGCAATATGTACAGTACTTATGATAATCGGTGTCACCACCTACATTACTGGATCGTTTACTAAACCTTATCGGCAAACTCACTACTGACTGGGAATATTCCCGGACGAATATGTTACCTTAATATAATTCGTACAGTGCTCTGATGTGAAGTTACATGGCGTGCATTTGGCATACCGGCGAAGTTTGATGTTTTAATACAGTAATTTTTGAATCCTATAGGTTCGATTCAGCTGACTAGGCACGATTCTTTCAAATCAATCTGAAGCACTCCGCCTGGAAGGTTATTGGGATGTCAGGTGACGTCCTACATGGGAATGTGTGATCTATGCTCGCAGAACCCAAGTTAGTCAGTAGGCTAAGACATCTCGGTGTCTAAAGCACGACTTACCTATACCCAAAATTGGGTTTCTCACTGAGCGATATCATAGCATTATTATAAAATTACCGATGAGACCCATAGGATTTAAATTTCTGATGTTGTCGCTGTATCTGAGCGCGCAACTACAGCCCTCATCCCTGTTCTGTAACACATCGCAATTTCCAGCAGACAATTTTCGCAGCTATGTTTGACTTTACTCCAATTTATGTCAGATCAAATTGCCAGTTAGACCCTCATTTTCTGGTGCTAAATTGCAATAGCAGCAGCAGCAGCAGCATCCGTAGTATCTTTGAAGTCTATATGAGGCTTCGAGCCAGTCACAACGAGCTCTATGCGGCTCCTCAGTGTGCAGTGTCTGTTGCTCTCTGGTCTTTGCTGGAAATATTGCCCTTCTTGGTGTCGAGGGTGTCTGGGGTATCGCATGGCACGATGGACATTGCATCAGACGAAATCTCGATCCGAAGATCGCTCTGCTTTAATTCGAACATCTCGTCGGCTAGTCTTCTCTTGATGGCCGATGAGTCTCCTCGCCTGACAGATCCAGAACAAACAGGACACTCTTCATCAACCGGATAATATCTCCTGCATAATCGGAGAATATCTCCTGCATCACTTGGGTTTAACGATGTGAAAGAGGGGTGTGCCTTCCACCGACGAGTATTTCATCTTCCAAGGCAACCTAGCTGTCCCTAGGTCGTTCGTCCAAGAAATTCTTTCGGCTTAGACTGTGAAATATGCTGCCATCAATCTCACATACACTTGTTGCCTCAATTCCCGGTCTTGGGCCTCCTCAGGCCGAGAGATACCCTGTGCTGCCCCGCCCAAGAAATAAAAGCACAGCCTGCTCAGCCTGTCAAAGGCGTAAATCAAGAGTTGGTGCCTTGCACGCGGAGAAGATATTACTGCTGAGTTTGATAAGTGTGCAGGCGGTGTACCTTGTGACCCTTGCCAGAGGGCTAAGACAACGTGCGAGATCAACCCCGACACCGACGGTCGTCGTAAGCTCACCTTCAAGCGCCAAATTAAATCGTTAAAGCAGGACCGTGACTTGCTTCTTCAATTCATAGGAACTATTCGCGACTGTGACATAAGAGTAGTTCTGGGAGTCGTGAATCAAATTCGAAACAACGCTTCATTGAAGGGAATTCGACAACACTTCGCTCAAGGTCCTGACTTCGCCGATATCGATATTGCACCAACAGGAAATCAGAAGAATCAAAGCAAATACATTGAAATCAACCGTTTATCCGATATTCCTATTTTTGAGGTTCCTGCGCATCCATGGACGTCAATAACGAATGATAATGCCTTTGTGTCCCATCTCATTTCCCTTTATTTTACCTGGCAACAACCCATTTCGAACTGGGTCGATCGTGATCTTTTCTTACGGGATATGAGATCTAGAAGTCTAACCACCCTTTTCTGCTCGCAGCTTCTTGTCAATAGCATGTTAGCTGTGGCTTGCGTAAGTTTCTGGTTTAGGTTCTTGGAACTGCATTTCTGGCAGCAGTAAGAGAGTATTAACATGGTCGTGCAATTGCAGATGTATTCAGATCATCCTGAAGCTTTTGCTCAGCCAGGTAACAGGGATTCTCGAGGTGAACATTTCTTTGAAGAGGCACTTCATCTGCTTGAACTTGACGAAGAAAATTTGAATCTTACTGCTGTGGAAGCAAGAGGGGATCTTTATCTTTGGTCCGTTTATTCCTTGTTTACTTTGGATAAAATATTGATCAAAAATGGCAGGGCTTGTGCAATGGGTAAAGAAAGATCAGGTTGCCCACAATTGGTGGAAGTCACTGCCTATTTCCGGTCGATGTTCATGAAGCGAGACACATTTATAAAGATGGCGGGTTTCCAATCCCAAGAAATGACAAGAGCAATTGATATTGCAATACGCGGTCTCTTCAATCTAACATCGTAAGTATCAAGCGCTCAAAAGAGCCCTTGCCTGATTATGTGCCCAGGATTAACAGCGTTAGCTTACGAACGCCGCTCATGATTGAGAGTCTTGATATGAAATATCTCCCACAGTGCCATGAATTAGGAGACACAAAGACTGCTGATCCTAGACAATCGGAGCCACCAGTAGCTCATACCAATTACGTGCTCAATGGCATGTTAGAGCTCGCAAATATCATCACGGACGTGTCTAACTGCCTTTTTCGGGAGGCAAAATCCACCGACACCGATCTTGCCAAAATCATCGCGTTCTACCAACGTCTACACGAGTGGAATGAAAATATTGTAGAATGCCTCGAACCTTCAAACGGTCCATCGCTAGATGTTGTGGAGATGCAGTTAGTAAAGCTTTCTTTCCATCCCTAATAGATACTCACTCTTCCGGGCCGAAGTATGCAGTGCTACAATATCATTCTATGCCTGTCAAAGTTTGTTGAATCATCAATCACTCGAAAGCAGTTCGACAATCATGATAACCATGGGTCTCCTTGCCGAGAACCTTGCTAGAGCTGTGATGTGATCCAAACTTCTGCCAGGGGTCGGAGACGCAAGCGCGAATCGAGAGGCTCCGGGAAAATTTATCCCAGGAAACGCCCACTTGTGTTGACCGGCATTTAACCTAGATTGTGTTCAAGACGCGTGCAAAAGAATTGAGGAGAAATTTAAATTATAAATATGAAATCATTTCTATCCGTGTAAGAGCTTTGTTACGTCGCCAACTTATAGGGTTTGAATGCCTCTTTCTCTTATTCAAAAATTAGTATTCAAAGCCATAGGTAGGCCTAATCCTGACAGGGACTTGTTACGCGCAGCTAATTGGTCACAGTTATGTTAGAGGGAATCGGGAGATACTTCTCTTATTTCCTGCAGACTTCTAACCTCAACGGTCTGTCTCTCAACCTTACCGTTGCCTAGCAGGCCTTACTGCGGGATGAGTCCTATCGAGGGTATCGAGTAACGATGCCAGGTAGTGCGCCGAATAGATCTATACCGAGGTATTGGTCTAGTCGTTGTGGTTGTCAAGTTATAATCAATGTAAAGAGTCTCTGAAGCTCCAAAGGTATTCACAAGTAACAGTATATTGAAGACGAAGAACTAAACTAGATACATGAAATGAGTGTCCTTATATATCCCTGAGTTCTTCCGGTGTGGAAGTCTGCCCAGGAACCGAGCGTACTTGCTGACGCAACCACGCACGGGCCACAATTGGTTATCCACCTACACCAAAACCTTTGGCTTCCGTGACAACGATCAATGCGTGTGCGGCGCGCAAGAAACAGTCATCCACGTGCTGGTGGACTGTCCGATCCTGAAGGAACCTCGAACGAAATTGAGGAAAGAAGTTGGCGATGCGTTTAACAGCGTGTCGAGTCTGCTGGGAGGCTCAAAACAAGGTGAGAGAGGTAAACCAGACAGCGTGTCGCGGATATATATAATTGCTGCAGCCTGCATATCGCTCTGTGAGGGGTAGGGGTAAATGAAATTATCCATCCATCCATCCACACTGCATGAAAAGGGCTATAAAGAATTGATTTGATTCGCAGTCGGCCGAGCACTAACGTAGCTCTGCCTTTGCTTAACACGCTCTGCCATAATTAACTCTGCAGGAACAGAAAATTAGCTCGGCAATATATAGGGTGATTCCATCACTCATAGTCATGAAGGACCAATCTCCTGGTTTCACAAGCCGCTAACACTAATGATCCACAGGTGGCAGGGGCAAGTCTTATAAAAATATGCCAGAGAAGCAAACATAGGCAGGATTGCTGGGTCTCCATTTGGAAATCCAAAATCGCGTGACTCCACATTCGGCCGTTATGTGAACCGGTTGTCAAGGTAGTTGGATAACGGTCTTCAAGGCTCATTAACTCGGCCATTACCGCCCCGATAGAACGTATATCATACTGCTCGGATGTGTTTAGGCTTCCAAGCAAACAAGCACCGATATCACCTGATTTTGCTGTCACTTCGAGCGCAACATTGGATCCAGGCTATTTTTTTTCATACTAATTTTGACCCTACCGCCCCTTTCAATGAATATGTTGTCACACTAGATCATTTTATGACAGATATCAAGTTCCTGGTGTATGTAGCAGAGTCCATGTAGGATCTGGACTCACACACGATAATGTCAAAACAAGATCGGAGCTTAGATAAACGTTTAGAAAACCCTCACCTCTTAGCAAATGAACGCTATTTTTATCTCGCCTAGCTTAAAGCAAGAATTCAGCTACTAGAGAGAGACCTCTATTAGCTCATAAGCGAAATGGTAAACCCCTTTTTCAAAAAAAAAACATCTAAGTGACAAATTAGAGATAGTATTGTCACTAATCTTGTTCGGTTGAGCACACTGTTCCCTGGTATCAAATCGAAGCCGGAATCATGCGAGGGTACTGCATCTGAAACATTATCAGTGTATTCAGTCAATTTGAACAATCAATTGAAAGCACCGTTAAACAGGACCAAGCTGGATAAGGGATGTAGTTCCTTTTGACCAGTCAGCTTCACCGTCGCTCGCATACCCAGCTTATCGTACTCACAATGAGACCCTCCTTAAATATATCAATCTCTCCGGACCGAGGTTCATACTCATTTGAAAGTCATAAAATTAAACGTGATTTTCAAATGGTCTTTGTTTGTGAATCAATTCGCAATTCCAGTCAGGTTAGGTTTGTTGATCTACACTGTACTCTTCACACATACCATCAAGTATGGATAATCATAGGAACATGACGTTGGTGGTACCCCTATATATGACCTTCTCAGATTGTTCGGTTTGTCAACCATTCCGGCATAAAACCCCACTTCATCCTGCAGCATTATAAATATATCCCGAGGTCTCTGGTTGGGTGCCTTCCTATGTAAGTAGCCTAAAGCACCTCATAAGTGTTACCAAAGCAATGCAACTACCTAGGTAACTATACCTACTTGATTTCCTCTGCCAGGTGGGGCTTTCCTATTCCAGACGCCGCCGCTTTAATGAGGGCGCTCAGTCTGGCTCACTGAGTAAATTTCAGTCTAGGCTCAGGATCACTGTGCTGCTCGGAGTGGTCACGTGATATATTAGTCAGCAACTCTGGAGGCATCTAACAGGTGCTATCTAGCCCTGGCCAATAAGGATGTATGAATGCTCTGTGTTTTATTACCCCTGGTTCTGGCAATTTATAGGGGTTCCTGCCAAACCAAGATTACGCATACATACACCGTAAATAGCTTAGCTAAGGAGATGTGTACCTTTTTGGCCAAGCGGTCACGAAACAGACGTTTTTTCTATCCGACAAAAGTGCCTATCTGTTGGCCTTACGATGGGCCATCGACAACTAATAGGAATCTATATAGTATAAGCTTTGCGTAACAGAAAGTCTTGTTCTTTTCTTTCCATCAAGATCAAACAATTTATATAAGCAATATTTGCAGTTTCTAGCCCAACTGAGGAAAATCAAACAATGAGATAGAGATGCTAACGGGTAGCAACACCAACGAGCGCCATACGTGGAACTATGGTCCTCCACTTTTCCTCTGATTCATCATACTCCGGACCCGAAATTTCGGAAGACTTGCCAAAAACTTCCCGGGCTTTCTCCAAAGCCCATCGAGCGGCATCCTCTTGTCCCTTTGCTTCCTCCAACTTGGTCAGACCATACATATTCACTAAATAAGCTCCCATTGCTAGATCCGCTTTCTCCGGGGATTCTGCTATCGCGGAATAGGGATCGAGCATTTCGAAAATCTGGAAATTCTGGAAACCTGCACCGATGAAGTACTTCTGCATCTCATCCCGGGTGAAATGTCGGAACGGATGGCCAGTCGTGGAATATTTGTCAACCACGTCGTCGAACCACACGTCCATGGGGCCGCCAACTTCAAAATCGTGTAGCACAAAGAGTCCTCCGGGACGAAGCGCTCGATATGCTTCCTTGGTGGCATTCAAGCGGCTGGAGGGATCGATATGATGCGTCCCATACGCGAGAAGCACCCCGTCAACAGACGCGTCCTTGCACAGGAGATGCTCCGCGCGTTGCCGGACCGCTGGTACACCTGTATCCCAGGCAGCCTTTACCATATGCTTGGAGATATCGCAGGTGAGTATGTCGATTTCCGACATGCCGAGTTGTGCGGCAATCTTGCAAATCAGTCCATCACCGCCGAGCAGATCAAGGATAATTCGGCGACTTCTGGTGGTGCCCTTGTCTCTCATCATGCCGATGAGCTTGGCGATGCCGATGGCCCGGGCGTTGACGTTGGATGTCATTGCTGTGATGTAGTGGGTGCCGCGGCCACCTACTTCGTTTGGACCGAAGTCGTCAGTTTCATTGTCGAGCAATTTCGAGTCTTGCTGCCATGTAGCTATCCGAGATAGATCTAGACAGTCGTAGAAGTGCGGATAGCCTTTTTTGAGTGCGTCCAATTGAGAATATAGATCAAAAGTATCACTGGGCACTATGCCATAGCTTCCCATGATAGGCAAATGGAAAGCCTTTGGTGAGGGAGTTCTTGAACAGATATCGGGAACGATGGGAGAAGTATGGAGGATAGACACAAGGAAGAGGATGGCTTCGCAGAAAGCTTTAGTAATTTGCCTGGAAGGAAGATGCCAGAGGGTAGGGTATAATTATTTATTTCATTTGCGCAAACATCAACTAGCCTATGTCTTACCAAAATGTACATATGACGATGATGGTTGGGCTGAGGTTGCAGAAGATAAGGCATCAGTGGCGTGTAAATCTCGACTACAATAAAAAGCCCTTTGCAGGTGAAACGCATGTATTTTGTGATTTATATCTAAGGTTTGACCGTGGTCGGTTTGATTTAGCTGCGCATATTTGATCTTTCTTGCGATAAGAAGTACCACAACATAGAGCATATTTGAAAGTCATAGAGATACACATGATTTTCAAATGCTCTTTGTTTGTGAATCGGTTGGCAATTCCAATCAGGTTATTCGTTGATCTATACTGTACTCTTCACACATACCATCAAGTATGGATAAACATAGGAACATGACGTTGGTGGCACCCCTACATATGACCTTCTCAGATTGTCCGGTTTGTCAACCATTCCGGCATAAAACCCCACTTCATCCTGCAGCATTGAAATAGTTGAGGATAGCTCTTGCATGTCCAGTAAACTGCCCTCCCCCCTCTCCCACCCAGCTGCATTTGAGGTGACACAAGGGCTGCAGGGTATGAACGTCAGACTGGGCGCAAACTTGGCGAAGTCGATCTTGCTTTTTCTCTTGGCTCCTACCAATCATTTTATTTTGTATTTTGTTTATTATTTTGCTTTTGCCTGATAGAGATGACTTCCTATTGGAAGGCGGTAGGTATGAGACATGTCCAGCATTCTGCTGCCCTCTATATCTATCGCTTGGGCTTAGTGTTTCTGCAGTTGTTAACTGTGTTGTGTCTGATACAGCTTCAATTGTTTTCTATAACTCGGCAGACCAAGAATGAGAACAGCACAAAGCAACAGCGGAAACGAGTCCATTACCATCGACATACCAGAATGATTGGTTGAAAGAGGAGGCCATAATGGCACCGATCACGCAGTCGCTCGAGAATCAACATACGGAAGACTTTTAGCCCGACTATGTTTGCTGGGGGAATTGGAAACCCCCAAAGTCTACACCCGGAGAGTCAAATGGCTGATTACCTTCGTTGTCGCGGTGGCAGGAGCTGCAGGTCCAATGGGCAGTGCAAGATTCTTCCCTAAGCCTTCATGGACTACAATAAGCCTATATCCATTTGCTGCAAGACTAAATGAGCCGTTAGCTGCTCTCTCACAGATAACCCACGACTTGCATACGTCCGTTATCACTGCAAACCTTTGCATTTCTGTTTACATGCTAAGCATAGCTTTTTCCCACTTTAGTGATCAGTATTCAGTGAAAAATTTAGTCGACGCAAGATATTTTGATCTTTGTTCTTTTCTTTTTGCTGAATGTACTTGGAGCCCACGCCAATTCGATATCTTTTTAATAGCCATGCGTCTACTAAGCGGAGGAGCATCTTCTTCAGTTCAAACTATTAGCGCAGAAACCATAGCAGACCTACATGGAACCAAAGGAGCGTAGTAGAGCTATGGGAATATTCTGGCTTGGTCCATTATGTGATCCCTTGATATCTCCTATCATTGGGGGGATCCTCAGCCAAGAGTGGAGATGGAAAGCGTCCTTTGGTTCCTAGCTATATATGGGATAGTGACAGCTGTGCTCATTCTGGTGACCCTCCCTGAAATACACACAACAAGAGGGGATATCGGGACTGAAAGGGTTGTTGAGCGGCGAGGGTGGAAGCTGTGCAAGATTCTTCTACTCGACCCACTGAAAACTATTCTCCATCTACGGCGGCCTGTGATTTTACTAACATCATATTATGCAAGTATCACATCTTGCTTTCTCTTTATGTTGAAAATCAGCATTAAACATACTTTTCAGAGAGACCCGTATCGCTTCTCGACTATCATCACTGGCTTACTCTATCACCAAATTCGCTAGGATATATCGTGGCGAGGGCCGTCGGGGGTAAGTGGATGAACTATATCATACAACGTGAAGCTAGAAAGGCAGAACGATATAAGGGGGATAGAGGCTTGATTTACTATCCCGAAGATCGTGTCCGAGACAATGCTTAGCTAGCAGCAATTCTATATCCCTCCGGTCTGCTTTAGTACGGGTGGACAGTGGATAGCGGCGTTAGATAGCCCGTACCGGTATTTTTCTGCACATTGCTGTTTAACCGGGTAGCCTAAGTGATCTAACATCCGGTACAGATAATTGCAACATTTGTTTTTCGCGTGGGTTCCATGCTCATCTTTAACATGTCGACAACAATGTTGACGGAGTTTCTGCCAAGGAAACCATCTGCGGGTGTCGCCATCAATAACTTCGTGCGCAATATCCTGTCATTCGTAAGAACTTTGGCCACGGCCCCAATAACTAAAGCTATCGGCAACGGATGGCTTTTCACTATAGCAGCGCTAATTGCTTTGGTTAGCTCCTCAGTGCTTTTGGCTATGAAAGTTCGAGGGTCCCAGTGGAGACAATCAATTAATGCGTTAGAAAGGACAGGGCTATAATATTACTTTCTTTGATCAAATCTCTCAGGTGATCCTAGGAAACAGTGTTGATGGCCTATAGCCCTGCTTCTCCGTCTATCTGGGATTTAGATGTTTAGACAGCTTCTTTGGTTACCCCCTCAGCTGCAGCGAGAATCGATGCTTTTTCTTCCTTTGTTTCATCACAGTGACCTATTATGCGAGAGGTGTTGGGCAACTTGACCACTACGAGTTTTGTCCTTGATTATCAGCTCGTGCAATTGCCAGGGGTTGATATCGAATAGATTTCTGTGCTGATATTCTAGAAGGCAAATGGAACCCCTTACATATGTCCGGTCAAAGCTTTTAACCTACCCATCAACAAAGCGTACAGCGTCTCAAGCCGGGGCATTTCCACCCCATGTTGCTGGCCTAATCGTACCGGTTCTCCGAGGATGGTCTCAATTTCAAACGGCTGTCCGCGTCGAATATCCTGTAACATGCTTACTTCGCGGCCTGTCCCATTCTGTGCCCTCATCTTTGCAATTGAAAACTGTTTCTCCATCACTTTTTCATCAACACCGGGAATACCAATCTTCTGGGCCAATCGGACTATCTCCATCATTGCCCCGCGGACCAGATCAGCGGCGAATGGCGAAGAGGTGAGGAAGTCACCATCAGTGCATAAGCTCAGACCGCAAATGGGACCCCACGCAGCGTTTAGAACTAGCTTTGACCAACGGGCAGTCTGAATATTTTCACACACTTCCACTTGCCCCCCACCTAGACAGAAGAGACGGGCTAAATCCACCGCGGCCACTTTGTGTGGCTTTGGCGCATCTGCTCGGAAAGTACCTAGCTCCAGTAAATTGAGTGTGCCATGATGCTTAACAACCCCCGGCTTTATTTGCATTGCAGGAAGATATACTACCCCACTGAGAATCGGGTTCACGGGAAATGCCTCTGCAATTATGTCCTCCACGGCGATACCATTCTGCGCCATGACGATTGCCGTCCTAGCGTCCCGTTGGATGATAGGCCTGATCAGGTCGACTAGTGGTAGTTGGCTACCAGACAGGGCCTTTGTGGTCACAATAATATAATCATAAATCGTATGGGCTGGACAATCCAATGTTGAGCGAAAAACATAATCAGGTTTATAGGTTACGTTGCCGAAGAGTTTGCTTTGCAGAGTAAATCCGTCTTTGCTCACGGTATCGTGGTTGGACCGACACACGGCGCTAACGATACAGCCTGCTCGTTGGAGTTGATGTATGTAGATGGCGCCAACACTGCCAGCGCCGACAACCAGAATATTGGGCGAATGTAGCTCCTCTGGATGCTGAGGCACCTCGGATCCGATTGTCATTCTTGAGAAAGCGCGCTAGACTGTTTATTGGCATTTGAGGTCGAACTTCGTTGCATATGTTAATTCAGTATGCTTGGGCTTTTTGTTTGAGATATCGACAAAGGGATGGATTAAAAGTTGTATTCCACCCGTCGATATCCCACCGTACTAATATGTTCACTTGATTTTGGCGGAAATGCTCACCGAGCATTTCCGCCAGCCACGTAGTCAAAAGTGAGTTAAACTTCCGGCCAATAGGACGATTGATCATTATTGAATACCTAGTGTTTATTGGACGATAGATGCTTTCTTAGGTCTGATCCACACGGTAAGGCGTTCTTTCTCCCAAAGGGAAGATTGGGTGGGATGGCTGGCCTACACATCATCGAGGGGTCAGATAGCTTGCATGAGGGCAGAAGAAGCATATACTCAAAGGTACAAAGACGGACAGCATTCTGGTAAAGGGCGGTCAGGCAAGTTTTAGGCCTGACGATTCACCTTCAATCAATCAACATTTATTCTATTTTCATCTATCTTTTTTGAGAAAAAGAATATACAACAGCCCACTGCACTGGTTGGTACTGTAAGTGAATGTCATGACTCCAATGGAAGTTACTGGATGGGCTCAGGTCATCCAGCAAGGGAAATCATAACAAACGTTGATTGGGTAATACTCAGCCACCCATCTGTCGAGCTCGCCCGCAGTATTTGTACGCTAACAGGCAGGCTCACACCATGACGCGCACCTTCTGATAACTCTTTCATTCTTGCTACTGTGATTCTTTTGAAACAGAAGAGAATTTGGCGTACGATTATTTCTCTTTCAAGTACTGCGCAATAAAATTAGAACCCGAAAATGCCCATCCTTAGTCCCAACATTTGCGTGGTTTGTCTCCAAGCATAAATGAGTCCTTCGGTCCACCTGAACTCGCGATCAGCGCCGTCCATTGGTGGCTGTTGGTGGCTGTTGGTGGCAAATCTGCAAGTTCACCTCATACTGTAGAGTGAGTGCTTAGAGGGGCCTCGTTGCGTGAGTTTTCAGTGACATCAATTTTTGTTCAGTGGCATGTAATTCGTATATACCATGCATTCATACATGATGTAAATGTGCATATGATAAATCATCTTGGTTCAACTGCACAATCACCATGTATAGCGGCGCAGGTTCCTCGATGGAGGAACCAGCAAATATCACCTGGCACGCGTAGTGTGCTTCGGGTGTAGTTTTGTGTTCCTCACTCGCATTCCACCGTACCATACGAACTTCCCAGACGAAGTCCTAACGGAAAAAGCAGACGGAAAAGGATCAGCGAAAGCAGTGATTATGCACTTAGACCATACCTGCCAAAGTCAACAGCTTCAGTCCGCGGTGCCTTTTTATCACATGAGGATCTCCATTAGAGGGAAAGTGAAGACGTGACCAAGACGTATGCGAGTTCCGACATCATTAGTGTATCGGAACTATGTTATAGGCACTTTGATCGCGGATATTGTAACCAATAATATTCAAATAGTCTCCCAAATCCGACTATTACATGGAATTTCTTGCAGACGTTGCTATATCGTGATACTGAAGGTTTTGTGCATGCATGAGCAGCGCACGATGACCCACTGGGTTTTCAGATTGCCTCAAACACCAGCTCATGGTTCTTAGGCGTCAAGACGAACTTGTCTCTTCGGAAGGCCAAGTCCTAAGGCCGGACCTTAGACGAGATACGATACTTGGATACGACCTCGAAGAGAACAATTCTCATGAGCAGGCTCGCGAAATGTTGGCCGAGGCACTTCCGTACGCCTGTACCATATCCAACACAGCTGTATCGACTATCTGCCTTTGAAATGGAACACCGGGCGGGATAAAAGGTCGGATCCCTCAACCTTGCGCCCGCCTCGATGGAGAGCGACCAGACCGGCGAATGAATGCTGACAAGCTTTAAGTCTACTGTCACGTCTGTATTAGCAGGCACGAGAAAGCCCCCGATTAATTTATCCGAGGACGAGCGTTCGTAAAAAGTAAACCCTAGGAAAATGTCATGTCCATGATGTCGTCCCCATAGAATAGTCACTCAGCCCAAACTCACATATAGAGAGACAGAGGCGGCGAGACTCAGCGCAACAGTGCTCTAGGAATGTATCTAACCGTGCTAAGTAAAGGTTCTCCTGTCTCTTGTGAAGGCTTGACTGTCCAGAATGACCCCATTTTTTCCCCCCGGAAGCAACTCTGCAGGACCTCGGAAGCGAGATTTATATTGCACTGTCCTGGCTGATATAATCCGTGCTGCTGCCGATGCCAAGAGTGCACTGAATATTTTTGCAAATTTGTTGCGAGGAGATGAACAGTATGGATTTAGTATATTCGATGCTCACGTCGGGGAAACAGGCTGTCACCTACGCGCTACCATGTTGGCAGAAGCATTTCTTGCCTGCAAACACAGCCTGACAAAGTCTACATCAGAAAATTCCGTACTAAATGGATTGACACAGCCATCAAACAACTTGTTGTTCTTCGCAAGAATGCCGAACAGCTCTGCTTAAACTTAAGCAAGAACCGGAAAGACCCACTTTATGTTGGACTTTGCTCCAAATGGGACATACGTAACAGAGCTAGCGTGCCGCATTTTATTGATGTAGCTTAACTGGGGCGCTCATGGCTGTACCTTGGCTTAGTTTAAACTCAGTGAGCGAACCAGGGCGCTTAGAAGAATATCAGGTGATGTTCAGAGAGTCGGATCAGATGCTTATGTAATGAGCTGGGATCCGATCAGACTCAGGGCGCATGCTCAGATCTACGCAGTGAGCAAAAAGCGGCAAGGTCTGAGCACTAAAACGGAATGGGAAGGCAAGAAATGGCAGAGAAAATCAAGTACGTCGACTCCGTGCATATTTGGAGATACACCCAACAGTGATCACAAATAAATGATCAGGCAACTACATTGGGCATGGGTTGATAATATCGCAGCCTGGGTTAGCCGGCCATCAAAGAGAAAACTGTGACGAATATTAGGAAACATTCTCGAGGTAAAAGAATGCTGTTGACTGATGGCTTTCCCCGGGCCGCTTAGCATGGGGTCAGAATTATATACCAACATGAAGGTCTAGAGGGATCGCACAGAGTGATCAGCCGCAACGTAATCATGAACGATAGCAGCTGAACTATACGAGGTTTTCCCTAATGTTGTTGTTGCGCCTGCAAATATGATAAGCGGGATTGACTCCAGGTACGATCTAAAGTCAATCAGTGTTATAAGTCCCATGTAGAGTTTTACAACAAAGTAATCCTATGGAAGTTCAGTCCCTTTTGTTTGACTACAAGGTGGGCTGTGCATTCGGGAGGGGAGTCAGACAGGGGCGCAGTCGAGGGGGAAATGCCACTTGGCAATGTGCACAGCATCAGGCAAAAACAACGTTACGAACGGACATGCCGACAAACGCAGTCTGACTGGGCTGATTATTGGGTCCAGGAAAACGAGCGGTAACGGGCGGAACTTTTAGTTCATCCGGTCAGTATGATTGGTGTGGGGGTGCGAGTCCTTGAATTATTTGTTGGCTATTTAGTTTTGACTAAGAGTTTCGTTTGTCGTAACCAAGAGAATTTTTTCCTGTTATGGCATGATCCTTGTAACAGGTGACGTAGATCTCATAAAAATAAGCTGATGAAAAGACCTCTTTCTCTCGATTAGAGTTGGGTGATAAAAAAATCTCTTCTGCCTACCACCAGTTGAAAAAAGGGATTGAGGCTCCGGAGAAGTGATCTGTCTGGGACCCGCGAGTCCGAATTTCCATTTTAAGAACTCAGTGGGGAACAATACAATACAGTATTGTACCGGGGCTGGACAGGGGACCAGAACATAAATCAACGGTCTTGTACCATATCGTACCATGTGGTCGCAAGGCTGGGGTGGGTTAGTTACGGTAATTTACAATGCGATCCATTCTCAACCAATCAGATCCATGCAAAATGTGCTCAGCCGTGTCAACCTCATCCCTCTTTGGGGTTAGCGTCTTCGTCTATCAGGCAGACATCCAACACGCCATGAGCCTCCGGTCTTCTGTCTTCCTTGATCCGCTAATTCCCCTTGATCTCGCTCCTCTCGTTCTGTGTTTTCTGCATTATTTATCTTCTATTCTGTTGGTTCGAAAACCTAGTCGCAAAACAGATTTCGCAGCGGGGCTCACCGCTTGAGATATTTCCACCCTACACATCTTCAGCGTATTGTTGTAACCACTTCGACACATCAGTTCACGGGCATTTATTTCGCAGTGGATATCGCATCTGTCTACAGGAAGCCATTTGGGCTGGATTTATTGTCTCGCTGCGCTCTAAACTCACACGTGGACACCGTCCGCCCGCCTCCGAACTCGTTCGATACGAACCGCATGTGCAGATTATCAAATTGATAAACGCTATCGTGATATATGCGCTGAGTCTTCCATAGACTCATAATTGTCGCTTGCAATAAATCTTGTTCATTAAAGAACAGCGGGGCCTTTTATACCTCTTGAAAGAACGGAGAGAACCCGCTTCGATTTGAGGCTTACATCTCTGGCTCAACTGTACGTCACTTCTCGAATCATCTGAACAAGCGACCTTCGGTGAGTCATTGCAAGAGCCCAATCAGCCGCAAAGATCTGTTCCGTCCTGTCCGATACTAACAATTATGTTGGCCTAGAACCGCACCCAAAAAATGTCTGCTGTCCAGCCTGAGCCATCGCGGCTGCACCCGCGTCGCCGGCCCGTTTTAAATACCACTCTGCCTACTATGTCGACCGATTCGCCTGATTTCAAGATGAGTTTGAAGAAAGGAGAGACTTTCTCCACCCCCACTTCTGCTCCATCTAGTGATCGTGACCCTGTCTTGAACTTCCGCTCCCTGCCTGTTCGCTCTCCGACTTCGTTGGAAGCGATCGCCTCCATCTTGGACTCCTTGACTCTCGACTCCACCGACGACAAGAGCCCGGCCGCTGGCGACGATAGTAACTCCAAGTCCATGCACTCCCCCAGCACTTCAAATGAAGAAAGTCGTTCTCTGCCCATCCCACTGGATGAGACAAAGACTCGCCAAGAGCACAGCCAGGATTCGGACAGTGGACTGGGAACGTCTGTCAGCAGCGAAGAGGGACTTGCTGAGTCGTCAACTAAAGGTACTTAGGCGCAAGATTCCCCCTCCAAACTTCCCCTCTCTTTCCAAATCCATGGGCCCTAACAATAAATAGTAAATGACGGTATTCATGACAATCAATCTGCCATCACCAGCTCTATTTCGGCATTTGATACTGGCTCCTCGCCTAAACGTCAACTGAGCCACCGTGCTTGCAAGCAGATTGAACGCTTTATTCTTGCTCCTATTCTCAAAGAACCCAATTTGAAGCCATTCCACCGACTAGTCCGCAGCGTTCCGCAGCGCATTCTCAACAAGCAGATTGTCTGCCTGCGCGACCTGGAAAAAACCCTATTGTGGCTAGCACCTGTAAGTTTTCATATTGTTTTATCAATGGGTTATTGGAGTACGGCGAAGCTTATTGTTTTGTTTCTATATTGAAGAACTCTGCCACTTCTCGGAATTCTTACATCAACTTTTGCGAATTCACCATCCAGTGCTTGCATACATCGGCTTCGCATCTCAACGACCGTGACCAACGACTACCGGCCGATCGACCTTATACTAACGGGTACTTCCTTGACCTTGTTTCACAGGTTCGACGATACGCAGCTATGGTTCGCGCTCAGCGCGAGCGAGTCCAAGAGACCTCGGGCTCCAACTCCAACAAGGAGGATATGCCCACTTTGTATGTGTTGCCCAGCTTCACAGATGTGAATCTGAACTAATTTTGTACAGATCCGCCAATCTTTCCCTCGAAGGTGGTTTGTCCAAGAATGGAAAGGCCGCCGAACTTGTTGTCATGCAAGACGGAAAGCCGATATCCCTAGCTACTGGGAAGCCTTTCGAGGCTGATGCCCCTCCATCCTTCAAGCGTACGATCACCATAGACGGTGCCACCGATGAGGGTGTTGAGCGTTCTATGGCCCGCCGCAAGAAAGACGCACCTCCTATGAATATCAACCAGAAATGCTCTGACTGTGACAAAGTCTTCAAGCGCCCTTGCGACTTGACCAAGCATGAAAAGACTCACACTCGCCCCTGGAAGTGTGAGGATCCCAAGTGCGGCTACCACACGAAAGGCTGGCCCACCGAGAAGGAACGTGACCGCCATATGAACGACAGACATTCAGATAAACCCACTCTTTTCCGATGTACTTTCCACAACTGTCCTTATGCCTCCAAACGGTCTAGCAACTGCAAGCAGCATATGGAGAAGTCGCACGGATGGGTCTACGTTCGATCCAAGAACAATGGCCGCAGTGGCAGCAGTAGCAGCAAACGGGGCTCTTCCGTCCAAGCTACTCCCCAGACTCCGAGTGTGTCTACCCCTGCTTCCAAGGCCACCGACTTTGCATCTCCAATCCCTGGGCCCAGCCCCTCGCCCAGTGCTCAGCCTTATGGCTGGCCAGACAACACTCCTTTCAACTTCGCCGACCCTCCTGCCCCTGCTCACGGCGACGATTTCCCACTATTTGGAGAATCCTCGCCCTACCTGTTGAACGATGTGAACTCATTCCCTACTTCGTTAAATCTCACTGCGTTCCAGAATCAATTGGAGGCAGGCGATCCGAACGGTTTGATTCCAGCTTTGGAAATGCACCGCCAGTCCATGAACTCCATGTCTGTTCCTTCCACTGACTCTCTTCCGGACCTGATGGGCCCTGTTTCATTCGACGGATCTCCCCTCACTGGTACCGAGAGCATCAATTTCGACCAAGAATGGAGCAATCTTGAGTACCCCATGAACGAGGAATACACAGCGATGCCCCTGCAACTTCCTCAAGCTCATTCCCTCGACGCGATGAAGGGTTATCCCAACGACTACGAGCAAATGAACGTCAATCACCTGTCCTACGGCCCCGCAGGAAAGACCTTGGGTCTTTCCCCCGGCGCACAGGGTAATGCCATGCTTTACTCGCCTGACTCTTCCAATGTTGGCGACACTCTTTCCGAGCGTTACGAACACGCCAACTCCCATGTTGGCAGCGACTTCGCTCAGGGTGGCAACGATTTTACTCTATATAACCAAAATACCCAGATGAGCGCACACCCTATGATGCAAGTGCCTAGCGACCAGTCCCTTCGCTACCACGCGCTTCCTCAAAACATGTTTCCTTCTCTTGAACAAGAGCGTGTTTTCCAGGGTATGCCCTACACTGGTCCACCCCAGGGCCACTACCTGCCTTGCGACATGGAGCTGGAATTCATGAAGTAAAAGGTCGAGATCTGTGTGTTTTTGCGCATTTCCGCCTCGAAGGCTGTTTATTTAAGCGAATTTAATGATGGATATAAGGTGTTCCTTTTTTTTACTTTTCATCTGGTCTTCTCAGCTCTGATTTTAGCTAGCTCAAATGCCATAGACGAACTCGTCTCATTCTTCTTTCCATACTATTTCTTTGTCCCCTGTCCATCGTATCTTAATCAAGCAACGACCAGCTGATTTTTTTTGACAATAGCGCCCCAGGCCTGGTCACATTACCCGCCACATTATATTCAAATAATTTCAAGAATCATCCGAGGCCCAATGCTCAAAAAGAATAAATAGTTCGATGACACTGCCCAGAGAAAACACCCCGCCACAATAAGGCGCAGGGCTGGTAGGCAACACCATAATCATCCTTGGCGTATGAGATATTCAGGACGCGTAGCCAGTAGTGGGGATCAAGCTGCATTATGACGATCAAAATTGTTGGTAAACGAAATTAGCAGATGTAGCCTTATGGGTCCTGACATGTCTCCGCTATAATTATTGGGGGATTTGGGGGTTAAGTACAGTAACTACCTTTTCGGGGGTGACGACATCATCCTTCTTTCTTAGCCCCATTCTATTTTACTCCTCCCATTGTCTTCTTCTCTTTCACTGTGGAAGCAAACATCGTGAGACTACATTGCGACTGGGTTTGTCGTTATTGATTTCAGCGTCAACCAGCCTTCTCAGGCAGACGCATTCCACGCTCACTCAGCTGAAGTGAGGCCGGGCGATATACCCTTCAGAGGATTCACAATTTTCCAAAACAGCGAACAGAAAAACCATCCTCAATCAAAGATGACAGACATTAAAGCGTCTGATCCCACATTCCCCAGCGGCGGCAAGGGAGAGCAAGATGTGCCCGCATCGGCCCCGCCAGGTCAAATCCTGACAGGCAAGCAGGAACACTGTGAGTGAAGCAAGGCATTGCAATTTCTGCGTTTACAACTCCAGCTACTAACCTTCAGCTTCTTCTAGACCTCAAACGTGAGCTGATCGCCCGACAAGTCCGCGGTGAAATCTCCGAGCTGAACTCCCCCACCGCGCTGCAGCGCTTCGGCGCCCCCTTTCGATCGGAATTCGGCGAGGTTGCGCCCGTCGACTCGGAACTGCCTATTCTGCGCTATATCTTCGTTCACCACGTTCGCAATTTTCCGTTCTTAGACCAGGCGCGCGAAAAGGAATTTTGGCAGGATAAACTTCAAATCGTGGGTGTTTTCGCTCCGCCGTGGAAGGTATGGATTGCAGGATAATTATGCTGACTATTGGGAATCTAGTTTTTGGAATCGTTCGCCAATAAGCATGTCTCGTCTTCAGAGGACCGATTGGAGGAGACAAAGCGCCGGAAGCTGGCGAGGAAATGTGAGAAACTTGTGGAGCTCATGATGGTTTCGGGTGTGCCAACCGCCTCAGGATATGAGGAGCGCATTCAATTCTCTGAGATTGAGGTCGTTGAGCGCGGTGCGCAGGACTCGGGACTGCTGGTCAATATCCCCGAGGGCAATTCGATCAATGGTTGGGATGTCAATGTTGCCGCTGTTCGGACCACTTCAGTCAAACGAACAGTTCGATACCACTCGCATGCCGTAAGTTCAGATTGGTTTAGACGCTGTTTCGGTATGCTGTATGGATTCGCTAACAGTGCCCGGATAGGAATTCATTATTCGGGTTAGTCGTGACGGCAAAGATGAAGTCCATGTTGGCCGGAGATATGGAGAGTTCGTGAAACTCCGCAAAAGACTGTGCACCGAGATGCCAGGGAAGCAACTCCCCCCTCTCCCCCGAAAGAACAAGACCTCTAGTACGAGTTGGTGGGGCTCCGCTGCAGATGACGACGCCTCGTCTATTTCATCCCTCTCGACACAGGGCACCAGCGCCCAAAATGACCGGCTCTCTGCGCCAACCCTCGCCCCCCCAGGGGGCCTCCGGAGATCAATTTCCAAGTCATCGATGCGATCTACTAACTCACCGCGCGCATCGACTGGCGACGTATCACGGGAGACTGTTCTATACCGGGAGGCGCAGCGCCTGTCGCTGCGTGCGTTCTTGCGTACAGTCCTGCAAAACAAGCGTGTTGCGGAGTCCAAGGCGATGGAAGAATTCTTGACTGCCCGCCCTGTCAAGTTGAACGAGGAGGAGCTGGTTGACGTCCAGAGGCGAAAAGACATGGATGCCGTAAGAATCGAGGAACAGAAAAGATTCTATGAAATTGCCAGGCAGCGAGCTGCGGATCTCGACGTGTACATGGAGCGCTTCCGGAGAGACATCGTGGAGAGCAGTAAGTCGGCCAGAGTTCTCTTCCATACAACATGTGTGCTAATTTCACTTTCAACACAGACGGTCTGACAAAGCTTTTCGCTGAGATTCGCGAGAAGCCTACAATTGCAGACCTCAGTCCGCAATATCAGAAGTTCGCCGAGTGGCTCCGTATTGAGTATGTCCCCTGATCAAGTTCATGAGTGATTCCACCAACTGACAGTGAACAGGGTTGCTGCAACACTATACCACATTTTCCTTGCCGAGGATAACTCCCCAGAGCTGTTTGCGCAGGCCAAGAGAATTCATGGCCTTGTTCCATACACCTTGATGAAGAACGTAATTCGCATCGCCAATCCTGCGGCTGTCATGTCTGGTGTTCTCGATCTGTTTATGGCTCAGCCATTTGGCTCGCGGTCGCTTTTGCAGCGTATCTTCTCTTTGACATTGAACGAAGGCATCAAAGATTTCCAGAGATCGATCGACACTCTGGCTGCAAAGGTTGAGGACCCAGTCCTTACTCTGAAGCTCAAGGCTTTCGCAGATGCGGAGGAAGAAATCAAGAATATAATTCGAGAGGAGGCTGTCGCCGACGATGTGGACATTATTGTGGCCATCCTTCGCTCTGAATACCTCCCTAACGAACTCACCGTTGAACAGATTGGCAAGGTATTCAACGGCTACGTGGCTTGGAACCACGCTGTGGAGAATGTGGATTTAGAAATGCAACAGGGTGCGCAATGGTTTGCTCATATGAAGCAGCTCTTGAAGCTTTACACTCGTCAGCGCGACAAGGCCATGATGCTCAGTATTATTGAGGAACCTGTCACTTTGCAGCTCTTCCGTGACCTCTTCACTATCTTCTACGAGCCCCTGATTCGGGTATACAAGTCCGCCAACGTGTATGGCAGCATCACCGACTTTGCTCACTTCGCGGACGACGCGATCGGTGTCATAGAGAGCGCCCAGCGCCAGGATGCCTCTGCCGACCCGAACCAAACGGTGCAAGCCTTTATCGACCTCTGTGCTCGCCATGAGGCCAACTTCTACAAATTCATCCACGAAGTGCACCAGCACGACAACGGCTTGTTCCAGAAGCTCATGGCTTGGATCGAGCAAATTCTTGATTTCCTGCGCAACGGCCCCTCAGGGGGCAAGATGGATATCAACGCTTTGTTCCAAGGAGCTGCGGGCGTTGGCCAAATTGACAGAGATCTCGCCCTTTCTGAAATCAACCAGCTGATCAAATGGCAAGAAGATCGCAAACGCTGGCACTTGAACAAGACACGCCAGAAGATGGCCGCTGAAGGTACTTCTGGGGATGTCATCCCTGGTGTTGGTGCCTTCAATAGCAGTGATTTCGGCCTTGATGAGGTATGTAGATTCTACTCTTGCATGAAAATCGGGGTATGTGGCTAACTGTTTCTTGTAGGCTGATCTAGAAGACCTTACTATCTCAGATGAGGCCTCCGATGCCTCTGACGAAGATAGTGCAGACGAAGATATGGACGATCCTATTGCTGTTGAGCGCCGCCGACGCACCAAGAAGCAAGACCAACTTCGCCGCACCGCCGGAGAACCTGCCAAGCCCAATGTTACTGAGATTCTCAAGCTCGCTGATCCTTTCAACATCATGTTGCGACATGTGCTTGCTGACTGAATGGCAGCGATAGAAAGGTTTCCCGTGTGCCTTTCATATACGTGATACCGCCATAGATTTGGCTTTTTGCATTTGATTTTGATATTGGAATTTGCTTGATACACCGATGCATTGCTGGCTCTAATTCTACTCGCTGGCTCACTTTTGGCTGTGTGGAGGGCGGAGGACTAGATAGATATAGCGGATGTATAACCGCACGAGAGATAGATCATGGCAATGGAATGAATGAATCATAATGAATTCGCTATGTGTTTTTTCAGAACCTCCACAACATCCGTGTTCCCATTATTCAATGCAACCTGCAATGCCGTGGATCCATCGCTATCTGTTAAGTGTGGATCAATTCCAGGCGCATCAAGTAATAGTTCCACGACGCCCAAATGGCCGTAGTAAGCAGCGTTAAACAGCGGGGTCTGACCATTCTCATCACGCGCATTAGGATCAGCCGGCCTCGACGCATTCAGTAGCAGCCTCACAATCCCCACATGATTCCTGTTTGCCGCAACCCCCAACGGAGTAGTCCCATGCATATCAGGAATCTCCAACCCAACCTTCTCAGACCCGATCAACACCTCGACGATATCCTTCTTCCCCTCCTCCGCAGCAACAAACAGAGGCGTCTGCCGCTTCCAATGCGTCTGCAAATTTGGCTCCGTAACACTCCACCCTAACAAAAACCTCACAACATCCACCCGCCCACCAGCCGCTGCAATTGAAAACGCCCCTCGCCCATACTGCTGTCCATCGGCATTAGGATCCAGCTTCTCCCCAAAATACGCTACTAGATACCGTACTACATCCACATGGCCCATAATAGCCGCATAGAAAAACACATGCTGACAATGCACAGCGCCATCATAGCCATCCAGAATGAGCTGCAAATGCCTTGCAAGCAGCATTTCAACCTCGCCATCCATATCGCGCGCAGCACGACTAAGCGGCGTCCAGCCCTGACGATTCGCAACGCGAGGATCCGCGCGCCCGCTGACAAGAAGCAGGGTGACCATTTTGGGCTGGGAGTTGACGGCGATCATGAGGGCCGTGTCGCCCGCTTTGTCCTGCAGATTGACGTCCGTGCGATCGTCATCCAGAAGTGCCTGCACGATCTCCGGGTGGCCTTCTCTGACGGCCCAGGAGAGCGGGGGCCGGATCCATTTCCTATCCCGGGAATTGGGGGTCGCTCCGTCGTTTAAAAGGAGGATTTTGAGTACTGCGAGGCTGTTGTAGAAGGATGCTAAGAGAATTGGGGTGCAGCCTTTCAGACGTGGGTCTGTGTCTGTTTTTGAGCTGATGTCTGTGCCTGCAGAGAGGGCTTTTAGGGCTATTGAGGGGTTGTTGTGGGTTGAGGCCCGGAAGAGAGCGATGGGGTTTGGTGAGATTGCATCGCGTTTGTAAAGGATGCTGTTTAGGAGGGTGTGGGTTGATGTGTTGGTGCGGGTAAAGGCATTTAGGTCTGGGATCTGGAGGAACTCGGATATTGAGATATAGAGCTCTTTAGGGAGGGTTGTGAAGGGTCCTTGGGGAGTGATGCTATGCATATGGGGGAAGTTTGAAGAACTGAATGATGTTGGGTTAAGCTTAAATGATGTTCATGTCTAGTAAGCGGCGGGATTAATCTTCTTTATGGATGACTATCAGCCTCAATATTGAGGTATGAGATCATTTCGATTATTATTATAATAATAATGAGGATAAAAAGAAGGGAAAATATCATACAGGCTTTGATGTCTCAGTGTGAAATAAATATAGATTGGGGGTCTCCGATGTCTTAGGTGCAAACGGAATCTGCCAAGAATCCGGGGCGATAAGCGATAAAGGTTTCCATGGCGACTTCCATCTTCTCATCTTCAACAACACTGCGTCAAAACTTTGGGACATGTCGTCTCCCTATAAGAAACCAACGGTGGCACCACTGAGGAAGGGCCTGTTCAAAGATGGAAGCTGGTGTTGTGAATGTGCAGGCCGGCCGCTAGCAGCCCACCGTCAGGTCAAGAAGGAGACGCCAAACAAAGGAAAATGGTGTATGTTCAATACTCATTGTTTGAGAGAGGGACCCTATAAATGAATAAAGGAAAATAGAAGCTGACAGCTTCAAGTTTGGACTTGTGCGAAATCAAGCAACCAATGTGGCTTCTTTCTCTGGGAAACCGATGCTACAATGCGTGAACAAACAGCTGTTCTTGCCAACTCTCGATCCGAGCCCGACCCCCTCACACTTACCCCATCCAAATCGAGGACTGTGGAAAAATCAAATAACGGTCTGCTCACTCCTCAAACTGAGCGCAGATTTTACGACACTCCCCCGCGCAGCTTCATGTCACCACCTAAAACAGCTAAGGCTCGAATGATATCAGAAGCTTCGGACGAATTTGATTGGAATGAGTCAGATGATAACGATGAACTCGTCAAGGCGATTTCTTCCAGTCAGGCGACTGAGAGCTTCATCTCGCAGCCTAAATTCTACCCCGAGTCTCCATCGAAGACACCCCGCACCTCGACAGTCACTTCACCCGGTAAGCGCAAACTGTTTGAAAGGCCAAATGACATATCACCCCCACGACGATCAATGATCGCGACCCCATTCTCACCGGCCTCTTCTTGCACCGAAAGGTTCCCTTCATCTGCAGAAGTATGTATGACGCCCACACCCAGCAGGTACAACAATGTCCTTTCTGCAGACTCGGCGTTCGATACCTCGGATTTAGCGACGAGTCTACTTGGCTTGTTGGAAAAGCAAGAGGTTGTGCTACCAAACAAAGCGCGGGACGAGGTTGTCTCGCTGCTCAATAGACAAGACTTGAAGATGAAGGGCATTGTCCGTGGCCGTGACATGACCCGGCTAGCTCTGAAGAAGAAGGATGATGAAATTTCGAAGCTACGAGAGCGGGTTGCCAATCTTGAGGCGCAGAGAGAATTGGATCGGACTCTTACCGATGCGATGAAACCGTCGGGTTGAACTCACAATGATACTGATTTCCCCCTGCTCCATGTGGGCGTTTTGCTGTTGCTGATGGTGGTACATGCACTTCATGTATACCGATTATACGACTTTTTACGATGATATGATAGATGTGAGATAGGCGGTCCTTTGCGATTAGTGTGTTGAATTGCCAAGTCCAAGTTACAAAACTTTGAATCCCTCGGCCTTGCTCTTGTATCCACTGAATGCCGATATAATCCTCGTTCTAAGCAAAATCAATAGAGAATTCCAAGGCTCTGTTAGGTTTCATTGTTGACATCGAAGGCCTGCTTACTACTAATCTAAATACCTAGGTAGGTATGTAGTTTTGGGAAGCTGCGATGTCATCCAGTATAAACAACCCCCCCTCTCCCTCATTTTCCTTTCCCTTCCCTATGCTATTTACTCATTATATCCCCATGTACTGGCCCAACAGCTAAATAATCGAAATGAAATAGTGCTTGTAAATATAGCACGGCCATGGATATATACTCTGTAAGATCTGCATTTAGATAGGGGTCACGTGCCCGATAAGAAATAAATTATTGCGCCGCAATGCGCCTCGAGCTTGGATCGAACAGATAAATCACAAACCGGTCTCCTTCCAGCCTCTCCCCCAATGGAGCCAACAGACGTATCAATTAAGCAGGTCTCGAGCGAAACCGACACCATGTTCCGACCTCCCGTGAACCGTGCCATGCTCACGCTCGACCGGTCATTTTTCCGCAAAACTATACCCCTCTCCGCCGCCCGAGTTTTTAAGCCTACTGATATTTCGAACGTCCGGAAGGAGCTGGCAAATCAGGATCTCTTGGTACTACCGCGTGTCAGTAGTATTCGCGAAGTGAAGGACCAGGAGGGTTCAGTGTTCAAGGGCTTGTTGCTTCGGGAGAATGTCAAGGTCAATGGTGGGTTATTCGACTTGGACTTGCATTGAGGCTGCAATATGGTTGGTCTGTTGCTAATTGTGATTTTGCAGATAAAACTACATGGTCGCCGACTATCCAGGCACTTGTGGAAAAAGGCACTGTGGCTCTTGGGCCCTATGACTTGACATTGGAATATGACCATTGGACCTATGGTATGCTTCCCAACATGTTTTCAATCCAATAAGTTGCCATGAGCTAACGTTCGCGCAGCGGAGATCATCGCATCGATCCTACCTGAGGATCTGATGGAAGAGATGCCTCAAGGGTTCACCCAGGTGGGGCACGTCTGTATGTTGATTTGAGTCATTTGCGATAAACAATACTGACCTCAAATAGTGCACCTCAATCTCCGTGAACGATACCTCCCATATAAGCACATTATTGCCGAAATCCTCATGGACAAGAACCCAACCATCCGGACCGTCATCAACAAGATCGAAGATGTCGGCTCTCAGTCCGTGTTCCGCACCTTCCCATTCGAGCTGCTGGCAGGCGAGAACGACTTGAACGTAGTCCAACACGAACAGGACTGCGAATTTCACTTCGACTATGCCCGTGTCTACTGGAACAGTCGTCTGGAGACCGAGCACCGCCGCCTGGTCGACAAATTCCGTCCCAGCGAAATGGTCTGCGACGTGATGGCTGGTGTCGGCCCCTTCGCTGTGCCAGCAGGCAAGAAGAAGATCTTCGTCTGGGGCAATGATCTCAACCCTCACGGATATGAGGTGATGCAGGATGCCATAGTGCGCAATAAGGTGCAAGAATTTGTTACCCCGTTCAATATGGACGGCCGCGAGTTCATCCGGTCTTCGAGCAAGAACCTTCTGGATGCAGAACCTCTTACTGTCACCCTTCACCCCAAGATTCGCAGAGATAAGAAGCGCAAGATCGAGCAGGGTAAGGAGGACCCTCTGCCCCCACCAAAGACATACACCCGTCCCAATATTGTCGACCACTATGTTATGAACTTGCCCGCTACTGCCATCGAATTTCTTGATGCATTCCCCGGATTGTATGCCGGGAAGGAAGAGCTGTTCGCGCCTACTACGGGAAACAAACTGCCCATGGTTCACGTGTACTGTTTCTCGGGACACTCCGATAATGAGGTTGATGATCACATTGATATCTGCGAGAGAGTCTCCGAGCGTATTGGATACAAGATCACCGTTGACGATTGTGTGGGAGGTAGTGGTGACCAAACCGTTGAGCTTGCCATTCATAATGTCAGGTTGGTTAGTCCTAAGAAGCAAATGTTCTGTGCTAGCTTCCGTCTGCCGCGGGACGTCGCTTTTCGGAAAGTATAGAGTTGCATAGCATGTGAGGCGTTGGAATCAATGATAAAAATGAATTGATACCCCTATATATTCACCTTCAGTCGGAGAAATTCTCAAATGTAGTCGATAACAACAACTTTAACCATTGTGTTTTTGTTGTAGCCATGAGCCACGTGCCTGAAACCTTAATCCATTCTATCGGACGATCGTTTGACAGACACTCACTCGGTGTTACTGTTTCTACTATTTCAGTGTATAGCCATTAGAAGAAATAATTCTAGAGAATTGCATCCAAATTAGGGAATGCTATCATCGCAACTTCATACATGCCCCAGATGAACTATAGAAAAGGCGGGCTCGCCCTCACCGCCTCGAACTGCCAGAGCCAACCTGCAGAGATCAACCAGGCAAGCCACCTCACTTCTTGATGTACACGACATCAGCAAGGCGGTTCTGAGCAACGTTTTCCACGAATCAATCAACTCTACATCCGGATATCTATCTGAACCTACAACCCCACATCGAGCCACACAATGAGCGTCCAACTCCCCCCCGCCACACACCGCAAGCGCGCGCTGCCGCAAGGCGAGCTCGAAGCCGCATCCACGCTGAAGCTGGGCGCCGACCAAAACACACATACACTCTCACTCTCGGAAGCACGACTGGTTATCCACAAGGTATTGGAGAACAAGCGTCGCGGGGGCAATAAATACGAGGAGCCGGAGTAAGTGGGACTGGGAGATGGCCATGCGAGATCAATATCGCGATGAATATCGAGATCCAAAATGCTTATTTGAGATCTTTCTACAGAAATTTGAACAAGACACTGTATTACCTGGATGTGTTTGCGCGGTTCAAGGATGAGGAAAACATCAAGGCTGTTGAGCGGCTCTTGAACTCGCATACGGAACTGGAGATGTTCGAGCGGTCGCAGTTAGGTGAGTTTAGGTCCTAGTTGCACTGCCTCCCTCTTCCCTCTTTGCTTTCAGTGTTTCGATCCATGGTTTATATGGCGTGGTTACGGGGAAACCTCGGGTTACTAACTTGTAGTTAGGGAGTCTCTGCTGTGACAATGCCGAGGAAGCCAAGTCTCTTATTCCCAGTCTCCAGAATAAGATCACCGATGGGGATTTGCAAGAGTTGTTGGATGAGTTGACCAAGCTGCGCAACTTCACTGAGTGAAGTGGCAAAAAAAACCTGTCATTTGCATTATCCCGGCCTGTGACTAGGTCTTGGGAGCATGGAGTTCTAAGGTGTTTGTTTCAATATTTGGGTGATGGAGGTTTTCCGAGCGAAGATCGTCCAATTTGCCATGGAATCTCAAATGGGGAGAGACTATTCATAATAGAAACTTGCTGTAGCCAACCGTTGCAGGTTATTTGATATTACTCATGGACATAAGTCTAAAAGCCGTTTGCCACCGGAGTAGCGTTTTAGCATGTGCCTCCGGGGAATGAACCGATGACTCCGGCGTGTTCCACTCCGAAATGAGAAAAGTCGAATGAAAATCATCGTAAGTTTGGAACTTGCATAGCGAACAAAGTACATATGTAGGTAAAAAGTAAACTACATATTAGATTGAATAGCGGTCAGAGACATGCATGTTTCTTAAGAGTACAGTATAAGATGTTTTAGTAAGATGCAAGTATATAGGGTTTTGTTCCTCCACACCCCACAATTCTGATTCAGGCAGAGTTTCTCGGGCACTACTGCGACTTGGTGGGAATCTATCGATGATTGGTTCAGTGGAAAGACGTTATCATTGATCGATGATTGGTCCGGAGATCCCAGTACGATGGAATGCGGGAGACCAGTCAGAAAACGAACAATTATGCAAGAAGCCCTTGGGTAAGGGTTAAATTGGAAGGATCTCTCCAGGGCTAGTTCTCTCGCCGGATTCCCATTATCTAAATCTTTACTCGTTCTACCAATAAAATGGGCTTGTGTGCACGAAGAAAGCAATCTATATTTCTGGTATGTTTTAATGCTGACCTAATGATATTCAGTACGTAATACTAAGAATGTTATTCCGTCCAATCAAGGTGAACCGACTTATCTTTGACAAACGGAGTATCATAATTCTAATGGTCATTGCTTAGCTCATTGGGGTTTTTGTTACGAGAAGAAAAAGCTGATCGTCTGGTACTCGGGAGCTGGTGCATCCATTCTCGGTAGTGAAATGACTATTAGGTGCTTTTATATATTTCATCTTATTTTATCTTATTTCATATATATTATTACATATGTCTTGATCAACGTCCATTTTTAACTACTACCTAGGTAGATTCCTTCTCTATGTCATCATAATCTTTCTCTTTCTCCTGTTCTTTACACTCCCCGATCTTTACAGATCTCTCTCCTTTACCCCGTGGTAGGAATGACGGAGCGAACTATTCGGCATCTCATCTTGCTGCAGTCACTTGAGGGCTCGCCTGCCTGATTTCTCTTATTGATCTCCGGTTCCGGCTTTGGGGCTATCGTCATATTTTCGTCGGAGATAACCAACTTTTTTTTCTTTCCTTTTTTGGTGATAAGCGTATGTGATTCTTATCTTTCCATTCTACCCAGGGCTACCTAGCTAGGGGTATCTAGGTATCTCTCGTCCAATGACTGACTCTTGAATACAGTGAAAAACAAAAAAGAAGAAAAAAAAAAAAAAAAAAAGAATAATAATATTCCCGAATTGATACGCCAACACGTAGTTCCTATCTCTACTGCTCCAGGATTCTAAATCGGGGTTACCCTTACACGGTCCACATGGCTACCGTTATCATTCAGCCTTCATTAGGCTACTCCCCTGAGCTCCGCCGAAAGACCGCCTCGACCCCAACACTCTCCCCATCCCCCATATCTGTCACTTCGACCCTTCCCCGCGTACGGGATGGAGCTAGCTGTGACGCTTGTCTCCGCAGAAAAAGCCGATGTGCAATGAATGAGATGGTCAACAAGTGTTACTCGTGCGATTTTCATCGCCAGGAATGTACTTTCACTCTTACTACGGAGTCAAAGAAGAGGAAACTATCCGAAGACCAACAAGAACCGGTAAAGCGGTATGGAAACCCCAATTGGAACATACAGGTTCCATCTGAGAGATAAAATGTGTGGTGTATGCTAACGTTCGGCAGACCGGCAACAATGCAAGCCAATTCCGTCCCAGAGACCGAATCCGCGCATCCGCACGCGCTGAATATGATTCGACCTGGATTCTTCAACCAGTCCACCCAACACATTGGCATGACCACTGAATTGGAACCAACTCTACTAGAATATCTTCCTCTAGACCAATATGACGAGTGCACCGTGTTTAACTCGCGCGTGCGAAAGTGTGCCGATGATGGCACCTTTATGCGTGTCGTCGACACGCCTGTCGGTGACTCGCAGGCCGCGTCACTCGATGCGATTGAGAGCCTGGTTGCTCCCTATGGCTCAACTCTGATCGAGAAGTTCTTCGATCACGTGCACCCCTCTTTCCCTATAATGATCGAGGAGGCGTTCCGGAAATCATACCGGGAACGCCGTGGCTTATCCCCGCTACTGCTTGCATCGGTCTACGTCCTGACGTTGAAATTCGTCGACGTGGGTGCTACCTCGCAGACGGCTCGGAAACCCGATGCCGCAAAGCTGGAGGCTACAGCCTTGAAGCTGCTTATGGAATCTTTACCATCGCCCAGTGTGTCAACTATCCAGGCTGGGCTCCTGTTGACGCAGAAATCGACGTTGGCCACAGCGTCCCTGAACGGACAGCTGGTCACAGCCGGCTTCGAGGTGGGTCTGCACCAGGATTGCACAAACTGGCGCATGGAGACGTGGGAGAAGGGTCTACGCAAACGGCTCGCGTGGGCTCTATACCAACAGGATAAATGGTCGTCCTTGGTAAATGGTCGGCCCTCGCATATATTCGCCTTCAACTGGACGGTCAAGGATCTAGTGGAGCAGGACTTCTCAGATGCCTTTGCTTCCGGCACAGACTCCTCGCACGACGAAACAGCCGTCGGCCACGGCCCTCTTCTCTTCTGCCACATGGTTGCATTGACCACCATCCTCTCCGACATCCTAGACCGATTCTATACCCTACACGCGATCGAAGAGTTCTCGGCGGCCGGAAACCAGCGCACGCGCATGATCCTAGAAAAGGCCAAACCGGCCCAAATCCGTCTCAAGGACTGGTTCTCCTCCCTCCCGCCATCTCTCAAGATGGAAACTTCAACCGGCGAACTGGTCGAAACAATCACCGACGAACACGCCCGCAACGGCGCCCTCCACCTCGCCTACTTCGCCACAGAAATCACCCTCCACCGCTGCATCGTCCGCTCCCTCCTCGCCGAAGGAACAGACCCCTACCTAGCGCACATCTGCCGCTCAGCAGCAAAGACCCGTCTCATCTCCGCAATGGACTTCGTCAACCGCCTCCGTCCAGCCCACCTGCGCTCCTTCTGGCCCGCCTCAGCCCGCACAAACTTCTCCCTAATCGGCTCCTTCGGCATGCTCCTCCGCATCACCGCACCAACAAGTGAAGAAGCAGACTTCTACCGCCTACGGCTGTGCGAGTACCGCTGGACCCTAGGCGTCAGCCACAAGAACGCTGCATTTATGGGCTTTGCGCTGCAGAGTCTGGACAACGCAACCGCGCTCCACAAGCATGTTCCCGAGAAACCGGGGATCGCCGAGCTGATGGCTAGTTCTGGGAAGAACGCGCCGCAGCGCATGCCCGCCACGACGCATGCTTCTTACGATGACGCCATGATGGAGGCGGGCGGGACCTCTAGCTCGGTAATTTCGGGCCTCGCGTCGCCGGCGACTTCCGTCAGTGATATGGAAGATGAGGGATCTATGGCTCTTTGATTTCTTGGCGCTCTACTAAAGCTTTACCTTGCACCTTATCCTCGACGTACATCTTACCTCGACTCTCACGACTCTCTCACGACTCCCACCCAATGGCGTTTTTGGAATCTGGTCTGCACTTTGAGATCAAGCGCTTGAATCTCGGTTTTTGGATTTTGGATTTTATTTTCTTGTATGCTTTTATGCATCCCATGTGTTCAGTCTGCGATGCGTTGCAGTATACTAGAACTTTCATTTGCGATGACGGAATTACCTTGGCTTGGAATATCTGGTTGGCTTGGACTGTTTTCTTTTTGTTTGAGTTTGGGGATTGCTTCTCCTTATAGACAGGAACAGGAACAGGAACTTATGTATATAGATCGAATGATGAATTATGATTCAAGTCAACCTGTTTCATGTACGTGTAAATCAAAAGAAAGAATCCCTGTTACCACCGCCAAAAGCGAAGTCCTCCAAGATACTTGGGTCGACCAGATTAGCCAGCATTTCTGCGCGGGTCCGATCAGGCTGTACCTGTGCCTCATCGCTGAAGAATGAGAAGAAGAATTCTCCGTCGTCTGCATCGTCGCTCTGACCGATGATAGATGAAGGGGTATCGAGGGAAAAGTCTGTATTTGGACCAGGAAGGTTGAGAGCGGGTCGTGACAACATGGTCCTATCTGCTCCAGCTTGCATTGAATTTGGTTTTGGATGGTTTTGAAATGACAGGCCTGGATTTGCATGGGACCAGGCAGATGTTTCATTATACGAACATGGGTTCTGGGATTGGCCGGCTTGTCTCTGGTCATGACGCCGCCGCCGAGCCAAACATGTGCGTGCAACCTCAAGTACTTCACGGAGCATCTCGGCGCAGCGGCGGGCGACGATGATGTCGTCCATGGAGGAGAAAATCTCGAGGGATTTTTCGACATCTTCGAGGAGCTCATCGTCTGGTAGACCTGGGTAGTTTGAGAGTACGAGGTGGAGGAGGATCATTGAGCCGTAGAGGGCGTAGGTCGTGTTGTACCACCTACCAAGGAAATCAGTGCTGTTCTTCCAACTCGGGGTTTTAATGGAGAACAAAAGAAAATAAGAAAGAGAAAAAACAAATCGAGGGAATGTAAAGTCAGGACTTACCAGGTTCGAATGTAGATTCTATGCACGAATGACTCGTACTGCATGTTGATACTTGACCGGGCTGCTGCAAGACAGGTATGTAGATGAATGGATAAATCCGGCGAGTCAGAGTCATGATTTGCGGTTGCTGCCACAAGAAACGGCTTGTGAATGAGGATCCGAGTGTTATAGTATCCTATAAAGTTTTTGATTAGGTTCAGTTCCGTAAAGGAACAGAACTTCAAATAAACCTACTCAGTCTCAGCACCAGCTTCTGCTTAAATGCCCATTCGGGGTCGTTTAACGCATGCGCATCTAGATTCAAGAATCTCGGCATTGCTGCTTTCCACTCAAGAAGTCGCTGGTCGAGAGCCATTGCGAGATAAGACTTATCGCTCATCGATCGCTGCGTAGAGTGGTATAGTTGATGGGATGCTTCGGACATGATGCGAGCCAAGGACACCATGACTGGGATCATGGCTATGTCATTTTCCTCCGCGTCAGGGTCAGAATCACCGACATCAATCTGGATGATTTTAGTGTGGCTCATGGATACAATACAGGAATAAATACCTTTAGCCCAGGAAGGGAAGTTTGGTAGTAATGGAGTTCTTTCATACTGTCCAGACGGCCCGAGGAACAGCACATTTCTCTGTATATCGGTGTTAGTAGTGTCTCAGTTGAACGCAGTCCAATCGCAATGCTCACATCTCATGAGAGTAAATACACCACCAGGTACGTCTAGCCTCTCGCCGGGCGTTGGGCGGCAAGGAGGACATGCTGGAGCTGAGTCCAATGGCTGCTGCTGTGCGCGCAGCCATTCCGCTGTACATATAACAGCTATGAGGTTGTAAAGAGTTTTGGCGAAACACACTCTGCCATAAAGAGCATTAGTCAAAGCTCGAAGTCTGTTTGACGGAACATACCAAAAGAACAAGCGCTTGAGCGGTTTCCAAACACGAGCTCTCAAAAAGATCCCCTAGGGTCTGTTTTGCGAGTGAAAAGAAGAATTTTGCAAAATCCAAAGCCGTGAATTTGGATTCTTCCTGATGTTTTGGGTGGTTCGCATCGGGATATTGTTGACAAAAGTGATGTAGCAGAGAGGTTTCGTTCGCGCTTGCATTGATTGCCCCTAAAGCAATGACTGCAAAGTATAGCCCGGCGAATTTGGTGCTTCCTCGAAAAATGCTCGAGCGTTTTGAAAGTGGCCATGCTTCATTTTCGCATCGCTGCATAAATCCATTCTTGCAAAGAAATGGGTGGATATAATGCTTGTTGGCGAAGTAACTTCCAATGAAGATTTTCTCAATCTCCAATTTTGCATTCTCTGTGAGTCTAGGGAAAGCTGTTTCCAGGCCATTCTGGTGGTCTGCTGTGTTGAGTCAGCCACTGATGAGTTACAATCTAGGTACTGAAAACAAGAGAGAGGGCTTACCATTGTTTTTCGGGCTAGGTCTGTTTCTCGCACCATCTGCGACAGAAGGATTTTGTGCTGAAAGGTCTGCTCCATCATGGGATTGAGGCGAAGGATGGCCATTGTAATCTGCATTATAGAGCAAATTTACAATCGAGAGCTGTGATCTGCTGGACTTTTTCTGGCTATTATCATAGCTTGCTTTGGGTGAAACAGGCTGAGCTTGTCGCGCAGCATCATTCTTGGACCCATTATGAGCTCTATCTTCTCCTTGATTTTGAGCTCTGATGTATAGATTTCCGAGGAAAGCTAAATTTGAGGAGTTTCCATAGAACTCAGTACCATTGGTATGTAGATTGACGCCGCTCAATCCATCTCTTGAGGCGGCATCGCCTAACTCGGAAGCGGGCGCTGGTAAAGTGGTTAACTTGGCACAAATATCAAATGGGGGCGATATCTACTGTGAGAATTCTCCCGTGGGCTGGTCAACGCAGTCCTTATCTCGTTGGCACCTAGATGTAAGCGGGCTTGTAACGAATTGGAAGACCGTGCCTTGGGGGTACCTATTAGGATAGGTGACTTGGCTGCTTCACTCAAACTCTGTGGTGTCCGGGATTGAGGTGAAACTGGCCATGGTGATGGCCGAATAGTGCTGCTTTGGCTTTGGTTTCGGTTAGAATGCTCAAAAGTCGCAGCAGTGAAAGTTCCAACCTTTGCTGCGAGTCTGCAGTATCCCTCTTCCTCTTGGTTGAATTCTTGGGAGTTTCATGGCCTTCGGAGGTGCGAAAAACACAGTCAAATGAATGGTCTGTGTTAAGGTCAGCTACTGTCTCCGTATCAGATCGCGGGGCTCTTGGGTGGCATACATGCGCAATATGAGCAAGGCTGAGCTTGATCGCACTGTTGACCCATCAGCAATTTAAAGTTTTCATCAGAATACGTAGAACAAAAACAGGCAATTATGAAACTAAGTGTGGCATACCTTGGTCTTTCGAGCGCGGCAAGTTTCGCATGCCCGCGAAGCTCGGGGCACGCGGCGTTGCGACGCCCATCGTGTTTTAGTCTCAGACACATTCATAATGAAGGAAGATATCGTCTAACACTTTATGATGTGTACTTAACCAGAGCACTACCAATATGGACGTTCATTGCCAGGGAGAAGATACAATTAGGTGGACCTTGAAAATCGGAAGCCACTTGTTTGATCTACCGACCAAACCTTCGATTTCCGATTTTGTCATCAAGAACACTCGCGGGGAGATTTGCGGGGTCTGGGGAAATATTCAAGCCCTCGGATTTATTCAGAAGAAGTTTTATGCTTTACTTTTGCTCAGTCGCATCTATGGCCCGATGCTTGGGGTTTGAGAGCAATATCTACAGACCACACAGTCTCATGAGCATTTTCGCCACGATGACATCTTTCAGTCATTTTAATACAATGGAATTCATGACATGCATCTGCATTGATCTAATTAATATCAGGCAATCGTGTACTGTATTCCAATAAAGCGACAAACTTCCGCAAATCGTTATGGCTCTTCCGACGGGGAACCTGTCTTCCGACGGATGCTGGCCGGCTTCCGAAGTACACCATAACCGTCGGTCGAGCGTTTGTGTGCAACTCATCTTCAGATTAATAGCTAAATTCTCCAAGGGAGTAATCTGCCGGCTACGCCATATGCTTTCATGCATGATCGTAGGATATTCATTTGCAAAGAGCTAAGCCTTTATATGATGTATGCAGTGAAGGATAGCCTATGTAATATGCTTCTGCAAGCTCGTGACGCCTCATGATCGACTTCTTCCAATTCTCTCATGATTAATGAATGTGATTGTCTCTAGATTTTCTATCTATGCTGCTTAATAATGTGGTGTAAGGCGATGTCTCTGCAATACCTCAAATCATTCTGTTCAGGACCAAACATTGCCAGTGGAACCAGGATGAGTCACTCGAGTAAAGGTTCCTTGAGTGAATGTGTTCACAAAGGCTTGTACTGTTAATGAAGTTACCAGATCCTCTTTCTTACACACCCGCAAAAAGTTTTCCATTCTTGGTTGCGGCTCTTTATCTGCCTAGCAGCAGGCCATCCCGGAGCAAATTGAGACGCAGCATTATCGGAGCTATCACTATTGCGAGAATTTATATTAGATTCGAAGGAAGATAGGGATGCTTAAGTGGGGACCAGATCACTATGTCTTTGCCGTACCATGATGGGAAGGGCGCGTGCCGAATGCCACTCAATCCCTTGATCCTGATATTCAAAACTCGTTCTTTATTGAGACGCCCTTTGAGTCCTGATTATTTTCGCAGTAACCTTTTAATCATTGAAAACTATATCCTTGTTTGAAAGACTGCAATTGACACAGAATAAATTCGAGGAGCTGTGCTCTTTTTATACTCTGATCCCGCTCTGAGAGTAGCTAGCAGCTCCTCGTCTTTCTAGCTCATCAATAACATTGCATAAATCAATGTGCTGTCAAGTGGTGGTAGTAGCAAGCAGCAATCACCGAAAGTGTCAACACCAGATCTATCTTTTATATTGCCGGAGGCAGAGCGATGGAACCTTCCCCAGTCAAACACCTTCAAGATACTAGCAATGTTCTGGAGTTTCCTGGTGATGGGGCTCAATGATGCTGCGTATGGGGTAAGTAGTCAAGTCAACTCTCTCGATGGACTGTATCATGTTCCCATGGCTTACTTCAATAGCCTTTGATACCATGTGGAAGCCTAAGATATATTCACGGTCCATTCAAAGTGCACGCTAAGATTATAGCTTCAGTCTTAATTTCACCTCACCTATATCAGTGTGTCCCTGGTCTTTTTCGTACACATCGCTGGCTAAATTTGCTCCGCATTGCTCAACTACAAAACACATACCAGGCTTGGCCATTGTGGGGGTGGCGTGCATTTTCCCTGCAAATCATCTAATCGTCTTTCTTATCAACTTTCTTCCACCCCCGCTTACCCAGTCTTGGTGATTTCGTCCGTTTTTGCTGGATTTGGAATGGGGTTGGGAAGCGGCATGAAATGCCTGGATTGGAATTTGGCCAATGCAAAGCAGTTATGGGACTACTGCATGCTTTCTACAGTCAAAACATTGAGCTCGCTTGTTCGTCCTTTAGATTGGCTGTACTACCATTGAACTAGGCTCCTGCATCACTGTATTCTGGGACTCTTCTTCATTTACTTTGAAGAGTCAACTGCCCGATGAAGACATCAAACCTGGGGGTTTGCGCCAGGTCGTTCTCCAAAAACGCAATGCTCGGACCACATGGATCTGCGCTTTTTTTCCATCTCGGATACATGGGCATCGAATTAGCATTGGGAGGATGGATTTGACTTTTATGATGCGAGTGCGGCATGAGGAAGCGTTTGCAAGGGCATGGCCGCTACGAGTTTTTGGCTGAGAATTACCGTTGAACGAATATTCTTGGGCTTTGTGACGCCTCGAACAGGAGAGAAGCTTAGCATCATCGTATGTTTGCTTCTTCCAGCCTTCAAAGCCGAGCCAAACAACCAACTGATGGGTGGTATGTCTACTCCATCCTCGCTATCGCTGCAGGCTCGATCTTCTGGCTGGTGCCAAACTTTTCTTCCGCGGTTGCCGTATTTATACAAGGGACATTCCTACGACCGTTTATGCCGGTAGTTATGTTGGCTGCCACGAAGTTTTTCCCGCCTGACCTTCATATCAGTGGGATTGGCTTCCTTGTAGCATTTGGAGCTAGCAGTTCTACAATCCTCCCTTTTGCAGTTGGGGCCATTCCACAGGCGTGGAGGGTGCAGGTCATGCAGCCACTGATAATTGGAGTTTCAGGGGGAATCATGCTGTTGTGGTTGGGTCTGCTGCGGGTACCCCAGAAGATTGAGCATGAAGCCAATCCGTGTTCCTGATTGTATTCGCTGTGATTCTGTGGGAATATAACAGCTCCCAATCTTCGAATATTGTCAAGTTTGGTGCTCAATCAAATAAAATTTACTTCTGGGCAAATACTTATCATACAAACCTGGTGGGATAGAGCTTTTACTTGCGGAACGATTTCTCGAGTGCCGGGCATTATTCGGTACATATGCATTCCGACTAACATATAAGGTCCAATCGACATCGTTGTCTCTTCAATTTGAGCCGTGATTTCTGAAACTTCTCGATTTTGAGCTTACAGATTTGGATTTGGACAACAGTACAAGCCAACAAAACAAATCGAAGCAAACAACGAGAAACAACGAGAGACAACGAGAATCAACGAGAGACAACGAGCGATATCTCTGACTCAGACCTAGTTGACCAAGCCTATTATCGGGAATGTGATGAGACTCGTCATCTTCTCGCATCAGGCTTGCGTGTTGTATATTCTATATAATTTCAAGGGCCTAGACTACTACGCATTTAGGGGGTTGACCTGAGACACAAATACCTAGGTATTCAAACATATTCATTTTGATGAAACTTCGATGACGAATCATTTCATAAATTAAATGCGACTTCAGTGATCCAACGGTGGAATTTGGGGTGGTTTCAAAGTAATTCGATACTAATCGGTTTATAAATAATTCTATAGCTTTACAGGCACCGTCACCCAACTAGCCAAATATCAACCCTTTTGCTATCGATATCAATCTTCACCTACACTTTGAGCAGACCGCAGGCCGATCACCGTTTCGAATGGACAATCCGATACAGATTTTGTCTCAGTCCTGGCTAATCAAAGGCTGAAGTGGGCCCTTCCCCTGACGAGCAATTTATGGGAATCACTCATCCTTATATTCCGCATTCAGGCTCTAGTTCCAGACCCTCATAGGCTCCTTTTCATGGACATGGCTTTGTGTCAGTTAACTTCATTAAACTCCGAATCGTACGTTTCCGACGATCAAGGTGGTGGGTCTTTCAATAAGGTACTATTATATATATCATCAACCTTTTGCGTCTTTAAATCTCTCTATACTCGATATCTCCAGGCAAACAACCATCCTTCGAAATGCATTTCACCAATTTCATCGCTCTGCTTGCCGCACCACTTATTGTAGCAGCTACCCTCGATCCAGCTTCCTCAAATACCAAAGGTTACAAGCCGAGTAGCTTGAACTGTGGCGGTGCGTATCACCAGCGATATAGAGCAAGCTTCCGTGTGCTAACTGTAACCAAATAGCTGCCAAGGTCTCCACCGCTATTCAAGCGGCCGAGTGCTCCCATAACACTCGTACTTCCAAGACCCAAACATTCGCCGTCTTCGAGACCGACCACCAATATGATGCCAACAATGGTGCCCCATACGGCACTTGTAGTGCGTACACCTGCACTGCCCCGACCAGTGATGAGTTAGAGGAGAATTCGGACTACTGGGTCTTTTACTGGAGCAGCGAAGGAAAGAGTACAGGATACGGCACGACCTGTATCAAGGATCCCCAGACTGGAGAGTGTGGTTGCGAGAACTCGGATGGTACTTTTATTGCCGGCAGTGACAGCTGCACTTAGATGTAGATAGGTGGACACTCCCTGGCCTAGCCTTTTGTGATTTACATACATTCTGGGACTTTGGAAAGACGAGTCCAAGACTGACATTAATGTTCCTCTAAGTAGAATGAAGCTTTCGTTTTATTTTGCAGTTCTCAGGCTGAAGATTCTATAAATAACGTAAATGCAACTTGTGCGGTCTTAAGAGCAACAGTATTGGGTCGGCGATCCGGCGTTTGTCGGCGATGGAGATCCCCCGGACGTTCACCCGATTGGTTTGGCTCATATCCATTTAGTGGTATGGGGAAGCACTGAGAGCCTTCATACCTCCAAGTTTCTATTTCGATTCGTAATATATGTCTTCCCTGTGTCCCCGCATTTATGTAAGACTACCGAGGATAACGGAGACGTCTGTGGGCAAATCGGACCGAATGACTCACTTCTCCAACCAGGTCTCATCTCTACTTCCTGGATCCTTATCTCCCCGACGGAAGGGGTGAGATAGCTGATAAGCAATCGGGTGATATCGCCATCATGCGGTGAGTCGAGGTATTAATACATCTGATATTGCGCATTGTTTAAAAGATCAATGGAGTGCCCTCTTTGACACTGTGTCTCATACAGTCCAACTTCTTCTTATAGGGTGTCCCTCACCCAACTCATGCTATACAAATCTTAGAACCTTTCTATGACAATAAGCCTTGCTTGCTCCAGCATACATTGTCCTCTTGATTCTAACACCCTTCACACAAATGTTCACTATGGCCTGGGATCAAGATGTTATGCGTTCGCGCTTTTGCCATGCACTCTCCGAAATGTATAAGAGTGAAGTTTCTCTCTATGGAGACCTCATCGATATAGTCTGGGAAGCAGACGCAAAAGCCGTTCAACACAGTCAAAACATGAGCGACTCTCAAATCATAAACCCCGATGATGTTCTTCCATCGCGGCATCGCGTGGAAAGACACGGAGCCATTCGTGTGGGTACAGCACATGAGTTGGCTACAATACGTCGAATGTTTGCTGTGATGGGAATGTACCCGGTGGGCTACTATGACCTCAGCCTTGCTGGATTCCCGATGCATGCTACAGCCTTCCGTCCGAAAACACAAGAATCACTCGATAAGAACCCATTCCGGGTGTTTACCACGGTTTTGCGGATGGAACTCTTGACGGAAAAAACTCGGGAATTGGCAAAGCAAGCGCTGAAGCAACGAAACATCTTCACGCCTAGACTTCTTGCTTTGCTAGATACTGCAGAACGCGAGAGAAGCTTGACACCCGAACAGTGCACGGAGTTTATCTCTAATAGTCTGGAAACATTTCGGTGGCACTCAAAAGCCACTGTCACTCTAGATGAATACGAGCAGCTCAAAGCCGAGCATCCTTTAATTGCCGACATTGTTTCATTTCCAAGCTCACATATCAACCACCTCACACCTCGGACAATTGACATTGATCTTGTTCAGAAGTTGATGCTGGATCACGGAATGCCCGCCAAAGAACGCATCGAGGGACCGCCCAGGCGAACATGTCCGATCCTTTTACGGCAAACGAGCTTCAAGGCACTCGAAGAGATTGTTCATTTCCGCGACCCGTCTGGTTCGCATGTAAAGGGCTCACACACAGCTCGCTTTGGTGAAGTAGAACAACGAGGCTACGCTTTGACCCGACAAGGACGCCAACTTTATGATCAGATCCTGGACCAGGTGAACAAGAAAGCCGCAGATGGTGGCTTACGTGGCCAGGACTACGACAAGTTACTGGAAGACCAATTCAGAGAGTTCCCAGATAATCTGTCCAAACTTCACGATCTAAGCTTGGCATATTTCTCCTACCAGCTGACACCGCTAGGTGAACAGTTTATCAAAGAAAACACAGTGTCCTTGAAAGATCATCAAGCTCCAGTTTCACTCCAGGATCTTTTGGCTAAAGGGATCATTGGTTACGAGCCTCTTACATACGAAGATTTCCTTCCCTTGTCCGCGGGTGGAATCTTCTATTCCAATTTGGGAAGCGTCTCGCAGTCCAAGCAACTTATAATGAGCGCAGATCCGGATCTCGATGGCTTTCAACGCCTCCTTGGGGCTTGTGTCGCGGATGAATTTCATCTTTACAGTGAGATGCAACAGAAATCTTTGGATATTTGCCGACAGAAGCTACAGCTGGACAAGATTGCATTCTAAGAGACACTTTCATGATATAATTATCTGATCTTAAGTTAACGTCATCTAATGGTCACTTCTATTTTTAGTCCGAGTGGAAAAATATTCCTCGAAAGCCCTTAACGTCGGTGTTTGTATAATTATGCATATGGATAACTGTCGTCACAATATCAGATCTAGATCGTCTATAAGGCTTGGTCAAATACCGCTTTTGGCACCTCCAAGCGAGAATATCCTTTGGGCATAATCTTCATTATGTTGCAAAGATTTAAGCCCCAGATCTAAGATTCGCCACAGCAAACGTGGTCGGTGCCGTACCAATCAACGCCACCGAGACCACCCGGCCGATGATGTTACCTACCACTCGGGCCGTATGATGTCGGCCGGAACAGTAGACAGAAAAACAATGAAGGCTTGGCAAAATAGCTTTCTCTTGCACGTCGGTCGGCTCCGGCTTCACTAAAATCTTCGGCGAGACGTATTAAGTTTCAGTTAGAATGAATAAATAAAGGCGGCGATTTCCATCATGTGCGATTTGAAATGCCAGTCATCAGCATCTCAGGTGCTTGATTCAATTAAATAGTGGAGGCTCTGTTTAATGGCATCCGCTCAAGCTCAATATCATCAGCCAACTAAAGATATCTCTTGGCATATACTGGTTGGAACAATTGTCACCATTGTCCCAGCTACTCTCTGTGTGATATTGCGATTTATTTCTCGCCACGTTTCATGTGCTGGATTATGGTGGGATGACTATACCATTGCGGCAGCTCTTGTAAGTCGTACCATGCCCTCGAATCCCTTAGGTCGACTTCAAACATTGGACATTATGAGAAATTGACATTATGTAGGTATTCAACTGGGCTATGGCTGCTCTAAGATGGGTTCAAATTCCATTGTACGACTCTGGCGTTCGATCTCATGATATCTCATCTGAGAAATTCCAAGGATTTGAAAAGGTAGGCCCTCACGACCTGTATCCAAAACTCATCTAACAATAAGTAGAGTTTCTTGGCCATCCAATTACTATACTTTTGCAATGCGGTTATTACGAAGGCATCGCTACTTCTTCTCTTTCATCGTATCTTTGGCGTTGTCAAAAGCTTCCGATGGGCACTTTGGGGCTCTGGCTTCTTGGTAATTGCCTACTTTATCGCATGCACAATTACAGCAATCGCCGGATGCTCGCCAGTATCCAAGTTCTGGGATCCCAAAGAGCCAGGGCATTGTATTGATGAAGTTGCCTTCTTCCGCTGGAATGGAGTTGGAAATATGCTCCTAGATTTCTTAATACTTTGTCTGCCACTTCCGATGGCCTGGCGGGTGAAGACAACGATGCGACAAAAGTGGGTTCTGACTGGGATCTTTTTGCTTGGTGGTTTGTGAGTTAGCTTCAACCCTCAAAATGAAATAATCAACTAACTGTCAGACAGTGTTTGTATTGTCTCGATTCTTCGGATTGTCAGTTTTGAACTCACAACAATGCACGATCCCACCTATACAAGCGTCGACCCAGCGACTTGGTCCTCCATTGAGCAATCTGTCGGAGTCATGTGTGCATGTCTTCCCACACTTCGACCTCTAGTTCGAGCATTAAACAGTCCCGCAATGAAGCCTGCTGACGTAAGTGGTCGCTCTGTTTCTAACTGCGAGCTTGTGTCCCCGCTGCCTCGTCCAATATTCCACTGTGACGAGGAAAGTAACATTGTACCTGACTCAAGGGAGCATATGGATCATGCCTGCTTGTGCCAAGTTGGCTTGAATCAAAGTGGCAATGACCTTCCAACATTATTTGAAGATTATAATCGCCCTGTTTCTCAATCCTCGCAGATAAATGTAAATGATAGACCAGTGTCCGCTGCTGAATCATTTGCTTGATGAATCATTGTCAGAAAATATATACTCATGTATTATTACAGTTTGCTTTATGATACCCAAGTCGACATTTATCTCGCTCTCCAAGATATTTTTAAATCATTCTTACTGAAAAGCGAGTACGTCTTATGGGGAGCTGGGAAGGGAGTCATGTCCTACAGATAGACACCGGGACAAATGACACCTGATAAATAGGGCAACAATGGGGTCTTCTCTGCATCGCTGATTTGTCCCATCCTTTGGCTATTATTGTCTTCTAATCAATGAAAGATTACAACTTTTCTCGAGTTTTCGTTCATTGAAGAATTCAAGATCCAGTCGAACTGTGCCGGTAAGTCCAGAATGTACACAATGTACACCGGTGTTACTCGCAAGGGTGAGTGATCGGCATATTTCGGCCACTGGAATGCACTGCAAACTTAATTGTTTCATGAAATTCACAGACATTGGGCATACAATGTAATGATGCGTGTTTTCAATACTGTTTCTGTTTTTATCGCCTCGTACCTAGGATCTGTTTTAGCAGCCTCCCCAGATCTGAATCTCTTTGCATACGGCAATACTGGCCCGCTGTTGGGTACTTCTTTCGGCACTCCAGGCGCAAACGCGACTTTTGACTACGTAGTGGTCGGAGGCGGAACCGCAGGACTCACAATCGCAAGCCGTCTCGCAGAGAATCAAACAGTGAGCGTTGCAGTCATCGAGGCGGGCGGCTTCTATGAAACCGATAATGGCAATTACTCGATCGTGCCCGGGTATTCCAGTTACTTCACGGGTTCTGACCCCACAGACTATCAGCCGCTTATAGATTGGGGATTTAGTACGCAGCCCCAGTCTGGATTAGGAGGCAGGGTCTTGCATTATGCTCGAGGCAAGACCTTAGGGGGTTCCTCGGCCAGGAACTACATGCTCTACCAACGGCCTACGGTCGATAGCATGCAACGGTGGGCAAATGAAGTGGATGATCAGAGTTACACTTTTGAGCGCTTGTTGCCTTATTACAAAAAATCGGTCCACTACACACCTCCCAACCAGACATTATACAACAACTCGACGAACAACCAGACTACAGATGCGTTCAGTCCAACGGGTGGGCCACTAGAAGTCTCTTTCAGCAATGTTGTGCATGCATTTGGTACGTGGTGCCAGAAGGCACTCATCGCACTTGGCATGAACCAGATTGATGGTTTCAACAGTGGTAATCTGGTTGGCTCTGCCTTTGCAACATTTACTATCAATCCGCGTAATGCGCATCGCTCTAGTTCCGAGTCGAGCTTTCTTCAGGCGGTTCTGAACAAAGGTTCTGGGCCTACAGTGTACAAGAACACCATGGCGCAAAAGATATTGTTTGAAGGCCACGGTAAACGAGCCACAGGCGTTCAAGTGTCGACTGGAGGGACCTTTGGCACACCTTCAATCAACTTCACGCTTCGTGCTGGCAAGGAAGTGATCCTGTCAGCCGGTGCCTTCCAGACCCCTCAGTTGTTGATGGTGTCAGGAATCGGTCCATGCAACCACTTGCGTAGTTTCGATATTCCTTGCCTCGAAGATCTCCCAGGAGTCGGCCAAAACATGCAGGACCATCCAATCTTCGGGATTGCACATCGTGTAAACGTTCTCACTGCCTCGGCCTCGGCCAACAACGCAACTTTAGCAGCACAGGGTGCTCAGGAATACATAGAACAAGCCACAGGTCCACTCTCCATCTTTGGGCCAGGGTATTATGGCTGGGAAAAACTTCCAATCGCACTGCGCTCGAATCTTACCCGTGAAGCTCGCCATGCACTGTCAAGCTTCTCTTCTGACTGGCCTGAGCTAGAGTGGTTGCCCATCAGCGCATTCAACGGCTACAATCTCAACAAAGTGACAGCTGACCCGAAGGATGGGCACCAATATGCAACAATCAGCGGAGCCTTGATTGCGCCCCTATCACGCGGCACAGTTCGACTTGCTGGCTCAAGCATGAACACCCCGCCCCTGATAGACCCGCAATGGCTTGCTGATTCCACCGATATGAATTTAGCTATCCAAGCATTCAAAAGACAGCGTCAAATATGGGCGGAGCTGGCGAAGTTGGGTGCGGCTGAGCACGAGGAATATTTCCCCGGCTTCAATGTTTCCACTGATGTTGAAATCCGTGAGTTCATTCAACGGAGCATGACCACAGTCTTTCATGCATCAGCGACGTGCAAAATGGGACGTAACAATGACAGGATGGCGGTGGTCGACAGCCACGCACGCGTCTTTGGAGTGCAGGGGTTGAGAGTTGTCGATGCCAGCAGTTTTCCATTTCTACCACCAGGTCATCCCCAATCCACTGTTTATGCATTTGCTGAGAAGATTGCGGATGAAATATTGAGCTGGAACGAAGAACAAAGTCAATATAGTAGTGACTTGATCTCACCTGATGACTGGCAAACTCCCATGTATACACGTCCTACGCAGTTTCAATATTAGAATCTCCAGGAAGAAAGAAATCAATACTATAGAATACAATGCATACAGAGAACAGCGCAAATCCATATATTTGTACAAATATGCCGGGGAGATATCAATGCATCACGGCAGGAAAATGACCGAAAGCCCATAACTCAGACGGCATCTCGGCTGGCATTATCCATGCCTCAATAACCACTGTCGGACCGTAGTCCGGCATCAAACAGTTTCGCCTCAAAACAGATTCTCCTCAATATCGAATATATCAATCATGACCGGGGCCCAATGACGGAGCCATCTTCGCCTTCGCCATCCTCAACGACCACCGCGCCTTCCGCCAACAACTCCTCTGGCGTCTTGACTCGTACATCCATGACTCGCATGAGGGTGTAGCGGTGCTTGCTCTTAGCTTGCTTGACGTGTCTGTTTCTCCGCTTGGTCTTCTCTTTGATGCGCAGCGGCTCCGCATCCACACCAGTCACACGCATCCGACACTCGTACATACGCTCATCGATGGTAGGGGCGCCCTTCATTGTGAAGTCGCGCGATCCAACGGCAGAAGCACGGTTGAACCGGACGATATCACCTGCCTTGACATTGGGCATCAGAAAAGGCAAACGAAGGTGGTCACCTTCGGTCAACAGGTACGGCCGTGCGTGCAATTGGGCGACGACGTAGTGCGGCTTCTGGCCGGCAAGATGGGGGAGCTGTGACATGAGGGTTTTGGTCACTTTGAGGGGAGTGGTGAAGGTTGGTTCGACGGGTTGTTTCGCAATGGGTACATCGGCGCGTGTTCGGGGTGTCATGGTGGTTTCGTCGAAATTGTTGGAGGGCTTGATGCCATTGTGGGTCTTTGGCTGGGCATCTTGGGCCCGGGGAGTCGCACTGAGGGGTAAATCGGGGTGGGTGGAAGATGATTGACTCTGGAGTGGTTGCGAGTTCATCAAAGACGCAGTTTGGTGCAGGCATGCTCGTTGCTGAAGGGGAGCCGCGGATGAGATTGTAGACGGTGCTGTCCAACGCAAGTCGGATACAAGGCTCCGCAGAGCAGAGCGAGAGAACATGTTGACTGAACACTTGCCAACACCCAATGTGGACTGAGAGTGGAAGTGGTTGGCGGTAATTGATCGAGGCACTTCAAGAAGCGGCTTCCCCGTAACTCGAGAAATTCAAACTTGCACATATGGCCGCTTTGCTACCCGTAATGTCACGTGCTACTATCAATTTGACTTGATCGGAGTTTTTGATTGCCAAAAATTTGCATGGACGCAGATTTAGTGGGATAATAGTTGTAACTTCTTTTCAAAATACCATTCTGATCCCTTATCAATTTTCAAACAGCACCTTTCTCTGCGCATATGCAAATTGAAGTTCTGCCATACCGATAAGGAGTGTCACGTGATTCACTATCTTTGCCGCATCACAACTTTTTTCGGTCCCGATTAGATCTTCAAGGCAAGAACTTCACCAACCATTAAAACAGTGTCGTTCATTCGTCATTCATCATGGTATGTTTTTTGTGATCCTCGAGTACTGTGTATCCAATTTCCGAGTTTAGCTAACCATCTTTTCCCTTACAGCCTCAGAACGAGTTCGTCTCTCCCCGCCAGCCACCATGGAATCTTCCCCAACTAACATTATACCACCAGGTACATCGAGCGCTGGCAGAAGCAGCACGGTAAGCGCCTTGATCACGATGAGCGTCAACGCAAGCGTCAGGCCCGTGAGGGACACAAACAGTCCCACGATGCGCAGAACCTGCGTGGTCTGCGGGCTAAGCTGTACCAGCAGCAGCGCCACAAGGAGAAGATTCAGATGAAGAAGCGCATCAAGGCCCAAGAGGAGAAGAACGTCAAGTCTGCCGCGCCCGACGAGCCTTCCAAGACTCCTCTGCCCCAATACCTGCTCGACCGATCGCAGGAGACCAACGCCAAGGCTCTCTCCAGTGCTATCAAGGATAAGCGTAACGAGAAGGCCGCGAAATTCGCTGTCCCTCTGCCTAAGGTTAAGGGTATCAGTGAGGAGGAGATGTTCAAGGTTGTCAACACCGGAAAGAAGACCCACAAGAAGTCCTGGAAGCGTATGATCACCAAGCCTACTTTCGTTGGTAACGACTTCACCCGTCGGCCCGTCAAGTACGAGCGATTCATTCGTCCCATGGGTCTGCGTTACAAGAAGGCCAATGTCACACAGTACGTTTTCCTCAGAGTAACTTCCATATCTGTGAAGACGATGTGGTATTAACATTCTCTTTCAGTCCCGAGCTTGCTGTCACTGTTCAGCTGCCCATACTGTCCGTCAAGAAGAACCCCCAGAACCCTCTCTATACCCAGCTGGGTGTCTTGACCAAGGGAACAATTATTGAAGTCAACGTTTCTGAGTTGGGTCTTGTTACCACTTCCGGCAAGGTTGTCTGGGGTAAATGGGCCCAGGTGACCAACACTCCTGAGAATGATGGTTGTGTTAATGCGTGAGTTGCCTCGATTAATCAAGCTATTCAAGTTGGATACCGAACTAACATCTGTCAGTGTCCTTCTGGTCTAAATGACAACCTCCAAGTTCCTCTCGGTGGGCACCTACCTGCCTGTCTCCTATACCTCCATGCTCAGGCAGTTCTATATTTCCCTTTCTTGATACATACGGTCTATCAAGACTGTTCTATTCTTGGGCGGTGTTAATGGCGCAAAATCAATTCCATTGATTTCAAACAAAAAGTATCCTGCATGTTTGGCTTCTGAATGGACATAGCTAGCTACTAGATATGCATTTATCAACCATGATTTTATGAAGATACTTTAACTTAGGACTGTCACTCAAGCCAGCAGAGATTTCCTACCGGCGGTTGTGTAACAAAAAACACGTACGTTTAGAAAGTGTAAAAAAAATTGAGAATTGTCAAAGTGGTCAATTAACATCCTAACCAAATGGGGAGGAGTAATGAGCCCTGATACTAGAGTAACCAAGAATGGGCTAATGAAGTCATATACAAAGAGAAATCCACACGCTGCGCTGAATCGAACTTCATCAAATATCCACCAGAAAAACGTGGGTGGGCCAACCAAAAACCCGAAGGATGATGCAGGAAGAAGAAGCAATGCAAAGAAACACAGACAGTCAGATATATCGCAAATCAACCAAACAGACCTAGAAATAACACATCCAACACCGGTCATTAAGTCGTTTTAACCAAAAATGAAACAAGTAAAAGTGCCGATCGGGGCAGCCAGGACAAAGGAAATCAAATAAAGGAGTGAGTGGGTGTTGTTATGCGTTTTCTTCTTCGAGGGCTGCTTTTATCTTTGCAAAGAAGCCGGCGGGCCATGCAGCCAGCTCTTCTTCTTTGGGTACACCGCGAACCTTGCAATGGTTGACGACGTTGGCCAGGATACGACCAAGCATATCCTGAGTGACTGGGACAGCACCTTCAAGTTGAGCATCGGGGTGCAAAAAAGGGTCACGAGGGCCAAGCATTTCTTCTATCGTGGGTCGGAGAGTCTGATCACGCTGCAGGCAACGCTTCAGGGTCCGGACGAGGCCAGGCGGCACTGGAACGCCTCCAACGCCGAAGGCCGGGAACTCGATTTGTACACGGGGGTTGGGGATAGCCATAATGCGCTCGTAATATTTGGCGATCTTGGCGAATGGAGGTTGTCCGTAGACCATCTTATACAGAATGCAACCTAAACTCCAAACATCGCTAGGTTTTCCTAATTTCATCACTTTTCCAACACTCGCTGGCAGTCCGAGGGAGACATTTGAATCGACCAGAGCTTCGGGGGACATATAGTTGGGGGTTCCGACTTGTTGTTCGCGGTGAACGTTGACAGTGTTGTCCTGGATCGCATTGGCGATACCAAAGTCGATGAGCTTCAATCGGCCTTGAACCATAAGGAAATTCGCCGGTTTCAGATCAGAATGGACGATGTTGTATTGGTGAACTGCTTGAACACACTCGAGCATCTCCTTCCAGTAGAAACGAGTGAAGTTGATATCGAAAAGAGCATCTTCGGCGTTGAGGCGAAACGTAAGAATTTTCTCGAGATCAGACTCTCCAATTTCCATAAGCACACTCAAAGCATGTTTGTCATTATTGAGTTCCCAATCAAATAAGCGGACCACACGATCGACATTCTCCAGTTTCTTCAGCAGGTCGATTTCACCTTTGTATCCGGTAAGGGTTAGTGGATCGACATCTTCCAGGTTCACGCGTTTGAGGGCAAAAATCTTATAGTTCTCAGCCATAACTCGGTAAACACGAGAGCTGCCACCTCGACCGATACAGTCAAGGCGTGTGAAATGCTTGCCATTGATTGACACTTGCGATTTTTTCTTTCGTGATTGTGATGTCGATGCGCCTCCTGTCGAAGTGGCGGTCTCGAGAACAGACATTTTAGGAGGGGGAGGCGCCGCTCTGTGAGGAGTGTTATTACTCTTTGTGGCCAGTATCTTCCGCGCGGAGGTTCCAGATGGAGTCTCTGCTGCATCTTTTTTATCAACAGCGTTGTAATTTTCAGGTTTATCCAACATATTCAATCCCTGAGGCTTGTTGCGCCGGAAGGTTGGCGGTGGTTCATTCTCCTGATCACGCACCGATGGCAAATTCGGCACAGAAGAGACCTTGAAGACCGGCTGCTCTTTCGCTATCGAAGATTTGGATGACATTTCTGACGAAGCGGGTGTTGACTTTGAGCCGTAGGACTTTGGTGAAGATGACCTTGAAAATGGACCCTCAACCTCGGCAGGACGAAAAGGATACTCCGAGCGATGTGATTCCCGCGAGAGAGGCGGGCTGGGGTCTGCCCATGATACCTTGGGCGATGAAGGCTTTTCGGGTTTGCGATATTGATATTCGGATTTCTCTTCTCCTTCCACATCCTCCCGCACACCGTCAGCCGAGAGATATCGGTTGTTCTCTTCGTTACTCTCCTCGCTCTGTCGTCGTAATACGCCCCTCCGGGCGGGCCCATTCAAGAAGCTGCCAGCAAGTCGACCGACCCTCTTGACGCGCAGAGAGCTGTGAGGCGCAATTTCCTCGCCACCGCGGCCCCGAAGCGCTGAAGAAGGGATATATCTTGAAGCCGGGTCATCATCATACTGTGACTTGCGATCACTGCCAGAGCGTTCTGCACTTCCATACTCGTCGGCCGAGTTACGTTCTGCCGAACCCCTTCCGGAAGGCGAACCAGAGGCAGGAGAGTTTGAGTTACTGCGCGATACATTGATACGAACACTGCGCTGTCGAGGGGCAGGAGTAATAAAATCATTCGGGCGGCTATGATGCTCGGGTTCTGCACTCTGGCTGTTGGAAAGCGGGGAGCCTTCGCGGGAGAACCTCGAACCCGACGAAATGGCGCCAATGCGAACAACTCGGGGGGCCGGGCTGCCATTCGATGAGTCGTGTGGGGATGAATTGCGAGGCGAGCGGCTCTGTCTTGAAGCTGTCGCAATTCGTTCGTGCGACACAGATTGAGCATTTTGCAAATGCGGCGAAGAACTTAATCCATCACCATGTAACAATGCTTTTACAGATGCGCTGAATTTTGGTTCCGGGACCTCTTCATCTGAACTGTCGCCTGCAGAGTAATGTTTGGGTAGATGGCCTGGTTGTGTTGATGCGGGAGATACCCGTCTAGAACCCGAACGTGAAACCGTGGATCGGGACATCGGTCGGGCTGGTTGTCGGTATAGATCGTTGTATGTTGATGGGAGGGAATTGGGGGACGCCATGGCAACAATACCTACATTGAAGTCGTGGATCAATGCGGCCCCTCTAAAGTTGTCGACTATTTGTTGATGCTGCAGGGGAAAGGAAGCCTATCTTGATTTCGTCGCGAGTTGTCGGCGCGCTATATAGTCACGTGAGTGTTCGTTGCTATAGCGACGCCCCTTCCATAACATACCTAAGAGTGGTGAAAGAAATCATTCTGGTGTGATTTTGGGTGAAGAGTAATACGGAAAATGTGAAAAGTGGTCAAGGATTGCTGGCTTATCAGTAATACCCTCTTCGTGGCACATTTTGTTGAATATCATGATGGTAGGTCTACAGAGTACTATACTATACCTAGGTACACAAGATCGACCAGATAACCTCCACTTACTAGACTAAACCTAGTGATGCTGTCATAGTATTATAGCACCTTATCTTTGTAATGCATACTTTGATGGATTGCCTACGGTGGAACCATTGATAGTGCTACAAAAGTAGGCCCGAGCAAGCATATATACTCAATCTTCAAGTTGAAGATTTTTAAGTGGTGGTATATCTTAACATTCCAATCTCTAATTGTCATCACCACTACGAATACACATATACATCACCCTACCACTGGAATTAAAATGAACTTCAAAATAATATATGAACTTGGGTAAGAAGATTCGGTATAGTATGCGAACTAGATGTAAACTGGAAAATCTTGCATGCAAATATGTCACCTAACGTCATTGCGATATAGCTTGGTTCTATTTGCAAACCCTCTGGGTAAGAACGATCCCATGGCTTTTTTTCATATAATCGTGCATGTAAGGTTTGAATTGTCAGAGCATGCAAAGCTGTACTTTTGTATGATAACACTTGAGGACAAACCTCGAGTTACAGAAAGCTGGCTCTGTTTATCTTGATGAAAATGTGTATTATAATAATATTTTGAGTGGCAGGTGTAAGCACACTGAGAACAAGATATGAAGGATCTCAAAGCAAATAATTTGATGAACCCTATCGAGATTAATACCTCTAAGAGCTTTCCTGATCTTGTTTTTCTGAAAAAAAAAACCACGGAGACTCATTTGGCGCCTCAAAATCCAGGCGAAAGAAACCTTACGGTTATCGATAAGTGCCAACTACGCAGGTATCATGTCGCGCTTCACCTTTCTCGCGTGTTTTCCAATGTATTATCTTTCCTCCACCTTCGTCCCTCTCAAAAATGGCGTCTACCGTTGACTCCAAGCTGCTGAAGCGGACCAAGTTTCCACCCGAGTTTAATCGGAAGGTGGACATGACGAAGGTCAACATTGAGGTTATGAAGAAGTGAGTGATCTTCCCCGGTTTTTTTCCCGGCCTGGCTGCAAATTACTGACATTGCATTTTTTTCACCTCGTTATTGCAGATGGATTGCCAGCCGAATTTCCGAGATTCTTGGAAACGAAGATGACGTTGTTATTGAGCTCTGTTTCGGGCACTTGGAAGGGCCTCGCTATGTACGTTTATCACCGGGAGCTTTAGCGTCTCCGCAGCTTACTGACTTGACTGCACTTGGTTCCAGCCCGACATCAAATCTCTCCAAATCCAACTCACCGGATTCTTAGACAAAGATACCTCCAAGTTCTGTCAGCAGCTATGGTCCCTGTGTCTTAGTGGACAGGACAGCCCGCAGGGTGTCCCAAAGGAGCTTTTAGAAGCCAAGAAACTCGAACTTATTCAAGAAAAGGTATTCGGAATGACCTCATTGATATTGGAAGCGTCTGACATAATACAGCTGGAAGCCGAAAAGGCCGCAGAAGCTGCTCGACGACAAAAAGAACAAGACCAAATTCGCGAACGAGAACTCGACAATGTGAGACGCCGAGAGCGATCAGACCGCGGACGTGGAGGACGGGGAGGCAATGATTTTGGCCGTGGAGGTCACAGTGATCGTGGCCGTGGAGGTCGAGACTTCGAGAGACGTTCTCCCCCTCCCAGAGATCAAGGCCGCTACTCAGACCGATTCCGTGAACCCCCCTCGCGACGTGACTTTGACTCTTATGTGCCGCCTGGTAATCGTCGAACCCGTCAATCATCCAGATCTCCTGCATACTCTCGCTCTCCATCTCGCACTCGATCCCCCAAACCATCATCACCCCGCCGCGGTCGTGATGAGCCCCGCCACCGGCCCCGCGAACGCCGTCGCCGCTCCCCCAGCAGATCAGTATCTCCCCAGCGACGGAACCGCGGAGGAGCGAGAAGGCCCAGCCCGGACTACGGTGACCGTGCTAGATCCAGATCCATTCCTTCCCGCAGTCCCTCGCGCTCACGTTCCGTCAGAGGAAACCGCCGCAGCCTTTCTTTGTCTCCTCCCCACGACCAACACCCAAGAGACGCTGACATCAAATCCAAGTCTCGTTCCCCCTCGCGGTCCCGCCGCCCATCTGGAAGGTCCCGTCGAGATCGCGATTCCCGCCGCTTGAGCCGCAGCCCTGATCGTAACCGTAACCGTGACCGTAACCGTGATCGTGATCGTGATGATACCCGCGTACGTCGCAATTCCAGTGGCAGTCGGTCTCGCAGTCCCCAGAGGGACAAGGATGGCAAGCGCCGTCGCTCACCGGATAGATACACACCCGCACCTCCCAAGCAGCGTAGCCCATCTGCTGGTTCTGCACCTGAAGAAAAACGTCGCAAGATTGCTGATCAAGGCGAGGACCCATCGCACCCCTCGGAAGCCTATGATAACGAAAAGAAAGATGCTGATATGGTGGGTCATTGAGAGAGAGAAAAGAACAAGCCTTTGATCCATTCCCAACTGTATCTTTATCACTACCTAATCTTTGTGAAATAATGTGATTATTACTTTGTCATATGCTTGTGCTGTTATGTTCAAATACTAACAGGAGGTTTGTATCTAGCCCGTCAAGAGACCACCCATTATGCGAATCTCTTCAACAGAACTTCGTGAGAAAGTGCTCCGTGAGAAGATAATTGCTTTGCGTCGATCAACCAGTGACGCCCGGAAACCTAAGCAGGGATAAGTGCTGCAAAATCAGTGGTGGAATGATTCCAGGAACTTGAACATGACCTATGACGGAAGAACTAGGTGAAATCTTTTAGCGTGTACGTGTACAATACGATATAGTCAATCCATTCAACTTCAATTACAAGGTGAACTCTCGGCCAATGCTGGTAACGAATGCATTTTGAAATTTTGGAAGTAGAATGCAACTGCATGGATCTTGAGTTTGACCTAGTTCTTCACATTTTTGATATATTGGATTGACAGAGAGAGTGAATGTGTTCTCACTGCATTACGAGGGAAGATATTCTAGATGCATATAAAGAAAAGAATGTACTCCATTGAAGGGAAAGAAGGTTTATATATGCTCAAATCATTATGTAGACAACAACAAGGGATCTGCACTACCGAATCCCGAATCCCTTCCTGTCAATCAAATACCCGCAAAACACACGATGTACAGCACGGACCAGGCTTTCAATCTTTAGACAAGATTAGAATTAGAATTAGATATCTACAGACAGGACAGAGGTAATAACACAGCAGATCACGGGATAGGTGGGTATCAGACGCGGCAGGTCGCCACGTTACCCGTCCACGTTGTTGAAGGTCATCTTGTCATCAAAGGGAAAGCCAAAATTCAACAAAGTAAGGAAATTTCTGAGAGGTATTCTCAAACATATGTCCAGGTATGCTGTCTGCTTACTCGCAACCGCAGACAGTGGCAGTCACAGTCGCGGTGACAGTGACAACCTCCTGACCAGAGCCACCGCCGGAGGGCATGGTGGGAGGGCTGGTGGGGGCAGGGCTGGAGCCAGTGTCACAGGGGGCAGAGGGCACGGAACCGGTACCCTGGGGACCACTGGGGACAGAGCCAGATGCCTCAGGGCCGGAAGGAGCAGGAACACCGGTGGGAGAAACGCCGGAGGGAGTCTGGACGGGAGCGGTGCCAGAGGGAGCGGGGACACCGGGAATCACGGTAGAACCGACAATCTCGGAGGTCTCAGTGTCACAAGGAGTGGTGCCAGCGGAGCCGCTGGGGACGGAACCAGTAGGAGCAGGGCCGGAAGGAGCGGGGCCACTGGCAGCAGGGGTGTCGGTGGGGGAGACGCCGGAGGGAGTCTGGGCGGGAACAGAGCCAGCGGGGGTGGTTCCAGCAGGGACAGAGGGAGCAGGGACACCAGGGATCACGGTAGAACCGACAATCTCGGAGGTCTCAGTGTCACAAGGAGTGGTGCCAGCGGAGCCGCCGGGGACGGAACCAGTAGGAGCAGGGCCGGAAGGAGCGGGACCACTGGCAGCAGGGGTGTCGGTGGGAGAGACGCCGGAGGGAGTCTGAGCAGGAGCGGTACCGGTAGGAACAACGGGAACAACAGTGGAGCCACCGTTGGGGCCGCCGGGGATCACAGTGGAGCCAACGATCTCAGAGGTCTCGGTGTCGCAGGGTGTGGTGGCAGCGGGGCCGCTAGGCACGGGGCTGGATCCAGCAGGGCCGGAGGGAGCAGGGCCGCTGGGGATGGAGATAGAGCCAGAAGCACCGGGAACACCAGTGGGAGCAACACCGGAGGGGGTCTGAGCAGGGGCGGTACCGGTAGGAACAACGGGAACAACAGTGGAGCCACCGTTGGGGCCGCCGGGGATCACAGTGGAGCCAACGATCTCAGAGGTCTCGGTGTCGCAGGGAGTAGTGGCAGCGGGACCGCTAGGCACAGGCATGGAGCCAGAGGGAGCAGGACCGCTGGGAATGGAGACAGAGATGGAAGCACCGGGGCCGGAGGGAGCCGGACCAGAGGAAGCAGGGCCGCTAGGGACGGGAGTACCGACAGGGACAGAGACAGAGATGGAGGCACCGGGGCCGGAGGGAACGCCCGATGTGCTGGGCTTGTAGGGAGTGCTGGAAGGCAGGCTGGGGACCGAGGAGGATGGGGTGGGGGCACCGGGGATGCTGCAGCCGGTGAACCACTGGAGGATGATGATTTGAATGCTCACATCAATGTCGACGCTGGAGCAGCCACCAAGGAATGCAGCAAGCTCAGTACGGGCATCGAAGGTGAGACCAGCGATGCTACCGCCAGAGGCGCAAACAGAGAGGGCACCACGAAGATCGACGCTGAGGCCAGCGAGGAGAGTCTCGGTGAGAATACCAGTGACATCGCCGAGGAGACCACTAACAAGGTCAAGGGAGACAGAGACATCAGCCTCGACAGCAAAGGACAGCCAAAGGAGAACAACAGCCTTCAGCTCAACGCCCAGGGTGCAGTCGGAACCGGAGAGCCAGATGGCGAGCTGGGTGCGCACGTCAAGCTCAATAGCAGTGGCGAGCTGGCCCTCAGCAGCGGCCTGAAGACCGAGCAGAATATCGGCACCGAGGTTGGCGGAGATATCAGCACTGAGGAAGGCAGCGAGCGAAGCCTTGCCACCAACGGACAGGAGACCGGATTCCTCGACGTGTACACCGACGGAGGCACCGACGGAAATGGTGGAGAGAGCACTCTCAGCAAGGGAACCAATCTCAACGAGATCACCACCAGCGTGGCCGTTGATCCAGGCAAGGATGGAGACCTTGAGCTCAGCGCTGAGATCACACTCACCACCGTTGATCCAGGCAAGGAGAGAAGCCCTGATGTCAGCGGAAAGAGAGCCGATAACGCCACCAGCGGCGCACACACCAAGGCCAGCCTTGATGTCAACGTGAAGGTCAGCCTGGGCTTCCAGCCAAGCAGAAAGAGAAGTCTGAGCGCCAACGCTCAGGACGAGAGCAGACTCGAGGCTGGAGGCAGCGAAGATACCGTCGATGGTAACGTAGAGCTGGCCCTTGGCAGCGAGGTCAGCACATCCGGGGATGTAGACGGAAAGAGCAGCCAGGACATCAGCGGAGAGAGTGAGCTCATCGTCACCCTCGCACCAGGCGAGCAGGGACTTCTTGAGAGAAATGTCGATATTGGCATGGATCAGCAACCAAGCCTTCAGAGCGGCCTTGGCGTGGGCGTGGATGGCACCGGCCTTGCAGCCAAGAGCACCACCCTCGAGAGCGGCGGCACCCTCGGCACTCAGACCAGCGAGAAGGGAACCCGAGGAGTGGCCGTGACCGAGCACGGCGCTGAGGATGGAAGTCACATCAACAGTCACATCACCGAGAATCTCAGCGAGAAGACCGAGAGTGCGACGTTCAACAGCCATATCGGTAGGGTAGGCGAGAGCCGAGCTCGCCAGACTGGCGAGCAAAACGAGAGAAGGACGCATTTTGTGGTATGTGTATATTAACGAATGTATAGGTCAAACGCGGAAGTATAACGAAGGACTTCTAGTATGTAGAAGCGAGAGACCGAAAAAGCAGGCAAAAGCTGCCAAGGTTATTAAAGATAGACTGGGGAAAAGGTGAAGAGAAAAAAAAAGAAAGTTGAGTGATGGATATCCTAGAACTGATCGACCCTGGGTGTTTATATACCCCTGGTCAATTTCTTGAACCGGGAGGCTTCCCGGGCTCGATTGAAGCTACCGGGTCGTAACAGACTCACACTGGCCCTACCCCAGTCTCCAATTCCACATTTGGAGCTATCTACCCCTTAGGCTTCAGGGATATCGACTAATGGAGACCTGGATCTTTCACGGCCGGGTGGATCATCTCTCCTACAACATGGGTGGAGCGATGATCCACATCAGCGTGTCTATTCTTGGTTACAGGAGTTGCAAGATGTATCAGGTATCCCGCTAACCAATCTCGAGATCAATGCTCCATCGAGGCGACCTCATTGGGGAGAGATGCGGTCGGTGTCCGTCTACGGAGTACGGATATCAAAAAATGGAGATACCCAAGCAACAAATCATCCAATCCAAATTTAAAAAGTGAACGAACTTTTGTTTTATTTAAAAAGCAAAGGTTGAGAAATCCAACAACCGAGAAATATACTCTAAATGTTGTAAAGTGCCAGAGCCTAAGACGGCAAAATCCTCGTAGATCAAAGAAGCCATGCGCTCATATCAACAGTCTCGAGGAAGTGATCAACATGATCCACACAACGGTTGAGACTGTCGTTTCTGAAAATTCTATTTTCTGTTTTCTATCAACTTTTGTTTACAAATACGATATTGTAGTATTCTGACCCCTTTTCCCTGATTTTCTCTCCACAATTTGTACTATACCCTATAAGCGTACTACGTTGTAAGGCTACTACCTATTTGGTACTAACTGCATACTTAGACAGTTCTTCAAAACAAACAATTTATGAATCTGCGATTGCATGCGACTTTCCGAGTGGCCCGTTCAAAGCCCACATAAGACCCGCAGCACCGGGGAATTAGTCCAGGCACAACTGCAGGCTCTTAACCCTTTCAGGTAACGATAGACAGGTCCAGTTGTGCTGTTTATTAGACTCGCAAGACCTGTCGAATCAAGACACAGATAGCTATAACGAGAGGTCTAGATGTTGTTATCCTTGTTTTGAGTCGTACGTTGTTATTACTTACTCAGGCTAGTCTTGACTTCATCCAAATCTATCCGTGGAACCGACTTGTCGAAATTCAATTGCTTATGATGATATTTGTTATAGTAAATACATCATTACTGTACCCTCAATGGGTATCCGCAAACTACCGAAAACCAATATAATATTCCAAGCGACAGTAAATTGTGTATCTTGGAACAGTCCTCGGCTTCGCACAATTGTAGGTCGTGCTCCGAGTATACTATTGTCCATTTGCTCTATATTTCAGTCGGTAACGGGGACCCAAATGACCAGCACCAAAAATCGGCTGGTGGCTGACAGCAGTGCACACGCTAAAAGCGCCTCGTCCTGGATTATAATGTGAAGTTTTGCAGTTCTCACAGTGTGGAAGACCCCACTTTGCTATGAAAAGCACAAATAACAACCAGAATAACTAGAGAATAAAAGAAGTGGGGATATTACCCAGGTTTCGCCCTAAAATTCGTCCCTAAACTAAAGTGTAATGGTGCCGGCGTTCCTGGCCAGGGGTAAGCATTGATAGGGGGGCTGTGATTTCCACGGACGTTAAACGATTTACGGCATAGCCAAGTGGATTTAAGAGCGACCGCTTGGCCATTAAGCTTCGTCTGCTGCATCCCCACAGACTAACAGATCTCAAACAGCACTAACACCACCAAGAAGTGCTATCCTCCACCTTGAGAACCAGTTCGTGATGCTCTAACTACTCTAACTGTTGGCTTCGGATCTTGAGGCGATCGAGGTTTCACCTCGGGTGATCAACCAAGGGATCAGAGACATTATGAAACATGGATCTAGTAGAGTGGCAGTCTATTGTACAGTATGCACATGTCAACCGGAAGTTTTTATGTCTCACTCCACATGGGCACATTCCATGAGCAAGTCACGATGGCTGCATATAGCGTATTTCATGGGCATAGTAGTCCCAATTGGCAAAATAATCTTCCACCCCCTGCGCCTTGGAAACTGCCCCCCTGGGCTGATTTTTAACAGGTCCGCGATGGGCAGATGTGGGACTACAAGCTGCATTTACTCATTTCTAGCTGCAGCTGGCCGCATAGCTGCCAGGATGTTTTTCCTTGCACACTCTTCGTCAGTGTTATTGCGATCGGTCCAATGCAGATAACTGGTATTACCGCGGATATCCCGGGCAAAATTTGACTAAACAAAGGTTTTCGCCCAAAAATTGCTTGGTTCAATAGTGTAGTTACATAGATTTCAAAAGTCCGAAAATCTCTTCGCTCGGGATTTGAATCTTGTACAAAGTACGTTTTATCCCTGACTCAGTAGCGCCCTTGAATTCGTGAACAAGAATCACAATGATCATAACTTCAACATCTCCAGTATCTACTCCGTAGTTTGTACAATATTCCAATTACCAGAACAGAGGAAAATCACTGAGATCCGAATACCCGAAGTCCCTAAGGTTTTCACTAGTGTAACGCCTCACACCTTGGTGGCGATAGTACCTACAGTGTATGGAGTAGTATCTTCCCATTCGGAACGGCGACCGAGAATAAGTAGCCTTAGTCAATAACACTACAATATTGTGTCCATTATAAAGTGGTACTGAGAGGGTCCATGGTGGCTAGAAACCCCCTATAAACAACTAACAGGTTCGTTTATCAAATCACGAAACGTGGAAAAAGCTTAAACCAAGCTACTTCACTACGGTAGATTTCTCATGTTGAGGTGCTCTATCCCCTATTCCGCCGGAGGGCGCCGATTCTGTTTCATTTTGATTAAAGTTTGCCCAAAGAAGAATAATCGAACAAGTTCGAGCTCTACATAGTTACATTGCTCGGATCCAGGGTTCGGGGCCTCGCAAGGGACTCAATCACTCTTCTTGAAACGCTCTAAAAAGCTATTTTTAAATGTTGCTGGCCCCTCAATTGATGAACTGGTGGACAGGGCGAAAATTGTCGGGGGAAAGTCTCAATGCTTCAGGCACAGTGCCTGACCAAAAATTTTCGGGCCTTCTACATTTGCCGACCACGGCTGGAGTCGGAGCCACACGTGAAAGACATGCTAAAACTCAAGACCCCAAATGTTCAACATGAAACATATGCCCGTCAAGATCGGCCTTCCGGGAATCCGCGATCTACTCGTCAGACAGCCTTTTTGGAGGAAAATACGGCATAATCAAATCACCCATACGAAGTTGCTCTGCTTTCCATGGATAAAATGCAATTTAGCATATCAGATAGCTCCAGATGTCACTGACATGAAACAACTCGCCACTGAACGGACTCAATTCCCGCCCGGTGATGAAAGTGACAGAAACAGGATTTGATCCCTTCCGTCCCAAATCGAATGTGATCGATCGCAGCTTCCACTGTCCAACTCAACTCGATGATGGCTCGATCAACGGAATCCTTATATCCGCAAAAGTGTACGATATGTATACCGTTCCAACCTCCCGCTCCCATCACTCGCACAGTGCAGACGGCATGGAACATTTGGGTTCGACAGTACTAGGAGTCATATACATTATACAAGGAAGGATCAGCGGGCCTCGATCGTATAAGGCTGATTGACTTCCAGGTTGTTTTTCCATGTGGTCCTTTTACCCTTACATCGTTCCATGGTCTCAGGCACATGGGAATCTTCAACCTTGGATGTGGTGACTGATCTGAACCGCGGTACACTGGAGTTTGGTTACCGGAGATTGATGTTCTTCTGGGAAGTTTCCCTTTGATATTGGAAAACAATCAAAGTCTTCTGGGATTGCGATCCTCGTCTGAATCACGGTCCGTAGCGGTCCATAGAACGGGTTCCAAGGATCGCCATTTTGAACTCAATTTTAAGGCCGCGGCTGAGTACCGTTGGCTGTGGTCGCTTCAGTCCACATTGTCTCAGAAAGAAATTTTTAAGCTTATCAGATTTGTTCGTATAGTTCCGAGTTTGTTGTCAGTTGAGGCGGCACAGAATTTTGTAAGATGTGCCATTAGATCTGCTTTGTTCACGGTGCTGTTGGATCTTCACTTCCGGTAGATAACTAGATACAGGAGATCAAATATAATATATTGTCCTATAATTTATTACAGAATTAAGCTTTTATCAGTATGGAGTACTGCTTTCGCCCAAAACAGCTCACATTGCTAGAGACTGACACTTGGGTGCAAAGAGATCGTGCGATTGCAGTATTGCGTGACCATTGCTATTCACAAATTCAAAACATATGTTCCTAGAAATTGATGATTGGGGTCTGGAATTGAATTCAACAGAGAATGAAGAAGTAATTTTGAGCAAATTGTTGTTGAAGGTGAGACATCGGGAGGAATATATAATGCGCAACTCATGTCATCGTCAATGTCCGGACCTGCAAAATATGCTACTTAGGTATACAACTTTGTCTTATTTTAAGCCCCAGATTGAATGAACCGATCAAGATGCTGCGATATGAACGTTTCGCAGTTTTAAAAACTCAACATAGACGAATGCAAAACAACTTGAATCCTCAAAACCGAAAACTCCGGACCAGACTAAGAATTTCTTATCTAAAGCTTCTTTCTGTATTTTCCAATAAAGCTCAGCAGACAGACCCAATAGTGCTTGATGAGGGCGACAGGAGAAAAAGATAAGAGATGTCTCTTCATGTGGAAAAGACGAGTACTGGTGGAAAGTGTTTGATTTTGGGTGTGGACCACTTTATGCCTGCACACAGGGGAACTTTTCTTGCACAATATGACTTCAATCAACATCATTGACCGAAATAGAACAGACGCAACCTGAGGTTGCTAGGATCTCCCCAAGTTGTGCTGTCAAGGAGGAAGACGGTAAAGTCACTATGAAAAATCGGCAGAGTCCTCGACTTGATGCAATCTACTTCGAATCCAAGCAGCAAATGGCCCAAAGAAATGCGTATCCAGATTCTCCGGTCGCTCGCAAAATTTCAGAAGAGCGCGATATCGTTCGGACGCAGAGCTTGAAGTCGCAGAAAGAACTTTGGCGAGATCCACAGGACACATATAAGGAGGCTGTCTAGCATCCTCACAGATAGATGCGGTACCCTGCATCGAGCACGCATAGTAAACGCAATGGGCGATACCAAAGCAGTGACCCAACTCATGGCTTGCGGTGCGGCACATCCGACCAAGCCAGAGCGCATATATTAAAGAAGGCGCAGAATCTACTTCCCGAAGAGATTGGTACGCTGAAACTGCATCTTTCACTGGCCCATCGAGCTCCAGTGTTGACTTCTGTGAGCCCTTGTTAACGCCCCGAGACCTCTTCTGGTTTTTTGCGGCCGGCTCTGCTGAGGTGCATGCTGACATGTATGTCTCGCAATGCGATGCGGGCCAGGCATGGAGACGCTCAATCCGTTGAATGTGGTCCAGGGTAGGATTGTATCTTGCACTGGAGACCACTGCAACCCGACTTCCTCCGTATGCACGGCCGCACACAAACTCGTCATCTTTCTCTTCGTAAAGATCGTAATCTACAAGCATTATTAAAGCATATGCATCTTTTGGGAGCAGGCTAATTGCAGCATCAAGAAGATCAGTTAAGTTGATCTGGCCGCCATACACCCCTTCTGGTAGAGTGCGAGCCCGAATTCGCACGCATTCATCACCGATGCTGAGACCGAGGTATTGCTCTTGCGCTGGCTTTTTGGCTTTCTTTCTGGCTTCGTCCCATGGCATGATCCGCAATGTAGAGGAGGGCATCATTTTGACGGGCAGCCCATGATAGAAAGCAGCTAGATATTCTTGAACGTCTTTCGTACTCGGAGGATTGATTTGGCAGTCATTCCCCGTTGATGTTGGTTGTGTCCATTCCCGGACGAAGTCAAGACCCGGATCGACTTGAGGAGAGGGGACCACATATATGGTCTTTTTCTTTGGGGTGATCGGATTGCGATGTTCCGCATCGACCCATTCCTGAAAGCTTTGAGGGTCCTCCTCCTCACCAGCAAGATCGTCATCAGGCAGCAATAAAGGTGCAGGAAAAGCCTGTACGCTTTCATTGAGGAACAATTTGTCGCTCCTTGGGAAGACTCGATTATCTGATTTAGTTGCAGCGACACGCTGTCGCTCACTTGGTCTTCTGAAACCAGTCACAGTAGCATGGGAGGAGGAAGAAAAGCATAGTGAGGAATGATTACACTTGGCTTTAGGCATTCTTGCAGATATGAAATTCTGGGCAGATGTATCTGAGAAAGGGGGTGAAATGTTGGCACGTGCGTGCGGCTCTTTGACGCACGAGTTCTATGAATTTCTAGGAGAGGCTGAGAAATTTCTCGCAATATTTGACTTATTGAAAATGTGTCAAGGTAGTATATTGAATAAAGGGGAAACAAAGGTGAAATGCAAAGGCAGAGAATGGCTCCGCGGGTATTCCCGTGTATATCTCCGCAAGTGGCGGGGTGACTGTCTCTCAACAGCGTCCACGCTTCCGGATTTTGTTACCTCAGAATACCAATGTACAAACCTACGCCACCACGAGAAAAAAAGACCAAAATCACCCGTTCCCGAACAGGGTGCAAGGGATGCCGACAGCGCCGGGTGAAGGTGGGGTTCTCCTCCCGAGATTAAGATCTGATCACTGACCTTTGTCCAGTGTGACGAGAATAAGCCATGTGGAGCGTGTACACGCCTTGGAAGGACCTGCGAAGTGATCGGACCGAGTTTTGATTTTCGCAACGCTTTTGTTGTGCCGAATAACTCCTCAACTAGCCTTTGGCGCCCCAAACCTTTGAGGGTTGTCTACGCTAAAGACTCGCTGGCGCCGGCATCAGTCGCCCACAATACAGATAATGCTGAAAACCAACCAGATCAGACCTTTGCCAACCGCATAGATGATGATTTGGACCAAACTACAAGGCCTTCGATTTCTCACACGTCGCTGTCACCAAATCCTCTTCCTGGTCCCGTTGTTGTGAAGTCTCTCAACAGATCGGAAAACGAACATTTCTATATCACACACTGGGACAAATCCTGTCTCAGTGCTCTGGATGGATCTTTTGAGAGATTCACCACACTTGCCATTAATTATACACCGTTGAAGCATGCACTTCTGGCTCTGTCGGCCTGCAATTTAAGCCGCATTTGGCCCGAGAGCGATACATTTTCACCCGCGATGACAGGATATCGGCCTCACCGAAATCATCAAGCTGCCAGTCAGTACTATTACTCTTCTGCCGTTGGTCAGGTGGCAAGAGTCATTAATCAAGTCTCCTTGCCCTCTCCCACGAACACACTGGCTGCCTTGATTCTGTTCTGCTACTTGGAATCCACAATGGGAAACTTCACAGCCTTCCAATTTCATGCAGATGGGATCGCAAAGTTTATGCAAGTGAAATTTGCAGAAATTCCACCAGATATAGGGAATCAGCTTCTTGCTGCATGGATTCTTGCCAGGTACCAAAATTGGTGGCGTAGGATGAACTATAGCTCGTTTTCCTTCCAGCGAGCTCAGTCTTCGCTACGGCCGACCGAGGAAGTTGCAAAAAGTCTCTTTTCAGTTAGCGCTAAAAGAGCGATTGTGGTCTCAATCCTGTGCGAGTCATACCGAATCCACACAATCAGGGTCTTAAAACTTTGGGCAGACCCGAAGCAAATATCTGATCCTAAAGCCGAAAATTATATTGCGCTACTTGATTACGAATCGCAAAAGTTAGAAGACTGGCACTCGACCCTCATGGATTCTGAGCTTCCGATTGAGTGCTCCTCGCACGTTGAACCGTCCGCAAAGAACGGACTTCTACCACTCGTATTCGAATCGCACGACTCGGCAATGAACTACGCTTACTACGTTGTCTCACGTATCATGCAATGCACTGATATTTTGTACCAGCAACTCCCTCGCTCCGAGTATATACAAGAGAAGAAGGAAGAGACAATCTCCCACTGGACGCGCCTGTTAGTCCGGATCACTATTGGTCTTGACGTCACGGAATGTGCCAAGAAGAACGTTTATTCAATTGGAGTCTCTAGCCTTCTCATGGCATGTCTTCTTAGGTGCCATGACCAAGAAATAGGTCAATGGATCGAACATTGGCTCCAGAGATGGAAAGAGCTGAACGTCCTCGAAGAAGGAAGCTTTCCTATCGCACAGGTCCTGCAGGTTGCTACTCTAGTCAACAAAGAGAGATCCATTGGCAACTACATATATCACATTGGACTTCCGGAGGATGATGGGGGTGGCAGTGGGAAATACGCGTCCTACAATAGTCAGCATGTCGATACCCTTGTGGTTAAAGGCATGCGCAGTGAGCTTGGACTCCTGTATTCTGAGACTTTATCTATCGCCGTGGGTCAATAAATCAATATCGAAACTATGGATTGAGTCTGTGACTTGATCGTGGGGCCGCTCAACAAAGGTTATTGCTGTGGTGGCCTTAAGCCGCCGCCATCCATGTCGGCTTATCAGAGCGCAGCCACGGTTATTAGTCTGAGATAGCTTCTTTCCTCTCTTTCTATGAAGCGAATTATATAATGAGAATAACTTCTACATGGCTATTCAAAAGTTTAAAAATTTGACGCTTAGTGTAAACAGTACTCCCTATGCGAGTGACAGAATTTGCTTCAGGCAGCCTATGTCATGAAAGTAAGTAGCAAGCGGCTTTCTACTTCTATTCAAAGCACGGCTGGTATTGTGTTTGTTATATTTTCTTTCAATAGCCAACAGTCCCTTTTTTTCATCCAATGAATTGATATGCTGGTAATGAAGCTGTTGACTCGGAAGTCTCCATAGAACGAACACTTATTGACCAGGGTACCACGCCAAGGAAAATCCCCTCTTCTAAAGTCTATCTTTGGTAAAGCAAGATATATTCATTTATCCTCACCAAAACATGGATTCCAATCTCTTTAAAGGTCCCTCTTTCCAGGACAATATGGCGGATGAGGGGCCGGAACCGGAGAACGGGCTATCAAGTGTTTCCATATCACATCTATTGAGTCGTGAAACGTGAGTACATTTCTTGCAATACAATAGACAGAAAGATAATTTGAGTAGATATTTTGGCTCGATTTTGTTTAACATTGGTGCCTTCGCCCTTCCGGCCTTGTATAGCACGCTCAGTAAACTATGGGTCGCGAATATCGATTCGACACAAGTGGTGACGACAGATATCTATACCTACATCGGAGTGATCGTGGAGGTTCTTAACGAAGGTCTTCCCCGCTCAGCATGGCTCGTTATCGGGGACAAAACCACGCGAAACATGCGCTCTCGGTTGAACCTCGCCTACACAATGTTGCTCGTACAGACTGCTCTGGGAATCTTGATGACAATAACTTTCCTAGCCGCCTCCAAGACGTTAGCCTCGGGATTTGTTCCAGTGGAAGTGCGCCAGGCCTCCATCACCTATGTGCGACTATCGTCTGTACAGGCCGTGACATCTGCGATCGAAGCCGCCCTGTCTGCCTCGACGAGGGCGCTCGATAATCCCGACGTCCCGTTGATCATCAGTTCGGCCAAATTCCTGATCAACATCGTACTTGATCTATTGGTCATCTCAAAAGTTCATATCGGAACATGGAAGCCTACTATTATCATGCAGGCCATTATACGGCTAACGTGTGATACTGTATCTGCCCTCGCGGGGTTGATTTATTTCCTAACTGTCGTGGTGAGACGTTGCCAAAAAGACTCGACCGATTCAGGACGTTTGCGTTGGAGCCAGTCTGCTCTCTGGACACTGTTTAAACCTAGCGTGTATACATTCACCGAATCAGCTATCCGGAATGCAATCTATCTGTGGCTAGTCCATCAAATCATTCTGCTAGGATCCGACTATGCAACTTCGTGGGGAGTATTTAACACCATTCGCTGGGGACTAGTCATGGTTCCTGTTCAGGCACTAGAAGCGTCGACGCTCACTTTTGTTGGCCATAATTGGGGTATGTTCCGTGCTGAAAAAGGCACCGAATACCCGCGGGCATCTCGAAGAGAAATCTTGAGTAAGGATGAAGAAAGAAATTTATACCGAAAGCCTCATCACTCACCCACATTGCAGAGATAATCCGACCAGCCCTGCAATCTTGCTTGATTGTATTGATATTCGAGACTATCATATGTATTGCGCTCTCACTGCGTGGAATAGAGGCCTTCGCGCATTATCTATCTGGCTCAAATGTCGTGGCCAAAATTACTCAAACCATGTGGAAGGTAAGAAGGAAAATCATGAAAAGCCACAGCCGTTACCATTACTGATAATTAGCAGTCTATTGACTGGACGTACATTTTTTACGGGCTGAATTGTCAACTTGCAGCGATCCTCCTTGCGACGTCCCCGCGATGGTATCTCTACCAATCACTGGGGTCGAATTTTTTGTGGATGCTACCTTGGGCCATCGTCGTCACAGTTTTGCTTTTGCCGACAGCTTTGGCCTGGACGTTCTATGCCATTATCTTTGGTGGAGCTCTTGTGTTCGATTTTGGTTGTGTTTGTTTGATTCTCTCCCTGTGGGCGCACAGGCTCACAAGAGGAAAATTAAGAGCTTAAAGACACAGTGTGTTCAATATACTGATCGAAATGCGTCTGCTTCAATATTATAGTCAGATTTAGATCTACGTTGTAGATCTTGAAGTGTTATGTCATACTCTAGATGCAATCTTTCCTTTCCAAGGATTTCCCAGTGGGAACAGACAGTGGAGAAAGACGAGGTCCTGCCTTGCAGAGCTTGGCGCTTCCACCTCCCAACATTCGTTTGATCGCGACAGACTCACTGAATGGAATACGAAGGTGCATAGCGGCCAGGGTCGGACTGAATCATTCTGGGATCGCTTTCTACCTCTTGCTTACCTTTTATTGTCGTGTTGAATCTGGGGTCTCAGCTTTCAGTCGTTCGGCATTTGACGCGTGGTATGGGTCTATGTTCGCAACCGAAGACCCACCCTCATCCCTATTGTTAATTGGCATAGGGCGATGATCGCAGGCATGAATGGGCTCGGATTATCCGGCGATCGACGGCGTTCTGAACTCGAATTGAGATCTTCATCTTGGCTTGGCTATCGCGCTTTTGAATTATGGAGACCGAGAAGAGAAGATGGAAACTGGGAATACCATGGGGTTCCTGATTTAACAACCCACATGGAAGTCTTCCAAAGGTCGACAACATTTTCAGTGCAGCATCAACAGCCAACTTTGCTCATTGAAAAATCATGCGATGGAATTTGCTCTACGCCGGTGGGTTGTTCCTTGCGAAGATGGCCCTTGGCATTGACTATGGAACCTTTGATGAACCTGCCATCAACGCACGTATGAAGTTCCGGTATTGGTTACCCGACGCCAGTGTTGATGTTATCACCGTGCAGCATGATATCAAAGCTGCTGGTGCGTTGGGGGCAGGCACAGTGGAATTCTTGCCGCTCTACAATTACGGCGCGTCACTAGCAGGACCACCAAAAGGGGCTGATTGGGCAACATATGGGTTTGGAACCCCGGCCTTTAATGATGTGTTCAAAGCTTCTCTCAGGGCTGCCAAAGATGCAGGAATACGAATGGACTTTGCACTTGGCCCAAGCGCAGGACAAGGGGTGCCGTCAACGGTCACTGACGCAGGATTGCATTGGGATCTGGTAAGTGATATCTCAGCCGGGATGATGATCAGATGCTTATCTTCGGTACAGACACCTTTCAATATCAGCATTCCCTCCAACGGCAGCTATATCGGACAGGTTCCTGGATGGGGGGTTGGGGAGCTGGTGGCCTTAGTATCTGCCAGATCCACTTCTTCCTCTAGGATCACAAACCCAGCAAGTAGCTTGTTTTCCACGCCCGCTAACCAAGCGACTCGTATGATTCTTGACAGCGAGTCTCTTGTCGATCATACGAATGAAGTCAACCTCGACGGAACAGTGTCCTTGTTACTGGCTAACGGGTCAAACCATGATAGTCAACATCTTTTTGCCTACTACGAATATCAGGACCTGGTTAAAAACCTAGACATTGAGAGCAATGTCACAGGGACTATCTTCGATAATGGATCCTACACTGTTGACCATTATAGCCCCCGAGGTGCTGAGACTGTCAAGCATTTCTGGGAAACTCATATTCTCAATGATACAGAAATTAGATCTCTCTTGGAAGACGTTGGAACTTATGGCTGGGAAGACAGCCTTGAAATCAAATCGAATATTTCCTGGTCCCCTTCGCTTCCTGAGCGATTCGAGAAAATGCATGGCTATCGGCTCCATAAATATCTACCTCTGCTCCAGTACGGGAACAACAATCCTGGCGTGCAGCCATCTTATCCCGGGAAGCTGAAGTGTGTTGCCGATGATGATAATAGAGGAGAAGGATTTTTGAATGATTTCCGTGCCACCTTGGCTGCAGGCTACGGTGAATATCTGGATACCTTAACATCTTGGTTGCAAGGCCTCGGATTAGGTCACTCCGCTCAGGTTTCTTACAACCTGCCGATAGATATGGAAACCAACATTGATCGAGTCGATGCCCCCGAATGCGAAAGCCTTGCCTTCAACGATAATATTGACGGATATCGACAATTTTCAGGAGCCGCAAACGTCGCGCAAAAATCTGTGATTTCGAATGAGATGGGGGCTAATCTGGAAAAAGCGCTTGCTCTTCCACTGTCGGAGCTGCTGGGTCAGATCAATATCGCATTCGCTGGCGGCGTCAATCAAATTGTGCTACACGGGCAGACATTCACAGGTGACTACTTTGAGACAACCTGGCCTGGGTATCTCGGGTTTTTCCTGCTCTTTTCCGAATCATACATGGATAAACAACCTGCCTGGCGGTTGGGAATGCCAGACATGATTGGCTATATCAACCGAAATCAGTACATTCTTCACAAGGGCCAACCTCGAACGGACGTGGCCTTGTTTAACAAGGTGTCCTACACCGATCCTCAACTAAACACCCTGTATACTGATGATGATTTGATCAACGACGGCTATACCTATACCTACTTGAATCCAACGAACCTGAACCTCTCCCAGGCATACGTGTCCGATGGCATTCTCGCCCCAGAAGCACCCGCATACCAAGCTTTGGTTGTTACCGCCCATCAGAATATGACCCTGGAGGCAGTTTCAAAGATTCAAGAATTTGCGAACGCTGGTCTTCCCGTGGTGCTTAGTGGCGGACTTCCAGGATATTATCCAACCGGAAATGCATCAGATCGAGATGCCGTGAATACTGCTTTGCGGACCCTGAAGAACTCTGACAATGTTCACACAACTGGCAACAGGTCAACCGCCTCTGCACTCAAATCTCTCGGCATTCGTCCCCGGGTTGAGATAATCACACCTGATAACGCCACATGGTACCCAGTCATGCGCACTGAAAACGCTACAGACTATGTCTTTGTCTTCAACAAGGAAGCCACAGGCGGAGGATACCTCAGAGTCAGCTCTACTAAGACACCATATGCCCTTAACAGCTGGACAGGAGAGCGAATCGCACTTCTAAACTACCGAGTGCATGATGGAACTACAACCATCCCTCTTACGCTCGCCACGAATCAAACCACCGTCTTCGCATTTAGTGATGACTGGACATCGGAAGTTCCTACGCCAGCATCGCACGCAATTCATGTCCCTTCAAATGTGCTAGGATACAACTTCACCACCAAGGATCTGGTCGTTCATGTGGCTACTGGTGTACATCAAGATAGTCGAAACTTGAAGCTATCCAATGGCAAGGAACACAACATTTCGGCCAACAGGGCTGTTTCCTCCTTCGACCTGCAGAACTGGACCCTGGTAGCTGAGCACTGGGAAGCCCCGCAGAACATGTCAGATGTCACAGTGATAGCTGACAAGCATAATACGACACACCACTTGACTTCCCTAGTATCTTGGCTGGATATTCCCGGCCTCCACAATGCATCAGGTGTGGGATACTACTTTCACGAGTTCACTTGGCCGCCGATCTCCTCAAATAGCGCCGGATCCATTGACGGGGCGTATTTGTCTCTTCCACAAATATCCCACGGCTTGAAACTTTTCGTGAATGGCCGGGTAGTGCAAACATTGGACTTTGCGGATCCTTTGGTTGATATCAGTTCGTTCTTGCAGAAGGGGTCCAATCAAATTACAGCTGTTGTTCCGACCCTAATGTGGAATTACATTCGAAGTATCTATGACAAACTCGAAATCTCGGGATCAAAGCCATTGTTGACGTCTTTGCCTGGGAACGTAGATACTGGGCTGATCGGTCTCACAACGGTCATTCCCTACACTTCACATCGTATCCCAATGTGAGATTGAGTATCTGTGTGAACTTTGCCACCCCATTTCTTACGCGGCAGTGACTGCGAGCTCTACATCGCAACTCCGGGTGGTCTTTTTTCTTTGACCATTGTTCACTCCTGTTTGTATACGTGTATATAACATTTTTTTTCGACTACCTGCACAGGCGTAAGCATTCAGTGCCGTGCTTTTAAATAAGCCATGATGGAGATTACGATCTCCGCTCGTTCTGTAGTAGAACCCCGGATGAAGTTCCGGGAAATATTGATACAAATGCCCAAGTAGCCCACACACAGATCTTGGCCGTATTCTAAAAAGGATCACGAACCTTGAGATGGTCTTAACGTGTGCCAGTTGCCGCTTTATGTCATGTGCATGAGAGATTTCGATACTCACGCCTATCACAACGAGGATGCTGTCCATCACATTTAATCTGTCATACTTGAGTCGCGCTCCTCATACCAATCAAAGAGAGGCAAGTCTCACCTTCCCGTGGAAGCAATAATCGCATGCCTGGGAGGGCATTGTGGCGAATTCACTCGATTATTACCAACCACCATGCTAGCTGAGGGAAGCATTCAGTGAGCCCACTTCTATAGAAGTTGAAGCTTTGAATATTGCAAGTCTTCAGGTTCCCATGCCAAAACTACGGGATCGGGAAACAATTTCCGCGAGTGATAGCTGAGCATGGAAATAAACTGTGGATTCTTTATTATATCCGAGAATTTGGCACCACAGCACCATATTACATCGGATTTGGCTCATATCTCTATCTCAAAAACGAAAGCGAGGGTCGTTCCACCGACCAGGACGACTCCAATCAGCGGCTGAAGCCCAACATGTTTCGAAACACTGAACGGGACCATGCGTAAATCTTCAGTCGTAGACTGAATCATCGGCGTAAAGTACCAAGTTGAGGTGACGCCAAGCCATAGCATGACCCATAGTAGTCCAATAGCACGCTTCCAGGGTACCGCGATGCCAGTGGACAGCTTCGTTTTTCCCTTGCGGTTCCAAATTTCTTGTACACCATCCTCAAGCATGATTCCCAGGACGAATGCTAGATAAAATGGCATCGATCCCGAGTTTTCTATTGGAACGCTCTGCAATATGTCGACTATGACATGGAAAATTGCGGATACTAAGAAGACAATGAAAAGATTGGTGTACCGCTCCAATATCGACGACCGCGGAAGATCCAAAACATCCCGAGCAAGGTAGTTACTGACAGCAGTAAAAGGCCGCCGCATGAATTGATGCCAAAAGCTTCTATAGAGTGTGTTAATAGAGCGATGATTTCGTAACGCACTCAATTCTTACCCCCAAAAGTCACGTAATGTAACTAGATCTGTAATCCTCCCGAAGGCTGGTGGCCAGTCTGAGGGGGAGTCTTGCACAATGCCAACAAAAACTATCGACAGTATTCGATATGCGAGATCGGTAATGAGACGGTTTACCAAAAACCAGATAGACAGGTGCGTAGCGATTCTTTCTGCCCATTGCCCTGCAGGAACAATCCAGTCGATTGTGATTGGTAATGACTCAGAGATATCACGTTCAACAGCTTGCTGAAGAGATATGGTTTGCACAATATCAAGAACCAAGTACTGCCATACAGCGATTGATAGCTGTCGTATCAAGAATCGACCTCGACTTGGGATTTGCAACCCCCACCGACGGTAATACTTTGGATGAGATGGCACATTTTTCACTTGCCAGGGTGTGTTCACCGCACGAGTCTGGGAAATCAGACGAATTGCCCCCATCAAGCGACACCTGAAACTCTGGCTGTTACCTGCGCCACATGATATGTCCAAGGCGTCAAGAGGATTGATCAACAAGAAATGCGCGGCCTGTAAAACCGCAATAACAAGCTGCGTTACCGCCTGGCACCATGTTGGACTGCCAGACGAGCCGAAGGGACGTATGAAACGACTGGCAATCCATATCATCCACGGAATGCAAAGATAGCGTAAGGGAGATCTCTTGCGCGTGGTAATAAGGATGACGCCTGGGACAACAATTTGGATAAGGTAGAAGCAGGAGAACTCGATTGTATTTGCAAATATCGAGTCATGGAGCCCATACATCCCGTCCACGTCGAGCACATTGTTGGAGTTAGAAGTGTGAGAGTCTCGGGTTCTCCAGTAAGCGGATCTTTGGACGGACCCACTCCTTATCAATTTTGACCGGTTGCTTCACTGCCACCAGCGTAGTCCATGCTAACCTTGGACTTTTGATGAATAGATACTTGAACTAGGTCATCTACAAGTAAATTATTTCCTAACATTTGAATCCTCACATTCAAAAATAGAAAAGAAAAATCACTGCGCTGAAAGCGCAATTAATTACAGCGATGTTTACCAAAGTAGTGCCCACGAAGTCAATCTATGAGGGAAAGGTCTATTTGGGAAGTACATATAAAGTAGAAATTGCTGTGTCAACATGCGATATTCCAGTACCATGATTATCTAAGTATTTATGTTTAGGTCCTCCATTTCCCAATCCACCAATGCTGCAGAATTGTCTACAGTTTGCCAATGGTTTAGCCCCAATGTTTGTTTCTGCTTGGCTAGGCAGTATCTTAGTAAACTGATGGCTTCCGCATCCTGACCTGAATGTTTCCAGATAAAAGCGAGACATGCCATACTATTCAGCGTGGCGGGATGGTCCTCGCCAAGCTTCATCTTGCGGGTATCCATCACCTGCACCTGAAGCTGCTCGGCCTCCGCTCGCCGGCCTTGGAACAAGAAAGTCAATGCCAAATTGGCCATAATACTCAGCGTGAGCGGGTGGTCGTCGCCAAGCTTTGTCTTACTTTTCTCCATCACCTGAACTTGTAGCTCCTTAGCCCCCTCCCACCGGTCCTGGTCATAGTATGTCGACGCCAAATGGGATATATTGACTAGCGTGTCGGGATGGTCCTCACCGAACTTCGTCTTGCGGGTCTCCAACACCTGCACCTGGAGTTGCTCGGCCTCCTTCCACCGGCTTTGGTTCCAAAAAGTCAACGCCAGGTTGGATATACTATCCAGCGTGTCGGGATGGTTCTCGCCAAGCTTCGTCTTGCGGGTCTCCATCACCTGCACCTGGAGTTGCGCGGCCTCCTTCCACCGGCCTTGGTTCCAAAAAAGTCGACGCCAGACTGGCCATACTCATCAGCGTGTTGGGATGGTCTTCACCAAGCTTCGTCTTACTCGTGTTCATCACCTTGACCTCGAGCTGCTCGGCCTCCTGCCACCGGCCTTGTTTCCCATATGTCGATGCCAGGTTGGCCGTAATAATCAGCGTGTCGGGATGGTCTTCACCGAGCTTCGTCTTGCTCATCTTCATCACCTGCACCTGGAGTTGCTCGGCTTCCTCCCAACGGCCTTGATTCCAAAATGTGAGCGCCAGACTAGCCGTACTGATCAGCGTGTCGGGATGGTCGTCACCAAGCTTCGTCTTACTCGTCTCCACCACTTGCACTTGCAGCTCCTCGGCCTCCCCCCACCGGCCCTGTTTACAGTATGTCAACCCTAAATTGGACATATTGGCCAGCGTGTCGGGATGGTCGTCGCCGAGCTTCGTCTTGCTTATCTTCATCACCTGCACCTGGAGTTGCTCGGCTTCCTCCCAACGGCCTTGGTTCCAAGATATAGACGCTAGGCTAGCCATACTGATCAGAGTGGAGTGATGGTCGTCGCCGAACTTTATCTTACGAACCTTCATCACCTGCACCTCGAGTCTCTCGGCTTTTTCCCAGTGCCCTTCAAACGACCATGCTCTCGCTAGTATCGCAGTGCTATAGAGGGAATCTTCATGTTCTTCACCTAAGAGTCTTACTCTCTGCTTCCTTGATTTCAACGCCATGTCCTTCGTGTCCGCGAGGTTACCGCTCAGCAACGCATACCATGCACCATTATAAAGCAGCGTAGCCCACTCCCGTAGAGATTTTTGGGATTCTGGACGCTGCGACGTCGCTGCCTTAACATGAGGAAAGAGCCGTCGGCATATTTCCCAGTTCTTATATTCACCGGTCGGAAACTTGTAGTAGAGTTTATTAATAAACTTCTCTTTCCATCGCTCCGTTTGACCATAAGTCTCTAGCCATATACGTGTAGTCAGTTGCACTAGCCTGTGCATCGTGAAGAATACGCTATCTTTGCCAACAGAGATGAACGAAAAATCCCTTAGTGTTGTAATATCATCCTCGAGGTTGTCCAATACATCGGATCCAATTAACCCCTCGTCATCACTGGAGTCATTTGAAAGCTCTGACCTTGATGCATGATTGTCCTCGTGCTGAGCCCGAAGAAGTTCCTCTGGAATCCCTTGCCGGTCGAAAAAGCTCATGAGAGAAAGCAAATCCGCTGCCGACGATTTTTTTTGGCGAATATGATCGAATGATATTTGCCACGTCACCAAAATAGAGTTCTTTGCCTCCGAATCCCGGTAGATATGACCCGCCTCAGTTTTTAGGAGCTTTCCTGCTTCGCGGTCATTCTTTTTGAAGTCTCTTAGATACTGCGATACCGAACAACGAGGCGCTCGAGTCCTAATGTAGCTTGCTGCCTGTACGATCGCCAGCGGCATAAACTCGAGCTCTTCCACTAAAAGTCGACTTTCTTGGGTTTCTCGTTGTTCAAGCTTTCTTTCGAAAAGCTCTAGCGCCTCGGACCTTTCCATTGGTTTGACTTCAATAAGGTCTTTATAATCGACCATTTTCAAGGCAACTTCTCGAGTCCGACTCGTGATAATGATGAATCCATTCAAGCTTCTAGGGAGATAGCTTAATAGTGGCTTTGTAGAGGCGTTCATTAGACTGTTCTTCGCATTCCCTTGGGCTGTCGCCGAAGACTTGTGAAGGAACTCATCATCATCGACATTATCAAGGATAAGAACCCATCTTCCTCTCTTCTCATCCCGGAGCCAGTTTTCGACTAGATTGAATATATTGGCTTGCGGATCCTTACGCCCCGGAATTTTAGCCTGGTCCGCTATATCTTGAAAGCTTTGCTCGAATCGGGTTGCGTTGCTCGCATGGACCCAGAAAGCCCATATCGCCGGTGCTTGGGATCGGACCTGGTAGGAATATTCGATGGCAAGTTGGGATTTACTTTTCGTTATTAGCAACAAATCGCGTACTGATTGCTCTACACTAACCCGACACCGCCAAGGCCAACAAGCGCAATCCTTGACCCTAGAACCAAGCTTTTGTCGCGAATCTGGTCAAGCAGTGTGTCACGATTGACAAAGTCTGGATCGCGCGGGAATGGGACAGTTGTCAAAGGGCTCGGCGGAGTTTCCGGTCGCTCTAGGGTGGGAGGCAGTGGTTAGTCAGTCGATGCTGACCTTGTTCGGTTCCGTCCCTGACTTACCCGGAGGCAGATGGAAGTTTGCCGTGCCATAGTTGATTCCCACCTGGGCTCCATAGTTGACACCAGATTGGCTTGTCGACGCATAGTTGAAACTAGAGTGACTTGACGCCATGATCGTATAAACGTGCCTATCTGTAGTTCATTATAAGCTCTTGTATGGCTCTCAGCTGAAGGAGGGGCACGCCATTCAGGTGACTCGGCTCCGCGGCGCTAAGACAGGAAACCAGATTGACAGGCACCCACGTCGAGTGGGATAGGATTAGCGCCTTTCCAGGAACCGGGAACCAAACACTCAGATTAAGCGCAGCCCGCGATCACAACCCGTGGTATGATAAGCACGATTTGACAGTGCCACTTTGAGAGCCTAGTGCTGCCGGCTGTTTGAAGTATTCGAATGGACAATACGAGATCGCATTTTGTTGTTGCTATGGCGAAACTAATACGTGGGTTTCTAGTCCAGCAACCACTTTTTTGAGGTCCGCAGGTTTGAGATGGGTCCCCAAGCTCAGGGTCTAGCCAACACAACAATGATACGACAGCTATTTCTAGGCAATTTGATTATTATCGTACTCAAATACTGGTACGAATGTGGGCCAGGGGTAGGCTCACCGTGTCATAACGCATTATGCAAAATGGAGTTTAACAAAGAATTGAAGAGAGTAAAGAGGTGACACTGACTTCGAGCGCGTCTGTACTGCCCACGTTGAAGATCACAACGTGCTTAGATGACGATAATGTCCTCTCAGTCAGACCATCATTGTGGACCACGTGAAATGAGCGAATTGCATCATGGCCAGCATGCTGCAAGATGACCATGTCAGGTTAGCCCATCTCACCTCGACTCCAATGAATTTTGTAAAAAGCTTCATCCTGTTCCCACCCCCGGGTGAATACTGGCAAACGGTGTGAAATCCCACACTTTATTTTCAATTACAATTCAGCAGTCATTCGTGTCGCAGTGCTTGGAGAATTCTTGCGCCGATAGCATAGTTAGTGAAACCATGATTAGAGAGAATCATTATGGCGAACGCTGATATTAAGTGCCTGTGAGAACAAGTAAAAAAGGCTCAAAGTGACATGGCGCGGGAAGTATTTGCCGAGGTTACGAGATCAATAGAAATCGCCTTGCCTGAAGTCTTTCTCAGTATCTTCTATGATATGGGTTGATTCCAGATTTCAATACTGAATTTGGAGGTAATTGAACTTGAATATGAGAGCGAAGGTGCTATTTGGATAAACGAAAAGTGCAGCTACCCATTGTCCCTATTTTATGCAGGATGCAGGCCAATTTCACACATTGGAAAGACCGAGGTACTCTGACTGGCTATATCATCGAGTTATCTTTCAGAACCGTGGAAATATATACCCATGGCAGTTTCCTATGATTAAAGCAGTTCCAAAAGGTGTTGGTCAATGTTTTCAAGTTGATTTTTTGATCTGAGTGAAAGGATAACACGCTGACTGCGCCTTCACAAATGGTGTAACTTGGGCATTATGAACTGTCGCCTCGTACGACGTAATATCCATAGAAATGTGCACCCTTCAAGGAGGGAAAAGTCGACCATGAGTAATATCGATTTCAATACCAATGAAAATTTAGATGGAAAACATCAGGGCCAAGTGCATTAGATTAAAGACGGCAAAAGTACTTTTTTGTTAAAAAAAAACCATACCAAATACCAATACTACTGTACAGTAAACACATGCAACGACTCGGTGGCCAATCCAGGGTCTTACTTTTAAGGTAGGGGCCGCGATAGTGGATCAGAACTGACCAATCATAATGTGTTATTGGTATGTAATTTCAGTAGCTTTCGGTAGCTTTTATTTTCAGCTCGGTTGGATTTGCTTTTTATTGGCATTTTTCGCCATTTTTCGCCTCGAGTGCTTTGAACACCACACTCATCATTCGAAATGCTGTAAAGAACCGTGTCGACAATAGACATGGGCTTCAATCTGCCGAACGGGGGACTATATCTCGAGTCCGAGGTTGAAGTCTTAGTGCCCGCTGCCAACCATGATCTTCGGTATCAGATCCCTGGCGAGGATCAACCGCTTCTTGGGTCCGTGTCCAGTCGGCCAGGGACCACAAACCACGTCGAATCCTCAAAGCATGGATTAATCGTCCTATCTTGCACTGTGCTTGTAATTTTCATAAATTGTGCAGTCAATAGCCTGGTCACGCTCAATGTCACCGAAATTTCATTAGCCTTTGATCTGGACCCTGGAATTGAACTATGGTAAGAAAGTCTATATGGCGCAAGACGTTTCCCTTGTTGTTATTATTATGGAATCTGTCAGGCTAACGAAGTGACCAGGCCAATGTCAATGCACTATCTGGCCCAAGGCTGCACATTCCTTCTGGCGGGCTCCTTGGTGGATGTCCTAGGCAGCAGAAGGGTATTTGTATCCGGATGCGTTCTGCAGATTATTTGCTACCTAGCTTGTGGGTTTACCCAGAGCGGAATGCAACTAATCGCTTTCAGAATCTTGTCGGGCGTCGCCTATCCAATGTGTTTTGTTTCAGCAATGAACATTCACGGGGAGATACTCCTAGCAGGACACCTATCCGACTTGGCTCTCTACTGTACGAGAGGAGGCCAATATCTTGGTTCTGTGGCAGGTATGATTCTGAGCGGGGTTTTCTCAGTGAACATTGGCTGGCGATGGGGGTTCCAGTGTGCCGCAGTTCTGAGTATGTTGATACTACTCTTGTCAATTTGGGTGATTCCCAAACTACCCGATACCAAGCGTATCTCGTGGGCAGCATTGACAGAAGATATTGATTGGGCTGGAACCCTTCTTGCCACTTCATTGATGGCATTTCTATTCTATGCGTTGGCGTACGTATCTCTTCGCTCCACTTGACAGCGTGAAACTTGCAGGGTGCTGACTCAATTCAACAGGGCCATTACAAACAATGTAGCTCACTTGAGCAAATCGGGATTGTTCATTCCTCTTGCTCTTGGATGGGTTCTCTTAGTCGCATTTTTATTCTGGCAGGACTGCTGGGAGAGAGACAACTTGCTAGGCGTCCAAAATTCTCTTTGGACAAATAGCCATTTTCTTGCAATCGGCTTGGTTGTATTCTTCGTCTACGCCTCTTCACATTCCACAACACAACTTAGTGTTCTTGTCTTCCAGCGCGCACAAGGTCTCTCGGTCTTTGAGTCATCATGGCGACTTCTGCCAATCCCGCTAATAGGTGCACTCAGCACTACGTTTGTCGAGAGGCTGTTGTGCCGTCTCCAGGCAAATAAAATTCTCATCGTCACAATCATGATTTCGAGTCTTGCGCCACTATTGATGGCTATCTTGGACCCTGATTGGCCCTATTGGGAATGCGCAATTTTCGCCGTTTCATTTAACTCTGTTGCCTCAAGCTCGGTTATTCCAATTGCTTCAGTCATAATATCTGAAAGCTTCTCTTTCGAGACGCAAAGACTTGCAGTGGGAGTACTTTGCACAGTTGCTATGTTTGGGGCTTCGGTAGGTATGGCACTGGCTGCGCTAATCTCAAACGACGTTATGGTAAGCAAGAGCACTTCTTTGCTTGAATCCTCAGGGATATGGATGAGCGGCTATCGAGCTGCATTTTGCTTCCTTCTTGCACTAAATTTAGTTGGGTTGGTGATTACACTTGGCTTTTTGCGACAAATAGGATACCTGAGGCGTGCATTGAATATAGGCCATTAGGTAGTTACATGTCGCTCAATCTATCGTTTTAATTTCGAGTTGAAATTGAGAGTTCACTTATTTACAGGCCAGTCTGGCCACTCTTCGACTCCTATGTGCATAATGTTGATGGAAAGTAATAAACAAACAGACTCGGTTCTAGGCCCCTTTCTAGAGTTAGACAGAGAGTGAAGCACTGCCCTCATGAAGGGATTGAACACCTCGTACTATGATGGTCCTTGATTGTTCAATCCTTGTGTTTCTGAGTAACCATACATCGGCTAGTATTTGTAGAATGCGACAACGAAATCTCTCTACGGAGAATATCTGGTTCAACTGGTTTGGATTAATAACGAAGACAGTTTCGATCTTTGGATTTGGGCTCATGGATAAATTTGTATGAGCAAAGCACCATGTCACCCCCAACACAGACTATCCTGTTCCTCACCAGCCCCGAACACGGTCAATCAAACGTGGCACTCGCAGTGGCCAGTGAGTTCCTGCACCGCGGCGAGTTCGAGGTCCATATCGCCTCTTTCAGTGGTTTATCGGCTCGCATACAGGAAATCAACAGTCAAACCGACCATGACCGAGCCATCCGCTTCCATACAATTGAAGGCCTAAGCATATCTGAAGTAACGGCACGGAAGACAACCAATATAGCCCATGTAGCGGGTATTGCAGGAACGCTTGACGGATGCAACAAAATCAACTGCTCCGTACTAGGGTGGAAGCCCGAGGAGTACCTGCGATCATATAGAAGCTGTCTCGAGATTTTGAAAGAAGTTCGCCCGGTTATTGTGGTTGCTGATCCACTACTGCATCTTGGCCTAGATGCAGCTCGCAGTCTTCATATGCGGATTGTAATTCTTTGGCCTGTTCCTTTGAAAGACGTTGTGATAACCGTTCAGCCCAAAGCGGGACTATTTTGGAAATATCCTCTGTGAGTATATATCTTTCCAGCGAACTTCAAGCATGATTCTGACATGTGTTCCGAAGCACTGGCTCAGGATATCCTTTCCCTCTTCCGTGGACTCTGATCCTTGCGAACATATACATGGTCCTGTGTTTCGCGCTCATTGTTCGATTTGGAAAGCCAATGCGCGACATCCTCAAAATGCGAAAAAAAGCAGGCATCCGGACAGATTTCCCCCACATATCGCCATACTGCAAAGACAACCTGCACCTTTCGCCGTCGTTCCCGGAGATGGACTTCCCACTATATGTACCCGACAACGTGATCAGCTGCGGGCCAATCCTTCGGCCATCTTCACCACTTGCATCTAGCGAGCCGAGATTGAACGCATGGCTGAAACAGCCAACGATTTTGATTTGTCTTGGATCTCACGTTCAAGCCCCAGAAGATGACGCGTTGCAAATGACGAGGGCCATTCAAAATGTCTTACAAGACTGTCCTAACATACGGGTTTTGTGGAAGCTCAAGTATGACTGGGAAACCTCGTCAAGAGTCAAAAACCTGCTTGGTCCTCTTGTGACCTCAGACAAAGTAAAGGTTGTCTCGTGGATCCAGCCAGAGATAATATCAATATTGGAAAGCGGACATGTCGTTGCGTACGTTCATCACGGAGGAGCGAATTCGTTCTTCGAAGCTTGCAAGTAAGTGCTCAGTCAGGCTTTAAGAACAGCCCAGAACAGTGCTTATTCGTTTTCTCAGGGGGGGAATCCCACAGGTCATCCTCCCACAATGGTTTGATACATATGATTGCCCCTCGCGAGTAGAGTGGCTGGGCATTGGTCTGCACGGGAGTCGTGGCGTAGCGCCAAAGATAGCTGCACCACAATTATCTTCGGCGCTGCTGCAGGTTATCAAGGATAGAGAGATTCAATCACGGGCCAGGGCAATCGGAGAGGTCTGCAAGAGGACAGAGGGTAGAGTTTTTGCTCATGATAAGATCGTGGAGTATACGCAGAAAGATTTTTGATGTTCGTTGCTGAATTGGGGCATTAGATCACTGCTCTCTCCTTGTGATCGCTATTACCTGTGTTGTGGTCCGACAGGAGGTCGCAATACAATTCAAATGAGTGTTTGGTAGTCATCAAAGAAGTCGTATTAATCATGTATGTAAGAAAACGAGATATTTCAATCCCAAGCGTCCATGCTGCTCCAGTTATTGTGTCTGAACACTCGACAACTCGCTCAGAACTCGTCGGACACTCTGCCGGGCAAGTCTCAACTCTTCATCGACCGTACCATTGGCATGCCGCGCCTTCACCTCGTAGTGTAGCTCGACTAACTCCTTTGCGCGACGAAGATCATCCCTGTCTTGGGTCTGGCTCTTATCTGCCGACGCACTGCCAGGCTCGGTGGATTCTCGGTCTGAAAGATTCTTGTGCACGTTGACCAGTGCAAGAGCTTCGCTGTGACCCTGTATTATATTGTTAGGCCTGTTACATGGTTTGGGGCTGTCTTCCTCAACACGCGTCTTATCGCGTTTGTCGTGACGTGGGAACCCCTCATCCTCAAAAGTGGGCGAATAGCAAGACGACTTACACAGACACGAAGGGAGGTGATATCCGATAATATTTCTGCCACTTGCATGTTGGTTGATCTGGTTTCTGTCAGATTTGTGTTGGGGGAACAATTAAACTACGATGTCAGAGGGAGATATCAAAGTCTTGGCAAATGTATGAGTTGGCGACAATACAGTTCAGTGTTTTGTTCTATCTCACTCTTTTCTTCCGTTTTGTTTTCATTTTTTTTTTTCAGCGAATATATTGATGGAATAGGTTTATCTGATAAATGTACTTAAATAGTCTAGTTTTGGCGCCTGTCATCCTTCGAGCTAATGTACTTTGTGTGCTCGCTAGATGTCACCTTCTCAAGTCAATCGATGCCGAAGCTCCATTCACTTCAGGCACAGCAACAAAAGTGAGCACCTTAGCTAGCACAAACAGTCCATAGGCGTGCATATCAGCCATCATATTCGGGAAGCCGCGGGTGATGGCAAAATTGAGCAGTTTCTGGTACACAAAAGCAATTGCCACGACAATGCCTCGAACCGGGGTAGGACAGATCTCCAACACCGTCAAAGAGAACACTGGTGCCCAGCCAAATCCATATCTAACAGCGAAGAAGCAGATCGCAACTATCGCAACCCAGGCGGCTGCCGAGGGTTCACCCGATCCAGACAAATCAGCAACCCCGAGATAAACTCCAAGGTAGCATAGGCAAAGAACATTGATTGTGGAGCCTGCCAACTCGCAGCACGTTCTATGGGGAAGTGGTTGGTAAGTTCGATTATATCAGTGTCCGCCCATAGATCTACCATTGATTTGGACTGAGATGAACGAAGCTGACTCTGGAAACATTCAGGTCACACACACATCATTGAGGAAGGTCCATACAAGGAAAGAGGCGTTTAAGGAGCCGCCGTGTCTTGAGGTTGATGATCTAGCTTGGTTGAAGAGTTTGCGGACGTCATTGACCGATGGGGAATACCATTTTTTGATGGTACTGGCCGCGACGCCTGTACGATTGGTGATGTCAGACCGTTTTGATTTTGGAGTCTTGCCTTTCGGGCTCATAAACGCTGTTGTATATCAATACCCTGCCTGGTATTGCTATCTCTGCATAAGAAGCGAAGCCCAAGCATTCCCCTTGGTAGGCCGACAGCCCAGTTGTTGCAATGAATTTGGTGTTGGTAGAAAACATCTGCTTTGATACCATAATGGTCATATAAACATATACAAGTCTAAAGCCTTTTGTCAAAATATATACGCAGAGCCAGCCCAAAGATCTATTTAAGTCTCCTTGAACTCATACCGGCCTTCCCGATCCTGCACCTCAACCTCAATTCTACCCTCCTCGATTTCCTTGCCGTTGACCTCAATAGTGGCACGCATAATATCGCCGGCTTTAACCTGACCAACACCCTTCGGCGTACCAGTAAGGACAATGTCACCCTTCTCCAGGGTCATGACGCGGGAGATCTGAGCCAGCTGCTGGGGAATGCGGTATAGCATGAGGCTGGTGGAGTCAGCCTGGCGCTCAGTCTGGCCGACACGCAGGCGCAGGAATGCGTCGTGCGGGTTGGGGATGCGCGACTTGGCGATCTCTTGCGAAATAGGCAGGAAGGTGTCGAAGCCCTTGGCAATGGACCAAGGAAGACCCTTTTTCTTTGCCTCTTCTTGCACGTTGCGGGCCGTCATATCAATGGCGAGGACATAGCCTGTTTACCGCAATGGGATTCTGGTTAGCATTTGCTGATCCAAGCTCATATATTTCTGGCATTCAGGTCCAAAATCCAGCACTACTCACTATGGATAGCGTCCAGCGCACTCTTCTCGTCATTGGGATCCAAATCGCGCACTGTCTTGCCCATCACCAGGCCCAATTCGACTTCATAGTGCAGGCTAACGCCCTTGGGGCGCAGGACGGGTCCAGAGCCTGGAGCGAGGATAGAGGAGGCGGGCTTGAGGAAGAAGAACGGTTGCTTGGGGGCTGTATTGTTCAGCTCGGTGATGTGATCGCTAAATTAAACCATGTGGTCAGTAATTGTGGCCGAAAAAGAGAAACAACATCCATCGCCGCTCTCGGAACACTTCGAGCGCGGGGAGACAAGGGGACTTACGCATAGTTGCGGCCGATGCACATGACCTTACGGCAATTGGCGCGGATGGATGCCATTTTGAGGACTGAATGTATGCGATTGACCGTGAAAGGGAATTGAGGAAGAAGAAGTGGAATTGGGAGGGTAATCGGGGTCCGGGAGCTCTCCGATTATGCGGAGAACTAGTCATCGCGGGTCTCTGCGCCGACCGCTTGTATATTTATCCACTGCTTTTGGTATGCGTAGAGCTTTGACAACATAAATACAACAAAAAGTGTTGGAAATATCGTAATATTTATAGACACTGGTCACTGTGAGACTCAATTTGAAGCTCTGTGAATCATTTGCTATCTAGGTACATAAGTACGAAGATTCTATACAATATACCTTGGTGAGATCCGAACTGACTAAACGAACCCATCTTGTCAGCATAAAATAGAAGAAAAATAACAAGCCACAGTCTCAGTTTCGGGAAAATCGCACTCATTTAACAGCCTTCGATTAGCATTGACAGTTTTTCAAGCAACTGGGCTTCCCATCGTCTCGGCTCAGTTGGCCGAGCATCGGAAAGCCACCCGAACCCAATGTCTACATCGTAACTCCATAGAGTGAAATCAATCAAGAAATAGTCGATATTGACCTCAGAGACAAGAACATTCCTACCTTTTTTTCTACTTGGAACAAGAAGCTAGAGAAATGGCCCAGGTGGGACGTCAAAGCACACTCATTATGGCTAGTATACCAACAATATATACATACTTCTTAGACGGATCACGATTCTAACAAGATTTGATTTCAATACCATGTACCTCGCTGTATGCATTGAACTTTGCCTCCAAACATTTCCCCGCAAATAGCACACAATCCCCAATGTCACTTCTTCAAGGAGTGTTGGCTTCGGCGATATTCTCCTCAGCTAAGGGCAGCTTCGCCATATAGATCATCAAGTGAACGAGAATCCGCAAACTATTCCATGAAAACCGAGGACCGCAAAATTTTCGAGTCAAGTGGCGACGGTCTACATCGCTGTCGCACCCGTGGATAAGGGATTCAATGCAGAAGCGGCCGTTGCCAGAGATATCAAGGTTCAGCCGGGAGAACCATCTCTCTTGTTTGTCATGGAACTGGACCGCTAAAGAGAAATAGTCACAGGGAGAGCGACCTGCTTGGCACATGCTCAAGATATTGATGACCTTAAGAAGCGAGAGCCTCAGCCTTTCGATGTTGGTGCTAGTGTAGGTCATGGTCACTATGTCAGGGCGTTGACTGGCCACACGAAGGATTCATTTCAGCTGCATGACATCATGTTCGAGTCGTTCGGAGTTTCGTGTCAAGGTGCCAATGATGGAGCCCCGCTGATGAGGATTGATAGGAGACATCATTCTGTTGATTTTAGTGGTTTTGTTGGTTTGAGGCATGGTGGATGGATTGATAAATGCTTGGCAGAATGGGCCCGATATTGGGAAAGCAACGTGAAAGTGAAGCACAAGGAACCGGGTTGTAGAAGCAAAGGAGCGCACCCATGGACGTACTACATGCTTGGATGCCATGACAAATATGTCTCCCATACGGAATATATTTGAAGTTATATCCTAGATCAGACAGAAAGTGAATGTATTACAATAAAGAAGACTCCCAGTTAGGAAAATACTAAGTTTAAAATCATCCAAGGACAACGTCCTGAGGAACAAGTCACATTTTGGCCCAGTCTATTGATTAAGTACGAGATAAGAGCAGCATCCTTAACCAAGAAGAGCGAGCTAGATACAGACAAGAGAGCAAACAGGAGGAAAATGCATAAGAAATAAGAGAAAACGGAGTGGGAAGAGATAAACGCAAAGACATTTCTTCTCCGTAATTGCAAGACATAGAAACCATAGCAACTGCCAGGGAACATGATAAGGGCGTCGACTCGTCGAATCAACGACTCCTCAACTCAACGTGCGTAGCACAACCCCGACCATCTTCCCATTTAAGCTGCAGGCGGAAACGCAGAAAGCCACTTTTTATAGCAAATTCTGCCATCGTAACCGCATCAAGACGTCAAAGGGTTAAGGATTTTAGATGAGGTCAGCAACGTTCATGGGCATCTCCTCGACCTGGGTGGAGTAGAACTGCTCGATCTCGCGGAGCATGCGAACATCGTCAGCGGTGACGAAGTTGATGGCAACACCCTTACGACCGAAACGACCACCACGACCGATACGGTGAATGTAGTTCTCGCGGTTGGCGGGGAGATCGTAGTTGATAACCAGGGAGACCTGCTGGACATCGATACCACGGGCAAGCAGATCGGTGGCGATCAGGACACGGGAAGAACCGGAACGGAACTCCTTCATGATAACATCACGCTGGCCCTGCTCCATGTCACCGTGCATAGCGGAGACAGTGAAGTCACGAGCAGTGAGCTTGTCGGTGAGCCAGTCGACCTTTCGGCGAGTGTTGCAGAAGATAACGGCCTGGGTGATGGTGACGGTCTCGTAGAGATCGGACAGGGTGTCGAGCTTCCACTCTTCCTTCTCAACAGCGATGTAGAACTGCTTAATACCCTCAAGGGTAAGTTCCTGCTTCTTGACAAGGATACGGACGGGGTCGCGCATGAACTTGGTGGTGACCTCGAGGACATCCTGGGGCATGGTGGCGGAGAGCAGGGTGACCTGGGTAGACTGGGGGAGGAGCTGGAAGATGTCGTAGATCTGCTCGGTGAAACCACGGGACAGCATCTCATCGGCCTCGTCGAGGATGAAGAGCTTCATGGCGGTGGTAGAAAGGACACGGCGCTGGATCATGTCGTGGACACGGCCGGGGGTACCGACAACGATCTGAGGACCGGCACGGAGAGCGGTCATGTCCTCACGGACGTTGGTACCACCGATACAGGCGTGGCAGTCGAGGGACATGAAGTCACCGATGGCGACAACGACCTTCTGGATCTGCTGGGCCAACTCACGGGTGGGAGCGAGGATGAGAGCCTGGCAAGCCTTGACCTCGGGGTCGATCTTCTGCAGAGCAGAGATGGAGAAGGTAGCGGTCTTACCGGTACCGGACTGAGCCTGGGCGATAACATCGTTACCTGACCATAGAGCGTTAGGCGCAAATTTTTCAAATTGATTTGAAAACGGAGCAAAACTCACCCTTGATGATGGGCATGATAGCACGCTGCTGGATGGCGGAGGGACGCTCGAAACCGTAAGCGTAGACACCTGGGTATCACATCGTCAGTTTTTTTTTTTTTCTCCCACTTTTCCCACGAACCCCGCCTGATAAGGCGAAAGGAGGGTCACATACCGCGAAGCAGCTCGGGCTTCAAGTCCATGGAGTCGAAGGAGTCAGTGACCTCATCGTAGTTGGACTCGATCTGTCCTGTTGGGAGTGAAAAAAGTTAAGTTAGCCGCTGATGTCTTTCATCTGCCAACGCCACCATGACCAACACCACATGCGATGACGGTCGCGAGGTCATCCAGTGAGGATATTGGCGGAGGACGCGATCAAAAGTCGATGGGAGTGTAGCACATACCCTCAGGAAGATCCTCAAGGCCTTTGTCACCCATGTTGGCGGTTTGGTAGAGGAGATCACAGGCGTCGCTGCGATCGAGGTGGGGTTGAGAGGTTTAGCGAACTAAGGAGAGTTCGCTGAGTTGGAAAAATAGACTTCTAGCACCACAAGACTCTTTATAAAGAGTCTTTTTACTGGATACTAGGGAATGTGAAAAATATGGTTGTATGTGAAATTCACAAATGAGGTGGGAGAAGGAAGAGAGGGAAAGGAAAAAATCGAATTGGCCACACTGCGGCGCCATTTGCTACAGCTTTTTTTTTTACGGGGCATTATCTCACCGCCTTCTGCATTGGGGGTGGCCCAGCCCAAGCGAGTTTAGATGTGGGCAATCAACATCTAAACACTTCCTTCAAGGACTTGGATTAATTATTCCGGACGGTTGAAGTGGTGCATTATATTGCTCACTCGAATTATACGAGTTCTATCAGTTCAATCTCCCCCTTTTCCCATTAATTTGGTGAAATATTGTTCGGTTTAGGCTGATCAATCCACCGAAATTCTTTTGAAGCCCTAAAACTGCCCGGATCATGCCTGATATAACATCGTTACCCAGTCATCCTCAACATGACTCAGAGGTGACAAAAGAGGCAATTCCTTCTCATCCACTAGGTGTCAAACCTAGTGGGAATGCTTTGCTGGCGACTTGGAGTCTTCGCGATGCCACAGGGACTTTTCAGCATTTACCAGATGAACTAATCCTGATACTACTGGAATACCTTGATGGACCTAGCCTGTTGAGTTTCGGGCGAACATGCAAGGCTTTTTATGCGTTTACTCGGGCAGAGGAATTGTGGAAGGCACTGTTCGTTCGGTAAGCTGCAACCCATTTAAACATATGTAGTTTCCAAGGTTCCCTGGTCATATATTATAATATAACACCGATTGAATCAACGCAAACAGGCCTTTACTAACTTGCGCTGCAGCGATCCAAGAGAAGACTTCACTTGGAGAGGAACATGGCGGTCGACATACCTCAACATCCCCGCAACTAAAGTGCCAGTCGTGGACTGCTCCCAGCTGTTCTCTGATTCTCTGTATCGACCTTTTAACTGTGCGCACATCTCATTGGACCCGTATGTCTCCAAGATCCCGGCGCGGAATCAGATTGCACGTTTCACAGACCTCACACCGGAGGAATTCCAAGCCAACTGGACCGACAAACCATTCATCTTGACCGAGCCCGTCAAGGCATGGCCGGCATACAAGAACTGGTCCTTCGGATCATTGATCGCACGATATGGGACAACAAAATTCCGAGCCGAGGCTGTGGATTGGGCGATGCGCACCTACGGTGACTACATGGCAGACAATTCCGACGAGAGTCCGCTTTACTTGTTTGACCGATCCTTTGTTTCGAAGATGGGGCTATCAGTTGGATCCCCCGACACCACACCAGATGCATCATACTGGCCGCCATCTTGCTTCGCCGAAGACTTCTTTTCGGTGCTTGGTGACGACCGCCCAGATCACCAGTGGCTGATCATCGGACCTGAGAGGTCTGGGAGCAAATTCCACAAAGATCCGAATGCTACAAGCGCCTGGAACGCTGTGTTGCGGGGCCCAAAGTACTGGATCATGTTCCCCTCCAGCACGAAACAGCCGCCTCCCCCAGGTGTCTTTGTGTCGGATGACCAGAGTGAGGTGACTTCGCCGCTCAGCATCGCCGAATGGTTATTGGGATTCCATGCCGAAGCACGCAGGACTGTCGGCTGCGTGGAGGGAATCTGTGGCGAGGGTGAGATTCTGCATGTTCCGTCTGGTTGGTGGCATTTGGTAGTGAACTTTGAGCCTTCGATCGCCATCACACAGAACTTTATTCCGCGGGGCCACTTGAGTGCTGCATTAGACTTCTTGTCTAATAAGCCTGACCAGGTATCTGGATTCAGGAAGAATGTCGCTGACCCGCTTGAGCGTTTCTTGGCCGGCATGCGCGAGTCATATCCCGACATGTTGGAACAGGCCTGGGAAGAGTTGCAGAAGAAGGGCGAAGGCAAGAAGCGCAAATGGGAGGATATTGTCCATGGAAAAACCGAGGATACCACCAATGGACAGGAAACCGCAGGTGGCTTCAGCTTTGGATTTGGAGATGACGGGAGTGACGTTGAGGTCCCGTGAGCTCTTACTGCAAATTGGAGAGACTGATGAAACCAAATCATTATGAGGCTATTGAGTCTATATTTCGGCGCTGTTCTCCACCAAAGCAATTAAGACCGACGACTTGAATCTGACCGAATCCCCAATCCTTGCACTCCACGCCCGCGCGCCTGGAAACCAATCAAAACCAATCAATACCCAGAGATGTATTATTCAGTGGCACGCAATCGTTTTGCTAGCTGAGGTTCCCTCGGAGAAAGCCAGGTATCCAACAAACGCACCCACTGCAACTGCAATCATGACCGGGCCATTATAAGTCATGAAAAGAAGCCTAAAACAAAAAGTCAATAACCTTGGGTGCTTCAATGAGGTTGAAGAGAACCACGCACATGATGAAGAAGCTATAAAAGACCTGTATGGCATAAAATGCCGCCATGGTCACCTTTCCCTTGCGCGCCAGCGCTGCTCTGTTATCCCTTCCTACAAGCAGTGGTGAGCTTTCGTTGTGAGTGTGATGGATAGCGTCCGCCAGGCCGGTGGCAATGATAGGGTTGGCGATCTCATTGTCTGCAGAGAGGCAAGACATCAATGAGAAGCTTGCTCAACCAGAGTATACCACTCTCCCATCACGTCCCCGATATCAAGTGGCGAACATCCCAGGTAGAACTGAGAATGTACCATTTTTGATGCGTACCCAAACCCACGGAAAAGAGTAGCACTTACCACCTGTATTGGCCGCAGAGCCCACGAAGGCACTCAGCCGCTGCGCATGTGCAGTTTCGTACTTCCGAGTCATTGATCGTATACCCTCGTAGCCCGCAGTAAGAATGACAATAGCCACAAGGGAGAAGAAGAAGGAGACAGGGCCGGTGATACGCCAGCTGCGGAAGATGATGCACAGGTTCTCAGAGGACCAGTTGAAAAGCATCTGTTGGTTCAAAGCTTGAATATTAGCGTGATTTGTACTACGATGGATCCGAGATGTAGAACTATATCCTCACGTTCATACTGCATTGCCCTCCCATATCCATATCACCATGGTCCATCCCGCCATGGCCCATATCACCGTGGCCCATAGCCATATGCATCGAGTGGTCCATCTTGAACAATAGGTAACAAATCAGCAACAAAGAGCACAGCAGGAAACGATATTGCCTCGATCGAACTTCAAGTGCAATATAATCGCAAAAGTGCAAGATGATACGCGGAACAACAAACAACATCGCTGACGACAAGAGGGGAATGCAAACATTCCAAACATCGATATCCCGGCTGGAACTCCCCCGATTTCCCAAACGCGGTCATTAATTGCCAAGTGCCGAGCTTCCACGCCACTTACAATTCGTCAATTCTGCACATGCGACCGGCCTACACGGCGTGAGATATTTGCCTCACTGCGATCTCATATCGTCCAATGGCCGACACCGCACCGGCTCAAGCCGCACCCGCGACCGGAGCTGCGCCCGCACCCAGCGCAACAGCAGGGGCCTCGAATGCGCCTGCTGATCAAAATGCCGCGAGTCGCGGGCTACCATATTACGAGAAACTGCGACGCGAGCTGAGAGACACACTACAGAAAAAACGCTTAATGGACAAGAGCATGGTGAGTGGGCAATGTCACGTTCTTGCAATGGATAGGACGTGATTTCTTCGCTGCATTTGATTCATTTCTGTGCGCGAAGATCAGATGATGATTCGCTGCGATGCATAATTGGAATGCGCTGCTAACATGCCTCTGCAGTCCCAACTTGAAGATCAAATCTTCCGCTTTGAACAATCATACCTGGAAGAAACCACGGCCGGAAACATCATCAAGGGCTTCGACAACTACATCAAAGGCTCAGCAAGCGGGTCGAGCCTCGGAGCCTCCGGGCTGGGACTGGGCGGCGGCGTCGCAGGGTCAAGGCGAAAGGCGGCAGTCACGGAATCGGATCGAGTTTTCTCGCGGAGCTCAGCGAGCTACATGATGGTATGTTCAAAGACAAGAAGATCACGAAACGCGCTCACGTGTGTGACGCATATCTTAAACTAACGCTAACAATAATTTCTGTATTGCAGGACTCTCCTGGTCCCTCATCCGCACAAACGACACCATCACATGCAGCCACGCCGATATCCACGCCTGGTGGAAATATGTCGATGAAGGGTGCGATCGATCCGATGTCTGCATCTATTTCTGGCAATGGAATGAGGAGTTCGAACGGGTCGTCCAAGAACAAGAAGAAAGCAGGCGGCGGGTCGAAGAATACGAAGGGCAAGAACACAGAAGAGCTTTCTGATGAAGACAAACCTTCTGTGAAGCGGTTGAAGATTAGTTACGGAAGAGATTGAGTGGCTGATAACCGTGTTGTTCTGCATCTGCTTTACTCTTGTCGAGTCTGGAGTTGGTTGGTTTGCTTTTCTATATGGCTTCTAGGAGGAGTCATGGGCGTTGAGGGAAATATGGAGTGGGATCCATCTGAGCTTCTCCCACTGATGCGATATCATGTACATCACGAATTTATACAGACTGCAGCAGTTGTCGCATGCCACCTTTCTTTTCATTGTTTTGTGTGAATGCGTGCTAGTTACAGAGTTCTATAGCGATTACTTGGACCTTGGCCGATTTCAAGTGGCCGTGTGCAAAGGGTCAGCTATAGTAATGAAAACAATCATCATTGAAAATATGTGCTGTCCACAATCAGAGTTGTAGTCGGAACGTCGCGACCTCAAAAGCCCTCAATTCAATCTTGATAGTCGAGCCACCATCAACAGACTCGATATCTAGACCAGAATGTTCATCATCCTCAAGGATATTACACTTGAAAGCGCTCTTGACTGGTAGTGAAGTCTCAATAGAGCCACGAGCCTTGCCGCCCAGCGACTCATAAACGCGAATGATAACACTCTTGCCAGGACGAGTAGAAACCCCATCATAAGAAACGTCATGATCATCCTCGCCGCGCTTAATAACATCCAGAATCAAAGATGGAGCACCCTTAATGGACAATGTCTTGAATATAGCATTGGCTGCCAATGCCTTGGGGCCGGCTTTTTCAGCAACAAGCGGATTATTGAAGTTAAAGCCAGCGCGGACTGTCCGGTCATCGAGAGCGCCGGCATGAGGGAGGATCGCGTAGCGAATGTTGTGGCGCCCCATATCCGCGTGGGCGTCTGGGGCCTTGGGCGCACGGAGAAGCGAAAGGCGCATCAGATTACCGCATGTCGCGAAGCCGTACTTGGAGTCATTGAGGATGGAAACTCCGTATCCGTTCTCGGAGAGATCTGCCCATTTGTGGCAGCAGACTTCAAACTTGGCCATGTCCCAGCTATTGAATTTTTAGTATGTACCATATCTGGCCTGGGTGATTTAATTACCTTGTGTTGTAATGGGTTGGGCGCTTGATGAGGCCATACTGAGTTTCATAGGATGCTTCAGTGTTGACGATATCGACAGGGAATTCAACCTTGAGGAACTTCATCGTCTCCTGCCATTCAACCTCGCTCTCTAGTTCCACATAAGATGGCTCATCAGAGGTAGATGCCGATAGGCTGATTGTTGTTTTGACCCAACTCTTGTCGCTGATCTTTGTCTCGGTCATGACACTTACTCGGTGAGGGTCATTCTCCACGATGGTTGTCTTTCCGCTAGGCAATTCTTTTCGCGATTCGAGGTGGAATACTTCGACGTCCCATGCTTGCCAGTACAGGGGCTTGTCGTCGAAGATGACCAACTGTCCAGCCTTGCGATCTTTCGCGACGACTTCTCTATCGGCAGCCACATCGTAAAGAGAGGTTATGACGCCATCCTCGACCTCAACCCTGAGCTTACCATTGTCCAAGCGGAAGACACCAGACTTCACCTCAGACACAGTAGCTGCACTGGTGGTTTTGAAGTCAGCTTGCCGACATTGCATGACTCCAGTTGATCCGTCAGCTACAGCATATTTAGATGCGTTCGAGGAGAGCGCGAAAGGAATCCGGACGATCTCAGACCGAGGCCATGGCAACGTATTTAGCGCAATCAAATCCCCACTAGTAGCATGGCCTGTGATTCCCAAAGCTTCCAGGGCATCCTGTCGCAGCTTGGTACCAATGTTGAAGATCTCGGCATACAATTTGTCTGAGTCGTCATAGCACATCTCGATAGAGCTTCCTGGCAAGCAATCATGGAACTGGCAAAGTAGAGTTCCTTCCCACATTTGATCAATCTCCTTTTTGGGATACTGATATCCACCTTTAGCGGCATGGACAGTAGCAAATGTGGCGAGAAGCTCGATCTCACGTAGAAGGAATTCGGACTTGCGGTTATTGCGCTTGTTGTTGGCCTGGGTCGTGTATGTGCCCCGGTGCAATTCGAAGTAGAGCTCGCCATACCAAGTAGCAAACTCTGTGCCAGAGGCGGCCTTGGACTCTAGCTTTGCGAAGAAGTCATCAACTGACTCGCCCATCGTCACTCGCGGAAGTGAGCCGACCTGATCGCTAAGGCCACGGCAGCGACGGAGCTTCTCAAGATGTCCGAAAGTCGGGCCTCCACCTCCATCGCCCTTTCCGAAAACAAGTAGAGACGACTTTTCCGTGTCGAGAGACTTGTGCTGGGTGACACTGCGCTTGACATCCCCGAAATGCGCCTCGGCCGTGTAGGTCTCCGAAGGAGCCATGTGGCACATCACTTGACTGCCATCAAGTGCAACCCACTGGAAAGTCGTGTGCGGGAAGTTGTTGATGTTGTTCCAGCTGAGCTTCTGAGTGAAAAAACGCGGCATGCCAGCCAGGCGGGATATCTGAGGGATCTGGGTAGAATATCCGAATGTGTCTGGCAACCAAAAGGTTGTGCTTCGTTTACCGAAGTTGGCCTCGAAAAATCGCTGTCCGTACAAGAATTGTCTGACGAGTGACTCGCCACTGGGCATGTTTGTATCATGCTCGACCCAGCTTCCGCCAATAGGCTGGAAATTGCCTTTCTTAACCCAGCGCTTGACGCGATCAAACACAGACGGGTAGTACTGCTTGAGCCATTTAAATTGCTGAGCTTGGGAGCAAGCAAAACGGTGCTCGGGGTAGCGTTCCATCAGATCACATTGATTTGACCATGAGCGTGCGACCTTTCGCTTCGTCTCTGCCCAGGGCCACAGCCAACATGTATCAATGTGGCAATGACCGATGGCATAGACAATCGGTTGCGTGTCTGTGTCATAGACAGCCGCCGAATCGACTTTGTCCCCAAGATATTTTCTTGCAATCTTGCGTGCCTCGTTGATAGATTCGTTGCTTCCATTGCCAGCAATAAAGGCATCAATCATGGAATTTGCCACGACATTGGCTTCATGCGCCTCCCATGACTCGCCCGGAAATTCCCGAGCAGCATCTCCAATGATCCAGAAATCATAGTACAGCGCTCTAGCAGCAAGGTTCACAGCCGTGATCCGTGCAGTGCTCAGTGTGAATTGTTTGTCGGGATTTGGTGGCTGAATTGAATCGCCGCCAGGGGCATTGCCAAACATCCCATTGCACGCCATTTCTATGTAGAAAGTGTGTTCCTTGCCATCAAGCCACTCTTTAGGAAGAATGAATTCAGTGCGCTCTCCCCCGCCAGTCAGGCCCTGCAGCGGCTGACCATCCTCTGTCCACACCAGTCCCTCATTGTTGGCATCCCAATGAAACTCCAAATGTTCATATTGAAGCATATTCTTAGGGACTGTGAGGTGAATGCGGAACCAATGGGTTGACCAGCTAGGGCCAAACGAGGCGCCTATGTGGGTTGGTTTGAACTCGTGGGAGGTTGCATCTTCGAAGGTCGGTCGCTGCAGATCCGGAACCGAATAAACAGAAAGCTTGACATGGTCTTCATCAGAGTTTGTCGCTTCGTAGTACTTCGAAATGAGATTCTGGCCCTCATACTGGCCATCTGATGTAAACTGCTTGAGTCGATCGGTATAGATCTTGTTGATGCGTTGACCGACCGGGCGCTCAGCTAGCTGGGGTATAGCTGGGGGAGCGGGGCGAAAGGGAAGTTCCCCACCCATGATGACGAAGTCAAATGGCTTGGTTTAAATAAAAACAATATATACTTGAGAAAATAATCTCAAGTAATGATACATAGATCTTTGAAAGTCGAATAGTGAAGCAAGTGAAATAAGTGGAAGCTGAAGAAGGGCGAGAGATTCCCAAATGCGGAGTGACGAAATGCGGAGAATGTAGCTGTGGATTGCAACCCTCCACATCTACCCGTGACCATATGTAAACAATTCTTCATTTACTCTGTAGTATACAGTATTTTATCACCCAATATGTGTGGCATACTTGGTAAACTCCTCGTCTGCCTTGAATCCATCCCAATCTTCATCTCTCAGACAAATAGCAGCTTGCAACTCACCCGCTGGCGATCGAGGCATTAAATACCCCAATCCTTCAAAAGGAGTAAAATGCGGCCGCCGAACAGCTTCCGGCTTTCCTAGCCCGAGGCCAAAATCAAGTTCGTAGCAACTAATACGTGACCACGAACTTAGCATAAAATCCGATGAAACATCAACCGAAGCAGTAATTGAAGCCTTGGTTCGATCATGAGAGCGACTGAGGAATGTAGCGAGGGCACTTGTATTAAATGCCAAGTCATTGTTCTTGGGATCGAGCTGGGATCGAATTTGTGCTGCAACAATGCCCAATGGCTCTTCTGATATTTGCCGGATTGTGCCTGTGTTGTATGTCATGGCCTGAACGAGACCGGGGTAGGCTTTTGGCATGCCAAGGCGCTGTCGGACATCAACGGCACGTGCAAGCATTGACTTAGAGGTTGCCCCCAGACGCGAAGCTCGAGCCCGTGCAATGCACTGCCAGATAAAAGCGCTGATCGCATCATCTGTGGAGATAAAGGTTGTGGATGGCGGGAGTGTCTTGGTAGCTAATGACTTCAAGGCATTGAGCTGCGTTGCAGACAATTCAATGTAGGCCCAAGTCGACTGTGGTGGTACTACGGGATCCGAGGCAGTATCACTGTTGCTTGGTGGGGGTTTCACAATTTGATGGGCGAGCTCAGGGCCCGGGGTGTATGAGTCGTCCAGTAAAGGAATGGCACGACTCCGGTTCATGTTCCCGATAGTGAGCTCCTCGTTGGTGAATGGTTCATTTTTGCATGCCTTAGATAATAAACGCATAATAAAGTCGTGGCCAGTCATGTCCATAACATTGTGTTGAGTGACAGTGGTGAGCATCAGACCGCCCTCAATGAAATTCGCCTGGACACAAAAGACCAACGCTGACTCCGATGTGATACTCGGCGGGTTATCCGGGAGATTGAGAGTTGTGCAAGGAGCAATGACGTTTTCGTCGAACATGGTAAATGGGTAATTGGCTTGACGAAGACTGTTCATTGTCGGGGCTGAAGAGTCAGGTCGTAGATCTTTCACCACGAGCTGGATCTTGTCAAGTGGGGTGATTTTGAAGACACCCGTATGACCATCCCCTGCGCCCTCGTTGACAACTTGGCCAGTAAGCCATGGAAAGCTCTTTGCCAACTGGTCAAGCCCGTTTATCAAGATGTCGATGATGGTATCATGAGAGGACGTGTCGGAAATAGCATACACGGAGCATAATTGCGTGTACAACTTGTAGAGGCCCGGAGTTTGACCGAATACGTCGAGGACGTCATGGTCTAGCATTTTGAAAGAACAATCCCAATCTCGATTTAACATTTGGAATGCTGTCTATTGATCTGGAGATAAACGTCTCTTTTTAAAGGTGGCGGATATAGCCGACTGCGCCCCACTAGTCACTAGGAGTCATCATTGCTCACATTGATGTTATTCACACCGGGTATCAAACACAATGAATATGCCTCGAAATTTCGTTGCTCCAAAATATTAAGTGGATAGATTGATACCGATAGATTAGCGGAAAACTGGGTATGAGCTAGACAAGGCTCAAGATATCTGGGGTACCTACTGCCAATGTGAATACTGTGAAGGTTTTTATCACATTGTGATCTCCAGTCAGAAAATGAGATATTTGGGCGTCAGTCAGTCAGTGGAAGAGATGGGCATCAGTTCTGTAAGAATGCTCCAAGAGCCCCGACGGTCAAGTCCCGAGATAGATGGCACCCGATCATTGGGACCAAGAACTCGAAGTCCAATAGTTCCACGCATCTGAACTGTCGATCGCCTCGAAAGTGGCTCAGCGTGTAGGCATGATGCGGGCAAGGTGGATTATCTAGAAGTACTGGCCATTCAGAGCCTCAGCTGAGCTTCATAGTCTGTCCCGATCTCGGCCACGTAGATCCTGAAGGCACCTACCACTTACCCAAACGGGCGATGAAACAACAATTGGGCCAAACACTTGGACCAGATGTGATCGATATGCCACATCGTAATCTTTTGCAAGGGATGGTTAATGATCCAATAACAAATAGTGTGAACGAGATCGCCATATTTTAGGGCTCCTGAAACCTACGGCAAGATCCTCAAAATGAGCACGCGCGAATGCCGAACGAAAATTATCTAATTGGGTATATAATCACGCATTAAAACTGAGTCTAATATAAGCTTCTCGCAACAACATTAGCGCCATTAATATGATCACCACCTATTGCTTTCTGGATCCACCATCTGAATACTTCGAGCATCACTCCCGTAATGAGTGGAAGTCGAAGCCCTAGTAAGTTCCCCCCCGTATCGAGCCTCATAGTCAATGTTTTGCATGGTGGCATTGTCGCATAGGTTCTTCTTGCTATCCATACGTTCCACGCCGATCGAATCTCTCCGCAATCGGGACTTGGGTGTTGATCCGGGTTTTTGCCCATTGCCACTATCGGATTTCGACCCCGATTGAGATTCCGTATTGGTGTGGCCCGAGACGGACTGCTCGAAAAAGTCCGAGACGGCGCCTGACATCATGCCTGTTTGCAGATCCGCGAGCACGCGTTTAAGTGTTGGGATGCATGTGCAGATGATCGAGGAGCTGAGAATTAATTGGAGCCATATTGTTGGCATTAGGGCATACCATGGTTGATCTAAAGGTTTTGAGTTAAAGAGGGGTTGGAGGGATCGTAAGCCAGCAATAGTCAGGGCTAGGACTCTGTTTCGGGTTAGGTAGGTGTGTTTTGAAGTAGTGGGCATTAAGGCATACTTACAAAACGCGCATCGCAAAGAGGGCGGAGATTTGGTGGCGCTTCCATTGAATGATCTGGACTTGGTGAAGCAGGCTCACTGGGAGTCCGATTATCCCCATATCCAACATCATATGCGCAACTCCGAGAATGATGTATAGCGCATGCTGGTTTATGCATCGATCTGGGCTAGAGATCCACGGCCGAGGTTGATCACATTGTGTTCCGAGCGCAATGAGCGAAGCCACAGACCAAGTAGCGATCAAGCCCAAGACGATCTTGCAGGCCAAAGTTGTTTTCTCAAAAGGCTGCAAAGATAGAACCAGGAGGGCGACGGCGGCTTTCGAAGATCCTAGGACGAGGATGGCCAGCAGCTGACTAGCAAAAGTTGCCTGCATCTTGTTAAATAGTCTATTTTTAGTAATAAGATCTACTCACCTTGCTATATATCCCAAAGGAGACATCGCTTAATGCATGTCGGTGTTTCCCAATGCCATGATAACTAGCTATATTGATGCACACCGTTTGAGGAATAAACAATAACTAGACTGTTAGCCAAACATAAGCAACATTGAACGCAAAATCCACTTACACAGCTCAGAAATACAATTGAATCACTCCATGAGAGTTTTCGCAAAACGCGGATACGGGATATCAAGGCCACTGTTGTCGCGAGAACAGTGATGATAAGTAAAATAGTACTCACGGTTATAACCCAAGCGCCATGATCATCAGCTGTGACGGACAGGAGAGGCGGCAACAGAGTTTCTCCGCTGTGTGACATTGGTGTCAAAAGAAATTTGTCTTATGCACTCGATACAGTGCCTCCCTATATACTAGAAGAGAAGAAGATAACTGACATATGCACAACACAATTCTTCGCCTCAATGGATCGATCATTGGCTCTCTCACACTTAAGGCATACAATTGTGATCATTTCCGCCTGGCCACTAATCCCGGTTTATCCAAGGTTCCACAACCGTACATGCTCCAGCTCCATCTCAAATGCAGACTAGATACTAGTGCTGCAGCATATGTCGATCTCCCCGAGGCGAGCCAAGAACAGGTCTCTGTCACACATTGATCCCTCATGATCCTTGTTGCGTTTTTATTCATGGAATTCCTGCCGCGGTTTTGCTTTTTTTACTTTCTCCGATTTCCCTTGTCGAATTTTGTCAGATCTTCTGTTTCTCGTAAACTGTCATTCTCTTTGTCGATAACAATGGAGCACCATGAGATGCATCCCTTGAAGCGAGGAAGCATAGGAATTGGACAGGCTGCACCTGATCAAATTGCTAATGTATCAAATGCCTATGAGCAGTCAAAAAAGAGCGGTTCCACGGACCAGGCGAAGCCCAAGGTATGATTTCTTAACTCAACTGGAGGCAAGACTGAGACAGTATACAGCGACTCTTCAATTTCACGCAGATCTTCTTCTTCTCGCTTACATATCTGTCGAGCTGGGAGACTCAAGCGCTGTATGTAAGACCTCTCTACTCGAGCCTAAGAAGTATTAATATTGTCTAGAAACTTGAGTGCTGTTCTTACAAATGGCGGCCCTGCGGCTCTGGCTTGGGGGATTGTTATCGTGGTATGCGGTGCAATGGCTCAATCAGCATCACTAGCTGAGATGGCCTCGATGCAACCAATTGCCGGCGCCCAGTATCACTGGACATATTACCTGGCACCTCCAAATCAGAAGAAATTCATTACCTGGATGCAAGGTGCGTTGCTTGTATGATACTACTAGTTAGTTGCTAACACTTCGATGCAGGATGGGTGACCTGGTTTGCATGGATTTCCACACTTGCTGGTGTAGCCAACACCACCGCCACTATGATCCAAGGACTCGCAAGCGTGAACTACCCAGAGTATGAGCCAAAACAGTGGCATCTGACGCTAATAATAATCGGGATGCTTATTGTCGAAGCATTAATGAACATGTATACTTTTTGGCTCATTCCGTGGATTGAGATGCTGGCAGGCATTCTGCATATATGTCTACTCGTTGTCTTCCTGGTGGTCTTTACGACTCTGTCACCTCGTCATACACCAGAATTCGTCTTTCTTCGCACACAAAGTAGCTCGGGTTGGGCAACTTTTCCTGCATGGAACATTGGCTTGCTGACCCCTGTCTGGGGATTTGTTGGTGTGTACAGGCTATTCCCAGGGAAACAGAAACGAAAGATACTAACTATCTCAGGCTTCGATGGTGCAGTACATATGAGTGAAGAAGTACGACGAGCAAAGCAGGCTGTCCCCCGCTCAATTTTCTACACTGTCATCACGAACGGTATTCTGGCCTATGCAATGGTGGTTTGTATGCTCTTTACAATGGGTTCGGTAGAGGAAGCCCAGAAATCCAGCTTTCCCATCATCGAGATCTGCCAACAAGCAACTGGGTCCGTAAAAGCCGCAACAGCAATGGTGAGCGGGCTACTTGTCATTTCGCTCTCGGTCAATCTAGCAAGTATCGCCTCTGTTTCACGGCTGACGTGGGCGTGGGCTCGAGATGGAGCTCTACCCGAGTGGTTCGCATTTGTAGGTATTGCATGCGTAATGCAGTGACACAAAACATTATGCTGACAAGATCGGCAGATCGACCGGAAACATAATGTCCCCATACGTGCTGTTTGGCTTCCCGTACTCGTCGTCATGATTCTAGCGTGTCTGAACATTGCAAGCTCAGCTGCCTTTGGGGCGTTTGTTGCACTTGGCTCTATTGGACTCTTCGTGTCTTATTTCATTGCCATTGCTTGCATGGTACACAATCGTTTTCAAGCAGATGCGGCGCCTCTTGGGAATTGGAATATGGGGGTTATGGGTCTTCCAGTCAATGTCTTTGCTTTGGTGTATAGTGCTTGGGTCACGGTCTGGCTAGCGTTCCCATCTACATTGCCGGTCACTAGGCAAAACATGAACTACGCTGCGCCAATATTTTTTGTCACTACGTTGTTTGCCTTTTTATATTGGTTTATTAAGGGGCGCACTCGTTGGGAGGGATTGAACAAAGAGGTTGTCCGTCTAGTTGTTGAAGGGGGAGAACTGCAGCTGAAATGATTGGTCGGTTTGTCCAAAATGGACTATGTTGACACGTTGGGAGGATAAATTTCATTATAGAATCTTTATAGATGGTCAAGCATGCATGATGTATCAATGAGTTTCCAAAATCAATTTTTTCATTAATGTTGTTAGAGTCCTTGAGAAATTGTTTCATTTAGCGTGATTTTAGATACAATGCTAATTAAAATATCTGCCATGTGTTTACTCTTCATCTATCAAGTACTGGACTCTTTGGAACGGCTTTCTACCAAATGCTTTGATGGAACAAAGTCTGTAAATAAGAAACCTCCAACAGAAAAATACTCAAACGTAGCACTTTCGGAAAAGACGCTTTTTGTCAATTTCTATAAACCCCTGTTGAATCTCTGTCAGATATCTCTCCGCGACAGAAAGTGCACTTGCAATTACCAAGGGACACACTGCATCATAGAATCCATAGACGGGTATAGAGATACACAACGGATAGACGCCGTGCAAGGGTCTTAGCGAGATATCGGCGTTCCCATTGCGGATTTGATGGACCATAAACTCCATCAAAGTTTCACTGTCCCATGCCTCGTGGGCAAGGGTAAAGTATACTGTCGCATAGTAAACTTCGTCGTCGCTTCTGATTTCATATTCGAGAAGAGATGGGCCGCCGAATCGGTAGGAAAACATACCTGGTGGAACCATATTAGTTGTGGAAAGGGCTCTCGGATTAAAATCTGGCCAAAACTGCTGAGGATGAAGTTGCTGGATGATAAATTGGAATGAGTGGCTCCAACTAGTGGCTCGAAGCTGGTCAAATATTACATGCCGAGACGTCGCGATCCGTGCTTCTCAGTTCTTGCCTATTTTCGAGTCTTTGAGGTAAACAAAGGCCTTTCATGTTGATAAGAGACTTCTTAGATTTCGATTATTCCGAAACAATGCCTACGAACTTCGAGAACCAAAGATCAGTGTCAATAAACTCATAAGAAAGTCAAAGAGCGCGAGCCGCATTCCTTGTTCGTTCCTTCGTGATTGCACAATTTGAAAGCCACATGATAAACAAAGCGCTTAGACATTCAATCCCAGACTACTTGAGCGTAAATATTGCATTTAGAAATATTTCAACCCACGGAAGTTGCGCAAGATCCTATACACGCCGTGCAGAGTTGCGTACATACTTCCGCCGGCCGTAGCCCAGGCAGCACCCTGAAAGCGCAAAGAGTTCATCGGTATAGGTCTCTGCTTCTTTGGTCTGTCTGGTCCATTCTCTATTAGTTACCCTCGTAGCAAATCTCATGGAAGATAGGTAGGTACCTGTGACTACCGGCCAGGACCTTAGTGGCAATGTCCCCACTTGTTGGTCAAGTAGTGTTTGGAAGTTGTTTATGGATGACATTTTTCGTGCTGTATTGGTTCAAAATATTTACTTGCGCTTGAGTGGTATTTCCTGTGCTTTCATTGCTTTTCTGTTGTTTTTAAGTGGAACACGAGGAGACTTGTGGCAAATTCGGGTATAGTTTATCTCGACGCATCAGATGATAACCCTGCATAGCTATCACAGTCTAAGGTTCTTGTTTGCTATTTTATTCGTCTCTCCGTTCCGGGTCCTTGGTTTAATGTTTCTATTTGGGCAAGTGTGGCAAATTCAAGCAGTTTTAAGACTATGGACACGTCGAGGCCGCGGATGCCAAAGTTGTGAAATTTTGGCAATAGGCTGAGATCACTCCAGGTAAACGTTGGGAGTATTCTGACCAATAATCGCTGGATCTGGTCACTCACTATCAATGATAGGTAGGGCGCCCAACTTAAGGCTCGTGCTCTATTCGATACGACTAGACTGAACGATGTTTACAAATCTGCCTAGGTAGGAATTGAAAATGCTTCGCTGATGTCATTCGTCGTATAAAAAGGCTATAGATGAAGGCCGGCAACACCCATAGCCGAATTTTTGGAGAGCAAGCTCCCACTATATACAAAAGGCTCTGCCTTAAGGAGAGGTAAGAAGTAAAAATGCTAGATCAACAGATCTTGGGAATAACAAAACGAAATCAGCAAAAGATGCATGACAGTGGATCAATCAAGGGCTTGAAGTTAAGCCTTGACACAGTACTGGTATCCGAGCCACAAATTCGAGCAGGTCTTGTCAAGACCAGTGTTCAAGCTGCGGAGATCAGAGAATGAGATTCCAACAGACTCGGTGACCTTCTTGCAGAAATCACCAGTGGAGACGGTGTAGTACTGTTGGCAGGATGAGTTGGCCTGGGGGTAGATGGGGGCCGATGAGGATGAGCTAGATGCTGCAACAGTGGATGCAGGGATCGACTTGGTGGTCCAAGCAGGGGTGGGAGTGTAGGACTGTGTGACGACGTTCACCTGGGGGGTCTGGGTGGGGACGGCAGCCACAGAGATGGACTCGGTGGGAGCAGCGGAGGGCTCAGCGGGCTGGGCAGTCGAAGAAGGCTGGACGGTCTCAGCGGGGGCGGCGGAAGTCTCGGGCTCAGCGGTCTCAGTGGGCTGCGCGGCAGCGGAAGAAGAGCTGGAGCTGGAGGTAGAAACGTCGCCGGAGTTCTCGCCAAGAAGGACGGACTCGAGGCCGCTGGTGACAGAACCGATGGTGCTCTCAACGCACTCAGTCACATCGCCAGCCCAGCCACTAAGACGGTTGGCGATATCAGAGGCGTAGCAGTGGGTAGCAATACCCTGGCCGAGGTTACCGGAGGAGGCGATGGAACCGGAATTGTAAGTACGAGCGGCTTTGTAGTACCTGGCAGCCGTCTCGCCGGACTGGGCTGCGAAGCACTGCTGAAGACCGTCACCTGCTGAGGTTCCTGCGGTACCGTCCTGGATCATGAGTGTGATCTCATCCTGCGGACAAGGGGTGGTCATGACGCCGTTCTTGTTGCAGGAACCGGCTCCGTCGTGGCTTTGCATGAGACCGGTGTTCTGGACACCGTTGTTGGTGGATTGAACGCGAACACAACCCTTGCTTTCTTGCATAATAATGGCAAGGATAAATCGTTCGTCAACGTCAACGCTGGATGATGCGGCGACTTTCTGAATGGCCAGCTTGATATCATTGGTTTCTGCCTCGGTGTTGTCACATGCTGCGCCTATCAGGATCTGGTTGAGCTGCCAGCTGGGTATAGTTAGGACCAAGCTACTTCCATGCAACAACTTTCGATTGACTTACAGTTCATCAAACGTCTTCCATTGCTCCACAGAAGGCCATCCATCCGAGGCATCGCCGTTACCACCCATGACAGCATACGCGCCAGAGGCGCGACGGTGCAAGTTGTGGTGAGACTGCGAACCATGAGGAATTGCTGCGACGAGAGTCGACAGGCTGCCAGCAGCCAAGATCTATTGCGATATCAGCCATGGTTCGCGGGAGTGGGGATGTGGACCATCGCCATGATGTCAGGGAAATGTAAAGACATACCAATGAAGGAAGGAACATTTTGATATAGAGGGAACGACGAAAGCGAAGCGATGTATATAAAATAAAAAAAAGAACGGATGCGATGGAAGAAGCCCTGCTTGCACGATCGAAAGAAAGAGAGAAAGGGGAGGGCGAAAGTATATATGTACTTCCCAGCTGTGTGCCCTTAAACCGAACCCATCTTTTCTCTTTTTGTGAAATGATCAGTCGAGGCCCGCAGCGCAATCGAATTAGCTTTCAAGGTGGCTGTAAAAGTGGCCCAGTGACGGGCTGAGTTGGCGCCCTCGCGCATTAGCGCAATACTGCAAGGGTTGAAACACCATCCGAGAGGGGAACAGTCTCTTAGTTCAGAGGCGATTGGTCTGTTTCAGATATTGTTTAACCCCTGTGAGCGATTTTCCTTGACTGCATTGGCTCCCCTGAAGTGGGATGGCGTTCATTAATGGGTTCGTTGAGTTCGGTGATTGGTTCAAGGCTAAGATCATTCATGTGGAACTCCGAGATCAAAGCCCTTACGTTTTTGTTTTTTGGCCACCCTTCTGGGTAGCTGATTGTGCTTGTTCCTGAATTTCTTCCCCTGGTACCTGAATATGATTTAATCGTAAGCATCGCGAATCCCGGGGTGATTAACCATGCATATGAAATATCACGTATACGGAGTAATTGCAAGTGCAATTAACAGGGTCACATCTGTCCCAAATAGCCGTACCGTGCAGGGTCGTACTCTGTATATTGTACGGAGTACTCCGCACAATATCGCGTTTTTTGAAAAACCGACGAGGCGCTGGTGGCTGAATTTGCCCTATGTCTCAGGCGTCGAAGCTTTTGCCATGTGGTTTACACAAAGAATGTGATTCTCTGTCTTTTCTTTTTTTACGAGATATGGATCTCACCTAATCTTACACAACATTGTTACTCAAAAAATACTGATTGAAAGTCGTTTTACTCATTCGAATTTTGCTATGCAATAGCACACAAATCACAAAGAAAAAGAAACAGAAATGCAATGTCATCCTATAAGCCTGTCACTGAACGCTGAACGAACAGCAAGACAGTGGGGCCGAGGGAAGGTTCACCGGTGAAACACCCCCCGTTTCTTTTCTTTTACTGTACGTTGTATAAGCCTCTAACCCACAAGAGAAGGTGGAAACATACAATAATGTACAAACCTCGCTCTGATTTGATTTATTTATCTCACTTTATTCATACAAATTCTACCGATCGCCAATATTGAACAAAAATTCCAGGACTCGGCCCTGCACAGTCCAGCCATCTTCGCCAATTTAGCTTCGGACTTCCGGAGGCTGAGATCTGCAGTTCGATGCGACCATGAATCCACAAGCGTAAGACAGATCAAAAGACCAGTCAGGCCATTCCAACGTTGAATCTACTCGCCTATCCTGCCAGAGAACGAAACGATCCAGAGATCCGTCATGTTCCTGTCATTGACCCTGCGTCGTACTTCCGGGTTCCAATCCTGACCGGCCTTTTGTCAATTACTTCGTATTGACGATTGCGAACATATCAAGGGTCCAGGTCTTGCCAAGTCGGATCTGCTGGCCCCCCAAGCTTGCGGGAAGCCTGCAATACAACCTGCAATATCTTTATGCCCCAAACCAATAGTGACTTGCATCATGACAACCCATAATAAACTGTAGTATACAACGTACTCCGGCTTGGCATCTAAATTCCCGATCAGGACGTTGTCGGCTACCTCAGTTGGCGATAATACACTGTCAATGCCAAGCGATGGCGAATACAGCTAGCATCCCGGAGCTGTCGGACAAAATGTTTGGAACATAACTGAAGACTGTTCTATCCACGTGTTCATTCATAGATCGAAGTATAATTGGGTAGTACAACTACTATCTAACCTAACATGCAGACAAGTCGTCGATATCAATAGTCTGACGGATTCAATCCAGGACTGTGGCTGTGACCGTGGCTCAGCAGCCTTGCGACGATCATAGTTTCGATTTAGACACTTTGTAGGTGACCTACTAATAATATACTAATCCCGGTGTTATGATCGGCTTTATTACGAGTCAGTTGCCACTCAGCTCTATATTGTAGTCTTGGGCTTCAAATATCGCAAATATGGGCGAGACAAGTTCACCTCGAATATGTCCGAGATAATTCTAGTGGATCATCACCCAATACTAAGAACAGTGATATGCAATGCATTCTACCTGAGAGCATTGAACGTTACACTGCAACAAAAGTCGCACTGCAAAAGAAGTCGGTGCTTTGATGTACACAATATCTTTCAATATTTGGTAGAATTGGTTCGGAATCCCCACCACTCCTGCGTGGCTGGTGCCAATATATGAGCGCATACAAACTCAAAATTGCCTCGATCATATCATGATCATCACTTCCCGCAGTGACTAGACATTGGAATCAGTTTAAATTTCGTTATGTTTATAAGGATCAGCCCGAAGGGCCTCCAGCCGCAACCAGCCCCTGAGGATCTCCCCCTTTGCTCCTGTCTACAATATCATACATTGTAAGGAGTACGTGACATCATATATCCCGTCCATTTAGGTATTAATAAACACAAGGTTTTTTTTATAGTAATCGCTGCAGCCTGGCTATCTCGCTTGAACACACTTCCCTTTGGTTGCGCATGGCTTGTGCTGGTAGGACCTGTACTGCATCGAAGTGATGAGCAGCACGGCACATCACATGAGATACATGTCTACTGTGTTGGTGATGGTTAGACATTCGGTCAGGTGTATTCTCTGAAAACTGTCAGTGATTGGCTAAATTGTAAGATTGCATCGCTAGTTATAGAGCGCCTCCATCGGATGTGTTTAACGTATTCTACAACCGGACGCTCGGTCCCCGAAGTGGAAATGACTCTGTTTCATTCTGTTGTATAGTGCCTTTTGGTCATTTTGCACAACTGAAGCCTTTTTTAGATGATTCTTCGTTTCAAATTATATTGGTTCGTCTTATTTAGGTTCCTTGCCGCACACTCGCCTCGCTGGATCTGTATCTCAGTCACCTGTAGCTCATGAAACTGTCTAGCTTAATTAGAAGCATGCAGTGTCATAATTTCAGTGTCCATTTTTTTCCTGACACATAACTTCGAAGAATAAACGCAATGTTCTCAGTTCCTGGCTCAAATGAGTATATAAGCAACTGACCGTCGAGGATCTAAGCCTTAGCTTGAATAAAAAGGATTTTCTCCACATACTATCCTCTATATAGCAAGCGTATCATCGCCGATTTATACTCTAGGGCACCTTAGAAGTTAGATTTATTAGTCAACTAAGTTTAACTCAAAGGAAACCGAAACGAAGATCACATAGTGTAAGTCAACTATGAAAAAAGTCTTAGGAAGACTAACTTAAACTAAGAGATTACTCGTTGACCGAGAATCAAACTTCATAATCGATATCTGTGACATTAAAAGACTACCATTCGCATCTAACTATATTCTTGTAGCTATTGCACTTTAGTACGGTGCTTTGTTTATAGTGGCATCGCAAAAGTTTGGGACCACTCTTTGCTTATATAACATTATGCCCGCGATAAACAATTCAAGATTTCTACCAGTCTCCCCAAAATGAGGCAAACAAATTGCTGTTATGCAATTGTATGATTCATCTGGGAGGATTGGAGGAAAAAAACAATTTCTACACCTTTGATTTGTGTTTGTCACAGCTCACAATTTCCATCAAATGCGGTGTACTTAAGGCGGTGAAGGGGGTGGTCACAAACTTTTGTGGTGCCATTGTTACATCGAAACAGTAGAAGACTTTGCTAGGTTCGTCCTTTTTAAGTAGAAAGCCCATAGAACTACGTTAGAAGGACGAATATCTAAAAAAGCCTATTCTCAGAAATGTCACAGCTAAAAGCCTATAGGACGTTCCGCTTAATAAAGTGCGGTTTTGTGAGTTGCTGCGAGGAATAGTCGCGACTGCTGGATATAGTAAGAGTGTGACTGTTCATATGTATTCGGAAGTATCTTAGAAGCGTTATTGAAGGTAAGGTAATCAATGCTCACCACTTATTAGAAGAAATATGTTCGCTAATTTCTAGTAAAGGAAAGCCCGGTATTACATGTGACACGCTAGTGATAACTGTGATCTGTCTTCTATCTAATTTCTTGATACTCGCACCTCATATGACAGCGGCCAACAAATGAGCGCACAAGATGAGCAATAGCAACGACTCGTTCCACTATTTTTTGCAGCTACCTCCAGAGCTACGCCGTATGATCTGGATGCACTGCCTACCGTATCGTATAGCAGAAGAAGACCTCCCTGACGGCTTTTTCGATGGCTACGCATCCAAACACATGTGCTGGAACCCACGCATGACACTTCAGAACGCTCAGATGCCGGCTATTGCATACGTCAATAGCGAGTCTCGACAAGTTGCACTGGAGCAAGGACGCCTATTAGAGCCGGCTGATACGAGAAACATAGAGTCGCTATGGGTGCAGCCGCATCGAGATGTGCTGCATCTTAACTGGACGCGACTGTACTATTCTGCCTGGGGAGTTGATGATGACGCTCCAGGCTGGGTCGACGAGTTTTTTTTGCAGGCGAAGGATCTTGGGATGCGGCCTTCTATCGCGGCTAATCTTATTCACTTTTTTAGCTTAAAGGCAGTGTTAGATTGCGCTGGCGATGCTGATAAGCTTGGCAGCCATAACCCTTTTCATTTCGGTATACAGGATATACCAAAAGTTCGTTATCACTGCAGAGGAGATGAAGCCGATGACGTGCGCGAGATAGTTAATATCCTACCTTGGGCGAAAGGTCAACGCAGTGAACTAGACGTAACTATGGCGGCAGTTTTTCTGCATATTATTAGGGAAGTTGCTCTAAGGTCTGGTCTATTCGGATTACTAGGCGATGCGCCTGTTCAGATGGTTGATGTTGACGATGAGGCTCGGTTAAGGGAATTCCAAGCACTATACCAGGAACATGCATTAGAAAAGGAACCGGTCGTGCAAACGCTTTTCGAAACATTTACCAGTTCTCTATTCAGAATGGCTGTGGAAAAATGGAAAAGCAAAGCTAAATGGACTATCCACGCGTACATGTGGCAGTCGGCTCGAGACAGAAATCTCGACATTCTTAGGGACCCGGGCTCCGCTTGGCTGCCTTACCTGTTGGAGCGAAAGTACATCTATATGGACCGGTATTTGCCTAATGAGCAGCACCCGTGGGTGAAGCATGCTAGGCAGATTGCGCCTAAGCTGCGACTGCGGGTCATGGTGCGATATTGTACTAAGGAGTGTTACACAGCCATGGATAAAGGAGCGACTTCCTAAGGGCTTTGCGTTTGAATAAACAATTCTAGATACCAATGCAGATTCTTTTCAAAAACTATTAACATTGTGCATCACGCATTATGAAGTCCGTTGGTATATATTTATGTAAGCCAACCTAGGAAGTTCGAAGTGGCGTATAACGTACAATCTTGGAAGTTTTACTCAAGAAAATTTACTTAGTGCATGGATATACAAAGACTAGATATCCAGCAATGAATTTCTGTTAAACTTGCACACCTGGAAATTGTTTTACTAAACAGAGTAGAATGGCTGCTAAAAGCGGCAAGACTATTGTACCGCGTGTCCAGCTAAATCTCTGATTCTATCACCAAAATGGATCCTCGCAAGAACACTCACTTTGAGTAACTAATTCTTATCTAGAACATTCTTCATTGATCAACTATGTGTTATTCTCTTCACCATCAACGGATCAAGTGCCGAGGTGTGTAGCATTCTGCAAGCGGCGCCGGATAGATAGTTCACCCGCTATGTGGGTCCGCTGAAGTATGTATGAGCCCCGATCCGACTTCACTCCATTCTTCCAATATATATGTGGCGCTGCGACTACAACTCACCGATTCCATTTCTAAGTGAGTAGCATCAACCTGAAATGCTGTCCCTTAATGTCGCTACATATTCAAGTCCTTCTGGCTACCAACTTACCGAGCTCGCCAAGCCCGAGCTCATTGACCCCAAAGATGTGATCATCAAAGTCCATGCAGCGAGCATCAATCCAATTGATGTCAAAAAGGCTGACGGAATTTTGAAACTGGCAATCAAAGACTCGTGAGTGATACAGTTCTCCTCGCAAAAGACTAAATTGACGGAAAAGCTTCCCGTACAAAATCGGCTATGACTGTGCCGGTATAGTCACTGAGATTGGATCAGACGTGACCCGCTTCAAAGTTGGAGATGAGGTCTATACCCGGCTACCAGAGGTATCTCGGGGTAAGTGTTGATGTGTCTGGCGGTAACTGGCTTGCTAACAGGTCAAACAGGCTCGTGCAGTGAATTTGTCAAATGTGCAGAATACTACATTGGCCTGAAGCCTCCGTCATTGTCATTCGAAGATGCTGCCTCGATTCCATTGGCGGCAATGACTGCGCTTCAGGCACTTAAGAAGTATAAGGGCGATCTTGCCGGGAAGACAGTATTCGTACCTGCTGGCTGTATGACACTCCCATCCTAAAGTCGTGATGCATTTTCTGATAATATTAAAGTGAGCGGAACCGGACTATTTGCTTGCCAACTCGCCAAACATGTTTTCCATGCAGGCAAGGTCATCACCACGGTATCGACCTCTAAGATCCCGAAAGTGAAAGAACTTTTGGGTGAAGGAACTGTCGATGAAAGTAAGAAACCAGCATTCTCACAGAAAATCAACTACTAATCTTTTGAAGTTATCGACTACACAAAATCCGACCCGCGAGAAAAGATCGAGTCTGGCTCTGTGGACTTCCTTTTCGATACAGTCGGTTCTTCCATGGAATTTCTAAGCCTAATGAAACCGCAGTCTGGATGCATCATGTCGGTCGCAACCATGCCATCAGGGACTCAGCTGCAGGAATCATCCCTCATGGACTTGCCGCATAAGCCAACAATCCCCATTGCGTTCCGAACGGCGCTCAATATGATGGATCGTGTTCGCAAACTACGAGCGCGGCGATATGGCGTGGAATATTCGTATATGTTCCTGCAATCAAGTGGCCAAGATTTGGACGAATTGAGAACGTATGTCGAGGATGGGAGGCTGAGGACTGTTGTTGGAACCATTGTTGAGCTTTCGGATATCGAAGCAGTGCAGAATGCATGCCAGGTGGTTTATAGCGGGAAGGGCGGCCTTGGGAAGATGGTTATCAAAGTTGCGAATGTTTAAGTATTTTCTTTTCGCTGAACTCGCTTAATAATGTACTTGTACTTGACGCATAATAATTGCTGCGCCTTGTTTAAAACAAATTGGATATACATGTACTTGATCATCGGCCGTCAGACTAGTAGACATGACAACATCACCGTTTTCAAGGCAGAACGGGAGAGCGACAGGATAGAAGTTGAACAAAAGGTGAGTAATGAACTCATTGAGTACATTATAGCCTATGTCCACTTGTTACTCTGTGTTCTGAAAAATAGAAAATATACAATTGGGAACTGGTATTAGATGTTTGACTTGGTACGTTATTTCGGTCACCCACGCTCCATCACAGATTAGCCTTTTCCAATTCAGCCTCTGTCCACTCCCATAAGCGCTTCCCCATGTCCTTACTGTTTGAATATCTGTTTTGAGCCTTCAGATTTCCAACTGGTACATAGTACGCACCGTTGGTTAGCTCCTCTTTCTTTGCGCCAGCAGCGGCCCACAGCTGGTTACACGCACCCTGAGGCACGGATGTGCCAACACAGCCCATGAACTTGTGACCCAAAGAAGCGACAGCAGAACGTTCATTCAAAGAACCATAAAGATCCGTCATGATGATACCTGGGTGAACAGACACCGAGGTTATTGACGGGTAGCGCCTGCTGAGCTCCGCCGCGAAAAGGATATTGGCAGCTTTCGACGCGCCGTACCGAGTGTTGGTGTTGACTGCCTTGAGCTTCTCCTGGTCTAGGATCGTTTCTAATGCGGGAGCAAGGTTATGGCCAAGAGATGAGAGCGTCACAACGCGGACATCCGAGCCAGGCTGCTCGGCCGTCTTGAGTAAAGTCGGCAGCAGCAATTTGGTGAGATGGAAGTGACCGGTATGGTTTGTGCCGAGCTGGATCTCATGGCCCAGTTCGGTCTCGCCTGGAGGCAGGGCCATCACGCCGGCGTTGAGAATTAGGATGTCGAGTCGATCGGTCTGGGCGTTGACTTGCTCGGCGGCATTCTTAATCGACTTGCCTGACATCAAATCCAATGGAACCCAAGTGATTTCAACATCATTTGAAACGGAAGATTTCAACGACTTGATGGCTTCCTGTGCTTTTGATTCCGAACGTGCACCGAGGAAAATCTTCTTCGGGTTGTGCTTGATCAGTTGGAGAATGGATTCTTTGCCCAGACCCGCATTTCCTGTCGTGCATTAGTTAATAGGAGCGAGTCAAAGTTGAATTGAGGGTTTGCCTACCACCAGTGACCAAGATAACCTTCTCACTCAGATCTGGGATGTCCTTTTCGGGTGTGAAGCTTACTCCGCCAACATAGTTGAACGGGTTCATAAATGCTGTCACAAATGCGGCCATTTTTGTTACTATGGAGTTAAGGATGAGGTCAAGTTTTCGCGTTACATTGATTAATAGCCGATGTAGCAGACTAAATACTGTGTTCGGGGGAACAATCTCCCCGGTCTGAATATGCCGTCGTCATTAAAGGTGGAGCCTTCCCGAAAGTCTATTACTTGGAAATAAGATCTTGTCTGGACTCCTAGAGAGATTCAATGTTGCCTGGATGTGGTTTAGTCTCAGTGAACTACATAAATTATTGGAGGTTGCGCAAAAAGGGTCATCTTGGGCACTTGGCCTATCACTGGTAGCTGTGTGATATCAACACATAAACAGGAATACCTTATCTTATAGTAGAGAAGACATTGTGATTCCCGAGGTCCCATGTGAAGATATAACAAGTTTTATAATTATAAAATCCAGGGCAATCGGGGGTATTGATGAACAACCATCATATCTATCACCATACTAAGATGAGAAACAGACCAAACGGCTTGAGAACCTTGCACTCACCCTCTGCACCCTTTGTCTTACAAAGGCTCCCTCATGGCTTAGGGTAAACCCGTCTGGAAGTGGCCTGAATGCTTATTGATAGAATTCGTAAAACAAAATTCATGGATTTATTGCTAGATCTTGTTTGAACTGATTGAGCTCATAACGAATTCCTAACTACCTTCCTATATAACCTGAAAGGAGCAAGAATGATATGTCCAAAGGTGCACCCAAGCGGCCCGACAATCGCGCCCATGTGCCTGCTATAGGTATATCTCATTTTCACACCCCAATGACCGGATCTGCCACAAAAGCAGCTGAGCAATTTAGTGACTTCAATCGCATAAACGCAGGCCTAAGCCAAGTTGTACAGTGAAACGCGACCCTGATTAATATGAGATCGATCTACAGCATGATTAATCTGAGATAGTGAGGCATATGAAGCTGATGTGTATCTATACAATAATAAGTTGAATGAGATAGATGTATCGTTGGTTTAAGATTTGATTGTGTGATGCTTTATTGCCCTGGCAGATCAGTATCACCGAGAAGGCGCTTGATCTTCCAGAGAGATACCATCGCATCAATACCCATCTTATCGTCGGGCCTGAAAAATAGAGCGCTGTGTTTAAACTGCTCATGGGCTTCGCGGAGGGCGTGCAAATCAGATACAGAAAGAAGAGCCGACAAATCGAAGACAGGAACATTCGATCCAGTTTGTGAAAGAGTGACCGAGTCCAAAGAGATATTTGCTTGAGAGCCACCCACAGGAGAATCCGAGCCAAGCAGCAATACACCACCTGATTGGATGCGGTCAAACATTTCCAATTGCCCCAAACCGTCCGCGAGCCCCGCATCTGAGTACTCTGGCAAATCAAGAGCTTTCCAAACCCCGTTTGGGGTACCAACACGCTTGTATTTCGCAAGAGCAGCACCCAACTTCTTGCAGACATCCCTTCGCATGCCTTGCAGTAGAATTTCCGGGGTGTTCCCTAGCCAAAGGAGTTTCTTCTCTTCGCTCGTCGTCACAGGCCCTTGGGGGTGTTTCCAACGGAACGGCAACAGCCGCGCAACCGGCGGCTTCTTCGCGCTCTTTTTTGAAAGAGGCTCTGTGATACACCGAATGAGCGGAAGAAGTTCAGTAATGCGAAGCACGAGCTGCCGTCCGGTGTGCTTGTTTCGGGCGGCTGGGAGAAATTCACCAGCAAACGCTTCGTCCATAGCTTTGTCCTGAAGTCCTGCTTCCGGAGATTGACTTAGGTCCTCGTTTGCGGGGGCCGGCTTATTTGAACTTGGGCCTTGAGATTCGCTGCTCTGCAGCGAGTCTTGCATTAGACCCACGGGCATCATGCAGAGCATGTCGGTCTCTGGCTGTCGCACAAGGCCCCAAGTGCCTAAGAGGTCGGATGGAAGTCTTGCGCCGGTTATGCTACACATGCGTATCGGGGATGCTAGTGCACTTGCCCATGGATTCTTGCTCAGCTCGGACGTCTCTTCTGACGTAGGGCGCCTTTTGCGGTTCTTCTCGGCCCTAGGGCGCGAGTATGCAATCAGGGGGGATTGTGGAAGCCGTTGAGATGGAGGGACGGAGTCAAGTCTTGATGTATCTGTCTGTTCTTTTGATGCAGCTTCGTTAGACTGAAGGATTTGTTGCGAGGTCGAGATGCTTCGTTTGACTACCTGGGTAGTCAAAGGCTGCGAAGTTACGAGTAATTGTCGAAACGCACGAAGACGCCATTGCGAGAATGACACCCGTGCGTTGATGCACTCCATAGTTGGAATTGGTGATGGCGATGGAGGGTAAATGATCTCAAGTCTAGCAGGGGGATGGCGGAAAAGATGATCTCGGAGCTGGCGCAACAGCCAATCGGAGCCCCTTATTTGCGGAGTTGTTGATTGAACGAACAGCGACTGAAGAGGAGCCTCATGGAGGTTAAAAGACCTATTGAATTATTACACAGGTCATACAATTTACAACGAGTATCAACACTTGTTCAAACGCAATATTTTCTATACTTGACTCGAATGTAAATCGCATCGCTGAGCTCCTTATCTTAGCGCCTACGCTTATCGGATCGGACGGTTCACCGTCTCCCGACTGAGCATGTCCAAATCCATGACATTACGAGTCGCGATCACATACCGTTGAAAATGCCCCCAAGAGTCTCTCTCGCGCAGTTAGGACGCTCGGTCCAAAAGACACCTCTTCCGATCCCTCGAAATGCAGCTAGCTTGACGCGATGCTTCTCAAACCGAGGAGGCTCGCCTGCGCAGCCCCCGCGGAGCTGGACACCGACGCCGTTCGTAACGGAGACAGTGGTAAGTTTGACTCCGATACCTCATGGCCACTTATGCTAGGTGAAAATATACTAATCATTCTGAATAGGGAGGTGGCTGGCACACTTGTACGTTGCGCAATTGAATATGGCGATGAAATATGTATATCCCCCGAAGCAAGCATGGTTTTCTAACTCGTATCGCGCATGGCAGACGATATCTTTTCCCGATTGATGAAGGTAGAACACAATCCAGAAGCCCCCTTGTGACAAGAAAATCATACTCACCAATCCCCAGGAGCGCATTATCTGTCTCAACGGCGAAGTTGACGACACCCTCTCCGCATCGATCGTCGCGCAGCTCCTCTTCCTCGAAGCCGATAACCCGGCAAAGCCTATTCATCTCTACATCAACTCCCCAGGAGGCTCAGTGACAGCAGGTACGAGACGCAGCCAGCCATTGTTCCATCTCATCTTGCCTCCTCCAATCACGCCATATACCAACGCACACTGACACCCCCAGGCCTCGCAATCTACGACACAATGACCTACATCTCCGCGCCGGTAAGCACCATCTGCGTGGGCCAAGCTGCCTCAATGGGCTCTCTCCTTCTCGCCGGTGGCCACCCCGGCAAGCGATACTGTCTCCCGCACTCCTCGATCATGGTGCACCAGCCCTCGGGCGGCTACTTCGGGCAGGCAAGTGACATCGCCATCCATGCGAAGGAGATTCTGCGCGTGCGCACCCAGCTTAATCAGATCTACCAACGGCATCTCACGGGCAAGAAGCAGTTATCTCTTGATGAGATTGAGAAGATCATGGAAAGAGATTATTTCATGGGTGCTAGCGAGGCGTTGGAGCTCGGTGTTATTGATGAAATTTTGGACCGCAGGGTTCAGAAGGATTCTGGAGAGCAGTCTAAGCCCCCTACTGCTTAAATGAGTGATATTACTTAGCGTGTTGATATATACCGGGTGTTTTGAGGGCACTCTACCGACACTGGGGATTCTGTAGGATTATATGTTAATATGACTGGTTACGCTCTTATGTCCTTCACTCTCGCTGCTGGCTTCGAGATAAGAGTGGACCTCTGAACCCGATAGAGCTTGACATGCTACTCGGGAAGTTTGATCAACATATCAGCGATAGCATTGAGCTTAGCTTCTCAATATTGATATTCCTGCGACTAGCAGAGAAAACGTTCCCACGCAGCCTAATCTAGACTGCGTCACATGGGTCACTGGCAGCAGACTAAACTTGCTATCCACTCCGTCTTCTTGAAACAGAGCCCTCGGTATGAGAGCACGCCTGTATATACAGGGATTGTCCATGTAAAATAGGTAGACGGCCCCGCGGCAAACGTTCATGCTCTAGCAGATCGGTGAACTTTAGATGCGATTCAAAAACGGGAGGCGGCAGCAATCATCTACGTTCGCCCTAAGCGCTAGTTGATTTTACTGTTTGGTCTCAACAGCGACTAGATCATGTCCCCATGTAAACAAGTGTAGTTTGCTACCAGAGCTAGAGTACAAAATTGTATAGTAATATGTGTAAGAGGTCATGTATTCACACGGTCGATACGACCATCAGCACCAACCTGAAGACCGAAACGCTGGCGAAGGAAAGTCGCCGTTTCAGGCGTTGGTACAAAGCCCGCCGTCGGTCGCGCAGGGGCATTTGAATAGCGCCATTGATCCCGCATGGTACCGAAGAAGCTCGTGTTGACGAGAACAACCTCTCCAGCTGCGAATGAGTCCATTGGGTGGCCGCCTCGAACAGCGCTTGGAGATCCAATCTCGGCTGGGTCTGCTAGGAGGGTCGTGCGTTCTTCTTCGACTTCCTCGTCGATGCTACTATTTGGTGATGATCCCGCGTTATCATCTGTGAGGGGCGGTACTTCATCGCTGTCTTCTTGCCGTAGAACCCCGCGCTCTTCGGCATCATGGTCTTGGGGCTGTGAGCCCACTGCTTCGGAATTTGCGTCTACAATTGTACCGGTATTTGAGCCGGTGGATGGAGTGGAAGATCCAGTTATTTTGACTCGCTCGATGATCAGAGCCAGCATCACGATATCGACGAAGAAGATCAAGAGGTCGAATGATAGAAGCCGAGGGACGGAGACGGGGATCTGCCCGATAAAATCGATGAAGAGCCCTCCATGTAGGTAGCCGCGCGTTTCCTCCCCGGCTTCGGGGCGAATGAAAAAGGCATGGAAGATGATGCATATGAGATTACTGGCGATGATGGCGGCGACGTAGGGTTGGTTGCGTGTGGGCTCGAAGGGGGGTGCTTTCGGAGTGAAGAAAATCAGTTCGACCATGGCACGTATGGCAAATAATATGATCGAGCAGCTGAACAAAACACACATTGTTAGGGGCTTGTCGCGAAGAGAAGAGAGGGTGGGTATCATCGATCATGCAATGACAGGTTGGGGTTGAGCCTACTCCATGTAATATAGGGCGGACAATTGACAGTAAATCAATACGTCAAGATCACGCAACAGTCGATCAATAAAGACAACTGTGGCGGCCGAATGAACTTTCTTCACGCGGGCGTTCTGGCTACTGAGGGTGCCCGTTGGTCTGGGAGGCTCCGCATCGTCATAGGATATGCCGGACACGTCAGCGATGTATTCCGCATCCCGAAAGGCATCGACGTCTGTCATAGAGGATCATGAGGGCTTGGACTGTATCCAAAAACAGCGGAACAGGAGTCGAGGTGAAGACTCCCCGTGGTTAGGTGAACTTGTATTAAGCTGGGGTAAGTAACTATGGGTTGGAGACGGACCTGACAGGGCGGAGTTTCCTCGGCCCGGACCACGTGCTTGCTTTTGGTTAATTGCTCCCAAAGTTGTCTTAAACTTCTATTTGAAAAGTATTTCGCAGTCAATATGGTATTCATTTGACTCGTATTCATTTGTTTGCGACAATCTATGTATGTATCCACGACAAGCTTAATCCACAAGAATGGTCTTCGACAGCTCTGAGTAATGCTTGAAAAAGCCAGTGAAGAGACGAATGGCATGGGCAACATCATGAGTACCTCCAGTCTCACGGATGCTGTGCATGCTCAGCTGGGGGTTACCCAGATCCAAGGTGCGTGCACCGAGCGCAGCAGACAGCATAGGACCGATGGTACTACCACAGCTCGAGTCATTACGGACAACAAACAGCTGCAGAGGAACGTGGTGGTCGGTCTCCTTGGCGGTCTTGCGCGCGATTTCTTCCAAAAGGACAATGCCGGGAGAGTTGGTGGCATAGCGGGCGTTGGCGTTGATCTTGATCACGGGGCCCTTGTTGATCTCCGGCTTGTGATCTGGCTCATACTTGCCCGAGTAGTTAGGGTTAACTGAGTGAGCCATATCGGCAGAGACAAGGAACGAGGTGGACAAAGTCTGCTCGTAAGCAGTAGACAGATCAGCATCCTTTGAGGAGGTGGATGGGAGAACGGACAGACGGCGAATGATTGACGGGAGAATGTTGGAATCGGCACCTTGTGCTGTGCGGCTGCCAATTTCCTCGTGGTCAAACAAGGCAATCAGGCGAATTGCGTCCTCGTTCTCAAGAGCTGAGCTGTCGGCAACGGAATCAATCAGACCGACGGTGGCGCAGAAAGTGCTGTTCAGGTTGTCCAGGCGAGGAGAAAAGATGAACTCTTCCCGCATACCGCCGAGGCAGGACTTGTGAGTGTCGAAGAGGATCATTTCAAAGTCCAAAATGTCGGTGGGGTTGACGCCGGCCTCGGTAGCAATAAGCTCAATAAAGTGAGAGTGATGACGCTCAGTCATTGACTTCAATGGCGAGAGATCAGTATCCCTGTCGGTTTCAGGAGTTCTGACCTCTTCAGAGCGGTTGAGCTCTTCAGCAATCAAGCCAGCAATGGGAAACAGCTGGGTTTCCTTGTTGAAAGAGAAGGTTTCCTGGCGGTCCAAATGGATGGCCAGAGTGGGGATACGGAGGACTAGGCAACATTAGCAGGGCACATCTCTCCGCGTCTATAATACACCGGACTTACTGGGGCGATCGATTTTAACCAGCTTCTGGACAATAGATCCATCACTTGCCCGAGTCATCACCCGGCCAGCCACACCGAGATCACGATCAAACCCTGTAGCAAATTAGATTTAGCCATGAAAATTTCAAGAAGATTCAATTGCACATACAGGTGTGCCAGATGCCACCACCGTAGGCCTCAACACCGACCTGCACGAACCCTTCCCCGCTCTTCTTGCTCACGGGCTTGACCCTCAACACTGGAGAGTCGGTGTGGGCACCGATCATAGAGATCGAGTTACCGGGCTGTATTAAGAGTTAAAGCAGAAGCCAAGAGGATTCTTAATCGATACATACCTGCCATTTCTTGCCAATCGCAAAAGCCACGAGGGTGGTGGTGTTGCGAGTCAAGTAGTACTTACCCCCCGGCTTGCAGGTCGATGCCCATGAGTCTTTCTCCTATTGATATATGAGACAAGATATTTTTTTAAAGTTGTGCCAGTTTAGTGGATACCTTAATCTCCTGGAATCCAGCCTGGGTCAGAAGCTTCTTGGCTTCATGGACGGCATGGAAAGCTAGAGATGACAGATCAGTGACATTCCAGATCATAGAATAAAAACTACATATGTACGTACGGGTTGGAGCAGCATTGACAAATGACAAGAAGTCCAGAGCGGGTTGTTTGGAAGCCATTGTGGAATATTTTTGGGAAAGATTAAGAAGGTTAGGCCCGAAACGCTTGAAGACCATCGCAGTGTGGGTTGTATACCGAAAAAGAAAATCGGCTTTTGCCGAAGGTTTTGGCGGTGACCTCGGGACGGGTGTCACACTACAAAGTCACTTGACTACTATAGGTGCAATATTGTATAAATTGTTATTTTGATATACTGTGCTATTGAATTACTATATCTCTCGTCACAATGACCTTTTCCAGGGCCATATAGTTTCCAAGTCCCCACTTCGCATGTCTTGGAAGTCAAGACTTGGCTTTGAGGAATTGATTGGCGTAGACATAATCTCGTTGCCATGGCCCAAGCTTCGCGGCGCGTCGGCGCGTATCACATTGGAATTTGGTTGTTTTCGCGTTCAAGCGGTTCAAACCAATTACAACATCCCCCACTTTCCATCTTAGACCTGCATGCCCTTTTTAACAGAAGAAGTACTCCGTAGTCTCAATCCAAACAATGCCATGCTGCCAACGGAGTATTTCCAAGGTTTTCGGCAACTAGCATATGAGACTTGTGGTGTTAAAATATAAAGAAAAATAAGAAAAACTGCTCCACTTTTGAGGATCTTGATATGTATAAAAATTTATTAACAGAGTAGCATAAGCACAGAGTACTCCGTAGCAGTTCTAAACAAAAAAAAGACAGTGGTGAGTCTGATTCAAACTGCCCTCGATTGGGTTTAGCGTACCCGACGCGTGACCCAGAGTCGCCCTGCGCAACTCCGTCACTCCCTTGGAAGAGAACATTCCATTCATTCATACGCCGCAGGTCTTCAAACACTTCTTTGTTGATCTGCCTGGTGAAACAGGGTCTAATGCTGCTTCATTCTGACATCTTCCCAACTTCAGCCATTATCATCTGGGATCAGCGCTATTCCCCACTCCATTGAATCAACAACAACAGACTTGTGAATCCGCCCTTCAAATACTCTCGCCGACCCAAATCCGACATATTTGATCATTTCGATTGGCAAGCGCGTCAAATATCTCTTATGCAACTCTCAGTCCGTGCTTGATCGGTTGCACTTTGTCTCTCTGAGGCTCGGAACAGACAATCAACCATTGCCATGGCGGACAGACCTCAGAATTCAACCGAAGCCGCGAATGGCTCGATAGCAAAGCCTCAAATATCGCAAATTTCAAGCTTTGTATCGCCACCTGGATCAAAAACACCGCCAAGCATGCCGACCAAGCGCACGATGTATTTCCCAGACAACTCCGGCAATCGCCCGCAAGAGGGAGCAGATCCAGTTGATCCGAATGCATTAACGAAAGCTTTGAAGGAATATGAGACTGCTGGCGCTCGGCGGGAGCGAACGCCGGTATCGAGTCCGTGTCGCAAGCGACAGCGAGTCTATGGGGATCGGTATGTCCTACCTTTGATTTCCCTCGGTTGACAGCTTGCTATAAAGCGATATCAGCAAGGTTTTGTTGATTTGCAGCTAATTCAAAGCCAGTTTCATACCCAACCGCGACGGCCAAGATCTACAGGCGACTTACAGCTTGTTGCACGAAGATGGTTGCCCCTCTACTCCCTCCAAGGCCAAGAAGCGTGGACCTCATTCCGAATTACACTTCCAAAAAAGTATGTCTGCATTTTGAACCCAAAGGTTTATGCGCAACCCCATCCTAACTTTTGACGCTAGCCGACGAAGCCAACCGTACATTTTCCCGGGTTTTGCGCAGCGAACTGTTTGGAAACACCGTTCCACAACCCGACTTGAACTCAACACCAGCCGACCCATTACATGGCTTCACTAATGGAATTAATGACAAGACTCGCTCCCACACACCTCCTGCACATATTGCTGCCAATCTACCTCCTGCAAGCATCACCCCAACCACCCCTCACAAGAATCTCTTCAACTATGGACCTTCAAGGCCTGGATCTGGACACCCGACCCCTTCAAAAACCCCGAGAAGTCTCCATGGACCCAACTTAGATGTCCGGTCGGAACTGTACAGCCTCTCTCCTATCCGATACGATAGCCAACGGATACTCGAGACGCCTCGCAAACAGGCCCGTTATGTGAACAAGGTTCCCTACAAGGTCTTGGATGCACCTGACCTGCAAGATGACTTTTACCTGAATCTGGTCGATTGGGGCAGCAGCAATGTCCTCGGAGTTGGATTGGCCAATTCTGTCTACATGTGGAACTCACATACCGGACGAGTCACTAGATTGTGCGAACTGAAAGATGACACCGTAACTAGTGTTAACTGGATTCAAAGGGTAACAAACAAACCATCCTCGCTTTCAATGCTGAACAGTACTGACAAAACGACACAGGGTACTCATCTTGCAATTGGCACAGGGAAAGGTCTTGTACAAATCTGGGATGCTGAGCATTGCCGTCGGTTACGAACCATGATCGGACACACCAACCGAGTAGGCGCTCTGGCATGGAATGATCACATTCTCACATCTGGATCCAGAGACCGTCTCATCTACCACCGTGATGTTCGCTCTCCCGATCAGTACATCCGAAAGCTTTCTGGTCACAAGCAAGAAGTTTGCGGCTTGAAATGGAACACCGAAGACGGCCAACTGGCATCTGGCGGTAACGACAACAAGCTGATGGTCTGGGACAAGCTTAATGAAACGCCTCTTTACCGCTTCTCTGACCACAATGCCGCAGTCAAGGCTATTGCGTGGTCTCCACACCAGCATCATCTTCTTGCCTCAGGCGGAGGTACGGCAGACCGCACGATCAAATTCTGGAACACTTCGACCGGAACAATGATCAAGGAGGTCGACACTGGTAGCCAGGTCTGCAACCTTTCTTGGTCCAAGAACTCAGACGAGATCATCAGCACACACGGCTACAGCCAGAACCAAATCGTCATTTGGAAATACCCTCGCATGGAACAAATCGTCTCACTGACTGGTCATACTTTCCGCGTTCTTTACCTCGCCATGAGCCCCGATGGCCAGACCGTCGTAACAGGAGCAGGTGACGAAACACTCAGGTTCTGGAAGATCTTCGATAGACGGGCGACCAGAGACACCCGCCGTGAAGGGAGCAAGCTGGCTGAATGGGGTACTATTCGCTAGCCTTCCGCATTCCATTCTATCCTCTTTAATTCGGCTCTTCATCTGCATTCGCCACGGAGTTTTTACGGTTCATGGGTTTACTTCACTGGGGGTTAATCTTTGCATGGCATGAGGTGGCATTTGATCTTTCATCTTTTTATGCGTTGGGCATCTATTGCATCTTTTCCATCGGTGGTTCAGAGCATTTTACGGGTGGTCGAAGCAATTTTGCATACTCGTCGCTTCTTTTTCTCTCTTCTCTGCCTCTTTCCTTTTCTTTGCTGTTTACTTTTTCCCTACTTTTCCTTTTCCTCCTTGCTTTCTTTCGTTCAAACTCGGGCTTTTTGCTAGCCTGGTTTTACCGCTAGTGCCCTAGAGTCAACGAACACTTTCGCAACCAGGTTTATTCGAGGCTTTGAGCGGCGGCGCTTGGTGTTTCCAATGGTTGCAGGTATACGGTGTTTACGGCGGGGTTTTTTATTGCAATTTGTCTTGCATGGGTTTGCTTTTCATGATGACATGACCCCTTCTGCTTTTGGCACACGGCTGTGCTGTGCCCCCATCTCATAGAATTTAGCCACATCAACATTCATGGGATCTATGCCATGCCTGAATTGAATTGCGACTGAATTGAAAGTCAATGTTCTGTTTTTGTTGGAGTCCTGGTGGTCGTACTGTACTGTTCATGAGCCTATGTTTGTTGTAATATATGTGCTTTGTTGAGTGAAGTAATCCATTTCAAGGCAAGATCCGATTAACTATGCTACATTGAATACATTCATGATTGAGCCTCGACGTGTCGCGATCCTTGCTCACAGACCTAGAGGAAACCAAAAAAAACTCGAAGGGGGGTGTATGACAAAAAATAAATCTAGAGAACCAATCGTGCCGGCTCGACAGAAAGAAGCATCTTGATCCGCTCCAAGAACTCCTTGGCACGGACCTGCTCGTCAACAGGGACGGTCAGGCTGAAAACATTAGAAGCAGCACCCGATGCGGGCTCAACGTAAGCCGCAGGGGCAGACTTCTTAGAAGACTTGGCGCTGAGGAAATCGATAAGGTCCTCAGTGACGGGCTTGGAGCGAACAGTCTGAGGAGCCTCGAAAGCGTTCAGCTCGGGCAGGTAAGCGCCACGGGATGTGTTGATGGGCTCGGAGCCGAGGACCTCCTCGAAGAGCTCATCGGCAGAGGGCTTGAAGCTAGCCAGGCGGGGAAGGTCATCGTTGGCGATGTCGGTGGCGATGGCCAGGAATCGAGACAGAGGGACTGTCACGCCAAGGTTGTCCTGGATCTTCTTCTGGGCGGACAACACGGCCGCCAGGGAAACTGAAACGGCAACGGAAATCATGGGAGGAGGAGCGGCGACAACCTTCTCTTCGACCGCGGCTGGCGCAGCTGGGGCTTGGGCGGCTGCGATCTTAATGTTGCTCAGGTCGAGGTGGGTGAGCTTGGCTAGGGTGGCGGCTTGAGTGGCCGGGTAGTCGGAGGCGATCTTGCCAATGTATGCGAGGACGTCGCCCTTGAGGAGACGACCCTTGGGTCCAGAGGCGGGGATCTTGGAAACATCGGACTTGGGGATGCCCTTCTCACGGAGGAGCTGGGCGACCGAGGGGTAGAGCGGGTAGGCGGGGTTCTGGGTCTGAGACGAGGTCGATTGAAGGCCTATGCAGAGAGATGATATCAGTATATGGTTGGTCTTGCTTGGTCTATAGCAAGGAAGTTCAATCGAAGAACTGGGCTCAACGGAGCGACTTTCTGTTGCGGAAAGTTGTTTCTCATGAGCATGGGTTGCACTCACGTCTGCCGACACCGAATGCCGTCTGTTGTCGTCGGGCAAACATGGCCGGAATCTGACCGACGGAAATCTTGGCTGCCATTGTATGCAGGGTGATTCTCAAGAGATTGAGATGTGGGAGGTGCGATGGAGACCGGCGGGTGTCGCAACTCGCCGCGGAAGCTGGATTCGGGAGAAACGAGCGGGATCAACGAAGAGCCCACCACCACGTCGAGGCGCGCAAATATCCGAGTTCAATTCGTTTTGGGTTGTCGTTTGGAGATAATTCGAGGCAATTGTCGGAGGTGTTGAGGGTGTTGGGAGCTTTCACCGGCGGCCGGGACGGGAACATTTTTCTGCCGCTATGCTTGCTTTCGAACTGTCGGCGCTTTCCGAGGAGAACACAATTAATTGATTCCTTTTTCCTGGTAAGTTGCTAAGAAGAGTTAATTGCTCTGTGTCAATTTCCATCTAGGTCTATGGGGCTCATTTGCTGGGCCTCGTGGCATTGGTCGCTTTACTAACTTGAGTGTGGACAGGACCAGCGCAACCATGTCCGCCAGACTTCCTACCCTTCGGATCTTTTGGCGCCAATGCCTAGGGAACCCAACGCGACCTGGCTTCAAATCAAATCCGACATCATCATGGCGCTACTTTAATTCCAGTGCCCCTCACAGCAAGGCCAAGGGTGTAGCCAGAACCGTTGATTCTCCATGGCAAGCTTCAGGCATGGGTGGAAATAAGAACCCCCGAGCGCTTGCAAAGCTCCAAACAAAGGTGTTTCAGGCCGGCGAAGTGGTTCTATTCAAGGCTCCGTCTCATCGTCCATACGTTCTAACCGCATTTGGCTTGTCCGGATTCTGCTTCGCCTATGCCCTTTACAACTCCAACGCGGTCTTCCGAGATCCTGTGTTCCCACTCCCCATGTGGCAGAAGTATCTATTTGGTGGTATTTGCATCGTGATGAGTGTTATGGGTACTTTGTTCATTTCCCGAACTGGATTCCTCGTCAAGAATATCAAGGCCGTCAACTTAGATGGTCGTATGCGCGTGCTTTTCACGGTCAGAAGCATGATGCCATTCAAAAAGCCTTACCAGGTTGACGTGGCACCTGGTGATATTTCTTTCAAGCGCAGGATGACCGTGTCTCCGGAAACTGTCAAGCGCTACGAGATGGACAGCAAGAGACTCGGCCGGGGATTGGAGAGTGACCCGACATTCATGAAGTCACCCATCAGCGCATTGAGTTTCCAGTTATGGCGCACCTTCCAGTCTATGCGTCAAGTCTTCACAAACGAGGACTTCATTATTGTGCAAGTCGCAGGGCGCAAGACACAATTTCGATTGGACTCCAACGGGTATGTGTCGAATGATCTCTTGCATTTCGGGCGTATGGTGAATATGAAGATGCCATTTACTTAAAGACCGATCAACGTCATGGAGTTATTACCTTGGACTCTTCGTATCGTGTCTAGTTCATATCTGTATATCATTTTGGCATTGTCTGTCACACAGCGATAGCACAACACTTGTACTCATATTAAAGAAAGCGAGTTTTTTCTAAACATCACAGTTGACGACTGTAATTCAGAATCGAGTAACAAAGTGAACTCGGACTAGTTAGGTGTACTCCGTACGAAGTACAATTATGTAGTTGTACACCACACATTAGAGTTAGCAGCCACGTGATGGCCCCGGCGCGTCTTGAATCGACGCGATTTACCCGTTATCGCGCCCCTCACACATCTTGCCCACACCTCTGTTTTTTTGATTAACAGCGTTCTTGAATCTCTCGGCGCGTTGCTCCCTCAGGGAAGCGGCTGTCAATATGGGAAAACTCATTCGCTTGGAGCTTTTCAGTACGTGCTGGCTGATGTGCGCCTCGGGGATTTGCTAACTTTCCGCAGACTTCAAATCCTACAAAGGCCACCATGTCTTGCTCTTCGGAGATGCGTACTTCACCTCTATCATTGGGCCGAATGGCTCTGGTAAATCGAATTCGTGAGTCCTGTGTCTTTTCTAACAAAGAGCAATGTGCTAATTCACCCGCCAGGATGGATGCCATCTCTTTCGTTCTAGGAATTAAGTCGTCTCATTTGCGATCGACCAATCTCCGTGATCTTGTGTACCGCGGCCGTGTATTGCGCACATCGAAAGTGGACGGAGAGCCTGCAGCCGAGGGACGAGATGACGAAGAAGAGCAGGAAACGGAGAATATGGATACCTCCCAAGATGCTGGTGGAAATGACCCAAAGTCCGCCTGGGTGATGGCTGTGTATGAAGATGATGCTGGTGAAGAGCAGCAATGGCGCAGATCGATTACCAGCCAAGGTGTCAGCGAGTACCGCATCAATAACCGGATCGTCACCGCCCACCAATACAACGAGGCCCTCGAGGAGGAAAACATCTTGATCAAAGCACGAAACTTCCTAGTGTTCCAAGGTGACGTCGAAGCGATCGCGTCGCAGTCGCCCAAAGACCTCACCCGGTTAATCGAACAGATCTCCGGTAGTCTGGAGCACAAGGCCGACTACGAAAAGTTCAAGGCGGAGGCGGAAGAAGCCGCGGAACAGCAGACCATCCAGCTGAACCGTCGAAGAGGCATCAACTCTGAGGTCAAGCAATACCAGGAACAGAAGCGAGAGGCTGAGAACTACGCCAAAAAGGCCGATGAGCGCGATCAGGCGATCATCACACATATCCTGTGGAAGTTGTTCCACTTCCAGCGACTTATTGACGACTCAAGCGCGGATATTCAAAAGTATCAAGACGAGCTCAAGGAATACCGCCGTGGGGTTGAAAAATACGAGAAAAACGTCGAAGATGCCAAGAAAGATCATGCTCGTGTTGGGAGGGATGTCAGCAAGGCCGAGAAGAATATCACCAAAAAGGAGAGAGAAATCGAGGACCTCAACAACTCACTTGTACCTGTGGACGAGAAGATCGATATCACTCAGAAAAAGGTTGAGAGATATTCTTCAAAGATTAACGAAATCGGCAAAGAACGCACATCTCAATCGAACAATGAAAAGCAATTAGAAAGAGACTTGAAGCTTGTCGAGAAAGCTCAGGCTCAATGGGAAGCCGAATGGCAAAAGACCATGAGCAAAAAAGGCGGCCAGCTGAGCGAAGCTGATCAGCAAGAGTATCACAAGCTGAGAGAAGAAGTCAGCCGTCGTTCTTCTGCGGACTCTCTGAACCTCGACAACCTCCGTCGGCAGAGAAAGACCGAGGCCGAAGCCGTCAACAGTCTGAAGGGCAAGTTCGAAAACACCGAATGGCAACTCAAGTCTGTGGAAGCCGATGCTCAAACCATGGGCGAGCGAAAATCATTGCTTAATGACACGGTCAAATCAACTTCTAAAGATATCGAACGTAAGAAGAAGGAATTGAACGCGCTGACCTCGGAGCGTTTGAAGGTTTCTCAAATGCGCACCGAGTTAGAAGAGAAGCTTCAGGTCGTGCTGCGGAAACTTCTCGAGGCCGATGATGGCAAAAAGCAGACTGAACGCGAGGTCCGGGCCAAGGAATTGATTTCGACTCTGAAGCGCATCTTCCCAGGCGTTAAAGGTCGTGTCAGCGACCTTTGCCGGCCAAAGCAGAAGAAGTACTCTGATGCAGTCAGCACCGTGCTTGGTCGACACTTCGATGCCATCGTTGTTGACAACGAGAAGACCGCCAAAGAGTGCATTCAGCACCTTCGTGACCAGCGAGCCGGTCAGGCTACCTTCATCCCCCTTGAAACTATCCAGGTGAAGGCGTTCAACTCAAACTTGAAGGGTATGCACCGGGGTATGCGGCCTGCCATTGAGACTGTTGACTATGATGACTCGGTTGCACGTACGATTAGCTACGCATGCGGGAACTCCATTGTTTGTGACGATCTAGCAACAGCCAAATATCTCTGCTACGAGCGCAATGTGGATGCTAAAGCGGTCACCCTCGATGGAACTGTTATCCACAAGGGCGGTCTCATGACTGGTGGACGAGGTCCCCAACAGAACTCTAAGCGATGGGAAGATTCTGAGGTCGAGAACTTGTATAAATTGAAGGAGAAGTTGATGAACGACCTTGCAAATCTTCCAAAGAGCCACCGTCGCGGCTCAGAAGAGGAGACACTGCAAGGTGAACTCGTAGGCCTTGAGCAGCGTTTGAGTTATTCTCGCGACGAGCTGAAGGCCCTCGAGAGAAACCTTGATAGCAAGCGCAGCGAGCTGCAGTTTGTGAAGCAACAGATGGAAGACCTGCGACCTAAGTATACTGAACGCAAGGAAACCCTCGATGAACTTGACGAAACCATTGAAACGTCGCAGGCTTCAGTCAGTACCGTCGAGGATGAAGTCTACCGCAAGTTCTGCCAGCGCCTAGGGTACGATGACATCCGAGAGTATGAAGCTCAACAAGGCTCTCTGCAAGAAGAGGCTGCCCAAAAGAAGCTCGAGTTCACCACGCAAAAGAGCCGAATTGAGAATCAGCTCAGTTTCGAGAAGCAACGCATTCAAGCAACCGAGGACCGGATCAATGGTCTTAGGGCTCAACTTGACCGTGACCAGGCCCTTGTTGAGGAGCTACAGGGTCAGCAAGAAGAGATCCGCAGCCGGCTTGATGAATCTGAAGCGGAACTTGAGCTTCTTCGTGAAGCCCTCGAGAAGCAAAAGGAAATCTATGCGCAATCGGCAGAGGCTTTGGCTGAGCAACGCCGCGAACTCCAGAAGCGCAGCAAGCATGTCGAGGCTGCGTTGAGGAATGTCAATGCCCTTGAGGCGGAGATCCAAAGAAACTCTTCTAGTCGTTATGCTCTTCTGCGTCGCTGTAAACTCGAAGATATCGACATTCCTTTGACCGATTCTTCCAACAGCCTTGACAAGCTTCCTATTGACGATCTCGTGCAAGCCGCAGATCCTGATGCTATGGATGTGGATGAGGGCGATGTGCTGGACGAGGCTCCTGTGGTGCACGACTATGGTATTGAAGTCGACTTTGATGCTCTGGGAGAAACCCTCAAAGAGGTTTGTGTTCGCTTACATTATTGTCTTTCTTATACTGATCATTTTGACTAGGAGGCTGACGACAAGCTCGAGGAAGAGCTGCTTGAAAAAGTCCGCGTTCTCAATAACGATCTCGACAAGATGGCACCAAATGCCCGTGCGATGGAGCGACTCGAAAGCGTTGAGAACAAACTTCGCAGCACCGAGAAAGACTTTGAGGATGCCCGGAAATCCGCACGAAAGGCCAAGGACGAGTTTGAGTCTGTGATGAAGACCAGGTCCGACCTCTTCAACAAAGCATTTACCCACATTTCTGAGCATATCGGCCCTATCTACCGTGAACTCACACGGAGCGCAAATTACCCTCTAGGAGGACAAGCGTAAGTTTCTATTTCGGTCGTGACCAGAATTTGGACTAACATTTCACAGTTACCTGGACATCGAGGACTCGGACGAGCCCTACCTGGATGGCATCAAATACCACGCCATGCCTCCGCTCAAGCGTTTCCGAGACATGGAGCACCTTTCCGGTGGCGAGAAGACCATGGCCGCGCTTGCTCTGCTGTTTGCCATTCACTCTTATCAGCCATCACCATTCTTCGTGCTGGACGAGGTTGACGCAGCCCTCGACAACACCAACGTGGCCCGCATCGCCAACTATATTCATGACCATGCTGCGCCCGGTATGCAGTTCATCGTTATCAGTTTAAAGACCGGTCTGTTCCAGAACAGTGAGGCGCTGGTCGGTATTTACCGTGATCAGGTTGAGAACAGCAGTAAATCGCTGACTCTAGATGTGAGTTCTCTTGGTCTTTCTTTATATTTGCGCAGAACCATACTGACAATTTCCCAACAGCTTCGGAAGTACACCTAGGTCTTTTCGATGGTATTTATGCGGATTGTGTGATGACCTCTTGCTTTGTGTTTGCCTTGCGTTTCCGTCTTTGTAGATTATTAAGCCTGACTGGTGTTTTTCTCGTTTCTGCCCAAGTCGATTGCAGAGAGGATGGGACTATGGTTAGGCAGTCTTTTCTTGTTATCGACGAGGTTGTCAATTGATACCAGTTTTCGCATTCTCTAGTTTCTGGCTGCTCATACCTCATAGCTCATACCTAATCGGTGACAGTGATTTATCCCAACATCTATGATATTGAAACAACGTGAATTGGTAGGGTGGTTGTAGCACGCACTTAATTGATAAATACTAGGTAACGTTGATCATGCATCGAGGCTGCTATTCAACCTGTCTGCCCTTGGAAATCCAGTGCGGAACAAACCATCCACGCAAAGCGGACGAAAACAAAGCCTTGTAAGAATAAGAATAGACGCTCACTCGCAAAACAAAGCCTCGCCCCCAACTTCTTTTGATATCTCTCGGTTAATCCGTCAATAAAGTTGCGCGTCAAGCTAAGAAAACAAAGCATAAAATGAAATAGAATTTTCAAACCACGCGAGATTCACGAAGACATTGATCGTATGATAAAACAATACAATATCAGGGCTAGATAGAGCGGGACTACGCGTCATTGCCACTCTTGCTCTTAAAAGGAATCGCTCCCGAAGGAGTGTTCTCATTTTGAGCAGTGGGCTTCGCTTGTGTCATGACCTTTGTCCGCATGGCAGCTTTAGACTTGAGCTGCGCGAGCTTTTTCGCCTGAGAAAACCGGTCCGGTTGAGAGGATACATTACCGGGGGCAGCCTTTGGCTGCGGAGAAGTTTTGGTCGTGGTAGCAGCGCTGGATTGGGCAGGAGCCTCATCCTGGGCAGCAGACTTGGTCATGTTAGCGGCTGCGGCTGCCTCTTCAGCATCAATCTTGGCTTTAACCGCTTTCTTGAAATTGTCCTTGGTCTGTTCTTCTTTAATGGACTTGAGCCGGGCCATAAGTTTCTCTTTGGCAAGGGGATCCTTTGGATCAATCCTAGTCTGTGAAGTAGGCTTCAACTGAGAAGTGCCTGTGCAATGGGCGCGAATCACGATTGGAGCGGCGGCCTTGTCCTGGAGGGCGAAGGTGTCCTGAGCGACAACATTGGGCTTTTTATTAGACCATCCAGTGCTGCCGGGTTCCTCCGTAGAATTCTTTGCAAGATCCTGCATCTCAGCGGAGGCTTCATCGTGGGTGAAAGTCTCAGCCTTGCTGGCAGCCTTAATCTCAAGAACAGCTTGACTATCGGCAGTAGGCTTCACCTCGATGGTATTTTTGACTTTGAGGCCATCACTGAGAGTTGGCTTGGATGATTTCAGACTGGTGTCGGAAAGAAACGACTCAGTCTCATTAGATTTGATTTTGGTGGCCTTGAGCTGGACAGCTAGACAAGTAAGCTCAATCTCGCTGAGTGGCTCTGGCCATTGAAGAGGGAGACGGGTGAGGATAGAGTTGACCTCGGTATCATTAGTGCGAATGTGGACAGTCTCGGAACTCCGGCCCTCAATCATAAAGTCACAGGGGATCATACGGACTCCAGGCTCATGAGCACGATAATACTCAATCAATCGGACCTCGAGGCCACGAATCAATATAACCCAGCAGCGATCCTCGTTCCTCGGGGCAGTTCTCAAGTTGTGTATAGTTTGTTCCCAATCTTTCGGGAATGGTTCAACGGGGCTAGGAACGACCTTGGCGATAGTGTGAAGGATTCTTTTGTTGTCCTTGCCTTCGACCTTCACAACTTAGTAGTTGATCTGGTTTCATTCCTTGTCGTGTTCGATCTTGGTGCTCCAATCATCATCTGTATTGAAGGCAAATGCCAGCATGAAGGAGGTCAAAGTCTCCAGCTTTTGGGCGGTTTGCTCTACCTCATACGCCTTGACAAGCTCCTCGATCTCAGGAATCGCTAAGTAAGTGGAATCATGAACACGAGACGGAGCCCGGCGGGGGTTGCTTTCTGGGTTGGACATGTTTGTGACAGACGGAGAAAGGGAAGAGATATGCTGGGAATGACTTTGTTAGTGGGCTGATGGGACACACACAACGGGGCCTTTCCATCACTCTTACGCGAGTAAAGTTTTCAGGGATTTTCAAGTAACGTGAATACGTGAAGAAGGAAGTTAGTCAGGCGGAGAAAGGAAAGAAGAAAACAGAGGGAGATGAAATTTAGAAAGCAGGAATTTCAGCACGTTTGCATTGAGACTTAGTCAAAGCAAGAGCCATAAGAGATTATGAGAAGATTATGGAAGATGAGACGAGTTTGCTAATTGTTCAATGGCATAGTCACAGATTGATCTAGCATATCTTCACAAATGGCCTGAATTGCCATAATGTGTAGTACATAGATAGTCTGTGCATAGATGAACTTATACAGACATTACTTTAGCTCGACTTTTGATCTCGCTGGTTATCAACATTGAAGAAAGTCCTAGGTTAGCTTCTGGTGAGACTTGGAAGAATCACGTACATACACGCACAAAGATGTATATAAGAATACACCCTCATTTAGTGCAGATTTTACCTAATTCTAAAGCCCAGTGTAAAACTCATCTCAAATAGTCTCACTTGAATTATGATAATAGATTCATGGGAGATGAGCTATATAAATAAACCCATGGGGAAGTATGGAGACGTTGTGGACTTTAAATGATGATGCGCAAGCATCAAATATGACATATCATGTATATTGTTCGATACGCTTCAACCTTGGAATTCCCCATTAGCAGGGCTAATCTCTATTTGGTACCAGCGTGTAAGTACACATTAGGTCCATGCTAATCAACATTATATCAAGCCATGGAGCGAAACACAAGCTGTAGATTTGTTTCCTACCCCGTGCTTCTCACTTTTCTCCTTGTTTGAATTATATCATTACCGAAATTATCGAGAAATTAATCTAGATGGTGATAGAAAAGAAAGAAATCGAATGTTGCCGGGGTTATAGAGGTAGATCCAGTGGTATATATATTCTTGACCCCATACTTCCCGGTTTCCATGATTTACTTTTTCTCATTTACCCCATGCACCAATCAACCAATAGATTAGGAGATGGAGGTTTAGATCATGATGATCATGTCCATACGGGACATTCAATAGCCGACCCCTGACGCCGCCAGTGCAACGATCGGCCCTCCGCAACCCCAGATGCAACCCCCGCACTGACAGTCCGGATAAATTCCTTCCAAACAGCTATTCAGTGTATATTTGCTCCAATAGCAGACCCGATATGTGACGAGATCTGTTGATATGCTCCTGTTTGTCGCCAAACGGCAATTGAACTTTCGGGCCTCAATAACCTTGTTAGACTGAACAATCTTCAATATAAATACTAAGCTTGCCGGGCCTTGAGATCAGCTTTTACAGGCCAATCTGACAAAAGAAAACCAGAGGACTCCCCAAGCACCAGCAACGAGTTCATATTGTAGGAAAATGTTTGTTTCACTCTTACTAGGAGCGGCTATTGCCGCCGCAGTTCCAACAACCATCGAGCGAGATAATTCTGCTATTGCAGTGAGTGAGGAGGTCCCTCAAGCAGCTGGTGCTGCAGTACTGAGCCCATTTGTATCATTTTCGATCGAGTTTTCCTCTTTCCCTGACTTTGCAGGTACATAGAAGTGGCAGACAAACACCAAAAGTATTGATAACTGACACGTTTCTTAGGAAACTTATCTCGACCAAACAAGTTTTCAAAAAATCTCTTGGACAACCTCGGTGACCTCCAAGGCGTGAAGCCTCATCTCCGAGTTGGTGGCAACACGCAGTATGTACACGCAGTCCCACAATTGCGCTTCCTTCTATTCCTAACGAAAGTATAGAGACCTTGCCTTGTACGACCCAAGTCTGAAAACATCCATCAATGGTACAGTGGTTCCAGCTGTATCCTCAGACTACCCATCGATAATTTTCATTGGCCCGTCTTATTTTGAGTCGTACGCAACTTTGCCTGGTGTCAAGTTCAGCCATGGCTTTAATATGGGAAAGAACGGCACAGTTGGCATGAATACACTGCTCGCGACAGTCCCTCTGGCTTGCAAGGCTCTCAAAGGTGGCAAGCTTGCCTACTGGGAAATTGGCAACGAGCCTGATTTATTCAAGACAACCACGCCAAACAGGGTGCGACCTGCAAATTGGACAGAACAGGACTATGTGACCGAGTGGCTAGTCAAAGAGAGAGCAGTCCGACACGAGTTGAAAAAGAGTTGTCCGGAAATGGCAACAGATGCCGAATACAAGTACATTGCCCCATCATTTGCCGGCTTGACGAACAGCTTGGATGCGGTAAAGACATGGCGGGACGGAATCAATACGGATCACACTATTGCTTTGAATTCTATGCACAAGTAGGTTTTCAAGGCCTTATGCTATATCTTCATTATTCCGCTCTAATGTTTTATCAGTTACATGGGTGGCGCCGACGTGCCAGGTGTCACGCTACGGCACACCCTGATGAACCATACCTCAACAAAGCACAGCGTTGACCAACATGTCAACCTCTCCCGCACTCTCAACTCCGAAGGCCTCACCAAGGATATCCCCTACATCCTGGGTGAGACCAACTCACTCTACCACCAAGGCAAGCCAGGCCTGTCAAACTCCTTCGGTGCCGCGCTTTGGGGTGTAGACTTCAATCTATACTGCGCATCACAGAGTATCCGCCGAACACACATGCACCAAGGCACAGATTACCGCTACGCATCCTGGCAGCCCGTTCAAACAAACAAGACCACAATCGGCACCAAGGCCCCGTACTACGGGAACGCCATGGTCGCCGCAATGCTCAGCGGTGATCATGAGAGCGACAAGATTCGGGTTGTCAATCTTCCCCTGCCAGAAGAAACCGAGGCGGCCTATGCGGCCTATGTCAATGGCCGTCTGGCCCGCATTGCGGTTGTGAATATGCGGCAGTTCAACTATACAGATGAGGATACCGGCTCGGTCTCGGATTTAAGTGCCCGCCTCGGTACTAAATACTCATTCCAGATCCCCCACACCTCGGCAAAGACAATTTCTGTGCAGCGGCTCATGGCAAATGGGAGTGATGCCATCACGGGTATTACTTGGGACGGCTGGTCGTACAATTACGAATTGAAGAGTGGCGCGCCAGTGCGGCAGCACAATGTTACAGTTGGTGAATCGGTGGCTGTCAAGGAAGGGGTTGTTGAGATCGAAGTCCCGTATTCGAGTGGCGCGATTCTCAATATTTAGGCCGTGATAACGGAGAAAACACGATGTTGTTCTCCGACGGGCCTATGGCTAAAAGGGCAGAAAAGCTTTGTTGGGTGGACTTTTGCGACTAAGGCCTGAATCCACTTGGGTCTATGCTTGAATCAGTCTTATAGTCAGCTAATAACATCTGTCGAGGGCTTATTATTTTCGGTAATAATAAGCATGATTAACCTTGAAAGCCCACCTATAGTTGGTCGATCTGGATACCGATCTGTCCTTATCTAGTAAGATGCTGAATCTAGACCCTCCCTTCATCAACTTGGTGGTGGCGATATTCAGATTTGCCAAGATAAAGAATAATAGCCCGAAATGAAAGTGGAGGAACCAATGTACACCCCAAAAAACAAAAAAAGAGTGATTGCAGCACTAGCTCTCAAATAATCCCAGGGGGGTTTATGCTGAAGATAAATGCCAAGTGCGGTGAGAAAGGACAACGTAATCGATGCGTACCACTCGCATAGATACCACCACCACCCGAGCAGCTGGTAAGCCCGAACAGGCCCGTGGGAATGGGTAATAAGTACGGAGTAGTAAATTCGATCTGGAGGTGGCTACATCCATCTCTTCAAGAATGTCGAGATCAAGGCTCAATAATGCAAGCATCCTGCATCAGAATCCTGTTATCACCTGGTCAGCAATAAGCCATCTGCACCCAGCTTGTAAAGGCAATAGAATCTCAAAAAGCGGGAGCTCCGGAAGCACCACCCGCGTAACCCACATATAGCTATAGAGGGTGACTAATTGGCATTATCCAATGTGCATCTGCAGCAGGAACCCTGGATATGCTGTCACCGAACATCGAAGAAGCAAAGGGGGGCTTTTCGAATGTGGAATTATTTTGGTGCTGTACGACGGTAGTAGTGCATATGTATAGGAATAGCTGGAGTCCCGTGGCGATCCATTCGTGCGTACTCCGTACTCCGTCTAGTGTAGCCAAAATCGGAGGTACAGTATGTACATACTCTAGAAACAATATTGTATGCCAATTGCATGGATTCCGTTGTTGATCTATTCGACGGTTGGCTGTTGCGCTTCTTTCTCCTCGCACATACTTACACGCAAGGGGAATCTTCGCTTCTATTTTCCAAGCCACTGATCGAGGAGGCTTTTTGATTTGGTTTTTCTTGTGTGGGGATTGTGCATATTTGGGGTATTACAGAGTTTGGGGCCAATGCGGCTCAGGAAATAGTACCGTTTTACGTTGGACATATGTTTGCTTTGCTTTGCTTTGCTTTGCTATGCTTTGCTATGCTTTGCTATGCTTTGCTATGCTTTGCTTTGTTTTTGTGCAGTATACCTTATGCTATCGATTGCGTAGAACTTACTATCAGAGTCATCAACTAGGTATTGTGATGTCTTTTCTTTAATTTCTTCCTCACCTCCATTTTCACGAAGCATAATCAAGCTGCCTAATTGGTCTAGATTTTGAGGCCTCAATGCATAGACCAAAAGCCAGCATGTTGATCGCTAAAATGCATAAACGCCATATAGATTATTCGGGTGCTATTCTAAGTAGTAAGTGCTTATTTCATATTTGATATATTGAATTACAATATTACCATCTTGCAATCTTGAGCGGGTACGTGAATGTGGATCCGTCGCACGACAGATTCCTCCCGGAGTCTCGTCAAATGGTAACGTATAGCAAGGGGTGGTTGAATTTTCCGAATTTGTTTGGGCCCAGTCCATATGAATAGCCACGCACACCTGAAAAAAAAGAAGAAAAAAAAAGTGAATCAACACTACTCCGTACTCCGTACTCCGTAAAGAAAATAAAGAGACGGTGGAGAATAACAACGACAATTAATTAAGTTGGGCCTTACTACAGATGCAGTTTGCCGCCGCAGCTGCAGGCCGAGATTTTGGTGGCGGTGCCAGCTAGTCATGGTTTCTTCTGTTTGCTATAGCATCGAAGCATCGAATCCCCCCCCTCCAAAAGTTACCAGAAGTCTGGTAACCACAAAAAAGACATAAAAGGAACATAAAACGGTTGATCGAAGTAATGATCGGCTTTTAGCTTACACAACAAAGAGTCATCGGTCCCCCCGCTCCCAGAACCATCAAATTGTCGATCCGGGAGCAGGGAACCGATCCTAATGGTGGTTGAGGCCGGGAAAACCTCAAAGCCCCTCCTTCTTATCGATTGCCCTGTGCGTTCGAGGAATGCTTCGAGTCTAGCTCCGGGCTGCCACGTCCGTTGATGCACGATTCCGGCCGAAATAATTTGTAATTATGCATGAAGAGTCTCCTGGAGAAGATGGTCCTTGGTGGAACTTGATACCCGGAGCTAGTATTTACAGATAACCCTGGATAATATAAGAGAGCGTAAGCAAGCGAACATGTAGGGGAAAAAAGAAAAGAAGCGAAGACTCATGAGAATGCGTAAGCAATGGCTAACTGAAAATCAAATAACGGGGTTTAGTATATTTTATTGCATGTACCCGTTCGCCGGAAACCCTAGTCCTGTTTCCGCGAGCTTGGAAATAAGCTCAAGATTCGATGGCCGCTCGGATGGCAATCATTATCACCAATCAATCCATTTTTGGACCCTTAAATCAACCCCGAATACGACCAGGCTTCATCTACAGGTCTTTCAGATCCCGTTTCAGATTAGGTGGAAGACTCTCGCACGGACAGTGCTGGACCGAGCGCGCCCGGTGGGGATAAACCTACAGCAAGTACCCTCACTATCCACAAATATGCCCGTGTATGATGGAAAAAGGAAAGCGAGAAGAAAAAGACAATAAATCGTTGGGCCGTGAACATATCTGCGAGCAATTGATAAAAAGGTAAATATAATTTACTCAATATGGATATAGTACCTAAGCTGTGCATTAGTCAAGTAGCTCGTTGGGGCTTGGCTTCCCTGGGCTTGCATACGATGATCTCAGAGGCGCTAAGAATCACCGCTCTTTATTTCTTTTTCGTGTGTTTAGTGGCTGAAATGGGCAAGAAATCGCCGATCGTGAAATGTGATTTGATGGGTTGAATGTTCCTATACTTAACTATTGGGTGATCACTTAATCAGACACATCCCTCGCCCTTCGTTTGTCAAGCCCACTTGTTCTTTTTTAATGCTACAGAGACCGGAAGATAGGGGGGAGATTCGTTGGAGCTTAGTGGATTGAGAATTAGATTATCGACACACCGTCTCGATGCATGTAACCGATGGGGTAGATCGAAAAGCAAAGTTTCAGAGAAGTTCATAACTTCGTTTCTGATTTCTGATTTGTTGAAGATTTACGTTGTATTGTGGCTAATGTGTCTAAGCGCCAAACAAATTGAAGAGTAAAAGTTGAGACGTTCAATTTATGATCTCGGATGCTCCGATAGAACCGTGGATCGAACATGCCTAAGTGACACTCATCCATGGATCATCCGTGGACAGCCCTAAATAGTGTCAGTGCGCAGACCGGACTCGACCCAACAATTGCAAAGGGGCATGATCGTGAGATGCAGGAAATGACACGGAAGCCTTGATATTGCCACACACTCTGCTTTGCAGCTATTTCTTTTTCCTTGCATTAGCACCAAAAGACGACTCGTACCTTCAGGGGACACCGATGTCATGTGGAGATTGACCAATTCTCGGGGTTTGGCGTCGGGACTGGAAGATCATCAATAGGCCCCCCCATAATCGTGGTCTATATCTACTTCTTCTAGTCCCTGCCAGTCGAAGGTTGGCGGAACTATTATCCTTCGGCAAGCTGCGCTCACCCCTGTCAAGAGGGTCTCCAGTACAACTATTATTAAGTACTCGTTGACAGACGCTGTGTCATTTTGTTATTGTTTCGCACATCGTCTTCTGCAAAAGACGCCCACAGCAAAACCACTCCGCCTAAACCAAACGTTCTCATACTTTGCATCATGGATACCAATCGAGGGTTTGCATTTCCCGGGGAAGGACTCGAACGAAGACACTCTGATACTTGCATCCCACAGCAGCCAATGGCCATGGTAAATGACTTTCCCCAGAAGGTTGACAAGTGTATAGTATTGGGAGCGAAGCTGAGATTGATTTGAACAGCCAATGACTACTCAACATCAAACCACCGAATTTCAAAACCCACCCCCGCACTACTTTATGGTTTACACAGATCATAATGGTCAAGTGCACTATGATGCTTCCGCTTCTTTCGCGGGATGTGAAGGGGCCATATTCACACCAGATGTGACGAGCAGATTCATGGAAATGACTGGCCAAGCCAACCAAAGCAGCTCTCAATTTATAAGTAAGCCGAACATATCTAAATCTTAATATCTAGAACTGCAAGATTGATCCATTTCTCCTTGCAGGCCCCTCGACCCAACCACCCCACTCCTGGGATCTACAATCTTCTGCGTCGTGGGATCACCCCGCCCAGGCAAGACGTGCCGATCTGATCCCATGCGAATTGACATCAAGCCAAAGCCGGAAAAAGGCAAAGAGGACCGGGGGCATTGTCAAGTCCCGACCCAAGTCTATCTCTCCACCACCACCAACCGCACCACCAACCGGACAGACTGTGTTGAGGGTGGGCAACCGGGCGTTGCTGCGACGATACTACGAGAAGGCATTTGAGGACTTCCAGCAGCTCAACTGCCGTGCTATCGCCAAGTCTTATGTGAAGCTTGTCGAACCGAGGAAACAGGTTCATTATCCGTACAATGGACGTCGATCTATTGCCGGTGTGACGCAGACCGACAACCCAGAGCAAACCAAGCCTGGATGGTGGCCTGCCGGTGTGGTGCACAAGGAGCCGGATCATCTTCTTAAGCCAGGTAATGGTGTCTCAGAAATCGCATTATGATTAAAATAATAACTTATTCGCAATTAGATCGATTGCGACTTCTCGTCCACATTCTCTGTGAGTTGAAAGACAGCCACGGAGTCACCACAGACAAGTTGCGAGATGCCGGTCAAGATGTACGACGTCAGATTACACCTGCGCACCGACTGTGCGTTCTAGATGAGATCTACTATGTACGACGCATGGAAGAGAGATACCTGGATGGGGAAATTGGTAGGTGTCACATCCTAAGACACAAAACCTTATTAAGAGCTCCACTAACCACGAGTCTATCCTATAGATGCGAACACCATGATTCAGGTGTCGCAGACTCATCTCCCGGAAGCCATTTTCCATGACAGCAATGAGCTTCCATCTCGCGCACATGCAGCACCAATGACAGTGTCAGCACACAAAAGAGAAAACGCCATGCTCGATCCAAGCGATGACTCCAATATCCCTACGGCTGACGAGGAAGATTCGAAAATGCATCACACGCACGGTCTAGTACCTCTCTCCCCCACGAATAGTGAGTCCAGTGGATCGCACAGCCCGACAGGTGGATTTGGATACGGATTGCCTATGGCACCCTCGGTGCATGTAATCCCTCCTCATGAGTCACCCGTCGCCCCGAAGCCTATGCAGGCGAGTCCTGGCTATCTCAATGGATATTATACGCAATCATTTGTGTCCGATAAAGGACCCGCGTACTGGCCGCATACCAACCCTGTGTCGCAGTACGGATACTGAGGCTTCTGTTTTTATATTCTCCTTCTTTTTTTTTCTTTTAATAATCTACGGATGGAGTTGGTGAGCGTTAAGCGGGGGAATATTCACACTATTGGTTATTGAGTTGAGCTGTGACCTCACTTTTATATACGGGAAGTTTGGGCAAATGTGTCATTAGAGCCAAATATATATTGAATGGAACATTTTATGTTGTTTATTTGCCTCCATGCAATAATTGAGGCAAGAAAGAAGAAGGTCAGTCGAGTGATAATTCATCAGATCTATAAAGTTTACGGCCTGAGGCCAGAATATCCCACCTGGGTTAAAGCGAATCTCTGATTGGATGCCACGAGTTGATGCGATGATCCCCAAGCGTCATCTCTCCAACCAACCATTGAACACATCACAAGCACACGTCAATTTCGTACTCTCTTGCTGGTTCTGAGAATAACCTCATCTGTTAGTGACTCAAAACCAAGAACATCTTTGGCCGTTTTCGTGACATGCACCCGTGATCCGCATTTGTTTACTCTTTGGATCGCCAACCACATCGTGAGTCTCCAGTGACCTGCCGATCAGGGTATGGTCACTGTCCTTTTTTTACTCCTCATGCCTCTCATATTTAGATGTTGATGCCTGCTGAGCACTCACATCTATCAACATATTTATATATGCGTTCTGCTCTTTGAGCTTGTCAATATGGGCATGCTAACATTCAACCGCTTCCTCAGCCGACCATACCCCAACTCTCGGGACGGCCCGACGATATTCTTCTTTCAGCAGCAGTTTTTGATGGAAAACACCGGCTCAAGAAGAAAGTCCGACATCATGTCAACCGAATCTCTGGCTTCCACCCCAGGCCTGGACGAGATCGATGCGCCCTTCCCTGCGGACGACTACGCCGATAACGATGGCTTCTACTCCCCTCCTTCATCCCCTGGCAAGCTGTCGCGCAACGGCTCTTTTTCCAATAGCAGCTCATACCAGGAAGACTGGGACACATTTCCACCGCTGGACAAGCTCACCATCTTTGATCTGCTCGACAACTTCCAACTCTCGCAGCGTTTGGAGAAGTGGCAGCAAACCATCGCCATGCAGAAAGAGAAAGTGCGCCAGCAGCGGGAAAAACTCAAGTCCTCGTCCTTGAATGCGAAAGATCGCGTGGTGGGTGAATGGAAACGTCGCGCACCGACCGCTGATGAAAAGCTGGAAAAATACCGCCAACGGATGAACCAGGGCGTGGAACGACTGGGAAAACAGTGGAGCAAGACAGCCACTGTAACTCTCCGAGAGAAGATGTCCTTCATTGCCGGTGTGCTCAATATATTCATCAGTGGCTACCTGATCGGTGCTTACCCAGAGTACTTCCACATCTGGTTTAGTGTCCAGTTGGCATATTTCATGCCCATTCGCTACTTCACCTACCAGGCCAAGGGATATCACTATTTCCTGGCTGATCTCTGCTACTTTGTCAATTTGCTCTGCATGCTGAGTATTTGGGTCTTCCCCAACTCGAAACGACTTTTCATCAGCACTTTCTGTCTGACCTTTGGAAACAATGCGGCAGCCATTGCTATGTGGCGCAACTCGATGGTGTTCCACAGCATGGACAAGGTTGTCAGGTTGGTGTATTTTCCATGCGCATCAATAGCTTTTACTGATCCTATTCTATAGCCTCTTCATCCATATAATGCCGCCAGTTACCTTACATTGCATTGTCCACTTGACGCCAGTTGAACGGCTCAAGGAGCGATTCCCTGCAGTGTACAATATCAAATTCAGTCAACCTTCGGACCCAGAGCATTATGGCCTAGGTGCTATGATCCTTTGGTCCACAGCCCCCTACCTGGTGTGGCAGCTACTGTACCACTTTCTGATCACCGTGCGCCGCCGTGAACAAATTGCCGCCGGTCGTCCGACCAGCTTCACATGGCTACGCAAGTCCTACTCCAAGGCCTGGATTGGGCGCTTCGTTCTGAGCCTCCCAACAGCGCTGCAAGAGCCATGCTTCATGTTCATCCAGTATGGGTTTGCCCTATCCACCATGATTCCCTGCCCGATCTGGTTCTGGTCCAAGTGGGCCAGTGGACTTTACATGTCGGCCCTGTTTGTCTGGAGCATCCACAACGGAGCAACTTATTATATTGATGTCTTTGGCAAGCGTTTCCAGAAGGAGCTGGAACAGCTCAAGGCCGATGTTGCACGTTGGCAGAGCTCCCCTGAAGGAACAAGTAGCCCAATACTGGTCGCGGAGCCCAGTCCGCTCAGTGGAGCAATCGATGTTGCCAGTGGAGGGAAGCGCAGTAGCGTTGATCGAATTCCGTTGCTTGATACTGCCGATGCCTCTTCAACTGCTATCCCAGAGGATAGCCTGGACAACAATTCTACTCTTAGAGCGCGAAATTGAGAAACCGGGGAAACTTGCTTCTTTTGATTTTGCTATGATACCACTGGGGAAGATACGATGTGACCTTGTTTTTATGCCATCGTTTTGCCTTGTCTTTCTCTACGTTGTATATACCCTCGTTGATTTTTTGGACATCCGGATCTTGAGATTGTTAAGTGAATTTTGAGATTGGCCATCTTACTCCATAGCGTGAATTATCTGATTGATCTGATAAATGAACAATTTAATATATTTGATCCAAGGTTTTTACTCCTAAAAATATTTCTTTCCACCCCGTTCTAGACCCGGATATCTATTTAACCCCGAACAAACCCCGACAGTCAGCAGTCACGTGCAAGACGACTGCGCGGCTGTACATCACAACATCTCATCGCAACCGGTTCTAGGACATTCCAACTTTCTGTAACCATCACTTTAATACTGTGATTTGTTTTTGTTCATCCAGTCATACTTCAATCGATTGGTGTTCTCATTGGTGTTGCGCTACGACCTCGCAATCTGTCTTGAACATCTACTTTTTTTTTCCCTCAACACTTCCGCAAATGTCCGCAACAATGAGATCGACCGGGTTGGTCCGCGGAACCCCTGCTTTCCGGTCTGCACTTATCGGTAATTACTGAGATATCCTCAAAATACGATGGCGTCGACGAAGGCTAACTTTTTGTCTCTTGTATAGCCCGTAATCGCTCCAGTGCTTTGAGCCCAGCCTCTGTGGCAGCCCGCAACCTCCTCCGAAATGGCCGCGATTTACCCTCTCAATTGTCCGCGCTTGCTATTCTGATGCCGCAGCGTGGCTATGCGACCGAACAATCTACATCCAACTCTTCCCAGAACTTCCCTCCGCCAGGGTTCAACGCTGAGCAGGCGAAGAAGCCTCTGTCCCAGGATCAGACTGCACAATCGCAACAGACTGTTGCTAAGAACCAGACTGCCCAGTCAGACGCTAGCAAGACACAGTCCGCCGGAACTGTCTCAAAGACCAACCCTGAGGATATGAAGGTGGCCGAGAAAAAGAGCACCAAAAGCTTGACATTTGGACAGAAGGTCAAAAAGGAATTGCAGCACTACTGGGATGGCACCAAACTCCTTGCTACAGAGGTTAAGATTAGTTCACGGCTGGCATTGAAGATGGCCGGTGGTTATGAGCTCAGTCGCCGAGAGCACCGTCAGGTTAGTTTCTATAAAACGACAGAGAACTCAAGGCTTTATTTTGGCTAACTTCAATTCCAGCTTCAACGGACTACCAAGGACTTGGGACGTCTTGTTCCCTTCTCTATGTTCCTCATCGTTCCTTTCGCCGAACTGCTTCTTCCCGTCGCTTTGAAGATTTTCCCTAACCTTCTCCCAAGCACCTACGAGGGCCAGAAGGCTCGCGAGACCAAGGCTCGGAACCTTAGCTCAACCCGCAAAGAAGTCTCTAGTTTCTTGCGCAACACTCTCCGTGAAACCGGTCTGCCTTTGACCGCCGCTACTGTCAAGAACGACGAGTTCGCAGACTTCTTCCGCAAGATCCGTACTACTGGCGAATCACCTTCCACCGAAGATGTCATCAAGGTCTGCAAAATTTTCAAGGATGACTTGACCCTCGACAACTTGTCCCGACCTCAGCTCGTCGGCATTTGCCGTTACATGAACCTGAACTCGTTCGGCACAGACGCTATGCTCCGCTACACTATCCGACACCGCATGCGTCAAATCAAACGTGATGACCGCGCGATCTTTTACGAGGGTGTTGAGTCGCTCTCCGTTCCTGAACTTCAGATGGCCAGCGCCTCCCGCGGTATTCGCACGCACGGTGTGTCCCCAGCACGCCTGCGTGAAGATCTCGGCATGTGGCTCGAGCTTCGTCTGAAGCAGGGTGTCCCCTCGACACTGCTCGTCCTGAGCAATGCTTACCTGTACACCCAGGGTGGCAAGGAGTCCGAGATGGCCTCCCAGATTGATGCACTTAAGTCTGTGCTTTCTAGCATTCCCGAGGAGCTGTTCCACGAGATCGAACTCGAGGTACACAATGCCGAGGGTGCTGCCACCAACAAGCAGCGTCTTGAGGTCATCAGGGAGCAGGAGGAGTTGATCGAGGAGGAGAACGAGCAAAACAGCGAGAATGAGGGCAAGGGTGTCTCCGCGCCCAAGGATATCGAGGATATCGATGAGAAGGAAGAGGCGAAGCAGGCCGACGAGGCTAGTGAGGCCATGGCGGAGGGTGAGCGTGCCGAGCAGACCCCTGAGTCCAAGGACACGAAGAAGAGCGAGAGCTCCTAGTTGATATAAATATGCTGGCGATTTGTTTTTATTACATTACCAGGTTTTGGGTTGCGCGTGTCATATAGATGGTTACTTTTGTTTTTCTGTTTGGGTACCCCTTCACCTTCTCACCTTGTGTTATTTTTCTCCGCTACGTCGATAGACCATTTACTCCCCACCTCTCTACACTTTTTATTTCTCTTTTCCAACTCCTCCCTGGCTGTTACACTCTTTTGATTCCATTTGGCTGTTATATAGTCGAAAAATTTGATTACCGCATAAGTCGATGGCTGTAAAAGCGAACAAAATCTACAATCTAGCAAACCCACCTTTTCTCACAATGATTCCATTGCATTAGTATCACATCAAAGTCGGATGTTTGCCGGTTACACTATTAGTAACCGAGCTTACCTCGGCTCCGTATGTTGGGAAAACCCCAACTTTCCCCAGCATAGTCGCTCAAGTAGCTCAATACATTATTGTATATCGAACCCCACTCCCTGTCATGCGGAAAAAGCTGCTTCCAGCAATTCGCCGGTTTAGCAATATCCCACAGAAGTGCAATCAACACTTCGAACCCAAACAATTCAGCCTCAATAGGGACATCAACCCTCCCAAGCCCAAGCCCCGAACCTCCGAGATAATGGCGCCCCTAAATCACGCCTCCCAGGTATGTGTAACTTGTTCTCTGCAGCTTCCCGACGAGACCGCGTGTCGCCCAGCGTATTGTGAAAAACTGCTGTGTCCGTTTTGCCATGGATGCAGATTATCCCTGTTCCCCTACCGGTTTTCCCCTGTTCCTTGCTTCCCCCTGCCTTAGCCACGGGTTGTCTTAAATTGCCATGTTGTTTTTTTCTTTTTTCTTGCATGAAGATCGTTCCCTATCAAGAGAATGGAGGCCACGGTTCATTTGAGTTTCGGCTTCAAGTCTTACATCTTACGGTCTTGAAACCTGTGTGATGCACTATGGAACATTCTCTTCGGAAGACTATCCTGAGACCGAATCTCCCACGTTCAAGATCAAGCTCCAGATTTTGCCTTATTGAAACCGAGACATCTTTTCACCGTTTTTTGCCTGGTTACTTTCTCTCCCCGTGGATGCCCATCCCGCCGTGCAATAGCGGCGTTGAAACCCAACCCCCGGAATTCAGCCCCCAAAAAAAGCATATGGAATACGGAAGTTTATGAGTGAAGAGGATATCCCGTTAATAGTTCCTAGGAAGCAATCACCAGACTCCGAAATTACATCCCCCCGCCAACAACATATGACTCGCTCCCGCTTAGCAGGCGAGCGGCAGTGCTCATACTCCTATATGCGGACGCCAAGGGGGATCTCAGGGTGGTTGTTACGATACGGGCTAAGACACTCAGTTCGTGTAAGTCTTGACTTTTACGATCGTGCGCAGTCTGACTTTTAGGTCGTGCCTGCATGACATGGATGGTTTGTTCGGGACAAGCTAACCTTGTATAGACGCAGGAGACGCTGCTTTGCCTGGAGGTAAGTATTCACAAAAGTACAAACAGAAAAAGAAAAAGAAAAAAAAAATATATATCCTAAAAAGGAAAAAGAATCAAGCAAAAGATGAACGAAGGAATGAAAACAAACGAGACTGAAAAAAAAATAAAAAACAAACAAAATAGAATGAGCAAAAGAAATCGAGTCAAGCTCGACAAGAAGGCGAAGCTGAAGCCGAAGCCATTAATTACATTACCACTCGGGAATTACATTCTAACATTCAAGCTCCAATCTAGGCCGAGCAGATACAGAAGAAGAAACGGCCTTCCAAACCGCGCGCCGCGAAGCAAGCGAGGAGATCGGTCTCCCCGATAGCAATGCGAAATTCCCACCCCCCTTCAGCGTGGAGCACCTCTGCGAGCTCCCGGCAAATCTTGCCAAAACGGAGCTGGTAGTGCGTCCCTGCGTTGCGCTCCTGCACGGCTATGATCCGCAGTCGGGGCTGAACGCTGATCCTGAGGTGTCACTCATTCCAACCCTAGACGCTAGAGAGGTTGCGGCTGTTTTCACTGCACCATTAATGGGGTTCTTGAAAAGGAACCTAGATGGGGATGAGTGGTATCGCGGAGCTTGGAGTTTGTGGCATAATGAGAATTGGCGAAGTAAGTTATTTTTGTTTCCTTGCTATTTTATAATTTTTATTTCTATTTCTATTTCTATTTCTGGTTGTTTTGTTTTCTTTTTTGGGGGAACTTTTCCAGAGTGGATGGAGTACGGAGTATACAACAACTACTTCATACACATGGAATTGTCGCACCAACCATGCTCAAGGTGGATATCATGACACGGCATCTTTATTTTTTAAAATCTTGTTTCTTTTTTTGTTTCTTGTTTTCTTTAACAAATTTCCCCCCTTCCTTCCCTTTGTTATCAAAGTTCCAGAAGAGAGAAAAAGGGGCCGAGAAGGGTAGTCCGACAGTGGATACTAACGACGCCACTAGTGCATCAATTCTTTGTTCGAAATACAAGGAATGAGAAGAATTCCGCGTTGAAGGATGGGCATAACAAGAAAGAAGAGGAAGTATATCGAATCTTTGGCATGACAGCACGGATTATCGTCGACGCAGCAAGAGTTGCATATGCACAGGAACCCGAATTCGAGCATAATAGTCACTTTGGAGATGAGGAGATGATCGCCAAGCTTCGACGGTTAGGCCGATTGAGTGCCGTTCGTAAAGGCTCGGATCAATTGACCCGCCAGACAATGGAGAAGGCAGCTAAATTGAGTTAGTTGGGATTTAATGAAGAAAAGCGACATGTCAGAGTTGCCTAACCCTTTTAGTACTCCGTAGGTGTTAACAAGTCCTAACATGTGCCTAGTTTATGAGTTGTAGGCCTAACTCCGTCTTTATCAGAACCAATCGTATCATTTGTTAGGCGGAGCAAGGGTTGATGACGATCCGGCGTCCTACAGTTTCTATTTGCCTTGCGTACGGAGTAGTTCGTTTGCCAATTCTTTTTTGTTATTATTTATTATAATACATTAAAATATTATTCTATATTAGAGATCACAACCTACAGTAGAAGTAGTCCGTGCACTGGGTCTGTATAATATTAGAACCTCTCGTCCACTTTCTAAACTCTTTGTCTTCGAGCTGATGATACTCTCTCATTATTTTTGGTCTCGGACTTTCTTTGTGATCATTTGGAATACTTGACTGATTCATCATGTTGTCCCCAACATTCTCTTATAGCCGAATGGCTCCTCCCATTCACTCTTCTCGCTCACTCGAAGGACTCGAGCGAGTTGTACCACCTCACTCACCCAAATCCCCGTTTCCCCGCGATCTGTTCCTCAACAAGCCTCTTCCCGCGAGACCACTCTCTGAAGAACGAGAGTGTGCGATGTGGAGTGACTCCAGCGATAGCGAAAGTACAGTCGACAGTATCGCCAGTGAACCCCGCAGCTCAGCCGACAGTTACCCCATTTTCGTTTCTGGCTCTGACGACTTCGAGTTGGCCGATCCCCCGACTCCATCCGCCGATCTTTCTCTGACTCCCGTATCTCCACTTCCTCCACTCAAGCGCACGGACGCCATAGATATCACAATCGACGAATCAATTGTTCAGCCATCATCAGTTTCATCTTCGCTATCAGAAACACAATACGGTCGTTCGCCGCAGTGGACGCAAAGTCGCACAGGTGCCAATCACTATTTTCGAGAAAAGAAGTGGGATTATTTTCCCGAACTAGCAACTCCTTCAGCCTTACAAGCCAGTGGCCGTGTGAGTCCAAACATGGTCGCACAAAATAAGCCCCGCAAGAAGGGCACGATTTCCGCCCTAGAATTTGCCAAGGGCAAGTACCGCTGGCATTCACTCGATCGCGGTGGTCTAGGCGGAGTCCGTGAGTCAATCAAAACCTATGTCCATCGCACTCTCTCCCGCGAGACACCCCCCACAGACAATAAGCACCACGAAGCACCGCGCCCGGCAACAGCACCAATGGACCATCACTTAAATGATGCGTCCAGTATTCTCGGCCCCAAAGGCTGGGAAGCCCAGCCCTCTTTGGTTCTAGACACAACCACCGCGGTCAGAACTATATCCGTGGCGACATCTCCGAGCACCGAGTACGACTACACCAAACAGATGTTCCACCTGCAAACCCCAATCTCGCCTACTTTCTCTACCTCCCCAGCCTCCACGGTATCTTCAAACTCTCTTACAACACCCCGCCAAAATCAACTCGCGGTTCCACTCTCGCCATACCAAAAGCACGGCCCTGCGATCTGGGAATCACCAAAGAAAGCCAAGCGCACTGTACAATTTCTCAAATACAAGACCTCGCCTACTTCAGCGGGTGCTTCTTCATCATCTGCCCCCGAGCTATCATTAACAAATGCCACACCTACGTTGGCTCCACCGCTCAAGCAACTCCAGCAAAATACCCGTGGGGTCTTCCTGGGGGCCAAGAAAAAGATTGTGGAGTCGAAGGATGATCGCAGGCGGGAGCTGTTGAAGGCCCAGATCAAGTTTGTTGGGCCTGTTAACCCGCATACCTATGTGCAATCTGATCCATGGGTTTAAAGGATTCTATTACCTTGCGACTTTGGCTTGTTTGATTATGTTGGCTTTTTGTTTATTTATATTGTTCTTCAGCACTCATCCTTCATCTTACGACTTCTCACGACATCATCACATACCCACACTTCTTCTGTTCATTTTGGCTTTTTGGTTTTGTTTTCTTCTACTGCATGGCTATTACTCCACCCTCGCCAAGCGTTTGCTTTACATCCAGTCTTCGTTGTCCACCAACCTCTCATTATATACCAAATTTTCATTCGTGTTCCTTTCTTCTTCTATGAACATTGGGGTATCTTCAAGGGAGGGTTTCTGGCTTTACTTGATTCTAGCTGCTGACTATACGTAACTATTTAATCTGAATTTGTTCCACAATTTATCAAAACCAGTTTCACTTTTTATCTACAATACCTAAATTCATCCAAGTCATATCATTGTAATATAAGTTCTGCAGCATATCCAAGTCTATATCATATGATTGTATAGCTAGCAAAACGCATGCCTGTCTCCTTACTTACATATACATATGCGCCGCACGGACGCACCAACGCTGATCGCCAGTCAATCATTCCAGTTCAATTTCATACCCGTCTGCCTTGACAGTCTAATCTGAAGACTCCTAATTCCAGCAGGGGCAGTGTTTCAGTACTGGCAGCCATGGTCTTTCAACTGGTCGGGTTTGAACCATGTTAGGCCTGGAACTATCTACCAGGCCGGGTGTGCATATTTGTGTAGGACGAGACTTGCACTAGGGAGTACAAACACCAGTACTATACATACATATATACATATGTGCGTAGGCAAGCATGTAGGTATGTAGGTCTCTCATGAATTAGAAACCCGAATCGTTCTCTCGAATGTGTAACACATACCTCGTGTCGATGCACAGTTCTTGCGTGAACTAGCGGTGTCCAACTGCGATGAGCTGGTCGGTTTAATCATTAGTTCTACGTAGGTTGCACAGTACATGAGACCGATTTAAGTTGTTAGTCTTAGACTTTCGTTGCGCAGCTCTGTGACCCCCGCATTTAAGCGACAGTTGTCACCGACATTTGCTGTGCCTGTGCCTGTAGGTCAATGCGGTAGTTTATGCATCTGAGAGTTTGATCGGCTCGGTGATGGGTCATAATTCTACGATGATCTAGATCTAGTATGCATTCGATGTTTGCTACAATGTCGTACATGGATTTGTTACGTCATAGGTTTCGGCTTTTGTTTGTTATCTATAACTTACATATTTGTGGCTTTGGAGTTGTATTTTATGTGGATAATTGAACAACCCCCACTAAAGCCTAGAACATTATTGTGTTGGTATCGGGGAACTCCGTGGGTAATTCAATTGGGCGCGCAGAGTACTTACTTTTAGTCTGAATCAATAAAAGTCCTCTTTTGATATCTGAGGCATCAAATATGTGATAGGGTAATGGAATTTCTCAACCTTGGGACGAAAATATCAATGACGCCTTCACTTTCGAAGATCCAAACTGTGGGGAAATATAACCCTAATTAATGGCCATTGTATTGGTTTCCAGACGATAATGATCTTTATAATCACAACCCATGATCATATCTCCAGGACTAGGTAATCATTTCCCGTTTAAAGAAGCTCATCGGACATCAGACACTTTGTCCCTAATTATATCTCAACAATCTACAATAAATACATCCTTGATTTCCATACCCAACCACTTAAATTGAAACTACAACATGTCTGAACGTATGTCAATGACTTGGCAGTGAATATCTCAAGCTAATGGTACCCACAGAGCCCAAACACCGCAAGGGAAGCTTTGGAGGCTTCATGGACCGGATGCTTCATCCTGGTCACCATGACAACAAGGATCATCCCAATCAAGACAAGGATAACCATGAGCCTCAACATGAGGACGAGCCAAAGAAGGAAAGCGAAGCAGACAAGTTCAAGGACTACATCAAGAAGGATGAGCAAATGGAAGAGGAGGGTAGAACTTATGGAGGCTTGATGTGACCATTCCGTCTACATATGTTTCCTGATGCCCTGATGAGCTTGAATTATGAGTAAAGTAAATTGATATTTAGTAAACTATATAATGTTATTTGATGCTTTAGTGATAACAGTATATTTGAGCATTGAATGAATACCAGGCTAGACCCCGGCATCTGAATTTGCCCCGGATTATAGTGTCTGCTAGGCTTTGGTGAGTTAGGTGCGCAAGAGGCAGGAAACGGGCCATAAATGTGATGAAATCTACAACCTTAGAAGTAACAATTTACAATACAGTACTTTCGAAAATTGGTGTTGCCAGCTACATTCCTTCATTGTTTCTCAAATCCTAGTGCCAAAAAAACGCCTTTGGAACGGCTCTAGTTTCTAGGCGATGTACCGTACTACCGGATTGTTGTATTAGCCTGGCCTGTGCTTATTACATGTCATAACTGGACACCTGCTACTTCGGTGCTATACGATATCATTCCCAATACTGAGGACTTAGTTGACCAGTAATCATTAGACCAGTCATGGAGTGAAGCATGACTCTCAACCTAGCCAATTATGCGCTCGTATTTATACATGAAATGATAACTAATGGCGAACTGACGGACTTTCAGATAGCTGAAGCTGCCAATTGCCGCAAGCGCGCAATCATAAGGATCTGGTCTAACAGTCTGAACTGCGACTACAGTAATTCTCGAAATCACTTTCGCCAACTAATATATGATGATGTTTTTCCCGTCCACTGCCAAGTCTTTAGTATGAGAGGATTAGTGAGCTATTACTCCCAAAAACAGGACCTTTGCAAGCCATGCGCTTCTTGAGCACTCTTTATGTCTTGATATAGGTAGCATTTGCTGATAAATATCCAGCGTGCCTTGCTTTCTGTGCATATCATGTGCTCGAAGTCTGGCTGTAATAGTTTTGTAGTCACAAAGTGAGATCATGCAAGAGCCAGCATTGCTTGGAGATATTGTGCATGGTATTCAAGCTGCAACGTAGCAACCGTAATACAAATCTAAGTCAGGTTGTCACCTCCGTTTTCCATTGCTTCTGACACGTACTGTAGCATGTGGTTGTTTGTACAGCAAAGGAGGCTATACAACAAGGCTGAACATTGAGGCTGTGCCAGAGAGCCTTGCTTACCCCTCTTTTTGAAGTCGACAGATGAAGAGGCTCACTCCCCGAATCAATTCAGTCAACCGCAAAAGTAGAAACTCCTGATCATCGGCAGTATCGGCAGGCATGGAAGCAGTTAGCTTAGCTGGTACTATTGTTCAGTTCACGCAAGTTGGGCTGCAATTTTTCAGCCGCTTCCTCGCTTTATATCGATCAACAAATGGAACACTCGAAGATATTGCTGACAAGGAGAAGCAGATTGAAGCCCTTTTGAGGGATATTGCCTCTCTTGAAGCCATCCCTTTTACTCAGATTGATAATGAACACATAAAGGCTTGCCGCAAAGTTCTCGAACAGCTGTCGCAGATGATAAACTCAACAAAGGGAAACGGGAAGCGGCATGTTATCTCTAATTTCAAGGCTGCGGCCTGCGCAGTCAGAAATAAACAACGATTTGAACAATTAGATCGTCAGCTAGTTTGCTCGGTACAAAGCCTACAACTGTGAGTAGCTTTCTTGTTCTACCTTTTTGTCACCAGAATAGTTCGGAATCTGGTGAAACGAGCAATGTGCTGCATTCTGTGGGGGTTCTGTACAGAGTATGCTAATATGAATTAAGGAGCGCGGGTGTTCAGCACGAACTTGGGCTGCGGTCGATACACGAACAATTAGATACTTTGGTACTACTGTTGAAACCACCGTTGGAAGTGCCATGTTCGCAGAAGCCAAAGGACATGGGAAATCCGTGGGAAACGGGGGCACCTGAGGAACATATCCGTATTGATGACGGCCTTGATCGAGACTACTTTCTGCCTTTGAACCTTTGCTGTTCACAAGAGGTATTGATGGCTCTCCAAAAAATGACTATGACTAACTACTAGTTATAGGAGTTCCTGAAGCTTCTCTTGCACAAGTTTGAAGCGAATGACCTCCCCGGGTCAGACTTAGTACGATATGCTCATTTGGAGCTATGGAGCTGGGACGGAAAGACGAAACTCGATAATGATACTTGGTATATGCATGTTACATCAGGACGAGGACTCAAAGTCTCCTTTGTGATGAGCACCTGTATGGGTTTCGACCATTTCGCATGTGTGCGCTGTGGGGAGAAGCAGGTGGAGACTGTATACCGCCGGAAATATACTACATGGTAAGCTATTATGAGCCCTGGTCAGGATAACAAAGCCGAATGATATGTATATAGCCCCCGGTGCCAATTGCAATTTCGTTGGGTAGAGCCTGGCGACATTCCCTATGAGACCAGGGATGTGGCGCTCCTACCCTTCAACGGTGAGGTACCCGACGACCTAGTGTCCGGAGAATCTTCGCAGCAGAGTCAAAGTCAACCTACACGAGCGGCGACATGCAAAGATGATACACAAGCTATCGAGAAAGTTTGCCGCCGACTGACCATGAAATGGGAGCCTATATGGAATATCACGCATCGATATCTCTACTGTCGTTGCGTCTTGCGCAGATCCACCCCATCGTCACTCTGCCCGGAGATTACCATCCTCATCAATCATAGATGTCCTCGACACAGCAGGAAGGTAGCTACACACGCCGACTACGGCGATGTGGACTACCATCAAGATCCATATTTTGATCAATTTGGAGGTTATAACGCATTTCGTGCAATGGTATATTCGATATTTCCAGATATGTATGACAAGGCTCTTGGTGGATATGCTTTCATACCAGAGAAAGAGCTGCGTGGCGTTCTTGACGATTCGATATCTGCAATTGATCGACTGGGAGAAACGTTTGAGGATGCAGTTCATGAATACATGTACGATGTGTTTGAAGACGCCGATCGAATGGGCATCCCGCTTCCTGATTATGCCCTTGAAATTATCCGTGTGAGTCGAGAACAGACACAGGAAAGCAAGATGCAGGACTCCCTTGTTCACCCAGATGCTTTCAAAGACTTTCTGGAGTGCCCGATGATGCAAGAGGTTGAAGATATCCTACATGGCCGATGGTCGAGGAAGCGGCATTGGGCGGTCGCTAATTGCTAAATGGCCTTGCATTAAAGGATCAGGCTGAAATGGACGCAACCCAGACCACAGTCGTTACTGTCATGGGCCAGATCGGGGCCTTGATTGGCAGTTGCACAATCGGGTACATCAGTACATTCTTCGGTTGGCGTCTGACTATGTCCGTCTCTTGTGTTTTGGGAGGCGCCATCATCCTAGCGTATATCTTGCCACGGAATATGTCCTTTGCAGCGTATGCCATTTTTGAGCAGTTCTTCGTTGGTGGAGTTTGGGGCCCAACGCCAATTCATCTCATCGAGCTCTCGTCGGTTGCTCTCCGATCTCTTATGGTCAGACTGACCTATCAGCTTGGTGATCTTAGATCTTCCGCCTCAGCCACGATCCAGTTTATCATTGGCGAGCGATTCCCGCTACCACCCGGGCTCAATGGCAAGGCGCGGTTCAATGATGGCAATGTCATTGCCAGTTTCATGGATGCGGCCCGGGCCTTTACCTTATTCTTTCTGTTTTGGGGACCTGAGATGTCCCAGGAAGAGCGTGACGAAGAAGCCGATGCCGCTCTGTACTTGGAGAGACTGCGCCAGCAAGGTGTCAGTTTGGCAGAAATCAGACAGAATCAGTCCAAGAATGGCAATATTCTTGATAAAGATGGAGAAGTGGATAAAGCCCAAAGTGAGCACATTGCCTAGGAAGTATAGAAGACGAGAATGTAGATCCAATGCCAAGAAACATCAAGTATCCCGCAGCCCCGCGATTCACCGAAGATTCACTTTGGGTGGTACGAACTGTGTCATAATCTCCATCTTGATTCACTACTTCTATTCAATTCATTTTACCTTCATATCTTGTACTATACCTCCGTCTGATCATTAACATGGCGCAAGAATCGCAAGTCGCGCCCCGCTACCTGACCGGCGATAAGGCTGGTCTCCAGGAGTTCCTGAATAAGTTTGATGTCCGTACTTTTCGGTCGCACTTGGGCTCAGAATGATCGCAATTACTGACTTGTTTTAATCAAGGTATTCCTGTTCGACTGCGATGGTCTGTCCCCCATACCGTCTCGATTTCGGTTTTCCCTCCGCACCAAATCCCCGCAGCCACCGATTTCCGCGTCGCAACAACAGCTGAGACAGTGATCATTTAGGAGTACTGTGGTCCGGTGATCACCTTTTCCCAGGAACAGTGGAGACATTAGAGCTCCTGCGGAATAATGGTACATGTCAAAAATCAAGTTGGCGGCCAGTGGAAGCTAACAATCGGCGCAGGCAAGCAAGTGGTTTTCGTGACGAACAACAGCACCAAGTCGCGCGCAGACTACCGCAAGAAGCTTGAGGGCTTGGGTATTCCCAGCACAGTGGTTAGTCAAAGCCAAACCTCTCGAATCCAGACGTCCCAAGACACCATGACTCACAGCCCTACAGGAAGAAATCTTCTCCTCGTCATACAGCTCCTCCATATACATTTCGCGCATTCTGCAGCTCCCCGAGAACAAGCGCAAGGTCTATGTGATTGGTGAGACCGGAATCGAACAAGAACTCCGCTCTGAGGACGTCCCCTTCATTGGCGGCACAGACCCCGCGTACCGTCGCGATGTGACCCCAGATGATTACAAGAAGATTGCCGCAGGCGATGAATCCCTACTGGACCCCGAAGTCGGCGTGGTACTTGTCGGCCTCGACTTCCATATGAACTACCTTAAGATCGCGCTGGCATACCACTATATCAAACGGGGAGCGGTATTCCTGGCCACCAACATCGATTCCACACTGCCCAATTCGGGAACTCTCTTCCCTGGCGCAGGCTCAATGAGCGCGCCGCTTATCATGATGTTGCAGCAGGAGCCCGTTGCCCTTGGCAAGCCCAGCCAGGCTATGATGGACGCCATTGAGGGCAAGTTCAAGTTTGACCGTAGCCGTGCTTGCATGGTTGGTGACCGTGCTAACACGGACATTCGCTTTGGACTCGAGGGCAAGCTTGGTGGTACGCTCGGTGTGCTGACTGGTGTCTCTTCTAAGGAGGATTTCGTATCCGGTGATGTTAGGCCTCATGCTTATCTGGATAAGCTTTCTGACTTGCTGGGTTCGGAGTAGTCTGCAGACTACATCTGCTGTTCAATGAATAGACTAGATATGCACATATATGGATGTTTCTTTTGTGGTCTGTCACACATTATCTCCGTCGGTTGAGCGAGTGTAAAAGCGTGCATCGGTTCCATTCTTGCTGCAGGTAGAGACTTGGTGAATAGCCGTTCACCCACCGAGAGCTCTAAGAATATGCCCAATAGGCAGTACACTAGGTATGCCCACTCCCTGACCGGGATATATATGTGGTTAACCTTGGAAGTCGGTTAAAGACCGGGACACCTTGCCAATGAGTTACCTGGTTGATTCTGCCAGTAGTCATATGCTTGTCTCAAATATTAAGATACGGGCACACTTTCTGTTAATAAAGGCCAGCACAGGCGGTTTAAATCCCGCATTCTCGTCAAGTACCCTAGTACACAGCTCGAGAACAAGACAAGCAAGGCTGAGCCGACTCACGTAGCAAGTGCACCGGGTTCTACCTGACGCTCCAGAGGGCGTCAGCACCTTTTAGTCATTATGCATGCTGTGCCTGAATTGTTATAGCCGCAATACGTGAAGATTGGAAATGGATAGTGCAAATGGGATTTTCATCCAATGATAACATCAAGGCGAGGCTTGGATAACGGCCCGACCCAACTAGCGTTCGTGGATCCTTTCACTTCGATAGCCAAGCATGACGCCAATTCCGGGTTTAATTAGGAGATTAATCCATGTACTAATGCAGGGCTGGTTGCAACCCAGCTAGCCACACCTTTCTCTCATGCGTCCTCCGGCGGCTGCGCATGACTTGGACCTCAGGCGCCTTCGAAGACATACTTTGTGCCTGAGCTGCGTACCTGAGTGACCCTCCCAAGCCTCAGGAGGAATTTCCAACTGGTGTTTTTGAAACGATAAGCATGATACAAAGCAACAGGTCGGGGACGCGAAATAACAGGATGGAGGGGTGCCATCTATCGTCACCCGCAAGGAGCTTGCTTCACTTCACTCACCCGCGAAATGAAGGCTTGATTCATCAAATCGAACCAGGGAACGTCTCCGACTTCGCAGATAAATTTCAGACCCAACTCACTGGCTATGATGCCAAAGTATAGACGACAGAAAAAGCGCAAGAGCAGTGGTTAACCGAGAGCATTGGAGTTAACGCCTCCGAAAACCCCGGTGAGGCCGTTCGCCCACTCCACAGTTTAGAATCTATCGCTGATAGATTAGCCTAGCGATTCCCAGCGATGCCAAAGAGGGAAAGACTGCGCTACGGCCTCTGGCATTGTGGGAGCGTGGGAGGGGGTGACACGGGATCTGACAGGGATAGATTAGCCTAGCGATGTGCAGCGATGCCAAAGAGGAAAATACTGCGCTACGGCCTCTGGCATTGTGGGGGCGTGGGCTAAGCGCCAGATCTTGAGGATAGACCACAGCGAAGGATTTGAAACAAGGCCCGTACCACCAAAGGGTTAGCGTCTGACTAAAGTTCTTGGAAACACCCAACAGTCTGAAGGCTGATGTTAGTCACGAGAGCATGACACACGTGTCGAAGACAGCAGTAGTTGGGCATAAATCAAACTAGCCACCCTTCGGCCGCGCTCCGCGGGTTGATCGCGTTCTCTCATCCTATGTTGATTGCATCGCTCGAAGGCATTCCAATCACGGATTTGTAGCCACAGGCTGTCACCATGGCTGGAGATGACAGTGACCCGAAAGATCACCTATATGAACCCGCTCAGGTCATCGAACTAGACTCTGAGCTATATGCTGCGGCCACCACTGAGTACAAGCGTCATCCAGTATACTCCTCCAGCGAATGGCTTTTGGAATCGATCAGTTCGATTCTGGCCCTGGGCCTCGTCATTGCCATCGTTATTATCTTCTGGTATATGGACAACAAGCCTCTCTCTGCCTGGCGCGGTCGCGTCTCTCTCAACGCGACAATTTCTATCCTAACAACTGCATGGTCTATGGCGTTGATGCACGGGGTTAGCACATTCATTGGACAGTTCAAATGGCTTCACTTCAAGAACGGGCCTCGCAAGCTTGCTGATATTGAAACATTTGACGGAGCGAGTCGTGGTGTTTGGGGGTCTATTCTGTTGCTTACCACCGTCAAATGGAATCTAGCCACCATCGGCGCATTCATCACAATCTTGCGACTTGCTTTCTCGCCATTCGCACAACAGGTAATTTTGATTGAGCAGCGAAACGTCACCTCTTCTGCCGATACCGTCACCTTCGGGTATGCGCACAATTATAGCCGGAATTTACTGAATGAACTGACGACTTCTGGCGTCGGTAAGCACCGTCGACACCCTACACAACCAAGAAATAAGTGCAGCTAACATGCTTCTGACTAGAGAGCATCCCGCAGGATCCCGGTATGCAGTCTGCCATCTTCCAGGGCCTGTATGATATCAACACCACAGAACCTTTCAACTGCCCTGGGACATGTCGCTGGACCGGATCATACATATCACTTGGGTTCAAAGCCGAGTGCAAAAACGTCACCCAGGAAACATTACAAGCGGCAACCTGCGAGGGTGACGTAGATGCCCTGCAGAAATGCAACATGACAACACCAGGCGGAGTCGATCTTGCAACTCGCGCTTATTACACCGATTTGGCGACAGCATACTATATGAACACATCCTCACTGCTGATGGGCCTATCAACTCTCGCATTGCCAGATACCTTTCCCGAAATCACGCGATTCGCGATCTATAGATCGACCCCGGACTATAATTTTCGAATGCACGACATCAATATTACAGATTGCTCTCTCTCCATCACGGCCTACGAATATACAGGTGCGAAGGCCGACGGTAGTAATTTCTCCTTTGCGAGCAGGCGGGAGGTCAATTTCGGGGTGAAGGATCCCTGGACGCTCGGGATCGAAGCAGGAGGGGTCATGTTAGCCGGGAGCATGTACACCAACGAGTTGAGGAGTGGTGATATCCATATTCCTGCGCTCGGAACGAACTATGTCAGTCTCGCCGCGCTGGAAAACTTCTTCAAGTCCACAACAATAGTTAGCGAGTGGGTCGAAGGCAACTTTGCCAATACGAACCTCGGCGTTTCCGCTGCTCTATCTGGAGACGTGGAAATTGGCGACCGGTTCGACAAAATGGCGACTGCCATGACGGACTATCTGCGGTATGGCCCGAATACCCAGTCTGCACACGGAGAGGTAATTCAGAGCGAGCCATTTGTGTCCATCCGCTGGGGGTACTTCGTTGTTCCAATTGTGACTGAGGGGTTCGCTATTTTGTTCGCCATCTTGAGTATTTTTAGCAATCGCCGGAGCCGTCGTGTTCCTCTGTGGAAGTCTTCAACGCTTGCTGTGCTGGCTTGTCGGCATGAGGAGCGGCTTGCGCTTCTGCAGACCACGGGCAAGGATATTGAAACGATCAAGAATGAGGCTGAGCAGGCTGAGGTACGGCTGCTATAGTGTCAAGCTTGAGGTAGTGTAAATGAGTTATGATAAGAACATCATGATAGACAATCTAGCTAAATAGTACAGTGCGTTCAGCAGGGACTGTGCCGTAAAGAGATTCAACCAGTCCTCATATACATAACATTGGCCTGCAGCTGGATTAGGCCCAAGTTCGAAAGACTCTGCATAGACTGCATGATTGAGTTCATACAAAGTAACAAGTACTACGTCCGCCGGTTATTTGGGTTCAATAGGTCAAAGACAAAGACAAATTCTATGAAGCGTGGTTTCCAATTAGAGTTATCTTATCACAGAGCTGATCCGAAGAGGCCATCTGTATATGGGAAACTCCGTTTCCATCGCCGTACTCCCGATCAAAATCTGGTCGCTTTGGTAATACAAGCAGGTGAGGGGAGGTACGCGAGCCCTTTGCAACAGAATACTTGTGGACCCTACCTTTGATTCTTATCGCAGGCCGGTAAAAGGCGAGAGCAAATCACCGGAACATCATAGCCTCGCAACAGTCACTTCTGGCAATATACTGTACACAGTGCCCCCAGTGAGTTTGGGCGGCAGTTTTCGCCAGCCTGTTGGTCAGCCTCCTTGACAACAGCCCATGATCTTTGATCATGACGCTCAGTTCGTTTTACCAGTCTATCTCTCAATCCCACTACAGTACGTCCCGTATCTGGTGAAACTTATTACGCCCTCAATAAGTGTACTCGTGTTTTCCATATCGGCCATCACATTTATTTTATGGCTTCGGTATCGTAAGCAGCTTACAAACTGCTCGCAAAAGTACCAACGTTGCCCCGGCACAAAAGGATGAAAGCAGGTTCAATGATCCTCATGAACCACTCTATGCAGTTTAGCAATTGACATTTTTGGCTTCGGAAATTCTCTTTTACGGTATATCATCCGAAAACTGGTGTCATCATACACACATGAGTGGAATTTGCTTCTTTAAATTTTTTGTGTCCTGGCAAAAGCTACGCACCGTAGTCGATTCCTGAATACTCAGAAGAAAGGGCTTCAATTTAACATTTAGCTCAATTTTCGTTATTCAAATCTAATAGCATAGACCGCCATTTGACTGATTACATTCTATTTTGTAAGCCCGATCACATAATACGCTCTAGAAAAAAGTTATGTTTTGAACGTAAACGGCTAAAGTCTCCTTAAATATAAATTTCAAAGATTAACACCTTAATGTACTAAATTCTTAATACTTTTCTGTTAATAGAAAGCTATTAAGTTATCACGAGTATCGGAAGACCTTAAAAGCCATGATCTCTGAAATAGCTATTTAGGTAACGTTAGTGTTACGCACAGCTAAGTGGTCACAGTTATGTTAGATAGAATCAGGAGATACTTTTCTGATTTCCTGCAGACTTCCAACCTCAACGATCTGTCTCCCAACCTTACCGTTGCCTAGCAGGCCTTACTGCGGGATGAGTCCTGTCGAGGGTATTGAGGAACGACGCCAGGTAGTGCGCCGAATAGATCTATACCGGAGTGTTAGTCTATTCGTAGTGTGTGTCAAGTTATAATCAAGTAAAGAGTCTCTGAAGTTCCAAGGGTATGCACAAGTGAAAATGTGTAATTGAAGACGAAGAACTAAACTAAGTATATGAAATGAGTGTCCTTATATATCCTTCGTTCCTACTCCCAGATCTACTCCCTGGGGGTAGATGCTGGAGTCACGATCACGTGTTCCCATGTGGGTTGTGCAGAGGTTTGCTGTTACGGAGAACAACCTTGGTACTCAGGTATGTCTCAGCATTTTCTTGTCCATTATGTCAGTCACGACGTCACCCGCGAAGCAGGTTGTTTGCTTGCGATCAAAATTAGGGCTCGGCTGCCAAGTCGTTCATCCTTGATATTCTTTCATAGTCCTACTGACAATGACTAGAGATGTTTGACCCGGTCTCGATAGTTGAGAAATACTATCAATGCCAAGGCGTAAATCCCAGATGATGAAGAGATATCAACCTTGGAAGCTTGAGAAGAAGTGAGCTGAGTTTTGGCCAAGAATGTTGAGATAGAAGTCTATTCATAGTCAACCTTCTGCTCTGTATGAGTAATTGAAAAGATATGTTGCAGAGAAAAGCCTTCATGCTTTTTTCACACTTCATATGGAGATCAAAGTACCAAATCTGCTCTAATTAACTATGTAAAATTATGTAACCATCATTCGCTTTCTTATTCAATTGAAACTATCTATGGTCGGATTGGAGATAACTCAATAATTGATTCGTTCAATGCAGCTATAGTAAAACTGTGATAAGGCCATTCCAAGGATAATCGACGCTGATGTCATGAAATCGAGTCTAGATGGGCTCTATGTGGAATGAATAAGATCACATTATGAATACAGGGGAACTGCTGAGTTTTTGACAGTCTGATATTCGAAGTTCGAATTTCAAGATTTGTTGGATATAATGTTAGATAAGACACATGTAAACATGAATCTCTTGCAATGCAGATGAGTATAATTCAAGCAAAGCCCCGTGGATGGTCTAGCTAGAATTCAAAATGTGACAAATCGAATTATTACTGGAATTCATCTCAATGGCCAGGGGAAGATGCCTAGCCCTTAGCATAGCGGAAATTCGAAACCCTATTGACGGCATCCCCGGGCCGTTCATTGAGAGACATGGGTAGGTGGCAAATAAAGGTTGCTTCAAGTCGTGACTGCATCTCGTATAATGAATTGTACTTATGTTTGAATCTGGGATTTCGATCATTTGGATGTTCTCAAGTCTTGTTTCGATCTCGCCGAGGGTACCCTGCCTCGTGTTCTCCATCATCACCAGACATATATCTTCTTGAAAAGGATGAATGCAGTGAGAATTGCAATCTAGACCTGGGTAGCCCTAGTAAATTAAGGGTCTGGCATCAACCGAACGAAGACACCAAGCCATGGCTATGACGGTTTATCCAGGTATAGAATTCGCATGATGTATGAACTGAGAACCCATTGACCACCATCGAGGAATATTTAAAGGCTGTGAATTTCCGCCCTTTTGGACTAGATATAACTTGCACCAGACAATCACATCTTTCCTCATCAGTTCAATACAACATCTTGATCTTTCAAATATCTTTCAAAGTCTCAGGCCCATCATTCGAAAATGAAGATCAACATCCTGACTCCCTTCATCCTCGCCTACTTCGCCACGACCGGCCTTGCTGATGACGAGAAAAAATACGACGACGACAAGAATTGGTCAAATGAAGTGACAGTCCAACTTGCAAATGACCAGTCTGGCGCCAACGCAAATGTCAAAGTCCCAGCCGACGGCGAGAAGCGCTCCATTGGCTCCCTCTGGGGCTGGACCGCCGTTGCAAAAGACGGCGTGGTATTTGCGACAAGCGCCCAACTCGTCAAATTTGAGCAAGACACCGCCTGTGAAATTTTCGATGACTACTATCTTGACGCTAAGCTCAATGCCAGACAGACTTGGGTCTCTCTGAAAGGCGGCGCAGTGGTCAAGTTGAAAGATGCTTTCATCGCCTGTTATGATCACGATGATCACTGGTATTAGGTTAACTTGACGCCAGGCAGACTTGAGTTTTTCTGAGGGTTGGCTCGGGAGGAATCTTAAGGGTGATTTCATCCTCTGTGATGATGACTGGCTCAGTTTTAGCTGCAGTGCCTGCAATGGATATGGTTCATCTTGTACTAGAGAAGTTATAGGAATGAAGGAGACGTGCAAGATGAAGAACGTACAGACTCAACTGTAATCTGTTTGCTGTATTCCTAAGCACAGCTAAATCCCAGAACTATGCTTGCGCTTTAGTCTCAACATAGATCTTAAGACCATTCATCATCCAATATCTTGAATCTCCCTCTATTTCCGTCATCAAAGTACACACACATATCGATACTTCCGAGGAACCCATAGATCCTAATAAGTCCTCCAGATTTTCAAACAATGAATGCACTCTTTTTCATTCCCTCAGCCATTGTATCTTTGCTCAGCATAAGTGTTGCCCGAACAATTGCTAGGGCTGTTCTATCGTGCTCAAGACCCAGGGGGCAGCTAAGTTGCTGTCGACGATACGATCTGAATCGAGAGTAGAGGGCAATGGAGGGAGGCATATGGAGGATGCGTGCCTACATGATATCTCCAAAACACGATCACACCACTTGATAAGATGGCACCGATTTGATGAGGGGAGTTTATGCATCCGCAGGTGTTCCGTCGGAGAAATTTAGAGGCTCGAAGGCGTTGTACGCAGGACTCAGAGCACTACAGAGCTAGATAATGGAACCTTGGGTATCATGGTTATTCCATTTAACAAGAACTAAATGCTGTAAACTTGATATGCAACGCCTCACAATGTGGGAAACCCCAACCCCGAACGCCATCTATCCACTCGATATAGTATGAGAGGACTTTAGAAAAAGGCCTAGACCTCTGTCGAGTTTTATGGGACAAACACCTTTCAGTTTCCACTTCCACTTAAAATGCCAGCGATTCGTAGCGTCAAATCCAGCATAGAAAGATGCTCATCAGATCCATCCACCAGCCGCTTGTCCATCTCGGAGAAAAGCATGACAATCTTATTTTTCTGAATATCGGGAATTGCCTCACTGTAAACAATTCGACGGTATAGCTAGAAGAAGTGTTAGCAACATGCACCGAAGCAAGAATTAGAATCACAAACCTGTCCAATAATCTGTGTGGCACTCCAACCATCCGCCACAACATCCGTAATAACCTTCGAGACAGCCTCATACGCCGACTCGTTCTTCTTGGGCTGCATAGCTTGCACAAGGGAATCAATAATGCTCTCCGGCACAACGCCAGCAATCTCTTCGATACTCCGAATAGTGATAATACGACTAGTGCTGCTCCCAGCATCCGTCATCTCATCATCATCATCCGCATCCTTCACCGCAGGCGGCTTCGCAGCACCGACGAGGCGCGCCGCACTTTGCAAGTACGTAATAGCACGACGCAAATCACCCTCACCGCAGCGAATCAGAGTATCAATCACGCCATCTTCAAGCTGCAGGCCTTCTTGTTCGGCAATATTGGCAACACGCGTGCCCGCAGCGCTGTTATCCAGCATCTTGAACCGAAACTTGCTGCATCGACTGGCCAATGGCTCGATGATTCGCGTGACATAGTTGCAAACAAGACAGAACCGTGTAATCCGACTGTAGGTCTCCATTGTGCGGCGCAGAGCGGACTGCGCGTCTTGCGTCATGCTGTCTGCCTCGTCGAGGATGATGATCTTGAATGGTGGGCATGGGTACTGGGCGCGATAGGCGGCGTCCAATCCTGTGGGTTGGGATAGCTGGGCACGAGCAAAGTTCTTTACTTTGTCGCGAACGATGCCGATTCCGCGCTCGTCGGAGGCGTTCAGTTCTAGGATGCGGGAGCGGTATAGGGCGGGGCCGAAGAGAGATTTGGCGAGGGCAAGAATGGTTGAGGTTTTACCTGTTCCTGGGGGGCCGTAGAAGAGCATGTGGGGGAGCTTGGAGGGTCAGTTTTGGCTCAATTTCTCGGGTTTGGGAAATTCACGTTTGAAGCTTGGAGGGTACGTTGTAGCACTTTTGTCGTATGGTCTTGGGCAGCGACATCATCCAAGGATTTAGGGCGACTAAAGAGCATTAGCCAGGAAAATCGCGATGTTAAGATAAACCATTGACGTACTATTTCTCAACCCACGGCTGGAGCCGAGTTGAGTCTTCCTTGTTGTCGCCAGCCTTGGACTTGGAGCTGCTGGACGCCGCGACAGCAGCGGCACGGGCCTTGTTATTGAAGAAAGATGCAGCCATGATCGTTGAGCAGCTCGAGTCAGTAAAGGTGTGAGTTATCTCGAAGCTAGTATGCGATGCGGTGAAGATCTCGCTCTGACGCCCTCCGCAATCGAACGCGTCTACACGTGACACGCGCAGCACTTAAAACATATTGGCCAATCAAAGACGAGCACTATACTTCAACCTCAGTATGGAGTACTCATATGTAAATTTGCGATTATTGCTGATCTATCGATCCTGATGGAATACTTGGAAGCCAGGATTGAAGTTGTCATGACTGCATGGGTCATCATTAATGTATAAGCAAGAATTATAGCTCATCCCGCACAGGCTCTTCCACCTCCGCCTCAAACATTCTCTTTTTCGGGTTCTTGGGAAGTTCTTCTTGTCTTGCCCTTTCCTCCGGGGTAATATCGTCGATATATGATCCTTCCTCCTGTTCACTTTTCTCAACCATCCGTCCGATTTTGTCGATTATACGATCACTGTCAATGGGCACCGAGGGCTCATTCATCCAGGCTGCGCTTGCAGATGTCATGGCCCCAGTCACAACAGCCGTAGCCGTGTCGTGGATAGCCGAAGAGACGCCATTTGAGATTGACTCAGAAGCAGACTGCATGCCTGTACTGGATAGGCCAGCTGCACCTAATGTCGCAAACATAACGCGAGCGACTAGTTTCAGAGGCTGCCATACCAACCACCAAAGAGGTCCGTAGAACACTCGTCGGAAGAGAAGCCAGCCAATAGTCCCTAGCAGGATATAGAATGCTGTTTCAAGATACCAAGTATCGGATTTTTGGGAGCGGAGAAGAGAATTAGCAAGACTGCGCGACGAGGAAAGAAGTGTGTCGAGGCTGCTGTAAGACTCGGACAATGACGAGATTGCGGCTGTGGATTGTTCTTTGTATAGAATTAGTATGTTATCAAATCAAGAATGAAAGATAGGCACTCACCAAGGGTTTCCTGGGCAAATTGGCTGCGGGAGAGTTCAGATTGCATGAGTTGGTGTGTTCTGCGCAGCGCGGATGTAACATCATTGGAGGCGTTCAAAACAAGATCATCATGAGTTAGCCTCTCTGAGGTCTGCTTTTTCTCCGAGCTCGATCTAGATAATAGCAATTCTTTTTCCTTTCGCTTGGCGAGCTCGGCATTACGCTTCGCTTGTAATTGAGCGTTTCGGAAATCAGTTCGGGTCCTAAGATGGAAAGTTAGTATTTTCTAAAAACTGTCATAACGCCAAGCTGTGAAACCATGGGCTCTCTGGCAGGCGCAAGTTCCAGGTATTAGGGCAGGATAGCCTACCTCTTGAGATCCTCAGCCAATCGTCCCGCCATGGCAACAATCCGCTCCCTTTCAGCCTCCTTCTCGCCGTGTGTAGCAGATGCCTTCCGTCTACCATCGGCAGGTGTTTCCAAGGCCTCGACCTCCACGCGCAGCAGCTCTAACTCTTGCTCGGCATCTTTCAGCCGGGAGTGTATCTCCGATCCGAGCTCTAAGCGTGCTTCGTCGCCTTGTCCAATAGAGACAGTAAACTCGCGCAGCCGGGTAACAAGGGGCTGGATTTGCCCCTGAGCAGCTGAGAGCTCTTTCAAGCGGCCCTGGAGGGCTGTCGTTGGGGACATGCTGCGATAAGTGTTGCTTTGGTGTGACGCATTCAAGGACCGGCGTTTCTCGTTACCGGTTAGAAATTTCTGACTGTATGCCCTTCGAGTTTTATCGCTGGAAATTGAACGAACACATTAAGTTGTGTAAATGTGAAGTGATTTAACTCGGAGTTGCCATGTTGACGGGCGTCATTTGGCCAATTGGTGTTTGCATCCGAGACAAACATACCCCATTTCGCTCAACCGCAATTCGCATCGGAGGCTCTGGTTTGAATACAACTTTGAATTGACCACGCGCTATCTCCCGTCCGACTTGTCACAGACTCACTCGGATCTTCTCGCTTTTATCCTTGTCGCAAGCTAGTTCGAGGCTTCTCTGTGCAATTGCAACTGCACGATTGGTAGAAAGCACCTATAAAAAACTTCCCACTCGACTTCATATTCTCAGGTACGCAATTTACACGACAATCCAAGTCGCTGTATCAGCTTTCTTTCAAAATAAATAACTAACACGCCTTTCAGTCTACACCTACCAATCCGCTCCACCACCCACAACCGCAACCATGACCATCCCCATCTCCACAATAGCCACTTTCCGAACGGCTTACAACCCCTTCTCCCGCGCCTCAAGGCCCTGTCGCCTCTTCCTTGGCATGCTCCGGACTCCCAACACAATTCCAGCTAGCAGCCCAACCCACATCGACATCCAGGTGAAGCAATTGCCGCGCGACTCGACCGAGTCGCCGACCATGACTATCGGATTCAAGGGCGGGAAAGAATTAGTGCTGGACGTTGGGAAGCGTGGGTTGAAAATCGGCGATGTCATCGAAGAGGTTTCCCGTGTGGGCAGAGCTTTGCAGCGAGAGGCTAGCCTGAAGAACTAGTTCTGGGGACAAAATCTCTGTTGTGCTATTCGAGCTGTGCATTCGTGTATTATATTACCTATCATTGTATTTGATGATTTTGGCGCTGTTGGGCATATGAATAAATTATTCTTGATGAGTTGGCGAAAAGGCTGTTTATCTTGATATTGTGTAGGATTGTAAATGGAAAGGGTAATAGTTTTACATGTACAAACTTAAAATCCATGTCTATCAGTCAAGTCGTCACCGGAATGTAATGGCTTTTACGCTCCAAAAACAGAGAGCAATTCTTCTTCATTGGTGAACATTTAGTTCAACTTTTCCTTTCCAACTATATGGTTGCGCTTTTAATTATTTCAAGCAAGGAAACTTTACACGGCGGCACCGGAGATGAAGAACCACTTGTCAATGCTGCCGTCAATAGGAGCAGGGGCAAGCTCCTGGTTTTGGGGGATGGCAGCGAGCGCGCTCTGGTCAACGCGGTCGGCAGAGCCCTCAACGGTGGAGTTGGCACTGGTGCGGGTTAGCTCTCAAACTCAAGCAAGATGTAACAACAAGACTTACAGGCTGATCTCGCCACGGGCGGTCTTGCCAGAGATGAGCTTCTCCCAGGCATCGGAGCACTCGCGGATGACATCCTCGGCGTACTTGCGGTTCTTGCACTCGCCGGAGAAGGCGAACTGGTTCTCGGGCTTTCCGTCGGGGATCTTGTAGATGCGGAACCACTCATTGGTGGCGCGCAGAAGGCCGGGAAGGTGACGCTCGACATCCTCGATATCATTGAGCTTGGGAGCGAGAGGGTCGTTCACATCGATGACGATGATCTTCCAGTCGGTCTCCTCCTCGTCAATCAGGGCCATGACACCAAGGACCTTGACCTGCTTGACCTGGCCGGAGTAACCAACAAGCTCACCGATCTCACAAACATCGAGCGGGTCGTTGTCACCCTTGGCCTTAGTCTCGGGGTGGATGGAGTTGGGGTCCTCCCAGGTCTGCGCATGGAGCAATCAGTATTGGTTTTAGATTCCTCTTCCAACCCAATGGTGAGTCCGTGGGTGTTGGGCGAAACTTACGCGAGGGAAGGCACCGTAGTTCCAGAGGTAACCCTTGTGGGGGAAGCAGTTGCGAACGAAGCGGAGCTTGCCCTTCTTGGTGTCCTGCTTGATGGGGTTGAGGAAGTCATCCTTGGAGATCTGTGATGCAATCAGGATATGGCGGGGGTCATTTGAAGATTGGTTGATCGTACCTCCTGCTTGGCGTTGGTCCAGCGAGGGATCTCAACAACCATGTTCAGGATGGTCTGCTGCTCGTTGGCATAGAGGGGGATATCGTGGAAGGGGGAGACGGGGACGCCATCCTTCTCAACGAACACACGGTGCTCGAGGGTGTAGGGAGTGCCGACTTTGCGGACGGTGTAAGTCATGTTGGGCGTGGAAAAGTGTCTAGAAACTTGGGCCACACGGGATAAGGGAGAATTAAAAGAAAAGGAAGAAGGAGGGGCAGTAGAAGTGGGGGGAGCCAATGTTGCTGATGTGCGCCAAACACGGCGGGAGGCGGTGGAGGTCGCACTTCCCAGTCGGGTTAAAGGAGGACGAGTCATTGGCTGAATTGGAAATGTTCTCCTATTAGATAATTGTTATAAGCATATATTTAAAGTATTTCTTATACACATACCTATGACGGGGCCTTGGACACACTTGGTAGGAAGTTGCAATTCGTTGGTACCCCCTGTGCCCTGTGTTGGGAAATGACAAAAAAATGTTTTGCTTCCGAAAGTCGGCAGGTTTATACTGTGATCTTCCCGATTTATATCCCGACCGAACACCGGGACACTCAATTGCAATTATTCTATACTCAATTCAAGCCGAATCTAAAACTCTTATGCCTTTTGTTTTTGTTTTCATAGAACAGCATCAACATACGTGCTTACAATTTACATTGACAGATGTATACTGCACCTACCCGACCCCAGACTGCGAGACATGCCGATACCGGCAGAATATACGCGGCCTGCATCAATTCCAAAGTAAATTTGCTGCGTTTCTATGATATCATACAATATTGTAAAATATCGTACTGAAGAATAGCTCTGGACTCATTTTCTTTGGCAATTTGGTTGACGATTGGGTACAGTACAATAGTGTGTACCTTAGTACTTAGGTACTACGATGTCGTGATTCTTGGCAGGGAATACTGTTTATTGATTGGATTGTGGATGGAATAGGCGAAATACCATGACAATACCGCCCTAAACTGAACAAATAAACATAGTTATCGCCACTATCTTCACGTGATCTTCTAATCGGCGGACTCCGATCTGGGCCCAAGAAAAAAATTACCGTATAACTTCCCCGCCAACATTTCAGCATGCTATGATCAGATCTCTTCGCACCGCAATGTCCCTGATGAACGCTACAGCAATCTCCCCGGCCGCTGCGCGCGTGCCCATCCCCCCCAAAGGCGTCGACTACCGCAACAAAATCGTTCTCGCCCCAATGGTCCGCTCCGGCGAGCTGCCCTCGCGCCTCCTGGCCCTGAAATACGGCGCCGACCTCGTCTGGGGCCCCGAAACAATCGACCGTGCCATGATCGGCGCAGCCCGCCGTGTGAACCCCCGTACCGGCACAATCGAATTCACCCGCCTGCCATCCAACGGAGGCCGCCCCGAGAAAGCAGATAAAGAATCAATCATCTACCGCATCGACCCAGCCCGCGAGAAAGGAAAACTTATCTACCAAATTGGAACGGCAAACCCTGAGCTAGCAGTTCAGGCCGCCCGAGTCGTGGCGGCAGACGTCGACGGCATCGACGTCAACTCCGGCTGCCCTAAGCCGTTCTCCACAAGCGGTGGTATGGGCGCAGCCCTCCTCCGCACCCCCGACCTCCTCGTGTCCATCCTCGAAGCTCTCGTCAAGGAAGTAGGCGAGCCTTTCCAAATCGGCATCTCGGTGAAAATTCGCATCCTTTCCAAACCTGAGGAAACAGAGGCCCTGGTCTCCCGTCTCGTCAAAACAGGTATCACAGGCCTGACCGTTCACTGCCGTACGACGCCCATGCGTCCTCGCGAGCGCGCCATCCGTGACCAGCTGCGCATGATAGCAGGCATTTGTCGCGATGCCGGCGTGGCATGCTTGATGAATGGCGACGTGACATCGCGGGATAACGGTCTCGCGCTGATGGCCGAGTACGGCGTTGACGGAGCGATGATCGCCACCTCTGCTGAGACGAACTCGTCTTGTTTCCGTGCTGAGGCTGATGGCGGCGCTGCGCCTTGGAGGGACGTCGTCTATGATTACCTGGGCTTCTGTCTGGACTGCGAGAACAGGCTCGGCAACACAAAGTACCTGCTCAACATGCTGGTTCCGGGCAAGAACAAGGAGTTCAACCAGGCGAAATTGGCCAAGACGTATCTTGATATCTGCCGTGGCATGAAATTCGAAGATCTCCTTCCTAGGGCTGCTGCTGTTGATGAGCTGCTTGGGCTCAAGGATAAGTGGAGTGCCCCGCCTGGCGAGGAGAGTCAGGCCGAGAAGTCTGAAGTTGTGCAGAAAGCTATGGAGTCTGAGTCTGCGCGTGCAGCTGGTGGCGGTGCGGCCCGGACAAAGACTCCATCGGCTGCTGTTCATGGTGGTGGTCCCATTCGCCGCACTCCTGTTCCCCAGCCGAAGACTGCCAAGGTTGAGGCTGATCAGTCGACTATTCCTGCTCCCGAACCTCAGCCTCAGGCTCAAACCCAAACGGTTTGATATTGATTGGTGATTTCTTCTTTTGCTCTTTTCGCAGTCCGGTTTGGACAATTTGCATAGCCTTTGCTTTTCTCTGCCTTTTGCTTGCATGTCGAGGTGTTATAATACCTTTATCCATAGATTCCCCATACATACATGCTCATCTTTGATGCCCACAAACTAACTGACAATAAACATATCTACGCTCTTCAAAAATTTATCATGTGTTGAATGGCTAGATTTGTATCGTCTAATCTAACAATAGTATGCGAATCCGAATCGCCATGATATCAAACCACCGTAAACACCATGTACTCACTAATGCCATATTCTCAGCATATCATTAAACGCAGCGCTGCACAACCATGCAGTGCCCAGCAAACAGTGCATCTCATTTGCAATCAATCCTTAGTTTCCTCCTCCTTCTTTTCCTCCTTCTTATTCTGCAGCTCAGCCAACATCATGGTCTCAACGACCTTCATGCCCTGTTCCTCGCCCTTCTTAGCATCAGCGCCATCCTCACCAGCAACAGCCTGGTCAAGAGCCAGCTTGGTCTGGCCCAGAGCGTAGATCTGCTCTTCGATGGTGTCTTTGGTGACCAGGCGGTAGATCTCCACCTCGCGGGTCTGACCCACACGGTGGGCACGGTTCTCGGCCTGCACGTCTTCCTGAGGATTGAAGGATGAGTCGAAGATGATGACGCGGTTGGCGCAGGCCAAGTTGATGCCTGCACCACCTGCCTTGGTCGACAGCAGGAAGACAGGGATCTCGGTACGCTCGTGGAAAGCGTCCAGGATGGACTGACGGTCTTCGACGTTGGTGCGGCCGTCCAGACGGACGAACTCAATCTTCAGGGTCTCGAGGACGTGTTCGAGGATGTCCATCACCATGGTGAATTGCGAGAAGATCAGGGTGCGGTCGCCATTGGCGATGAAGCGGGTGAGAAGTTCCTTCATGTGCTCCACCTTTCCGGAGTCCATCCATTCATCGTTCTTGAGCTTGAACTTGCCGAGCGAGTTGGGGTTCTCAAGACACATGTGGTGGCATTCAAAGTCGTTGTAGGGCATGAGTTCTTCCAGGATAATCTTCGGGTCGGAGAATGACCATTTCTCTTCCTTCAAGCATGCCTTGGCCATCTTCTGGAGAATTTCGTCGGTGTAATGGCGGCGAGCAAGAAGAGGGTGAATAGCAGCTTGACGTAGCTTCATGAGAATGTTGGCAGACTTCGAACCGGTCTTCTTTCCAGCGGCGCGGTCTTCCAAGAGCTGACGCACTTGGTCTTTTTCGTGATCGTAAATCTCGACCTGGGAGGGCTTCATCTTGCACCATCCGACATGAGAGTGCTTGGCTGGAAGATCGATGACCTGGTGCTTCTTGCGTCGGAGAATAAAAGGTTTCATCATTGACTTGGCGCGCTCGATGCGCTGCGCGGACAGAAGGGTGGCGTGAGATTCGTCAGTTGTTTTGGCTTTGTTCGAGAACACGGCGTGGAGATCTTCCTTGTGCTCTTGGAAGACACTTGGAAGGATGAAGCCGAGAAGCGATGCAAGTTCCTGCAAGTTGTTTTGTAAAGGTGTACCAGTGAGGAGGAGACGGAAACGAGCGCGAATCCGAATTAGTTTCTCGTACAATTGCGATTGGTGGTTCTTCAACATGTGACCTTCGTCATAGACACAAACAGTGAAATCCATGTCACGAAGGAACTTGGCATCAACCTTTGCTTTGGCAATAGTGTAAGTGGTGATGACAACATTAATATCGTCGCGGTTATCCTCGATGGTCTCACGGATTACGGCGCGCTCTGCGAGGCCAGCGTAGTAAGGCATGACATTCAGAGCCGGGCAGAACTTTTGGAACTCGCGGAGCCAGTTCTCGATGGTCGAAGAAGGGACAACAATCAGGTGAGGACCCTTGACGCCTGTCTCATACAAATGAGCAAGGAAAGCGATAACCTGACAAGTTTTGCCCAAACCCATGTCGTCGGCCAGAATACAACTCAATTCATTCTCGAACAGCAGTCTCAGCCAGTTGATGCCGACAACTTGATAATCCTTCATCACCAGATCCTTGGCCATGATAGCAGGCTGTGAGATCAAACGAGATTTGCGCTTAGACTGGACCATGTCGTCATCGCTATCTGGAGATTGGCGCGAAGATGAAGGAGTGGCAATACCCGAGTCATGTTCGGGTTTCACAGCAGCGATTTTTGTGAGCTCAAGCTCGCCTTCACGCTTGCCGAAAGTATCGACGCCCCATTTCTTCATTTCATCGGCGACGGGCTTACCGAGAGCCTCCACTTCGCTCACAAGAGCATCAATTGCCAGGTAGCCGGTCCACATATCCACACATTTGTCAACAATTTTGTCGCCAATGGGCTTGGGGGCCTTGCCACCTCGTTTGCCCTTGGGTTTCGTAGTTTCAGGTACCGGGGCAGACACAACACGCACTTCATCAAGATATCTATATGGACGGTTGTTCATAATAATCTGAGCAGTTTCCTCGGGGACAGAAGCGAGATCGGCGAGCTCACGAACAGCGCAGGTGTTGAAGAATTTCAGGACCTTGGAATCCAATCCGCCAGCGGTGGTTTCCTTCACTTGGGCATCAGAATCGTCTGAGTCACTCATCATGGCCTCGGGTGATTCAGATCGATCAGGCGAACGCATCTTTCTTCCCTTCTGGAGACGGCCCGTCTTCTTCGGAGGGGTGTCCTCGATGGTGATGGGACGAGGAGGCGAAGCAGGGCGAGAAGAAATATCAGACTTTGGGCCTCGAATAAGTCGGCGCCTCGGCTTTCCCTCTTCTTCTTCGGAGTCACCGCCCTTCGCGGGGAGATTCATTGCAGCCCATTTATCCTGGATAGTTCCACGAGCCTTGATCTTTTGTTTGGCCACAGGGGCCACGCCGGCGGCCGGGGAAGCACTCAGCTCATCCTCGGAGGATTCGATGACCACGGATTGCGTATTGTTAGTGTGAAAGTTGGCCAGGTTTGTAAGGGCTGCATCGAAATTGCCCTTGGTCTGCAAGAGCGCATCCATACAGGTTCGGACAGACAGATGGCTCATGACTTTCACAGCGCGCTCAACTTTTACGCGCAATCGGAAGTCTTGAATCTGGTGGAGCTGGATATCATCCACGGGCTGTGCGCGAGAGGGCACATCTTGGCGGGCCTTCTTGATGGCCACGCCCTTTGCGGGAGGACTCATCTCATCCGCAGATCGCTTCATAGTGGTGTTTTTTGGGTCGTACATTGCGTTTGCTGTAATTTCACGAAATCGATCAATCGATCCGGGGTCGGTGCGGACAGGGGACTCCATGATTTTTTCTTTCTCGATACTTCGAATGGTTTTTTCGAACATAGAAGGTTTGATGTCAGTGCTTCTGAAATGCGACTCTTCGTCTGAGGAACCGCCTCGATATGTAGGACCGTCGTCGAGGTCAAATTGTGGTGTGCGCTTCGCAGGACCGGAGGCAGGAGGTCGGAAATGGGTACCAGAGGGGGCGATCAGGGACGAAAGGAGGCCACCCTGCGGTTTGCGAGGAGGAGAAGAAATCGGGCCCGCAGGCGACGATGCAGCGACTTGGATTACAGTATTATTTCGTACTGAGTATGGTTGTTCAAGAAGTTGAGTAGGTTGGGTGAATCTTTGTGGGGTTAATGTAGAGAGAGGAAGGGTTGCGATGGTTTCATATTCTTCGGGGGGAGTACTTGGGATGGTTTTATCTCGAGATGGAGTGTTTGGAACAGAAATATCCATCGCTCACAATGTGGATTCGCCTCCCATTCGATTGTCTTTGGTTTATTCAGGAACTGTTTTTTTCTGCCAAAGGCGGAAACGCGATAATTACGCGCCCAATCACGTGTGGGAATCAATTAAGCATAAAAAAGTGGAATTAAGAGAGCAGAGCAAAGGAGATTGTGTAAGTAATCAATTGTGTCATTGAAGTTTCACTAGTATCAAAATGTTTATAGGTTGTATAGAATCAAAAACAATAAAGTAACTATACAATGTATAGAATTATCCACGTACAGTGCAACAACTAACTGCGTGTCATGGCGTTATACAATAGCCAATCAGAACACAGGAGATGGGACACTAGAGCTCATCTCGGCAACTTGCAATAGTTTCCTTTTTGTCCTGAGCTCCTTTGAATATTGGACCTTGAAGTCTGTGAGACTTTCCCTATTCCTTTTTCTTATGAACTATTGTGTACTCGTCACACACCATGTCTGCCCGTCGCCCTCATAATGCATCTTACGCCGATGCTGCGGCGAAGCCTGCGCCGAAAAGCAGCTCCGATGTGTCCCCAGCTGTCCCCACGTAAAAACCCCTCAAAGCCATAATAAAGTCCACTCCAAAACAATCTCTAATCACCCTCGGTATCTAGTGATGTAATCTACAAGCTCCTCGGCTTCACAGTAGCCATGGTTGCCGCCCCCATTGGCATGTATTTCTTGACTGTGAACACCATCTTCAGCGGTAGGAAACTTCTTCAATTTCTACAATGACATATTCCTAATCCATCCATCTTCAATCAGGGAGCTCAACGCTTGCAGGAGGCACCGCAGCTGTTACCGCCAACGTGGTTTTATTTGCATATATCTATGTCGCTTGGATGGAAGACCAAGAGGACAGAAAAGCACTCAACAAGCCAGACTCAAAGAAGGGCCAATAAATGTATGAATTGGGCATTCAGAAAAGAAATCATATGGCGTTGCGGCATTTTTGGGTTATAGGTGTCTTCTTTTGTACGAACGAGTGAAAGAAAAAGTTACGGACGGATACAGCCATCCATTGATCATTCTATAAAGTTTTAATAAAATCGAATACCACATTGGTATCCTGGATCTGTCCACGATATCCAGGTTCTCAATTCGAATTCACCAGTCCCACGCCTAGGCCATCAGAAATGCGCTGTTCATGTTGAAGAACGGCATCCAAGGAAGAGCTCGCTCCATGCCCTGGTATAGACAGATACGCCAATATGCAGTGCCAAATAGAAACCACCCTCAAAATATCACGCCATCACCGCTATTAGGCAGGTCTGCGCTTGACAAAATCCTCCAAATCATCCTTGGTAGCAACACCAAGCACGAATTTGCGTGTAACATCGGTGACAACGGCGAACTGCTGCTTCTCGCGCTTTTCGCCATTGGGTCCGGTCTCGCTTTCAAAGAATTGCTCCAACTCCTCGAGCGGCGTCTCCATGGTGATCACTTGGTAGATGCCGCGTTTGCGGTTGAAGCGTTGCATCGCCTCGGACACCGGGTCTGATTCCTTCACGGCCCCGCTCTGCAGCAGCTCCTTTAGCCGGGGGATGCTGAGGTAGCCCAGGAGGGAGCGCTTTGTAGGAGAGATTACGGTCAGGTGGGTGTAGTCACGCTCGTAGGCGGCCATGAGAGCTGTGGAGATTGGGTCTTGAGAGGAGATTGAGAGCGCTGGGGGAGGGTCGAGATCTTCGATGGTTGCCTGTGTGGTGGTTAGCAGTGTACAATAGTTTTCTTGGGGTGTGAAACGAACACCGCGGTACTTGTCAGCCCAAGCTGCTGTGGGTGCTGTGTTTGTTTCGGTGGCGGGCTGCTTTTCACGAGTGAAGGCCTCGCTGCCGGTCTGGTATGATGCCATTTTGGAGATGATCGCGAGGGGTCGGTGAGGGGCAATAAGGTGGAGGTTGGAAGTAGAGAAAGAACGCAATGGAGAAGGTTGAGATTGGAGTGAATAAAGGCCCCAGGTGTGTTCTTTTGTTTCCTGTGGGTTATACGTAGGTTGTGCCAGAGTATACCGGGGAACAAAGGTTGCGGGATGACTTTTCGAGTTTGGCGTCGTGTCTCCACTACGGAAGACGCTTGCGACCACCGCAGACTTTATCAGATTTCACTAGGTCTTGTACATGCTTGGAAGTTCCTGCATTATTGCTAAACAGAGAAAATTTTCTCTATCGATATTGGAAATTCTAATCAATTTGGATGAAAAATAGTCAACTTCAGTTTGTATGGCATCATACATACTACATTTGTTTGCAATTGAACCGTCTGACGTAGGTGACCGACAACTCATTATTTGAGGGAGAATACCATGGCATATGCAGGACCATTCAAACCCACTCCATGTTCTGCAAAGAGGAAATACCTATTCCGGTCTGTTGCATGTACAGCGGCGTTGTGGTCTGACTGCGGACTAAGAGCCTGGCCATTGTTGGAGGAGCGGCCAAGTTCAAATTCTATACCCTCCTACTTATCTGGTCGATGTTTCTATGGCATATTGTTCAACTAATAAAGCCAACGATGTCAAAAGAAGTTGGTGAAGCAGCTTCAAACTGATTTGAGATTGAGTACATGTAGGAATACGTCATTGGACTGGGAAACAGAATCGCCTTTTCCCCTCCGCATTGCATGCTCACTTTTAATTGGGAATATTCAATGAGGATGGAACACATGCAGAATCCAGTTTCTGGCTACAATGCTGTACAATGTTGCACATACTCCTAGTGGAGACCACGCCCGCGATCTGACAGACCCTTCTCCACTCTATCCACACCGATCCAAGCAGATCGTGTCTGCTCTCAACTCGACAGTATTCAAATACCGTTGCTCAATGCCAGGTGTGGCCGATGTCGGGGCCATCCCCAAGTACAAGTTGATTCACCAAGGTGGGTTTTAGGTTGCAGCCGGCAGCGTACTGGACTACCTACATGAAGGTTAAGGAGGTTGAAATTAGCTATGAGGTAGACATATCTTGCAAGGATATGTCCCTGCTAGGGAGTCCACATATGTTTTATAAATCGAGGTTCGAGACAATCGTCGGAACAATGTGCAGCAATCTTCCGGGTCTAAGATGTAATTGAAACAGCGATTGTGTGCTTCCATATCAATATAAGAACGATCTTACAGTACTAGGTACTCTTTGAATGTAGGTTTATTCCTCATACTTTTCTATATGTCCATATATTCACAGATAATGTAGTGTATAGTATATGCAAAACATCGAATATAAACGCCAAGGTCGCTATCAGAGCGGATTATGGTTTGTCATGGATGCACCAATCGGAGGATGTTATCTTATCAGCGACGTCATGAAGTCGAATACTTAGTATAAATGTGGTTGAATAACAGTTTTGGTTCTTTCTACCGTGATAGAGAATGAGTCGCGAGGAACTTCTCGTGTCGCATAATTGCCAGCATTCAACTCCAAGTGGACTGTATATAAAGAATCTGGATCCCCAGTGCCCACTTACCTGTACGATCTTGATAGTTGAATCGGCGCTTCTAAGGTTGCTTTAGATCGAAATCGTAAGCCATCCATAGACCCGGGTCTCTGGGGCCACTGGGCAGAGCCAGGGCTAAGTGATCCCTGAATCTCCTCGTACCTGCATCGCTTATCGCCCACGTTTTTGTTTTCGATAAGACCACCCACGTCTCCCCCTGTCATCTTTCCCCCACCTTCATCGCAATACATTCTAACCAAGCCAGCTGTTCACGATGCCTGACAAAGATTCGCCTATGGTTTCTCACGGCCGCGGAGGTACGTTCGCACTTACCACAGTCGCCTTTCATCCACGTCGCATCGCATCAGCTAACGTGTAGATCGATCAGGCCAGGGAAACATCGGCCATGACACCACCGAGTGCGTAACACAGATCGCGATGCGTAACACATCTCACTAACACAGTCCAGATACGTTGATGGCGAGATCGTCCGCGAAGGCGTCTACGGCGACCAGGGCGACGGCGCTTACTCTGCCGGTGTAAGGATCCATGATGCGCCGGATGACCTGGCGCCAACTCGCTATTATGGTTCTATCAACTAACTTCAAGTGTACAGCGCGGCGGCGCAGGAAATATCGGATCGCCCATGGTGCGCCCAACCTCCAAGGTTCCCCACGACGCGGAGATGATCCCGGAACTTGCGGTGCGCAACTCTTCCGACGAGAACTACCATATCGGGGTAAGACAAGAGAATTGATGTCGCTTTGTCGTCTTTAATCTGTTTTATATTAAACACATTAAACACCCTCACTCTGCCCCTTTTGTATACTGAGGCTCCCCTGATACTTTTTTCGCCCCCCCTTTAATTTCCCCTGCTGTTCTGTTCCCGGATCTTGACTTCCTAGAGGTTTCGCAATGGCTGACTTATCTTTGGTGTAGCGTGGCGGCCAGGGCAACGTCCATATCGACGAGGCAACGCTTAAGGAGAAGGAGAAGAAGTCCAAGGTTGCGCATGAGGGCTTGGCGGATAAGCTGAAGCACAAGTTGCTTGGACGGAAGTAAGCGCAGCTTACATGTCAGGTTCTTTTGTGCTTTCTGATTCCCATTTTCTCGTTTGTGGAGGTTTTTCAATAAGATTGGTCCAAATTGACTAAAGTTTTGTGCTGGCGATCATGTACAGGTACCTGCATGGTTATATGTCTTTCTTAGGGAGCAGGCAGGAGCAGATGAAATAGATATCCAGTAGATACAGCTATTTATATGGAGTACATGCGAAGCAGTGAACAAGAGCGACTATCCTATCGGAAACACATAAAACAAACCCTATCCTAAATCAAGTGTCCCACGTGTACATGTATCATGACCTCATTAGTTACCGAATGCGAGATGAAACAACAGTGAAAAGCAAAAAAAATGACAGAACCCAGATCCATATTGCATCCCATCCCATAACCCATACAACATAAATCCATAACGCCAGCTCCAAGAAAATCAAGGACGATGCATCAGATAGACAAGAACCTCATGAAAATTGTCAAGATACAATACCCCAGATAGATCATCTAGGTGTTTCCAGACCAGCCAGATCCAGAAGCAAGCTCAATCCTTGCTAAACCGGCGCTTAAACCAACTCTTCCTCTTCTCCGCCTTATCAGTCGGGGTCGGGGTCACGTTCTGGTTCATATTCTTGGACAGCGGGCTCGGCTGAGCCGCAGCATGCCCAGCCCCATTGGCAGAGGGAGCAACGGGCCCATACCAGTTCGAGTTCGCAGGTTGTTGAGGTTGAGCGACGTTTGGCGAGCTGAACCCGCTGAATCCATACTCGGCCTGAGCGCGCTCGTCAAGACGCTGTTGCTGCAGAGCCTGCTGCTGCAATTGGTCGTTGGAGCTGTTTATCGAGCTGGGGTCTGTGGACTGGCCGTAGGGGTCTGTGTGTCCGGATCCATTGTTGGATAGGGCGGTCACGTTGTCATAGGAGCGCTGATAGCCGTTGTTTTGGGGATATCCGTATTGCGAGTTGTTGACATTGTTGCCGATGTTGGGGTAGCCATCGGGTGAGGCGATGGGGGGTGAGTGTGAGCCGCGCATGTGGTGGGAGGGACGTCTTCTGCCGTTCTGGTGGCCGTTCTGGTTGTAGGGGTATGGGTTGGGGTTGGGGTTCTCAGGGGATTGGGGCGTGTTCTGGTAGGCGTTTATCACACTGTCTGGTCGGGATTGGCTTTGACCGTAGTTGTTTTGGTCGTATCTGCGGTTACCGTTGCCGTTTTGACCTAGAAGAACAAGACATTAGAATGAATCGGTGGAAGAAATGGCGCGAAACATACCTCCGTAGTAGCTTGTCCGGCGGCTGAAATCGCCCATCTGTGATGCGGCATCGTCTGTCCAGATCAATCAGCTTCAATTCCCCTTTTTGTCTGGAAAATATATATGACAAAGTAATAATACCTGTTCTGGCGTACGAACCACGATTATTACTGTAAGCCCCGTAGATGGCTGCTTCAAACGATCGAATTGTATCCAAGGGACGCTCGAGACGTGGCCGGGTGGGGTTTGACAGGTCGGGATCGGCTGAGGCAAGGGTTAGCAAAAACGCCCGTAAAAACGCCCGAGGAATGCCAGTGGAGACGAACTGATGATATTTCCATATTGATCCTTGTGCTGGACATCGCGCAGCGAGCCCAAATTGGATTTTTCCAGCGCAACCGCCACTGTTTTTGATGTTAGTTGAACTGAAGATTGAAGGAGATGCGACCGGAAGGCAAATTCCCAACAACGTACTAGGCTGAAGTTCATTCATAGCGACGAGAGGATCGGCTTTGGTGTGTAAATTGCGACGAGCCTTTTCTTCTGAAGATTCTGAAAAACCACGGGTATGACCTTTGGCAGATTTCCCTGAATTCTGCGACTCTTGAGATTTGACACTGAATCCACGACTCCGCTGGGGAGAAGCAGGTTGGGGGGCCGCCATTTTATTAGAGCGAGAGTTCCACCGTCTTTTTAGCGTCCGCGATTCAAGGCAGCTCTGAAACGGCTGGGATCTGCTGAGCTTGTGGCCGTTGTGGAGCGTGTGGGAACTGCCAAGAGACGATAGAGCAATTCACGGCGATTTTGTGATTGAACACAGACGAAACAGACTAAGTAGTTCGATCTGATGGAATGAGTTAGGCGCCTTGTTAATCTTGGAAGATTGCGATAATGGATGTGCGGCGTGCTTTGTGCTCGTTGGGCCTGTTGTGCTTATTGTGCTGTGTGTTGGATGTAACGAGTGGAGTAGAGAACTGTAAATCAATTCTCATCAAAGAATCTCAAGTGAAACAAATTGGAATATTTTCAAAAGCAAAAGAAGTCAAGAGGCGGGAACCAGATGGATTTTATTCCGATGACACCAAGCCACGCAACGCAAGTTTACACTTTTCTTTTTTTGGGCCATCAAAGTCCCAGTACCCGTGGACACGCAATGCACTTGGACGCTGTTGTATTTGAGTATTACAAAGTATGTATGTATTTTATTAAATCATCAAAACTTCGGGAAATTGGGTGTTCTTCAATTCCATGGTACACAGCCCAGTTCTTGTAAGGCAGCGATTGGTGATGTTCCTCCGTTAGTTTAGGTGGCAACCTATTTTACAAAAACACAATAGCTTCTGCCAAATCGCATTGAATTCTTTAAGCAACCTCATTTTCTTAGGTTCAGACTCTGTACAACATTGAACCTGAAGGTAACTCAAGAAGCCAAGGTAGGGTTCTGTTCCTAAACTCATACTCAAGTTGGAAACCAAGACAATCGAGACTTCCCACATGAAATCTTCTCGCTTTTCCTTTATTTTTTTCCAGCCTTTCCAGAATACCGGAATTCCGCGTGAACGGTCCCGTCATCCGGGATGTTCCAATTGGCCACCCTGATTTTTGTTTTCTTGCTGTACATGCATATCTTGAACATCTTGAGCATTGGATTCTTCATAAATGCCATTTACGTTGTGCAACCGTTAGCGGCATCGGTGTATCGGTAGGACGAATGAAAATGATTCGATAATGCTATCCTGTGCATGTGCATCGCATGATCGCGCAGTCCACTGTTTCCAGCCCTGGAATTTGTGTTATGACGATAACCGTCACGAATGGGTTGATTTAGGGCTTAGACCACATGTGTCTGTGGTTTTCTAGTTCATCTTGCGTGTCAATAGTAAATGCGAATTTAGTGTTTGCTGTGTGGGTCGATGGCCGAAGTTTTTTTGCTAAAATCTATTAATAGATTCAATCTTGAATTCATCGCATCTATACCAATTGCTGTCGATATTTTGTCGGCATATCATATTGTACTCTGTTTTAGAGAACAATTGACAGAAGACGGGATTTCAATCTGGTGTCTATGTTTCTGGCTTTCTTCCGTTCCTACAAAATCTCCTTTATATTCATCCATAATTACCAGGATATATACGACGCCATTGGACGAAGCCAATGGTGATGAACTTGTTCAAGAACGACAATGTAAAGTACACTCTAGATCGAGACAAACTTGAACATATGAGCACAAAAATGGGGCCAACCTTTGGGCTATCTACCAGTATATACAAATGTGGATACAATCACAACAACAAGTATCAATCTTTCTGCACAATCACCGATGGACCAACGTACTCTCTCCGCCCTTTCACGAAATACATCCCAAGGCTGATAAAGAAAACTCCCAGGAAGATGACCACACTCCAGTTGAAGTTTTCCAATGTGATATGGACATCACTGGGCCACAAGGACCAAAAGAGCGCGAAGCAGCAATACAGCAGTCCAATGATATTGACAGACAATCCCCATCGACCCATATCCCATCGTCGAGGTGGAAGAGTATTAGGGTGCCAGATTTTGCGATAGATCACGCAGCTAATCGAGATGATGTAGGTATACATCAGAGCGGCGACGTTGAGAGAAATGATAGCGTTGAACGCGGTCTCGGAGCCGATGTTGATGAGGGACAACGCGCAGCTGATGATACAAGAGAGCCCAATGGCGTTGACGGGGATCTTCCGGTCTGTGTCGACTTTGCCAATCCACTTGGCAAATGGGAGTCCCTTGTCTCGCGCGAACGCAAAGGTTTGCCGGGAGGTCGAGGCGTTGAAGAGAATGTTGCTGAAGATTACGGGTATTAGGATGATTGCTGTGAGTCCGTTTACCCCTGCTGTAGAGGTGGCTTTCTGAAAGACGTAGAGGAACGGAAATCCCGTGGGGTCATTTAGGGAGTCTTCCACCGATGGCGTGGCAAAGAGATACGTGATGATCAAAACAATAGCCATGATACCGTTGCTAAAGTAGCCCCAGGCAATAGCAATAGGCACATTTCGAGCTGCATCCTTGACCTCCTCCGACATGTGGGCGGTTGCATCGGAGCCTAGAGGGGTTAGCGTATTCGATGTAGGGCTGAACGTTACGTACTCAAGGACCCGTAGATGGCCGATATTTGTCCGATCATCACACTTATTCCCATCGTAGACCATCCTCCGAGATTCTTCCAGTGCGTAACAAAGACCGCTTCGGCAGATTGGTGAGGGGCCAAGGTCCAGAGAACGATCAGAATGACTGTCCACGACAAAACGTGGAGAATCATCAAGAGGTTGTTCAGGATCGGCATCATATCGGATGCGTATACATTGAAGATGTAGATCAGCAATACCATGGCAAAGACGAATAGCGTGCCTTGCCAGTTTTGGGGCTCATAATCCGGGTTTCGCACGCTGATTAGTCCCTGGATGATAGTGCCAGTGAGAAACGAGCCGGAAGCTGCTCCAGCTTGCCAGGCTAGTACCGACATCCAGCCTACAATAATCAATTAGTCAAAGATCACCTAAAGCACGGGGTGAGCACACCTGTGATATAACTGAGAAACTTTTGATACCGGGGAGAAGACCACTCAGAGACCCAATGGTACTGTCCGCCAGATGTGGGTGCCATAGAGGCCATTTCAGAAATGGAGGCAATAATGAACCCAAATCCAATGAATGTCCATAGATAAGAGTAGAACAGACCTGGCAAACCTCCGTTGTATAACCCTTCATAGTTAGAACTGGCTTGTTAGTCTATTATCTTGAGTGCTTGAGTGCTTGAGTGCGCAAGGACATACTCACATGAGAACAAACTCCCACGTCGCTTGCAATACCGATGCAAAACTCAAAGCAGCTACAGGGCGCAGATTTCTCTGTTGGAGTTGAATATAAGATCTATGCCATGTTTAAATGTTGACATACCTTGAGCTCCTGGGCTTTTCCCATACGCTGCATATCATGGTCGTCAACAACCGTTCCAAGTTTGGAGCCTGTGACATCGCGATCCATAAGTTGAAGCTCGGTATCCTGCAATTCCAACCCCGAGGTTTTAGAAGCCATGATGGTCGAGCGGCTAGAGTACCGGTCACACAACGAAGTGGGGGGAAAACGCAACAAAAGAACAGAAGGAAAAAAAAAAGAAAAGAAAAAAAACCCAGAATGCAAGGGGGCCAAGTTGGGAAATATTATCCAAATGAATTATGTTTAATTTTTATTAGAAGTGTTGCCCGACAACAATCCACAAGGCCCCGGACGGGAGACGGCCACTATGTGAGTGGGGTTGTCGATCCCTAGCTGCAACTAGCCCGAAGGAGTTTACTTTTCAGTACTTTGGGGTACTTTGGGAATTCAGGTAAATTTGCTCTGAAGATAGAAAATAAGCAGAAGCTGAGAATATTGTTCCTATCTTTCTAGAAGGATAAAAAAGCAAATATGGTCAGGTATGGAGGGGCCACATGGTAACACAACACGTTCAAGAACAACCGAGTTGCATGGATTCTTCCATCGCGCGTTGACCATGTGGAGAATATGCGTGCCACAACAAAGTATATCTATGTCTCTTGAGGGATTCGTTACACACACTAAGAACTATATAAACGTGATTCCCGATAATCCAGCATTTCTACGATTATATATCGAACCGTCGCAGGATCCATCGACACTTAGGGCTAGATCCCAGCCCTGAAGAATGTCGATAACGTGAACCCTTGATTCACCCAACCACATAATAAGCCCTAGGGGTAGCGCATGGACGCCTTTATATGCAACGTGACCCCTCCCTTATCAGGTTATTGTATGATGCCCAGGTGAATTAGCGCCCCTGCAATGATGCCCCCTACATAACAAGCACAACGGTCCGCATACTCCAGTCACACCTCATGCAACACGAGTCTTGGCAACATTTGAGTCGATCTAAGTGGACGGAAAGCTGATTACCCTGCACCTACCTGCATCGATTCTGCCTCCAAAGCCTATTTGTCCACTTTGCAGCCTTGATCCTCCCGTAATTTGGCCCAAACTACAATTTAATAATGGCGCAACGCCCGAAAGAAAGAAAGACAAACAAAAATAAGCAAACCGCCCCTATCTCAAATATTTCGCCCCCAAATTCCATATGTATTCAGTTATACTTCAACACAGGTAGTCAGTCCTGTTGATGTTTTCCCTCTATCTCGGTAGCCATGTCGGCCTCGTCGTTGCCCGCGGGGGTGAATGCGCCGCTCATGGCGGATAATCCCAACAATCACAGCGGATTGATCGTGATAATTACCTCATTTTACATTGTTTTGATTATTGCTGCGCTCATCGCACGTATCTACGCTTCGTTCCAGAGGCGGCTCATGCAACATGATGACTTTTTGTTTGGGGTTCTTGTGGTAGGTGTATCAATTCAAATCTTGGCCACGGGCTCGGTTAACACTTACATAGGTAGTAGCAATCGTTCAAGCTGTGGTGGTAATAACACAAGCCCACTATGGCTGGGGAATCCGAGTAGAGTCTGCGATTGACGATCGAATGCTCAAGGTCCGTCCAACGCCTGCGCTCGTGAGCCATGTTAACATCCATAGGCTGGATACGCGGCTGAGATCATATCAATTCTTGTCTTGGGCTTCTCCAAGCTATCGACCTGCCTATTCTACGAAGCCCTCTTCTCGCAAATACAGCGTCGGTTCGTACGCGCCATCCTGGTCGCAGTAATTATGTGGACGATCATGTCTATAATATTGCTGGCTGTTCGCTGTACCGACAAGCCATGGATGGATATCAGTGCGGCTCAATGCAGTAGTCTGGTATGAACAAGCGAATCAAGTTGCGACAGGAATATTAACACAATGTAGCTCCCACGCTGGCAAGCCATCACAGCGACCGACATCGCGACAGAGTTCTTTCTTTTCTTGTATTCCGGGCTTGCGGTGCACAAAGTCAAGATATCGATGCAGAAAAAAGTGATGGTCTTCCTAGCTTTAGAATGTCGAGTGCTGTGAGTAATAATTTTGAATTACCAAATCCTTTAGCTAACCCGCCTAGACTCATCCTACTTGCCGGTGTACGTCTTCACTACATAACAGCACAAATCAACTCCGCGACGCCGATCCTCATTGGCGCCTTCGCGACCATCACAACAGAAATGTACCTCGCAATCAGCGTGCTCTGTCTCGTGAGCGCATTCCTCAAGTCGTTCATTGCAGCTTATGAAGACAGCAACGGGATCTCGTACACCGGTAGAATGTCGGGGTCGCATTCGAAATCGCCCAAGGGGGCGTCGAGTACCACGCAGAAAAATTCGTCCCGGTTCTCAAACACAGTTGAACGATTGCGCGGCTGGGAGCGAGAGGAGGATCCGATTATCGGTCCCACTGATGCCTCGGGCGGGTTGCAGATTTATAAATCTGTACAAGTGGATGTGAGTGATGAGCCTATTGAGTTGGCTGAGGCGGGGCGGGGAGGCCGAGGACATATTGGCACAGATCTACAGACTAAATAGACTGTTACAGTACTGAAAATACATATAATAATTAACACAGCCTGGCTGATTACATATGTAGATCGTGGGTCATCAGCGTTACGTGCGTTGATTTGTAAAGAAATTTAAACATAGCACTGTTTTCGGTCTGTTGAAAGTCTAATACAATTTTATACATGCTCGGCGTTGAGTGTGAGCGGGGGTATATGGGCTATAATACAAAAAAAAAAAAACGGTTCCGGATCTATTCCGAGAACCATGCAAAAATGCAAATGCAAAGAATTGAAGATTCAGGTTGAGTGAAACGAAATCAAGCAGTTGACTCGTCGGCCGAGGCCGTCTTCGTGTCTTCCACGGTGACCTGCACCTCGTGGCTGTGCTCCAGTTCAGAGAGAACAATCCACGTGGGGAAGATGGCAAGAACGGTAATGCCAAAGTTGAGGCCGATGCTGACGAAGTGGTTTGCACCGCCCTCGGACTGCATGGCCCATGCGACGGTCTGGCCCAAAGCCTCGAATCCGCGCAGAATACCACAGTGGTAGGATAAAGCTGAGATGTCCGTGCTGTACTGGCCGATCAACCAGTAGAGGAATTGCTGGAAGGCTTGGCCGCCAAATGTCCAGAAGAAGACCAAAGCGTAGGTCTTGCCGAATCCGCCCTTGAACCAGTCGAAGAGCGGGGCCTCGGGGGCATCGTAGAATTGCTTTTGTAGGATGGTTGCCCAGATCCAGGTTCCGATGAGGATGACAACGATGCTGGTGAAGGCGATCTTGGCACGTGTCTTGATGTAAATCGATTGGCGATCGAGTAGGGCCGCGAGCAGGAAGGAAGAGGCGATTCCGGCGAAGTTAGTGAAGAACGACGAGAATGCGCGGGACCGGACAGTGAAGTAGTCGGTCAACCAGGTGCTGAGGAAGCCGTTATAGAAGTAGCTGATAAAGAAGGCGGGCAGGAGGAGCAAAACACGGCGGGTGGTGAACAAGGACAAGGCGGCCTTGAACTCCTTGCCCCAAGTCGCCTGCTTCTGCACCACAACCAGGGATCGATCCTTGCGCTGGACCTTCTCTGCAGGGCTGAGGAGGAGCGCAATGGGGAAGCCCAGACACATGATGACGATGAAAACGATGTAGGTAGCGGCGCTGACTGTTCCCTTGCCGGCATGCTGCGCGTTGAGACCCAAGCTAATGGCACCACCGACGATCGGACCGGCCGCCTTAGCGGTCTGCCAAATCGCGAGGTAGAAAGCGCGCTCGCTGGGACTGGGGTAGCCAATGATGATGGCCGCCTCTGCTGCCCAGAAGAAGCCTGCGGAGATACCACATAAAGCGGAGCCGAAGAGCATGAACCATGTGGTGGGGTGGTAGTTGTTGGTGTACAGACCGGCACCGTAGATCGGGTAACCGATCGCACCGATAACGAGACCGAAGCGAAGACCGATGCGGTTGTTGATGGCACCAGCGGCGATACACACAACAGCGAACAATCCATAGACCAGAGCGTTGGCGGCCGAGACAGCGTAGGGCTCGGCAGCACCACCCGCTCCGAGGTTGTTCAGGGCATCCCACATTCCGGGTGCGGTGAATGAGACACCACTAGCGATGGCGATCTGGAAGGGGATGGAGCGGTAGAACGACCACCGAGAACGGCGAACTTGGGTATCATCGGTATGCTCAGAGGTAACCTCTGGCTCAATGGTTGATGGGGCCATAGTCATTATACACCCTTGGACACAATGGTCCTATATACACCAAAATGATTAATATAAACAATCTAAGAAATCGAAGAGAAAGAAAGAAAATTAAAGAAGCGAAAGTGTGAAGAATGTATCGATTGATAAAAAAAATTAAGATAGTGGGTCTGACAAGGATGTCGTGCTCAATGCCAAGACTTGCAAAATGCGGCAAAGTGCAAAACTTTGACACATCGCCACGTTGAACTGCTCGCGTGCCTCCCTTTCTAGGCCACTTCGCGAACAACCCTAAAATGACATGCTTAATATTCCTTGATATCACTGTTTCAGAATCAACAATGACCACATTGTGATGCATTTCACGCAGAAACCCTTGAATCTGCTTTCCGCTTGTCCCGACTCACGAGGAAGGCGATTAGCCCAACACTGAGGAATTGCCCGACCGTAGTGACCAAAGTAGAAATGAACCCAGCTCGGAAATTAGGCGCCGCAGTAGCGGGATATTGAAAGATCTGAGTCCAAGCTGCCATTGCTTGCCCAATAGCATTCATACTGGCTGTGACTATAGCACGCTCCTCGGCATCATTGGCCATAGTGATAGTCGCCCAGCTCATCGTGAGTGGACTGATCGCTGTCAAAAGTTAGCAAACGCGTCGGCAAAGTTAACCGAGAGTAGTCCCAATTTTTGTTTACCTCCTTCGAACCCAGTGATGATAAACGCCACCAACCGGCCTTTCTCCCCGACATTGTACACAACTAGTAAAATCACACCAATAAGGACAGGAATGGTCGTCACTACAGACGGAATCCAAAAATTTCGCAGACGATCCGCGGTAATACCAGCGACCAGCGCGGCGACAACAGACAGCGCTGTCGCGATAGTCGGCAGCGTGTTCACTCGTGACACGGAGTAAATTTCTGGCTTTGCCTTGAGATACAGACTAAACGGCGTCGAGTACGGCGTGAAGTTCTGGTCCATCAGGATCCAATGAACGACAAAGACATACCAATGCCAGCGTCCAAAGACGCGTTTGAAGATCTCTCGCGAGACCTTAAGCTCGCTGGGCGCCGTCAGGCCTTTCAGACGGCTATTAGCAATCTCATGCTCGGTCGCTGTCAAAAACCGCGGCTTTGAGCGATGCGGGACGTCGGGGAAGATAAAGTAGCCGCTAATCGTGTTAATCACCGGATAGCCCTAGAGGTACCCCGTAGGTCACTTACAGAATGCAAATAGGAATAGTGATGACGGTGCAAATAACGAACAACCACCTTCATCGTCAGCACCTTTCCAAAAAAAAACCCTCTCTATAAATAGAAACACACCTCCACCCAGCCAGCCCATGCCTCCCCTCCAAATTCGTATACGCAGCAGCCTGCAAATACCCAGCAAACATGGTCCCGAGCGGCGAAGCAATAAAGAATAGCGCAACCCGCCGCGTCACCTCACCGGGCTTGTACCACGAACCAATAACATAGATGACGCCGGTGAACGAGCACGACTCGCAGATCCCGATGAAGAACCGCATGGCGTATATCGTGTCCAGGTTCTGCGCCCACGCACATCCGAACGTGAACAGCCCCCAGCCTACTTCCAGGGTCGGCAGCGCGATGTTGATCCGCGTGCGCGTTAGCCAGTAGCAGGCTGGTATCATCGATGTACAGTACGAGGCCCAAAATACGGCTGTTATGTAGTTTAGCGTGTTGCCGGTTAGGTGAAGGTCTTCTTTCATGCCGCTGGATATCAATCAGTTCCTTGCGGACTGGATTCAAAAGTGGGCACGGTACGTACGATACGTAGGCGTTGGTTATGGCTTGTTGGTCGAGGTACTTTGTGAAGAATGAGAGACAGCCGAATGTTAGGATCATGAAGTCCAGTTTGAGGATGAGCTTCTTTTCAGCATGCGCCATGTTTCTAGGATACCATCCGGCATATGTGAGCAATTGGAGCCATGACCCATCTTGCGATTCGCTGGGATCAACTTCATCGTTGGCGACCTCGTGGGTTGATTTCGTTTCCACAACCGGCATCGTTGATTGAGATAGTTGCAATATGACCCATGTTTTGTTCTTCCATTGCTTGTGTATAGTTTTGGGAGACTAGCTTCGATAATGGAAGATGCGATGATTATCACGCCTGATGGTGTCATCTATGAATGCTTACTGCGGAGAAATCGCAACCGGAGAGCTGCCGATGACCCGATAGTACGAAGTAGGGTTATCTCAATTAAGATAACGAAGCAGGCAATCAAATTAAGACAAGTGACTCATTGCAAATGAATTCGATTAATGTACGCTTGATGTGTATGTAAAGACAATGCCCGCAATGATATAATGTACATGCTCAAGACTTGATGGCAATCTCGTACTTGGGGACCCAGAAGGTGACGTTCTTGTCCACGGAGTAGACCTCCGTTCCGAAGCTCAGACTGCCAAGATAATCGCTTTTTGAGGGGTAGATATCACCACTCAGGTCGTAGAGATCGGTGATCAGAGGGTAGATATCACCGGTAAACTTCTCCACGGCGCCTGTAATGGGCGGGTTTGCGACCCATGACAAGACGTTCGTGCCCTGGAGATTGGTACCAGCGTACAGTGTGCTGGTATAAGTTAGCTAATGGACCAGTCATCGATTGGTAACGATCACTCACAATTCTGTTCCGTCAATGGTTCTGTTCACGCCTGGCTTGCCCCAACCGTAAGGCTGGGAGATCACAGAAGACATGTAGAACCACACCATGACTTCGTACTGGGCATGCGTTCCGTTCTCAGCCTTGTCCTTGTCACTGTCCAAGAACATATCGATGGCAACGTTGGTAGCGAGATTGATTTCTGTCAGTGCATCGAAGTCGGTGGTTTCCGCTGGTGTATCGCCCACTCCATAGGTCCAGTGAATGTCCACATTCAGCTCCGACACTTCATCCATTGCCTTAGGCAAGACATCGTCGATGCGAATGTTGGGATATCCGTGCACGGGCGCGGTGGAGGACATGGGGTCGAATTGCCAGGTAACGGAGAATTCGGGAGCAGTGTTGGTAGGGTAAGTTTCGTTGTTCCAGAATTGGACCTACAGCCGTTAGCATTGAGTGAGTTAGGCGAAGAAGGGTTGCGTACATCCATACACAATTTGCGCTCGTCTGAGGCTTTGGTCACACCCCATTGATTGGGATTCACTGTCTCGATCAGCATTGCTCTGAAATTCAAGTATCGTTGGACTCACGTGTGAATTGTTCGGTCTTTGAAGGTGGGATGATTCCATATGAGATATCGCAATGTTGAACAGTTGTAATGCCATTATTATGGGGAATGGCATCGCTGCCACCGCCGGTGCTGCCACCGCCGGTGCTAGTGCCATCGTCGTTTGTTCCTCCAGTAAAGAGAGGCTTCTGTCCTGTGGCAGCACGGTGGGCGTCAATGCCCATGAGTGCTCCAACGCTACCACCGACTGGGATGGCCACAAGGACCGCGTTGACCAGCAGTCCCACTCCGAGCACCATGACCAAAAGCGAGAGTGTATTACAAGCAAAGAAAAAAGGGGGGGATATCAGAGGTAGCAAGTAGCAAAGTAGCAAGTAGCAAACTGATCGGAAAGTGAGAAGCTAGGAATATTAATCCACCTCGAAAAGAAAGAAAAAAATGATTCAAGATTGAAAAGCAACAGGCGATGAAAGGTGGGTGGATCACATCCACGGATAACGATGGGAAGGGTTCTGTGGATGTGATGATGGATGCATTTGGTTAGAACTGTTTAAGACGATCGGGGCTAACAGTGGGACCAACAGTGGACTAAGGAAAGGTAACAGTGGACAAGCCTGGCTAAGCCAATGCATCTTCTGATAAGAGGATTGTATTAGGAAGAGTGGAGCTACAATAAAAAAAGGTACCAGGTACAATTACCATTTCAGGTACGAAATGTAACGTTGGTAAAATTCATATTGTCTGTCTTGTTATTATTGGTCGGATTGGGTTGCAGATTGAAATTAACTGGAAACTTACTGAAATTACATATCGTAAAATCGGAACAACCTATCTTCGGTACGGGTAAACAAAAAGAAAAAGAGAAAAAAACGAAACAAGAAAAAAAGGTACCCGCTTTTCGATTGCAAGCGGACAAAAACTATAGAAAGAAATAAAATAAAATCAAAATCTGAACGGTAAGGAAACCTCGGGGAAACATTTAGAGACATTCGACCGTTGAATCAGACCCTAGCCCCTCTCTTTAATTTCTTAACTCCAATTAAATAATCTAAAAAAACATGACTTTGCAAATTTGCTATTTTTACTGTAATCAGCAAAACCCAATCCGGTCCTTCTGGGCTTGGCATACACTAGTCTCAGGGCTTAACCATCCGGTTTCTAGACTGATCTTCGTATGGCTACTGTATGTGATAAGAATTGTTCTTTTGCTTCTCTCACTCTTTTTCTTTTCTAACCTTCTTGCATTCCAGCTCTTTGGGCTGATCACCTTCGTTTTGGCTTCCATTCTTTTCATCTAACATTCCTAGAGTCTTCACGGAGTATATTCTCCCCAATCTCATTCGAGATGGATAGGCGCTATCACAATGACGATCAGGACGAGAAGGTCGAGTTAAACACTTATCGCTACCATGGGCACGACAGCAGCTTCGAGCACCCAGAACCTTTCGCACCTTCACCCATCTCTCCCAGAGCCCTCACGCCCATCAGACCCGGTCATTTCCCTACCGACGAGTATGGTCAACCAGTTTGGCTACAACCCGCTGCTCGGATGTCCGGACACTCCGATTCGATCAACGGTTCGCCGTGGAATACTCAAACACCGTATGATTCACGATCAGCTTCCCCAACTTTAGTATGACTTGACTTTTTCTCTCTCTCTCTCTCTCTATCTTTGTCTCTCTTTCTCTTTGATCTTTACTGTAATTCTAACGATCAACAGTACCAGGGTGGTGTGCAAGAAAGTCATCAAAGTCTCGCCCCATTGGTAACCGCGCCATCTCCGCCAAGCTTCGAAAAAGATTGGGTCAAATCTGGATCGATTGCTCGAATCCACGATCGTGACGATGTGGATATCTGGAAAGGATGGAAGCGATGGGTGTTTTTCCTCGTCCCATTTTTGACATTCGCGAACACGGGTATCTACTTGTTCTACCTGGGCCTGCGGATTTTCTGTATTATCATGGCGCAAAATGTTGCTGGAGTTTCCTACGCTGGCGCGTGGGTGTTTGTTGCCATTGAAATCACCGTTGCGATCCCCTCGCTCATGCACAACTGCTGGACCATGATGGCATTGAAAAAGCGAGGCCGAGCCAAGTTGAGATTGACTGGCCGGGAATGTCCTACGGTGGATGTGTTTATCACCTGCTGCGGAGAGGACGATGATGTTGTTCTCGACACCGTTCGCGGTGCATGTGACCAGGACTACCCCCGCGACTCGATGCGAGTAATCATCTTGGATGACGGCAAGTCCAAGACCCTGGAGGACGCCTGCAACCAACTCGCTCTGGTTCACCCCAATGTTATCTACATGGCCCGCGAGAAGATTCCTGGAAAGCCCCACCACTTCAAGGCTGGTAACTTGAACTACGGTTTGGACCAGGTCAACCTCCTTCCTGGAGGCGCTGGCCAGTTCATGGCTGCCCTGGACGCTGATATGGTAATTTACCCACGGCCCGCTTAAAAATTTCATTTCTGACTGACAACGCAGATTCCCGAACAAGACTGGCTCCGTGCCGTCCTCCCCCACCTGTTGGTGGATCCCAAGATGGCCCTTGCATGCCCGCCGCAGCTGTTCTACAATACCCCTGCGTCTGACCCCCTCGCCCAAAGTCTGGATTTCTTCGTGCATGTTATTGAGCCGATCAAGGACGCCCTTGGTGTGGCTTGGTGTACTGGATCTGGTTACGTCGTCCGACGCGAGGCGCTCGAGGAGATCGGCAACTTCCCTCTTGGCTCGTTGGCTGAGGATGTCGCGACTTCCACACTGATGCTTGGCAAAGGATGGAGGACCGCATACGTCCACGAACCTCTTCAATTCGGTACCGTCCCCGAGGACTTTGGTGGTCATCTCAAGCAGCGTACACGATGGGCCATTGGAACCGTCGACACCGCCGCCAAGTTGAAGTTCTGTCTGTGGGGTGACGCTGTTAAGCAGATGACAGTCGCCCAGCGCTTCTCTGGATTCCTATATGCTACCCTCAGTGTATACACCCTCTTACTGACTCTCTCCCTCTTCGCCATTCCCATCATTCTGCTCTGGGGCAAGCGCCTCGTCGCATTCGCGACTGAAGAACAACTCCGCTGGCTGATCTGGTCCTGCTTCGCCGCGACCATTTCCAACCGTCTCTGCGAAATGGCCCTCTTCATCCCAGCCGGCTACCACACCGGTCAACGAGGCTCTCGCTACCAACTCTGGATGTCGCCATATATCGCCCTCTGCATCGTGCGCTCTTTCCTCCTCCCCACGTGGCTCGGCGGCCAAACCCAGGCCTTCAAGCCCACTGGTTCTCTCGGCTCCGCCCTCAACGAGCGTGATCCCAAAAAGTCGAAGAACATGTTCGTTCGTCTCCGCGTCATTCTCTTCAACTACATGGCCAGTTTCCACCTGGCCTTCGTTTACGTCACCCTGGTGGCAGTGGTCATCTCCTCATACCGCTGCTTCGCCCAGAACTCCAGCTTCAGAGACATTATCCTGTGTCTCATCACGCACGCGTTCTGGCCCCCGCTCACCTTCCTCTTTATCTGCACTTCGCTCTGGACACCCGTCTCCTACGCAATTGATCCTCCCTCCATGCCCGAGCGCGAAGAACTCCTCACGCGCGACCCCAAGACCGGGGTCGCGCACCCGACCAAGAAGAGCAAGAAGATCGCCTTTGGCGGCCAGGCAGCATGGTTCGAGCTCGAGTACACGGTTGCCACTGTTGCGACGATCTTGGTCTTTGTTTACTCCTTCATTTTCTAATTTCTGATCATATCCGGCGCGATTTTTTGGAAATCTATATATAGCTAACGTGTCACATGCTCCAATCACGGCAGTCCTTACCTTGTTTAAGTTTGCTCTATGTACTTATCTACACAAACACGGATCTGGCGTTGGTTTTTTGGTTTTTTGTCTTCCTTTTTGCCATTTTCATATCGGAGTTATACCTTGCATATGGTAAATATTACCAAAGTTCGCAATACAAACAACTTTAAAAAAAATATGACCTGTCATTGAGGCTGTGTAAATTACGTATGTCGGTAATTTAAACTGGAACATCTCACACCCAATCAGTTGATCTGCGTTGATCGACATCCAATCTCGGGCTGGACAACGCCGCCCGCGCGTTGCCAGGGTTATCTGTGATCTGTCGCGTGAGGGCTGTGTGTTGCCTGCTTTTGCATGTCCGGCAATCAAAATTCTTATTTCTCGGCTCATATGTTGGTCGTCGGGAAGATTTTCAAGGGTTGCTTGTCGTGTGGCTGGTTGGTGTATTGGTAATTATTTGCATCCTGAAGTCTAGTGATCTGATCGCCCCCTTGTGGTTGCACAACTAGCTTGATGTACTGCTTGCTTTTTATAGCCGGCTTTTTATAGCCGGCTATTATTGTCACCGCCGCTTTGATGACGACTCTTGCGCTTATATCATAAAGCTTATGCGCAATAAAGCATAAAAGGTTTATACGGACTCGACTTGGAGCTCGCCGCTGATGCGCAACAAAGAGAGGAGCTCGAGCTCAGCGTTACTACAAAGTTTGGAGCCGTTTATGGCAAGGAGCTTATCGAACAAAGCAAACAGCCAAGGCCATCGCTGTGCGGAGTAGAGCCCAAGTAATAAAGTAATCAATTGTAGCTTTGACATAGTCACGCTTGGCCCCTCGAGGAGATAAGCATGTGACAGAATTCTAGGTTAAGGTGTCGACTTTTACTTTGTAACACCCAGCAACTTGTTCGTTGGCCCTGTCAAACCTTGGGAACATGTAAACAGATATGTTTTTCAAGGCTCATCCTGGAAACATGTCAATGGTGACAATTTGCGCTTCCAGAGCTGTGATCATCCGTGTGGCTGCAGAGCCACATTTTAATAATTTTCCTCGTCATTGCAGTTAAATTACATCACCAGTTATATATTCTTTCTACAATGACGGTTATGCAGTCTGCTCCACGAACTACGAATTATAGCCGCCGGCAACCTGAGGTGAACGAAGATTTCCATCTACTGGATACAGCCATGAATCCTTCCAAGTTATCTTAACCTTGGTGCATGCCAAATTAATTTTTACGCCCTTCGTTGTGATTCACAAGTCCTAGCTATCTTTACTCGGATAATGATGGTTTGGGACAAAGTGTGATGTAGTTTATTGATGCTATTGATTTGATCTGTAGATCGCGATGGGGAGACCCGGAAGCTGCGTCAGTCTCCAACTCTACCACTGCTCAACTCTACAGATGCGGAGACATGGCTGCCGCTGAGATATCCACCATCGTGGTCGCACTTTGGAGGCTCCCCGGACTCCTCCGCCTCCAGTCGCTTTACCACCAAATCAAACTTCAAATCAAACAATTTGGCGTCCTCATGTCCATGTTTGATCCCATGCTCTTTGAATAGGTAGTCCATGATCCCATTCGCCGATTGACCTCATAGAGAAGTTTGATTAGCTGGATTATATCCTCCAGCTCGCTCCTAAATTGGCTAAGCGATTTCTGTATGGCGACTAGCTGCTGTTGGGCTCTCGCTTAGCGGCGTTCTGCTTGGAGGGTGCATACATTGAGTGCGCCAATGATCCGAAGAACATCCTGGATACTTATTAGCCGCATCCCAGTGAAGGGCGAAAAACTTACCGAGGCATCCATATCTGCATACAGGGACTCATCGAAGAAGGAATATGGGACCATTTACAGTCTGGGGTATGTTCAGGGAGAACAGGGGCCTTAAACCAATAAGAAGTACGCTTTCGGACCTCAACGGCCACACTTATAAGAAGCTAGCTATGTACCTCCTCATTGATTCTGTCAAGATATTGAGTAGTCATAATCCGTGGGCCATGTGCTGTGGGACATGTTCATGATGGTATTTGGCAAGAAGCGTATATCTAAGCAATCTTCAGAGTGCCATGTTTGACTGGATGGGAATAGATAGAGGGGTTAACATTTTATATTACCTGTCATCAGTATAATAACTTATGATCATAACTCATGAAAATGAACGAAAGTTCAATTGGAAGGGCAGCACGTTGAAATTAGCACCGGCTTCTTGGTCAACGCTACAAATACACCCAAACTTCCTTACATTTCGGTAACTGCGAAAGGTGACACTACTACCTTTTACAATCTTCTTCATAGTTGATGGTCCTCACTGCAAAGCTAGAAGCATAAGCTGCCATGGTGCTTCTGAGCTGTAAGGCCCCGGTTCCATTTTCCCAACGACCATTGTCGACCGTACCTTGAATTTGAGATTGCTCTTTGTCTATCAGCCTCCGCATCCTGCGTCCACAAAATACTAAGCCCCCTGCGCAGTCAGCTATTAGGCATCCTCTGAACCATAACTGGAATGTTTTCGAAGGTGGCAAAATGAATTGGGCTGGAGGTGATACATGTAGCCGTTGTCCGTCGGCGTCATGGGGGTCTGCGCCTTGTCCAGTCTACATTTCCTACGGACTCAATTTATCATGTTCGCGTTCCGTAATGGGGCTTTGTCAATACCGACCTCACGCCAGAACTCATTTGGCGGCTACGACAGAAGGGTTGAGCTTGCCCCACTTCTTTTCTTCGCTTTTCCTTCGTGTCTGAACTACCTTTGCTTCTGAATCAATCTTCTTACATTATATGTTTCCGCTCAAATGGTTCATAGCTTGCAAGATGTTCTGTCATACAGTCACTTTTCGAAGCCTTTCGAAGAATTCCCTGATATACCACCTATGATCTCGGCTCTGGACGGGAGTGCTCTATATGACGATGGCTGGTCTAGCCTTGTGAAATTTCTCATTGCAGTCAATGATGTGGCAAACTTGTATCGTTACGTTGAATCCCGTGGCACTCATTTCTTTGGTCCTACAGTGGAGGTGCACGAGTGGGACCCTTACCAATGGGACCCTTTCCAAATGGCTGCAAAGAACGGCAGCATCGATGCGCTTCGCGCTCTTATGGAAATTTATCAATCAGACAACAGTCAAACGGAGTCAATTGAAGCTCGACTGAGACTCAAGAAGATTCGACTGCTAAATGTCGCGTGCTTCTATGGCCGATTCGAGATGGCGGATTTCTCCTGAGCTGCGGTCCTCCCTTAGGGGCACAGTTGAATGATCGAGATTCCACTGACTCGCCTCTTTTATCCGCAGTAAAAGCACTCGGAGGTGGAGATCACAGCGGGGGGGGGGGGGGAGTGAATTTGATAATACCGATATTGAAAAATTCGTCTGTCGGCTATTGGACAGAGGTGCTTCAGTTCCTCAGGCCAACAGTCATTATGCCAACAACGATCGATCCGATTATCCAGACTTACATGAAACTGTGCTTGGAGTTGCTGCTCCCTATGGAAGCTATAAACTAGCCTCTCGCCTTATCGCCGAAGGAGCTAATATTCACGCCCAGCAGATATGGCATGATGTGTGGGGAGGCGATGTTGACAAAGTCACCGCCCTGCACTTAGCTAGTGGGTCCTGGAACGTGGAGTTTATCAAAGCATTGGTTGAAAATTATGGCGATGGTCAGCTCGCTGAGGCACTTACTGTAGCTGACAGTGAAGGACGGCTGCCACTCCACTGGGCGCTGTTTGGCCTTCGGTCCTCTGACCGATGACCAGGTCAGCAAACAATCTACGAGGGGCTCGAGATCGTGAAGCTATTACTTGAAGCCAACCCAGAAACTATAAATATCCAGGGCAAGAGTGGAGCGGCCTTCAATTTCGCTATGAGTGGCAGGATTGATGGTGCTGAAAAGCTAGCTCTTGTGAAGCTTCTTCTAGACACCAATCCACGTCCTAGCACGTTGAATGCCCGAGATCAGTCGGGTGCGACGGCTCTACTTCGCTTGATAACATACTATGAGGGCTCCAGCTCGAGTCAGCATGCGTATTTTATGCCACTGGTCAATCTCCTCCTTTTGCACGGAGCCGATAGGAGTCTCTACGACAACAAAAATCAGACTGTGTTACATAAGCTGGCGTCTAGTGCTACATACAACGAGGAAATTCCCTTTCATCTCCTGGACATTCTCATTCCATTTGTCGATATCAACCAGGCCGACGTGCACGGTTGGACGGCGCTACATTCCATGGCGAGAAACTTGCGGTAAGTCAATGCGTCACGTTTGCTGGTCAGTCGAGGCGCAGATGTCAGTGCTGTCAACAACAAGGGAAACACGCCTCTTCATGAAGTAATGACAGGAAGGCTTATCAGGAGGGAAAATGAAGACGGCTCACTTGAATGGCCGACTCTTTCGGAGAAGATCCAGGCACACGACGAGATCATTTCGACATTGCAAGATGCCGGGGCCTCTATGGACCAGCCAAATTTGGCGGGCAAGACACCGGCACAACTACTGGTGGAGAAACGCGCCAAGTGGGAGAAAGGTGGTGAATAGATCAAATGGCAAATGCTTGAATAAATCCAGCTACAGCCAACAAACACACATGTCATTCCGAAAGCAATCTTGAAGTATAGCAACTTGGGCGATTGTCCATACATCCGATGGTGCGCTACATCATAGAATAGACCTCGGATAGCCTCATAAAGAACATAATTTGAGCGGGCTTGAAATCTCAACTTGCCTGATAAGGACTGCTTTGGGGTATATTTCTCTAGCTCTTGCAGTCTGGTGGGCCAAGGCGATTAATTGGCGTATACGCCCCTGATCACAACCTTGGAATTCTCCACTCGACAGCATGTTTGGAGGTGAAGGTAGCAATAGATTCATTCACACCAAATAATGGGGAGGATGTAGAAGATTACGATGACAAAAAAAGAGAAAAAAAGCGGTACAAATCCCCCAGAAGGATTGCAACATCTCAAGCCTTACTAACCTCGGCTTTTGATGCTTTGTCATCCAAACGTGACTGCTGCCAGGTACTACATTCCCACACGGCAACGTCAAGAAGGCCCGTGATATGGAGATCAGGAATGTCGATTGAAGAAGCAGTGGGTTTCTGAGAGGAAGGAATGGAGTAGGCCCGGCGGTCTGCGGGGCTTATGTTAGAAGGACATTTGTGGTAGTCATAGGAGGACAGTTTCTCTCGGCGATAGAACGATTATAAGGCTTCGGTCTATCGAGACGTTGCCTCTCCGCTCCATATATGTGTTCGCGAATCATACCAGGAGCATCTTCTTATGACTGCAAAAGTCCACCACTCTGTATAAATTTCACCAGGCCCTCCAGCTAATCCTGGTAAAGATTATAATGTTTCTTTCCATGAGGATCTTGCCAACAATGCGGGCCTAACTCATGAGATCCAGGACAGCGCATCAAGGAATAAACCATTTTCTAGGCGGGAGGCTCTCCAGAGGCTGCTTTCTCGTCACAAATCCGTTAGTCTCGCTCTTTAATCATATGCTGAGTAGCAAACGAAATACCTCGTTTATCAGTCGTCCTGCAATTAACGGTTGAATCCTAGGCGTTCTCCGTATAGTTGAACGAGATAATAAGTCTCAATGTCTTGCCAGCACGGAAAAGATCCCCCCAATCAGAAAGCTGTTCTTCGGTAGAGGACCAGTCAATATCGGTCTTATCAAACCTCCTTATAAGGGTATATGGCAGCGAGGACAGAACAATGAATATCACCGCATGTGTTTCTATTTGATTTCAATTCTGAATAGAACGTCGTTGTGCTCAGTCGATCTTTCACGTTCTACTCCGTAAGTAGGTCTAAGATGGTTTATGATATCATTTCTTATGTATCAGCATGGCAAGCCTTAAAAACCAGAAACTATAGCTCAAGCGCGTTCAGGTTATATTACATGGATCTATGTTCACTGCAAGGAATCATTCAGCCCAATCAACAAGAAACTCATCCATCAAATCCAAATTAACTCTCTCCCTACCTCCCCTCTCCCCTCTCTCCAAACGCCCACGAAGAAGATCCGCAGCAATATCAAACTTCGGTTCTGGTGGAGGACAAGCTTGTTTCTGCGGAGCATAGCTCATATTCAAGGTCTTGCTGGGGCTACTATTTTCTAAGCTGCCATCTTCGAACTGCTTGATATCTGACGGATTGAACTGAAAATCTACCAAATCAAGATCAACCTCGGGCTGTCTAGACTCATATACCCGCGAGGCGTTGTCTGAGTCGAGAATGGAAGCTGCACCAAAGAGAGACATCCCACGCCTAGGGGCTGTGTCGTGGTAGGAATATGGATATTGCTCATGTGATGGGCTCGGGGACTCTGTCTCCGGACTGGTTCGGCCATCGCTGTGATCCATAGACTGGAAGCTCTGCGGTGACCATGATGATCTTTGGCCCCGGGCCATGGGCGGTTGCTGTCCTCGCTGTCTAGCGGAGGGACGAGAGAAACTCTGCCGTGTTTCTCGTTCTCGACCACGAGATAATTTCTGATTTGAACATTCATCGCTGAAAAAATCTTGAAGAAGCACATTCAACTGTGACAGGCGCTTCAGCTGTCTGGCAGGAATCCTGGTCTCAGGATATTGGTTCAGCTTCCTCTTGCGCGACAGGAGTTCTGTCTGCTCCAATCTCGCTCCAAGGCCATCCCTCGATCCTCTTAACGAAGCGGTTGGCGAGCGGTCTGCCTCCATGCGGAGTGTCTCTTCTTCATCGTACGCGACAGCAGGCTTGAAGTCAATCCCATGATCGAGAAGAATTTCGCTCAAATAGTTGACTCTGCTCTCGAGGAACGCGACATAGCTACGCGGAACCTCTTGCTTGGTGAGAGGATCGTATCCAACGCATCGGACCTGTGCCTTTTCGCAAGATTCACAGCGTGGCAGGCGTTGGTCGCATCGGTGTTTGCGAAGGCGGCACCTGTTACAAGCGGAAACATTGCGGAATGGCGGGGCTGGAGGTTCAGGGGTGATGGCTTGGCGGGATGGCTTTGGTGTTGGTGCCGACTTCGTTTGTGGGGAGAGTGGTAGGGCTCTATCAGAAGTCACGGAGTTCTCGGGGTTGGATAGTGGACAGGGCCATTGTCCAGTTTCTAGCGTTGGCGGTAGATCAAGCATGGCGTGGTATATTTGAACTTATCAATGACTTAAAAAAGAAGAGTAGAAATTACGAAATTGCGAATAACAAGTGCTTTTGTTTAACTGAGGGGGTAATCGAGGCTTGTTCAGGGTGTTACTCTATAGAATATGTTTGGCATTGTTATCGTGATTTAATTCCGAAGACATAGACTTAACTATGGTAGATACAGTTTGAATTCCGGTTGAACTCCGAAAGCTAATTAAAACTCCGAGACATTCCGTGAAGCCGTGGGAGGCGTGGTGGCTAGTCCTAAAAGGGCGAAGATGCCCGATGATCTATAAATCCCGATATGAGGATTGTTAACCATGTGTTTAGAATCTTTTTCCACGGCTCCGTACATATGAACATAGCACACAAAAGGGATATCTCTTGAACAATTAAACTGATATTTTGCAACATGCATGTATATTTTAGGAGCATTATCCCAGGATCTAGATCAAAGACCGAGTCATGGGCTAGGGCAAATTGCGGAGACACCACATTGACCATGTGGGTAATGATGTGGAGTGACAGATAAGTTCTCCGCTGTACAAACCATATCCAGAAATTGAATGTCGGCAGATACTTCTTAAATTCTCCGCGGCAAACTAGAAAGTTCTAGGGAAGTTTAGCAACTTGACTACTAGATGAAATGAGGGGAGAAATGTCTTGGGTCAAAGAAGACAGTCAAGCCAAGCTTCAAAGCGGGCGCACGGATCGTCTCTTGGCAACTGGGAACGTGGGAAATTCAATTTGATCCCCGCATTCCCTCAATAGTTTCCCCTCAGTAGAGCCGATCTCGCATGTAAATAGTCGGGATTTGCCTCCAATGGGGTCATAGGAATTGGTATGACCCAGCTAGATTCTCCCCGATGTCTAATAGGAAGCCTAAGTTAAAAACTCATGTCTTAGTATCTTCCAGCTTCTTTACTGTGCTTTCTTTGGAAAAGCTTAGCATCTGAGCAGATATTGCAAGGTGGTCAGTACTAAGTAAATTCAAATGTTTTGTAACTTGATGAAAGGAAGTAACGCTGAAGCCCTTAGCGATAAACTGAGAAAGAGCCCCATATAATTGTAATTATGGATTGCAATAATGTGCGGAAAATCAGATAAGATAATTTTCTAAGGCTGACCGACAGTTTATTGAGTCATCCGAAAGTCTAACCTTGCAACGAGATAACGTTCTATAGGTCGATGAAGCGCATTATGGGGACATTCTCTATCTTTTGTCGATCTCTCCCACTCATAGGACTCCACGTAAGTTTGCATTACCCCAGACTATTATTGATCGATGCTGACATTCAGCCGCTATCGACCTGGCCCACAAACGCCTACTTTCATGGTAGGTTTGGAATTTATATAAGGAAGTACTCGCCCCACTCTCCATGTTATGATTCAATTTTCTACCTAGATACCTCTCTTGCCCCTCACCTTCCCAGCGCACACTATTTCGCGCTTGAAAATGGCACAAGATGAAGAATTCCGAGGGACTTCCACGGCCGCAGACATTGAAATGACTGAAACCAACGACCAAAAGTTGGTCAAGCATTTGACCGATGCCGACGAGGCGATGAAGGCCTTTGCAGAACTAGGCGAGGAAATTGAGTTGGACGAAGCCACGAACCGTCGTCTGGTGCGGACCATTGATTGCCATATAATGCCAATCATGTGTCTCGTCTACGCGATGAACTTTCTCGACAGTATGCGCTGCGGAGAAGATACGCTGTTCCAAGCTGACCCGACCCAGAAACTACCTTGTCTTATGCCAGCATCATGGGTCTCAAGGAAGATCTCAATCTGATTGATGATCAGTATCAATGGCTAGGCAGTTTATTCTACTTTGGTGAGTAGCTTCAACACGTTTGGTGTCCAGTGTTGACCTGGCTAGGATACCTCGCTTGGGAATATCCAACCAGCCGGCTGCTGCAGCGGTTGCCATTGGGCAAATACTCGGCCGCCTGTATCCTCATTTGGGGTATGATTCTTTGCTGCTTTGCCGCTACTACGAATTACTCTGGAGCGATTGCAATTCGCTTCTTCTTGGGAGTGTTCGAGGCCGCAGTAACACCAGGATTCGCGCTGCTAACCTCACAGGTATGAGACAAACCTTTCATGGTTCTATCCTTTTACTAAACGTACTCAGTGGTATACCAGAAATGAGCAAGGCAAGCGCGTGAACATTTGGTATAGCTTCAACGGCTGGGGCCAGATCATCGGCGGCCTGGTGGCTTACGGCATTGCCATCGGCACGAAAAAGCATGGCTCGCTTATCGCGCCTTGGAAGATTGTGTTCCTCTTCACAGGATTATTAACAATCGCCCTAGGATTGATTTTCCTCTGGGTCGTGCCGGACAGTCAACTGAACGCACGCTGGTTATCTAAACAAGACCGAATCCTCGCTGTCGCTCGCGTACGAATTAACCAGCAGGGTATTGGTAACAAACATTTCAAAATGTACCAGGCCAAAGAAGCTCTGCTTGACCCGATGACTTGGGCTTTCTTCTTCTTTGCTATCATTGCAAACATCCCCAACGGTGGGATCACCAACTTCTTCAGTCAGCTCGTATGTTCCCGTAACTCTATTCCTTCTGCTTACTAACTGTCCCAGATCACCAGCTTTGGCTATACTGAAGAGCAGAGCTTGCTATACGGCACCCCTGCTGGTGCAGTGGAGGTGATTGCTCTTGTATTGAACGGTATAATCGGCGACAGGACTGGCCAACGTATCCTGTCTAGTATTGGTGGTCTACTCACTGCCACGATAGGCGTCATTCTTATAGTCGCACTGCCACTGGAAAACAACGTTGGCCGTCTAATTGGGTACTATATGACGCAGGCGTTCCCTACCTCATTTGTAGCATTGTTGTCATTGATCTCCTCCAATGTGGCTGGATACACAAAGAAAACCACTGTTGCTGCGCTGTACTTGATTGGATACTGTGCGGGTAACATCATTGGTAAGTAGAAGACAATCTTGGCACATGCATATACTGACCTTTTAGGACCATTGACCTTCCGTCCCCAAGATGCGCCGCGTTATGTCTCGGCTGAAATTGTCATCATTGTGTGCTGGGGCGTCTGTATGTTCCTGTTGCTGTTTATCTGGTGGTGGTACAACAGAGAGAATCGACGCAAGGCCGAGATCGTCTCGGGACCAAACTATGTTCAAGTGGAGGGACGAGAGTAAGTCACTGCTCTGGGCTCATTTTCACTGTACTGACAGCTATAGGTGGCTTGATTTGACGGACCGAGAGAACCATGATTTCATCTACACTCTCTAGGAAAGCAATAATACATGTAGATGGTGGAGCTCGATGCTCTCCAATCTTAGCTAGCTCGCCAAGCAGTACAATATATCGTTGCACATCGGCAATTTACTCTCGGGAGAAATCTCTCTCTTCCAACGTAGGTAGTTAATTGCTATCTTTGATCAATAGTCCGCTTCCTTGGCTGGCGACAAGATGAGACTCCCGCTATATACAGCCCTGGAGCTGCTTGGCCAGTATTTAGTCTAGCCCTATTGGAACGATCATCAATATGTATACAAATTTTTCCCCAAATCTTGCAGTATCAGCTATAAGCGCATTAGCTAGACCCTATTGCTTATAAGCAAATTCATCTGCTCACCTCTGCTCACCCCTCTGCTCAGTGATCATATGAATTTATTTTAGACAAAAGGTCGAGGGCATGCTAGATATTAGGAATCGCACGTGATTCAGTGATCTCGCAGTTCCTGGGAGCTTAGTGGCCCATCTGAAGCTGCGGACCTCAAAAATAGCGGATGCAAGGAACGGAGCATCCTCTACTAGCTCGACCATAGCAATAAACAGATTGAAACTTTTTGTTGCTTATACTGTACATTTGAGACAGTTGCTGTAGATTGATACAGTACTTCCGGAAATCGGTGTCACTACCCACACTCTTTGATGGTTTCTCAACCCCTAATGCCAAGATGCGCTAAAGTCTTTGGGCAGTGTCACTTGACTCACCTGGAATCTTGATCTGTATCGAAGAATACCGGTTAACTGTGTAGCTTGGGCCAGTGTTTATTACCTGTTTCAGCTGGACAGTTGCTACCTCATTGCCCCACGTCCGACATTTCCGTCACACCCAAATGTCTTCTTGACGACCAATCACCCACACTAGTGCTACAATGAACCATGGCTCCCAACTTAGCCAAATCAACGGTTGAGTATATTCATGATATGATAAGCAGTGGTGAACTTATCACCTACCAGTTGCACTACTTTTTATTGGCCCTCGCAGAGAAGTGGGTGGAGAAAATTGACATTTTTTAGCAGCGGAATACCTCAATGCACCTCGAATCACAGCGCGACCTGAAAATCGAGTCTGCTCTCAATGATGTACAGGAATCTCCTATATCTTTGCCTAAGTTATTGACCCGAGATCGCCTGCGGGCTCATAGCAATATGCCGGCTCGAGGTAATAGCGGGACTAGACTAGATAATTGTGGATATAAAAGCAAACATCATACCAAAGAGAATAGCACACAGAGAATTGTGCCTCAAAGGGAACAATCCTCTGGATTTGAAGGTGTATCCCTCAATGGGGAGACGCTGTAAGCCATATCTGTTGCAGATTATATGCCAGGCAATGTAGCCATGCTTGTAACCAGTCCAGAGCTGAGCAGCTGACTGGATATGTTGATGAAAGTGGTTCTTTTCATCTTGAGCGCTGCCACTGGTAGCATTCATGCTGACTGGGCCTCCACGGATCTCCGTCGGAATACACTCTGTGAAAGCCTGTTCCAGCGCAAGAGTTGTTCTTTGCACTTCTTCAATTGTTTCACACAGTGTGTCACGGAACGACCATAGCTTATTTTGCTTAGATCTGAACCTGGTCAACCTGCCTGCTTGCCGTTTGGCTTGAGTCCTCATAAAGAGATAGTTCCAAGTCTCTTCAGCAAGAATCTTCTTAGGGCAAGATAGCAAATCGTTCATGTAGTTGATGTATTTGCAGATACCGGGTATGACTGTGATCCAAAAGCGTAGGGGAACTTCTTCATGTCGAGAAACCTTGACTTTGGGAATGAGATACAATAATGGCGCAGCACTTGAGGAGCGGAAATAGGCGGGAAATGACTCAACCGAACACTCTTTTGAACAAGAATGTGATTGCTCATGGTTGCCAATGTGCACTGGCAGTTCGTTTTCCAGACGAGTCTCCTGAGCGCAGGCGTCTACAAACGCGCTGTAGCTGTTCGCGGCCAGGCTACCAACTAGTGGGTCCTGCGACCCAAAATATTCGGCGCACATCTTCAGAGCTTTGGTGAGGACCGCACACCAGCGATTCTCCTCAGGCAGGCTCTGCCAGTGATTGAAAGAGAAATAGGATAGACTCTTGCGCTCATCGGGGTTTAAAATGGCATTGTCATCAGAAGCAACGAAGACAGTGGTTACGATAGCCATGACAAGCTTGGTCTCATGTTGACAGAGATGATAGAAGGATTCTGCACACTGCGCAGAGCAGTCCATGATAGCTTGTAACACTCGACCTTTGCCCGGGAACAGAGGCACTAAATTTTTATCGGACCAGTCATGAAGATCGTGACGAAGCATCATGTCAACTGGTCTATAGTGGTGTTGGTATCCCATATCCTCTAGCAGCAGGCATAGAATGTTTCGTAGACATTGCGCAACATCTGTCTTGTCTTGCTGATTCAAGCTCTTACCATCATGGAAATTGAAACAGTCAAATTCTATATCTGAAAGAATAAAGGGAAAGTCGATTTTCATTTTCAATAAGATGAACAAGATGTGTGTGGGAGAAAAGTGATAATAGTTTTTTTTGGCTTTCCAGCTGCGAGTAACTGACCATCATGCTAATAAAACGTCAAAGGACATCGTAATCTTCGGACCAGTTTTAACTCCACATCCTCTCTCCTTGTTGCCCAAAGCCCCACGCATTGCATGTGTCTTGATGAGCCACAGTAGGTTACGGCAATTTCAGAACCAATAGTGATTACTAGGATCGGACAAGTGCAGTGGTGCATGCAGTGGTGCGTGCAGTGGTTAACCCTATTTAGCTGATAAAGATTAGCTTAATAGGCCATTAAAAATCTGTTGACATGGCGAAGATTATTTCAGTGCAGTGTGTCAATGCCTAGGCTGCCTACTTGAGCGAGATAGTTACATCATACGACGCCAACCTAATGATTGCAGGGCGTTATAAAAAGTCGAAACACCCCCGAAATAGCTATTGAACAAATAAGTCAGTCAGTCGTATTCATTTCATACAAAATTTGGCTTCAAAACACTCGGTTATTCCGGAGCTTCGTTCATAAATTCCGTCTCAAGTTTGTGTTAAAAGCGCCCAGGCCACAGCAAAAAAATCGCTGCCTGCCTTTGTCTCTAGAAGCAGATTCAACTCGCTCGGCACTGGTAATATCTGATGTTGTTGTTTTGTAAAAAGCTGATCGATGGCTTGAGGCTCCTGGATTCAATTAGATGCAAAACGCCCTAATAGAATAAATTGGATGTCCAACACAAAACATGAAGATTTATCTCAAGTTGAACTCTGCCCATATTGCAGGCGAAAAATTCATAAAAATTCATATTCATACACAACATTTCTATCCTTCCAATGATAAGTTTGATCAGGTAACTCAGGATGAAGAGGCTTCACGAGAAGCTAAGAATCCAACTAATGAAATACAATGACAATTAATTATCAGGTACGGTCGACATGAACGATCTCTAATCCACAGGCGTGATTACTTTAAAGAGCCAGATATCTACTTGAAAAGTCATACACCGGAAAAAGAAGAAAAACCTTGGGTTTAGGGATTTGTGTTATTAAACTTGGATCAAATGTACTCATGTCTCAGTGCCCCGTCGCCTCCGCAAATCCAGGTACTTAGCAGCATAATCATTAGCCAAGACCGGATCACCTGTGAGGTGCATGACGGTAGCCTTTTTAGCCATCATCTCCGTTTGGCCTTTGATATCCTCAATCCCCTCGAAATGATCATATGCCAAGTCAATGTAACCGAGGGCACGATTTATGTACTCTTTCCGTGTGGTCTTAGAGTCATTGCCCTGCAGACTCCACAACTCACCCGCCATGCCCATGTTAGCATCCACAAGAAGTGAATATGCCTGCGCAATGAGAGCATAATCTTCTGTCTCGAGGATCTGGGGCATGATGCTTTCTACCAGCTCGCCAGTGGCTTCAAATTCACGCAGACTGAGCAACACAACCGCCAATGCGCAAATTGCTTCCCAGAGGTCAGCAAGTACCTTTGAGCGATGTGCGATACTGGCTGCACGCACGGCAAGAGAGAATCCACGCTGTGGTTGGCCGGATTTACCGAGCACTTGTGCTTTCAGGCATAAGAGCTTCACTTGTGAATGGACGTCGAAGTTCTCCGGTTGCATGGAATGGGCGGCTTGCTCGACCATCCTCAGGGCGCGGCCGTAGTCGCCTTGGCGAATTGTGAAATCTATTGAGTGAAACGCTAGCAAGAGGCGCATGTCAAAGTCGAGAAGTTGCACTGCTTGGAGCTGGGATAAAATATGTTCGACAGCCACCTTGTCATCGCTGAAGATCGTCAGAGATGAAGTGGCCGGTGGGGTTTGGTGGATATCTTACCGACAGATCTGCCGCTGCAACTGCAGTATCCCTGAGTAGTAAGTCCAGGCATTGTTGTATTTGAAAGCTCGAAGCTTCTCTGGCTCGATCTTGTTCATCCGCGCGGATGCCTCTTTGTAATTGCCTTTTTGTGCCAACTATTTTTGTTCAGCAATTTTCTCACACTTTTGAATCAACAAACATACAACTTGACAATTTCGAAATGTGATTTTGACAAAGTCCTCATAAGGTTGGTCTTCCGCGTAGCACTCGCGAAATACTTCAGTGTTTAACCAAGACAGGTGGGTAGCTCCTATTGATTCTCAATTAGCATCGCTCATTCGCTTTGGCTTTGAAGCATACCTATTCGAGCATACATAGAGCCCTGCAACAGCATGTATGCACCCGTGGGTGTTGCGAGTCCTTTGTTCACATTGACATGGGATGCTCGTACGAATGATTCCATAATTGATGCAAGGCTCTCTCCCTGGTGATTGTTAATGAAAGCTATGTCGACTGGGGAAGGTTTGATTTACCTGCTGCATCTCCAGTTTGGCTTCGCTTAATAATGTAGTGCTCATAAGAGACCACATGTCAGTCTCCTTGGCCTTGGCCTTGAGAAAGGCGAGGCCTTCCTTTTCGTTGCCCAGCATGCCACTGTTTTGAACTTCTCGCATCTGCTCGGGGAATGCCTTACCGAAGTGATACAGCCAGCTCATGCAGAAGTTTAGGCAGTTCATATCATGGGACTCCCGTGCAATAGCAACGGCCTCTTGGACTGCCGAGATAGCTTCATTGAAGCATTCAAAATCTGCTTGAATAATGGCCAGATTTAGAAGAGCGAATTGATATGCGCTGCGGTCAAGATTAGTGTGCATGGTGTAATCGAAGTAGCGGTGGAGGTTGTCGAAGGCTGAGGTATAATCCCCGGCCCTCCAGGCATCGAGATATCTAGCACGTCAGTTGGCCCTAAATAGAACTTTATTTTGCTACATACTCCAGGTAGTACATCAGTACCGGGACCGATGATTCTGAGGTCATGATGTGCCTCAGTTGAGCTCTCATTTCATCTGGAACTCTGCCTCCCATTCCTGTATACGTTAGTGCATGGGTCATGGGCTGCCACAGAAAAGCATACTTTGCAGTTCTCCGACTTGGAACTCAACCAGTCGCTCTGAGTCCTTGACGCTGACCTCCCCTTTATCATCTTCATCATCTTCCATATTCCCATACACCACTTGCGAAAGGTGGCTAGTGGAATCCAACCCGAGGTTGCGGAGATTAGCATCAATGGCGATCTTCTCGGCCCCCCGATGTCTGCGACTCCAGTAGCTGTATGTTGGGAGACGGTACTTGACAAATCCAGACCAGAGTTTCACAGCATCATGAAATTGGAGCTTCGTGTATTCCATGTGAGCTCGTCGAACAAACGCGCCTAACGGTGAGCTTCTGGACAAACGCATGCGATCATCAGCCTCCGGGGCAATTCCATGATCTCTTTCATAGATCAGCTCTTCGCGCGATTTGGCCAAGAGCGACGGGATAGCGTCGACGCAAAACGTCTCCAGCGCATCTAGTGAATCAATAGCCCAGAGCCTCTTCAAAAACAAGTCCCAGAGCGTGCGCCCAGGCACAGCAGATTCATGTCCCGACAGACACTCCTCAAGCTCGGCAATAGTGGGCATGTAGTGCTCTTTCCATTGCTTATCGGCCGCATCTAGCGGGAACAGACCCGCCGTCAGGAAGGAAAGGACATGAATCGCAGAAGAATTCGGCACAACGCCATCAGTGTAGAGTGTGACCAGACACAGAAGAGAGACTCTCCATGGAGTCAAATAACGCGTCATTTTGTCTGCGCTATGGCTTTCCCATCTTGTTGTATCTGTATATCAACAATCCAAGGGCGCGCGTTGAACGGATAATTGATTGAAACCTGAGGCCACAAGGCAGCAATGCGGGAACCCCCCGCCAAAAAAAAAAGTGACGATGACGCATACTTCCCTCCCTTCATTCAATTGCACATATTACAATGGCTCAAGCTTTGACGACTATCGACCTGCAGGGTGCTCTGCCTCTCATCGCCCGAGGCAAGGTTCGCGACCTCTACGAGATCGACGATAAGACCCTTCTCTTCGTTGCGAGTGATCGCATCTCCGCCTACGATGTGATCATGGAGAATGTAAGTCAACAATCCCTGAACCTGAATACTATACTAACTTTGGAATATAGGGTATCCCTAACAAGGGCGTCCTCCTCACTCTCTGCACTCAAACATGGTTCAAGACCCTGACCGAGGCCAACCCCGCCCTGCGCACCCATTTCATTTCCCTCGATCTCCCCCCTCAGATTCCCGAGTCCCTGCGCCCGGTCCTGCAGAACCGCAGCATGCAAGTGCGCAAGCTGCGCATTCTCCCAATCGAGGCAATCGTCCGGGGATACATCACTGGCTCGGCCTGGAACGAATACAAAAAGTCTGGCACCGTGCACGGGATCAAGGTCCCCGCCGGTCTGCAGGAAAGCCAGGCTTTCCCCGACGGCCCTATCTACACGCCTAGCACAAAGGCAGAGCAGGGCGAGCATGATGAGAACATTCATCCAGACCAGGGTATGTTTCGTCGCTTCTGTCTAGTCATAGAAATCTGAGCTAACATTATGTCAGCCGTCGCCATTTTGGGTGAGAAGTACGCGGCGATTGTCGCCAAGATGGCTGTGGAGCTTTACAAGACCGCTCATGCATATGCTCTTGAGCGCGGCGTTATCATCGCCGATACCAAGTTCGAGTTCGGAGTCGACGAGGAGACGGGCGAGGTTGTGCTCGCTGATGAAGTCCTGACGCCCGACTCCTCTCGCTTCTGGCCCAAGGACTCATACGCTATCGGCCGTGGTCAATCTAGCTTCGACAAGCAGTTCCTGCGTGACTGGCTTGTGAGCCAGGGTCTCAAGGGCAAGGAGGGTGTGCGCATGCCTGATGACATTGCCCTGAAGACGGCAGAGAAGTACCAAGAGGCTTGGGAGAAGATCACAGGTAACTCTAACTAAATCATAGGTGTTATGTATTGATTACGATTCGGTCATTGAAATGAATGGTGTTCATGTCTACATCCGAGGCAGCACCTTTTGGAAAATAAACATACCCTTTGCCTCACATCTCTGTGCGAGTCGCTAGCCAAATGAAGTGCTCGACAGTTGTATTTTCTAGCCACCATGGAATACAATCAAAAATTGACATTGTCACTGCGAGATTACATTCTTTTGTACAGCTAGCTATGATTTATTATACGCATATCATGTCTACTCCTCCCACTTCAAACCCTTGAGCCCCTTCTTAGGCTCCTGACTCTGCTGCTGAGGCTCTTTCCGAGTAGGATTCGGCTCAGGCTCTTCAGTCCAGCCCGATCGGACACCTTCATCAAGGGGGAGCGCATTATCACCACAGATTCTGCGCTCCTCTTCAATATCCGCCTCACCCATTCCGTTGGTCGCCCAAATCTTGTGAATGCGCAGATCAAACGGCCCATCCACACGATCCGTCAGACCAATGCCGATACTCTTAACCCGTTGACGAGCCAACGAAGTCTGAGGCTCAATAACAAAGCCGTAGTTCGTGCGCACAAACGAGTTGAACGGCAACAGAACAGTCTCCCATCCGTTCGACCCAGAAGTTGTTGTACTGGTAGATGTGGAGATGATGGTCGACTCAGGTGGAACATCTGAGAGAGCTGCGGGCATGCCACCAGGGTACAGATCTTCAGCAGCGTCGGAGGATTCAACGTCACTGTCATATGCCTCCTCCAGGGACTTGGGTGCCTCGCGCACACGGTGGTGTCGCGTGTATAGTCTGTGTTGGTGGATATCCGTCTCGACGACGGCGTCGGTCTGCACATTTACAGTGTACCGCCGACCATCGGATTTAATGCGCAGTGCAAGGTACGCGTAAGGATCCACGTCCCAGTAGAGCCGGCCGAAAAGCCAAAAGCCTCGATCTTGGTTACGGAATGCAGCGTAGCCTGGGGGTTTCGGAATTAGTGTATTATAGTGCAGTCATCATTGTAGGACTTACCAGTTCTTTCCACGCGCCAGTTGTCCGGTAATTTGGTAGAGATAGTACCGTGGAAGCGGGCATGTGAGGGTGTGTTCGAAGAAGGCTCGGCGGGTTCGTAGTCCAGACTGGCTGTGCTGAAACCTCCTACTGCGCGATCGGCCATAGTCTTGCAGCCATTGGTTGTTCCTTCATCCTCAAAGTTAAGGAGGGTGTAAGGCTTAGTGGGAGTGTGGAGGGCCTCGGTATTCCAAGCTATGGCAAACCCTTGTCAGTTTGAGGTTCAGGGCTGTGACGCGCACACTTACCGATTCTGGAGAGCCGGCCGAACTCATCGGCACTCCGCTTGAAAAATCCTTGAGCAGCTAAACGTCGCGTGGGAATCATATTGTGTATTGCAGAGGAGAAAGAGCAATTCTCAGTAGCTCTTTAAGCTGGGGAAGACTTTCCGAGGTGGCGTGAACAATCCGATAAGAGATAAGGACAACACGTCTTCAGCTCAGGGGATTTTTTGGTCTTCGAATCGATATTTTGCGACTAACTATTCAACTATTTACATTTACTCGCTTCTCACATCAATACGGAGATATAGTATGTATGTACCAATTTATCACGTCTCTCCCATCTTACAAGGGTCATTATGCGCCACATGAATCTGAAGGTTCAAGTTCGCGATCGAAAGGATCTTACAATGCGATATATTGAACATTGAACATTGAACCTTGTGATTGTCTGGAATAAAGATTTTCTTGTACTGCTCCGTAGTGCCATTCATGTTGGGATAATTTAGATTCTTTATTTCCTTCTGCTTTCTCGGGGCATCAGTCAGAGCATCAGGATACCATCTTCTTCCTAGTTCCTACTTCCAGGTGACGGGTGAAAGCGTTCATCATAAAATCATCTCCAATAAAATTTTCGAGAAAGACCTTCAAAGAACGCTATGGCATCTGACTTGACGTTTTGATCACGCAGACTCGCGATGTGAGCCGATATATCTTGCTACATATCCATATTCTCGTGTACCAAGGCTCAACTTCTGAAAGAAGAGGGAGACCAATTGAGTACCAATCTGTTCCCTATCTGGCGGTAAGTATTGTTACCAGGCGAGATTAAGTTGGCGTAGTTGCGACGCAGTCTCTCTGTATGTGGGGGCTTCCAATGAACGGCCGATATATATCACCACAGCATCAGGGATTGGTGGGATCTGAATCCATCCACCCGGTTTGTTCTGCATATCAAGAGTGGAGTGCCCTTTTGTTGCAATAGATAGGTCAAGAAGGATGCATCCTTATAAGGCCCAGCCCCACAATTCACTGTCTGTGGCACATGAAGCATCGGGAGGTGACTATACAACAATTTCCATGCCACTTGTGTGAGGCTTTTGAAAGAGCTTTGGCGAATGCTGTAGGATTCATATTAAAAGCTTCAGTAACAAAGTGTGTGGAGTGGTTTGAAAAACGGTCGACCTCAGCCAAATATCCTTGCAACAGATTGCCGAAAGCCAGGTACCATATTTTCAGTTGGCCACTAGAACAGGGATTTGGCTTAATGGCGGTTTCAGTTGTTTTTGATCATCGTAGATACCAAATTGTGTCCCTCCAGCTCACACCAAATACTTAATTAGAAGTAAATCCCAAATGTATCGTAGGCGGCTCAATCCCATTCTGTATACTCCGTACGGAATATTCTTTCGGGTTATGACCTACATACATGTATGTACGTTGTATAACTAACGGGCTATACAATATTGTAAATACAACGGAGCACTGCATAGTGCATCATGCGGAAGAGTGCATATATTCATTACAGTAATATTTGGTATCAAATAGTGTATTCACTAGCTATCGAAAATATGTACGTAACTACATATGTAGTTAGCTCCACATGGTCATAGGCTCACAAGCTGCATCTCTTTACGACGAGTTTCGCCAGCTGTCGTGGACACGCGTGGACCGTTGAATTTATATATTCGTAAAAGGAAATTTGCATAATATTGTACGGAGTAGGAATAAATCACTCTTTTCACAATTCATATGGCATGTATTCGGTTCTCTAGACCTCTGCTATGTTTAACAAGCTCTAGAAACTTTCTTTTGTATCATCCATCGTTTCTTATTTTTCTGTTCGCTCAGAAATCTCCCCTGTCTCAAATATGCGCCAATCTTAAATCCAGTTCTCAGTGGTCACATCCTTGGAACATGTAACCCCCCCCCTCAACCCCCGTATCCAATGGTTGCTATTGAAAAGATTCGCTAAGCACATCTCGACATCAGCTTCATCAGGTCTCAGTGGGTCGACAATTCGAGAGTACTTCGCGGATGCCCCGGGTGGCTCTATCAACTGCAGCCTCGAACTTTGTGCATCCATCCTCCCTGAGGTGGAGACTTGAAGTTCGCTTAGCAATGGCTGTTTTCATGATCCATGTCAATTAATTTTTCAACGCGATAATGAGATAGGATGTGCGCCTGACAGGTGTATGTGTGGTTGGGAAGTTGGACCCCGGATACTAATGAATTCAGAGGCTAGCAGAGAGGATAGATGCAGAAGCACTGTGTAAAATTGCCACGCTAATTCACGAAGAGAGGGACAGGGGCACTCGTGTATGTTGTTTTTGCTTTTTCTCTCTGTTTTATTAATGGGCACATCATGGCTTGTAATTGTAATACCATCAATGGTATTATCACTATTCGCTAAACTGGCAATACATATTTTCACCAAAATTATGCCAGCCGTTGTAATCTCCAATTAGTACAGCGTTGTAATTGATGTTTTCTTTTTACTTCCTATCACAATGGACTAATCAATGGTGGCAAATGCCATAGAAGTGGAAGTGGGGGAGTTCCATCCTGGCAAAATGCATCAACCTAATGATAATCCCAGTTGTATGACTCTAAAATCAGGAATTTGATATAGATCTAAATTCCTTCGTCTCAACATATCACATCCGTGTACTATTATGTATGTCCACTACCCCATGTAGACCCATTCCATCATGCCAAAGGACGGATCAGCATGCAAGCTCCAATCAGGCACAATTGGATGGATTATGTATATAACACAAATAAGACTTCGTGAATCTGATTCTTTCCAGAACTCAATCCACTGGGAGCCATTGTAATATCAGCATCAATCACCATGCCCCGATCCGTCATGCCCTCTAGCAACTTGCTCCTTTTCACAGATCAATCGCAGGAGCCGGCGAACTTTCTGAAATCTCTTCTCCAGGATCCTAATCATGCCCGCTCGCTATATCCGTTTATTCAAGCCAGCATTTCAGCCCTTAAGCACGAAGTGAGACTTTTGCGGCCGACGGAGCAAAAACTATTTGTTTCTATGGATTCCATTGCGGGACTCATCGCCCAGGCACAAGCAGCGGAAAAGAATTTAATTACATCTACTGTTCTGCTTTGTATAGCACAATTGTGTTCCTTGCAAATGTTAGTTGTACGGCGTTGCAGTTCATGAAATCATGATATTGACTAGACTGACGGTTCTTTATAGATGTTTGAAGCAAAACCCTAATCTGTTAGTGGATGACAAGAACCGAACCTATCTTTTGGGCCTTTGTACTGGTTTCTTGCCAGCTGTTGTTGCAGCCACCTGCAAAAACCGGGAGGAATTGGTCGATTTTGGAAGCAAAATTGTTTGCGTGGCTTTGCGCCTAGCCGTGGAGGTCCATCATCGGTCACAGGTTATCGAGAACACTTCTGGCAGTTGGTCCACAGTGATACGTGGTGTCTCGCAAACGGAATTGAAAGATATCCTGGATGAATTTCACATCACACAGGTACGCGAGTCGCAGATATTTTAGATGTCTAATTGCTAATATGTCCTGCCTTATCATTAGAATGTCCCCCCGCCTCGATACACGTATATCAGCGCCAGTTCAGCCATCAGCTCCACCATTAGCGGTCCCCCTTCCACAGTAAAACAACTTTTTGCTCAGTCGCAGACACTCGCAGAGGCCCAGAAAGCTGCTTTACCTATCTATGGTGCCTTCCATGCGAGGCACTTAAACCTCCCCGATATCGAACATATCGTTGCACCTGCCATAGACGGTAACCGCGAAATACGGCGGAGGGTGTTTATTCTCTCACCATCGATGGAAGGGGTATACAGGAGTAGGTCTGTCACAAGTATACTATCTCAGGGACTCCAGGAGATTATACAGGTGCCGATCTCGCACCAAAGCATCATCGAACAAACAGCAACGCATTTGAAGAGTTCTCCAACTGATTTGTTAGTTGTGGGGCCACAATGGGGAACGAGTAGTATCTGCTCAGGACTGAGAGCCCAAGGAGTCAATCTCGTTGAAGATCAGTTTTCTGCCCAATCACACGCGGCCCATGAGATAAATGACAATGATGGCATCGCTATCATTGGTATGTCCGGCCGGTTCCCAGGTGGAAGCAGTCTGGAAGAATTTTGGAAGACCCTCGAGGAGGGAAGAGAGCTGCACGCCCAGGTACGAATTAACACACCTACTATGGCTAATTCTGGTGCATTGTAACCGATATTTCAATTCTAGATTCCCCGTTCACGGTTTAATGCCTCCAAATATTTTGATTCATACACCGATAAAGAGGGCAATAATCCTCCTCCTCTCGCCTGCTTCATTGACGAACTCGGTTTCTTTGATACCCATCTCTTCTCTATGTCTCCCCGCGAGGCAAAGCAAACTGACCCTACACAGAGACTGCTCATGATGGCAACCTACGAAGCACTGGAGATGGCTGGATATAGCCGTGATCTTTACTGCAAGGTTGGAACATACTTTGGCCAGACTACAGATGACTGGCGAGAGTCAAATGCAGGCCAAGATCCGGATGTTGACTATGTACCAGGAAACATCCGAGCCTTTAGTCCAGGCCGTTTGAATGACTTCTTCGGATGGGACGGGCCATCCTACAGCGTGGATACTGCTTGCTCCTCTAGTCTAGCAGCAGTTGAACTTGCTTGTAACGCATTGCGCCTAGGCGATTGTGACATGGCGGTTGCGGGAGGGGGCAATGTCCTGACCGGACCAATTATGGTTCGCGGGCTCAGCAGTAGCGGCTTCTTATCTCCCACTGGTTCTTGCAAGACATTTGATGATGAGGCAGATGGATACTACAGAGGGGAAGCTGTTGGAGTCGTTATTTTGAAGCCGCTGCGCAAAGCGATTGCTGACAATGATAACATCTACGGCATTGTTCGAAGTATCGCTACAAACCACTCCGCCGAGGCGATATCCATCGCACATGCGCACCAAGACTCACAGGAGCAGCTCTTCTCGACCGTACTTGGCAAGGCTGGGCTACCACCTTCTTCGGTAGACTATGTGGAATTGCATGGAACAGGGTCCCAGGCAGGGGATTCCATCGAAGTGGCCTCGGTAGCAAGTGTCTTTGGCAACTCCTTGAAATTGGACCAGCCGCTTTATATCGGCGCTGTGAAAGCCAACATGGGACACAGCGGAGCTGTATGTTTGATATATATTTAGAACGCCTCGTGAAGTTGCTGATCATTTTTCACTAGGCTGCTGGAGTTACATCTTTGATCAAGGCTTTGATGATGTTTCAAAAGAGCCGTATTCCTCCTCATGTGGGTATCAAAGGCCGACTGAATCACAAGCTCGATTACATCGATGACAGAAATGTTCGCATCCCTGGATCAAACATACGATTTGAATCTCGATCTGGCCAAGAGCGGCGACGAATTATGGTGAACAACTTCAACGCAGCGGTGCGTCACATTATTCGGCTTTTCAGTTTTATTATGTGAATTTCAGCTAATAAGAAATAGGGAGGAAAAACGAGCTTGCTATTGGAGGAATACCTAAAGGTTTCAAAAGCAAACAATCAATCTCGTTCACACTATCCAGTGGTTGTCTCTGCCAAATCCTTGAAGGCTTTCGATGGGAACAAGACGCGGCTGCTTCACTACCTTGAAGAAAATGGAAATCACATTTCCTTGCCTGATCTCTCATACACAACAACGTCCCGGCGCTTGCATCACCCGTTTCGAACGTCCTACTCGGCCACGAGCGTTAGTAATTTGATGCAGCAAATTGCTGTAGACAAAAAACCTATGATTCAAGAGAATCGTGATACGCCCACGACAGTGTTCAGTTTTGCTGGTCAAAGCACAGATAATCGGGGAATCGCTAAAACACTTTTCTCTTCCTGCGCCGGGTTTCACAATTCTCTTGTCTCCCATGAAAAGATTGTCCTGGGGCTTGGATTTCCATCTATCCTGGAATACTTGACGGGAGATGATGATGGTAGTCCGTCGTGGCCAATCGTTGAGCAACTATCCCTGGTGTCTTTTGAAATCGCTATGGCAGAGATTTGGAAAAGCTGGGGAATCTCACCGAGTATGGTGATTGGCCATGGTCTGGGCGAATACTCAGCGCTGTGCGTCGCAGGAGCACTTTCCGTTGCCGATGCCATTTACGTTGTTGGTAAGCGGGCAAAGCTCATGCAGACGAGGTGCTCCACAAACACTCACGCTATGCTTACCACACCTTTGTCCTTAAAATCGGCCCAAGAACATTGCACTTCATTTGCATCATGTGAGATCTCTTGCATCAATGGGCCAAATTCCACAGTGATCAGCGGGTCTCAAGAGGATCTCAGAGAATTGCAAAGTAGGCTGGACCTACAGGGCATCAAAGCCAAGGCCCTAGTAGCTTCTTATGCTTTCCATTCTGCTCAGATGGACCGCATCCTTTTTCCCTTGCGTGAAATTATCCAGTCTGTGTCTTTCTCTGTGCCTACAGTCCCTATTTTATCTTCTCTGCTCGGGACGGTCATCGAGGCTGGAAATGTGATTGAACCCGATTACCTGCTGCGTCATGTGCGGCGGCCAGTCAACTTTTTGGGGGCTGTGCAAAGTAGAGAATATGATCAAAGCACCACTTGGCTTGAATGCGGGCCTGAACCTGGATGTCAAAGTATGATCAAAACTTTGACGAACACTGCCCAGACAAACCTCATGCCAGGTCTGAAAAAGGGCTTGGACTGTTGGAAATCTCTTTGTGAGAATCTTGCCACATTCTATCTGAAAGGCCAAGAGATTCGATGGTCCGCATTTTATAAGGATTCGGATCCAAATCTCCGATTGCTTGACTTACCCCCTTACGCATTTGACACGCAGAACTTCTACATTAATCTGAAAGAGGCCGATATTCAGGACACTCCTACAAGAAAGAGGAAACGAACCCAGAAACCACTCAGTACCTGCGTCCAATTCGTGGAGGAAGAGAACATAGATCCTCGTGGAGATGCCACGATCAGATTCGTGTCGGATCCAAAGCAGGAACAACTCCTGGCAGCTATTGAGGGCCACTGCGTTCAAGGCCACAGTCTCTGCCCTAGTTCGGTATACGTCGATATGGCCGTGACATCTGCTAGGCATCTCTATTGTAGGAGAAACAACGTGGGAGCTGGGTCTGCCATTGAAGTGACTGACATCGAGATCTTCCGACCACTAGTCGTCTTGTCTGCTGGACCCGATATGCAGGTGTCGGTTCAGCCCCGCATGTCCCTGGGCTATGGCACAGTGCATGTATCTATCGGATCGCAGCAAACAAATGAAACCCTTGTCCATCACTCTACCTGCAAGGTGCAGTTCAGAGACAACGAAGCTTGGAAAGATGAATGGGCTCGTTACGCGGATATGATCACAGCTAGAATGAATCAGCTGGTGAGCATGGAAAGAAAGCAGGAAATTTGTCGTATCCCGGGCAAGATTCTCTATCAGATGTATGCTTCGATTGTTGACTACAATGAGAAGTACCGCAGCATCTCGGATATATATATTGACTGTGACCACAAAGAGGCTTGCGGTACAATCCATCTTCCTGTCGCGTTAGAGTACGGGAAGTTCACATGCTGCCCGTATTCGGTGGATGGGATTATCCACTTTGCTGGATTCCTGTTGAACAACGGTATCGGCAGAGTCAAGGACACAGCGTACACTTCAACCGGTTTAGAAAGTATCCGGATTCTTCAGGATCGTCTCACAGCCAAATCTTATCAGATCTACTCTCGCATGAAAGAGTCTAAGGAAAAAAGCTATTGGGTCGGCGATGTTTATCTTCTCGATGGTGAGGAAATTGTTGCGACGTGTTTTGGCCTCAAATTCCAACAGATGAAGCTCAGCCTCTTGAACCACCTTCTCGGAGGCTCCAAGGTTGGTTTAGGAACAAACAACGAAATCTGAGGATCGGGAGTGGCATATGTCAAAAGTCGCTCAGTCTTCAAAGTCGTCGATTGCGAGTTCATCTGCTGACATGTTGCTCCGTGTCGCCAATATCATTGCGGAGGAAATGGGAATGGAGATGTCAGAGATCCCGGAGGAAGCACGTTTTGACGAACTCAGCATCGATTCTTACCTCTCGGTCTCGATAACTGGCAGCGTTCGTAGCAACACTGGCCTCCTGATTCCCGCAGGTATGTTTGACGGTAAACCGACTTTGTTCCAGATTAGGGCGCATCTTGTCCGGCTGCAACCATCCCCCAGTTCTGGAGATAGTACCCCAGTCTCGCTGAGCATTATTCCCCCACCAACCATTGGTGGCTCTGATGCGAGCATATCGAAATTTGAGTATTCACGTTGTCGATGGCGATCACGAATCCATCATGGGCCCTCCTCCGGTATGCTTGCCCTAATTATCCAATAACTGATCTAACCATTCACTATGATTTCAGATTGATATTATCGGACAGTACATGCAAGACGCCATTGTAAAAATTACGTGATGAGTCAGGTGTCTAGGTCGACAACAACAACTTCATGTACCTAAATGCAACTACTCACCTCACCCATTTACTCTGCTAAGGTAGCAATCTTCTTGGTATTCTTCAGGATATCTTATGTAATTTCTCTTCTTGACAGCTAGCCACAATAGTTTATCATTACCGTCCCAACCATTCTTCTCTGAGAACAATCGTGCATATGCCGAGGACTGACGACATTCTGACCCCCAGTGTCATATTTTATACTTCCAATCTCAGGCCGACATCCGAATTGGTAAGAACGGTACACTATCTTTGCGATTTGACTGGGGCATCCAAGTTCCCACCTGGGCAGGTGCAACTTTATTCAAGAGTCATCGATTTTATAGACTTTTCATCCCCTGCACCAACTATACTTTGAGATATCGGTTTGTTTCATAAAGAAAGAAAGATAAAACGGATTAGAAAAAAGGTGGCTCAGCAGTATAGTCCCATGGACATCATTGTGTTTTTGTACTATCCCACGGTATATGCTCAACTAATTCGCTCTATTGGGATGCGGAGGCATGTTTCTATAATTTGATACCGTTCTAAATATGGCGACGGCCCTCAGAGCTGTACATAGAGAATGGCCTCTCTCTTCTCTCGTAAATCTCTTTTCCTCAACATCTTCTTCGCTCGTTATAGCTCTTTGGTATCTATTGATATATTTCTTCATCACAGTCCCGTTAAACTTGGTATAATCCTTTCCCATATTCATATTACAAAGAACCAGTCATTGCTCAAACTATATACCAAGATGAACGGCCACGAAAAGAATAGCTCTGGATCTGGTACTTGCACTCCAGTTCCTCTGGAGCAAGTCACAGAGCAAATCACGAAGGATTTTGTCTCTAGTTCCCGTGAGCCTACTCCCGAGGGAACTCCCCCAGATAAAGTCATCAGAACGCCTCCACATTTTTCTCCGCGGTCTGATCTATTGAATCAAAAGCCAACGAAAGAGAATGCCCAAAGCCTTTTCTCGCAAGATTGTTGTGTTTTTGTTGGAAAGTAAGTACTGCAAGTCCTAACTAATGATACTTACTGATTGAATAGTCTCTCGAACAAGATTCCAATCGAACAATTGGAGCATGATCTTGCACAGATCATGTTGCAGTATGGTCGTTGTTTCGTTAATATTAAATGTCCAAAGAATATGCCTAGTGGATTTGTGCAATACGAAGTGAGCATTCAGTCCGACTTTCGCCCCCAAGTAAAATAGCTGATATATATATTATAGGAACGAGAAACAGCGAAAAAGGCGCTTGCAAAAAATGGTCAACATATACTTCACGGGCGAGCGTTGAGATTTGAGGCGAGTCAAGCACATAGTAAGTTCTTTAGGGCTACATCTATTTTCTTTTCTTCCATTGCACCTTCTAACTTCAAAACAGCAACTGCCTACATCAGCCTTCGCTCTGGTCACTCGATCACTGAGTCTGAGATCAGGAAACTCCTGAATAACTTTGGCGAGTTGAAAACAGTTGACATATGCACGCATATTGACCAGGGCTATCGAACCATCTACGGTCTCATCGATTTCGCATACCAAGGTGACTTTGCAAAGGCACTTCATGTAAGTTACTTTCCAAGTCCCCAAACAGTCAAATCTCCGAACAGCCAACTGACCATCAAAGACTTTTCACCACAACGACAAATACTATCTGAGAAGGGCCGAGATGGATGATATCCCCCACGATGGTGCTATCGAAGGAGACAGGCATTCAAATGAACCTCCTCAGAACCGCACCTGGAACAATTCGCGACTTCCTAGAGCCCGACCATATGGCAACGGCCATAACAGAGGCCACAACAACGGTCCCAACGGCTACAACAACAGCAATCACGGCTATAACAACAGTACTGGCAACGGCAACGTGGGAAATGGTGGTAACAGCGGCAGAGGTGGCATTCGCAGTGGCCCCCCCAGACACCACGCCAGCTTTTCAAACCAGCACACTCCCACCCAGAGTATCAACGCTCAAAACAATCCATCCCATGGTTTTTCTCCTCGCCAATTTCACCGGGGATTTCACTTCCCTCCGACCGTCGGCGGCGCCGGTAACTTCGACCAAGGCTATAACCCCAACGTCAATCAGGGCTATAATCCCTCCTTCAATCAAGGCTGCAATCCCACCCTCAATCAAAACTTCTCTCAGGGCTACCCTTTTAACAACCATGCTCATTATCCCCCCCAAGGATACCCACCCGCTGAAGCTTTTGTCAGCCCATCCATTGGCTTCAGCCAGATGTCAGTGCCGGAAGTCACAACTCAGCCATTTCCTTCCGAGTACCCTGGCATGCCAAATCCAGGGCTCCCTATTTTTATGCCGAACCAATACCATCCTGCTATGTTGACACGGCACCAGACTATGATCGAAGGTCCACCTGCACCAAGGCCTCCTTTCCCTAACGAACCTCTCCTCGTCTCTAGCCAGCCACAGTTTGACTCTGATCAGCACCGAGAACACTGGTGGTGTCCTACTTGGGTCCCTGCCGGAATGCCGCCCAACTGGCCAGGTGCCCCGGGCAGCTATTGTATGCAGCCAGGCTACAGTCATTACTCTGTGCCTCGCGCCAGCCAGCCCAGCTTGGAAGCACCTTTTTATGGAGGTTTTTCTGAGGCCGAAGCATATGAATCTACCTTGAATCAGATCCATGTTGAACCAACTGAGGGCGAGGAAATCGAGAGAGGACGCTCTCGTGTTCAACAGCACCATTCAACCACCGATGGGAGTTCCGACATGCCCCAAGTGGCCGTCCCTGGCCAGACCAAGAGTGAACCACTTTCAGTGCCAACTCATGTGCAGGAGGGTGCCAACATCGTAACTGTGAAGGCATCTTCTGATACCGGCATCGGGCCGACCACGTCTCAAGATGATCCCATTGAGCCTGAGAATAACCCAAATGAGCCTGAGCCCGAAGCTGAAAATACTGACGAGCCCAGCCACGCCCCGGCTGCGGACGAAGAGCACCGAAATCCGAACGTTGAGACTGTGCCTGAACTGGAAGTTGAAACTAAGAGTGCTGCTGATTCATCGGAAGGAGGCCCCGATCCTAAGACGCCCGATACCGACCAGTCACGGGAGCGTGTTACTACCAGTACCAAATCGCAGCCCGACTCACGAACAACAGTCACTGCACCGACAGTAGCCAAGACCGGTGCCAAACGCAAGTCGCCTGTCAAAGACAAGGGAGCCAACGCAGAAAAGCTTGACAACAGCAAGTCACCAGCCAAGGATGGGACTACCGATGCTGACAAACCTGACAAAGGCAAGTCGCCTGCCAAAGATGAGATTGCCAACACCGACAAGCTTGACGAAGGCAAGTCACCAGCCAAGGACGAGACTGCCAACACCGACGAACTTGAAAAAGACAAGTCACTAGCCAAACGCCCTGTGAGACTTGAGCTTGATGTGCCAAAATTTGCCATAGAATATGCCCGGAAGAGGGCGACTCGCACTCCACTGCGTGAGAACAAACCACTCAAGGAAAAATATCAGCCCCAAACCGGCAGCCGTAAGACTGTTGAGGACTACACTCGCGAAACATATCGCCAGATGGTCGCGAAAGACCCCAGCTTCCAGTTCAAAGATGAGAGTAAGCTGGATGAGGCTATCCAAGAACTTGAAGATGAGTGGTATGAGCAAGGGTGGGCAGAAGAAGGTCTCGGTCCTGAGGATGAAAGTCCAGACTCTGGGTCTCCCAAGGACCCGAAAGACAAGTCGTCGGCATAGGCTCAGGCTCAGAGTGAGACTGTGGTTGGGGCTGGGTTTGACTTGAGGTCGAGAATGCGAACAAGATCCAGGTTCAATTGAGATTTATATGGGGATTTTGAGAACAGGCGCCCAGTCAATTGAGATCGAGGGGGTGTTATTCATTTTGATTTGCTTGCTATGACGGGATTTCTCTCGTTTTATCTTTATTTCTTTGTATTGATGAAGTTCTTCTATGGCTTACTTTTTTATGCTTTGCGCGAATCTGATTTTATGGGAAACACGAAAGCACAAAAAAAAAGGGGAGCTTGTCTATTGGCATTCTCGAAGTAGTTATCAACCTGACTTTTGTTTTTCGCTTTGATTCTTCTTTTTTTTTTTACCGTACAATATAGTGGCCGCCTGGTTGACAGTAAATAGCAATCACTCATGGACTGGTGGTCTAGTGTACGATGAGGCAAATACCTGTTGAATCTACAGGAAGCACAGTCACGAGAGAAGAACAAAGTAACTTCAAGAATGAAAGTCAGTATGATTTGAGTTGATTGACAAGGCAGACATTGAGCGAAGCTCGGCAACTTAATCCCACCCATGTAAACGCCGAGAACGAAGCCAAAGCCGGATATATGTACAAAATGCTTCTCGATGCAAGCTTGCATGCCATGAATGCCAAATCCGAATATGAATGCCAGTGGGGGATAGTGATGCACGCCAACGAAATGAGCCCTTAAAAAAAACAGAAAAGTAGCATGCAAACAAAACTAACATTTAAGACGGAGTCAAATTCCCATATGCAATCGCTCATTGTTACAGTAGATGTGAGTCGTGAGATATGCGAGGGAGGAGATGTGATGAATGTAAGGTGGGATCGAATATAAAGGTAGAAGTGTGAATGGGATGGTTGCAGAGGATGCGAGGAATAAGAGGGGGAGATATGGGGTATATCAGGACTTTGCCTATCCCCAAAGGAAACGATAATCAGGCTCTCACTCGCCTGGCATCGAAATATCCCAAGTTGACAGCCGTATCATTGACACCCAGGAACGGAGCCGCATCTTCAAGCAGCTCCCATGGGCGAACAGGATATGGACCAAGAATGCGACCACGGTGTTGAAGACGAAGTCGGTTGGCCATAGTGTTCGAACCGTCCATCCCGGTGGGCAAACCAGACGCTGCTGCGACGGATTGCTGCGCCGGAGATGGCCCGACAGACGAGAATGGGGCAGGCGTAGGCGTCGGTGTCGATGCTGAGGCTGCGGGTGAGGGCGCTGAGAAATGCGGCGCGTTTGTAGAGTATTGGTCTACCATCGGACCGAAAAGATAGAGGAAGCGAGAGTCGTTCTGGAACGGAACGAAGGATGAACACTTCTCTTTTAAGAAGCGGGCGCATTGATGGCGGACTTCGTCTGGGAAGATGTCGATCAGGGAGGCAGCGACGTCAAGAGCGTGTGTTTGCAATAGGATACCCGGACAGGGACGGAAGCCTTCGCCCGCTTTTGGATGCGGGAAGTAATCGGCCGCTGGGAATTGACGGAGTACGTCACCTGGGAGGCGTGAGAGGGCGATGCAGATGATTGAGGTCAGGAGTCGGAGCTGCTCGGGCTGAGGGCCAACTTTCAGAGTGGCAGGCAGTTGAACAAATGCGGACCGGTGAAGAACTACCATCCTCAACATGGCAGAGAACCAGAAGGCAAGGGCGCGTTCAAACTTGGGACGTCCTTGATTCCCGGCGCCCTTGGAGTTGGCGAGGGTGTTATGCATGGCGATGACTTTGTGGAGAAGGGAGTCCATCTTCTCAACAAGTACCGATCCAACAGATGGAGCGCCAGAGTCCGGAATGCTGCTCGCGAGCTCCTCAATAATAATGAGGTATAGTCTAGCGGTTTCCAGCGAGGCCAACTTGTCGGAAGTGTCAGGAATATCGCTCATTAGCTCTTCCAGGAGTGGAATAGCGAAGAACTCCCTCTCAGCACGTTCACGGATTTGTCGAACGGCATCAGGGCTCATCAGTGCAACAAGATCAACCCAGTGAAGTCTGTGAGCACGGCTGTCCGACACAGCAGTCTTGAACATTGCATCAACTATATTAGCTCGGTCTTCCGCCGCTGAATCTGCACCAAAAAGAACTTGAAGCTTTAACTGGCAAAAAGGGAGCGAGAAGTCATCGGTCATGCTAGCTAGCTTCTGGACTTCGGAAAGGACCGATTTGCGATCTGACTTAGACTCAACACCTAGAAGAAGATCGAGTGCCTTTTGAATTATGCCCAAAGCAGCTGGGTATTGATCAACTAGCTTTTGTATGCCGTTCTCTGCCGCACATCCTGGGTTCCGCACAAGGAGATCACGCAACAATCGAACCATAGAGCCCTCCAACTCACTGGATGCAGTCAAAGCATCATTGGCATTGCATGATGCAGCATCACACACGATCCTCAGCGCCTCTTCCGAATTCTTGCCGAGAAATTCTTGTTGTGCCAATTGGAAGCGATAAGACACCAAATCGAAAAACCTGGTCTCTTCAATACAAGGGACAAGAAGCTGGACCAGTTCAGCGGGTAGATGTGCTGCATTGGGGACAGTTGTTGGCGTAGAAAGAGTTAGTCTCTTGGCGAGGGCCAAGAAAGCTCTAATGGTAACGCATCCGACACCAATCAATGGAGGAAGAATTCGCAACAAAGTAGTACGTTCGGATGATCGAAGATGACTGCAGACCCATCGTGCAAGAATGCCGTCAAAATGCTTTGGACTGAATGACCGAAGCTGTGCGAGGTAGCGAGAAGTGTCATTCGCCGACAATTTGACGTTGCCACCATCAGATTCCAAATGCTTTGTGAGGGCATTGAAGATTGTGTCCAAGGTGGGCTCATCCATGACATTCCCTGACAGCAAAAGTTGATCTAATTTCTCTCGGAAAAGGGGATCGATGTCACCGAAGCTATCGGGAATGTGGTCAGAGACTGGGGAGGATGCGGCTACCATTGACTTGTTCTCCATGCGAGAAAGATCTTGGCGAAGAATGGAAACCGTGTTGAGTTCACTCGGAATCCTCAAGCCAAGTTCGATCAAAGAAAATATCAAGTCAAGACCTGGTGTGCCGAGTCTCTTGATGCCGGCATAGGCGTCAATGAGTCTCCGGAATAGATCAGCTGTGGCGCCAATCACACATAGCGATTCAAAATGACAGTTCGTTGTGTCGGCAACCGAAGCCAGCACCGTGCTATCATTGCAGCTAGACGCGAATTTCAACACATCTGCCAGCATCGAAATGTCATCAAATGTTTCCAGGACCCCACGAACGGTGTAGAACTGAGCCGGGGTGAGTGCAGACACTACAGATACGGTTTCACTGGTGAAAGCTCTAGTAATCAACCTACCAGTGAGTTAGCAAGATCTGCAAGAATAAAGAGACGTTAAATGCCTACTCTGCAGGGCCCCTATTGTATTCCGCAATGGCACGACGGAGCCATTGCCCAACCTCAGCTTTGACAGCCCAGGGCAGATTGGTAGGTAGTGAATCTAGTTCCATGGTTGCGGATTCGTTGACGCCAAATATCGCCGGTAAACGCCGACTGATGATATTTTTAACATTCTCAATGGCTGCAACTTCGTCCGAGGCAGAGAGTCCGGTCCGTGCCAGCAGAGTGCTTCGCAGATTGCCGACGTGCTCCGGAAGACGACCCACAGGAAGTTGCGCTATGAGTCCAATGTCGATTGGCAAATCCTCCACCTAGATCTTCGTCAGTAACTATAAGCTTTGGGGATGAGTTTCAAACTCGTATCGTACCTTGAGCTCTTGCGATGGGGAACCATTGGTGACACCTCTGGCCATGAGCCATTGGAGGTAGCGACCCACGGAGAATGTTTGCGACCTGACAAGCTCGGAGATGACATGGTAGATTTGCTCCATGTCAAGTTTTTGATTATGTAGTCCTCGTGAGAGAAATGCAAGAATGTGACTATCTATATCGACGCCGGCAGATTTCCATCTGCGCAGCAGACGGACACCGACGTACACTCGACAAAGGCCGTAGCGGAAGGGCGTAGAGAGCCATTCCATTAGTCTGGAGACTAAAACGGCCTTGTCGTCGAATGCGTCGAGGTATATAGCCACAGAGGAGAGATCATGAGCGGAGCGGATGGAGTCGAGAAGTCGTATAATGCGTTGATGTGGAGAGCGTTGGGTGGTTTTTGTTGAGTGTTTGGGCCGCTGTACTCGCGAATTGCGCTCTGCGAGGCTCTGGAAAAGGGCTTTGTCTGCTTCATTAGCCATGTCAAGGGAACATGACACCTGCTGGTTGTATTTTTCCCAAGAATTGGGGAGGATCATGGAGGATGTATGGTCACGAACAAGCTTTCCGATAAATCGAGAAAGACGGTCAATGAGAGGTTGGAGTTGGGGCAATTTAACTTCCGTTGCCTGCTTCATTATCAGTATGATCACGGGCATGGGGCAGTCCATCATATATTGAACGCACCTGCCGCAGTTTTTGAAGCAGTAGCTCAGCCAATCGTCGACCTCTTCGCCTGTAGCGCATAATACTATTCCAATAAATACCTAACATCAACAGCCAGACCGGGATTGTGCCGATAGAAGCAGCCTCGAAAGAAGATAAAAACCATTCAAGAAAATGATCATGGTCCAATAGGTTCTCAAAGAATAGACGAGCAGTCAACCCAACACTACAACAGAAATTAGCCTCACAACATAGATAAGATTCAGGGATACATACGCATATGTCATCTTTGCCTTCCAGTCCGAGGACTTTGGGGCATTGAAGACGCCTTCAATGAATTGCTGAACATTTGTGGTCCAGTCCCGAACCCACTTCGCCTCTAAACCAACAGCCAAAGCACCACTGGTACCCTTGCGCTTGAATGCACGAATTTCATTAGCACCCACACATTTTCCTAACCAAACAGCACGTGCAACGGGGATCCATTTTCCAAGGCATTGGTCCAAAAGAATCCTGCCCCGGATGCCATGCGGGATGGTTCGGCTGAGGCGCCGCAGAGGAACAGCCGGGTTCGCGAGATCTCGAAGCCATGCCTCGCGCTTATTATCGGTGAGCGTAACTCGGGGTGGTGGTTTAAAGGTGGATCGGGCGGGAACTGTGTTGTGGGTTTGGCGTTTCTCCAGTGCCGCGGTAAAGACAGACGAGAGCATCTGAAGCCCTGTGCGGTGCTTTAGTTGCGCATACAATGCGGGGCGGGCTGTATTGGATTCATGAGAGACTTGTGTGCGGTCGTAGTATCCTTGTTTTGCGGTTTGCTCGTTCAGGACGTCCTCGGGATGGTTGCCGGTCCATGGTGCGAAATCGGCGGGTTCTATAACACGTTAGTCTGCATGCCTCGACGGTTCCCAAAAGATCACCTACTATCCCCCTTGTACAATGGAGCGACAGCTGGTATCTCAATTTGATAAGGTGTTGTCTGCACAGCTCCCACTGGGGAGCTTTCCCTCGACTTTATAGGAGCGGGCCCCGACGGTTCGACCACCGAGGGGGTTTTCCAAGGCTGGGCGGGGAGCGGTGGTATGGCAGGAGGCTTCGTTCCAGTAGCGCCGTCGCCGCGATTCTCATTGCCCGGGATATCCGATATGACAGCCTGGAAAGACCAGGCTGGCCGGCCGCGCCATGAGACCGCAGGTCGCGAACTTGCGCTTCCCGGAGTACTCCTCACCTCGGAACCCATCGCTGCGCCGGTATCTGGGGTATTTGATGCGCTAGACACCTCCAATCTCGGTCGTTTCGGGGGTGGTTCTCTGTCCTGCGACTCCGGACCGCCTCCGGTCAGGTCGACGACGGTTGGTTGTCGGATCGGCGGTTGGGAGAGAGTGGGCTGCCTGTCGGGTTGGTCATGCTGTCCCAACATCTGCGCATTATCAGCTCGTCCGGGGACGCCATTGAGTGTACGCAGAGGGTGGCCCCACGGTTGGCCGCCGGCAAAGGAATGGGGGTTCATTATAGGCTCATGATGTGTTGAAAGGGTGGAATATGCAGATCATGCAGGCGATTATTTTGAACCCTTAAAAATTGTAATGTAATTAGAGTACAATGTTGAAAGGTTGTAATCGAAGGAGGACCGGGGGAACAGGCGACTCGGGTATCGGATAACGAATCAAGTAAGTACAAGACAAAGAGACAAGAGGCAAAATGGAAGATAACGTAAGTGTTGAAAAGGATCGGAATGATTTGTTGTGTTCCAATATACGGTGTACAATTAAATAATAATGTAAAAGTGTCTAAGTGGTAGTTATCATATGATTTCGTTGGACGATTAGTTAATTGCAAATGCCGGAATACCCTCCCCGGTTCTGTTTTGCCCCCTTTAAGCCAAAAAAAGGTCCAATCCGTCCACTCCCGGATGTGTTCGCATCTGATTATGGACAATCACCTTGACAAGGACCATCTTTTCAATCAATGAGATTTGTCCTTGTTATAAGTTACAAAGCAGCGGACCGTTCCCATTGACTTATTTCGATAATAATACGAGTCCCTTAGCGGGTTATCGGGGTATCTTAACCGGGTACGGAGTGCATTCTCTCGTGTTTGATATGATCGACGTGAGCTGTCATAAAGTACCATATGACTTGCTGAGAACCCTTAGTTAGGTGCTTCACTTTACCACGTATAACTAGTTACTACATAATTACCTTCCAACCTATCTAGCTGACTCTGTACAATCTTGTACATTATAATGGCGAATACCTCGGATGTCGATCAATTATGAAGACTCGGAGCATGCTAGATGCAAGGGATGTGGATTTTGAAGCCTACATGAGACAATGCCCAATTGTACATTGTATGATTCTGGTTTAACTAATGCACAGGCATCACACCGACCTGCAGCACTTCCGAGATCATTACACAAACCCTGTTTGATGTCGGTGGGTTTTATGTATGCAATGATCTTCGTATTGCTTCGATTGCGCAACCCCCCACGATTGTATTTCTCTTTGTCATTCGTGTTCGAAATTAAGTACTCCGTATTGGAAGTCAAGTACTCCGCATTGGAAGTCAAGTACTCCGTATTGGAAGTTAAGCACTCCGTATTGGAAGCTAAGTACTCCGTATTGTTATACCAAGTCAGCTCAAGATCGGCTTATATGCGTACAACCTATGTACTTGATATCATTTAGTGTACCTTACCATCCTGGAATGATTTATTTTTATAGACATCTTGGTTCAGGAGATAAGGAAGAAATAAATAAATCCTTACAATATACAATCGTTATCTTGTAACTATACCATGCTAAGCCCTAACTAATGTATGGAGTAGTTGCAAAAACCGAAATCGGAGAGAAGTTCGGAGATATTCAATCCGGGGTTCTCGGACCTCAAGTTCTAGCCCAGACTGGCACTAAGGCCACTTCGATCCTTTCGACAACCCACCACATTACATTTCAACATGGCTTCAAAGAAAGATATGCGCAAGGTTGAGCTTGGTAAATCTCAGATTTCGTGATCAACTTCAAATCTCAGAAATTAACCTCGAACCCTTGCCAGCGATCCCCTATGTCGATCCCCCCAAAAGCAGCAGTGATGCCGATATCTCCAGTACGTTATCCCATTTATTTCAATGGAATACTTGATCGCAAGGATCGCAAGGATCGCAAGGATAGTCGGCTGATCGAGCTACACAATAGGCACAATGTCGAGCACTATGCCTATGGCGGCTGTAAGTGATCCCAGGTTCACCATCGCAATAACACCACTAACCTTGGCCACTTAGATGTTTACGCGCAACCGGTGAGTGATGCGTCGCATTTCACATGACTACAGAACGTTAATTGACGAATCTCGCAACGCAGCATGATCGGATGGTAAGAGCACGGTTAGCCGTCGTCGGTCTGGCCCAATCAGCTGACTTGGAAACAGGGTCTCGTTCGTCTTCTCGCTTCAGTCTTGGCTGGGTGAATCCCCAGACCAAAAAAAGAATGCTTCTACCCCGGCATACATGTCGGTCTTGATGTCTTGTTCGTTTTCTCTTTCCCCCCCCCCCCCCCCCCTAGTATGCTTACGGCAAACTAACCTCTTATTGCGGTGCAGTGATGGCATTGTGTGTCGTATGTATTTCCGAACGAAACTCCTCGACGTACCCAGCTTAACAACACATCGCAGACCTACTTCCCTCTCTTCTTGCCCCCGCAGGCTCCTGGCGGCGTCGCTGCTGTGCCGACTCCGTCGCCCTCTCCTTGAACGCTCGACTTTACGTGATACCTTATTCTCTCCTGCATGCATCATAATTTCTACGATCCCGAGACAAGCCACGATGGATTAATTGTTCGCGGAGTCTGATGTTATAAGTTTCTAGATTGAGGGTTTCTCTATCAATCGCCTACTATTGTGGCACTGTATCAATATTCAACCCGATTTTCGCCTTCTTGGGTATTAACAATGTTTACAACTTGCCACCAGTAGTCATCTCCTAGTACAGATCTGAATTCTACATAATTGCCACCTATAATTGTATATAATTGTATATAACTGTGTCAAAAGGTACCAGATGCGAGTCGTCGCTTAGTCACACACCGCCTTTCCCACAACGTGACTCTTACCTCAAAAGGCTCTGCCGTTCTTCTCTCTGATTCTTCTACAACCACAGCCTCCACTCCACTCACTACAACACGCTCGATCTTTCAAAGAGACACTGAATCTCGCCCCTCACTCAGTTTACCTATACCCATTTGAAACGCCATTTATATCGAAAAAGTCGAGTTTATGTCCATCGAAAACCTCAAAACCTTCGGTGAGTTCGCCACTTTCCCCTCCTGGCCGGGCGCGTGTTGCCTCCCCTCCCCCCCCCAAAACATACATGCATATCCAAGATTTTGATGAATCCTGGTGCGGCTGAGAGACACATATCTCACTGCTTTTGGTGTTGAATGGGTGGAGCCCGGCTCAGCTCTATTCTACCTCCGTCTCACCGCGGCGGGGTAGAAATTTGGCACTGGACTTGCTGACCTGTACATCTCACAGACCCCTTCGCCGAAGCCGACGAAGACACTGGCGAAACCAAAAAGTCTCAGAACTACATCCACATACGTATTCAGCGTACGTCTCACTTCTCACTCCCTGTCGCCCCGGACGTCGCTGTCCTCGCGACATCGTCGTCGCTAAATAGGGGAGCACATGCTAACCACTTTGTTTCACAACAGAACGCAGTGGTCGTAAGTCTCTGACCACTGTTCAGGGTCTTCCCAAGAGGTTCGACCAGAAGAAGATTCTGAAGGCCATCAAGAAGAAATTTGGTATGTTTAATCTGTTCGATATCTCTCCCGGCCAGCTGACTAATTTGTCCCAGCTTGCAATGGCACCATCATCGATGACACTGAGATGGGCGAGGTGATCCAGTTGCAGGGTGACCAGAGAAAGGATGTCCAGGAGTTCTTGACCAGCGAGGAAGGCCTTGGTCTCGATGGCCAGACCATCAAAGTATGTTGTCGTCCGTCCCATGTCACCTTATTTACTCATCTAACTGTTATCACCCAGGTCCACGGTTTCTAATACCAACATCTTGCCTTGTTCCGGTCCCCTCTTACCAGTTTATGTTGCCCTGTGGGCGATGGGATAGTAAGCTTGTCCATGCATCCCTCATCCGCCGTCCGTACGCTGTACTGGCCTCCTGCACATCGATCAAATGTCTTGCTTTCTCCCCCCACTACTGTGTGCTCGGCGTGTTAGACTTGGCCCCTTGTCGAAACGATCCGCTACACCTGTGTGGCCCCTGCCGATATTACCGCAGTATTGGCAAGGACTACAGGAGGGTTCGACAGATACGTTTGAGACGGGATTATGAAGGAACGAGGCGTTGGTAGATACCCATTATCTGTATAGACAGACAGACAATATTTTTTTTTTCTTTGCATGATTAAGTGTGTTTTCTTTTCACTCTATGAAACGGGCTGCCTTTGCCTATGTTGCTTGTTCACATTACTCCCATGGTCATAAGTCAATCTGGATGCTCAGGGAGATCCAAGTTAAACCGAGGGCATGATTTGATAAGCCGTGTTTATGGGTCTCATATGTCGGTCTCTATCGTCTTCGAACTCTCTTCGCACTGGCTCACTCGTCTGCTATTTTTTTTTTTTGCTTGCAAACATGGAATTGACCTGTTTTAACCAGTATCACGCAATGGTAAATGAAAACAGTCGCAATAACTACGATGTACGCTGGTATGCCAACCAATAAACAAGATAATAGATTAGATTTACCAAAGATCGCCTTGTATGAAAAGAAGAATATCCCAGAGGTTGGGCCAAATGCCCTCCCCCAATCAAATCCCGAAAATGTACAAAATTGCTAATGGTTTCGGACTAAGAACGCTTGCTCAGCTCGCCCAAATCATGAATTGAAGATGACTCTGCAAGGTATCCGGAAAGAAGAAAAGAAAGGACAGTAAGCAGCCAAAAGGAAATCCTACTCCACTTTGAAGCTACAGTTCCCCAAGCCCAGCACGCTCATCTGCAATTCGCATGCGCAGGAATATGGCTGTCGCCCAGTCCCACAGCTTGCGGGAGAACACAAAGACGGGCACCTCGGATTCGTTCTCCCGGGTCAAATGCAGCTGTAGCAGGAGCAATGACATGGTGAGGAAGCTTGCGACAAGCACAACTAGCAGAGATGCTGCTGTTTCACGCTTGATTTTGGTGTGGTTTTGGGTTGCGTAGTAGATGAATGTTAAAGACTGGTGAGTGTCAGTCAAACGATAGGGAAATGACAATACATTGGAAAAGAAAACATACAGTTGTAATGGATATCCACGCCGGTAGAAGGTGCCGAGGGTCAGAAGAGGCACCAGATAGATATAGCACCCAAGATGTGATATATGCGATCAAGCCGTTCGTTGTTAGGAGTCGGATCACAACGGCCGGTGGAGTGTAGTTTAGAAGCCTGGAATATGAGTAAAAGGTCCTAATACGGAGGCGTCAAAATATAAAACTCACCATCGAGACATCAAACAATCAGCAAAGAAATAAGAAAGGTATGCAGATGCACAGCACTGTCGAGAAGTCAGTATGAAGTATAGGGCTAAGCACAATATATATGCCGGTGAGGGCGATCCTATAACATACCCACATAATAGCCAATGCCACCTCCGTCACGCGGAATCTCCTCTCAACATCCCATTCCTGCCCCACACTACCGATAATCGCCGCCGCCCACCCCTCCCGTCCCATACCCGGCCGAATATGCAGCAGCTCGGCCAAGAAGGTGAAAGCACATCGCAGTCCCCACCAAGCAGCAGGTACCGTGCTCAGCGCTCGGCATACAAGCAACGGAATGTACCACTTGCGGTCCACCCCTAGAATGACAGCGACTCGCGGGTGCAGTGCTGACGGGGCAGCGTGGCCTGCATCGCTGCTGGGTGGGGTATGGGATCTTGAAGTCGGGGATGGCGGGACAACGGCCGAAATAGATTGAGAAGCCACCTCTTCGGTTGGCTCGCTTGACAGCAAATTATTTGGAGGGGTGTGATAGCTGGGCGGGGCACCCGGTCGTGTATTGTTCAAGTCTGGAGCACGAGATGGGCGCTGTTGGTCGTGGGGAGTGTATGGTGGAGGAGAGGCATTACGTCGAGGAGGAGCCAGCCTTTATTTCGAATCGCGGCATATGCGGCCGTCACGCAAGGAGTGGGAGGTGGTATAGAAGAGGGTGCGGTCGAGACGTTCGCTCGAATATGGGTGTTGTCAAGCTGTTTATGGGTCTCCTAATTGGCAGATATAAGACCCAGTGCGTTGGGGGCGGTGTCTTTTTTTCCCGGGGGGCAGTTTACTTTCTGAATGAATTTCTGTGTATTTTGAGTTCAAGGGAAGAGTAGAAATTTATTTTGTTAACAAGACCTCAAACAGGTCAAGTATCTAAATAATCAACGGTTGCGCGAATTGCACAGAACTTCGCGGAGTGGTGCACGTGACGCAATAGTTCCGCGGATTTTGTTCTTCGGCCGCTAGGAACCAATTTCTCCCCCATTGCACCACTTCGCCATGGCGTCTCCCCTACGATTGCCTGTGGTTACACCACGCAACCTCTCTCAATCATGCCTGGCCGGTTCCACCAAATGTCGAAGCTTCTCCCAAACATCCCAGCAATGGGCAGGCGGGAGAGCAGTAAACTTCCGCCCTCCAAGTGTCGCGCAACCCGCATTTAAGACCCGAACAAAGGATTTGAAGTTGACAGATCTACCCAATGATATTGGATTGCTGCCGGGTACTTTTGTTCGTCCTTTGTGGAGGGATATGCCTTCGATCTTCCAGGCACCGAAGGATAGGCTGCACATGGAATGGACATGGATCAAGTCATGGCTTAGCAACTATGGAAGGTCAGTTCATTCGGAATTGTCTGATTTTGCTTATTGCTACCACAATGAGAAATGAAGATATATCTACGTACAGAGAGAATGTTTACTAACTACATAGCAGTCTGCTCCAATACTGCAAGAGGGAAAACAGCCTTCCTCTTCTCCTCAAGGAGCGCCGGCATTACGCTTCCAAGCTGCAAGAGAATATGTACACAGCATTCGCCGAGTAAGCATGCGCCGGTTCTATACAACTGCCATCAACCCGGGACTAACCAAGCCTCAGAGGGAATGTTGCCGAAATCAAGCGAATCTGCTGTGACGGTCTCGGCAGGAAACTCACCTCCGAAATCGAACGTCGCCCCAAAACCGAACAAGTAACCTGGAAACTTGTGAAATACTTGCGCAAGCCAAGCACCAACTTCATCGGTGTCCGCGTCCTCTCAGACCGCGCTACATCTATCCCCGATCTCCCGAAGTCCGGCATCCGCCAAATGGTCGTGCGCATCACAAGCCGACAGTCTACAACCAGGACCCAGAAACAATCCCGCGGAGAAAACGCCGAGGTCGTTCCCGTCTCCTCGAAGGAGCAGGACTGCATGGAGTATATTGTCATCCAGCACCTCCGCTGGAACGACCAGGACAAGGGCTGGAGAGTCTGGGGCACCACCAACCCGACTACCCTGCACGCTGCTAAGAATGACCCCTACTTCATGCCTGGATTGTCGGCGATGGAACGCATGGAGATGATCAAGGATAACATGGGCCAGAAATAAAAAAAGTCGCAGCTTGCGCTAACTTTTATTCTTCCATGAGGGTCTACATATTTTGCGCTCTGGGCCCTGCAATACTCGGATCTGAGAACTCACATATATCACATACATGAGACATCGATGCCACCCCGAATACCCTCCCCGGTTTTGGCACAGAACAGTCCGCTTCCTTTCACCCACTTGTGTTATCACTACCAACCTTCTGGGCCACGCGCTAAATGCCCTGGCCTCTGGTCTGCGCTAATTCCTGGCGCAGGAACCTTTTGATGTAGAGGCATTTCCACCTCTCATGTACCATAGCCACTTGTTTTGACCAAATTTTACATTCTATTGAGCCATCACTTGTATAAATGAAATAGCTGTCTTCAAGAACACCACTATCTTAGTTACGACTTTTCAGATATCCACGATAATACGTTTTTTTCAATCGCCGCCAAAAGGCAGAACCAAAAGGATTGACAACATGTATATGTACAAGAAGGCTCAAAGGACAAGCACGGGCAGGCACAATACTAATGTGTCGCACAGGTATCATTAAAAACTGAAACACAGAAGCAAGAGGTGCACATGTAAAGAGCCCAAGGGGAAAGGTGCTTTAGGGACATGTGAAGCTCAGGGATAAACCCCGCAAAATATGGACCATCGCTCATGTAACAAGGCCAGAAGAAAGAGAAACCTAGGAACACTTGAGCGGAGAACCGAGTCGATTCATCTAATCATCATCGAAAATCTGGAAGGTGTTATTCAGAATTGTTTCGATGACGCGAACCTGCCACCCGGCGTCGGCGATGTTGCCACCAGAATTGGCGCCCATGAGAGTTGGTCTAAGATGGGTTAGTGGGACTAGCAGATTTCCAAGGGGAGACAGGCACATACCCGAAGCAGATTGCCAGGTTTCCTGCGTTCATGCGGTTCTGAGTGTAGTGTTCTTGGATCTTATTAAGATGCTGCGACAGATGGATTAGTGTTTGTTATGCATTGGAGATTTCACTGGAATCATACCAGGATGATAGCACGGAGGGTGGCATAGTGAGCATCGGGGAGGCTGTTAATGAGGGCGTGCAGTGAGTCTCGGCGTTGAATATCATCGTCAAATCCTGTAGTAATGTCAGTATGTGGTACGCGGGTTCTTTTAAGACATGACTTACGAGCAGCATCGATAAACTGGTGGTAGAACTGGGAGGTGAACAAAGGGTCAGGTAAATCTCGGAAGAATTGCTTCGCAAGTCCTGCAACACTGTTGACATCGTGGTAAAAGTTCTCCGGGTTGGTGAAGTCAACCTGTGAGGAGTCTAGTAAAATCAGGGTCAACGATATGTCCATTGTTCGACTGAAGTCGGACTCACCATTATCGAACACCGCCTTCATGTGGCTGATATGCGTAGCGCTGCCAGAAAGTCGGTAGATACCCTCCATATCCAGACCGAATAGTTCAACGGCTTGGAAACACTGGTACACTATGAACGGAACTGCCGTTCCATCCCGGGCGTATAAGTCGTTCAAAGAGACACCAAACACAGGCTTCAGAGGGGGCAGATTCGCCTGGAAATTCCTGTCGCTTGCATTAGGTCCTGCCATTGGCACCAGAACCTTTGGTGGAGCTTCAGGAGCAGGCGGGTTTGAGACTGGGTAGGGAGGTGTGCCAGCTGGGGGAGGAGTAAATGTTTTCTCGGGGGGATAGGGCGACTGCGGCAATCTGTCACCGGGAGGAGGTTGCTGAGGCGCTGGCGAAGCGAGATTGTGCTGGGAGGTGGAGGTGAAAGCCTGGGGCATTATAGAACTGCGTTTATTCTGAGAGCTTGGTTGTGAGACTGTTGCAGCAGCAGCAGCGCCAGCAGCTCCAGCCACGCCAGAACCACCAAGTGTCTGACCAATGCGTCAGTACAGCAAAAGAATCGAGCGAAGGATGCAATAGCTTACCGGGTGACGCTCGTATTGGATTTTTTCGGAAGCCACAGCCCCAGGGTTTCCTTCGTGGCTTAAAATGAACTCATGAAGATCCTTTTGGTTGTCAACTTGTCGCACAATCTGAGCAAGACTTTTAGGAGCAAATGAGCCGTCATCGGTCGGCAAAGGGCTGACGCAGAGACCTTGGCCCAACAGAAGTTTCTCGCTGAAAGTAGCTGCAAATTGTCAGCGCATGAACAGATAGAGAAGTTAATTGGTACTCACCGAACTTTTGCTGCTGTAGGGTCAAGCCCGAGTCGCACTCGGCGATCAATTGCTGAAGATTAAGCACGGCCTGGGGCCTGTGAGTGGATACAAGCTCCTGGCGCGCAGCCTGGGCAGCCTGCACCTTGGACGCATAATCACTGTCCGCATTCTGAACCTTGCGTAGCAATTCCTCCTCGTGCTGCGCGGCAGACTTGTGGCCTTTGAGGCCGAACTTGCCACCCTGCTTGTCACCTGTACGAACACGGTCATACTGCTCTGCTAGCGATTCGTATTTCGCCTTCGCCTTCTCGGCCGATGATTCGGCATCGACAACTTTCTTCTCTGCGGCTAGACCGGTCTGTTTCCATTGCTTGCGGCCGCGCTCGATGTTGCCAGCGAGCTCGTGCAGATCGTCGGCCATCTGTTGGAGGGAGACGGCGAATTGGAGGCCATGGTCGACCATTCGCTCCTGGAGACGGTGGATATCTTTGTAACTGGAGCTGTATGTGCCCTGTCGATTCTCGGTACGTTGCGACGCATCGCTGATCACGCGAGACAGCTTTCGCAGCCCCTGAGCGTGCTCTTCTTCAAGAGATCCTCGCTTTTTCAAAAATGTCGAGAAATCCTGGTAGATTTCAAATTAGCCTTCACAATTATTGTCGCAGTCAACTTGCGATCACGTACCTTGGCGGAGGCCACGCTTTGCTTCAAACGGGTCAAAAGTGTAGTGATGCCGATCTGCATGCGACACAATCATTAGTATGTCTTGTTCTGTTTTGATGGCGCTTGCAGCCCAATTTCAATTCATATTGCCAGTAAATGCTTACATCAGAGTAGATAACCTTGTCCAGGCGAGCCTTTAGCTCGTCTGAAATGGGCTCGGGGGCCTGGGTCTGCTCAACCCCGTGAGGGGACGAGCGACCGGCGCTCGACGGAGGCGCATCATACGTCGGTAGCGCGGGATCTTGAAGAGCTGTGTCCGACATTGAAAATGTAAACTCAATGAGTGAAGAGAGAAAGAGAGGTCAAGAGGGGGAAAGGGCCCACCTCTATTATTATCTTAGGGTATGACACTGTGGAGTTTAGGGGCCGATCCAAAGTAGAATGCTGCAGCCTTCCACTTTCACTTTAGGCCCAAGGGTGGCGCGAACCTCTACGTAATTGTTTTGCCTCAGCCACAGTGGATTTTTGATATTGTACATATTTAGTTCTGGAATATTGCACATTTTAATATTCATGTAGGTACTCTCCGCAAGGTTTAATATGGAATAATGGGTGTCTATATTAACCTTAGAATGCCCGGTAGTTGAGAACGAGACATCTGTTGAACGCAAAACACACTTTTATTCGCATGGTATCGTCGCTGGAAATCAACTAATTCTGTACAAACAGCCTGACCAAGTATTCGGCACAATCTATAGAACTGGCGGTGCGACAAATGAGTCGGGAATGCCATCAAACACCCAATTTAAAGAATCGAAAACCTCTGAGAATCCAGCTTCACTAAAGAAAGCACCGCCTTCGTCAAACTGAGCCGGCATCATCAAAGACGCATCATCCATGGAGTTATCTTGTGGCCGCGTCATATGACCTGCCGGTCCAAGTATATCTTGGTTCGCCGCAATGGCAGCAGCTAAGAGAGTTAGGTACAATGTACAGAGTAGGTTGATGACGAGCCTTACCTTGCATTTCCTCCAAGCTTTTCACGGGTCTGAACCGCTGCCGCCAACGCCACACTGTGTCGTAGACGTGACTCATACTCATCCGACAACGCACTTTGAGCTGTAAGGCATCTTCCTCTGCCGGCTCTAAACTCGTGGCATTCCACATCTGGGCAAGAATGTCCGCGAGACGGATGGGGCGGTCATGATCCATCACACTGATTCGGCGAATGGCTGAGATCGCACCATTGAACAGTATCTTGCCGTGGCTGAAGTCGATGAACCGACTGATTCTGCTCTTCAACAACTTCATAAGAGCAAAGGCAGCCGAAACGATCATCTGGAGGATGTAGTTGGTAGAGTGGCCAATCAATTCACCCGGAAATGTTTCGAGACCGAGTACTCGACTAAGGAAGGATGTTGTTGCCGTGTAGAGTTTCGTGAGGTCGTCGTCTCGCGGCTTGGAACCCAAGAACATGAAGTATCGGAAGTGCAATTCTGCAGCGCGGATATGGATCATATTAACAGCTAGATGTGTGTGAGCATAGTCCAGTCCAAGGAAAATCTTAGTAGCTTACGAGATAAGTCGCTGCCAAAGTCGGCCTCCATCTCATTTAATTCACTCTCCAAGATCTGCACAACCATGAGTTTATCGGCGCTGATAAATTCCGCCGGCTCTGGTTTACTGCTGTACAAGGCCTTGGTCACCCTATCGCAAAACTTTTCAATTCGCAAGCGGATGGCCAACTCATCAGGGAGTCGGTAATCGGCATCTCTCAAAGAGGCAGGCTCAAGGACCCAATCGTATATAGTGGTGGCTGGCTGGCCGTAACCAGTCGCAACACTACCGCCAATGACAGTCAGCTTTCGGGAGGAGTTTGTTTTTCGAGAACGAGACTCACTTTTGGGCCACGATGTTACAGATGACCCACGTATGGAGTCGATCCTTGAGCGCTTCACCTTGTACTTCCATGCGGAATGTTGTGAACTCTTCTGCTTGGACTGGGCGATGCAGTCCCAGTTGCATGGCAATTTGCATCATCAATCCGCTTAGCATGAAAGTTGCATCGGTACGCTGGCTCGTTGTCGGCAGGGGCCAAGTACATAAAACACAAAGTGCCTTGACCACCCGGTAGTCCTGCGGGACGCTAGTGATAGTTGACCAAAGCAACCTGCTGAATGGTCCGGATAGTGCACTTAGTAGACCAGGCTCGTATTGGGAGCGTCGACTCGCAACACAGATGATGGTCCACGCCAAGAGAGGGCATCGATTAAGATATACCTCTGGTGGCTTGGGGGGATTCAAAAGAGGAAGAAAGGGGTGGTAATTAGTGAAGTATCTAAGCCCGTTAGTATCGAGTCGGAGAAAGAATCGTAAGAGCCATACTGTTCATATAGTCGTACAACACGGCCTCTAGAGAGAGAGATATCCTCCAGTCTCCATTGGCCTTCGTCCTGAGAGATGATGGAGCCATCCCTTTTCATAGTTAAGGGAGTTGCTATAGATGGATGCGCCTCAACTGGCACTGAAACATGGCGCGATTGATCAATCGCGGCAGATTCCCGGCGAGAGAAGACGTCCTCTGAGCAATGGGACATTTCATCGCCTACATGGGGGTCATGGAGCTCTCCTGTTTGCTCATGGTCCGAATTAGGTCCTAAGCGGCGGCGGAGGTCTGCAATCTCCTTTTCCATTTCTGCGTTGCGTCTGTGAATAGAGTCAATAAAAACAGCCAAAAATACTGAGCATAGGGAGCGGATTTACCTTCTTTTGGAGATACGCTTGAAGGATTGTTCAACTTTACAATCAATTCCAAGCCGGCGACAGCGCGAACAAGCCGCAGCCGGGGTTTGAACAATATCACATCTTAGCTATGAAGGGTTGGAGAGATCAGCACAAGTGTCGACAACACACATGACGGGCGGTTAGGCAAAAATGCATAGAATTGGGGAATATTTTTTGTGGCTCACCTTTTGCTGCTTACATTCATTGCAAGCTTTCCGGCTGCCACCTCGGCGCTTGCCCGTGACAGGCGGGGTCTTCTCCATCTCGCAAGATTCCGAACTTCTCTGCATGAAATTGACAGCCGGGGGTGGCCGGGGCAGTGTGGGGGACCGAAAGTCGCTCGGCGGGATTGAGTAATGTGGCCCATCCGGTGCCAGTATGTTTCGGTACCCCAAATCCATAAGATCAGCCTACTTTCAGCCGGTATAAAACCCCATGAAACGTGAACGAGTGCTCGTGGAGTCCATCTGCCGTAAATCGGAGAAATCGGCCCGCTGTAGGGGGTGTGTGGAGAACTTGAGAACAGCCTGACAACGGTGATTTGACAGTGATGTGACGGTCATTTCATGCACGAATTCCCAGCCCTGGACTCGGCGGTTGCTGAGTAAGCTAATGCCTGAGGCTGAATTTTGATTATTTACATCCGGCCATAGTTATAAATTAGCTAGATAGGGCTTCAAGGCTAGGGGGTGTTATATTGTGACACTTCATACATATGTCTAGGAAAATGGATATATATACTTACGTAGGAACAGACTCTCGATTCACCCTGTTATGTACTTGCTGTCCATACTTACTGTACTATATCAGAGAAAGTGTATGCATAGAATAAATATCATGTACAACAATATGAATCAATTCTTATATATTCAGCGCAATAATTTCTGTTCAATATCTCAAGATGGTGTACAATAACCCTATTCCCTACATATGTAGGTTTTATGTTGTAAATGTTCTATGCTTCATGCCCCACTTGCCATGGCCCGAGGTCTATGTGGATTTAGGATTATATGATCCGCATGCAATCCCCAGGTGCTTATTTAACTTAACTCTCTGACAAGCCCTGGAGGTTGTAATTGAATTCTAGTTTCAAGCCTCTCTCTACCTTTATACCACCTGGAATTAGCCTGGTATGTCTTCGCCTCTCTTCCATCTCACTCCTTGTACTAATTAATACCTCTGAGACCCTGTCAGGTATTCAACATGTCCGAAATCAACGTCACTGCAGTCCTCACCCCCAAGCCGGAGAAGTTTGAAGAGGTCAGTCTAATGCTACAATCATTGACATATACTCTAGACAATGACTTCGATAGATCATGTATCGAACTAACATCCGCATGTAGGTGGCCACCCTTGTATCTGAAGTCATCAAACAGGTCCAAGAACACGAGCCCGGTACATTGCTCTACTATGCATTCCAGATCAAGGACAAGAATGAGATTGTGATCGTTGAGAGGTAAGTGCACCAAGAAAGTGTTTGATACATGCCTCTCTATCTCCCCCGCGCGAACAGTGCGGCCGTGCCTCGGCCCATTCTACTTCCCCATAGCACCCTTGCCACACAACGCTCAGATCAAATCCTGATCGGTTCTAGGTACAAGGACCAGTCTGCGGTCCAGGCCCATGTCAAGGCGCCTTATTTCCAAATCTTCGCGGGCAAATTGCCTACTTTGTTATCGAAGCCATCGGAGCTGAGGGCCGGGGGATTCTTGGGTGGTTCAAGGGGTGTGTCGCGACTGTAGATGATTAGTTTCATCCAATGCATGCTGGATCAGGATTCAATGGAGTCCCCTCCACTCCGTATACGGAGTTTGTGTTTCGAGGTGGTTGGATAGATATAAATAGGATGATTGATAGAGCATGCATAAGCGCATTTCCTTGGTATTTTTTTAAACAGCGATTCGGCACTCAGTAAACGCCTGCGCATGTTCCGGCGTCACTCGTGATTCAATTCTCATGCGATTGGTGCATGAACGATCGATGATGGGGCAGTGGTAACCAACGGATAGGAGGTCTGTTGGTATTTTAGGAGATATTCGACCCTATCATATGTAGTTTCAAGGAATCTGTTTACAGTCAAGATGATATGCACAGAATATATTAAGATGTTAAGACTGTGGAGACGACTCTAGAAAGAATTCAATAACCATCTCTCGCTCTCTCTCTCTCTTTTCTTAACTTATAGTGCTATTAGACCTAAGCTGAGAAACTGGTGATCAGATCGTTTTTCCTCTTTTTTTTTCCTATTATCCTTTTTTTCCTCTCTTCTCCTTCTTACTCATTTTCATTTCTAACATTCAACTATTTTTTTGAGGTGAGTCTTTTGGTTCTTTTCATTCAAAGTATTTGAAGTATCTCTTGTTCCTACCCTTTTGTTCTCCACCGGAACCCCCCTCTTTTCCCTAGCTCCAACCTCCCTTAGCTTCTCTTCCCACCCCTGAAGCTAAAAGCTAATAACATAATTTTCTAGATACCCTTCTCTCTCTTGCGTTATCGTTTTTACCTTATCGTCATTAGGCTCGAAATCTGCCTCTACAACTTGATTACATTTCGCGCAAAATATGGCGTCAGGTCCCGCGACTCAGTCACTCAAGGTGTGCAAAGTGACGCCAGGTCTACAAGGATGCGCGGCTAATTGACCTTGCAGTGTGTGGTGACTGGTGATGGTGCAGTTGGCAAAGTCAGTATTCCACTCGATGCTCTATTCCTTGAGTTCTTGAGAATCTAACCCATTTTCGCTCAATAGACATGTCTTCTGATCTCGTATACAACCAATGCTTTCCCCGGAGAGTACATCCCTACGGTGTTCGTGTCCATCCCTGCCCCTCACCCGCCAAAAGTCTACATGTACCGAACAGACACTGATTCCATCGCAGTTTTGACAACTACACGGCCAGTGTAATGGTGGATGGCCGGCCCATCAGCCTGGGACTGTGGGATACCGCCGGACAAGAAGATTACGATCGCCTCAGACCGTTATCCTACCCACAAACCGATGTTTTCTTGATTTGCTTCTCTATCGTCAGCCCACCTTCATTCGACAATGTCAAAGCGAAGGTAAGACCTGACCCAGCGATCCCAATCCCTTTCTTCGACTGACGTGTTATAGTGGTTCCCTGAAATTGAACACCACGCCCCCAACGTCCCCATCATCCTCGTCGGTACCAAGCTCGATCTGAGGGATGACCGCGCAACAACGGAAGCCCTCCGCGCACGCAAGATGGAAACTGTCTCCTACGAACAAGCTTTGGCTGTGGCCAAGGAGATCCGCGCACATAAGTACCTGGAGTGCTCAGCTCTCACACAACGTAACTTGAAGAGCGTGTTTGATGAAGCCATCCGGTAAGTTTCGAGTCCTGATGCATCCATATTTGTCTCAATGTGTTGTGTTCTAATTGTCCAGGGCTGTTCTCAATCCCCGTCCTGCTACGAAATCCGGGAGGAAGGGAGTCAGCAAATGCATGATTTTGTAGAGCGTGTCTGTTTGGCTTGACTCTCCCATTTTCTCGTATGCTATAATGAATAATATATAGTTAATACCGCGTTTGGGTAGTTAGAGGCATTTCCTTACGCTGGCCTCTGTTTTGTGATGTAATCCATTGACTGTCTCTCTTGGGACCATATTCTGTTTTCAATCTTTGCCCTTGGATCTTGAAGGGTTCCATATTCTATTTTGTGATGACTTATTCTATGCACTTTCAATGTTCTGGCCATGTCTGTAGATAGTAATAGATATAGTCCATGACGCATGTTAGTTCACGATAAAATGCAGGCGATGTACATAAAATAGAGAAATATGATTGGTATCTTCTAGCCAAACAGCAGAGACAAAGCAGGTACTTTTAGAAACAAAGGAAAGATCGAATAGGATTCTCCAAGATGCATGGCTCTGTCCACTTGCCCACATCTTACTACACAGCGATATGAGCTAACAACAAAACAACTCTCTAAAAAGGCATTGCAGCATTGTCGATTTAAACACGGCCTCTGCGGCTAGGGTGCAAGCCAGCCCATGGGTCGTTAGGGTCGGCAGGAGCCTCTGCACCAGCCGCGTTGGCACCAGTGGGACCAGTGGGTTGCTTCTCGTGCTTCTTCTTGTCCTTTTGGATCTCCTTAGCCTGGCGCTGGCGCTCCTCGTTGAGCTTCTCGTTCTTGGCCTGGATCTTAGCATTACGGTGTTCGGACTTGCCGCCACCACCACCAGCACTGGACATGGGTTAGTAAGTGATTCTATGTCTTGATCGATTGTAACTCCTCCCCATTGAGGACGGGGGACTCACGTCAGCTCAATGTTCATGCGGCGAGGCGGGTATTTTCCATCATCGAACATGGAGTGGTGGTACAACTTGAGGCAGGTCTTCATGCGGTCGTAGTTGTCAAACTCAATGAATGCAAAGCCGCGGCACTTGTTCTTGGGGTCATCCTTATTGGTTGCGACACGGATTGTGGCAGGAGGGTTCTTTTCAAAGTGCTTGGCCAGGGACTCTTGGTTTGCAGAGTAGGGAAGGTTGCCTGGTTATGAAATCAGTAAGACCTTCAACTCTCCACATTGAGGAATTGTCCACAATGGTAACATACCAACAAAGCAGATAAAGCGAGCACCCTTCTGGGGCTGTTCGGCCTCGGCCTCAGCGGCAGGCTGTTCTTCGGTTTCTGCAACGGGCTCGGAGGTCTCCTCCTTCTTGGACTTCTTCTCCTTCTTCTCTTTTTTCTCTTTCTTCTCCTTCTTCTCCTTCTTTTCTTTCTTTTCCTTCTTGTTGCTGTCGGCGGGGGCCTCGTCCACATCCATTGCGTCCTCTGAGGGAGCAGCAGAAGACTCGACCGCGGCTTCAGTGGCCTTGCGCTTCTTCTCCTTGCGCTCCTTCTTCTCTTTCTTGTCCTTCTCGGACTTTTCTGTCTTCTTTTCCTTCTTGTCCTTCTTCTCCTTCACCTCTTCGGGGGTAGTTTCGACGGGAGCGACAACTTCCGACTCATCGAGAGACTTGCTCTTTTCCTTCTTTTCCTTCTTTTCCTTCTTTTCCTTCTTCTCTTTCTTTTCCTTCTTCTCCTTCTTCATCTTCTTGCCTTCAGGCTCGACAACCTCATCCTGAACGAGCTTGCGCTTGTCACCCATTGTGTTGTTTGTGGGATGAAATGCGGGATGTATGACAATTATAGGATAGAAGGTCTCCAAAATTGACTCGGTAATTTATAATATCCAAGAAAAGATGTGAAGAAAGGTCGAAGCGTAGCAAGAACTTGAGCTCCAAAAAAATCGGGCGGAGAGAAAAGCGAAATTAAATTTTTGCCGCATGCCCGGGAGCGGTGAACACCTCGTCGATAAGGACTTTTATACATCCGCAAATATGTTTATCTACTTCAGGTACATACACCTTTTGAGTCGATTGGAATACATATACATATTTGATTGAGGGGTGTTTCATGGTCTGGAACTAACCCGGGACTATAAAACAGCAATTCGTAATCCACCTTCAGTCAAGCATATTAGAATACCAAGATCTTCACACCCTTCTTTGATGCCCCATAGCGCTCGCGCAGTTCCGGCCGAGTGAGCAGCTTCAACAGCGGCATGTGCGTGTCCTTCATATCGAAAATTCCTCGTTGCTTTTGGTCAATGTGTGATCCATCAATGACAATACGTTCTAGCTCGTCCAATTTGAGAGTTCCTAGTAACGGATGGTCAGCATGTGCTTCGACGGATAAAAATTTCAACTGAATCAGCTCACCAGACTCGATCAAATCAGATACTCTGGTAGGAGTTCCAGCTCCGATGCCAGACCGAGCACGTGTAAGGAACTGCTTAGCTTCCTCCAGCTTGATGTGCTTCGCGAATAGTTTCCCTACAATGCTTTCCTTGGTTTGGAAAGAGCGGAGTGCCCTAGGACATTCGTCAGTTTTGGCTTCGACTCGGGCTCGAATGGTCGCCAACTTACCGCACAACATCAGCAGCTCGCAGGGCAGCACCTGAGATAACTAGTGTGTGGGGAGTACCAACTTTCTCAGACGCCTTGGAAAGATCAGCACTCTTAGGGCTGAAGGACTTCAAGAATTCTGGGAGCTGTTCCAACTTTCGGGGGGAGGTAAAGGAAGAGGTATCGAGGAATGCGGTATCTATAAATCAATTAGTGGCTAGAGCTTGCGAAATTTGTTCTCCAGAGTATACACACCTGGGACCGAAAGATCACTCAGCTCCACTGCAGAAAGCTCCTTCTCGTGTCTCTTAGCCTTCTGCGCAAAGTGATCGCCAAGCAATCGGCCGTCCATCTTGCCGATCGACTCATCAATGCCGTCTTTGCGTGATGACTGCTCTCCGTCGTGCTCGGCCTGCTTCTTCTTGCTCTTGTTCTTTTTCTGCTTCTTCTTGGCTGCCCCCTCTGCAGGTGTTCCTGTGGCCTCGGGCTTTTCCTGTTTGGGAGCAGCATCGTCTGCTTGTCTCTTGCGCTTGTTTTGGATCTTGCTGGAAAGACCCTTCGGGGCGTTTGTGTCGGCCATTTTGACGAAAACCAAGGGAAATTCAACAAAAATAACCTTAGTAATTCAGTTCAATTGGTAAATGCAAGTCGCATTGGAGGACCTCGATGCGGCTTCGCAGAAAAAAAGCTAGATTAATCAGCCAGTCTTATCGATAACAAATGGCCAATCAAACACTGGCCCGCAATACTCTGTTGTTTCTAGACGCGACTGATCAACATTAACTTCAACCCTACTGACCATCCGACACATTGACCCGGCCTATTATTGATGGGGGCTGACATAGGTAGCCTGATATAATACGTCTAATATAGGTGTACTTTCCTTGCAGAAAACTACACCATGTCTACCTCTACTCCAAAAGCGCGTGGCCATCGGTCGCCGTTTACGCCAGGCGGAGACACAACATTAACAAGAGTGAGCTTTCGATCCTTGTAAGGAGTGTTTAAACAATAACTCATGATTATATCGTAGCTTCAACGTCTCCCTAGCCATACGCGCTACCCCCTGACACCCAGTCGACTTGTGACCGCAACCACCCCGGGCACCCAGCGCTCAGTCTCTCGATACACACCCCGTGCCAGAGCCGGAGGGGCACCATCGACGCCGCATGGCCTCCGGGCTCGACAACAACGTGCTGCGAACACCCCTGGTCGGGATCGCCGCCGTAGTGGCCGAATGCAGCGGGAAACGACGTTCGATATCCTCAAGAACTTGGGAAGGGGTAGGCTTTCCTCTGTGTACTGCTCTGCAAAATGGTGCTAATTTTTTAATGAATGTAGCGCTCGCCCCTGTATCTCAGCCCATCCAGTCCTCGCCCCAGGAGCAGCAAGAGCCCATTGAAGAACCCATTGACGAATTTGAAGAGCTTGACAACGAACCAGTAATTGAGCCTCCGCGGTTATCTCTACCCATCCAAGAATCGTCGGAAGAAGGCGACGATGCGAGTCCTGAAATGCGCCCACCAAGGATGTCTCTCGCCTTTGGGGAGGAGGACATGGATATCACCTATCAGTCTGTCGAATACCCCCGCCGAGAAACAAGCATCAGAGACCGCGAGCGTTTATCAATGATGAGCCGTGCTACCGGCAGAATCAGTGGGGATTTTGAGGAGACACGACTGGAAAGTGACGACGCAGAAGAAACGGGCATTATTGGTGAAGACGAGGATGGTACTATGTTCAGCGGTGGCGATTTTGATAGAGGGTGAGTATACAAGTGTTGGATTGTTTATGTTACAAAGCTAATATCACAAACAGGGGTGAGACGGAAGACCTCGGGCGATTCCACTTTGACCTTAACTTTCCATCACCTGCTGCCGCTCCGCTTGATGATCCCATCGATGGGGATACGGAAGATTTCGCGCTCTCTACTGCGGATGTCCAACCGCTTCCAGTTGCATCAGATGACGATGACGCTGGTGGTGACTTCGGGTTCGGGCTGGACTTCCCACCTGCGGTATCCCCTAGTGAAAGCCCTGGAATTGTCGGGGGTGGTTTGCAACATGATGATGTTCCAGTTCAGAGCAAGCAAAAGAAGATCTCACGTCACGGAATCCCGATTCCAAACTTGCCTGCAGGCGTGGTAAAAAAGCTAGCCACTCGCTTCGCACGTTCAAAAGCTGGCTCAAAAGCAAAGATCAACAAAGCCACGCTGGCTGCGATCGAACAAGCATCTTCGTGGTACTTTGAGCAAGCAAGCCAGGATTTGGCTGCTTATTCAAAGCATGCAGGACGAAAGACCATCGATGAGAGCGATGTCACAACATTGTTGAGGAGGTCAGTTTCATCGAAGCCTTCTATGGAATATTTGCTGACTGCCCCAGACAACGCCATATCAACAAGTCGACGACGGTGTTTTCCCTCGCCCAAAAATACCTGCCCAAGGAGCTCCAGCAGGACATGAGACTGGCCATGCCACCATGAATACCTATAACCGAATTGTTCAAAATCAAAACAAACGCCTTCGAACACCAATATGCTCAGCAAATATGAAATTATCAACACCGATTACCAGTTTCGGTTTTGACGGACCCGGCGCAACGCCTCGTTGGGATTCTTGCGAACAACCATCCACATCATAATAGATGTGGCGAAAGAAAGGCCATACCTGCAAAATATGAGCGATATGTTTTCAATTTTGGAACGCAGTATATGCAACAAATCCAACTTACCAGGTGAAAATGTATTGGGAATGGTTGTTTCTCAGATTAACCTCGGCAGCGCGGCCAATTGGAATACCCTTAGCCTCACGGTCATACGATTCGACAAGGTCAGGGACTGGAAGGGGTCATAGTTAGCCATGCTTCCAAATTATTGCTCGATCTGGCATCTCTACCCATAGTTTGCTCAATCCAAATAGGTTGACTCCCGCTCAACTCTGCCATCTGGTTGATATCGGGGAAGTAAAACTTTCCATCCTCAGGCTTGTTATCTGGCGTAAACATGTTCTTCTTCCATGGCTCTCGTAGAAGGCCCTCGATCACCACCTCTTCGTTTGTGACACCCAAAGGTCGGTCTTTTTGGTCCTGCAACTTCCTGGAAATCCAGCCCCGGTTCACAAGTACAGTGCTGGCACCCTCTCTCTCGAGTGGTGTCACCACGGTAAATCCATCCTCGCCGTCGTGCATGCGGGGTCCGATCAGCATTTCCTTGTCATGTCGAAGGCGGCCAGTAGCATAGACGCGGCGGTAGTCGAACTCTGAGATCGCATCCGGGTCGACTCGGGGCGGGAGCGGTAGAGGAGGTTTCACGAGACGGTCCTCAAACTTAGCAATCAACTTGGTTTTCCAGTCCAAGCGCTGCACTTGCCATGATCCCAGAATGAATGCAGTGATAGGGATCAAAGCTATACGGGGAACGATGCATTAGTGATTGCTTTCTACAACTAAAACTGTACATACCGAGGATGATCAGACCAGGCCCATGTTTTTTATTGACTCGGACAATTCTCGCAGGGTGATCCACAACATTGAGGCCATCAGCTAACTGGCGCGATTGCGAAATCTGGCGGGACTGCTGGACGCGGCATTTGGCGCAGATGGAATCAAGCTTCCATGAGATGCGAGGATTCCGAATAGCCCGGGATGGTAGTGTCCAGGCCGCGGCTGACTTCTGTAGAGCCGAGAAAATCGGCCGCATTGTTAAGTTTAATTGAGAATGTTAAGAATTGATGTTGGTAGAGAGTAAGGTCAGCGGCAGTTGGGATTTCGGGATCGGAGTTACCGTGACCGCCCGGCTTCCCCAATATTATACTTGTACTCTCCGCACCAGCTGGTCTTGTCTTTTGCTGTGATACCCATTGTACCGGGGTGCGAATATGACTTCATTCTATCAAGGATCACTTCAAGATGGCATTGCCGCTGCTGTCAGAGACGCGAAAGCTGTTATTTGCTTTGTTCGAGGTCAGTGACTTACTCCCCGCATCAAATGACATATTGCTGATCTGGGGCTTGAATATAGATGACGAGGAGTTAAGCGCTACATGGGAGGATACTTATTTCGGTGATGATGAGGTATGTTCACCGATTAAATTTCAAGGATTCCAAATATCTGACCTCGACAGGTTGCGCAAGCACTCAATGCCAAAGCGGTTGTGTTGCGCTTAACAGCAGGGTCGCAGGAAGCAGGATTTCTGGCTTCTTTCTGTCCGATTTCAAAATTTCCGACTGTGGTTCTCATCAAGTGCGTTTGCTGACTCGATTCATAGGGATGACTGGCTGATCTGTCTTAGGAATGGCGCTCTGAAGGAGTACATCGGGCCAGATATCTCGAAAGATGATTTCTGCGGCCGTTTGAGTGCAGCTTTGGAGAATGAATCCATACCAAACTCTATGCCACAGGCGCAAGGCAATGGAATTGCTGAAACTTCAGCAGGTCCTACTGCGCCCGCGCCACTACCTCAGGGCCTACCGATGGTGGAGTCCAATGTTAGCCAAGCGCGACAACAGGCGAGCCAATCTGCAACCAAGCAGCAGAAACAGCCAACAAAGCTTCCTAACAAAGAGACAAAATCCACTGGCTCAGCAAGTTCTACACCTCCAAGTCGCCCTGTAGCAAAAGAGGCCACAAAAGATAAAGGAAAGGCACCAATGGGAACTAAAAAGCTTGCCGACAACGGTGTCAGGAAGAACGCGGACCCCAGCGAGCAGCCATATCCCAAACCTGTGGCTCCTCGGGGACCCCCAACCGAGTACCGGCTGCAAGTGCGCTTATTTGATGGAAGATCAGTGCGATCTAGCTTTACACCCACTCAGAGCATCAAAAACGATGTCCGGCCATGGCTTGATCAGCAAATGGAAGACGACAACAGACCCTACAACCTCAAACATATCCTGAACCCTCTTCCCAGCGAAACACTTTCCGTCGCTCAAGAGTCTCAAACTCTCAGAGACCTGGGCATTGGTTCCACTGCAAACCTAGTCATGGTTCCCGTGTCCACATACACGGATGCCTATTCCGCAGCGGGTAGTCTACCCGTTCGTGGTATCTCCGCTGTATACAATCTGGCGACTAGTGCTGCCACCACTGCGACAGGGTTAGTCGGCTCATTCTTGGGGTACGGCTCGATCACTCCGGCAACTGAGTCAGCTTCTTCTGTACCTCAAAGCACTGGTACCACGCAACGCCCCCGAAATGCAGGGCCTAATATTAGAACGCTAAGGGACCAACAAGATGGGCGAGGAAATAGTCAGCTCTACAATGGAAACCAGGTGAGTGATGGCTATCCAAGTGTTCTGTTCACAGCGCATGGACTAACATGTTTTTTAGTTGAACTTCGAGCCGCGAAAGAATCAGGACAAGGATAAATGAGCCGGAAGCAGCATATCGATTTGGCGTACTTACTATATATTCTATGTACATGGTGTTATTGGATTGGTTGGCTCCGTGTTGCGCTGTATTATGAAATTTCGGCTTCATGGTTATTTGTGGCTGCATGGTTGTAAGGTTACTGAAAAGCAGTGAATGCGAGTACGACATCCAATCTCAGTGCTGCATCATCCAGAGCATCTAGGCTCGATATCAATGCATGTTGAGTCCATATTGAATGTAAATGGTTCTAATATCTCCATGGGCGAGGTAGCGATTTCCTGTTGCACGGTCACCCGAGTATAGACCCCCTCCCTCCGCCTGGCCTCTTCTCTTTTCTCGTTCTTCTTTATTCTATTTATTGGAAGCGCTCTCCGTCGGTCAATTTCTATAAACAGCATATTGAACTCCAGACACACGCAAAATAGAAACACCCTACAGTTGACGTGTAAACATGAAACTCGATTCTAAGGCCGTGCTGCTTTGCAGGGCCTTGGAAAATTGTGAAAGCTTACATATCAGTAACGAACTGGAATAATGGAAGAGGTGGTTTGGATTCATGCATTGAATTCTTGATTTGGTAGTCAAGGATTGATTCCCTTAGCGAGGAGAGATGGTATAGAGTACAAAGAGACGATCTTGCAATCGCCATGCAAAAGGATATCTATGAAGAACTAAGCCTAGATTCCCATCATTATTACTGGAAATGACTGCATCTGTCTTTCCGATCAAATAAAACCCTTAGTAGGGTTTAGCGGCAGCCTGGCAAGCCTTAAGCTGGTCAAGGTACCAGCCGCAAATGCTCATGTTGCCCTGGTTCTCATCCATGCAGTTGCGGAAGTTGCGAACATCGACCTGGCAGGCAGGGTTCTCGTAAGAAGTCTCAGAAGCGTTGCTCTGGTAGAGGCCGGAGTCCATGGCCTGGGACTGGACAGGAGCAGCCTGCTGGGCTTCAGCGGGGGCGCTGGAGCCACCACCGAAGAAGCCACCGATGGCGTGGCCAATGGAGGAGCCGACAGCAACACCACTGTATTCAAATATTAGTTGGAACATTTTCGAAAAGTTGATCCACCCCCGGATTATATTGGAGAATGGAACCAGGCCGGGTGGGTAACTTACGCTGCGGTCGAGGCCATCTGGCCGAACAGACCAGGGCCAGCGCTCTGCTGAGGCATGGGAGGTGCCTGCTGCTGTTGTTGAGGGTGGGCGGCGGTGGAGTGAGGCTGCGACTGTTGCTGCGAAGGAGCAGCTGCGGGCCGGGCAGGAGCGGCCGTAGGACGGGTGGGAGCGCTACGCGCAGGCGTAGGGGCGGCACCGCGGCGTTGACGAGGCATTTTGATGAATATAGATATTGGGTGGTTGAGCGGGAGTTCGGAAGGGAGATATGCAAGAAGATTTAAGTATAAATTCTAGGTGGAGAAAGAAGAAGCCAGAAGATGGACAAGTTCGGCGAGTGAGGCAAACTCCGATGCAAATTCTGTTGACTCTGATTGGTTGGTAGATTAGGTAAGGTAAATAGTCCTCACGTGGCATCGGACATTACGGTGGCGGATCTCCGATACGGAGCCAACGGGGTTTATTTGGTGTAGATCGTAGAGTGAAGGGTATTGAGTCATTTAGTTCTACCTACTCCGTAGTCGAATCTCGGATTTGTAAGAAAAAAGAATGGGTTAGAAGCACATGGTTTATATTGATCGCCACTGCGCGGGATTAACCATTGGTTATGAAGAAAGAGGGAAAGGACATAAGTTCTGCAATGCTCAAAATATTCTTTACATGTTGTATGCAAAGTGATGGTTTCACTTGCCCCAATTGCTTCGGCATGGCAGCACGCCTTGTAACTTCAATTGATTTCAATTGCAGAAGGGTATCTTGATTCATGGAGACATCCAAAGTCTCGTACATAGTACATAGTGCCGCTCATCGTGATCTTGTGAGGGCCGAGAGATATCCATTGTCATGGAAGATGACGGCTGGACGGGCTCGTAAAAGCTAGGGGTGTATGCAAAATGATGTCATGCCGACAGAGGTTTTGATAGTCGTGGGAAGGCATTTGGGTTTCAAGACTGCCCTGCAGTCCATCTTTAATTCCGATTGTTTGAGCCGCAGAACTTTCACTGGGCTTTTCGGCCCATTCGAATTTCTTCCTTCTTTTGCCGGCGCTCCTTCTTTTTTTGTTTCAACGCAGCTTTGTCGAGCTTCTTCTCTTTACTGTCTTTCGTCTCCTTTGTTTTATATTCTCCCTTCGACTTCTTCTTGCTTTTCTTCTTCTCAGAAGTGCGGGGCTTCACTGCTGGCGCAACTTGCACTCCACCCTCAGAGTCGTCGTCTTCGGAGTCGTTCTCTTGTGCTTCTGAAGTGACAGCACTCGAAGGGTTCTCAGCACTCTTTCGAGCAAGCATTGCGGCTTTCAGCTGAGCGCGAGCTCGTTCTTTGGCCTGCTTTTCTGCTCGTTCCAGGTCGTACTTATCATTGCCAGCCTGCGCGGGTTTGTTTAGTAATCATTGCAGTATGCCAAGGCGATCGAATTTGTTGATACTCACCAGACCATGTTTGATGAATCTTCCAGCAGCTTCCTTGTCAAGTGTCATGGCGCGTTCTTCGGGCTCGGTCTCCAGTGCCTTGATCTTTTCAAAGTACTGCTTCACGCGGGTCAGTTCCCGGAACACGGGGTGCGACTTCGCATCCACGCCATGGAGCTTCAAGTAGGCTGTTTATCTCATCAGTAAGAGTGAATTTTTACCAAGTGGCTGGGACGTACAGAATATTAGTGACTCCAGCGTGTAGGTGATGAGCACGTGAAGTTTTGCTTTGTCCATGACGGGCAATTTGCTAGAGCTTTTGAGGAGTGTACTCGCCAAAATAGGCTTCAATACTTCTTCCAGTTCATCAACATCATCATCCAGCTGCTCAAGCAGCGGTTGTAAGTCTGTTGGATCCATAGTTGTGAGGTGTGGTGTTGATGAGAAATTGTTAGATCTAAGAAAAAAATAGGACGGGTTCAACGAGGGCGGTAAGACAGGGCGGTGGGAATTCCGGGCCGATATCATTTGCGCATTCGGGATCGCCGAGTGCTTCTGCATTTCCGACAACATTAATTTGTTTGGTTTTGGCCAGGACAAGGCGTTGGTGGACACAATATTGTACACTGTCACCCATATTATTGTCAAATAAACACCTACAACAATGAACCTCGTGACCCCACCGAGTACGCCGATTTGATCTACACTTGTCGCCAAACACCTGTCTAGGAATCAATTCAGCCCCATTTACCAGGCAGTTCACACCCAACACTTTGACGATGCAGTCGATATTTCGATCCCGTGCCTTAAGGCGAATTGGGCCTCTTGACACGACTTTTCGGGCTCATTTTCAAGTCTACACCGGGCCAAGTACTCGATTTCTCTCAACATGGAACCAAGAGACAGATCAACCCTACCAGCAAACACAACCATCTCCTCTGTCAGGGCGGGTGCATATCCTCGGTATCGGAAACATAGGGTGTTTTTTTGCTCATTCTTTAGCAACGAGAACGTCGCCACCACCAATCACGCTATGCCTACACAATAATATCTTATATGAAAACTTTCAGCGGAAGCGGGGGACCATTTCCGTCAGCACCCATGGCCTCGGCGATGTCAGGAAGGGGTTTGATGTTGAAACAATGGATAGTGAAGGGAGATGGTCTGTCATGCCGCCTATGGATCCCAAAGCCAATTTGTTCCATTCCGAGCCTCTTCCAGAGGACGGGCCCATCGAATGCCTGATCATTTGCACCAAGTCGCATCACACGGAGCTTGCCATCAGAGACATTCGTCATCGCTTGACGAGAGACACGACCATATGTTTTGTTCATAATGGTCTAGGCGTACTAGATCTCATCAACAAAAATATCTTCCCGGATCCAACCGACCGACCACATTACATCCAATCGGTTTTCAGTCATGGTCTTACTAGGAAGGATCATTTCAGAATCGCCCACATGGGTGTTGGATCTTTGATTCTTAGCCCAGTTGAAACAACAAACAAGCCATCACATGCAGAAATTGATGATACGTGGGCGCCGACAACAAAGTATCTTATGCGTCTCTTGACTTTGACTCCGCCATTGGTTGGTGTGGCCGAGACACCTGCAGGTTTGCTGCAGTACAAATTGGAGAAGTTGGTCATCAACAGCGTCATCAATTCCTTGACTGCACTTGGAGATTGTACCAACGGGGATCTCCTCTATTCATTCAGTTTCACTCGCGTCATGCGACTGCTGCTATATGAAATGTCTGCTGTGATTTGTGCTCTTCCCGAATTGCAAGGTGTTCCAGGCATTGAAGACCGCTTCTCCCCGGAGCGCCTACGTCGGCTGATCACGAACATGGCGCGTCTGACGGCCGCAAACAGCAGCTCGATGCGAGAGGACATCAATTGCCGGAGGATGACCGAAATTGAATACTTGAATGGTTACATCGTGCGCCGCGGCGAAGAATTGGGTATCAAATGTGCGCTCAACTACATGATCAAGCATTTGGTTGCAGCCAAAGCGGTTACCGCAAAGGACGTTGAAAACACCAGCTTGCCCTTCGATATTGATAATGACATTATCACCAAAGAGCCTAGTCTCTGATGATTCAATACGTCCTATGGCTGGCAAATTTTCATTCACCTGCTCTTCCATGTGAACGCATAGATTCAATCACAACCTGAGTTCATCGAGTCAAAGGTCATACCGAGACAGTCTTGGCCGCATGCTCGCAGAGCTCCTTTATCTGCTTCCATCGTTTCAGCAGTATCTCAACTTTTGAGCCATGTTGTTGCACCACGGTGTTAACCTCGAGGGCCTTCTGAAGTGCGGTAATCCCCGCATCTGCCTCTGCAGCATATGCCAAGATCCACCTCTTGATGGTGGCTTCAGATAGACTCTCATCAAATCCTTGTGATTGGCCTTCAAGAACATGGTCTCGCCAATCCTCCTCCTTCATATAACTCAAACATGCGGCGACCTCTGTGCGATAACAGGGTCCATGGGGTGTGACTTGGTAATTACTGGTGTTCATGTCAATCGAAAACTGTAAATATGGAGTGGGAATACTCCTTTGTTGTACAATACCAAATCAAATCAAACGACTTACCCATAATATTGATTCAACCACAATTCCTCTTGTTGCCCAGGGGCATGAAGGTCCCGGAAGACAATGTCGTCGAGATATATCGAATCTGCGTCGTTCGCGTCCAAGAAGAATCCATCTATAATAATTTAATTAGTACCTCAAGCCAATCAACCACGTCGCCATTCTTACATTCCGCCAGTAATGTATCATTCGGGTGACTGCCATAATTCATAAAAACCTCCTCACCCTCATCATAATCTTTCGTAGCGCGGAACACATATTCATCTACGTCAAATTTGACATCTCTCTGTTCGAAATAGTGTGAGCTGAGTTGATAGCACAGGATATTCTGATGAAGCACGTACCGCAACATCCGCGTGGTTGAAGTAATCAGCAAAAGGTACCAATCCCATCGCATCATTGGGGTCTTCGGGGGTTCCTGTCCCTCGCCAACCCAATAAAAGCTCCTTGAGTTGACGATGAGCCAGTAATAGGAGAGATCTTCCCAATTAGTTTCCGGGTATACAGAAGTAACATCCGTCCATGCCTTTTCCAGGCGCTGAATCTGCCCCGAGAGAATATTCTGGTGATCCAAGGTGTATTTTTTAGTTCTGGGGCCTGGCTGTAAGCTATGCCAGAGACCTGAAATTGATGGAGGAAGAAAGTTCGCCTGCTCTGGCTTAACGGGGGTGCCGTCTTTGCTTGCGGGCCAATGCGGCCCTCCCAGAGCTGATGGCCAGAGAATCGGCATGCCTTCTTCGAAGCTTTGTCGACTAGGCCATGATTTGCGCCACGGTTCGTATTTTGAGAGCTGTTCTGGGTCGCCGTGGATGAGATATGCTGCCAATAATCCTTGCACAGCGATATCCTCTGGGAACTTATTGGTAAAGTTGGTAGGGATTTTATCCGCGGTCAACATCAGCTGCGTCGGCACCCGAAGAACAATATCTCCTTTCTATAATGAGATCTGGTGAGTATATATATTTGTGTGAGAGGAATTGGTTGCCTTCGATCTCATACTTTGATAGTCCGAGTGGCCATCATTCCCAGTCCACTTCCTTGAAATCGGGCTGGGGTCACCGCTTTAATATCTACACCATGAGAGATTGCCCACTCGGTGAATACTTCATGGGTCTCCCCGGGCCACCATTCTGGTTTCATGATGACTTAGCCCTCGTGAAAGATTATGAGATCTTGTATTCGGTCAGTATATATTTGGAGACGAGGATTGTATGTAATTGGTAAGATGAGACTAAAGATACCTTCGACGCGGCTCCGTATATGGAATTTCGCTGTTCCAAGTCGACAAAAGCCCGTGTTGACTTTCTAATTCCACAAAAAATGTTGATGTCTGAAATTCGCTCTCTACATTGTGGAGCAAATGTTTATCGGTTTATCGGTAGTGGCGTTATCGCAGAATACGGCAAAGCATAAGCGCCACTTGTGCTATCATTGGTGATCTGATAATCGTACGACTTCCGCGGCAGCTTTCGTCGGAGATCATGCACAACTTCCACAGACTTCGGGATCCATAATGTCGATCATTGGGAGGCGTGGAGCAATTGAGCTTCGAGTGTTGACTAAGAGCTCAAAATTATCAGCAGCAACTGTTTTAAGACCCTTTTCTGTTCTAAACCGCCCACCACCGAACTATCCTGGCCATGTTCCATTGACTACCCTCGAACGTGGAGCTCTTGCGGTTGGCTCGGCCATTGGATCATTGATAAACCCTAGACGAGCGGGTATGAGCATATCGCTGGCTATAGAATGGCTGTATAATCAATCCCTAATCTGACACGGCACCTTATAGATCTCATTGCGGCGCTGGGCGAAGCCACTGCGACGCCATATTTTATATACCGACTGCGGGATGCCATGCTCTCAGACTCAACAGGGCGTCGCATTCTCCGCGATCGCCCCCGTATCACCTCCCAAACGCTCGACATGGCCCATCTCCGCACCCTCCCCGAGAACTCCGTCGGTCGAACATACGCCAAGTGGCTAGATCGCGAGGGTGTATCCCCTGACACTCGAGACAACGTTCAATACATTGATAACGAAGAGTGTGCATACGTCATGCAGCGGTATCGTGAGTGCCACGACTTCTACCACGCAGTGACGGGACTGCCGATCTTCGTCGAAGGCGAGTTGGCCCTCAAAGCGCTAGAGTTCCTGAACACACTTCTTCCAATGACTGGATTGAGTCTTTTTGCTTTTATTCGGATGAAGCCCGCTGAAAAAGAGCGTTTTCTTTCGCTACATCTGCCATGGGCAATTCGCAGTGGGTTGAGGAGCAAGGAGCTTATCAATGTTTATTGGGAGGAGGTCCTGGAAAAAGATGTGGACGAACTTCGGGCTGAGCTGAATATCGAGCGACCGCCTGATCTCAGAGATATCCGCAAGATGATCCGGCAGCAGCAGAAGCGGGAGAAGGAAAGACAGCAACAGACTTCAAGTTGAGCTGTGCTTGGGTTCCATCAAAGAGATGGATATTGGAATATAGAGACATGTATGATTATTGGATCCTTGTAAAGAATGTCACCATTGCGCAAACGTGAGGCAGGTTGCCTTCAATTTCAAACCAGTTGCAAAGTAAGGTAAAAACGGGACCACAACGCCCGGAAATGTATTTTCCCAGAGGTCCATGAGCAGATATCCAACAGAAGGTATCCAAATGCAAGAAACAAAATAGCCAAGGCTGGCCAAAAGCGATCACATATCCCATTTTATGTGGTCCTTATAGGTCCAACAGGTCGTCATCATCATCCCAACCGCCTTTGCGACGAGAGATGACAATCTTGTGCTCCTCCTCCTCCTTGCGCTGGTTCTCCGCAATAGCTCCCAAAAGTTCCTTGAGCTGCTCCTCCGTCACCTTTTGTCGTAGCTGTCCTGACTGGGCAAGAGTGAGAAGCCGGTTCTCGATATCGATTGCGCGAGATTCCTTAACAAGGCGAATACGGCCCAGGCGATCGGCAGCAGCGGGGTCGAGGATTTGTGTCATGATTGAGGCGCGTTGCTCGGCTATAGAGAAAAGAGAATGTCAGATACGTGTCGGAATGAACGCGATTGTCACTAAGTTGTTGAATCAGGAGACCTACCCTCAGCTTGTCTAATTGAGTCAGCTTTAATATACACAGCACTTTTTTGGGGGGGTCTCAATGCTTACCTTCTTTGCTGCGCTTGATCGGCACCATCCTGACCTGGGCCGCGTGCTCCCTGTTGCTGTTGCAGTTGCGCGAGACGAGCTCGTCTGATCTGTCTTCATTCTCAGTATAAGGTAGATATAGATCAGGGGTTTCAAATACCTCTTCTAGCTCTGCGTCACCCATTATTATTCAAGTATAGGAATTGATGAGATTGAAAGGGAAGAATTGAAGATAATCTGAACCCCACTTTCGCCTGAGGCTACCACGCGGGGGGAAATGCACGTGGACTGGCCATCATCAACCTGGAGTTATTTAGTTGGTTACCTATTTATAACTAGTAACTACTGTATGGAGTTACACGTATAGATGAAAATGACAAATTTGAAGATCAAAGAGAAATTGATGTATAAAACTTGGTTGGGTTATAACTCACTGCAAGACCGGCTAATAAATTCGTATAGCAGCAATATAGGCTGCATCAAGTCCGAAGTATGACATCTGTAAATATACATTCCCCTACGGACTAACTACCTAGGTAAATTACCTCACCTATTCCAGAGTTCCAAGGTTGGACCATCTGGCAATATATCAAGTTACAGGGATGAGACAATCTGGAGTAAAACCTGGGGGCCCAAATGTAGCGCCAAAACTTGCCCTATAGTTCATCTGTAGGCAACGTGAGGGGCAAATGTCGAATTTCCGAGTTAGATTACCCGAGTCACATTTGCGAGATCGGGTGATAGCTTCAGGTTTAGCTTCGAAACTAATCATCCTTGCTGCAACTGATAGAAGCGCCCGGGGCCTCCGCTCCGTTGTCCGTGGTGGCCAAATTGAAGGAATTCCCTCCTTTCACGTGGCTTATATGACTTAATACCATCACGTTGCCTTTCCAGATTACTTTCAATTACTTCGGTTCCTACAACAATTTTAAGCTCTTTGCCTTTTTTTTGTGCTTTTGTAGCGCCAGCCGATCCTTCAATAGTCGGGGTGACTAAGCTCTTGGGCGCAGCTCGCGTTGCAACCCCCCGACCTTCTTCGGATACCCTCGACAGGCTGATATCTCCGATCGGACCTGCTTGTGGCGATTCTATTCTTCTATTCTTTTTCAGCGCATTCATTTCTGCTGCTTCTTTGGCCGTCCGATTTCACTGATTCCCAACCCCGAATTTGGTCATCTTCCAATTTGGGACCCATCTACTTGAGGACTTCGCCGCACGCGCGGCCTCTTTATTCTATTACCTGTCTCGGTGTGAATGGAAACGGTAGCAATTCATTAACTAGCAACATTTCTGGACGTGATAAAGATCTGGCGACGAGTGAACATTGTCACTCTTGCCTCACATTCCTTGAACGCCTTCTACGTCACTCACCATGGCCGAGTAAGTATCCACGTTCGAGATACCCTTTGGGGCATTGAATCAATGTTCTAACACCGAGGGGGGCAGTTTAATTGCCTTTCAAACCTCTCATTATAGATTTTTCTCCCCATCCAACATGATTCAGCGTCACGCCCACAAGAGGTCGCTCTCTTCCGAGCACCGGTCCCTATCTCCTGACCGAACTGTCACCAAAGCAAAGTCCACCACCAATCTCGCAGATTTCGCTTCCAACGGCAAACCCAAATCGAGATTTGACGACAGCAGTTTCAGCACCTTGCAGGATCCTCGATTGGCGGACGGCTTGGAGGTTTCACCATCGACGTCATCGTCGCACCACCCCGATTTGAGCAACGAAGTCGCAGCATTGTCTGTAAAACTGATTCAGGCTATAAACAACCAAACAACTCTCGATGATAGTCTGGTGGCTACTCGCGAAGAACTAGACCTTGCACAAGGCAAGGTCCAAGCTCTTCAATTCCAAAATGATAAATATCGACGAGACTTTGATAACAAAGTTTACATCAAGAAATCCGATTCTGACCGTGAAATTCAAGAATTACGCAATGCGCTCACAGAGGAAAAATCCCAGCGTGCTATCGCTGAAAAGGGCAAAAAGACCATGGAGCAAGAGCTGGAAACTCTAACTGCGGCACTTTTCGAAGAAGCCAATAAGGTCAGTCATCATCTAATTGTATGCCCAAATTTCTGTTATTGACAATATTTTAGATGGTAGCTGCGGCTAAGATTGAACGCGAGGCGGTGGAGAAGAAGAATGAACAATTACGTTCACAAGTAAAAGACACAGAGTTGCTTCTGGCGTCACACCAGGACCAGCTAGCTGAACTTAAGTCTGTTATGCAAGGGATGTATCTTCATAAAGATGAAGTCGAAGCCCGTTCAACTACCGCCCCACCATCTCCAGGCGGACCCCAACAAGTGCCAGGTTCAGCCAAGCTAGAGCCAGAGCCAGAGCTAGAACCTGTTTCTCTACCAATCTGCAACACAGAAGAGTTCACTCCAGGTCCTTCTTGTAACTTCCCGCAGATCCTCCGCATGATCTGCCGGACGGATTTGCAGGCTTATGAGGATTTCCGTGACCTGCTGGTACTCTCTCGCAGCTCTAAACCCCCAAGCCGTGCTACTAGTGGGTCATATGGAGGCCTCAATGTGATGGGATTGGCAAGTTTTGCAAGTGGGGGAGCCTCATCGGCAACTTCATCACCCACCAAGGGGTTCGCACAATCACCTAACGGTAGTATGTCTTCAACAACGGGTTCACACATTCCCTTAAAAGAAACCCGTTTCTACAAGCGGGTGCTGATGGAAGACATTGAGCCCACCCTCAGGCTGGACCTGGCGCCTGGGATCTCATGGTTGACCCGGCGTACTGTCCTAAGTGGCATCTGCGAAGGCAGTCTAGTTGTGGAGCCAATGCCCTCTGCATCCAAGAAATTTGAATTCCCCTGCTCGGTTTGTGGAGAACGCAGACCTGGCACACCGAACGAGAGAACCCACCGTTTCCGCACGTCGGATAGCGAGACAGCCCAGCGCTATTCACTCTGTATCCTCTGCTTGGAACGCGTGCGCTCGTGTTGCGAGTTTACTGGATATTTGCGTCTTATCCTTGACGGACATCTTCGCGCAGGTGACACTGACGAAGAGAAGGAAATCTGGGACGAGACCATTCGCCTCAGAGAGCGGATGTTCTGGTCCAGGATTGGCGGCGGTATCGTTCCGGTGCTTAATCGTTCAAATAAAACAGAGGCGAAGTCGGAAGCCCCAGACTCCAGTTTCGACGCTGTTGAAGACTATGATGAGCAGTATCTCCATCCTGTGGATGTCACTCACATCGACTCCAAGATCGACAGAGTGTCTCCCGTAGCGAAGCTCCCACTTGCTCCTGAAACACCAGTTGCGCAGTCTGCAAATGATCACATAAACCACCCCGACATCCCTCGGCCTCAGAGCTCCATTTATGACAGAGACGGGGACGACGCTGCTTCCCTTCCGGATGATGAACGCAGACGAATGTCTGCCGAATCAGAGCGCAGCGTATACGAAGAAGCCAACGCCGATGTGGATCTCCACATCAATCTCAACAATACGGAACACGCCTCCGCCGTGCCCTCGATCACTCATGACCAAGAGCCTGACACAGACATTGCAAAGTCTAGTCCGAGCCACACTTAGCCACTGTTTGGTTTTCATGAGCGATTGACGAGTGAGACGAGTACACGGCTTACCCACCATTTCACGATTCACTTAATGTCTTCCACACCTTTCGGCATTGCATTCTCAAGTCATTTAATTCTTTTTTCATCACAAGCTGTCGATAAAGGCCTACTCTTCCCACATGCTGCTTCTTCCATTACCACTTCGACCGCCGCCTTTAATCGCTCAATTGGTTATAGCATGATGATCTACTTCATGAGCTTACCTTCTTGGGCATCCCATTCTTCATTCTCAGCAGCATGGCCCTGTGTATTATTACCAACCCTTTGCCTCCAATCATGTATACATTATAATGTGTTTGTTTCTTTCTTTGTCCCAATTTCTTGGGACGCTTGGACCTGAGTGTGGAGTTTATGGATTTTCACTGTTTTTGTTCACTGTTCTTACTTTTCAAACTTCTGACTCGCGGTGATCGCGTTTTGCCTAGTCGGCCTTGGTTGTGGAGGTATAAGTTGTGGAGGTATAATACTAGACAAGAGATGAAATTGAGTCAAATTACACGCATGAACTTATCTGTAAGCTTGAACCATTAGAATGTAGGAGATACGTTGTGCCAAATAGCCAGTCACTACGAGAAAGGGCCATTGAAGTGTGTCATCAGGCTATTTAGATGTAATGGAAAGGAAGCGTAGATCAGGCAAGGTGTTTCGTAGGGTTCAGCGTTATAGGGCTAGTGTACAAAAAAAATTCAAAGGAGCACATCATCCAGATTCATCCCTCCCAAACTCCGAATGGCAAAACAAATACGTTTGAAATAGATAAAACCCATCTCAACCCTACTTTTTAAATCGAAACACCTCGCTGAGCCATGGAAAGGGATATCATTGCTTGGCGAGTTGATGGATATGTCTGAGTTGGTCTTCGATATTCATGCTCTGAGGATTAGGATTTTGCGCACCGGGCGGAACTTGCGCAGAGCCGTCGGTTGCACCCATAGCCAACCGCTTGCGCCGAGCCTCCTCCTCCGGGTCGACGGGGGAGGGATCAAAGACATCGCTGCGCTGACTGGCGAGACGCTTGAGGTTATTGACCACGTCGACAGTGGACAAATTGGTGGTTGCACTGCGGGAGTCGGCCTTGGCACGCTGCTCCTTCCAGCGCGGATCCAGGAGCTCAATACGAATGTGTTCATCCAGTTCGGCCGAGGGAACCTTCTGGTTACAGTATGGGCAGATTGCCATTTGGACAGCTTGTTGACGGCGGGCCTGGGCGCGTGGCACGTAGTCTGAGCGAATACGCATTGGCTGCTGGCCTGGAATCGCCTGGGCAGCGGCTTGCACCGCGGCAGCTTGATCGCGGGCTTGAGTGCGTTCGCGGATGCGCTGTTCCTCTTCGGGGTTGGAGTATTGCCCGGGTGGGGCGTAGGGGCCTGCTGAGTAGGGCGAGATGGAGGGTTGAGGAGGAGGCATTTGAACAGGTTGTACTGGGTAGGCATTGTAGTAGCTTGGGTTGTCGAGGTCTGTAGGCATAGCTTCCTCGATGCGCCGTGTGTTGAGAGACATTGCAGCCTTTTGTTCAAGGGAGGCTGACTGCAGGTCGTTCAGTGATGTTGGGGGTGGCAACTCTGCGTGGTCGTCGTGTTCGGTGAATTCAACAGTCTCGACCACCACGAAATCATGCCAATCAATCTGGGCGTATTCGATTCGCTCTTGCTCACTTTGCTCTTCCTTCTGCATCTTTTGTTTCTCCTGGAACTTTACCCACTCGGCTCGCTGCGTAGCGCGCTCCATAACTCGGAATTTGTTCTGTACATTTTGTTCCAATTCTGCGATTCTTTTCTCAGACGATGTTGCGTCATCTATTCCCTCGGCACGTAACAAGATGGTGTACTGATCGACGAGACGAGTGAAGAATTGGTAAAGACTGTGTTGGGGTCGTAGGAAGTCGAATTGGAAGTTTCTCGCCTCACGTTGAGACAATGCGGTCATGAAAGACTTGCCTCGCTTGGCAACAAACAAGGCTGTGAGCTTCACAACCTCCAAATCCTGTGCGTTGATAATAGGCATGCGCGCTGAGAAGTGGAATGCGGCGGGCTCGGGTGGCCCCTTGGGCTTTTCGGGTTCCGCGGCGACTGTTTCGCCAGCTCGTCCTGCTGCCACGGCAGATCCTCGGCCTTCTTTGATCTCGACAAGTCGCCATTGGTAAAAAGGCGCATATGCATCTCCTGGGAGCAGAAAAGAGAACTTGGGGTTGTTCTTTTCCTTGTCGCGGACACGCTCTTCGAAGGTGATTCCATTACGAGCGACATAGCCAGCGGTCTTTTCAACAATGGCTCGAATATCTTTAGGAGGTAGCACCACGCCCTCTGGAGGCTTGTTAGCCTCCTCCGGGAGTGTGTTTCCATTCGGCTCCATGATGGGTGGTGAGGGTAATGCAGAGATGGTAGGTTTTAGAACTGATCTAGGACTTGCTGACTACGAAGCTCCAGCCACACATGTTCAAGTGGCAGTATTCTGGGCGGTGACTGGATACATGTATGAGGCGGTGCACTTCCCGAGTGCAGCCCATGTTTTTTTGCCCCTTTGCGGTTCCCCACTGAACAAGACCGGATTCTATGTTTACTTTTTGTACTTATGTATGGTATGTATGGCAAAAAATTATTTCGAAATATAGAAGATATTAAATAATAGATTAAATACCAATATATGATTATATCAAGTTCTATTAAATTATGAAATTCTATCGCAACATCATAATATAAACACATGTACAGAATAAAAGTACAGTAACTATAGGGGCCAAAAAAAAACCAAGGGGTCACTCACGTTGTCCTCCACCAGCCCACAGCCGCCGTCGATCTGGCCTTAAGGCGGAACTGCACGCTTTCGTCCATCTGTGTTCACCTCTGTTCTTGTTTGTCGACTTATTCCCTTTTTCTTTCCCATACTCTCCCTATAGCGACCCTCTTTCTTTTCACATCTTTTTATTCCCTGTCATGGGGCTTTCCTTCTCATTATTACACGATCATTAACCGTTGTGGTGCTTGAAGCCATTCGAAGGCAACTCGAGGCCACAAAACAGCTGTCCATATCATACACTCATCCATTGGGGTTTTGAAAATCCTTTGATGAGTGGACAAATCACGACTCAAATCCACTCAACCTTCATCCTGCTATTTTCTTCCTTTTGACATTCCGATTCCCGCGCCGATCTCCTAAACCGCCGACGTCGTATCACCTTTGTATCGGACCTCGGGACAATTGAAACAATATGGGTCAGAAGTCGAAAGACACACTGGCCGTGCGGCCACAGAGCCGCTCTGGGCGCTCGCGCAGTCGTTCTCCCAAACCCAAGAGCAAGCCTTCAACGGTGCCTCAAAGCTATGCCTCGGAGGGAGTGAAGAACAATGACATCTTCCAACTACCCGGCTCGGACTACAAACTTATCGTCTTGGTGACTCTGATTGCCACGGCTGTTCGTCTATTCAGAATTTATCAGCCCACTAGTGTGGTCTTTGATGAAGTCCAGTAGGTCATCCGCCAATATTGAGAAGAAAAGCGGAGACTGACTAATTTCGCTCTGAACAGCTTCGGTGGTTTTGCATCTAAGTATATCAAGGGAAAGTTCTTCATGGATGTCCACCCTCCGCTGGCTAAACTGTTGCTTACACTGGCCGGCTGGCTGGCCGGTTTTGACGGTAACTTCGACTTCAAGGATATTGGCAAGGATTACCTGGAACCCGGTGTGCCTTATGTGGCGATGCGCATGCTTCCAGCTATTCTTGGTGTATTGACTGTTCCCCTGATGTTCCTGACCCTCAGAGTCACCGGGTGCCGGAGCTCGACCGCTGCCCTGGGTGCTGGTCTTGTTATCTTTGACAATGCATTGGTCACTCAGTCCCGCCTGATACTCCTTGACTCGCCATTGATTTTCTTCACCGCTCTTACCGCTCTAGCCTTCAGCTGCTTCACCAACCAACAGGAACTTGGACCGGCCTACGCCTTCCGCGGACCGTGGTGGTTCTGGTTGGTTGCTACGGGTCTCTCTCTCGGCGCAACCCTGAGCGTCAAGTGGGTTGGTCTCTTCACTATGGCGTGGGTTGGGTCTCTCACAGTTCTCCAATTGTGGGTACTTTTGGGTGACTCCAAGACTGTCACTCCACGCCTGTGGTTGAAGCATTTCTTCTCTCGCGTTTTCTGTCTCATTGTTATTCCTGTGGGCTTTTACCTTGCCATGTTCGCTATCCATTTCACATGCTTGGTCAACCCCGGAGAAGGCGATGGGTTTATGTCGTCGGAATTCCAGGCGACATTGAACTCCAAGTCTATGCAAGATGTGCCCGCAGATGTTTCCTTTGGATCCCGGGTCAGCCTGCGCCATCTGAACACCCAGGGTGGATATCTGCACTCCCACCCTCACATGTATCCAACTGGCAGCAAGCAGCAGCAAATCACGCTCTATCCCCACAAGGATGAGAATAACCTGTTCCTCTTGGAGAACTCCACTCAGCCTCTTGGGCCGTATGGTGAGGTCGAGGGTCCCTTCGCCTGGGACAACCTGACTGCTCCTGGTTTCATCGAAGATGGATCGATCATCAGACTTTACCACTCAATCACTCACCGAAGAATTCACTCCCATGACGAGCGTCCTCCGGTGACCGAGGCTGACTGGCAATACGAGGTTTCTGCCTATGGATACGAAGGCTTCGCTGGTGATGCCAACGATTTGTGGAAAGTTGAGATTGTTCCTTCGTTGTCTGAGACACCAGAGTCCAAGAAGCGCCTGCGCACCATTCAGTCCAAGTTCCGACTGGTGCACGTCATGACCGGCTGTGTCCTGTTTTCCCACAAGGTCAAGCTTCCGGATTGGGGATGGGAGCAGCAGGAAGTGACCTGCGCAAAGGGCGGTACCCTTCCCAACAGTGTTTGGTACATTGAGTCCAACCAGCACCCCGCGATGCCCGCAGACGCCGAGAGAGTCAACTACCGTAACCCGGGCTTCTTGGGCAAATTCTGGGAATTGCAGAAGGTTATGTGGACCACCAACGCCGGCTTGGTTGAGTCTCATGCCTGGGATTCTCGCCCACCTTCTTGGCCGACCCTCCTCCGCGGTATCAACTTCTGGGGCAAGGATTACCGTCAAATCTACCTTCTTGGAAACCCGCTGATCTGGTGGTCAAGCACTTTGGCTATTGGCATCTACTTCATTTTCAAGGCTCTCTCCGTTATTCGTTGGCAACGAAGCTGCGGTGACTACAAGCACGTTTCGTTCAAGCGCTTTGATTACGAGGTGGGCACCAGTGTTCTGGGTTGGTTCTTCCATTACTTCCCCTTCTATCTCATGGCTCGTCAACTCTTCTTGCACCACTACCTTCCCGCACTCTACTTCGCCATTATGGTTCTCTGTCAAGAACTTGATTTCCTCACCAACCGTGTTAAGAGCCTCGGCCTTGTGTCCAGGCCTGCGATTGGCAAGACTTTGATGGCGGCCTTCTTGGGTCTCAGTATTGTTGTCTTCACTCTTTATGCGCCCCTCGTGTACGGCAATCCCTGGACCAAGGATGCTTGCAACAAAGTGAAGCTCCTGGGATCCTGGGACTTCGACTGTAATACTTTTCACAGTGACGTAAGTGTTCCAGAATGGAAACCTCCACGACGAGGCTATTAAACGAATCGACCGAACCATGACTAACATGGACTTTTACACTACCATTAGTTGAGCGAATATGTCACTCAATACGTGCCGAACGTGTCACCTGTTGCTGCCCCTACAACTGCAGCCCAGGCACCCCCACCACCACCCGTTCAGGTACAGGAGCCTGCCCCAGCAGGCGAAGCTGCCGAGGTCTCTGAGCCAGCGGCCGTGACCGCACCTAAGATTCAAGGCTCCATGGCCCGTGTCGAGTACCGTGACCAAAATGGCAAAGTCCTTGACGAGAACCTAGTCGCCTCGCTCCGGGCGGAAGGTAAAGTGAAGTTCGAGACACGCTATGAGCCTGGCCACAAGATGGAGAACGCACATGAAGTTCCCATCGTCGATGGCCAGCTTGCACCCCCGCACCCGGACGTGCAGGGCCAAAATCCCGAAACTGGCAGCTTGCCTGAGGACTCTGTGCCTCCCGAAAGTCCTGCCTCCGTGGCTGATGGCAATGAGCGCTCCGTCGAGCGTCCAAGCTCCATGGGGGCCAAGCCTGCTAGTGAGGGCAATGAAGCTACCAAATAGTGGCTGTATGGGAAACAAGTGTAAAAGGCGAGGAGATTCTGCCATGTATAACGAAACTCTATAGAGTAGTTGTTCATTTCAATTGTTAGCTTTTTTTACCTCTCTTTCTCTTCTCTTGCCTTAATTCGATATGAATCTACAGAGAATTCCACAGATGAATCTTACGCTATTCTGGAAACGGTTTTTGTTAACAGGCCTCATGCTGCAACAATACTACCTAGGTAGGGCATAGGTAGTTAGCCGCCAAATGTTATTGGCGATTGAAATAAGATTAGAAAAAGACTCGAAACAATGTCAAGAGCCCTATGGTATCGCAGAGGAAGGTTGGTACTTAGGTAAAAATTCATATACCTATGTAGGTAACCAATAACAAGTGTATGTTAAGATGCTAATCAAGTGCCACGAAAGAGTGTCACCAAGCTTTCTGGACTTTTGCAAGTTGTTTCGTTTTGAAAGAAGCTTATGGAGACCTTGGATGGTCGGTCCCAGTCAGCTGGGACACTTGCATAGCTACATATATGTACATTTTGTATATGTCTACACATGTATGTTCTCATGCAGGCAGTAGGAAACGAGCATAACGCAAGAAAGAGACTGATTCCCAATTGACTCTTCATCTGAATACGGATACTATGCACAAATCTCTTGCTATCCCGAAGGCAAGTTCACGCACCCCTCTTCTCTCCCAAATCTTCGCGGTCTTAGTGTACAGCAGTTGGCCGCAAATAAAAACGGCGGTTCGCTTCATTCAACTTCTTTAGACTCTTCTTATGGCTAGTCAATAGCCATTTAGTAGTCCCACTCCTCCTTGCCGTACTTGTTGAATCTCTCGTGGAGGTCCTATCGGAAAAATTATGATGTTAGCGTTGAACGAGATAGACAAACCGATCGCATGATCCTCTGGTTCAGACGATGACGCAATGAAGAAGAGTATAAGTGTGAAACGAATGATCAAATTCATACCTCGGGCAAGGTGACGTTGGGAACAATGACGGTGTTCATGGCGCTAGGGGCAGCGCGGAGGGGCTGGCTCTTGTCACCGTGGGGGTGGTACTGGTACTTGTAAACCTTGCCATCCTCAGATGCGGCGTGCCAGGGCATGGAGCTCTCGCCAATGCGGACGTTGCTCTCGGAGTTCACGGAGGTGGGCTTGCGGCCGAAGTACCTATACAATCGCAAAAAACGAACAAATTAGCAATCGTGCAACTTGATGATTGCGTGCCATTGAGAGATGGTTGTTAATCGGGAAGTTTCCCGAAGGAATATTGGAGCGTCACAATGGCGCAAATGGGGCGAAATGATTGTATATGAGGCGATATAGGGTAATTTCGGGAGGGATGCTCACCATCCGGCAATCAGGAAGGCACCAGACATAACACCGAGAAGGACCTAGATATAAGAATTAGAACAAAAGCTCTGACATGCTTTAATTTTAATGGACTGTCGGTTCCATACATAAAGCTCAGGATCACGCTTGGGGGCCTTGTCGAGGCCGGACTGCTCCATCTTGGAGGAGTTGAAACGGCGCGGGGGAGCGCGGAGAAGGGACTGGCGGGTCAGAGCCCGGCGAGTAGCCAGAGCAGCAATGGAGGACATGATTGCAGCAATTCGAGCGTACGTTGGAAGGTCAATTCGTGAGCGGAGAACTGGAGACGGGGTAGTGCGAGAGAATCATGAACATCGAATGATGTTGCCGGCACATCATGTGATATGCGCTTAGTCATCGCCGGACCAAGCAGTCTGGGTCGCGACTTTTGAGCTCCCTGTGGTTGTGATTCTTTGGTTTCCGGATTATCCGTGTGGTTGACGCATATACGATCATTCTGGTGTTTGTTTCTGTGATGTAATTAGGTCATTACGATTGGTTTGGCTTCTCGATTGCAGTTCATGCCAAAGGTATGTAGCTCCGGTTTTCTCCATCAGGGGTTCTCTGTTTTAGGCCTTACGGCGCGTTTGTCGGTGGAACTGTACGACAGAGCTATGAGTCTAATAAGAATATAGGAACTTGATCAATTTTTTTATTCACTCTTTAGATCTTGCCTCGGGTCCATTGTCGCTCATTTTTTTTTAGCTCCGCTCGCTGGTTGCCTTATCCCTCGATTTAGCTGCAGTCTAGCTGCCCGAACTCACCGCGATTATTCGCTTCTAGTAATTTCGCTATTGACCATTTGGAACAAAATATGGTTCGGCGCATTATTGCTTAGCCAATTGTCGATATCTACACCCTACCAGCGCTATGGCAAACTCCGCAGAGATCCCAGTCACCAACGACGCAAACCAAACCTCCACACAGCAGCATGTCCTAGGGATTCCTCGTCCCCCCTCGGTGGGAGGAATCTCGTCCCGGGTGACGGATGATGATGGGGAACGAACACCGTCTTATACGTCACCTGCCCCTCAGCACCAGTCACAATCCTCCGTTTCTCGTCGAGGTCCGCCTCCCACTCGGAACTCCATCACTAGCCAGGTAACCAGCAGACCTGGTAGCTCGGGGAGCCGACTGAGCAGGTCACATATACCGTCCCTGACGGCCCAGGGATTTTTCCGGCCAATGAGCTCGCAACGACTGCAGGCACACCGAGGAACACGCCCCATGACCAAAGGAACCGTTTCATCTACCGATGAATGGACAGAGCGAGACGGTCAAAACCGGAGAAGTTTAATCTCCAACAGCACGGTACCGCAAGGGTCTCTTAATCCGACTGATATGGAAGTTCCGCCGTCCCGGGGAACGGAGTTCACAGATCCTATCATCCCAGACCGCAACACCTCGAACGCCAGTCCCATGGGTAACACAACCATTCGGAGTCTGGGTGAGAGCGTTAGGCTTTTGCGGGATCGAGACCAGAAGGACAAGCCCCAGCGCCTCAATCTAGGCGCCAACTATACAGGGCAGACGGCACAAGACGCACCACCAAAATCACCCCTATCGTTCTTGTCATTGCAAAATAGGGGTTCGGGACAGAATAATCATGAGTCTCGGGGTCATCAAGGCCATGAGCACCTCTCTTCTGCTGGGTCCTCTCCTGGTCCCCTTGATGTAAAGAATCCTGGGCTACCAAAACCGAAGTTGGGCAAAAACTATGAATATTTCCTTGGAAACACCGTCTTCTGCGGCGGAGGGCGCTTTCAAAACTCTCGAGACAAGCCTGTCAACATTGCAACAGGCCTTTTGGTGGTTGTACCTTCAGCATTGTTCTTTGCCTTTTCGTATGTACACGTATTTCTCATAACCTGTGGGACCACGCTAATCTTTGTCCTTAGGGCCCCTTGGCTGTGGCATAATATCTCTCCTGCTATTCCCATCGTGTTTGCCTACGTCTTTTACGTTTGTTTCTCATCTTTTGTACATGCCTCTGTCGTCGATCCTGGAGTAAGTGGTTTGACCTTTGTCATATACGACGGTTACTAATCTAATACTCAGGTGATGCCTCGCAATGTACATCCCATGCCCCAGACAAATCCTTCAGACGATCCTTTGGCGCTTGGTCCACTCACGAATGACTGGGTTATGGTTAAGCTTGCTACTTCTGATGTGGCTGCCATGGATGTGCCAGTGAAATACTGCAAGACATGTAACATATGGCGGCCTCCTCGCTGCTATCATTGTCGTGTCTGCAATAATTGCGTCGAAACCCTCGATCACCACTGTGTGTGGCTCAATAATTGCGTGGGTCGCCGGAATTATCGGTACTTTTTCACCTTCGTCAGCTTCTGCACGCTCCTAGCCCTATTCTTAATTGGCGCAAGTTTGGCACACATTTTGGTCTACATGTCCCGGGAAAACGTATCCTTCGGGGCTGCAATCTCGAAATGGAGAGTACCCTGGGCAATGGTGATCTATGGTGTTGTCGCAGTGCCATACCCCACATCTCTCTGGGCGTACCACATGTTCTTGGTTGGTCGTGGCGAAACAACCAGAGAATATCTCAACTCGCACAAGTTTTCCAAGGGTGACCGGCATCGGCCGTTCACCCAAGGCAATATCCTCAAGAATTGGATTGCCGTTCTTGGACGTCCTCGGCCTCCCACGTATATGCAGTTCAAGAAGCAATACGAAGATGGCGATCAACGCCTGGATACGCCAAAGCGCAAGTATCGTGTCCCAGATGTCGAATCCCAAGGCATTGAAATGGAACATGTTGGTCCCCAACAGCATTGAAAAAAAAAAGTCATTTGTTCTTGTCGGTCATATTTGGCCCGCTACGACCTGTGAAGATGATAATCATGATTTCTTCTCTTCTCAATTCCCATTTCTCCCGGGATCATTCATATCTACCTTTTTTCTAATCTCTCTCTACATTACACATACCCTTCTTGTCATCCTTTCTGTTTATCTTGCTGTATCCAGCGCAGGCATCATCTTTTTTTTGTATCTTTCTACTGATCTGTCTTGATCGAATTCCTTATTTTGTTTTATCTTTGTGACTTATGTGACTACATGAGAATTGGGCAACCATACTCAAACCCAGCCTATTCACCTCTTCCTCCATTACTCACCTTTATTGGAACTATACATTCACTTGTTTTTCTTCTATACCCTTGGATGTCATTTATATGACACAGATAGCACAACCCTCAATTTCAATAGACAATAGACAATAGATATACTACGCGTAGAATCTCTTATGCGGGGGCGAAGAGTTATGAGGGATTTCGGCATTCCACCTGGGCACGAGATCTGACTTTGTAAGCGCTAGGGCTTAACCAGGTACTTCCCCTTCGCCCTTGCATTTCCATTCTATTTATTGCGTTAAGACCCTAGTAATTCCATTGGAAAATCTGCCAATAGATTAGAGTGTTGTTGAATGTGTTGGCGTTGCACGCGTCAGGTATCGCCCTAAATTGATAAGAAGGCGCGCGGGAAGCTGATCCTCTCATTTTCCCCTGATATTCTCCCCATCTCACTCGATTACACGCGACACTTGTTATATCTCGACAGAGCAAGGCGATTCCCCGTGGAATTGTCTTTCTCGTTTACTCGCTTCTTCAAAAATGGCGCCACGAACGTCCCGATCACTCGCGTCCGCGGCTCCCGATCCCCAGACACACGAGCCCGCTGATGACAATTTGAGCCTCGATGTTCCTGAACAACTTTTGACGCCTGAAAACAGTCGCTCGGAGACATCAAGCAACAATGAGAACGCGTTGACAGACGAAAAACCCGCAGGACGGCGTAGGTCAACACGGGTCGCACGCGCATCTTTGCCAGCTGGTGAGCCGCTGGAAGACACACCCGAGAAAGAAGAGCCCGCGGCCTCATCCAGCGCGGCTTATGTCGATAGCCTCGCCAAAGCAAAAAGATCACACTCCTCGCTTCGCCACAGCATTGCAGTAATGGAAAATTCGCTGTGGAGCGCTACTCCAACCGATGATGATACCACCGCCTATGACCACCCAATGGCCCCCGATACCCCGGTCTCAAAGTCATCGCAGGAGCTACAGTCTGAGGATATGAATACATCGCTCCAGCAGCGTACGCTGCGAAATCGTGCAGAGAAAACATTGGCCGAGGATGAAGGAACTAGCGAGGCGAAGTCGGCCCCATCTCGAATCGTTTCTCGCAAATCTCTACGACTGTCAGGTCGCATTGGTCTTCTGGATAAGGCCACCGATCTAGTCGAAAGGGCCAGCAGTATCCTAGGGAAGCGTACAAGAGGCCTGGTTGATAAGGAGCTTGGTCGGCGTGCTAGTCTGCGACCTCGCGTAACTGCCTCTCCGAAAGAAGAGACAGCCAATAATCACATAACGAAGAAACGCCGAGTTTCCGAGAGTGATTTGCCCAAAATCCAAGAATCAGATTCGTCTGACTCGGAGGAACCCCCAACACCAGCTTCGGCGCGGCCTAAGCGTAAGCTCTGGCTGTCCCACGGGCTTTACACGGGACAGGAACCTTCGGACTCGCCGCCCAAGCAGCGCCGCAGTAAAAACTCGAAGAAGACTGGCACCGGCCCCATGCATCGTACGATTCTTCCCATGCCAATGTTTAAGGGTGCCCGGCTTTTGAAGAATGGGCGGGATTTCCAGTTGCCGTTCGACATCTTCTCGCCCCTTCCGCCTGGTCAACCAAAGCCCAATGAGTGGCGTAAGACCAATAAAAGTAAGGCTTATTGGCTTTCTCACAGAGATAAGAGATCTGAGATCTAACAGACGTTCTAGATGTTTTTGTAGGTGATGCCGGAAGCTTCTGGAGATCGAACAAAAACCTCGAGCTTTCTCTTTGCATGTGCACCGAAGATACTGGCTGCGATGAGAACTGCCAGAACCGCTACATGTTCTACGAGTGTGATAATGGCAATTGTAGGTTGGGTCCTGAGTGCGGAAACCGAAACTTCGAGGGCCTCAAGCATCGAACCAAAGCTGGTGGCAAGTATAATATCGGTGTCGAGGTCATTAAAACGGCAGATCGTGGTTATGGCGTCCGCAGCAACCGTTCTTTCGAACCCAACCAGATTATTGTGGAATATACCGGAGAGATTCTCACCCAGCTTGAGTGTGAGAAGAGGATGAGAACAGTCTACAAAAACAATGACGTAAGTAATATTAACGATCCTATGTTTTACTACTTGCTCACTTTATTTCAGTGTTACTATCTCATGTATTTCGATCAAAACATGATCATCGACGCTACTCGAGGATCCATTGCTCGCTTTGTCAATCATGCATGTGCGCCTAACTGTCGTATGGAAAAATGGACCGTCGCTGGCAAGCCACGCATGGCCCTCTTCGCAGGGGACCGCGGAGTCTCAACTGGGGAGGAGTTGAGTTATGACTACAACTTTGAGTGGGTCTCATATGCAGTCTGAAAGCCAAGTTGCAATGTGCTAACCTTCTATCAGTCCATACTCCAACAAGAATGTGCAAGAATGCCGCTGTGGATCGGCGAATTGTCGAGGATTCTTGGGCCCGCGTCTTAAGGATAAGCAGCAGCGTGCCAAAGAACTTGAAGAAAAGCGCAAGGCCGAAGGAAGCCCCAAGAAGACAGCCTCGAAGAAGATTGTCGAAAAAAAGCGAAAGGCCTCAGAAGAGTCTGAAGACGATGTGCCCAGCCAGAGCAAAAGGCGCAAGATTATCACGTCCAAGACAATCAAGGCTGGGGTGAAAAAAGCCGTCGCGACTGTTTATGGAAAAAAGACTGCAAAAAAGACGGCCAAGGCCAAGACCAACGTCAAGCTACCGACAGTCAAAACCACAGGCCGAGTCAAGGCCGCTGTCCGAACTACCAAGACGTCCAAGGCAGCTCCAGCGTCTCCTGCTAAGACTACAACCTCCCAGCTTAAACGGCCATCTGCGGAGACCAAGAAGAAAATCCTCGCTGCTGCTTCCAAGGGCTCCGGGGTTCCTCCTCGGAAGCCTGTTGCGCGAAAGACCCCAATCAAGAGTCCCGCCAAGACCAAAGCTCCTGCTTCTAAAATGAAGACCACTGCCAGGAGCCGCCTTGGTAAGGGGGTCAAGAGCGCTGCTCGGCGTGTTGTGCGGTCTGTCAAAGGAGTAAAGAAGTGATTCAGCTTTCTAAGTCTGGTTTCTGACATTCAGCGTCAGTGTCTAATCCTGTTGGTCTAGACCAACGACAGCAGATTCTTTCGTTGCCACTTTTCGAGTCTGGTGGTCAATCTCCGCTCGGCAGGCAATCTTTCAATTTCCTCTTATAATTTTCTTTTATCCTTGCTTTTGCTCAACAATTGACATTCGTGCTCATCGGCTAATTCCCCCCTGTACGACATTCCCTGTGTTTTTCTGGAAAATGGCGTTTGTTTTCATCTTTTCCATCTTATTGTTCTCCTATCTGCTGTCCTTTCCTGTTCCTCTTCTTAACTTCACCTTCCTGGCTTTGTGTTTTCTTCTTGAGCTCTGATTTATGTGTCATGGTCATGAAAGTGAGAGATTGCTCTAGGCCGATGTTGAGTGTCAAGTACGTATACTCACGCGAGGCCTTCACATCGGCTGTGATATTTTTAGGGTAGGTACCACTCTGAATTCAACATGGTTTTCCCTAGAAGTCTTCAATCTTGCGATCAAATTTAAATGTAAACGTACACACCAAGATATATTGACTCATGGCTGTTTGGCAGTGGGAGTGGATGCGCTGCAAAACACACCAACCGAGTTTGATATCAGGTTAGATTAAATCCTATTCCGCTTTGGAGTTATTTGTTAGTATATCCATGGGAGCTCTCTACATACAAACCCTACCTAGAGAGGTCCATTTATTTTTTATATATGTACCTATGCAGTTTATCCAAAGCCCAAGGGATCTGGTATTTTAAGTTGGGGGTGCCCGGTTTGGCAATTTGCTATATCTAGACAATGAGATATTCATATCGAAAAAAGGTTGCCAACAATATTTGAATTGATTTGTGGGGTTACAGAAACTTGTTACAAAAAGTAGACCATACACCATGAACTCAGATTGGACACCGGAATCAAGGCATTTGTGGTACATTATAAATAATTGACTGGACAAGATGAAAATGTCTTAATATGTCAGTTTATGTAGAGTTCGCTGGACCGGGTTCAGGGGTTGGATCTGGTAATTGATCGAGTCGGGCCTGGGAATCCTCAGGCAGATGGACTTCTTGCTGTTCCAATTCAGCGCCAACAGGTAGTTGGGTTGTAACATTTGCTTCAGTCGTTGCATCCGTATTTCCGTCTAAAGCTGGCGTAGGTTCTTCCGCTAGAGTAGGACCCGTTGCCGTAGAACTAGACACAACAGATTGCTCGGTAATTGTGGATGGTTCAATATGTGGAGAATTTACTGCCGCGGATGATGCTGGAAGTGAATCTGAATCCGCGATAGGCTTTGTGTCTGGCACTGTGTTCGCATCTTTTGGTTCCACAGATTTTGCTTCATCCGAGTTCACATCAGCCCCGGGAATATATGATGGGCTGGGTTGATCATCTTGAACAGGTGCCGGGGGCTCTTGGGGTGTGTCAGACTGGACGATTGACTCGTTTGAAAGAATTCCAGGAATTGGGGGTTCAGGTATCGCGGGGGTCGATGCTGGTATAGGCTCCGGTTCTGCTACCCCTTGTGATTCTTGGCCGAGCGTGTGCGGTTGCCCTAGATCTTGTGCGTCCGGGGCTTCCGAGGGTAATTTGGGGCTCTCAAATGGTGGCACGACCGCAGTATCTTGTTGGATTGTGAGACCAGGCTCTTCCTTGGGGACCAGCTCAGGTGTGGACTTTGAGGCGTCGCCTTCTCCTTGTGGCTCATATCTAGAGCCTTGAACCTCACCAACTTCGGCTGCAATCTCGGCGGGGTCATCTGAAATTGCATCCTTTGTGGAAAGTGAAGTGTCAGTCTCGTCGGTTTGGGGGAGTATAGGCTTCTCGTCCAAATCGCGAACCTCAGGCTTCCCGGTGGGAGCCATGGAAACCAAAGCGTTAGTGTCCTTCCCCGGGGATTCTTTGAGCTGTGGTGTCTCTTTCTCAGTCGGTTCTTGTTGTTGTGAAGGCATATCCTCCCCGGTCGATAGAGAGAGCTCAGGAGCGGAAGGCTGGATTTCTGGCACAGCATCTGTCATTTCGTGATCGACATCAACTGACTGCCCAGCGGACGTTTCCAGTGAGGGTTGGCCCACAAACTCTGCGCCAGACGGAGGCTGGGGGGTCTCGGGAGTCTTCGCATCCATCATAGATTCATCACCCTCATCACTTTCGTCACCCTCTTCTCCGTCCTCGTCATCTTCGTCTTGGCCCGACTGGTCAATGGACATCTGGTCAATGGACATCCGGGAAGCATCTTGCTGGCCATGTTCCTTGAAACCAGCCTCATTGTTGCCAGAACCAGAGCCGACTCCATGGACTGTTGCGGCATCGGCTCCTTCGCCAGGCGCAAACATTACTTTCTTCTTCCTGCCCTTTCCGATGCCTCTGCCCTTACGTTTGGGCGGAGGTGGACGTCTCTTTGGGGGCGTCATGACAGCTGCCGAGCCAGCTTCCGCAACGACGACACCCTCGGCATTGACAACTCCGACGCCCTCGACAACTGTCCCAGGTGCAGGTGCCTCTGGTTTTACGGGTACTTCGCTTTGTTCAACAATAGTCTGCACGTCGCCAGTGATCTCCCCTTCAATGCGATGACCTTCAGGCACCCACGCTTCATAGATAGAGATGTTACCGGTATCCGGGTCGACTTTTTTGAACTTTGTTCTCCTCATTGGTCCCGAGGTCGAGGAGCTTCCATCTGTACCAGCAGTGGCGCCATAGAGGGAGGGGAGGCCTGGTCGCCGCTTTGCCAGGAATTCGACCTCTGCAGGCTCCAGATGCTTCGGGAGAGTCATCCATTTGCGAGTGGTAAAGCTGCGATCAGCCATGTTTGATGTCGCAGCTGATTCCTCTGCATCCACCACGCTTTTCTCTTCATCATCGGCTGCTCGAATTCCTTGGCGAATATGAATACATCCTGCACGGGCTGCTCGAAGAAGTGCGCGACTGGTTGGGGGCAAGATCTGGCTGTCTCTTGGCATGGGAAGCTCTGGTAGTGTAGGCCCTCCACCTGGGCCCTGAACACCGAATTCGGAGTCATTGGGCTTGGGCGCCTGAGAGAATGTGTGTGACTGTTTGGACCATCGACGGACTGGTAGTCCCTCAAAGACATCGTGATCAATTTGGCCTGTTCGTGTGCGGTTGGGACCATTGTCGAGGTGTCGCCCTGAGCGTGAGGCCCTGAACTGCGGAATATGTTAGCATTGTCATAGTATCGATTGTATGTATTGCATCAGAGCTTCGCAGCTTCGCAATTTTCTTTGTCGGCCTTGTCTAGGCCAGACACGACAGCTTGTCCCCACGGGCGCAACATGTAACGTACAGTGGAAGGCATGACTGGCAAATGCCTCTGCAATTGATTTTCCCCAACACCAGGTGCAGATATGTTATAAATATCAAGGACAGGTGTCCACTTTCAAGGAGTAGTGCCTGTTTTTCGAGATAGAGATGCTGCACTGGATAAGGTGTTGAAATGGCAGTAGTTGGGGTGGCTCCGTCGCGTTGCGACACTCCGAGCTCCCAAGGAGACATCACGTGACCAAATCAATCTGTAACTAGAATTCACATGTCATGGTTACAGGACTAGTTGGTTATGTATGTAAAAGATGTAGTAGATGGATATGTCAGAATGTCAATTGTAAATTGATTGAACAAGCTTGTTCCATTCCAAACTATGTCAAGAGTGGCGAGGTATTTCCGGTGCTTGCTACAACCGTTGCGCTGAGGTGTATAAATACAGAATAGACATCCCAGAGAGATAACCAATGAATCAAAACAAACAGAATGGAATATTAAAAAGTGGGATAGTTACATTGTTCCCGTCCAGCAGACATGTCTCAGAAGATTTAATCCCAACTTAACAGTGTTAGTAATGTTAGACGTGATGGCCCGAGGGCATTGGGCATTGTAAGCAATGACTTACCCAGTCTCCTTCTGGCGGACAATGCTTCCATGATCTCCAGTTTCCTTTCCCTAAAGTCACAGTGTCAACTTTATTCACTGGAGCAAAGCACGCACGGTATGCAAGACTTACACTTTTTTGGCCTTCCACCACCAATTTGTCCAATTGGAAGAACTGGCTGATAATCGTTTGTCTCTGCTATGAGGTAAGCCTCTCTCCTCCGTACGTCGATGGAATTGGGTGTAGAGCTGTATTGGAGGCAAAATCCTTTGACTTTCAATGCAAGGTGTCGATGAAAACCCCTCACATCTGTCGCTTGTCGAGGTTTGCCCCAAAAGCCCATGCACTCTTACTGACCTTCATCAAGCGCAAGCTTTGCAATCCATCTTGGATCAGTTCTTGTACCTCCCGTTCCTCTGTCGCGTTTTGGTGCTCGCGGAATGAATCTCTTGTCTTGCGACGAGCGTATTCTCGGAAATTGTAGTTTGAAAATTGCCCAGAATGCCGAAGGAGAGACCGGAACTAAGCAAAAGAAGAACCAGAGCGCGTCAGCTTACCGCTATAAACATGAGTGCGCTAGATTGAAGCACATATATTAGAATCGAAAAAGCGTACCAAAGACCGTGCCTGAAAGGCGGTATCACGTTGCAGAGATGCAACAGACATGATGTTCGAGAATGTGATGAGCGTGTGGGGAATAGTTGTTCGGACAACCGATGACTGAGAAATTGCTTTCGACTCCAAGATATCACTGTAGTTTGACTGCGTCAACAGGGCACTTCGGTATAAGTCTCGTCCATTTCAAAATGAGAAGCGTACGCACAAGGGAGTGACGAATCGAATGAGGGCGCACCGGATTATCCAAGGCGCGATCGGAGTTGACGGTGCGTATCTTGCAAGATTGCAAGAGCGCGAAGATCCGGGAGAACGGGATTAAAGGAATATCCGAAGACGATCCTTAAATCACAACTCTTTTATAAATGAGGAGCAGTTTGTAGTTGAAGTGTTGTAACGGAAAAAGAAGGACGGGAAATTCTTTTGCGGGAGAGAATGACGGAGTTATCGGGGCCGAGCTCCTTTGCTCCACGTTTCTCGTCTTCAACCTTCAGCTACAATAGATTTCTTGCTTCTCATGTCTCAATTACCTATCTCGCAAGCAGATTCTGATTTTTCTGAACCTAAGCCGAAGCCAATAGACTCGGTTAATTTAGAATGTTTGGATACCCTTCTTGAAAAATACTTGTGCCTGCTTGATCGGCAGCAGAAGCTGCAGTCAAGCCTAGCAGAGCAATTGTCATCTGTATGCCTCTTTTTTAAAACAATTCTCATTGTCAGAAGGATATACTGACAACTGTTAGGGATTCTTTGCTCTCGCCCAAGCCAATTTCTCTTGCCCTCCTGGGCGCCGTTATGGCCCCGATTACTTTGACGAGCGCATGAAAGCAACGAGGAATATGTAAGTCCACCACTGCCGTTGACTATCGGCTCTTGTTGACCCATAGAAATCGATAGATCAATCAAATCTGAGCGACACACGGAGCAATCTACAAAGGAACTGCAAGGAAACGCGGGTACCACTGAGCCACTCGACGCTCATTCCACATTCTCTGTCGAGCTCATACCGAGTCCTGTACCTGAGGAGGATCCCATTGGGAACGTCGAGGCTCAAGTCTCTTCGCCGGTCGAAGGCACACAACCTGAATCTCCACAAGAATCCCCCGATTCTTCGCAGCCCAACATAACCCTTGTCGAAAAACCAAGGGCTACTCGCAAGAAGTTCGGCTCTGCTGATCCAATTCATTGGTATGGGATACTAGTTCCTCAGTCGCTGCGCAAGGCTCAGGCATCCTTTACAGCTGCAATCGATCATGAGGTGCCTGACTTGGCGAGCACGACAGATGAAATGCGGGCATTGGAACAGCAAATAACCAATTTACGGGATCAGCTGAAATCTGAATCATCTCATGATACCAGTTAGTAAGCTTGTTCAACATTGCATGGTTGACCAGCTGGGGATTGGAAATAGGTAGTAACACAGAGCGTTCTCTGCCCAAAATATTGTTGTCCAATCCCACGTTCAGATGAGCCTAGAATAGCAATGCGGATGCCCGTTTATCTCATTATTGGACTCGAGATAAAGCTAGCATTCTGAGGTAGGTACCGCAAGGTCCGCGAACCATATAATTATGCGGTTCAAAAGCCTCGGCTACGTTGTGGCGTTGAATTGCCGCCACACATTAGTATCAAGCCGGCAAGATCACTAGTACTAAGGAGGTATGGATGTATTTTAGTTCCAATATTGAAGAGACCGAAAGAGTCTAGAGTATAAATGTAGCCGATTTGAGATCAAAATTCCCGAGCCGCTGAGACCGAGCTTTTCCTGCTCCACTCTATTTATCTTCTACCTGTTTGTGCACACACATATAGATATATATATATATATATGTATGGTACTCTCCAATGCCGTACGTTTTAGGTATGCATATACTTCTTATCATGCAGAGGATATTTCATTGTAACAAAGATGAGCCGTCTCAAGTTTCAGGTTGGTCGCTCGGGCCTAATTAATGTGAGACGTAGCGTCCGGGACTAACTCCTGGAAAACCCCCCACTGGCACAACAGCTTCGAGATTCGACAATTTGATTCGTGCATTTGGGTCCGGTTTTGCCGGTTGATTCGTCCAGGGTCTCATATTTGGGTCTAGTCTTCCAACCTCTATGGAGTATGCATCGCTTAGAGATCTCTGGTAGAACCCCGTTAATCGACCTGTCAGGATAGATCAAAGTGTAGTGAAGAAAATTGCCCCATTAGATTACACGGAGTATGGCCCAGTTTAAGGGAAATTTAATAAAACCTTGCCTTTGGATATAGTGGTTTCTTTCCCAAAGTACAAATTTACTTTATAAAATCCTTTAGTATTAATCTATCTGACCCGTTCGAGGTAGTGTCAGGGACACCCCCGTCTCGCTTTTCATATTGCTCTCTTTTAGTTCTCCTTTTTTCTCTCTCTCTCCTTTTCTTTGTTGGACAACTGCTGGCTCCAAGGGCTTGAGGCTCTTCTCCATCTTTGGTTCGTGTAAGTGGATTGATTCTTGTCTGTCTCTAGTGTTTGCCAAAGGCTGGGGGCTCACATGCACTACTAGTTCTGTTTGGACGCCAGTTTGATACTAGCGATTCCTTTCTCTCTCTCTTTTTGTTTTGTTTTCTCAGACAGTTTATTTCTTGAGCCTTGGTAGGTCTGGTTTTGGTATAGAACAATGTCGTTCTCTGGTTCTGACAATCATATTAAACAGAGGCATTGAGTGCCTTTCCATTCTTTCGCAACTTCTATTTGATCCTGTGGATCTTCGGCTTTACCAGTCAATTCCAATACTGTCATCATATTCTACTGAACGGTTGTTTCAGATCGACGCCTTCTCTCTCGTTTCAAACTTCCAAGGCAAATCCTCCTATCATTCTTTTCGTAGCTTGATTACAACATCAAGCAGACGATCATTCATTTTCGATTGATCTCAAATTACTAGAGAGGAAACCTCTAGCTGTTAAATTCAGTTCTACCACGTCACACTTGATGCCTTTCAAGCTCTCAGTTCTCGCCATCCAAGTATCTGTGCCGGCTATCTGAACCTTTGTTCTCAGACTACTCAAACTGTTTCTCAATGAGTGCAAATATACCAAGCTCCGGGCCCTCTGGGGACCTTGACAGGAAAGGATCTGTCAAGCGAGCCAGGCAGTTGTTGGCGGCTGGCGTACGCCCAGAACGAGACTCGCCGCCTAACCCCGGGAATGTATCACATCAAATGCAATGGCCTCTTCCAGACTCGGGTCTGCCACCAAATCCGATCAATCACCACCCTAGGTTTCTGCTTCCGCGTGGTCCTCCACCGCAAAGACCGCCCCGTCCGAGTGAGATCCGTGAGATCCCTTCGCCATCCATCTATTCAGAAAAGGACGACCAAGACTCGGAAACCAGCTCAGCTTATAATACTAGACCTCCTCGGTCCTTTTCGCAATTGAAGCCGCCCCCACCATTGCAGCTGCGTCGGCCTATAAAGAACGATGCCCCTGTCAGTCCTACCAGCACAATCGACGTTTGCCCTCGGATCTCGATTGCAACAGAAGACCTGTTTAGACAGTCGACAGCTTCATCAACGCCCTCTATCCCCGATGTACCTCCTTTCCCACCACGTTTCCCGCCTGCCCAGTCTTCTTCCAGGGATGATCCGAGGCAAAGGACGGCAGGTCTTGTCGCACCAAATACGCGACGGCCCCCTCAGGCTCGTCGATCATCTGTCTCTCCGATTCCAGAAGAACTCGCCGATCCTCGCTTTACAAAAGCATCTTTTGCATCAAGTCGAGCAATTCCTTCGAGTTGGGGTTCTGGTCCCCCTGAATCTGAAATTCTTGGAGCATACCTTGAAATGGAGTCCGATGATGACCATCCTCGACCAAGCTTGCAAGAGGATGATGCGACGCTTGTGCGCAGCGCTAGTGTTGGAAAAAGAGGGAAGCCGACGATGCGCACCATTCTCAAATCTAACCCTGTATCCGTGGTTTCCGTTGAAGATACGCAATTATCAGCCAAAGATGAGTTCAAAAACGCAGAGGGAGTCCCCACTGGGATGGGAACTGCAGCAACCCAAATGCTTCACCCACCAAGCCAATTGAGAAAGGGGTCTACTTCTACGGCATCCAGTGAATCGTTGAAGGGTGTGGACCCCGAAAAACCACCCTTTGCCCAGGAAGAACGGCCATATAGTGCAGGGCTTGAAAAGGAAATTGAAGTTTTTGGCGCTCTACCCCATGCTGCACCAACAATGAGCGATAAAAGACCTGGGGGCCGTAAGCCTCCCGCCCTGAACATGCATGCAGTGCGGGATGCCGAAGCTCGAGGAAGCCTTTCTAGCTTAACTGATCTGATCCGACGTGCCACAAAGCTTGCCTCAAACCTAGATCACGGGAGAACAGCCAGTCGAACTGATCTGGTTGGTGGCGAAGCAGAGTTTAAAGCTGGAAAAGGTGAGTTTTGGGATCTATATCCTTGCGGACACCGTCAATACTGATTTATATCCAGGCAACCGACCCCGTAATTCTGGATCCTTATCAGACATGCTCGCTTCATTCCCTCCGCCAGGCTTGGCGACCCCCGAGAGCCGTTCATCATGGCCAGTTTTCTTCGGACGCTCTAATTTGCGTCATGTCCAGCCGCTTGGCTCCAACGATGATGATCCAGATGCACCCCGGCGCAAGAAGACATGTTGTGGGATGCCCCGCAAGGTCTTTGTGTTGATCTGCATCGTTTTATTTATTGTCGTTATTCTTGCGATTCTTCTGCCGGTTTTCCTTGTGGCTGTGCCTCGCGAGAAAGCAAGCAAAGTGACAGCCTGCGAAAAAAGCAATCCTTGCCAAAATGGAGGAATTAGTGTTTCCAGCGGTACTCAGTGCTCCTGTGTTTGTTCAAACAATTATACTGGCTCGAAGTGCACCATTGCCAGCGATGGTAGTTGTACTACGTACTTGATTCAGGATAGTTCATCGACAAAGAATGCAACCATGGGCAGCGAACTCCCCCGGTTATTCGAGGACTCCAAGAAAACATTCGATCTCACCCTGGATCCAGTCACTATTATGGCTCTTTTCAGCATGAACAACGTCTCATGCAAGACGGAAAATGCGCTCGTGTCATTCAGTGAGGTTAAGACGGACAGCTCTAGCAAGGCCCGTCGATCTCTGGCATTGGAGATAGAGACAATTCCATCCGAGGATATTGCAAGTCCAGCTTTCCCTAGCCCTGTTTCGACTGCCGGACCCACTCGAGTCCTCGCAGCTCGCTCTGAGGCTACCATGCACGGCGGTATCTTGTATGATGACCTCGGAGCAAGCCAGACCGCTACCGCATCAACCGCCACGCAAACGGAGTCGACGGCCACCGCAGCTACCAAGATCATTTCTCAACCCACTTCAACCAGTGAGGTCACAACGTCCACTGCGAGTAGTGTGCCCGAGAAAGTAGTGGAATTCTCTCGGGTTGCGGTACTGTACATTTTGCAAAAGACGGGATCTCTGGACACAGCAATGTCTTCGGAAGATGACATTCAAGGATATTTGATTGATTCATATACGAACGCAACATGGCCCAGCATGACAGTAGGAGCGTTTGAAGTGGATTTTGAGAATCTGACCATCACGCTTCCTAACAGTACAGTGAAGGCTGATTGAAAAGGAAAAAGAACAGTGTATCAGAATGTATATAGTATAATATAATTTCTTTACTAGCTATGATCTATTGTCACTAGTCAGTTAGAATCAGGTACAATAATGTAGATATATATCTCTAAATCCAGAATGAATAGATCTGCGGCATTTAGGGTTGAGTGTCCGATCATTACCATATTGGGATACACCTGATGTCGTGATCGATCGTGGAGGTGACGTGCTAGCACGTGATCTAAGGCTCTGCAAGGTATGGCGTTATTCAAGGCTGAGACATTTTTATACTTACATTTTTGTATGTGCATATATGTACTCTTGGATTCCTTGGTCTTTTCTTGAATGTCACACTTTTTTTTTTCACAATCGTACAATTGTACAATAGTAAACTGTTCTCGAAAATAATAGAGGGTCACAATTAAACCACAGTATCCCCCCTGAAGATCTACGGCAGACGAATATTCCGCGGAGACCGAGACCTCGGAGATATATAAAGTACAACTCCGTACCTGGGCATTTATATACATACATACGTAGTGCAATGCTTTTGATTTTGATGAGCATTGCCATTAAGGCTTCACCTAGGTATAATAGTATTCCAAAGCAAACCAAGGAACTTCAATCCAGACCCTGGAACAAAATGGAGTAATAAGGAAATCTGAAGCCAAGACTTCCACTGACTCCACATGTTGACGACTGTTCTGCCATGATTGTCGTGTTCTGTATGCGCCTCCGGCCCCTCCCATGGATTTTTCTTGATAAGCTCGCCCTTCGTTATTTTCTTTCCTTTCCCTTTCCTTTTTTCTTTACATTCCTCTTTTTTTTGCAAGTCCTTTTAATTTTCTTACCTTATTTTCACAATGGCCAACGCCCCTCACGGTGGTGTCCTTAAGGACCTTCTCGCCCGCGATGCTCCTCGTCATGCTGAGCTCTCCGCTGAGGCCGAGACCCTCCCCGCCGTGGTGCTTTCCGAGCGTCAGCTCTGTGATCTTGAGCTGATCATGAACGGTGGTTTCTCTCCTCTGGAAGGTACGTGCAATTCTTTGAAATTGATTGTTTGGGTCAATTGGAAATGATCCTCAAACGATTACTCTATTTTACTTTTTTGGAGGGGCAAAAATGTACTTGGAGGGGCAACGGGCTAACGTCGATCTTCATACAGGTTTCATGAACCAAGCCGATTACAATGGGTATGTGTGACGAACTCAGGATTCCCAACGAACACAACATTATACAGCGGCAGCTGACATTTTGCATAGTGTTTGCGAAGACAACCGACTTGTCGATGGCAATGTCTTCTCCATGCCTATCACCCTGGATACCACCCAGGAGGTAATCAACGAGAACAAGCTCCAGGCCGGTTCTCGCATCACTCTGCGTGATTTCCGTGACGACCGCAATTTGGCTATCCTGACCATTGACGACATTTACCGTCCTGACAAGTGAGTTCGCCTCTTGAAAAATGTTTTCGAAAGATCGCACCGCCGATCTCCGTTCTCCACACCCCTTGTACCTCAAATGTCGCATTTTTTGTCATTTTCTTTCCCTCCCCCTTTCCAGGAGACAGAAAAAGATTCTGGCGCATTTGATGTCGCAGACCTTCAATCTTTACGCAATAAAAGAGTCCAAAGTGGCTCGTGCTTTTAGTGGGGCATGCTGACGTGGAATTTCCCCTGATTTAGGACCAGAGAGGCTAAGCTTGTCTTTGGCGGTGACCCAGAGCACCCGGCCATTAAGTACCTGAACGAGACAGTTCAAGAATTCTACATTGGTGGCAAGATCGAGGCTGTTAACAAGCTGAACCACTACGACTATGTCGCTCTCCGCTGTATGTTCAATTTCCTCGTTCCAAAAGCTCCAGGCTAATGAATTCCTAGACACCCCCGCGGAGTTGCGTGTCCACTTCGACAAGCTGGGCTGGTCCCGTGTTGTCGCCTTCCAGACTCGTAACCCCATGCACCGTGCTCACCGTGAATTGACTGTCCGCGCGGCCCGTTCTCGCCAGGCCAATGTCCTGATCCACCCCGTTGTCGGTCTCACCAAGCCTGGTGACATTGACCACTTTACGCGTGTCCGCGCCTACCAGGCTCTCCTTCCCCGCTACCCCAACGGCATGGCCGTTCTGGGTCTGCTCGGTCTGGCCATGCGTATGGGTGGTCCCCGTGAGGCCATCTGGCACGCTATCATCCGCAAGAATCATGGTGCCACCCACTTCATTGTTGGTCGTGATCACGCCGGTCCTGGTTCCAACTCCAAGGGTGAGGACTTCTACGGTCCCTACGATGCTCAGCACGCCGTCGAAAAGTACAAGGACGAGCTCGGCATTGAAGTTGTTGAGTTCCAGATGGTTACCTACCTGCCCGACACCGATGAGTACCGTCCTATTGACCAGGTCCCCGCTGGCGTCAAGACCCTCAACATCTCCGGTACCGAGCTCCGTCGCCGTCTGCGCTCCGGTGCCCACATTCCCGAGTGGTTCTCATACCCCGAGGTTGTCAAGATTCTGCGCGAGTCCAACCCCCCTCGTGCCTCCCAGGGTTTCACTGTCTTCCTGACTGGTTACATGAACTCCGGAAAGGACGCCATTGCCCGTGCTCTGCAGGTCACTCTTAACCAGCAGGGTGGCCGTTCTGTCTCCCTCTTGCTGGGTGACACCGTTCGCCACGAGCTCTCCTCTGAGCTGGGCTTCACCCGCGAGGACCGCCACACCAACATCCAGCGCATTGCCTTCGTTGCCTCCGAGCTTACCCGCGCCGGTGCCGCCGTCATCGCCGCTCCCATTGCTCCCTACGAGGAGTCCCGCAAGTTTGCTCGTGACGCCGTCTCCCAGGCCGGTACTTTCTTCCTGGTGCATGTCGCTACTCCCCTCGAGCACTGCGAGAAGACCGACAAGCGTGGTATCTATAGTGCTGCTCGCCGCGGTGAGATCAAGGGCTTCACCGGTGTCGATGACCCCTATGAGACCCCTGAGAAGGCTGATCTCGTTGTTGATTTCTCCAAGCAGAGCGTGCGCAGCATTGTTCACGAGATCATCCTCGTTCTGGAGAGCCAGGGCTTCCTGGAGCGTCAGTAAACCTTTGGATACATGGGTTTGAGTTTTGCTGGAGTCAAAATGATCTGTTATGCTTTGCATAGAAATATGTTCTGGCTTTGAATAGTGGCCTTTTTTTTGTTGGATTCCCCTGGCTTAGATAGTCTCAAGTGTTTGTTACCAATAGATTTGGATTGATGACTTGTAATAACTTTCTGGCCTGCGTAAAACAAAACCTGTAAATCAATTCTGAGAGACTCTAGGGAGACATCTGGTAAACACGACTATTGCTTCAGGTAGATCTAAAACACTAGCCTTGTAAAATTGCAGCTAGACACAATATTGTTCATGCAGGAAAAGTGGGCCCATACCTCGAGTCACGTGCTAGACAAACAAGACAAACACTTCAATCACCAAAGGCTTCATGCCGTACATCAACTTTCAGCAGCTTAACCATGTTGCCCCCGCGAAGTGCTGTTGGTCGAATACCGACTCATATTCGACCAGCTCATCCACCTCGAATTTCTGGTCCCAACATACACCTACGACCATTCACTCACCGCACACGCCTACTACTTCTTTCCCCAGCGCCCGGCCGGCCTCAACTACCATTTCTGTCACCTCTTGCGCCTACACGACCGCTCCCACCGCTATCAATTCACCTTCGCCAACATTTTACTCGCTTGATATCTACCGCAAGTCGTGAAAATTATAAGCGAAGGCTATCGCGAGGTCTGAAACTCGGCATATCATTCTACGCCATCCTTGTCTTGTTCTCCGCGATCAAACTTGGCGTTTACCAGGAGGACATTGAGCATTCATGGCCCACTCCCCCAGAATGGTCGTGGAAAAGTCGTTGGTGTCTGCGATCTGCGCAAGCACTACAAAACCCCGAACAGATCGGCAAGCTGATGACGAATTGGCCCATGGTCGCTGGATATCTCCGCGAGCTGCTGGAGCGGCTGGAGGACCCCGAGGGCGAAGGCAAGGGTATCGTTGAACAAGATGAAGGGGGCTTCCTCGTCGAAGGCGTGGGTCGCACTGGACTCGATATTTCTGCGAAGAGTGAGCCCTGGCGTCGTGGATATTTCCAGGCCCTCATGGGGGCTGCTAAAGCAGCCGAGAACCTAGATGGCTGGCTCACAGACCGCAAGCAGCGCATATCTGCGCCGGCGGAATATGTTGTTGGGCCCTCCAACCCTCGTCCAAAGCCCATGCCTGCTGGTCAGAAGAAGGTTCCACGAGAGGAGGATTGTGAAGAAGCGTCACCTTCTCCAGAGAGATTCTATATGAAAGTTTTGACAACGAAAGGCTTTGATACAAGGCAGAAACTCGACGCTGCGCTGGCATATGCCGATTGGCTTGGGTTTAAAGGCCTGGGCCGCACGGCGGGTGACATGTATACATGGGCCTTGGACATTGCCGCGACTGGGCTGGATGGAGATGCTAGTAAAATCGTCGATATGAAGACCGGGCTCCTGAAAAACAATGGTGGGGACCTGCCATCAGAAAACATCCTCCGCGTGTCTACAGCCCTAGCCGTACACAACGCGCGTGAGGGAAATCTCTCCACGGCTCTTTCTCTATTCACATCAGTTCTCAAAGCCCGGCGTAACCTCCCTTCTTCGCCGGAACTCGATCTGCCTTTTTCTTTCCCAGCACCTCCTCAGGCAACCAACGACCCATTTGCCTCCCTCTTCAAGTCACTCAAAACTGTCCTCATTCCCGTGGAATACCCTGAGCCTCTTCCCTCAGGCGATGAGCCCCCAAAACGAACCGTAGCATCCGCCTGTGAAGAAGCAGGACTGATGACCTACATCGGCGAGATCCTCTACGCCTCATCATCCAAAGAAACCGGCCTCGCCTGGACTCGCGACGCAGTCGACATGGCCGAGTCCACTGTTCACGACCTCAGCAATTCTAACGACCGTGTTGCCCGAACTCGTTGTGCACAGTGTCTCAAAGTTGGCTTGGAAAATTGGAAAACTATGGTCTCTTCTCTAGTTGCTCGTGCCCGCCAAGAAGAAACAGAGAGCAAGGATCAGGCCCCAAATGCTTGGTTCGGTGGCGAGCGTCGTGCACAGGCTAAGTCTCTTGAACGTCGACGCTGGGAGGCCGAAGAGACTATTCTGGAAGACCGTATCCGCAGACTCTTCCCTCTTCTCGAGGGGGAGTCCGGGTTGGATACTCTCGCTCCGAATAGCTCTCTTTTTGTGTAATTCTATCATGAACATAAATACTTTGTTTGACTCATGTGGCGTTGGTGTTATCATTCACTGGTGGTTTAGCAGACGCCAGGACGCATTTGCGTTCTATTTCTACATACTCGCTATTGAAAAATATACCCAGGATTATCAACTGTGGTTTAATTACTTTCTTTTGACGTACATCTAGTTCGAAGTCTACAAGTGTATGCAATTTCACAACCAAAGCTTTTGACTTGTTTCCAAGCCCCTTTCTACCTACGCACTTGATTTGCTTTGCCATTTCTTAGCCTTCCCTTTCCGTTTTAGTGCTCAGACCTTGCCGCTTTTTGCTCACTGCGTAGATCTAAGCGCTCTGTAAGTTGGGCAGAACTGTAATGGTGATTGCTGTACTATAAACTCTAAGTCATCGTAATAATACTGTATGTTATACGGAATCACGTAACCGCGTATCCCTCCTAGTAGCGGTCAAGCTACATTGGCGATAGATAGTAATATTCCTGGTCCTCCCCCTTGGCCGTATTTAATTTATATATTAAGATCTGTCTTATCCATCTTAGACTTGAATGCTCTATTAAACAAGCAAACTCCTCAACTACATCAGAAGAAAATGGAATTCTACGCAAAGGCCGATCTAGTAATCCCCCGCCCAAACCTAATGAAGGTCCTCGTCCTATCACTCCCACGAACAAGCAAGACGTATACCCCGATCGACCCTTAATTATGGTCTTTCCACTAAGCTGACCTAGACCAGCCACATGTGCAGCTCTCGGACAACTAGGGCTAAACCCATACCACTTCAGCGAAGCCTCCAAGAACAAGAACAACGAGCACTTCTAGCTCTGAAATATGATGGTATATAATTAATCCGGGGGGTATTGTAAAAACCGATGATAAACGCGGAGTAAAACCTGTCTGGTACATAGGACGCCATGACCAGCCTCGTTCTGCCCCCACTTAGTGCTAAGTTTAAATTGAATCCAGTCTCGACTGTGTGACTTTATCATTAATATACTACCTCTTCATGTCTCCGTTGGTGGACCTTCCTAGGGACGTACAGGTATTCAGAGGCTGGCTGAACCACTCCACAGCCACTATTGCAGTGGGTAGCCATTGCAAGCCAATTATGAACAAACTACGATTTCAATTTTACAAATGCGTCACCGTCTTCACCATGGTCATTCGACTGGCATCGTGGGTCTCGATGTTCGACTCATGACCTCGAATATGGGGAATATTTTCGGCGCTTTTCAGGTACATTATGTGGTAAATCGACACGTAAATAAGCCATTGCCGTTGATAAGTTAACGAAAGCTGAGTAAACAGAGCCTAGCACCGCCCATTAGGATTCCTTCAGGGACCAGATTACGTTCAAGATTTAGGCTTGGTATCTGTGAACTGCATTCTTGCCGTAAGGCAGTTCCGACCCCCAAACTTGCGACGCAACTACTCAATTTGCTTTTCTTGTGGCTTGTGCGGGGTACCTCATATGTCACGAAACTAAAATGCAGGTAAAATGCTCCATAGCATTGCGACAACCTTGGAAGATTATTAGTTACGCTTCCTCGCCTGTAGAGCGGAGACTATACTACGCGCACAGGAGAATAGAAACATGTCCATACCGTATAAGCACAACCCTAGAAGGTTCGTATTCCATTTAGTGGGTCTGACTCCGACTTTGAGCCAGGTGTTCCTTTCCTTAGAGGATAGGACTCAAGGGGCGGTGTAGATGGCCACGAATGTGTATATGTATAATAATCTGGAGAAGAGATTGAGGATATCGACCTTCCAACTCTATTTCCACAAAAGCTCGCAACCCTTTCGACATCTAAGCCATAATGGTTTCTCCACTACCATCTGTACACGCTGACAATGAATGGTCTCCTTTGCAATCAGTGATCGTTGGTCGGGCTGGCATTGCATGCTTCCCGAGCGCCCCAGTCAAAATGATTGAAGCGACAATGCCCTCAGAACATGTTAGCAACTTTAAACCGAAGACCATGTTTCCGCCAGACCTTATCGTTAAGGCCGAACTGGAATTTGATATATTTACTTCGATTCTTGAAGAAAACGGTATCAAAGTCTACCGACCGCCAAAGGACATCGACTGGCTAGCTGAAGATGGATACACTGGTGCCATGCCGCGAGATGGCCTCATGAGTGTCGGCAACACTATAATCGAAGCCTGCTTTGCGTGGCCTTCGCGGTCCAACGAGATCGAGATTGGATTCTCTTCTATACTCCATCAATTGGCTCTTGATCCTCGAGTAAAAATCGTTCGCCGCCCAAAAGACACTTTTGCAAACACCCTGCTCGACGATGATGGCACCCAAAATGGCCAATGGGCAATCAACAACAGTCGTCCAGCGTTCGACACCGCAGACTTTATGAGGTTCGGCACCACAATCATTGGCCAGCTGAGCCATGTCACGAATCAAGCGGGTGTGGATTGGGTCACCAAGAACCTGCCCAAAGGGTACAAGGTTGAAATGATTGAGGTGAATGATCCAAATGCCATGCACATCGACGCAACAATACTCCCTCTTCGCCAGGGGCTGCTAGTCTACAACCCGAAAAAAGTCACCGAGCAGGCCTTGAGGAAGCATACGGTGCTGGCTGATTGGGAGCTTCGGCCGTACCCATTCACACCAGAAAATCGAGCGTGGCCCCCACTATATATGACCAGTCCGTGGCTCTGTTTGAATGCATTAGTGTTAGATGGGCGGAAGATGGTGGTCGAGGCTAATGACACGAAAAGTCGTAAATGGTTTGAGTCGCTGGGAATGACATGCATACCCTGTCCATTTCAACATGTCAACAGTATTGGAGGCTCATTCCATTGCGCAACGGTTGATTTGGTGAGGCAGGAAACCTAGTTGATTCCTTTTGCATGATACCAAAGATGAAGCGAGCTATGTCAACCGGAGGACATGAGACTCTGATGTTGGCGATTCGAAGCGGCGTGTATTACGCGGGCTGCAAATTGTGCTAGCCATTTTTCCGAAATCGATCCAGCTTGCCAGAGCGGTAGTTAAGACAGTGGCTAATGCTCAAACAGCATTTGAAGTGTAGGAAAGGACCATGTGGCCTTTCCCATGACCCATCAAAATAACATGGACTCTCTTAGGATTATAAACAACCCTGGATATGAGCCCGTAGCATATCTATCATTTCTGTAGTTAAGAGGCATTGTATACTTTTTTTTATGTCAGAGGGACTGCAGAAGGCTATATATATAGCACGAAGTCCAAGTTAACTTGCATCAACTGGTTCGAGAGTTATTTCCGATAGTGCGAATTTGCTCCTGTATCATACTAAAGTTCTCTGCATGAATTCCGTTCCAATCATGCCCCGCCGCCGCATCGTTCCCAACAAACATTACTACACGGTATGATGATTATTCGTGACTTGCGACTTGAACCACTCCCCGCTTCTCCAACAAGCCAACAACCCCCAAAAGCCTAGCAAAAATATCACCCTCCTGACGAATCGTTTCCCAACAGCACCCCACCTATCCCAATAAAGCTCAACCTCGAGTTTCATGGCATCCGGTCCTGAATTCATATGCGGAAACGCCACCTCCGGCACCCCCACGCCTAGAAACTTACAAAGCGGCTCCCATCCCATTCCCGGATGAAACTCCAGCAGCCGATCTCCCGGGACAGCAGTCCGCACACGATCATAGTGCGAATCAAACGACGCCAGTAACGCCGGAACAGAGGACGGAGCGCAGGGTGGCTGACCCTGGGACAGGACAGTTGTCGTCCGGTTGAGCAACGCCTGATACGGACCGGTGAACTCGGGATCAAAGTACGAGAGGATACGCATCGACCGCCAAGACAGAATCTCCAGGATAAATCTCTGCATAGAACGCAGCCAGGCGGAACGGTCGCGGGTTGTCAGGATAACCTGTGCGTTAGGATAGGCGGAGAGCAGCTCGTCAATAAAAAGGCAGCAAGGGTCGTCAGAGAGGGCCTTCCTCGTGGTCAGCTATCTTTACAGTATTCTATATGCCACCATACACCGGAGCATGGAATCATGGGGAGTACATCATAGTTCCAAAGAATCCGATCAAAGTCCTCCCCCCGAAATTGGGTCCCGATTCCATCATATTTGGCCCGAACGGCTTGAAGCCAGAGCTGGAAGTGCTCGTTGTTCTTGTTCTTAGAGGCTTCGCTGAAGTGGTATGGGTTTAGCCCTAGTTGTCTGAGAGCTGCACATATGGCTAGTCTAGGTTAGCTCAGTGGAAAGACTATGATTGAGGCTCGGCCGGGGTGTACATGTTGTTCCTGTTCGTGGGAGTGATAGGACAAGGACCTTCATTGGGTTTGGGCGGGGGATTACTGGGGCGGCCTTTTCGTAGAATTCCATTTTCTTCTGATGTAGTTGAGGAGTTTGCTTGTTTAATAGAGCATTTAAGTCTAAGGTGGATAAGACAAATCTTAATATATAAATTAAATCCACGGCCAAGGGGGAGGACTAGGAATATTACTATCTATCGCCAATGTAGCTTGACCGCTACTCTATAAGGGATACGCGATTCCGTATAACGTATAGTATTATTACGATGACTTAGGGTTTATAGTACGGCAATCACTATTATAGTTTTACCTAACTTATAGAGCGGTGACCTGAACTAAGACTAGCGTATTTCGGAGTTATTTTCTGGCAAATTAGTCGTAAGAGTGTGGAGTAAAACTGGAATCGAAAACTACTGTACAAGAATACTACATTGTTGGCGCTCCTCCATCTATTCATTCCATATCCACCATCGTATCTTACTGGAATGACAGGCTGATCACCCCTGACCTGGTAATCTTCTTACTTTAACGTTCTGCTCTTCTTATATAACTTACTATATAAATATTCTTCTTCTTTATCGTCTTTACTAAGTTAGTAATTCGCGGAGTGATTTCCGGGTCTTAGGTATTTCGAGGAAGATCCGGCGATTCTTCGCTAATAGCTTATCTAGCCCGTTGGGTTCTAACCATCGTATCGAAGGGGATTAAAATGGAAGAATTATAATTATAATAAGAAAACTAGGTTAGGAGTAAGTAGCCTATAGATTTAGTAAGATACGATAGTAACCAGGTAATAAATCGATAGAGGAGCGTGAACAACGTAGTATTCTTGTATAAAGACTAATTCTTGTCTTCCATAAAAGGGCCCGGTGTAAAGTATAGGGGGTTTTAGTGTTTACAGGATAGGGCCTGTCAACTAGGTAAGATGAAGAGGACTCCGGAACCGATGTATTGTGCGAATTCTACAGAGACTGATACTTGGGGAACTTCCAGGTTCTCCCAGAACGGACTATTTAACATGAACAGGGGCGGGGTAGAGTGGCGGTCAAAGTACACTTGATGATCGACAGTGATACGCTGGCAATAACCCGTCTCAGCGATAGTACTCCAAAGGTTCAGGATCCACTCCATTACACCCGAGTTAAAGCTCTCTTATATGCCCATAACTGAAGTCGTCAGGGGCACATTATTGTTATGAGTGTCACCAATTCTAGTTATATCTTCGTTGGTGACACTACGTCCGAATCCTTTTCGTAACCGGAACTTCCCCATTACATGGCCGGATAAGTTGTTCCTCGTCCTGCATAGTTTCATTAAACCAACCAGGCAAAACCCTAATGGAAAAAGGCCAAAGGTTGGAAAGAGTGCTTGGCAGTCTTGGTAATCTGTCTTCTATTGTATGGTCCAAAAACCATTACACTAACCCTACCGCGTATTTTGAGCGGACCGAGATTAGGGGTGAAAACGGAGCATGGAACCTCTCAAGAAATAAAAAAGTAATTCACGAACAAACATTATCATGGGGCCCAGTGCTTCTTTGGGTATGGACTGAACGTGGCGGCATCTGGAATAGGAAGCCCCATCTGGCAGAGGAAATGAAATACGTATAGTTACCTAGGTAGTCCATCACAGCCCATTTTTCAATATATTGTTCATTTAATCAGGCTAAAGGGTACAGTGGATGGGGAAAGAAGAGTAGCGATAATTGTTATTCAGGCTATGGTCTGATATACTCAACCCTAAAACATAGCTAGATTAAAGCAAGACCGATTGTGCAGCTGAAACATCCGAGAAGCCTAAGGTTCACCATGCAAGCTGCTGGATGTCCTCTGAAATCTGCCACCCATGCGCCAATGAAACCCTTTTGTAATCCGCCACTGCCTCACCCACTGAGTAGTGCATATTTGATGTATTGAGCTGCAGACGTGCGGGTCTTGGATCAGTGTTGAGAATTGCCATACGAACCTGCAACAACACGCTCTCAATTGAAGCTGTCGGTAGCCAACCAGACTGCGTGAGCAATTCCATGCACAGAGCACCTCCAGCAGTTACATGCCCACCACCTCCGAGAGAAAACTGAAGGAAGCGAGGGCGAATCACTCGTACGAATGGGGGGTCCATGGGAAATTGGGGAGGGAATCGAAGCTCTAAAACGATGCTCTGCATTCCAACGGCTTGGAGATCCTTCGCTAGTAGAAGTTCCGGATCAAAAGAATGCAATTCCACGATCCATTGATAGACTGTTGTGATTAAGTTGTGGTCAACATACCAGCCGAGATGGTGCAATGGAACCTGCTTCTGGATTTTGATGGTGGCTGCGAGATGCTGCTGGAGAATCTTTGTGGCCGGTGTGGTTGCATACTCTGGTGGAGATAGCAGAGGCAAAGATTCCTCCTGCAAGAGTCCAGGGTAGTAGCCAGTCTTGGGGTCAGTATCTGGAGCGGTTTCATTTTTGACAGTAGTTGCTGCGTGACTTTCGAGGCTTTGATCGTCGGACAATAGGATTTGAATATCCTCCATGTCCGTTTCGATGCTGATATTATCGCCATTCTCATGTTCTTCATCATCTTCAACCATGTACTTACGCCTCTTAGATGGTGATTCAAGCTCCTCAAGTCTTGCTCGTGCAGTATCACAAAGAAACTTTCCTCGTTGGCCGCTCAGTATCGAGATAGGAATCTCTATTGGGGTTCCGCCTGGGCCAACGGCAACGTGCTTTTGGTCTTGCTTATAAAAGAGACTTCTTCCCTGGTGCCCAATCTGCGATGGATGCGAGGTCAAGCCCATAGCTTCGCTAGTGTCTTTGGCCTTGACAAACAGATACCGTGGCTGGACCCAGTCCAAATGTTGCACGACATAATGTGGAGCAGAACACACGAATCTCTCGGGAGCATTGACCACTTCGTTCAAAGAAATCACTGTCGAAATTTTAAGTCGAGATTTGGGCCATGACAAACCATGTCCATGAGTGTAACCTCTCGAGACGTGGAAGTGGTTAGACATGTAGATACCATCACCGTAGGCACGACCATGGGTGACATTATTGTGATAATGAAGTCCTTCACGGAGGATACTGTGCCAGTTCTTCACAGAGCTACCATGCCACGCAAACAGTGTGGGGTGATTCGGTTTTGGAGTCAAGGAGACAGAATTGACAGCGTCGGTAAAGCGTTGTTCTTTATCAGCAGCCCCTTGAACAAGACGAAATTGGACAAAGTCACTCATTCCAACCACCTGATGTTGAGGCGCATTATCATCCTTTTTTATGAAGGATCGATTTGAAGCAACAACCCAGCGTAACATGCCCAGCGCAGCGGGAGAAATGACTTGCTTCCATGTTGAGAGAAGTTGGTTCTTGGGACTTTCGATAAAGGACTTCATTTCATGAACATCGGGAAGGATGCCTACAATGAGTGAAACCATTTTTTGTTTTTGCGAAATGGTCAAGTCATCCAGATTGGTGTCGTAGACAGCGAACCATACTTCTCTGTCATTACGCTGTAACGCGCTTGATTGTACTTTTCGACCCTGACAAATCGGAGTTGCGAGAATCAGATGACCGGTGTATTCAGCGACATGCTCAACACGACAGTGCCAATCTTCGTCACTCTCTGCACTCTGACAGTAGTCAGCTTTCCCGCAGATAACGATCCAATCACCAACATGGACCGGAGGGCGCTGGCTTATCTGAAGCTCAAGATTGGGATAACTCAACCGTCCAGTATACATTTCATTGCTGTCTGGGTCGCGCTGAAGAATCTTGATTGGAACGCGAAGTTGAAGTCCAGTAGGAAAGTCCATAAGCTGCCATGATGTAGCTCTGGAGTATGCCAGACTGATCAGCAGGTCAACGACAAAAGGCTGTGAGGTGATTTCATATTCAATACTGGGGGCCATGCCCAGCGCCATGTACTGGTACAAACACAGTCCGTTGGAGCAGACGTAGGGCTTGATTGCCTCGAAAGTATCACCAGTCTTGCAATGGCAAACAAGACAGAACTCTGTACACTTGACAAAGTGTCGAAGTGTGAACTGCATTGCCAGAAGAGGTAAAGAAATATTTGAAACATTGTGGTCCATTTTGGCCACATGATCGGCGGCAAGAAATGATGGTGTTGAGGTGGCCCAGCTATCTGGCTGGTGATACTCCGGTAGAGAAGTATTGGAGTCGCTGAGACTCATGCCTTGATGCGTTTGGAAGAACAGCTCTGCCCCTGTCCATGAAAACCCATATTGTAGCCGAAGCTTGACAATTCCCAGAAGGCGCTCTCCGAGAAGGGAGTCAAGCGATTCTCCATTAAACAGTCGTTTGAGTGGATGACCTTTCATAACATTGTTGGAGGTCTGACTTTTGCTCTTCGTACCTTGACCCTGTGTGTCTTGGAAAAACATAGTAGCATGCTCCAAGGATGGTTTGTACGAGTCGCAGAGACCGACATGCATCTGGATCCTGGCGCTTTTTGCATCGCTTCCTAAATCGATGACCATCTGAAGATCTTGGTAGGCTGGTATATAGCGGATTAATAAGACCACGTACTCCGCGGGTTTGACATTCCAGGCATCCATGGCTTCCTCGGAGATACCAAGTTTAACAATGCGGCAGGACACAGACACAACGATGATGCCCTTTGCTGACCCCAGATACCCAATCTTAAACCCAGCAATTTTGGCCTCACGTAAGTCGCGGCGAATCTTCTTTCGCAGCTCACTCTCAGGTTGAGTGGGTCCGAATAGGGTTCCTTCGTCATCAGATTCCCAATTTGGTTCATCATCATCGCTGGCTGGCTCGCACTCATTAGAATCGGGAGTATGCTCTTCTTCGGAGAAGCTGAATGCGGAATCATGTTCAAAGGTGGCGTTGGCGATGATCTTTGGAACGTTGCTTAACAGTCCATCAATTGTTGAGCCTTTAAAGAAAGACCCCGCGTCTTCCAGAGATGAAGTGACTGTTGGAGGGCAATTTTCAGAGGTTGAGAAGATCAAATAGCTATGATAATTTGGGTAATCATGTGAATCTGGATTCTCGGTTAGCACGATATTAATGACAGTGTGAGTCATAGTTTTCTTACCTGATACAATGGCCTGAAGATCGAGTGTGATGCTTTTCTTAGGCTCTGTAAATGTGAAAGAGATGGACCCATCACACTCCCCTGCCCTGATATTGGAGATGCATGGGAAGTGGCCAGGTGCCACCGCTTGTTCAAGATCTCGCAAAAAGTCTTTGCGCGGCATGATCAGGTGCAAGAGTGTAAGAACAAAGACGCAAAGTAACGACAGAAGACTTTAAAGAGTGCGGAGGTGGGGTATAGAGTGCGTATGAGAAATATAAAGACAAAGAAAAGATATCAAGCTAGATATGAAGGAAGCGGAAGGGCAAAGGCGCAGAAAAGCAGAGAAGATGATAAACAACATACAAGTCCACTTCCATTTAAGGTAGCGGGTAAGCCCCACTTGATTTCGGGATCCACCCTCTGTGTCATTTTCCACCTTTCCTACTTTTTCTATAATCACAATGGTTTTTTCATGACCCGACTTTTGCTTCTTCTAAAGGGTCCAAAAGATTTAAATGTCTATGTATCATTAATATCATATATGCCTTGCTGAGTATCCAATCATTTTCTTGCAAATCCCTACTAATCCTTCCGAGCTCTCTCCAGGCATGGTCGATTGAACCAAAAGCCCACGCTGACCATGATATTTCCAATTGCACACAGCAAGATGGAAAATATCGAACTGACTTTACGTTGCGCGAGCGCACCAACAAAGCACCCTGCAGTCAGCACAATCAAGAATATGACCCGACGGTCTCTCAATCGGTTATTCAGCTTCCCTAGCTTTGGACTCACCGCCACACCCATGAATGTGGGTTTCACCATGGCTGTGGTGATTTTCGTGGTTTTCAATAAGCGGCTCATGGCCATCTGAGCCCCAGACGAGAATGACAAAAGTACAACAACTGTCATGGCAGGACAGCCATCCCTTTGGATCGAAGATGAGTACTGGATCGCGACCGCTGCAAACACCAGAAAGGCTTTAATAGAACTGCTGGTCAAGAGTCAACCATTTAGATTATTTCCAACTTGTCTCATGACGAACCCTCCAGCCACGAAGAGACCGAGACTAATCCCAATGTTGAGAAAGTTATATGCATTCTTGCTAAGTCCTGCAACAACGATCGCAGGAAACAATTTGCTCCCAGCTTGACTAGAGCGGACCAGGTGGCTGTATATTGTAAACTGGTCGCGAAAGAAAGAGCCAAAAGTTCACATTCGAGAAGGAGGTCCTCGCGGCTATTTTCTATCAACAAGCCCCACAGTCGGGACCTGCAACGCGTCTTGGTCTATCGCAGAGAGGGCTCCATTTTGCTATTGTATTCTAGTATGTGTTAGTACTCTCCAGCGCCGGTGAGATTGTCTTGATGTTTACGCTTGAATCAAGACAGACCTCACTGCTTGAATCTATCTTGATTGGACTTTCTCAGTCCTCACAAGCCAAGGATGTGATACAGATGCGATTTCACTCTAGGTCAAAGAAAACAGCGCATTGACCATGACTAGTGGATGTATGACTATGACAGACCAAGTCAATTTGTCAGTCGTGTCAGTACGTAGGTAGAAATTGTATTTACTTAGAATTCAATCGCCGGCGTCAGTCACCCATCAGCATTCCACGCCGACGTAGGGCCAAAAGAATGGCGAACTCAATATCAACACCACTTGGTACCGATCACGAGGGTGCAGGCAAAGGTCCACGAAACGTGCAACCGGGTTATGGGATTGGCTACTGACTATACAAGGTCTATGATTTTAGATCACCTTGAACATGTCTAGATGAGTGTGCTTCTTATTCAAAGCATTGCAAAGCAGTATGTATTTGGTGGAATGACCAACGCAAGTACGTATGCCAAACCAACCCGGGAAACTTAAAAAAAATAAACAAATGAAATAGCAAGATTGACTGTGTAGTGAGAGGAAACTTCGCTTCACGCTGTCAACTGGACCTTTGGTGCTCCAAGTATTGGAATGTGTATTTGGCTCCTAGAACGACAGTGCAGAGGATGTACATGGAAAAGCCAGCCCAAACACCCGACCAAAAAATTCCTGCCGGGATTTAAAGATGCTTCTCGATTACCTGGCGACCTAAATTAGGTAGCCTTGTCCTTGTTGTGGTAGTTGACATCGGAGTTCCAGCTATTGATAGATCGATGAGTTAGTTATGCAATATTCAAGCTTTGAGACAACGAAAAGGCACGGGTTAATCATCAGATTAACAGGCAGATAAAGAATCCAGTCAAACCCGGTAGAAGTTGGGTATCGTGCATCAAAGGGCACGGGATGTGGTCGGGGTTAATAGGTCGAAACTCACAAAATGGTCTATACCAGACTTTGGTTAGCGTATGAATCTTTGCTTAAATGTGTTTGGAAAAACTTGCCTTGTCACCGTCACCCCAAGGGAAGTTCTTGACGCGAATGTTTTGGTATGGGTACTCGGTGCGCTCCTCAAGAGGGGGCATGTGCTCCCAGTGCTCCCAGTGCTCAGACCAGAGGTTGTAGGCGTTGAGGCCACCACCAATCAGGCAGGGAATGACAGCACTTTTATCAAATTAGTCTCTGCGATTGAATTCATACCGGAAGTTTGTTTCAATGGGGAACGTACAAGATGGACAATTTGCGCCAGAGGTCTGGGTAAACATTGAGTCAGTAAGAGACATTTTTGATAGCCAAAAATTAAGCTGAAACATCAATTGCTCAAATGAGGATTGACTGACCACTGGTAGAAGCAGCATGGTGCTTGACGGCAGCTCTCTCGCGGTTAAACTCGTTGTCAGCGATCCAAGAAGGCTTAGCCTCGGCGCTGTTGAAACGGCGCTGAACAGTTGACCGGACTGAGCCGGGACGCATCTGCTGCGAAGCACGCTGAGACAGGCGACCGACGATGCGCTGAGGGAACATGGTGGGTGGTGTTAAGGGGGGTTCTTTTGTAGGAGGACGTCCGAAGGTGGTGCGATGAAGCAAAAGCCGCCTTTAGCGCATCCCCGTGATCTGCCGGATTATATAATCCCTGATGTCACCCAGGTCACGTGCTGACCTTGTCACGGGTTATGTCAATTCGATGGACTGGCGAACTCCACTGAAGTGAACTTCGACTGTGAGCGTTGCCTTTGAAGAGACCTTATTTTTCTATGTCGCAGGAAATGCTATGTCCTCTCCAAATAAATTAATATTCAACCATGGGATTCCGTATCACTACATGGAATGGTAAGTTTTGCTTGGTTCTTGCACAGGGACTAGAGTGTTTACTGGATGCTAACTGTAAATGAAACAACAGTCAATGGTATTCGGTACGAGAAAGCTCTACAAGTGAAATTTTCTCGATACTGACACATCTGGCAGAAATCCGTTCTCATACGAGCCATGGAGAGGAACGCGGACATTCGAGGTATGTGTCTATCCGTTGCATATTTAAACTATTCAGAGCTGACTAGGTTTAAAGTCTATGTTTGAAATCCTGGAAGCAGATATTGTTGTTCTACAAGAAACCAAGATTCAGCGCAAAGATCTCCGAGATGACATGGTCCTTGTGCCAGGATGGGACTGTTACTTTAGCCTCCCTCGTGTTAAGAAAGGCAAGCTGCAACTCCGCAATTACTTAACAAAAATGCTTATGACTTTCAGGGTACTCTGGTGTCGTAATTTATACGCGCAATGCTACATGTTCTCCTATCCGGGCAGAAGAAGGCATAACTGGTGTCCTCTGCCCACCGAACTCATCGGTTCCTTTCTGCAACCTTCCAGAAGAGCAGCAGATTGGCGGATATCCGACGACTGATCAACTTTCCAGACCAACGATGGCTGATGTGCTCGATTCGGAAGATGAGCAACATGACGTGAGTCCGAGGCCTGATGCCAGAATTGACGCACCAACCCTCGACTCGGAAGGCCGCTGTGTCGTCCTTGAGTTTCCTGCATTTGTTCTTATTGGTGTTTATTGCCCTGCTTATCGAGACGAGAGTCGGGACAATTTCCGTATGGACTTCCTCAATGCGCTAGATGCTCGGGTCCGCAACTTGGTTGGAATGGGGAAACGCGTGATCGTGACCGGAGACATCAATATTTCAAAGCAGGTCATTGACACTGCTCATGGATTGGAGCTCATACGGAAAGCTACAACGTCAGCAGAGGAGTTTATCTCCAGTCCTGCTCGACGTCTGTTCAACCAACTGCTATCTGATGGCGTGGTGATCGGCGAGCGCGAAGAAGGCAGGGAAAAGCCAGTCCTTCTAGATGTCTGTAGATCATTTTACCCAGATCGCAGTGGCATGTACACTTGCTGGGATCAGAAACTAAATGCCCGGCCGGGGAATTACGGCTCAAGGATCGACTATGTGCTATGCAGCTTGGATATACAAGACTGGTTTTCGGATTCGAACATTCAAGAAGGATTGATGGTATGATGTCTCCTTGTTAGCCTGTGTCACTCTATCCCCCAACTAATTGCTCAAAAGGGCTCAGACCACTGTCCTGTCTATGTGGTCTTGAAAGAATCTGTGAATCAGCATGGAGAACAAACTAAAATTCTGGATATTCTCAACCCACCAGGAATGTTTAGTGATGGTAAACGACAACAGGAATATTCGAATCGCTGCATATTGCCCGCTTCGGGACGTTTGCTGCCAGAGTTTGATCTTGATAAGCGCAGAAGCATCAAAGATATGTTTGCCCGCAAGCCTACACCTCTATCATCGAACTCGGCGCATTTAGCCGCTACCCCAGCTGCAGTCTTTGGAGCTCACACCAACAAAACACCGACTGTACACCCAAACCTGAGTCCTGGTACGCGGGAACAAAAGGTTGCTGCACATACCATTGAAAACACCGAATCTCCTCAAACTGCTGCTCGCAAGCGCCCCCGGCTTTCCTCTACTGCATTCCGAAAATACCCCAAGCCCTCTGCAGCAACGTCTTCCGGAATCTCCATAGGTAGCCAAAAGACATTAAAGGGCTTCTTCAAACCCAAAGCTACCAATGATTATCCAACTGTACAGTCTCCTACGGTACCTCCAACCTCATGGGTATCACCTCTCAACTGCGAATCATCTAAACCATCACATGAAGACGAAACAGCCTCCTTTGTTGATCCTGGAAGCCCTTCAATCACCCAGAAAGACATAGTTTCCACAGCAAGAGAAGGCAATGCCGTCAACAACGACTTTATCATCGACCCAATTGCAAGCAAGGAGGATTGGTCGAAGCTATTTACCAAGAGGCCGGCTCCATCATGTGATGGGCACAAAGAGCCATGTATCAGTCTGACGACAAAAAAGCCTGGAATGAATCGTGGCCGCTTGTTTTGGATCTGTTCACGGCCATTGGGACCCAACGGAGAAAAGGAAAAGGGCACACAATGGCGATGTCCTACGTTCATCTGGGCCAGTGATTGGAACTCATCCGCTGGATTGCATGAGTCATAAACTGCCCGCATGTCTCATTCAAAAGATATCTCTATATGCAGTTGATGCCGATATATGTCACCACACCTTGATCTTAGGTAAAGGATTTGATGTACACGTATGTGAATTCTGACCAGTTTGTCTAGAGTTCGCCCGGTTATTAGGCCCAATCCCTTAGATAGCTCATAATATCCAAAACCCTACCCTGCAAGATTATATACTCGAGTACCTAGGTACTTTAAAAGAAATATTGCTCGTGTCAAAGAAAGCTATATGCTATAGAGGTATTTTTTATATTGTTTATTACTATAAAAGCAAGCCATCTATGGATGTCCTTGAGATAAGTATGTCATATGTTCGCATATAGTCTTATAGTGCGGTAGCATAAAGAGCTGGTGTTGGCTTTGAGCAGCTGTTTTTGTAAAATATATGTGTGTGTGTTTGTATATATATATGTAATAATTTCTTCACTGCCTTGATCATGAGAATCTGGCTGTTTATTCTAAGATTGTGTTTATTGACATGGATCCATGGATGTTTTGATTGGTGTGATTTAATTGGTGGACTACCCTTATTCGCTATTGACAATGTATTGTTCTCAATTGACATGTTTTGATTTGGTGTAACTTGATTGGTGGACTCTTATTGTCTACTAGTACTATTGATAATGAATTGTTCTCATTTTCTTTTATTAACTTATTGATTTATTTAATTAATTAGTTAATTTGATTGCTTTATTTTTGTATGAGTCATTAAATAGTCGAAGAGCAGAAGTACCTTAAAGGGAAGTATCTTATTAACTCCTTAGCCTTCTATTCAAACTCTTTGGTAAGAAAGTGAAGCTATTTTTATGTGTAACGTTGTGTGTACAGTATTGTAACTATCAAAATATTTTAAGTTTTAGGTGGAGGCGCTAAGCGCTAGATCTATAGATCCCCCCCACGTGGAAGATTTCCACATTTGGTTTTCACTATAGTATGTCTTCTGTAGTCTAGAAGCCTAACTTTTATCATTTCTATAAATATATCACTTGTAGAAAGTGTAAAAGAGTGCAATATATAGAAAACTGGAAATCTAAAATTGAGTTCTCAGATACATACGTAAATTGATTGTTAAAGGTACATGTTATCAAAGTCACTGTTGCTCCTTACCTTCCTTTGTCTACTGTATTTTCTTTGTTTATTGTGGCTTCTTTGTCTATTGAGATTCCTTTGTCTATTGAGATTCCTTTGTCTATTGAGATTTCTTTGTCTATTGAGATTTCTTTGTCTATTGAGATTTCGTTGTCTATTGAAATTTCTTTGTCTATTGAGATTTCTTTGTCCTATTGTGTTTTCTTTGTTCTTGCTATTTTCTTTGTCCTCTGTTCTCTTTGCTCTATTGGTTACTTCGTCAACAAAGAAATCACACCTCCCTCTATTATTGGTCTTGCTAGAGCAAACAAAGAAATCCTAGACTGTCCCCCACCGTATTTTATTTTTGATTGCGGTTCTGCTTTTTTCCTTACTACTTTTTCTTTTCGACCTCTTCAATCCTTTGCTTCTCTTCATCCCAACACAATTTTCTTATTTGCTGCTCCTCGGAAATAATAAGTCAGTTTGTCTTACTTGATTTCCATTTTCTACTTCTTCTCTTTGTTCAAGATGTCGCAGACCACCTTCTGGGACATCAATGACCCTAATTCAATGAGCGCTCGTCGTGCCACCGAGATTCTGTGGGGTGATGCCATTGTGCAGCTCCGGGCTAACAACGGAGAAGTTCTGGTTCCCTGCGACATAGTCACTGATGTCATCGGGGAGGCCAATTTGAAAGTCATGGCTGACCGTCTTGCGTAAGTACTTGACCTTGAAGTTACTTTGAGTCCTCTCTGTTAACATACGAAAATAGAAACATCATGAACAAAAAGGTCCACATCTTGCATGACGTGCCTACTTCGTGCTACCGTCTTGTTGCAAGTGACGATGAGTCAGTCACCTCTCAAGGCTCGAGCCTTAGCGACACCTCAGTTAACACGAGTGATCACAGCAGCATCGGAACGCCCTTGCATACAGCTGGAGATTCTTCGGTCAAGATTCCACGACCCCCAAATTGCTTTATTCTGTACCGTCAGGCATTCCACAATCACGTCAAGGCTGCCAACCCAGGGGTCTCCAACAACGAAATCTGTGAGTGCTATTTCCTGATTTAAATTGCTGAATCCATACTAACTATAGAGTCAGCCCGCATCCTTGGCGCACGTTGGAACAACGAGTCTGACGCCGTTCGCACCAAGTACACACTGATTGCCGAGCGCTTGAAAGCCTTGCATGCACTCAAATACCCTGACTATCAGTATGCTCCCCGTCGACCCCACGAGCGCAAGCGACGAGCAACTCGAGTCCGCAACGAGGATACAAGCTCTATCGAAGCCGATCCCGCCTACGTTGAGCTGTACAACAATGCTCAGGAATCTCAGGATGAATTTCAATCTATGTCAACTGCAGAGGAGTTCATGAAAGATCTGGATGACCAAATTGGATTTTTCAACCCCGACAATGTTGCGCCTATTCCTGATTTCTTCAATGAATCCGATGGTCAGATCATTGGCACCGGTCAACTTCAGAATGCCATATTCGACTCCATGGAATATTCTACTACAACTCTTACCAACGGCATCAATCTTGATATCCACAACCACGAAATGCTTGTTTCCGACTTGATTTGATACCAACACTCTGCAACTTTGGCTTCAACGGTTATGATCATGGTACCACGACTTCTATTACACTACTTCTATTCTCTGGATTCTGATTCCTCAATTTCTTCTGTGCTTTGCTTTCTTGTCCCACAAGGCGTATTACAGAAACAACAAACCAAAAAAACTCCCGCAAAACAAAAAATTCAAAAAAAGAAAATTTAATCCCTTCTATTGATCTCAAATCCGTCCCCTGGGGCCATTCTACTCACTTGTTTGATACCCTGTTCGATTATCACACTTCTGTCTTTCCCAATATCCCCTTCACCTTGCCCATTGCGGTGTCTTACCCCTCAGCCTTTGCTTTCAAGTACTTTATCCGTCACATGAAGCCTGAATTTGCTAGTTTTTTTTCTCTTGATTGGTTTTCTATCCCAAGAGTTGCCCAGTACCTATTTGCTTCCTGCGTGAATCTTTTCTGTAATTTAGCTATTTGCAAATCAAAGATTGCTTGCTTGGTCTTTTTTTCTTCTCTGTATTGTAGATATGTAAAACGGACTTGGTCAAAGGGCTTTACTTGATTGGCGTTCTGCCAAATCGGTCCCATAACCATTCATCTGAATCACAGTTCGTCCCAATCACAAGTCTCGCGGTCGCAATTACTTTTAAGCAGTCTTTTTTTTGGCATTGATGACGCTTTGAAGTCAAAGACCAGACCACACAACGACGCGGTGGCATCCATTTCTTTGTCTGCAGCTACGAGGTGCACGAGGTGACGTCTCGATATTCTTTGTTGATACCCGGCGCTAGTTGCTTTGACCCATGGATCTGCATGCGCCACGCCCGAGGATCCACCAGTCAGTTTGGGCCAAGTCTTGGCATGCAGTGACCAGCAGGAGATCTAGGCCACGGAACAAGTGTGCGACCACGCATTCTACATGGGCTTCTACTGGAGCCAAGACGCAGATGTGGATGCATGGAGTGACTTCGTGTATTGTATCCGATCAGGAACTGTGTGAGATGCTTGCATTCGCTATGGGAAATCAAAACTCTAGACTAACTACGGCAAGATGCAAATCGGCCCAGGTCAAAGATCACGAAGAGCGACACGGAAAATACTTTGGAATTGAGATGCGGGATATACACAGACAGCTATGAGCGAAATAAAGGCACATGTGACAAAGTTGCTCAGTCCTCCTGGTAAGAGATCTTGCGCATCTCGCCGAGACGCTGGCGCGCACGAGCGAGACCGTTTTCGAGTTGAAGAATTTCGACCTGTTGAGGGAACACACATGAGAATGAGGTGGATTAGATACAAGGGGGAAGGGGATGTCACATACCTGTTGCTCCATTTCGCGGACCTTGAACTCGTGCGAGCTCAACTTTCCATAATCCTCTGCGTCATCGCCGTCTCGGTTCTTTTCCTTGATGATGTCTTGCACCTGTCTTACAAGAGCACGGCAAGCGGCACCGACAGCCTTACTGGCTGTCTCCAGGCGGTCCTGGGTTTTGCTCATGAAGATTGACTTCACGCGACTGGCTGCAACAAGCTGGGCAGTGCTGGCTGCGACATCGTTAGAGGCGACAATGAGCTGCTCGGGCGAGTTGCGACCGGAGATAACACCATCTGCAGTCTCGATCAATGTGTTGGTCGAAGAAGCCACTGCCTTGGCGGCAGAGATCAAGCCCTCCGTCCAGCGGTTGTTCTTCTTGTAGAAGGCAGTACGAGAAGAGCTACCACGGCCTTCGCGGACAATCTCCTGCTGGGTTTCTGTGGCGGCTTTGATCAACTCCGAGATTGCGTTGGTGACGGCAATTGCGGCAGCAAGAATGACATCGTTGATGCGCAGCTCGTAAGTCGAGAACCCATCACGAGGCTTGTTTTTGAGTTTGGCAAGACGCTGGGCAGCTGCGTCGATGGCATCAGCGGCCTTCAGCAGCTCCTGGTCGACGAGATCACCCAGATCACCATTTGTACTGATCTTGCTGTTCTTGGGAGCAAACGAGTCAACCAGCTTCGACAACGACTGGAGATCACGTTGAACTTCAAGGTTGTTGTTGATGACCACATCTGTCTTCTGTAGAGGCTCCAGACCTTCGAGACGGAATGATTGCAAGCCACGGAAGAACCGCACGGTCGCTTGTGCAGACTTGCGAGCCGCATTGACAAGATGATCAGAGCTCTTATCGTCGTTGGCGAAGCGAATCAGACCCTTGGTATTGCTCAACACATCCGATACGGATCCGGAGAAGATAGAGACTGTGCGGATGATCTCAGCATGGGGACTGTTGGGCCCATCGGCAATAAAGTTGTTGAAGGCCGTGGAAAACTCGGTCGCAGAGGCCGATGCCTTTTCGATCTGCGAAAGAACATATGGGGGAGAGGCGTTCTGGTTACCAGCCTGCATAGACGAGTCCAATTCGTACAGAGCATCATCGACACGCTGCACACCAGTCTGCAATACAGAGTCGATGATATCGTTGATCTTTGCCACTGTGCCGTGAAGCACAGTGTCAATCTGGCTGTCCAGCGCATGGTCGACATCTCCTTGGTTCTACAAGCCCACGTGATCAGTATTCATTTATTGTATGGTGTTCAGGCCTCTGCTTACCATTCTCAGCTCCTCCAGCTCCATAAGAGCCTGTTCCATTCCAGATTTGTACACCTCAATCTCCTCGTCCTTCTCACGAAGGGCCAAGTCATGGTCTCCCTGTCGGTCATTGTTACGGCTGGAGTACTCGTCCAAAGCCCGGGTCTTGATTCGGAGAGACTCTTCCAAATCGGCCATCTCGCGGTTGTACTTGGAAAGCATGGATGATATCTCGGTGCCTTTGGAGCGCTCTGCATTTTCAGCACGCTCGATGGCCATGCGCAATTCTCGCTTGAGCTTCTCTAAGTCATCCTTGTTGGTGCCTGTCAAGCGGTCACGGTCATGCAAAGCACGGTCACGTTCCCGGATCATGTCAGCCAGCTCCAAGTTCTTGGTCTTGAGCTCGCGCTCCAGCTTCTCGCGGCGGTCGATTGCTTCCTGTGCAGAGGCCGCCTTGAGCTTGAGGCTCTTTGTGGTTTGCAGAAGATCAAGGTGCTCCTGTCGAAGCTGCGAGTACAGCTTTGCCAACGCCTCGTACTTAGAACGCCAGGTGTTTACCTGCTCTTGCAGAGCTCGGATCTGCTCGTCCTTCGAAGCACTTTGGAGGTTCAGGTTCGAGTTCAAATGGTTCATCTGCTCCTCGAGGTCCTTGACACGGCGGTCATATTGTTGCAGCATCAACTGATCCCGCTCATACTGGGCACGAGCATTGAGGTTCTCCTGCTCCAACTCTGCAAGTCGGCCTTGTGTATGTGTTTGATACTGATCACGGAGAAGTTGCTCCTGTGCCAGTCGTTGCTGTTCCGCCTGCAAACGCTGCTGTTCTTCAAAGTCATTCTGTGCCTGCTGTTGCGCAAGGGCCTGCTGGCGTTGCTGATCCTCCCACTGCTGCTGCAAGCGCTGTTGTTCCGCCTCGTACTCTTCTTGTTGACGCTTGGCTTCGTTGGTCCAGAAATCGTTGATCGGCTCGGGTTCAGCAGCGACCTTGGGCGGCGGGGAGGGCTGACTTTCCACCTCTTTTGCCGGTCGCCTAGGGAGAGCTGGGCGGTCGTCGTCTTCGGCAAGCAGATTCGGAGGATCTTGTGGCAATTTTGGGATGGTAATGAGACCGGTCAGGTAGCGCAAGTTGGAACACTCATAGTAGAACCGAACAAGGCGGTGGTGCTGGGCATCATACCGGCCTCGGAGGGGCTCAAGAGCCTCATCGTCTCCAGTGGCTGCAGACAATAGCGGTCAGCGGTTATTGAACACATCCTCCAAGGACTCAGGGTCAACGTACTTGTGTGCATGGCTCTTAGCATGCTGGTGATGAACTTGTAAATGCCATAGCTCTCTTGCACAAGGGGGACCAATGCCGAGATCCGACATTCATTGTTCGTGCCGGACTGGAAGTTTGAGAAGATGAGTTTCTGGAAGGAATCAATTTGATCTTGCAAAGCCATGAGATCGGAAATTGTCTCGTAGCTGCGCGAACGTTAACATCAATCTATGTGCATTCTGACAAGGACCGGCATGTACGCACCCTTCGTTCGGATCATTGATCGACTTCAAACTAATATACTCCTCATACTCAAACAATCCTGTGGTCGTTAGACATTGTCCGTCTCCAAACCAGATGTACTCGGGGGCGACATACCATTGAACTCGGGGTGGTTGCGGTGAAAGGCCAGCTTCGACTCGAGGAAGAAGACATATTCTCGGATGAGCGGAGCGTATCCTATGTTTATCAATCGTCAATATCCTGTCTATCGCATGCGCCACTCCTCAAGCATTGGGCAAGTTCGCAACCCTCCCGTGTGGAGAACATACCTCGAATGCCGTCGCCACCAACACCTCTCATTAAGCTATCAATCCAGTTTGTGTGCTGCTGCGCCTCGCGTACAACCATGGGGTGGCCCTCCTGAAGAACCTTGTGTATCGTGATCAGGGCCTTGAACGTCTGGACCTCGTCGGCGAGGACAGGCTGCCTGCGAAAAATTAAGACATGTCAGCAATCTCGCGAACAGCAATTGTTCCAAGCCCGCCACATCATCCAAAAACATACACTTTCATGCCAGCCCAGAAGGCAGCCGACGACTTGTGGTCCCATGTATAGACGATACAGCTCCGCACATGTTTTCCTGCAGGCGCGGGGGATGGTCAGTCTGATTCGGAAGCGACACCAGAGGCGGCATCAATCGGATTGACAGAATACAATGGAATGCGGTCCAGACATACGTTTGGGGGCGGTCTCCTCTATTCACAGTCCATTGTCAGCTGATCAAGTTCACTCTCCCGCTTCGGCATCGTCTTCGGCCAGCCACTTACCGATACTTGTAGCCTTGCGGATATTAATGGCCAAATCAGTCTCGGTCCTGTGCAATCTTCTGTCAGAGGGAATTTCCAGTCTCACTTCGGGGTTGCTTACCGACTCATCGTGGCCGTTGGGGTGCACTCAATGCGTGCTCAGGGGAGGGGGGAGTATTGGATAATTTTGCGATGACAGATAACAAGCCCGGACAGCGCGCAGACGCGAAGGGTTGCGCTGACCGGAATAAGCGAATAATTAAGAATCGCAAAGTAGGGAGTTTTGCGTGAAGCACCAAAAAGATACACGTGGGGAGTTTCAATGACGTTGATGGGGAACGGGAAAGCTGGCGCCTATCCAAATTTCTTGGCGACGCCTAAGCCGATGCGGGTTGGGCCATATCAATCACTATCCCTTGCGATATTTGATGCCTATGCGGTCTATATATATATGTTATATATAAAAGTTGAGGCGACCGAAATAAATATACATATGTCTGCTGCCTAGGTACAGTAAGTGTCTGTCTGGGATATAATACTAAATCTTTTGAGCCTACATACATATATATGTACATAGGTACTGCGGTTATGACATCGCAACTTCGGCGGAACAAGAGGAACCGAACCGTTCCTGAGCTCGATAAGAGTTCACTCCTTCAGTGTGGGTTATTTCGCTGAGCGCCGCGACTGGAACCGTCTCCCATTATCGTGTCTCCGAAGCCTGTACAAATGAATATCCAGCGCTCTCATCCAGTGACTCCTCCGGCGACGGCTTCCGAAGACATCATGGCTAGGCTAGATGCGATCGGCTCTTGGAGTCGTCATGACCGTTTACACTGCAGAGTGAACCTTGGAATCCCCGTTCAACTCATGGTAAGTTCATCCAGAGAAACTTTTGAAACTTCATCAATTATACTAAAGTGACGACAAGTGAAAGGAAAATGAGAAGTGGTGCCATCGTGTTCCTGACAGCTGAAACTCAGCTTTAGATCCATCCATGGATGTATAAGCTTATCCTAAAACTTATCTTCTAGGACCTCTTGTATACGTAAACCCATAACTAGCTGTCAGGAAAATAAAGCATCTGGGCATACTACATATGTAGTTCAGTCGTCTCGACCTACAGTTCACTAAGTTTACCAAGAAAGCATTTCAGGTCAGAAGTGTTTCATATCTTGCTATCATGTTCCTGACAGTTGGTCTCAGGCGGGGTACCAACAGCTCTACTTGTAATAATACAGTATGTAAGATATTATATAGATAAATACAATAGCAACGGGACCAAATACAAGTAAAATTTGATGAAATACAAATACAAAACCTGTATTGCCGAGGTACCCAGGACCTCCGTCATTCCTCATGCTTGTGGCAGCTGCAACTTCCTGCAACTTCTCTTGTGTGCTAAATCTGTGGTCCCTTGTCTCGCTCATTTTTGTTTATTATCTCGGAGCCGGTCTCTTCTTTACTGATTTGCTCTTGGAGGTCACTCTCCCAAACTATGGAGCTTTCGATCCTCCCGCATTGATCTACTGGTTCCCGATGGGTTCGCTCGGTAGCTTCCTCTTCGTTTACGCGCTTGGTGGAATCACCTTCATTCCACTCGTCCTATCTTTTATCCTCCTTTACGCCTATTTTACTCTTCCGTCCGCGTCGCAACTGCAGCAATCATGCGAGAAAGCGCCCGATCCCGTACGCCAGCCGAGCGATGACGATTTTAGTCTTAAGTCTGGCACCGATCAGCTAGCAGAGAAATTTCACCGCACCCACGAGTCTGATGTTGCCGCCGGATACTTTGCTGTCTGTCGTGAATATGTTACTGGTGGTGTTAATGGAAAGCCTCCTGAGAGAACCACTCCCGCCGGGGAGGTCGTTGCGACCGAAAGTCCCAGCGTTTACCAGACTATGTACCGCAGTCTATTCGATCGAAAGCAAGCACCGAGTATTGAGCCAGCCAAAGCAAATGGCAAAACAACCAAGCGGGCGCGGAATGTCTTCTATATTGTGCTTCGGTATGCATCTCTGTCTAGAGTTCATTGACGGTCGTTATCAAAGCAATGATTACTGACGATATATCGCATCTCTAGGCACGGCCACTTAATGCTCTATGACGATATGAACCAGGTAGAAGTGCGCTATGTCATCTCCCTTGCTCACCATGATGTGACGATATATGGCGGAGAAGGGGACATCCCCGAAGGAGAGCTATGGCTCAAAAGGAATGCCATCTGCCTCTCCCGGCGACTGGAATCCCTTGGAGATTTGGGAGGACCGACTCCGCCGTTTTATCTGTTCTCTGAGAATCTCTCTGAAAAGGAAGACTTTTACATTGCCATGCTGCAGAACCAAAACCGGCTCTGGGATTCAGCTGATCGCCCACCCAAGCCGCAGGAATTCGATACTAAACATATTGTCACTCTGGTTCAGCGTCTACACTCCTCCGAAGAGCAATTGCAAACTCGCTGGATCAACGCTTTCCTAGGAAGGTATTTCCTAGCGTTATACCGAACCCCCGAGTTGGAGGAATTCGTGCGGAGCAAGATTGTCAAGAAGATATCTCGGGTCAACAAACCGAACTTCATCAGCAAGATTGGCTTGCAAAGAATTGATATGGGCGAAGGAGCTCCATTTATCACGAACCCAAGATTGAAAGATTTGACGGTAGATGGGAACTGTTGTGTTGAAGTTGACCTTCAATATACGGGGAACTTCCGGGTTGAAATTTCGGCGACTGTCCGTATCGACTTGGGCCCTCGTTTCAAAGCGAGAGAGGTCGACATTGTCCTGGCTGTGGTTTTGAAAAAACTGGAAGGCCATTTATTGGTTCGATTCAAGCCTCCACCCAGCAATCGTATGTGGATGTCGTTCCAAACCATGCCGAAGATGGAGATGGATATTCAGCCCATTGTCAGCTCAAAGCAAATCACCTATAGTCTCATTCTGCGAACAATCGAGAGTAAGATTCGCGAAGTGGTGGCAGAGAGTATTGTTTTACCTTTCTGGGACGACGTCCCATTCCACGACACCTTGAACCAGGCATTCCGCGGTGGAATCTGGCAACAAGATACTCCAGTGTCAACCGCCCAGGTAGAGATACCTGATGAATCCGGTGAAGCTCCTCAGACTCCGAAGAGCATTGGCAGTGACTCCATCGAAGTCCTTAAATCCAAGGACGATCGCACGATGAGCATGCCTATCCTTTCAGAGCCTGCAACAGCTAAGAAAGAGTCGCGAAAAGGTCTTAGAACAAGCCACTCCGATTTGCAGCCAAATGGTTCAATTGCCAAGTCAACCGGGGTCGAGAGACCAGACAGTACACCGCTACCGCGAGCGATTCGATCGCCGACTGTTTCCCACGCCGCAGACCCCGTTGTTACCGCCGACAATGCGAAAGGTGACAAGCGTGTCTCGGATAACAAAGGCGAGGAGAAAAGTCATGCAGCTAGCGCCATGATTGAGATATCAAATCGGTCTCCACCTACATCGCCCAACCGCACTCCTGGCAGCTCGCCGCCCACAGCTGACATCACGATACCGGAAATCGCAGTTCATAGTCGTGAGTCATCAATTGCAGACTCTAACGAGAGCTTGAGCCTTGGCAAAGACACTGTAATACAACGACCCTCTTCCACTCGCCTGGAGGGCGGGTCTTTCTCCAGCTTGAGGAGTTCTCGGGCCAGTTCATCCACCTCGGTGGTCAGCGACTCCGCTCGACGACGGAGCACCATCGAAACTATCACCAAACCGTTCACAGCCAACACAAGGACTGATGACAAGCCATCTGGGTCCATGACCATTGGATCGGCCACTGCCGCCGCCAAGAAATGGAGTATGAGTGTGTTCGGAAAGGGTGACCATACTTCTACTCAGGAATCATCGCGAGTATCCTCTGGAACGCCCGATCAACCGATTGGGCGTGGGCATCCTCATCCACCACCTGGAATGCCATTGCCTCGTCCTGACAAATATGCTTTGAAAAGAAATTCCGGTACGACCCCCAAGCGGAAACCTGTGGCAACAAGCACAACATCCGAACGCCCCAGGACAGCAGACAAACAACATCCACCATCAGTTTTGCCTCGCAGGAAACCAATGCCACCTGGAGTGCATGTTGGTGAAGGCACTGATGAGTTGCTTATCGTGGAGGCACTTCATGACTCCGAGCCAAACAGTCCAGCCCCTGGTGATCTGGAAACCGACCAGAGTCTTAGGGTTCCAACTTCTGTCGAAGGCGAGAATTCATCAAAGGCTAAACCATCTGGGGCTCATAGTGACGAGAATGGAGGGCACGAGGATGCATCTGATGTTGGATCATTGCGCTCTGTTGATCAGAGGCCAGATTCGACCTTAGACAGCAATGAGATTTTAGCTGCCGGAAGAGTGGAGGAACCTTCATCGTAATCAATGTTGCCTTTTCCTTGACAAAGGGAAGGGAACTCCTTAATGAGGATCTTCCACCTTGTTTACTGCGCATATCCATGCGACTTTGGAGTTTGATGAGGCGGTTTGGACATTTTGGTTCTTGGTCATATTGCACTGCTGGACAGGAGTCTCTATGCTGGGCTGGTTCTACCTGCATGCGATCGCTCCTTGGCCCTGACTCGCATAGAGTGGCTCAGATAAGAACCAATTGCTCCATTTGCTATCTTTTTGTGTTTTTATGCGATAATCAAATATCCCAAAACGTATATTCATCTCTGCTTCAAATGGCTCTAAGGTTTATTAGTAGACTTAGTAAATTGTAGGCCGAGACAACTGATCTACACGTGTAGTACACCCATGTGCTTCATGTTCCTGGCAGCTGGTCATCATTTTGCGAGGTCAAAAGGTTCTAGAAAACGCGGATTAAGATAGTCTTACACGGATTTCGCTTCTTAGTGATCATAGATGAATTAATATTTTCTTCTTCGGCTTTTTGAAACGATCTGAGCACTTAGAGCTAGCTTGGCCAGGATCTACTCTGTAGAATGCGAACACATGCATAATCGTCCGAAGAAACCACCCTGCTATAGTTTGTTACGATAGTTTTCTGTCAATTTTGTTCGTCTCAGAATTTATGAACCTACTCTGAGGTCGCTAGGGCTTGTTATAGAATTTTTAGCGGCCCAGAATGAGCCAGTCACTCATCGACTCATCGTTATAAACTTGATTGGATCGAAATACGCTCTGCCACGCTGGAACCTGGTGCAATGATTATTAAACCGATCGCCTTCGCGGATTAGCTCAATCCCTCATCTTGCGCCAGGGGTGAAGAAGTCGACTCGCCCGGTATTCTGGCCCCTTCATTCAATGTAATCTCCGGTATCATTGGAGATTGTCCCCAGGAATCCATTTTCTCTCGACCATACTGGGCGGAATACTGCTTCCGCCAGCTGGCTCATTGTTCGAGTGAGACTCACTGCAAATGCGCACGTCTGGTTCCCCAGGTCTAAAGCAACGGTAGAATTCATAATACCTAAACATGTAGGTAGCAGATTTAGAGTTGATCTGAATCACCTCTCACTTCTCTCGCTTCATTAAGTATAAATTCATACCTTCTCTACTTCCTGTTTGCCTTCTTCCTTCTTCCTCTATACACCTTAGCTCGAATCATACATAGTGTGCTCTTTACGCAATCTAACGATAGATTTATCCTAGTGTGCCCATAGATGTTAGTTTGTTAGGTAGTGATGTGTTCATTCCAAGGTTGGTCCTACAACTTACCAAGGGTCTGTGTGTGTTCATATATACATATATTGTTTGGGCTGTGCTAATTTACAGGGTAAACCAGTCAAATCAAAACAAGAGTAACATATATCAAACCTTACGAGCATTACTCAAACTCTGGATACTAGAGTACCACTGATCGCTTTAGCAGATCACGAAACATGAGCCAATGTAGAGAAACAAGAATGCATCTATTGGAGAAGATTTGATATATATCCAACCATCTAAGACATATAAGTATACACGGGCATATAAAAAAATTGGTGACCCCGGCAAAACAAGGGCCGGCGAGCTGAAAAACAATTATGTGTACATGGGAAAGCAAATTTCCCTACTTTCTCCGCTTCATCGTCTTCTCGCACATTTCGATCAGACCGGTCTTCGCCTCGCTATCGGGGAAGTCACTGATGGCAGCAACGGCCTTGTCAGCGTATTCCTGGGCAAGAACACGAGTCTGTTCAACACCGTTACTCTGGTGAACGAGCTCACGCGCCTGACAGAAAAGGTTGTTAGTATTTTATATCAGGAAAAAAAATCCAAACGCCATTTTGTTCACTCACCCGTTGCACGTCGCCCTCCTGGTTGAACTTTCGTCCAACCAGAGGACCAAGTTCTGGGTTACTCTTCCACGCGAAAAGGAGCGGCGCAGTCGCCAGACCCAACTCCAAGTCCGCACCAACGGGCTTGCCCATCTCCGCCTCAGTAACAGTGTAATCCAACATGTCATCGACGAGCTGGAACGCCAGGCCCAGGTTTCGACCATAGGTGTACGAAGCCTCGATCACCTCCGGGGCACTACGGCCCAGAACGGCAGCAGATCGGCAAGACTTGCTGATCAGGCTGGCGGTCTTCAAATAAGTCTTCTGGAGGTAGTAGTTGAGGGTATCATCGGTGTAGATGGGCTTCGATTCGTCTTGCGCGGTATTCTTCAGCTGCATAAACTCGCCCTCAACCAGATTAGCAATCACAGTAGCCATCAGCTCTGTGACCTCGGGGTCACGCAGACGAGCCAGGGCAACCGAGGCACGTCCGAGCAAGAAGTCACCAGCCAGCACAGCCATCTTGTTTCCGAAAGCCAGGTTTGCAGAGCTGTTGGCGCGGCGCGTCACCGCGTTGTCGATGACATCGTCGTGCAAAAGAGATGCAGTGTGGATCAACTCTGTAATTTCGGCCAGTCGCCGCTGTGAAGGCAGGATGTTGTCGTCTCCTGCAATGTCATATTGGCTCTCGGCGGTTGGAGCCACGAGCGGGTTCATTTCTGGATTGGCGTCTTCGAGAATTGAAGGCGCACTAAATGAGGAGTCGACGGGGCTCGGTTTATCAGAGTAGGAGTGGTGCTTGCGCGGGTCCAAGGCTGTCGCCTGGGACATGAGGAGGACGAGCATCGGCCGCATGTGCTTGCCCTCGCTGTGAGTGTAGTATTTGGCGACCTTGTCTAGTGCCGGGTGGCCAGATCCAAGCAGCTGTCGAATATTTTTAGAGAGAAATTTGAGCTCTTTCCCAACCATTCTCAATGGATCGACTGAGATGCCTGGAGGTGCCTTTGGCATACCCTTGAAGATGGCCTGAGCCGCCGACACAGCGGCTCCGAACGGCGAAGCATCCCTCCGGCGTGTGGGGTGGTATTTGCGGGATTGGAGGGCAACATGCGTCAAGCGGAGGTCATCGCGGAGGCATTGGGAACAGATGGAGGTCGAGGTCGGTCGTGATGAGAGGATCAGCCCGGTGGCCGATGTGGTTCGAGCTCCCATACTCAATGTGTGGGCTCTGCAATTATAAACGAAGCAGTCTGATAGAAAATGAGACTTAAAACATGACAAGTCAATTCTATAAGTGTCGATGCGAGGTGTTTGCGGAGTACAAGGACAGGAAACAATCTTGCGGGAAGATTTCGAGCTCTCGGGTCGGCACGGACCCGGTGCTACAGAAGCACCGACTGCGAACAGATGTCACTATATATCACCATTTTGCTTAAGAAAAGTGCTAGAAATGATCTTTTGGATATTTTATGACATCTTTAGTTACAAGAGATTTTGAGCGAGACTCTACAGAGAAGCCCACGGCACACCCAATGCAGGAAACAATTCCAGTATAATAGACACAGAAACACTGCGCCGGCCATCTTATTCCTGCACATTCCCCCTCGTATACAGCCGAATACAGAACCAGAATAAGGGAAAGCAGAATTGCACAATTAATACACAGGTTGAATAAGGCCGCTACGAGGTAGGGATCCATTAGGCCAGTGTGGAAGAAGAAAAAAAATACTGTATCGATTTATGGAACAGCCACACTCCCCTTTAGATGGCATCGAAATCACCACCAGCGTCTTCCTCATCGATGTCTCCTTCCTGAATCTCCTTGGCAAGTTCCCGCTCGCGTTCCCGGGCCTCTTGGGCACTCTTGAGCTCTAGGCGGTGCTGGTTCATGGGGAAGCGCATAGCCTGTGATGGTAGGTATTTAGGTTAGAAAAAGAAGAAGACTGAAATACTAGGGACAGAATGACATACCTTGACACTCTCATCGTGAAGAGCCAGACAAGCACGAATACGCTCGTGGAACGCCTCGCCGGGCTCTCTGGTCGCGTAAATGTCACCAACCTCCTTGCTCTTCATGAAACCGTGCTCGTGATCAAGCGTGGCCTCAATGACACCATCTCTAATAGCCTTGGCTACAATGTACTCGGCAGACTCTTCGCTGTCAAGACCTAGGCGAAGGCAGATATCCCGCAAAGAAATACGGGAATAAGAGAGTGACATCATGCGGATACCTGTCTTGATGACATTCTGTCGTAGGCGCAAAATCAGAGTGTAAGTGCCATCCTTCCGGAAAGTTTCACTGTGGGTGTTGACAATGGTGAGGAAGCCGTCCAGATCACCCACACTGACTGCCTGAGAAAGCAACAGATAAGGGTGCATGGCCCGCTCCAAAGCGGGCTGGCGGAAGACAGAACGGTCTGGGATATCACCCATCAACAGCTCAACAACCACCAATAGCTTGTGAGAAGCTTGGTAAAATCCACGGGCAACGGGACTAGCAGGCGACTTGCGAGTGGCTCCAATCAAGTGGCTGTGGGCCTCGGTGTACTGCAGCTGGATGGCACGGATGCGGCCGAGGTAGAACATATACCGAGCAATCTGGTTGTTGGACGCAGCGATAGGGAATGGGTTGTGCGAGATCAGAAGATCTGCCTGTGAAATATGAGATGTAGACAGATAGTTACGAAGCAACAGAGTCATCACGGTAGCCTGTGTGTCAACATCTTTCCGCAGCACAGCGGTACGCAGAGCCGCCAACAATGTCTGACGGATGGTGGTGACAGCTGCGGCAGGAGAAGGAGGAAGCGGGGCAATTTGTTCGAAGAAGAGGGAGTAATAGAAGTACACGCGAGCGGCAAGAGAATCCAGGGTACGGCGGTTGAGTGCCCGCAGGCGCTCAATCAATTCTGTCGAGAATTGGGCTCCCTTTTGGATCTCCCGCTGATCAAACAAGTAAATCTGGACAAGGATGGAGAGATATGCGTCGACTTCCGCAAGGGTCTCCTTGGGGGCAGCCTTCTTCTCCGAGTCTACCTCCATCTGTGAATTGGCCGGGGCATTCTCGAACGCGTTTTCTTGGCCAATAACCCCCAAGAGGAATGATGCCGTAGAGTTAGAATCAGAGTAGGTATCCACAATGACTTCGGCGAGGACCTCCGGAGTGAGGTGTTTCCGCATCGAGGATATCGACCGCAGGACACGGAGGGTAAATCTAGGGTCGAAGTGGGCAACGGCTCGCTCGAGCAGGGTGAAGTTCGTTTTGATGTCTACATTCATTCCAAACGAAAAGGTTGGTATTATTAGAAATGAAATCTTTTGACGGGTAAAAAGAAAATTCACAAACCTTGAATAGCCTTGGTTGTCGGGTCGACCTCAGGCTCGGTGTTCTCAGCATTGCCGTCTTCCACACCTTCCATCGTCACGTCCTCCTTGTCTTTGCCAGAAGATCTGGAACCCTTGGTCGGAGGCACTACAACAGTCATCTTCTCGTCACCTTTGCGGTCCTTCCTGGTGTTGAATGAGGATGTAGGCGCACCTGCCGTGTCCTCTCCCATCTCAACATCTTCAGATCCGTTCACACCGTTCTCGGTTGATTTGGATCCATTCTTGTGCGACTTGTCATCTTCTCCCATGCTGCCGTTCGATGCGCCCTTTGCGTCTTTCTTGGTCGGAGCTGACTTGGCCTTGTTGGCAGCGGCGCGAGTGGTGGGCGCCTTGTCTTTCGCACCGGAGCTTTGGGAGTCTGAACGTCCCTTTTCACCGTTAGCAGATGAAGAGGTGTCAGATTTGTTGTTTGATCGCAGAGAGCGCCTTTCGGCCGGCATCTTTCTTAAGCTGTCGAGCTCAGCTGAGCTACCAAGCTACTGAAAGAAGTAGGGGGGCGAATGAGAACGATTTAGAGGTATAAAGCAGAAAGGCAAACGTAAGAGAGCCAAGCTGCTAGAACCACGAATATGATGGAAGAGAACTTGTACAGACAGATGGATGAAGTGGATGGGTGATGTGATGTCAAGAGATGGGATGAACGGGCGCGAGAGACCAGATGAGCAAAGCAGCTTACTAAGCAGTCGTAACTTCCAAGGCTACCTGCCCTAGCTTCTAACTATGCTACATAGCTACTTTCTTTGTGAAAAGAAAGCAACGAGTAGTAGGTATTTGATTGACAAAGAGACAATATCGATAATTTCTTGTATCTCAAACTCCCATATCGCGATGCGATCTTGGTATGTTCCTCGTCACTCGACCAGAACTCAGCCAATCTGAACGCAATCAACTAGTCTTTCAGCACCTCCTTGAGCCATAGACACAGAAAAGCCCTTGCTAGGAGCTTCTTTAGCTAAAGAATAATCATAGTAGAGTACATCCCCTTTTCTCGAGCCTTTAGGTGTCAAAATAGGCGTCAATCCCGATCTTCATTATATAGTCCTTGACCAGGACTGAACAGGTCTGAGATAGTACCATGCATCCTCTACTCAGGCTCCTTCGGCATCATTAGAACTGCTGGCTTTATGGTCGAGTGTTGTCGATTCCAAAACGTTTCAGACTGTTGAAAGAGAGAGTTGAGTGTAAGAAATCCCCTAGACATACAGTAGAGCCTTACAAACACATAGTTCTCGGTCCCCTTTTAGGATTCTTTCCCTTCGATTCGGTCTCAGTTTGTCTTTTTTATGGCGTGACAGCCACGTCCCGGAGGAAATACTGGCAGGTCACTCATTGCCAACCACGATACATGAATATAACTTCAAAGTCAGTAAGATTGTTTCAACTGGATGTTCGGGTATGTGGGAACAGATAGATGACAGCTAACCAGAAAAGAGTTTCAACATAGGTTTGCGAGTCAAGCGTGTTGGGCATCTCCCAGAGTCTATGCACCACCTGGGCTTGCTGATGCTGCATTGCTTGCTGGCGGTTCTGCTGAATGTTCTGCATCCCCTTCACCAGTTTCTAAGACAACTGGGAAAGCTTTGTATGTGCTTGTTGATGTTCATGGATCTGCGAGTCGCGCGTGTTCAGCATCTCCGAGAGGCTACGCATCAGCTGGGTATGCTGGACCTTTTGCTGGTCACTGAGGTGTGGCAGTCTCTGTGATTTCTCGGTCCGAATGAGGTTGGAAATCGGACCAGAACAGCAGGGACTAGCTTTGAGTGTCAGCTTTAATTTAGTAAGACAATCGAGTAAAATACTACATAGAACATGCTAAGTGCTAAGTGAATACCTAGATCTTAGTTTTATGTTAACTAAGCTCTAAGATTCATATTAAATAGAGCGAGTTTAGACCTTACTAGAATGATGTTTGAGTTAAAGGATCGATTATAGCTTGCACAATATGTGCTCAATGCTAGGTGAGTATCAATCCAAGGCTAATCAAGGGGGAAAAGAGTAAGATGAGACAAGGACTGACCAGAGCAAGCTAAGTGCTTAGTGAATATTACTCTGAGGTTGATCAAGGAGGTTGGATGGATGAGGACTGACCAGGACAATGTGTAATGAACTTTAATATGAATAATATCTCACTGATATGATGTTATAAGAAGAGTATGGCTACATTATATTAGGGAAGAAGTTGGGGGGAGATATAAAGAAGAAGAACATGCCATTCAACTATATACTGCAATCGTCCCCGTTTAAGTCCCCGTTTAAAACATGGCGTTCCACGTTCAAGGCCTCTTCGTGTTGCTTTAGTTTCTTTTTCCCAGTCTTCCTTCTTTGCATATTCTCCATCACTTGTTGGGTCAAAATTTGCTCGTTCCATGCCGTTTATTTGTGTCGGTCTGACTGGCACCCTCGGAAACTACATAGATACATACGTAAGTTTGGAGTGGCCCTCCCGCTATAGAGAAGCAAAAAAGATAATTATAAGTCGGCTAGATCGCATTCTATAAGATGGTGAACATGGGGTAACTAAGAGCTTGCTTGTTTAAACCTCCTAGTAGTGGACACTATCGCTAATATGAAGTGACTTAGCCTTGAGAGCCACCGGGGTACAGGCTAATCATACGTTTTATCTATATATTGGTTGTTCAGGTGAAGCTACATTAACTATAAGCGAGTAGCCACCGTGAGCACGATGGATATTAAAGTGGAAAGTAAATCATTTCCTTAAATCCGGGCGATCTATAGAACGAAACACAATTCAACGAAGTGCTCAGCAAGGGAAGCTGCTCCAATTATCAGCTAGCTATTCTATGCTATAGAAATGGTCACTATATATATAAGCAAGTGCTTCGTCTGGCAGGAGGTAGAATTGGGCAACTTGCAATACTCACTGGTTATCTAGGGCTTTTTTGGACACTTACAAGTAGTAGGTACTTGATCAAGGTAGGGTCTCTAGTAATAAAAGTTTGTATCTCAATACTGCCATATCACACCGGTCACTCCAGACTATCCCTCTCGACTCAGCACAGGGGACTTTGCTGTCGAATACAATATATATAAAACATTATATCCAAAGGTCAATATCTTGAGCTGTATTTAGGCCGCTGAATATCTCTCCGTTTACTCGATATTAGCGTGGTTGTTGATACACAGGCTGTACTTCAATTTCATGCCTCAGGCTTTACTGCAGCTGCCCCGGAGTAAACAACTCTCCCGCATCCATCACAATCCACAGCTTCATTGAACACCCACTAAAATGCCACTCCTTGATTCCCATTTGGAGCAGATTACTCTCTCCTCCAATGCTATTGCAGATTTGCCGTAAGTTGACCCGTAGGGCCATCAACCACGTTGTTTAGACTAACGCAAGCGTCCAGATTCCCTTCTCCACGTATTTTCACCAACGCGCTATTAGGCTCCCATGACATTACAGCCTTGATTCGTGATACCGAAGCCCACGAACGGGCACTGTTTCAAGTTGACCCTTCTGCCAAAGTCCATGGATCACAAAGACGCGCCACACGGCGTGGGACCATGTTCCCCACCGAGCCTGAAACCGAGTCGATGGCTAGTCGGATCTATTCAGCACGAAATAATCGCAACCAATCTGCGGTAGCGAGAGTTCTAGGTCATGATATGATGGAAGAGATCAAGCGATCAGCAGGCACCTCAACACGGGGAACCCGCGGGGAGGTAAACATTGAGGTCCTACTTCGTGGTGCTGAAATCTTGTGTGATGTCTAGTAAGTGTCACGAATCCAAATCCCAAATCACCTTGTCTAACCCTCCCAAAAGTCCTGTTGCTGGGGCACAGGAAAAGATTGCCAGTCTTCGATATCGACATGAAATGATTTCCGAATCTATAGCACACTTGGAAGATCGGGTCGCAACAAACACGGCGGAGTTAGACGAAATGAGGCATTCTTACGGAGACGATGAGGAAAATTTTCAACCTGCGCCGGTGGCACAACCTGATGTCCCAGAAGTCACTGATGAAGACATTGAGCGTGAATTGGCTGAAATCCGAGATCTGGAGCTGAGAAAACGAAGCCTGCAGGAACGGGTCACCGGCATGGAACGAGACTTGGGTGGGCTGATAGGCTGAGTCTCTCATGCACCGGACACCGGAGCTCTATTCCTATATGGTGGAAATATTCCCATCAACCCTCCTATGTCGCCTTCATATCGACCAGAATTCCTAGTCGGGATTCTTGATCTTCTTGATCTTCTTTGGTTGACTATGATGTTCGTTACTCGGGACAAAGCTCGTCAAGTCGAAGACTTATTGTCTACATAGGTTCTGATAAGGGTCTACCCAGACCCTATCTAAATCGACACTTGGGGGCAATCAAATTCCAGTGAGCCTGCATACTCAGTCACAACGAGCTACTCAGACTTTCAGGCTTTTTTTAGGTCGTTGGCTTATGTATATTCATCTTTTGGATCATATCCAACTGTCACTCAAGATGTGCTGCATGTGCTAATTGCAAATTGTTCCTACCAGCAATCTCTCATACTCAAGTACATTCACGAAGCCAACCTTTTCATCGGCTGATAGACTTTGAACAGTTTTTTACGATACTTGTGAATATGAATATCAATAGTTCACTTGTTACACCTGAGCAATCTCTCACTCCCTCACACACTAGCAGAGATGATATGAAATTTCTCGTAGCATTGCACTACAACCTATCGATAGGCTCATACATTTGGCACGAGTGATGAGTGATTATACATACAGAATAAAATGGATATGCATAATTACCGAAATTCCCAAAATACCAGCTTCTTCCCCGTATCGACAGACCAAATATCCTACGTAGTGTGGAGGGTGAACGCCAAGACCGGGCCCGGCCCCATCAACCTCGCCGCCAAAAGTTGCATACCGCCTAAGCTCTAGATCATCCAGATTCTGCTTGCGCCATCCACCACGCCAGCTGGATCGAAGGAACTTTTCGCGTGTATTTGAAGAAGCGCAACTAACTTTATACTGTCTAACTGGAACTTTAGCGAAACCACCCGCAACACCAACCAACCCCTCGTGGCTCTTCCGATCCTTGTCACAAAGCACCGAACAGAACCTCATCGCGGAGATGGACGGGTCTCAGGGCCAAGCTGGGCAGCCTATGGCTGCGCCGCAGCAACCACAACATCAGAATCTCATCCGGACCGACCAAGTGCAGAAGTTGCCACACCTTAGCGACCAGCAAAAGGTCCAGCATACCCAGCTGGTGCGTAGCCTCTGGGAGATGCTGAACACGCGCGACTCGCAGTCCCATGAATATCAACAGGCGCATACCAAGCTTTCCCAGTTGTCTCAGAACCTGATGAAGGGGATGCGGATATTCCAGCAGAACCGCCAGCAGGCAATGCAGCAGCATCAGCAAGCCCAGGTGGCAGCTGGCGTGCAGCAGGGACAACCAGGACAACCGGGACAGGGACAACCTGTGCAGGGACAACCGGGACAGCAAGTTCAACAGCCTCAGGCCCAAATACAAGGACCACCGGTCCAGCGAACGCAATCCAACAACCCGCAGGCAATCAACCAGCTGATCCCACAGATCCAAGCCCGGGTCAGTGCACTCAATTTTTTCTTGCCGCCAAATGTAACCCCGGAGCAAGTTCAAACATGGATTCCCGAGGCTCGGTTGCGATATGGCATTGCTCTGCAGAAGCAGGAGGTTGGACGTGCTCGGATGACTGAGCTTCGTGGCACATTTGCCCAACGGCAGTCGCAGGGAAATATGAGCCAGGAAGAAATCCAGGAATTTAAGAACAGACAGATGGCTGCTGAAAAGCTTTTCCGCGAGGGTAGCGAGTTCCTTAACAAGTTCAAAGAACAGCAGGAAAGCTTCAAGCTTCAGTCGCAACAGAATCCCCAAAGCCAAGCGATGAACCAGACAGGACAAACGAATCCACCTGCAAATATGAATCAACCCCCCGTTGGAGCAGCTGCTCCTGCTGCGACTCAAACCGCACCCAATGCTCAGGCAGGTGCAGCCGCAAACACCATGCAATCTGGGCAAGCACCAACCCCAGCTCCACACACTATAAACTCTGCCGTGAACGCCGCACGCAATCAAGCTGGCCAGGCGATGTCCCCTCTCAGCTTCCCAACCTGGACAACCACCTTCCACGCAATCTGCAGGAAACACTCCCGTCCCAATTAGTGCACCACAACCGCAACAACAACGTCCTCAGCCGCCATCGCAACAAGGAACGCCAGGCGCGCAAGTGACATTCAGCCAGACCCCTAATCCTGATGGTTCCACCCCCACACCACCAGGACCTCCCCAACAGGTGAACCAAGGCCCACCACGTCCCCTTTCACATCAAGCTGCGATCTCACAAGCTGCGCAGACCTACACCAACCCTACCGCCCAACAGACAAATACCATAAACCAGCAAGCCCAAACCAACAACCAAGCCCACCCACAAGGCTACCTTGCCAACCGCTCGACCGATACTTCATCCCGCAACATCAACATGGCCATCCCCAAGAACCTGAACGTCTCAACCCCAGAACCCGTCTCGATGCCAGCCTCGCGTCCCTCTCTCTCCGGCGGCCCCAGCCACGGTGCCATGGGCATGATGGGCCAGCCCGCAATCCAGAAACACCCAGGCTACGTCCTTGAAGGCGAAGGCCAGCGCGTCCTGAGCAAGAAGATGCTCGACATCCTCGTTCGCCAGGTCACCGGCGGCGGCGAGGGAGAAATGCTGACTCCCGATGCTGAAGAGGTATGTTCCAAGTCAGATAATTGAAAATCAAAGACCTAATTGACACCTTCCCAGTTCATCCTCCAAATGGCCGACGACTTCGTCGACGAGGTCATCACGCAAGCTTGTCGCCTCGCCAAGCTCCGCCCCTCCTCTACTCTCGAACTGCGCGACATCCAGCTTGTCCTTGAGCGTAACTATAACATGCGCATCTCGGGCTTCTCCACTGATGATCTTCGCACCGTCAAGAAACCCCAGCCTACCCAGGCCTGGACTCAGAAGATGTCGGCTATTCAGGCTGCGAAGGTCACTCAGGGTCGAAACGAGTAATCGATGCACGTGTGAATTTCGCCAGTCTTTGCACGCGTCTTTCTTCTCACGCATCTTCTCGTTACTTTCAAGTTGCTTTTTGCTTATCTTCCTTTTTCTATGGTCGATGGGGGTGTTTCTTTTCTCGCCGATCTCTTTGTCTTTTCTATCTTGGTTCCTCAACCATACGGCGTATGTGATGAATGGGCAGGTTTGCCATATCTTTTGCTTTTGTTCTCTTGCCTCTTCATGAACGGACGGAGGGCCACTATTTATGATTTTCCTTGGTCCGTTTAAATCTCTGCTTTTCTTTTAACTCGCTCCTGCGATCAAATAATGAACTGCCTACCCCAGCTTCTCTGGGTTCAATCGAGTTGACAATCTAATATTTGGTCCAGCCGTAGATTATATAGTAGTACGCCAGTGTTTTCTCCTTCTCTTTTCTTTCGTTTATTGAAAATATACCTGCATGCAAGACATCCACTTTCAATTCCAGTCTCCATCTACGATTGTGCTCTAGAGCTTGATGCTTATCTTTACGAAAAGAAGATAGAGAAGAAATAATTATCACGCTGGATCTGCTAATTTGGATCTCCTTCATTTGATAGAAGCACGATTATCGAGAGAAAAAATGTGTGGTATAGTGATTGGTACAGGGTATGGAGAGAGGACTCAGGCAAGAGCAAGCAAGAAAGAAGACAAAAAGACCAAATACACACAAGACAGATACATTAAGGAAAAGTGTTCGTATGAACAGGTTGTTGTGGCCGGATTGTGTCGCCGGAATCTTGAAAGGACGCTCTTAGCGAACAGACTGGAAATGAGATGAACAAAAAGAGACGGTTGGTGAAAAGATTGAATCAATCGTTGTTGTTGGCACAGAAATGATGCGTATTGGGGTGAAGATAGAGGATTGGTTATGGTATAGAGAATGTGGATGGTATGTTCGGTCAATTGACGAGGGCAGGAGCTGTACAGTTGCAGTACAGATCATGCAAGCAAAGCTAAAGAGAATGGAGGCGGTTGAGAAAAAGAGAGAGAAAAGGCCAGAGTCGGAGTCGTTGACGATTGCAGATGCCGGAAGCAAAGGGGAACATGCAACACACGAAGAGACGGAGATGGGTCGCTCAACAATCAACAGAAATTATACACATGTCACTCGTGAACATCAGTTTCTTGCGAAAGTGCGGGGGGAAGAGCGGATGGAAGATGAGATGCCTCGCGCAAACCCATGCTGAGGAAACAAAATAGGTGGTTCTATCAAGAGCAACAAGGGGGGGATATCTCGCTGAATACAAAAACAAGGTAAAGAGACGAATAAGAGGTATCAACGCGATGTCAATCATTGCAATGCGGCGGACGTCGAGGCTAACGACGGGCCGGGCTCGAAGTCAAGAACTTGCTTCGCTCAACTTCTTTGCCTTTGCTGGGTGTTGGTGGCGGAGCATCGTTGGGGACAGGAGGGAGTTCCTTGTCCGCGGCTGGGGGGGCATTTCGGCTGTGTGAGCTGTGACCTCCAACACTACTTGCCTCACCGGCTTCATCCACAATGGGAAGAGTCGAGGTTGGGCCGGGACCGCTGGCGTCTGCGGGGTCCCAAACGGTGGCTAATGTTCGGGGGTGGGTGACGGAGACGTCCTTCGCAGCTTCCTTCTCGGCTGCCTGCATGGTACGCTCGACAGAAGAGGATCTTGAGCGACGCTTCTCGGCTGATTGTTGAGGGACACCGGAGGCAGAGTGTCTCGAGTCTCGTCGTCTCTCGGCTTCTTCCTTGGACATTGTGATTCCCTTAATGAAATTGATGAAGCGTTCTCCGTAGCCCTCTGGCGGTATGGGAGAGATCTGTGTCCGATCGTGCGAAAGTCCCTTGAAGAAATGTTCAATCTTCTTGGTGGTTCCGTAATGGGTCAAGCAATCAATAATACCAAGGTAATAAATCTCATCACTCGGTTGGCCGTTCTCATGGGTAGCCCGGAAACCACCGTCATCGGCGTAAAAGACATGGTAATTCCGTTCATCGAGAATCTCATCGGGCATCTTCGCTGCCGCTTTGTCCAATGGAACAGGCCGCTCACGCTTGATGAGCATACGTAGCTCCCGAGCCTTGCGTTCGTTTTCCAATTTGGAAGGAGTACGCATCAGACCGTTGTGGTTTGTGTCTTGTTCGCGGTCCCCTCCTGGTGAGAAGACCTGAAGAGTCTTGTCTCGCAGATTCTCTTCATTACCCCTACCTGCGTCATGTATTCCGACCAGAAGGGAATAATCCATGATCTTCAGTTTTTGCAGTAGCACCACGTCGCGTTTGAGTTGCTCGATAAAGAAATCTCGTTTCGAGGGCCCGCATTCTAGGATACGGTTCCGACGGACCCAATTGAGGTCCTTCATGGTCGCACGGGGGTTCCTTTCGAGGTCTGACTCTTGGAGATCACGGCCAATGGTCGAACCCTTCAAATCAAATGTCTGGTGGATATCTCGGTGCGGTGGGAACAAGTTGTTCATGACGACAAAGTGGATCTTGCGGCCATAAGCCATCTTGACCCGATGCAATCCGTAAAACTGCGAAATCAAGGTGTTCGGGTTATTTTCCACATGTCGATAGTACTCAGGAAGAATCTTCCGAAGAAGCTTGTGCTCGGAGTGGTGGATGGTCTTGATGATGTACTTGTAGTCTCGCGAAAAGTAGAAAAAGCTCCCACTCTTGCCGGGCGAGCCCAATTCGGACAAGATGTACTTGCTTGTTAGAGACATGAGGTAATCGGCGGGGTCGAGGCGGAATTTGGCACGCAGGTGTCGGAAAACCCAAGGAGCGTAGTCTTTGAACTTGAAATCGTATTTCGCGGAGGGGATGAGTTCGTTTCCGGTACTGCCTATTGTCAGGGTTGCCCAAAAGTATCAAGATTAAAGGGGGATGATTCTCACATGTCAAAGGAGAATTTGTGCTTAGCATCAAAGTCCGCTGGAGTGAGTTCCCGGTCCATTTTCGCGTTGATTCTCGAGACCGTGAAGCGGATACCAGTCAACATGTTGTATGCTGTAACATAGTTGACGTGGTTCTGATCGACCTTAGTGCCCACAATAACCCGGTCATCGTCCTCCTCCTCGCGTCGACGGCGCGAGGCTCGCTTTTGTTTAATGGCTTCGGCCCATCGGGCCGCATCTTCATCCGGCGGCGCCTCGTCTAGTGTGATATCTTGATGGGTACTGCTCTTCGTTGCCCGTCTAATTAGACTGATTGACGTTCGACGGAACCCCGCTGTCGGTGACATGCGGCCAGTGCTGTACGCAGCATCGTCGGTGTATTCTCGGCTATCTCGTCGAACGCTAGGGGTTCTCGGGACTTGCAACGAGTGGCGGTGTCGCATACTGGAATTTTGCGATTCTGGGACGGAGGTAGCGTCGAGGATTGATGGAGCGGGAGGGGAGGAGTGGCGTTGGGGTCCGGCCTTCGAGTCCGGGGTCAAGCGATCGGGGTTTGGGGTGTGTCTCCCTGTCTCGTCTGCCTGTGGGATTTGTAATAGCGAGGCCGATGGCGAAATGGAGGTCTCATCGGCAGAGGGCCGATGAGCATCCCCGTTGACCATCACTTTGTTCGGAGTGGGCCGGCCGTTCGCATTTCCATTGGGTTGGCTAGGAAAGGACGATGTGGTAGGAACGGATCCCGGACCTGGTTCGGAAGGTTTACGATCCAAGAGGGCAGACGGGCGCCCATTCTCGCGGGGATCCCTGGTGGATCCATTGCCTATCGAATGCATGCTGCCGTCCTTGGACAGCGGCAGGTCGCGCGTGTACGAGCTGACACTGGACCGAGGGCCATTCAGTGAGTATGCACTTCCGTTCTTGAGATCGGTCAAAAGGTGCCGATCATTCTGAGAGTCGTGGGTCGTATCACCGTTGCCGTTGGGCCAGTTGGTCCACAAGAAAGTGTTTCCCACGGGGGTCTTGTCGTGCGACTTCCGAGAGGATTCGAACGGGCGAGGATGGGTGGCTGTAGCAGTCTGGTAGGAGACGTCGTTGGAGAAGGATGGCATTGTGTCAATTCAGGGAAACGGGTGACGTGAGCTCTGCGTGCACCGGCAACCCGAAAGTTGACGGTAGTCACCCTTATTGGCGGAGATCCAGGAAGGTTATGAACCGGACCGAGTTCCAAAGAGAAAGGAAGGATTGAAAGAGGGCTAGCGGATCGGATACAGTCGAGCAGCCAGCCAGGGCGATATTCAACCGATAAACATATTTCGTTTGACAAGCAAACGAAGTTGAGGTCGGGGAAAATATGGGGGTGTGGGAAGAAGAAGGAGAGGTTGGTTGTCGGGGAGAGAAGAATTACGACACGTACGGACTCCACCAATACTTTACTATACATAACTACTATACCTCAGTTATGCAGTCACTCGTTCTATGGTTTTATTGTTATATAAATGGTATTGCTAGTAATTATATTCTATTCATCTCAATCGTTATTTAGTATCCTCTCTCCGACGTACTCCTTTTTCCATTCGAGTTGAGACAATTAGGCTGCTGCATAAAAACTCAGCACGGAGGTTTATCAGCACTTCATTTCCTTACTATGGAGTATAGTGTGCAACTTCTTGTTCGCCCCAGTTCAATATCACCGTCAAACAGAATGACAGAAAATTCACATGTCCTCATTACTGATTGGTTCACAGTTCTCTATCTAAGTCTCTCTGATCAAGCACAAATATTATACCCCTCTCCAATCCATGCCAGCGTTCAATTATGCAAGGAGATCAGCGTCGCACGACTTGGCCCTATGAGGTTTAAGGGTTTCTTCTGTACTCCGTACAACTGGTACATGTTATACCACCGATTAGTTACATCTGTACCTAGGTAACTGACGAGTGAGAAGCAATCACACTGCCATAATATACACGCCATACAGACTAATACAATGGTGTCAAAATGCAGGGCAGAGGCTGCCGAGTAGCCAATGACAGTGGCATCGGCCCTATCGGCTTGCAATCTCAATTTCAATTTCCTTGTTTTCTATTGTTTACATCGAGTGCTATATTGTTGATAATATCTCTCTCTATATGACTAGCGTACTCCGTGCTCTGGTTATAATGTTTAATATCTACATTGTATGCTTCGTACAGTGACGCTTGTAGACTACCAAAAGCAAAATGATCCAAAAATAGGGCTCCCCATATTTAATGAAATCTTCCGCCTCTGCGCCACAGGGGAAGTGCTCCACCATTTCATCTACGGAGTCCATATTATACAAAACACTCCAACGTACTCGGGTACAGAGAATATTCTGGCCAAAGGGCAAAGGGAAAATGCGGTTCTGCATTATTATTTACACGTGGTCTAGACACCGACGGAGTAGACCTGCCAGTATCAGTTGGGCTGGGCACGGTCTTGGCTACAACTGTTTGCGGCTTTGGGCATCATCTGCTCTCATTCGTCCATCTCGAACTTCCAACGCGTATACGGGGTAGGGGCCTTTGTATTCCCTCGACGTCTCTATTCTCAAATTCGTACATATGCTCAGATTGAGTCATTCCAGCTATAGATAAATGAGAATGTTGGAAAATAGGAACGTACTAAGACCACAAAGCTTGTTAAGATGGAATCAATGTGCAGCATTGGATCATAACCAAATCCTCAACGATACAAAATTGAAAATGAAACATCGACAATGCGAGAGTACATACATGGAGCAAAGGATCTACAGTTTGTTTACTGCCACGCGGTCAAGGATTTACACGGTTCACAGCGCTGGACGGCGACAAGATACAGGTAATCTGATCCAGCAAAAAGACATCACAGTTGCACAAGAATGACTGTATAATTGAATCGTAGAGTAAAAGAATAAACACTAACCCGCAAGTTGCCCATTGCAAACCCCACCGCAGGACGCCATCCATTGAACTTTGGAAAGAAGCAAAAGTCATCATAACGAAGATATCCCCAAAAAAAGAAACGGAGCAAAACACACAAAAGGAGACCAAATCCAGAGATCAACGGGTCGAAAGGAAGAAATTACAGGAGAAGAACAAAGGAAAGAGTACCAGTTGCCCTCCCCGGAAATGCGCTCGTGAAAATATAGGGAGAACTTGATCTGGTCAAAAGAAAAAGAAGACTTCAAGCCCTCTATTTCTTAGAAACTCGCTTCTTGGGAGCAGCCCGAGCGGCTGACTGCGGGGCAGTGGTCTTGGTGATGCGGCCAGACTTTGTCGTGGTCGTAACCTTGGGCTGTTCGACAATAGCAGGGGCCTGGAATGTTGGTTAATACCTTGTCAATCAAGGGAGATGCAAGCATCCAGCAATAACGTACGGCAGTGGTGGTCTTGCGGACCTTGCCAGAGTTGGCCTTTGGCTTGGTAGCAGTCTTCTTGGCGGCAGTCTTCTTAGGAGCAGCCTTCTTGGTGGCGGCAGTCTTTGCGACAGCCTTGGGTGCGGCCTTCTTGGTGGTAGCCTTGGCAGCGGGCTTGCGTGGAAATTAGTACAATGCAGATGAGGTCAGCCTCGACAGGAACTCACCTTAGTGGCAGCGGCCTTAGCAGCAGGCTTTGCTGCTGGCTTAGGAGCGGCCTTGACGGGAGCTTCCTTCTTCGCAAGCTTCAAGGGTCCGGATGGGCCTAAAACGCGACGCGTCAGCTGATCTGTCATATGATAGGCGATAATCCCTTGCAAGCCACATGCAGCGAAGCGCTGTTGTGGAAGAATGCACACCGAGGATAGAAAAAATGCACGTGGACAGTGAGCATCAAACTTACCCTTGGGTTGGGTGAACTCATTCTTCTCAACACCGGCCTTGATGGCCTTGTTGAACTGAGCATCGAAAACACTCTGGGAAGAGAAGTTGATCTTGTTGTTCGACTGAACATACTTCTTGATGGCCTGTCGGCTGTAGTGGAAATTCAGTTAGTGGCGTGTTCTGACGGACGCGAGAACCCGGGTCACCACTCCTAGAAGGCGGCGACCACGAGGTAAAAGACCAGAAACATACCTGCTACCATTGCGTTCCTTCAGCTATAAGCAAAAGACACCAGTTAGCAATGGATAGATAATCAAACAAATGATATACATTTGTTGTGGTTGTGCCCAAAGGCAAAGACGTGTCACGGTCGGGCGCGCGATCCGGATCACAACAACCCAAGCTCGCGCCGGCAGTGATCAACTTACGCTGATAATAGCATCCTTGATCATATCTATATCATTCGAATCAGCAGATGTTGGCGACTATAATGATGCAAAAACCGCGTTTACGCGATGTGTTGGTCATTCAAGATCAAGGAAGGCATACCACGGTAGGAGGTGTGAGCAGGAGCAGCAGCCTTGGAAGCGGCCTTCTTGGGCGCGCTGGTAACCTTCTTGGGAGGCATGATTAGATAGTTGGATTGATAAAAGAGATGAAGACACAGGAGTCTGAAGTAGAGTAATCAAGATGATTCAAATTTTTTGAGTGGGTTGGTGAAAGTAAAGGAAGAAAAAAAAAGAGAGCAGAGGGAAGGGAAAGGCCGCGGGGCATCCGCGATTTATAGGCGACCGGTGTTGACAAGATCACCAGGGGGGAAAGGAAAAAAAAAGCACGTAGTTGTTCAGTTCTCTTTTACTTTCTTTCTCTTGTCTGGATTTACTTGTATGTTATTTTCTGTATGTTTTCGTTTCTCATTTGTCTACTAGTGAGAGAGCTGTTTATCGAGTTGTTGATGGTCATCGAACTTGAATCAACCAATTCACATTCTATATTGAGTACGTGGAATACTTTGAATACTTTGAATACTTTAATTTCGTTAAGCATTAAGTCTAATAAAGTCCCATAATCTGTTACGAGTTTTCATTCCCCGATAATATCTGATGATATATGATCCTATCCATCTTCATATCCAGGTTGATCATGGACTAGGAAGACTGCCCTGATTCTTTGGCGCGTACTCTTTCCCCTCAATGGAAATCGCGCATATATTCTTCTCTCTCTTTTTCTTTTCTTTTTTTTTTTTTTGGCACATATCTCCAGGAGACTAAGATCCCTTAGCATTCCAATGGCGCTGTCTGGGGTGATCGTCCTATCCCTCTCTTTTGCTGACCGGATCTGGCAACCCTTCTTTCGTGCCGCCTGGAATCCCAGATCAAGAGAATGGCTCAGGTACCTTCTTCACTGCATTGTCTGCATTTCCTGCCTTTTCTTCAGCTACGTGTCTACATCAAGTACGAATGTGAATATCCCGTACTTTATACATTGACACATACTTATCAGAGCCTCCTTGCTTTGGGACCTGCATCACCTCGTGCTGAAGGGTCACGTAGAGAATAGATAGGAATAATCCCCCCAAATTTAGGTCCGATCCGGTGACTCTTTGATTTCCACGGTACAGCCCCATAGATGATGTCTTGACTTGTTCTTTGCACGTATGTATTCGTGCTTATTATTGGTTGATATCAAGCCCTAGTCTTGGGATTTTGGTGCCTCGACTGTTTTTGCCTCACGTCGCGCATTCGGACATTTCGAACATTGGGATTTTTCTGGGTTATTACTGTAGGGAAAAGGTTGAATCAACATGCTGATGAGAGAGAAAAAAAAAGACAATAGATAGATTACCTCTGTGTCTGTTTAATGTTGAACTATCATACCTTGGGGGAGATTTGTAACTCGTAAACGAACATAGGATATGTCACTTGATATATATTTGAGCCGAGGGCCAACAAAGTGATGCATTTTGAGAACCCACCAACGTATTTGGTCGTTTCAATTATTTGTTTCCCTATCTATACATGAGGTTTGCGAATTACCTATAAACCTTAGCATACGAAGTTTATGAAGCTGAACTTCCTCGAAATCAATGTGGCACGCGATATATATCGACCAAGAGAGGGGAAGCTGCATCTTCTCAACGCCACAAGACCGCCGAGTATCAGTAGAACCAATAAGAGGCCCCTGAAGAGCATGATTTCACCGATAGATACTGTAAGATTTCCAAAAGAGTGCATTTGGGACCGACCCGTAGTTAGTCTATGCTAGTTAGAAGTTACTGCCTCCGAGTACTAAGGATACAGGCCATCACATCTTTAACCACAACGTTTTAGTCTGACCAACAAGGGTTATTATCATTTATGATAACACCTCAGGGTTGAGATCATGATCCTTTACTCTACAGTCTCGATGATTGGTCCATCAGGGCAGTCGTGCAATGGGGATCATCGCATGGGCGCCCGCAACCGGCGCGTCAAATCAAGGGTTGACTTGGTCAAATCGCTGATCCTACATCACCTGGGCTTGGGGTGCACCTTCAAAGCGTGTATACTGCTTCTGGTAGCTAGTGTCAGTATGTACTTGCTGCATTCAAGGTAGTTGTTGCTTAATATGCCGAGATCATTCGTGGTTGGTGTTCTGAGGCCCGGATTGGTCTCGCTTATCGAGGATCTATACAACCTGCTCAGATGTTGATCCCTTGCAACACCAATATTAAATCTGGTTTGAGCATATTTGAAGTAGTAGAAATACAGGGTATATGCCAACCATCTTAAATAATTGAGATTTGAATTAATTTATTCACTATAGCGACGAGGATCAGCTAAATACGTTGTACTTGCTCGACTTGATCTTGTCTGATCTTGATGTCTAAGGACCTGTAAATCTTTACTGGAACAATGTACAAGCACACTTATGTCCTTTTCATCAAATTGAACATCAAATCAAACACTTCTTCGGTATGATACGCGGTGCTTCATGTCTTGCCCCAATCCCGGGTTGAAACGGGGATTCTCCGCGCCCCGAAAGCGATGCAAAAATAAATAAAAATAAAATCAAGAAACCGCAGAACGCCCACGCCAGCTCAGCTCATGTTAGATCAGCAAATAATTTTGTCACATCAATTCTTTTTTCAGAAAAAAGAAAGGCGAAGAAAGGATAAGGGGTTGAAAGACTCTCTGTCAATAGAGAAACTATGCTGCTCCCCGCGGCTTTGACTTGGCGTCTTTCTTAGCCTTAGCATCATCCTTCTTCTTCTTTTTCTGCTGTTGGATCTTTTCATCGTTCTTGCGCTTGAGAGATGCCTTCTCGTCCTCTGTACGGGCAACGGGCTTGAAGAATCCCTCGAGTCGGGACTGTTGAGCGGACTTCAAGTGCTTGGACAGACGCGCGGCGCCATTGCGGACACGGTCCTCGTTGAAACCCTTATCCTTGACCAAGAAATCAATCAGGCCTTCAATGTTGGGGGCATCCCACTTAAAGTCACAATCAGGGTGATCCGCAGCACGGACGTCCGGGTCGGTAAACAGGTCCCGTGCGTCTTGGTAGGGCCAATCCTCGGGAACCACGAATTTCTTCTTGGGGTCGTTGTTCATGAACTCCAGGACCTTCTCAAGAGATTTGTGCTCCTTGATCAAAGCGAGAGCTGTGTGGGCTCCCACCTTGGGGATGGGTTCCAGGTAGTCACAGCCCAGAAGAATACAAAGATCAATAAACTGTAATTGTAATTAGTGACTGTGATAGCATCCATGATGATCAGGATAATTTACCTGTGCGCGGTCCATGTTCAGACCCTCAAGCGCGCGGTCTAGGTGGATTTCCTGGATAGGCTCCTTGCGCTGCTCACTGAAGGTAAGGTGACGTAGAAGAATGGGGGACTCGAAGCATAGTGTATCCATATCTTCAGACGCAGCAGCATACACCTTACCCGCGCGGGCTAGAACGGCACACTGAGCCTCAGCTTCAGTTGGCGCATTGATGAAAGGAATTCCCATCAGCTCGAGAAGCTTCTTGCATTCTGCGTTGTGTTCACGGGTGACTCGGACCGTCCGTCGCGAAAACTTTTCAATATCCTCTGCAGTACCGGTCTCCTTGGCTTCCTCATGGGCTTCGTGGGCTTCAGCCTTACGCGCGACACGCTTCGCCAATTCACCGGATTTGAGCTTCGGCGGGGCACCGTCGAAGACGTAAAGAGGTTTGATGCCATTGTCCACCATTCGCAGAGTACGGTAGAACATACCCATCAGATGGGATGTGGTCTCGCCGGACTCACTCATGAGCTGCTGACCTTCCGAACGGACCGCGATCAGGAAACTGTAGATGCTCATGGACCTGTGCTGGGTTAGCGATGAGCAACTTTTGAGATATCGAGATAGCTATGACGTACGCATCCTATGTTAAAAAAAGATGGTATGTCAGCATCGGCCAAACTAATTGTAGAAAACGAAGCATGCCAAGGACATACAATGGCGACCTTGCGGCCGAAGTGATTCTTAATTTCGCCCGTTTTGATTGCATCGGGGGCATTCTCTGAAATAACCTGGTACAGATCTGATGATCGTTCAGCATAGAACGGGAATTAGTCAAGATATATATAACTCACGTTTAATACCCATATTGTCTGTGAGTTCAAATTGTCGTGATCAAGTTGAAAGCCTGTGTAGCAAATGGAGCTAGATCTGTCGCACCGCGCGAAACGCGTGCTGAGCTTGGAAGCGCGACCTATTTAAACCCAAAAGGGAATAGCGTACCACAAAATCATGTGACCGGCGGATTTGGGGCTATCTATCAGGTGATCCTCCCTTTTGTGTGCCTGATTGGTACCTAAATATGCATGTATGCCTCAGGCGGCCAACCGGCTTTTATGAGTAATTCGGTCGAGAACCCGTGGACCGGCGTGAAGCTGCCCGGACCCCGCCTTTTTTGTGTCTTCCCCGGAAAGCGCCATGCGGAGGATGAGTCTAGCCTCCATACTAACATGAAGCGGAATCGCATCCAGTTCGAGGCCAATGGCGATGCCTCGTCCGATTCTCCCCCTCAGGGTGCTTTCACCCCAGAGGAGCGCGCTCACCATGTCCCGAAGATCTCTCGACGGATACGGGCATGCACAGAGTGTAAGCGACACAAAGTGCGCTGTGACATGAAAGCAAGTGATGCGGTATGCTCGCGCTGTGGGCGCATGGGGCTAGAATGTGTCGTGAACAAAAGTCTTCAGACATTACTGGAGGATGAAGCCGAGTGAGTGTCTGCTCCAGCTTACATGACAAAAGCATACATTAATTGCCTTGCCACCCAAGATGGAAATCAATGATTGAATCGGCAATGACAGATCTGCTCCGAAAATCACAGCTACCGGAGCTATCGTACTACCAAGCGGGTGGTGGCTCAATTGAGACGCCCTCGAAGAAGAGAGACCGGAAAGACTCTACCGTTTCGACCGATGATAACGGGCTTGGGCAAAACAATAGGGCCGAACCAGTCGGAATTTCAGTAGGAAATACGACGGCATCAAGATCGAATTATGGCTTCCCCCACCACAACCACAATATTCTCTGGACCGCGAGGAAACAGGCGCAGCCTCCTTGGTCACAGCTCCAATGGGAAGTCTCTACGAGGTGACCCAGCTAAGTGAGAATCGTGACAGCTCACAAGGACAAAAACTTGCTCCCGACCAGGTATTGGTCACTGATTTCATTTCGCGCGGCGTGGTTGATATTCAGGAAGCAGAGGAGCTATTTCATCAATTCGACCAGGTACTCAACCGCTACCTATGGGATGGAGCATTGCTAGCACACAAAGATCTAACATCTGCCCGACGATCATCGTCAATGCTATCTGCCGCCATTCTGGCCGTCACTGCACTTCATATGCCGAGCAAGGAACGCACATTTGACACATGCTATACCGAGTTTGCAAAATTGGCATCGGAATCTATGTTAGGCCATCATCATACCTTGGATGATATTCGTGCACTATGCATAGGTGCTTTCTGGCTTGCGGATGTTAGCTGGAAGCTCTCTGGTTACGCGGTGCGTATTGCAACCGAACGTAACCTGCACCAATTCTACCGCAAAGCCACACAAGGGTCGCCAGAGCACCTGGAACAGGCGAGGCTATGGTATCTCCTCTATGTGAGTTTTTCTGAACCAAAGCTCCTACTATTTCTAATACTGTTCAGACCTTGGAACACCACTTCTCTATTGCGTACGGACGACCACCAATGATCCACGAAGATGCCAGTATCACGCAACACAATGTCTTCACACAAAATCCGTCGATATCCCAAGGAGACCTTCGACTTCATAGCCAAGTCGACCTGTTCATAATTTTAACCCGTATATATTTCTCTTTCGGCCCTGATGTGGAGTTGGAAGTTCCCGAGAGCGACTTCTCCAAGATTGATCAATTTGACATTGATCTAGGTAATTGGAAGTCATCATGGCTTCCTCGGCTTGGTATGTCTCGGACTTTTACATCCAAAAAAAGAGGAAAAGAGGGTTCTGACGTTTTACTACAGCGGGAAGCCGTTACGTCGGCGCATATCCATACAAGGCCGTGTACATGCACTACCACTTCTCTCGACTGCAGCTCAACTCGGTGGCACTGCGCACATACCACTCATCCACCTCTTCAGGACAAATGTCATTTGAACGCCGAAAACGCGCCAATATCGCTGTCGAATCAGCTATTGCTACACTCCAGGTTTGCCTGGACGAGCGAGATATCCAGCGGGCACTTGTCGGCGTCCCACTTTATCTCCACAGTATGATCACATTTGCTGCAGTGTTCCTTCTGAAGATCGCAGCCAAAGTATGCTCAAATGGGGCCATTCCCGGCAGCCAGGGCAAGCAGACGTCTATCGCCTCAGCGGGTTTACATGTTGACGTTAGCTACGTGCGTGTTCTTGTTGGCAGGGTGGTCGAGCTTATGGTGTCATGTAGTCAGCGCGCGAGCGAGCGCCACCTGAGTCACCACATCGCTAGAGGACTCCGTAAAATGCTAACAGGTCTTGAGGAGTGGGAGAAGCGCACTGCTGGCACCCAACAATCAGTTGGATCAGTCCCACAAGACCCATCTTCCCTCTTCAAACCTGTTATAATACCCGGATCTCAGATGCTTGGTGAGCGTGACACTATCTTGAACCACCCGCCTCCGTTACTTGGAGTGGCGCCGCTGTCTGCCGAACGCAGCAATGGCTTTGAACCTCCTGCCATTGGAAAGCAGGAACCGGGTCTGTCTGAGGGCTCGGTTGACCCCATGATGGCAGATCTATGGGGAACCGACGAGGACTACTTCCCTACAGGAGTGTTTGACTTCCTCCAGAGCCAAATGCCGGCATGATCTACTTCCAGAGTCAGCCGTGTTGACTTCTGATACCTTTCGACTGTTCTCTTTGTACATAGTAATGATAGCCTATAAAGGGCGATCACGGTCATTGTGGGTGAACATGGATTCTAGAAACATACAGTTAGAACAGCCTACAATTAATTTGAATATTCTTGATCGCGGTGCGATAAAAGTGTAATGTAAGTACACTCGGCGATTGGCATACCGGAACGGTTGCCGAACACAGAATACCGAAAATGTCCGAGTCGGTCGAACTCACAGAACCGAAGATCATTTGCCCGGGAGTTCTGTCGAATCATATTTATTGAAATAAGTTACAGACCGAGTCAAGGGGTTTTGGATCTTGAATCTCTGTTGTTTGGTGCAACGTTCTCGGTGATTTCAATTACCCCAAACTTGCAAAATTGCCGAGGTCTCCCCATTCTTAGTTCATATTTGACAGAGCTCCCCCGCAACACCTTGAATAACATTGTGTGTGTCTCTCTCTCCACTTGTACAGTTGTCTTTTTTGTTTCTTCCTTGTAATTTCCGACCATGATGAACCGCTCTGTTCTCCGCGCAGCTGCGCGCTCAATCAAGGCTGGTCCTCCCTCCGTCGCAGGCCGTCGTTATGCCTCCTCGGCTGTCTTCAACTGGGAAGATCCCCTAGCCGCCGCGGAGCTATTTACAGAAGAGGAACTCGCGATCCAGGATACAGCACGCCAGTACTGCCAGGACAAGCTGATGCCGCGTGTATTGGGTATGTGTTGCAAATGTATCTTTTCTACCGCGACATGGTGAACTGACGTCAGTCGTTTTCTAGAGGCCTACCGCAACGAGGACTACGACCGCCGGATCCTGGAAGAAATGGGCGACCTAGGCCTTCTCGGTGCTTCAATTGAAGGATACGGTTGCGCCGGTGTCAGCACTGTGGCGTCCGGCCTGATCACCAAAGAAGTCGAGCGAGTAGACTCGGGATACCGATCAGGCATGTCCGTGCAGAGCTCACTCGCCATGACTGGTATCTACGAGTTCGGCACAGAAGAACAAAAGGAACGCTTCCTCCCCGGTCTAGCCAAGGGCACAACCTCTGGCTGCTTCGGGCTCACTGAGCCCAATCACGGCTCGGACCCAGGCTCTATGGAGACCGTGGCACGCGAGCACCCCACGCAGAAGGGCATGTACCTGCTCTCTGGTAGCAAAACCTGGATTACGAACTCCCCTATCTCAGATCTTGCGCTTGTATGGGCGAAGCTCGAGTCGACGGGGAAGATCCGTGGCTTTATCGTTGAACGTTCGCGTGCGACACCGGGATCTTATGAGACCCCTGCTATCAAGAATAAGAGTGCTCTTCGAGCTTCTATTACGGGTATGATCCAGATGGATGACTGCCCCGTGCCAGCGGAGAACATGCTGCCTGATGTGGAGGGTCTCAAAGGTCCATTTACGTGTTTGAACAGTGCTCGGTTGGGCATTGCATTTGGTAGCATGGGTGCGCTGGAGGACTGCATTGCCCGGGCGCGTGAGTATAGTCTGGAGCGCAAGCAGTTTAAGGGCAACCCGCTTGCCAAGTATCAGCTGGTTCAGAAGAAGCTGGCGGATGCTGCGACGGATGCTGCTTACGGCACTTTGGCTGCAGTTCAGGTGGCTCGGCTTAAGGACGCTGGCAAGGCGACACCGGAGATGATCTCGATGATCAAGCGTCAAAACTGTGATCGTGCGCTGCATAATTCTCGAGTGTATGTTTTCCTGATCTGGGTATATTTGCTTTGCTGACAATTGGTGTTCATTAGTCTGCAAGAAGTGTTTGGTGGTAATGCCGCCAGTGACGAATACCACATTGCCCGACATGTTGCCAACCTGTTTGTGGTGCAGACTTATGAAGGCCAGAGTGATATTCATGGTAAGTTCATTGTGCCTAATGGCGTTGGGCCGAGACTGATACTTTTTAAAAGCATTGATTCTGGGCCGTGCCATCACGGGCGTGCAGGCCTTTGTCTAAAAAAGGGATAAGAGCCTGTATAAAGGTAAAGGTATATCACAATTATATCCAAATACAATTAAAGCAAAAATGTATAGGTAGTTACAGAACTAGGTAAATTGATGAAAAAGTCGAAGTGTGCTAAACAGAGGGCTGAATGAAGTTTAGAATGAGGGTTTGGAGGTTAGTATTCTATAATAGAATTGCCTAATAGAGGGGTAATGAATTCCTGACAATAACACTATAACCCTGGCGATATAAGGTAGTGATACAGTGATATAGAATGGTCTTCACTATGTGAGTATATGGTCATACAACGTCTTTCCTCTTTTGAACAAGCGTTGTTTCAGCGCCACACGTGACATCATGAGGGGCAGTACACTTTGAATACGATACCCAGCGTATATGTATGTACATGTAGGTCTATATGTACTCCGTATATACGCCGTACATATGCATGTATTGGCTGACAATAATTCACAATAATATTGATCGGTCAGATTAAATGTGATTATTGAGATATTTTGTCGTTCTTTATGAAATCTCTGTGCAATGTGATACCTATGTAGGTATTGTGTAATGATATGTAAGCCCTGACTGACCCCGCCAAATTGAATCAGCCCTGGTCTTGGCCTCGAATAATTAGGGGAATCGAGGACATTGTAGAACATACAAATAGTATCTAATTTGATTTGACTAATCTCTTCTCCCTGTATTACTTTGATATCTTACAAAGCAAAAGGGGGCTGAATCTGGTCAAAGGATGTGTCTTGGGTGGCGGTATAATACTGGCCAGTAACGGGCAGTAAAGAATCGATTTCCGCCCACCTGTGGACTTTTCCCCCCTCAATAATCTTCTCCTTGAAGTTCTCTTCTCTTTTCCACACAACGACGTAATCGTGAGTTGCCCTTCCTTTTCTTTCATAACAACTATCTGACTTCTATCAGTTTTTTTTCACTTGCAATCTTTGCACTCTTTGATCGTCATGGCTCTCAAGCGCATTAACAAGGAACTCGTTGACCTCGGCCGGTAAGCCCTTCGTCATCGCCACGCACTCTTTCAGACTCTGACTATCTTAGGGATCCTCCCTCATCATGCTCCGCTGGACCCGTCGGCGATGACCTGGTATGAATACTCTTTTTTTCGGTTGGGTGCCGTGTAGCGGGATAGCGTCCTGTCTATGCGTTGCCTGATACCAATGAGGGGGCCATAGATTACTGACTCTCTTTCGTATTATAGTTCCACTGGCAAGCCACCATCATGGGACCTGTAAGCCGCCGTCTCTGATCTATCAACTTCTCTGAGGACCTTGTTGGGGCCACATGACCCCCGCAAATGCCCTACAGAGAAACACCCATCGTCCAGAATGCTAACATACACCAGACCGATTCCCCATACAGTGGAGGAGTCTTCTTCCTTGCAATCCACTTCCCCACCGACTACCCCTTCAAGCCTCCCAAGGTCAACTTCACCACTAAAGTCTACCACCCCAATATCAACTCCAACGGCAGCATCTGTCTAGACATCCTGAGGGACCAATGGAGCCCCGCTCTCACAATCTCTAAGGGTAAGTCCACAGCCCAGATATCCAATTGACACCCCGAACGCCACTCTAACCATACAACAGTGTTGCTCTCTATTTGCTCGATGCTCACAGACCCCAACCCGGATGATCCTCTGGTGCCCGAAATCGCGCATGTCTACAAGACCGACCGACCACGGTACAAGGAAACTGCCAGGGAGTGGACGCGCAAGTACGCTATTTGAATCTGACCGCCCAATCTCATTCCGCTGTCCTCGAATAACCCTTCGGTCCTCAATCTCGCTCGGCCACTTTCTCTCGGCTCAATGCCTCCTTGCATCTTTTCGCTTCTCTTCTCCGCTTAGATTCAGTCGCGAAAGCCTGGCGTACCCGTGGTTGTAGAAACGTTTTTTTTCCTTTTCGAAACTCAATGCGTGGTGCTTGCCATTTTCAATCCTGTCCTGCGCTTTTCTCGTGCTTTTGTCGACTGGGTTACTGCCTTTTTTTCGTGTTGTCGGGTTGAGTTTTTGGGCCATTCCATATTCAACGATCCTTATGACCAAGTTCTCATGCATTCATAACATACGCTTTTCTCTTCTTTTCCGAACGCTGTTAAGCGGCGGTTTGTCTAGGATTGAAAAATGGACGCCTTTATTGGAATCCTGGTGCTTTAAAGCTTATTTGTACGTGGTTCGTTTCTGTGGTTAGGTGCCCAGGGAGTAGACTCGCGGAATGTGCAGAGATCGGCTTGAGACCGTTGCGTAAGCTGTGTCTTGTGGCTTTGGGATTAGTCTTTTCTTATTTGCTCTCAAGTAGCACAATCCAGGCAGGTCCGTCTCTGTGTTGATGGGTGTATTGGAACTCTTGTAGGGTGTCATCTGTAGCTGTAGTTCGGACTTAGAATGGACCTACACGCCCAGGACTCTTTCGTGCGGGATTATTGTCATTTGTTGATAGGTTTTGGACTCTGGCTTGATTTACTTGGGTACATCCTCGGTTTTGAGGCACCTCGTGTATACAGGTATACAAGTGATGTTTAGCTAAACCTGAATAAAGTGACCTCATGTATTTATACATATGTACCTAGACGCTTCCAAGTATTTATATATGTAGTAAATAAACTATCGCATCTCATCTATGGAAATTGAGTCCGAGTTCTTATATTCCATCCTCAGAAGATTCAACCAAGAGACAGACTTACTTACCACCTTCCTTCCCCTGGATTTTCCGTAGATGACAAGGAATTGGCTCTGATACCGATATTCTCAGCGTGTAAAGCTTAACCCACTGCCTTCTGTTCATCCGGATTCGTACCACGAGCACAAGAAAGGTAGTAACAAATGAAACCGACCCAGCATAAAACATGGTTGGACGATACGCTTGTAGACCCCCTTCTGCACCATCGTACATATCGAGAAGAAGACCTGCAACGTGAATCCTGTCAAGATATGCTAGCTTTGGATGCAGCATTCTTGTCCTGGAACTAGATCAAGAACACTCACAAACAGATATTCGCCTATCCATCCCGTAAGCATTATACTCATAGCAGTAGGCACACGAACGAAACCAAACACGTTGCCAACAATTGTAGGCATTGAAGTGAAGAGCTGGCCACCTTTCAATCCACTAAAAACCGCAAATATCGCCAGAGGTGTCAAAGATGTTAATGCAGGCCACAGGGCAATCGTGCTCAGCGAATTGATCAACATGAACGCAGTGAGGGTGTTCAGAGATCCAAGAACATCCCATAGATGAGATACCGGGAGCACCGCTGAAGCCGTGACAATGCCTGAGATGCGGAACGCCCACTCAATGCCGTAGCGCTCTACCATATTGTTTACCGGCAATACTCATGACTGCACCGCCGAGGCCACCGCCCGCATACACCATGCTATTTGCCCATCCTCTCTTGCGCTTGAAGTAATGTGCAGGGATTACAGAGTATACCATGACACTTGCACTCATCCCAATGCCCAGGAGTAGCCCAGGCAGGAAGCACAGGCCAACAACATTATGCGCCAAGAAGCTAGCACCGATCTGCGCGAGCGCATTGCAAGTGATGCCTATGGAAGCCATCTTCCCTGTTCCTAGCCACAACACCACTCGACCACTGATAGTCGCCAGACATAGCTACTGCCGACGGTCCACCAGGCTAGAAGAGCGCATGATCCTATGACGACCCAGCCGTAGCCTCCGTCCGACCATCGCTGTCGGCAATTGTTGATGCTTTCGGTACAGGGTCTGGGTTGTGAGGGGGTTCATGCTGCCCGGCGCAAGTTTTTCGTAGATTGGAGGTTCAGTCGCCAGTCAGTCTGACTTAGGTTTCCCTCATGTCGATAAATGTTGCAAAGCTACAGTGACACAATAAGATATTCTCCCACAAAGCATTGCGAGACATGCTCAAATTGATTATAAAATCAGTGGTCAATTGATTCAAAAAGCAATTCGAAAGTCAATTCGCTTGGCAGACAAAGCTTGGACTTAAAGATGCGGCGTAGCACCGTAGGGCGTAAGGCGTAGGGCGTGCTTGACATCATAGGACAGAGGAATGACCTCGGGAGGAACGAGTGATGGCATAGGGTGAACCCTGCATACCCGTAGAATAAACAGCAACCAACAATATATAGATCAAAGTATATCAATCTCAACAAGACGAATCAAATAACACCTGGACCCTGGTTAACATATTCTTTCTCTACATAACTACTATCCACGTAATATCTAAGTGTGAATTCGGGCCTCGGGAACCGGGGCTCCTCCGTGGAATTAGTAAGCTACATCTTGATGGATCCTTGGATATTTAATCCAAGGTTGTAAGACGTTGAGAAAATACAAAATCTAGAGCTCCAAAGAGACTGATTCTGTCAAACTCCCAAATGTCTACCGAAATACTCTTCAAAGTGGACGGCCTGGTGGCCTTAATCACAGGCGGAGGCTCTGGTACATAAGTCTTCAGCAACCTGCATATATGGCACACACACAAGCTAACCCTCATCAGGAATCGGATTGATGATAGCCAAGGCTCTGGCTAACAACGGAGCCTCCAAAGTCTATATCGCAGGCCGTCGGTACGAAGTCTTGGAAGAAGCCGCGAAGTCCATTGGCTCAAATGTCATCCCGCTGCAATGCGACGTCACATCCCAGAAGCAACTGCAGGAAGCAGCTGCTGTGGTCGAAAAGGAAGTTGGATATCTCAACCTTCTAGTTTGTAATTCGGGCATTGGCGGCCCTCAGGTTAAGCCAATTACTCCGGAGACGACACTCGAAGAGTGGGTGGCTGAGAACTTAAAGCATGACTACAGCTCGTACTTGGAGACACTTTCGGTCAACTCTGCATCTGTCTGGTATACTGCTATGAGTTTCTTGAGTCTTCTGGACCGCGGCAATAAGAAGGGAAATGTCGAGCAGACCTCCCAGGTTATTGTCACCAGCTCTATTGCCTCTTTCAATAAGAAGGCGCCTGGTGGATGGGCCTATGGCCAGTCCAAGGCTGCTGCAACGCACGCTGCGAAACAGTTAGCTGTGGCTCTGCCGCAGTGGAATATTCGGTATGTTGTTCGCCAAGTCTAATGTTCCTTTGCTGATTGTCTCAGTGCCAATTGTGTTGCGCCGGGATGTACGTACACCTATACCACATCTGGCTGAGTTCAACCCCGGAACCCAGTGAACTGCTTACTGATTTCCTGTTTAGTATTTCCAAGTGAAATGTCTGCCCCCTTGCTCGCAAACATGAAGGAAGGTGAAGCCAATGACCTGCCAGCCGAGATGATTCCTCTGAAAAGGGTTGGCGATGAGAAGGAAATGATGGGAACGTTCTTGTATCTCGCATCTCGTGCGGGTGGGTATACTAACGGGGCCGTGATCGTTGTTGATGGTGGTAGACTGGGAAACTTCCCATCAACCTTTTGAGCAAAGACATGCAGTCGCCCGAAGCTACGTCAGGCGATGTTCTTATTAGGGGAGTACACTCCGATACAGGCATGTATTTACAGTTTCCAGTAATCATTGCAGCTAAAATATTGCATTTCAATTACCCAACTCCATATATGTATGTATGTATGTATGTATATCTATCTGTGTAAATGCAAAACGAACCAAACAAATTACTTCTGAAACTCTGAGAAGGCAAAATATCTCATCTGTCGTATAGAATGATCCTCTCAACTGAACCACACCCTGGGCCCAAAGCCCGAAGAAGTCCAGCAAGAGAGACCAATGTATCAGCCCTCGGTCAAAGGACCAAGCCCAGCATCATAGATCAAAGATCATACAGCCTGACTGCCGCGACGACTCCCAGCCTTAGACATAGCCTTACTGCCCTCAGCCTTGACAGTCCGATGCGAAGCCCTAGAGGCTTGACTAACAGAGTCAGCCGGCCGAACAACGTCATCGACGTGGGATCCGGCCTTCGAGTGGCTCGAGCGATGGGAGCGGCGCGATCGGTGCGAATGGCCCGAGCGCCCGCCAACTTGACTGATTGAGTCGTCGGGCGAGACATGCGACTCGACGTCAACGTCGAGCACGCTTTCGGGCAGCAAGACATGACGCGCGGAGACATACGAGTCCTTGGCTACGCCGTATGAGGGTCCGCCGTAGGAGTAGTCATGTGGACTGACGTAGGAGTCCTTGGGTCCGATAGCGATGTCTTTGCTGTGGATGCTCGGGCTGGAGTAGAAGGTGGCTTCTGAGCCTGCGGGGAGAGGGATGTTGCGGGCTGATTTGTATGATGCAACGCTGGCGTTCTCCTTGCCCTTTCCCACGCCGGCGTGCGAGGAGGTGCGCACCGAGCGATGTGAATGATGACTTTGGTTGTGTACGCTCTGGCTGCGGTGACTGACGGACGAGTAGCCATCTTTGTCATCGTGGCTGTGGCGGCGCACGGCCGAGGCTTTAATAGTTGATGCGCTGTGGATGCTGCCAGCGGACATGTTGCGCGGCTTGTCCTCGACATAGCTGCTGATGAAGGTTGAGGGGGCGCAGTGGTAGCGCTGCTGGGAGGCAGCGCTGGCGGGCGGGTACTCGATTGCGCGGAGCGGACCGTGCTCTGGAATACTGTAGACTGAGCCTTCGGAGGCGCGGCGGCCGCTGTCGTCGTAGTGCTCAGTACCTTCGTAAATTGTGCTGGCGCGGGGGTTCTTGGAAGTCACGCTGCGGGTGAGTGTTGAGCGTGGGTTTGAGGCGGAGGAGTAGACGCTGCGGGGTGGTGATGGTGCCTCGATGGCGCGTAGTTGCTGGGGCTCTGGTTCTGAGTTGTTGTTGCCACCAAAGAAGGATTGGGCTGCGGCTTTGATTTGTGGGAAGTCTGTGGGAAACATCTGCGACTGGCCCTGGGTCTCAGAGGTGGTTGACTGTGAGTCCCCTTTGACCATCGCGTATGCGATTGCTGCGCCAGCAGCGGCACCAATGAGTGTGCCGACAATAGTCTTGGCTGCCTTGCTGCCGTCATCGGTCTTTGGAGCCTGTGGCGCTTGCACGGTGTATGTCGGCGGTGGGCCTTGCGAATGTCGAGATACGACAGTTGGGGCAGACCGCTCAATGGCCGTGGGCACTTTGGACAGCGCACGGGACTTGGCCTCAGACGGGGCTTCGGATCTTGGGGCGATGCTCTCTGCCTTGACAGTGCTGGCTCTGCTGCTTGCCTTCGAGACCACGGAGCGGCTTGAATCCTCCAGTAGAGCCACCGTGGGCCCGCTGACCGCTGACGCAGCGGAAGACATACTGGGCCGATAGACGGCTTCAATGCTGTTACCATCGAAGTCGATGACGGCTGCGCTGAAGTACCCAGATTGCGAATCTCGCATCTTGGGTTCTCCATGTATCTTCGCACCAGCTTTTAAGGCGCATATGAAGAACGAGCCGACTGCGTCTTTCGACGGGGCTGGGAAGGCGACATGTACAGCACCTGGAGGACATCTATTGGTGATAGTCAGATTTGTATGTTCGATGTGAAACTCTTTATTGACTCGACATACCCAGGCTTTGTCTCAGTCATCCAGAAATCAGCAGGTTCCCCCTGCTTCTGACCGAATCCTATATAGTCATCATGCCGCCCGATGAACTGGTATCCCAGTGGCTGCAAACATGATAAGAAGAAAGAAGTCGAGGTGGGAAGATGGGAGACCGTGAGGGTGATATGCGAAACAGGCATTGTGAAGAGATGTGTGAGAACAACCTCGTATAGAGAGGGAAAGAATGAATAAATAGAACGAGAGAATTAAGGAAATTGAATTGCAGGTAAGGAGGATATATACGGTGAGGGAATCCAAGTTCTATAAAACACCGGAACTATGACACCACTAAAGCGAGGCCGAAGCTTGCATCCAAGAACCAGTGAGAATACATGCCGCGTGACTCTAATCCAGAAACAGAGGTCTCCTGAAATTCTGCCCAAGGAGATGGGGGGAAAAAGAACACCGCATGTTCTAAGAGCCCAGCCCCTCGGACGAGATGTGGAACTCACAGACGGTGATTGTCCTGAAGTCGAGAGAAGTGGGACAAGTCCAGGACGATTGGCCAGCCAAAATCAACTGATTGTCCAATACAATACAATGTTGTATGGTACAGCCCGATGGAAGGATCGGCAATGAGTTGAAACACACTCCAAAATCCAAGGATACAGGCGGATGAGTCGAGTGCCCAAAGAGCTAAGGTTAGTATCAATATCACCACTTGTCGTAGCGTAGTAAAATAGGGGGCTTCCTGTTCCTGGCCGCTTTTGGATACGCAGCCCAATTCTGTTTGAATGGGTGAGACGCCTATGGCGACAGGGATTGGACGAACTGCCCTGCCAGGTCATCGCGGGGAGTCTAAGTGGAGTTCCGAATGGCGGATGGGGCGTTTGTTCAAATACCCTGAGCAATGCGCAGGAGCCTATAGAGATTAAGTGGGCATTCTGCTTACCTGTCCCTTGTGCACGGAACAAATAGCGACACCTTGCAAGTGGGGTGGATGGAGTTGGATGTGGATGGCAAAGACCGAAGGGAAATTCTTGTCGAGAGGCCAAACGGGTTAAATCGAGGTGTTACTGACCGCCACTATCTAGATACCTAGGGCACTCCGTATACAGTAGAATTATTCATACAATGATAATATGTATTGGATTTATTTTTGACTCCTTTTTGATATTTATAATATTGTATGCAAATTTGATAGGATTGTCATATTTGAGAATTTTTTGGTTTTTCAATAATCAAATGGGCAGAAGTGCATACAATCTAGATCGCCACATATTTGATTCGTGCATTTCAAAGTGAGGCGAGGCTAGCCACGTCGACACTAATAATCAAGTTACCTCCCATATGTACTCGGTATGTATATTACTTGGTACTTTGGTTTTTACTCACTAGTTCCAAGGTTATAGTTGTAATATTGTATACTTTTTATGATATGACTACATCGACTACCGACTACATGGCACTTCGTTGTAAAAAAATAATTAGCCATATTTGTATTGAACACAAGAAGTTGAAAATATGTGCCTCTCAGACTCCAAATCAATGGATCCCGATCTATGTGCTGTTCACTTTTTCTGGTCTACCCATAATAACAGTCGTTGAAACTGTATAGATGGAAGCTCCAATGGATCAGGACTGGCGAAAAGGAACCAAATGCCATCCGACCCGTTAACATTGTGCTGAGACAGAGAACGCCCTAATGCTCTCTCAAAACAGACAGATACAGCGACATGGGATGAATCCCGATGCTTGATGCCTCGTCCGAGTATCCCAGGTGAGTTCTCCTAAAGCAAAACAGAGAAAAGAGATAAAAAAAAAGAGGGCAGAGACGATGTGGGCTTTTTCGGTGGAAAAGCCAAAACACCCCAAAAGGGCACCCAATCCAGATACCTATACATGAATATATAGACAGTCTCTTGGGTCATGCAACTCAATCCCCATAAGAAATTCGTGGCCTCATGGCAGGTGTGCCGTCAGCGACGACAAGGACGCGCGCTCGCTGAGCGCGAATTTTTCTTTTTCTTTCTCACAGAATATCCCAGACCTCTTCGGCAGCGTGACAGAACTTGCTACAGGCCACACTAGCACTGAGACTGTAGTTGCTGATACTAATACTCTCGTCCTTGAAAGAGTCGGCAAAGTCATCGTTACCCTTGGCCATGGCACCGACGAAGATGGCAACACTCTCATTGGGCTTCAGTGACTCGATGTAGTCCCGGGTGCGAATCAAGGGTGCCTCGAAACTCATAGTCACCTTGCGGCAGTTGGGAGGCAGGTGGTCGGTGATGGGGTTCTTGATGACCTTGAGGAGCTTCTCCTGGGAGTTGGTGGAGCGAATGGAGAGACGGTGAAGCAATTGGACCATAAGACCGGCAAAACGCTTAAAGGTTCTGGGAATACGAACGGAAGGGTTGACTTCGATCAACACTCCCTTGGCGGTGTGGATGAAAATCTGGAGGCGACCGGCCTTGTTGACGGGGGAGTCAAGAAGAGTCAGAAGACACTATATGGTTGGTTAGTGGCTATTACTTTCGTTTTACATCTTTTGCGCTTTTTATTTTCTTTTCAGGCGATGTTGAATCGTACCTGGTGGGTGATATCCGGGCGAGCTTCACTGATATCACGGTTCATCTTGCGCATGATACCAATGTGCTCATCGCTGTTCAGCAGAGAGAACTTCTCATCCTTGGTTCCACTACGGCCGCTGGAGACCGCCTTGTAGGTCTCCAGACTGGCATTGGAGAGAACCACAATCAAGCGCTGGGTATCCTTGTCATGGGATGGGATAGGCACGTGCTGTTCGGCAACAAGTTGAGGAAGCTCTGGAGGAGGGCAAGACTGGGTTCCTGGAGGTAGAACGTTAGACATGTTGTGATTCAAGATAAGCGGGCTTGTTGCGAGGAGGGGTAGGAGGGGAAAAAGCGAGCTGGTATGTGATCGGGGAATCGGTCGGGCCCCCAAAGACGTCTCATATAGCCCAATTCAGAACTAATTGATCTAGATGATCGTGGGATTGCTGATAAACCACCATTGTGTTCTTCTTCTTTATTACCCAAGGCTTGATCATATGGTGGTTATGAGCGCAAGGGAAAAGGGAATGCACAAAACAAAAATGATTGACCAAAGTAAGGGGGGGAAGAGATTGCAACAAAATATAAACAGAGTCAATACTTACTCGCACGCTTCCTCTTATTAGCTGCTTGTTCGTGATCAGACATTGTTGCGGTTTGGAGAGAAGTTGAACAAAGTTGAAGAGTTTTTGGTAGAAAAGATTGGGGGCAGAAGATCGGCGATCTCGGACATAAAATGTCCGGAATGTCAGCTTTCGACTTTTGAGATCTTTTTGACACGTTGACACCATTGGAAATCAGATAGGACCCTCTTTTTATAATTTACGCAGCTCAGCTTATTATGTATAGTCGTTTGAATTTATTTGTCCGAATCATTTGAACAAAACTCGCCGGTTCCTAGTTCGGGGACTTGCTGCACCCAATTCAGACTCATTATAGTGGAGTTTATGATTTCCGAGAATTCCCTCAACAGACTTCCAAGGTTACATATGTAGATTTAGAGTGCAATCGATCGATTGACGATAGGTGCGTTGTAGTAGTACTTAGCTTTTAAGGAAGAGACTAGCCCAAAGAATTAGCTCCAGGAACCGTTGCCAATGTTCTGCACCAGTGGAGGGATCGACATTGCCCCATTTGTGCCGCCTACTTTGTTATATTGTAGGTCTTAGGTATAATATCTCAGAGAGGGCATCCATCGGTGATGTTTTATATGTTGCTTCCGTTGCAGATCAGTCATACAGAAAGCATTCACCAGTAATGCTTTATATCACACTTAACATGCTTCTGCCGTGGCGGGTTAGAAACATATGTAGGAACTAATCTAGGCGAACTCTAGAAAGCGGAATCTTGAAATGGCTATACATAGCTTCGAGCTTGAAACCAGACCCTGGATTTGTACCCGTAAATTGGTTGCAGAATGACTGGACTCATTGGACCGAATGATGAGGATGTGTAACATCCTCTGCATCAAGTTACGTTGGTGTCCCAGTACAACTCCATCCGACTGGTTCATGCCGTCTCACCGGGGCTGTAAACCGCAAGGCTCCTATCCAGTCCAAACAAGGTTTCATCACAGAGAGAGAAGTCATGGATGGTCTAAAATGACAAGGTGATACAAGCGCTATCACCAGGGTAGCAAATTAAAGCTGGACAAGCAAAAGCCCCTTTGACTCTGGATGGATTGTCTCAGGCAGAGGGATTTCCTCAGAGTTGCAGCTGGTTGACGCCTTGGATCCCGCAGTCTAAATAAGGATGGAGCCGTCAGCAACATCACCGGACTTCTGATTCTCCACACGGGATCCCTTTCATGGATGACAGGCCAAGATGCTTGTGAAGTCGCCACCGAGTCCAGGTGAACTCTATATTGCCGGAGACGGATTACCCATTTTGCACAGATAAACTATGGGGGCCAGGCCACCCATCTTGTCCTCGTAACCTGTTGGCTAATGCCCCCTCGGAAGCCAATCAGTGTTTAGGGTCGATGATCTTTCATCGGGCGTTGGCCCAATCAGCAGATACTTCGTGTTGGCGGCTAGGCACTCCAGTATATTCTTGGAGATAATGGTTGTCAAAGTTTATGAGCTGGGAGCTGCAGAGACGGGAAATAACAGCAGGGCGGTCATGATGTTGACGTGCTGCTCTTCCTTGCACAAAGACCTTGCTGGTCACAGATGGCTCAGAAGCCTACGCCTTGGCGCATACAACGTAGGTTAGGGGGGTCGAGGAGCCGGGCGTCATATTTTAATCTCCCACCAGAGCCAAGTCAGTGCTACCAAATAAGTCCCATTGGTTGGAAGATGGAATTAGATGGAATTGGAGCCTTGTTAGTGTTGTTAATATGATTGATTGATGACTCTTGGTTTACGTGAGTTTACGTAGTTTGACGTGGTTTTACGTGGTTAGAAAGGGGGCGAAATGAGGGAAGTGCCCAACAAGTAGCATACCAACCGCCCGATAGGAATTTAACAAAAGAGATGGCTGGACATTTGTAGCTTCACACATTATGGCCCTTCATTTTAAACCTCTTTTATGATCCGGTCATAATCCCGAATGGTGGCGATAGTTTTCTCTCTTCCAATTCTCCTTTCTCCTTTTTTTTTTAAAATTTTTATTGGACATCACTTATTAAAGCTCTCTCCACTCCTTGGGGGATAATTATTTCAATCATTTCATTCATTTTACATCATTGTGGTGTGATCCAACTCAAAGTCCCAAATCTCTCACGAGCAAAAGCAGCTTCTCCAACGATCAACAGAAGCAAAAGCAAGGGATAACGCAAAAATAAAGGTGAGTAACAGCGTCGTTTAGTCACGAAACAATATGACCTAAAACAGATTAGCGTCTCCAGTTCCCACGCGTGCCGTCACCAAGTGTAAACTTGTAAACTTGCATTTTCTCAACTTTTTGGATGCCTATGAAATTTTTGGGAGAGTAAATCCAAGGCCATGCCGTGGACAGTGACCAATTCATTCAAGAGGTAGGTGGTTTGACTATTCTGTTTGACACGCCACACACAAAAAAAACAAGACTGACATCCCACTTTCCCAGAGGCCTCATGAAAACTTATGGAAGACCGACATGGCGCGTCTATGATGACGAGCGCGCCTCTAAAAAGAGACGCGTACAGGATGAGTCGGATGAAGCTGAAAATAATCTACAATATGCTATCCGCGAGTCATCAGCGGCCGTTTTGTCCAGCCCGTCGCGTCGCAACTCCGTGTTGTCCGAAGGCACACTGGATGATATCGACGATCTCACCACACCACCGTCATCGCCACCCGCCCGATTAACCCCACCGCCAGCAAATACTCGCAAGCCAACTTTCGCCTTTTTGAAGCGGAAGCACAAGGATGCCGCCGGGTCACCTCTGACGGAGGTGAACTCCAACACGGTGCGATCCTCTGACCCGCCCAAGCAGAAGGGCCAGAAACAGCCCGTGATGCGTCAGATGCAGATTGATCTGGGCACTGACACACGAAAAACCTGCGCCACCTGCGGTATGGAATATATCCCATCGAATACGGAAGACGCGGCATTGCATAAAAAGTTCCACGAGATGAATGCGACGGGGATCGACCTGGGCAAGGCGTTCTTGCGCGCGAACGCCTCGCGCTGGATTTACGAAGCCACCCGGTTCGATGAGGGGTACGTGGTGATTGTGGATCGCAAGGCATCCCCCAGTGCCAAGAGCCAGGCGAAGAAGGTTCTCGAAGTCATCAGCAAGGAGCTCTCATCACCGGAAATCGACGACGAGACTCTCTGGAGCCAAACGGAACCCCCCAAACATTTACAGGATGGCCCGACCGAGAAAGTGGATCGGTACCGGGTCTTTCTGCATATGAAGGACAGTCGCTGTGTCGGACTCTGTCTGACCGAGCGCATCTGGGAATCGCGACCGGTCGCCAAAGATGAAAACGGGCCCGCAGGCTCCTCCGTTTCAACACGAGATGAAGTTCACCCCGCCATTGTTGGGGTCTCTCGTATCTGGACTTCCGGATCTTCGCGGCGAAAGGGAATCGCTCTGGATCTCCTCGACTGTGTGGTGATCAATTTTATCTACGGCATGGAAATAACTAAGGATCAAATCGCATTTAGCCAGCCTACGGAGAGTGGCAAACGTCTGGCACATAAGTTCTTCGAGGACGAAGAGACGTGGCATGTGTATAACGAGCAGTGATGGACTTGAATATGGGAGGCTTCTTTTTCTTTCTTTTTTTATTATTCACAGATGGGTTCGGCATATTCGGGCTTTGATTTTTGTATGGGAGAAGAGCGTTCTTTCTTTTTTGTTGCTGTACCATACCTTTCCCTTTTCCCGTGTATAATAGGGATTCGGGACTGTTTCTTACTTTTTTCTCAAATTGAGGAGGCAATTCTGCTATTAATATCTTACCTTCCGATGTTATTGAAACTCCCACTGAAAGGCTATCAAGTAGTTGTATACAATATACAAATGTGTTGTAAATGTGGTTAGATTTTAGCCTCTCGGGGCAGCCGGACAACTTTCAACCGGAAAGCGGCGCGTAGGGAACTTCAAGGATAAGAAACAATGGTGGGGAAGTTGACTCCTCTTCATCTCTCGTGACTATAGTTGATGTTATAACCTCTATCCTTTTCTTGCGATGTCTGGATCAAATCCTTTTCGCGCCAGAAAACTTGGTGAGTGTTCTGTTCATTGCCTCGTTATTCAATCCGTCTCATCCGAGCCAAAACATGACGCTGATCAAATCTTGAGAGACAGGCAACCCCGGTCCAGTCAATATAGCCAATCCAGTCAATCCAGTATTGGATTCACACTTCGATGTTGCCCCTATTTTGTCGAAACCTCAACCCACCCCACCTCTTGCCCCGAACGGTTACGGGAAGTCATCGATCTCCCTTGAGCTCGAGGTAGATGACTCGAGCTCGGACGAAGATACAAACCCGTTCAGTCCAGACTCGGCCAGCGATAGTGATGATGGGAACGATCAGAGAAACCACAGTTCAACTCGTAATGATCGACCAGAATCGTTTGGGTCTGCTCCACACCAAGCTCCATCAACAGATGGATCCTCCACGCCATCGTCCACATCGACCGACCGCAATGTGCAGTCTGTGACAGGGGGTGTAGCCCCTTACACATCCCGCGACAGTTCTCAGCATGAAGTACGCCAGACGTTACGGTTGTCACCAGACGTTAAGACCAGCCCTCCCAGCCGCAAAGACAAGAAACCTCCGCCTCCACCTAAGAGCCACCATGGGCGGAAGATTGACCCTACAGCCACTGCAGAATCAGCCCAGACAGGGCGGTCTTGGTCTACCAACCGCCTGTCAATCCATAGCTCCCCTACCGATGGGACATCTGGCGTTTCGGATCCTAGCTCGGCGTCTCTACCATCCACCGCAGACTACTTCCTGATGCCAGCGGAGCAACAGGGGATGAAATCGACGGACTCGCTCCAACGCAGTCAGTCCCAGCAGAAGCGCCCGCCAACACCACCGCTCAGCCGACGACACAGCCAGATGAGGCGATCTAAGTCCGCGCAGTCCAAATCTAGTCGACTAACCATGTCTTCGTACGACTCTGAGAGCAATGATAGCTCTCTTCCTCCCAGTCCGGGTCCTTCCACTCGGTCTCTTGCACGCAAGAGAATCAGCATACCTCCATCCTCGGGAGACCTCGAACCAACTGTCCCGTTGGCAGATGTTTCATTGAATGTCTCCTCCCCTTCCACTAATTCTCGACCAGCTTCCTTGAAGGCTGCACGACGTGCATCATCTTATGGCAGTACTGGCAACACTGGTAATGCACAGGCTGGGTCTCCACCCCCGCCACCCCCGCCTCGACGTACTCGAGACTCCATGATCCATAAGAGTGACAGTGTGCCGATTTCAAAGACGGCCGAAATCCAGCCACCCCCTCCCGAGCCTTCTAATGCTCTGGATATCCTGGCAGATCTCACAAAGCTACAGAAAGAAGTGGATGATCTTCGTCGGAAGGTGCAGTGAGGGGAGGAACAGCGGGCTGTTCTTCAAAGTTTTTGATTATAGGGCTGTATACATGAATGAACGAATGTATGAATTTGGCATAATTTCCAACTCCCTAATTTCCCAACAATATCGTAGGACAACATCGTCTTCAGCATATAATTTGATGACATTTACTTCTTTTTTTTCTTTCAAATTATCCGAGTATTTTTTGAAACGATGAAGATATCCGATTGGTCTCAAGTTAGAACATATGACGTCGAAATGGATTTAATTATTTGACTACAATAGACAGCTTTCTCCCCGCAAATACCCCTTCTCATTTAAATTCTTAAACTCTTAAACTCTCAACTACTTGACTCCCATTTCAAAAGATCTTCGAAAGCTGAAAATTTAATCCTCTTCTACATTTTCATCTCAGAGAATGTCCACTCCGACTCTAATCAACTTGCCTCCTCCCCCTTCGGACCCGGTCACCCCGTCTGATATGGGACCGTAAGATCTCCAAATTTTCCTGTGAAAATGTAACATGGAAAACTGGTTGACTGACTTGGGGGGTAAAATCCAGAGGCACCCCAAACTCCGGCACTACATCCCTATCCGCACTCTCGACTACAGCTATCAAAGACGGCCATCAAGGCCAACCCCTCCCTCACGGCCATCACGCCCACAGCTCCTCCACATCCTCAACCACAACCCTAGAAGCCGAGCGTGCAGATCGTATCTCCCGCCTTGCTGGCCTCGAACGGGTTGCCACGGCTCGCGCAGGCGGCCAGTCATCTTCCGGCTACATACCCCCGTCTTACGTGCCAGGCTACTTCGAGAGTCAAGCGCTGAAAGAGCGCAGCACTGTCGGCAGCGCCAGTGCAACAGGCAGCGTCGGTGGCCGCACTACCTGGGCGAGTAGCAGTGATGTATACGACGACAGAATGAGCGAGGATCACGAAACCTCTAGTGTGGGCAATGTTAGCGATGAAGGCAATGCCAGTCTGGTTGGTTTTGGCGAGGGCGCAAACAGCACCATCAGTGGACCGACATCTCGTCCATCGGGTCTGAACCGCATTGGATCTGGAGGTCTGGGGAATCGACCGACCTCGATGAGCTCGAATGTGAGTCGGCCCAATGCTCTCGCTTCTTATCTGCAGCAGCAGCAAGACCATGCTGGGGAGAGTTCGATGGTGTCTCACTCACCGGCTGGTTCACTTACCCCTGAGCCTGTCAATGAGGATGCCCGCATGGTTGATGGGATGACTTTTGATTCGGATGTCGTTGATACTACTGCCCGAACCCCGCGAATCGTTACTCCGACTCACAGTAGCAATGGGTTTGGCTCGCCAGGCCGGGAGTAAAGTCTGAGTGAATACGGTAGATGAAGATTTACGATGGCGTTTTTCTTTTTTTTTTTTCTATTTCAATTAGTTGCTTTTTCCTTGTTGTGTTTCCCCTCGAGTTCTCTTTTATCACAGTGTAATTCTAAGAGAATGACCCTATCTGACCCTATCAAGTCGATAATTTGATGTGTATTGGATATTGAGATTTACTTTTACAATGCGATTCACCTGTCATTATTCTTTTATTCTTTTTCAGGTTGTGATTGAGATCTGGACATTTGTGATATTCTGTAATGTTTCTGGTTATTTGTATGTGATTGGGCCATATCCCCTCCAAGAAACATTGCCACCTGTCAATTTTTCTCTCTATTCTCTTTCAGTAAATGGATATAGTGAATAACTACCAGAATATTGTATTCTATTGATTTTTTGAAACTAGTTTTGTAATCTAATAGTAATCAAAGAGTGTAGATCAAATCAAAAAGCCAGTATTGAATCTATACCAACTGTAGATGACGGCATGCCCGCCGGGCCAAACTTCGCAACACCTGAATTTTCTTTCTTTCACTTCTTCAACCTCCCCACCTCCACATCACCTTCTTCGCCCGACCTTCTTGCTGGCATTGACTTGTCTAGCAGTCTTCCATTCCGCCTATCCACCAATTGAATTTCTGCTTTCGCCCCTTTCGAAAGAGAAACACGCTTCCAACGCGATCCAATCTTGACATTTCGACCCGCTTTGTTCGATCCTTTTACGGTCATTCACTGTGACAGGATATTTTTGGTTCTTGTCTCGCCTTGTCTGATTCGCGTCTCTTTCTTCAAACGAGACTCATTTACGCTGCGTTCCTATAGAAACAGCAGTTGATCTCTCTTCTTTTGGTGGATTCTCCTAGACTTGCGAGTTGATATCAAAATGGCAGCTCCTACGCAACTTGCTTGTGCGTTTCCTCTGCTCCGGTCCTTTATTCTTGACTATCAGTCAAGAGTCGATACCAACCTGTGCCATTGAACTATTGCTGATTGTTGTACAGACCGTACGCTCAAGGGCATTGGCCTCATGGATGCCGCCCCTGTCTATGAGCCTCTAGCGGGATTCGTGAGGTAAGAATTAAGGCTGCTCAATATATGGACTGCTGGCTGACTTGTTTGATTTTAGACCAGAGGGCAACCTCCGCTGTAGCGCCTACTCGCCCTGTGGCCGATACTACGCCTGGGCTTCGCCCGAAAAGTAAGCTGATCTCATTCTCGCTCGCACAGTGTGTCACTAATACTAAATCTTCTAGGGTCACCATCATCGACCCCTCCGTTGGCCATGTCGTCGGGACTATCCCCGCCGAAAACGTGTTTGAATTGGGTTTCTCCCCGCTCGGCACCTACGTGATCACCTGGCAGCGTACGTCTAAGGATGCGAACGGAGACGCCGTTAAGAACTTGAAGGTGTGGCGTGCCATTGAGGCCGGAGACGAGCACTCGGTCGTGGGTAGTTTCGTCCAGAAGTCGCAGACCGGATGGAACCTGCAATACACCGCCGATGAGAAGCTGTGCGCCCGCACTGTGACCAACGAGGTCCAGTTCTACCAGAGCGATAACCTGTCCACTGTCTGGAACAAGTTACGCGTGGAGGGTGTTACGGACTTTGCGTTGTCGCCCGGCCAGACCCAGTCGATTGCGGTGTTCATCCCCGAGCGCAAGGGTCAGCCTGCTCAGGTCAAGGTGTTCATCGTTCCACAGTTCACTGCGCCTGTCTCCCAGAAGAGCTTCTTCAAGGGTGACAAGGTTCAGTTGAAGTGGAACGCTTCCGGAACTACCTTGATCGTGCTTGCGCAGACTGAAGTGGACCGTACTGGCAAGAGTTATTACGGCGAGACTACTCTGTACTTGCTTAGCGCCAGTGGTGCATTTGACTCGCGCATTGACCTTGGTATGTCTCGTATCAATTCGTCTGAAAATCCCATTACTGACAACCACTAGACAAGGAAGGACCTATTCACGATGTCAGTTGGAACCCCAACTCCAAGGAGTTTGGTGTTGTATACGGTTATATGCCTGCTAAGACCACCATCTTCAACTTCCGCGGTGTTCCCAAGCACAACTTCCCCCTTGCTCCTCGCAACACCATCCAGTTCTCGCCACATGGCCGCTTTGTGCTGGTTGCCGGTTTCGGTAACCTGGCAGGACAGATGGATCTCTACGACATGGACAAGAACTACCACAAGATCACCACCGTCGAGGCTTCCAACGCCAGCGTGTGCGCCTGGTCCCCCGATGGACAGTACATCTTGACCGCAACGACCAGCCCCCGCCTGCGTGTCGACAACGGCGTGCGCATTTGGCACCTGAGCGGCAATCTCATGTACAACGAAGAAATGACCGAGCTGTACGACGTCACCTGGCGCCCACAGACCATTGATCAGCACCCACTGGGCGAGCCGCTCACCAAGCTTCCGGTACCCCACCCCTCCGCAACAGCTTATATGGGCACGCGCAAGGCCCCCGTCAAGCCCGCGGGCGCCTACCGTCCCCCCGGTGCCCGCGGTCAGTTGACTCCCCTTGCATTCAAGCGTGAGGACGAAGGTGGTGCCGCCTTTGTCCGCGAAGGTGTGCCCGGTGCCAGCATGAACGGCTTTGGCAAGCCCCGCCGTCGTGAGATCCCCGGTGCTGAGCCCTCGGAGGAGTACCTGCCTCCCGGAGCCGCTCCCGGCGGTGGGGTTGCTCTGCCTACTGAGAACCTGTCCAAGTCTGCCGCGAAGAACAAGAAGAAGCGCGAGGCGGCCAAGAAGGCCAAGGAAGACGGTGTTGACGCCACCCCCGCCAACGCCCCTGCCAATGCCCCTACTGGCCCCAGCCCTGACCGCCGCAACCGCAACAAGAACACTCCTAACGGAAACGGTGCTGCCAAGGCTGCTTCTGCTTCTGCCCCTGTTGCTGCTGCTCCTGTTGCTGCTTCTGCCCCCGCCCCTGCGCCTGTCGAGGATCCCTCTGCTCAAGATAAGAAGATCCGCGGCCTTTTGAAGAAGATCCGCGCTATCGATGAGCTTAAGATGCGTCTTGCAGGCGGTGAGAAGCTGGAGGATACACAGATGAAGAAGATCCAGACCGAGGATGCGGTGCGGAAAGAGTTGTCCGGTGTTGGATATGATGGTTAAGTAATTGGATACCTGACATGGTGGTTGTGACAGCGTTGAAGCAAATGGTTGCATATTCCACGGATATAGTTAGACCGACCTGCACGTATGCATCCTGTATAGGGGCTGTTCAAATTGACCTAGATACCAATATCACTATCTATCATTATCTATACCCATGGGGGTCGTAAACACTTCAACATTATGTACAAATCTATATCTATCAAATACAAACACAAGACAGCACATTTCTCCAAAAACATTGAAGTCTTGTCTTTGACCACAAGTTCCGAGCCCAAGTCTAACTAACTATGATTGTGAAAACTGATCTTCAACGCCAGCTCTCCTCTCAGCAGCCATCCTCTCCCAATTGGCTCTCCACCACCAGATACCCGTTTCATTTAGTCCACCCGTCTCCCCCTCCTTGTGAGTTTCATGCCAAGGCTTCGCCGCAAGGATATAGTGGACAGCGCGAGCTTCATCGTCTCTCCAAATCGCATCATGCACCCCTTCGATACGCAGCGTATACAGCGCATTATAAACATACGGCAGCGCAACCCACCGTCCTGAAAAGACATCGGACAGCAGCTCCTGATCCGGGAAGACATATTTATTGATCCGTTCTGGCTCTTGCAGAGCGGAGGTGATTTCCCTATAGTGCTTTGCCGAAGGCCGCACGACCAGCACACCGCTGTTGAGCATACCCACGCCTGAGCCTGGTGGGGGCGCAATGGTTTGCGCTTTCAAGGGCATGGAGTGCTGCGTTGTATAAGCACAGTTCTCGGGGATCCTATTTGATGTCAGTGATATTGATATTTCGCCGAGGAACAGGACAATGCCATTGTAGACAGAAAGACAAAATCGAGGCGAGAAGTGACAACATACCAAGTCGCAGGATAATGTGCCTTCTTCAACGGGTTGCAAGCGCAAGCATGCGCAGCTGCAAAGACCCGTTCCCCATCCTCTTCCCCATCCAATGGAATATCCATGAGTTCGTCCATATTTCGACGGACGAGGATATCACCGTCTAGCAGGACAATGCGCTCATATTCCTCGAGTGAGTAGACAATGAGTTTGTTCCATGTTTCGGCGAAGCGTGGATCTTGCGCGTAATCTATTGTGATCGCTGGCCTCACGGAGGGAACCCATTGTGCTGTGATTCCCCGTGCTCGGAGCACTTTGAGACCTTCTGGAGGGAAGCTTGAGGTATATAAGGCGACAAAAGGGTACTTGGTGCCTTGCTTTGCGGATGGTGAGGCATGTGGGTCTGGGGTCGGGTGGTTGAGAGAGTGATGAAGCGTTAAGAGGCCCGGGAGATAGGACAGATTTGTGATTAGGGATGCCCATACTACTTGTTGAGTCAGTACATATGTACATATGTAGCTTGTTGCGCTTGACTGGGGGATTGGAGACCTACCCCGCTTAGGACGGGTCTGCTGATCTTGTGTCATGCTATGGCAATTTGGACTTTTTGATCCCATTCGATTGAGTGTGATTTTTTGTGAGGAAAAGGACGAAGGGTACTATATCGTAGAGAGAAGATCACCTTGGAAGGAGTGAGATGAGAAATGGCGTCGTCATTTTTGAACCCCACTAATGCCCGATCTGATCCGGAGTATATTTCACATTTCACATTTTATATATTGGATTTGGTATGTTAACTGAACACGGGAGTACTTGATTTTATTATCCATGAGTTATCCACTACGTTGGAACTGTCTTGCAGCTGCTTAGCGTAAGTCTATTTTGAGTGCTGTTCCCAAATACTACAGAGTAGTCATATTCTACCTGGGTATGAACGAATTCATAGGTACATGTAGGCAACGATGCTATACAAACTACATACATATACATAAATGCTTTCGACTAATTTCATTAGGCAAGGGAGACAACAAAAGCCATATCGTATTTGATAATTTGACACAATTTGCAGAATCCCCAATTTTATCGTGCGTGGTATTCGCTCGGTAAGTTCCAGTATATTACCTCTAGTAGATAAGCCAACACTGCCAAGGGATAGTAGAACGATGAAGAAACATTGGTCACTACAGTACGGAGTACATTATGTGCTTACTATCTGCAATTTAGGCCTATAAAAGAAGTAGGAAAATAGTAGGAAAAATCAAAAACTGGCAAAGATCTGCAGTGAAACAGAATAAGTGGATATTAGAATAAATGCATCGTTCTTTAGCATACAATCATCAACGACTCTCCTCAACTCGATCTCCAATCTGTACTCCCCAAATCTGCCACCTGGCTTCTTCAGCAAAGTCCCTCCGCAACCAGAGTCCAGAAGGTTGGGGTTTCTGTTCCGGGCCCTGGGCTGGAATTGGTCTAGAAAGTGGATCACGCTCCTCACCAGGCTGGGTGCGATCCAGCCAATCAAACAGCAAACGAAGTTGCCAGATCCGATCACGAATCTGATCTGGATCTGCGCCGCGCCCACGTGCTGATTGTACAATATTACGTACAGTATGGGATAGAGCGAGGCGTGCATCCACAGCGGAGGTGCGTAGCCAAGGTGGTGCGGAGACAAGCTCGCTGGTAATGCGGGCCGAACGCATGGGGAAGGACGAGGGGAGAACGAGGGAGCGTTCACGGATGTCGAGGTCTTGTAAAGAGGGGAGGTGGAAAATCCAGTCCCATGGGGTTTGGGACGGCGTTGTGGCTGCGGATGGTTTGCCGGTGAGTAACGTCGTACGGTTTGGCCAGGCCGAGGGAGGAAGAGCCTTGGCTGGATTGGAGGCCCCCGCCGCAGTCGTGGGGAGGATATCTTGTGCTTCGCTGAGGCCGGTCAAAGTGGAGGCAAAGACAGAGGTTGAGGAACTTGCTGGGTTGTAGGTTGCCTTCCGGCGGAGGTAGACGGACGGGTCACCGCGGAGGAATTTTTCGTGCAGGACATCGTTTTGGGTAAAGTCCAAGACGAGGGGCCAGTGGTCTGGTCCCCGGATTTCAATACGGGAGATCTCACTGGGATCTGGGAGGAGACATGGTGCACTAATGGTCTTGGCGGTCTCATCGTGCGATGTGATGGTAATCGGGATGGAGATTGGGCGGCGGGTATCGAGATCACGAGGTACGAGGCATCGGGGCTCGGCAGCAAGAACCCACAAATGGCGGAATGCTTGGAGATGACATTTGTTATCGAGAACTGTGGTTGGGAAGGTGGGGTAGAATGCGCAGATGAGCGAAGCCACAGCACGGTTGGATGTGCCGAGTGTGTAGCTACCTCCACCGAGGAAGAGTACTCCGATAGCCATGTGAGCCGCCATGTGACTTCCATAGGGTGTGTCATTGTCAATCCGGCCGTGGAGCGAGCGTAGGCGCCTGAACAGAGCTATATCACCCGTGCCAGCCATGACGGCGGTAGCAGCCAGTGCCACGACATCTTGACAGTTTCGGACTGAATTGCGCGCGAGCCTAGCATCGTAGCTGCGTACAGGTAGTCTTGAGATGCGGATAAGTTGATCGAGATAGAACAGTAAAAGATCTCTTGCCTGTGCCTGACCCGACCCGGCATGGCGGAGGCCGAGAGCAAAACAGAGACCTGCAATGATGTTAAAGAATGGCATGTCTTCGCTACGCAGCCGGCGCACATCTGTCAGTCGCGATCTTCCTCGGTATACTTCAGGCAAGCTCTGGCTAATCCATTCGGCAGTGGGTTTGATACTGTCCCACATGATGATGTGCCGTGCCAATGTCCGCAATAGGAACAAATCCGGCCGCACATAGTCAAAGCGCACAGTGGTATCAGGGATATCGATCTTCTTCGCTAAAACCGCATCATTCGTCTTCATGAATATGATCATAAGAGCAATGGTGGCGCCAGCCGTGGCGCGATCAAGTACATGGGCAATATCAACGTTCTTCGTGCCTACAGCGATTGCTAAGAGACGCTCGACGATATGCATGTCTCGCATACCTCGCAAGTCATCGCCTTTGCCAAGGTTGATGAAACCAAGAGAAAAGCCTGCAGCCAGACGATATCCTTCATCACGGAGATCTTCTTGGGTAGCAGCTTGTTCGTCATGCTCGCTATTTTCAATTTCTGAAAGCATGACCTCGCTCATGCGACGATGCTGGGAGCCACAATATAGCATACCGATGCCCATAATACCAGCAGTTTGGGTTAATGGCGAGAGGTTTAGCTCGGCTGCCCCCAGTGGTAGCATCCTTGTAACGTGCACCGAGAGCAAACGTGTAATGAGTGTATCCATTGTGCCCAAGTACGAGGCAGAGAGCCCAAGAAGAAGACCAATGGATGTCATTGTATGCTTGGGAGTGAGGTACTTGAAAGCAACCCACTTGGCGAGCGATTTGAGATGACCATTCAAACCCAAAGCTAGCAAGAAACCAGCATGTCGATTTGTAAGGTCCTGTGGTTTGTTGAACAATATCCACGAGGTATCAATGCCTTTGGAGGCCTTGGAGATTGCAAGACCGGTGGAAACTCCGTTGTGGAAGAAAGCCCAACAAACCTTTTCTTCCGAGAACAAGGTTCTGTCCGCACTGACCGTCACATTGTCTGGTTTCATAACGCACTGCAGGGAAAATGATGGAATGGGCAGTTTCTCTGTCAACAAAGGCAACCGGCCACTGAAAGTAAGCATTGCACGGCCCGCGGGGGTAGATAGAGTTCGAAGTGTAACAAGCTGCACGATTTCTTTCTGTGCGTCTAACAGATCCTGATCTCTCCAACCAGGCTCAGCAATGCACTCTGCTACGGGGGCTTTCGATTGGTTGAGTAGCTTGGCTGCCTCGAGGAACCGCTTGTCCTCCCGGAAGATCAGCCTGGTTACTGAGAATCTGTCTGCTTCTGCAGAGGCTTCGAATGCGTTGATGGCATCAATGTCCAATGCAGAACTGCTGATATAGTGGAAATCACGTATGGAATCGTGAGAAAGCGCAGTTTGTTGTGGTGCTGCCAATGAGTTTATCTGACCAGGGTTCATCGACATATAAAGATCCTCACGGTCGATTAGCTCCAAGAGTGCAGAGTTCCAGGATGTGGAAGCCTCAATTTGGCATTGTAGTACGGCTTCATACAACGGCGCGCTGACACCCTCGGGGAAGCTATCGATGACACTCTTGGTGAATCCCCAACGCTGCAAGAGTTTGATTTTTTCCAGGGGGGTTGAAACACCGTGAATTTCAGCGAAGAAACCATTTAATGCACAAGTCCTGGGTGTTATATTGAAACACTCCCGCCACATCCGTCCCTTTCTGGGGGTTTGCTCAGATGCATTCACGATGTCAAGGAGAGAAACAAACGGCGCAGGGTTTCGATGAGAAGCAGCACTCATAAGAAACTCAAAAATGGATGGTGGCGGGAAAGGTTCGTCGGGAACCTTCAGCCCGGAAATATGAGTATTATCTTCAAACTGCCAGCGCTCCATGCTGGTCATTTCAGTGCCATAGTAGGAGTCATCGGTCCATTTCCAGGACTCCCAGCCCAGCCAGCCACCTAGCTGTGCGAGAACAGGAGCCAGCAATCCCAGAGGTCTTCGAGCCTCTTCTGAGTCGCAGGTGGAGAGCTTCTGCTCCTCGCGAAGTAGATGCAAGGCCACGAGGACACTACACAAGGTAGTGCATCTTGTGTTCTCAGAAAACACTTCTGAGATAGGGAAGTAGCCATCACGGCCAGCAGCCCTAATACCCTGGGGACTTTGGAGGAACTCACGACTGAGGGCAATGCATCGGATCAAAAACAAATTCTGGCGGTACGTAGACCGGCTCGCATTGGGTTGACCCTCAACCTTTGATGCCTTTGTTGTGAGATTCTCAATTGCATCTTGTTCAACGATCCATCCCCAGGAGCTTTCCATCATCCATGGGGCTGCAACGCCTGCCGGGCCAGATTCCAAATCCAACATGGCTTCCCAGCTTTCCAGATCAAGATTTCCTCCGCTGCTCGATCTGAGGAGGCTCTTCTTGCGACGTGTTCGTTTAGGGGCTTGCATTGGTGGAGGATTGACAAATGGAACTGCCAGACTCAACAAGACAACGGTCATAGCGGTCCACTCGAGGTCATTTTCGATGTCCTCTCTACCTCGAAGCCACTTGATAACCTCCCACCAAGCGACCATAATGCCATCGCCTGCTTTCTCGGAATCACGCAGGGCAAACTTGCAAACTTTGAGTATTTTTTTCACCAGATCATTTCGGGGCTCCATTCGGATTTGGAGTCGATGTCGCTGGTGGTCTGTGTCTACCAAGTCAATCTTTCCTCGGGAGCACACATGATCAAATCCGTTGAAAACGAGGTCGGGATCTGCCATGACCCGGTTGACTCCACTTTCTCTTGGGCGCTTCTCGAGTTTATTGGCAGAAATACCATCTGGCTCATAAAGCAGCAGTGGTACAGGAGCTTCCACTTTGACAGGACTGCCCCACAGGGTTTGCAATGAGAGCTCGCGGTGCTTGTTATCGGTTTCACTCAACGAGAGTATGCGAGAGATCTCTCCGTCGGTGATCCTGCAAGCATCCAAGACATTTGACACATTTTGGATTCTTACTGCACGTACGAGTACTGGACTTTGTCCAGTCGTCTTAGCCTTCTTCTTCTGACTCTTGGAAAGTGGCTCTCGATCTGCTCTCAAATTGACAATGGTCATGTTTCGTGACACTTTGTCCACAATACACACTGCCAACGAGGCAGTGTGGCCCCTTTGACCACCTCCATAGTCGGTAGAAGCCAAGGTAGAGACTTTCATTCGGCGGGATGCTGGCTCTTGGGTAGACTGCTGAAAACTGCCCGTAAATTGGGACGAGAAACTTTCAACCTTGTTCAACAGCAACTCTTCCGGAAGCCCAGATGTCGATTCACGCAGCGCAATGCTCTCGAATCCCGATGAGAGACTGTCACTGTTTAGTTCCTCGAGCAATTTATCAACAGGGGCCTCAAGGAAGCTGCCTGCATTGCTGTATACAGACCCTGTGCCCGGTGGCAGGGAGCCCCGAGGGTTGAAACCGAAACTTCCTCGGGTGCTGGCTCCTCCAATAGACTGTCTCAGCCCAGCACCATGGGGCATGGTACTAGACTGGCTGCCTGTGGCCAGATCTGAAAACGTGATGCGATCTTGGCTGGTAGCAAGATCAGTTCGAGCAAGCAACGAGCTGACTCGTCTTGACGTCTTGAGTGGAACGCCGACGTCACCAAAGTCTTGTGCTACTCTTGCAGCCAGATCATCTTCGGCGTCAATTCTTGCTAGAGATGGTTGAGTGGAAGGCCGGTCTTCTGTCCAAGGTCCAAAGCTCTCTCTAGTTGCTCCGGAGCGAGTGGCGGGAGTTGTTGCACCGGTTGCGAAATGAGAGCTTCGCCTCACTGATCGGGTGCCTCCAGTCTCTCGTCTAGCCTTGTGTTTCATTGGACCTCCAGATTCATCATCTTTGTAGCGTGCAGTCCATATTGTATATATGCCGGTGGTGGTGTTTATGGTCACAACTAGAATCAAAGGAATACCATTCAGCGGGCCCCTGCTGGTGCCCAGGAGTTCGTCCTTGGGAGAGATGTATACAATCTCATCCACAGGATCTAGAACTTCTAGTCCAGATGGTCTCTTTCTAGCACTGCTGACGCTGCTTTGGAGCCACTTGGAGGTCTGTGATGTCACAACCAGGCCCATCTCTGAGTGAGGGTTTATGAGAGAGAAAACACGAGGAAGATCGGCACTTGAGCTCGCTTTTGGCACCCAGGATGACACTGGGTTGGTCGATAATCTCGTCGAGGTACGCTTGCTCTTTTTGAGTGTCGGTATGCCAAACGATTGTGAGGCACTCGGATCGAATAGCGAGGTGGTCATGAACGAGTTAGGCGGCGCGGTTGGGATTTGACGTCTCCCGTCATCGTCCGGGATTTTCCTTTGGAAAAGGAGACCACGGGGGGTGGCAAACACAGATTCAACTTCAAATGGAAGAGGTATTGTATGGCTATTGCCTGCAACAAAGAATATGTGGGCTTGCGATTTGAGGACTACTACCATAGCTCTTGAGAGTGTCTCGCTGGATTGCTGCGGAGCCACAACCGCTACTCGTGCGTCTCCATGCAGATCCAAAGTTGAGAAAGCTTCTGGAGCCGATGGTTTCCCATTGCGTTGGGTTTGCTTTCGTGTACCTTGCGTACTAGTAGTTGCTTCGGGACGGCCAAGAGGTGTCTTTCCCGAATGTTTGATATCCCCGGCCGCAAATTGAGTAAACAGAGCATGTCGAATCTCTTCTTTCTCAGGGTCCATCCGAAAGACTCTTTTCACCATCCCTGCGCGGGACCATACAACACAATGCTTCGTCCATACCAACTCGTCGTCCACAGGGCCGGTCAACCCGCTTTCGTCGGTGCATATTGTCCATGTGTAATAATCCTCTGAAGGCTCGGGAGGTAGGATACCCTCTGAAACTAGGTAGGAGACGGCTGAAGGTTCGTGGACGCCCAGAGAGCGAACGGACGCCATGGTGGGCTGATTAGAAGCCGGGGTAGTGATTGCGGTGCGCCGTTACAAACAGTTCTGCGGTCGAAACTGTCGGATTGGTATTTTCCATCGTAGCCGTAAGATTAAGTAACGATGCGTCGACCAAAAGACATGCTGAGAGGCTGAATGTGGAAGTTGAAGGACGCGCTGGAACGCGGATTGGATCGACTTTCTCTGCTTCCCGACCAAAACAACTTCCTTTCTCCATCTACACAACCTTCCATTCACTTTACTTTCTACACCGTGCTTTCTGTTTGCTTTTGCTTATACAAAAAGCACACAGGTATTGAATCTTTTTCAGAGTCGCAGATCTCCGGATTATCCTCCCTGTGGTGCCTTCCGGCGCCTGTGCTTGAAGCTCCTAGTAGCTCAACAGCATCGCAACCAGCACAATGCCTTCGTTTCCGACCACTCCCTTGGTCCGAACAAGGGATGATGGCCTACAGATCAGGTATGCATAATGCGCTTCCACCATGTTACTTGATTTGGAGCTGATAGTTGTTGTGTAAAAATCTTTAGCTATCCGCTCCCCCATCGCATCCACACGGCTAAGGGCTACCCGCTACGAGCCCCCAATGGCTCATCGATCATTGTTTACGGCTACGACACTGGATTGAAAGTAGTCTGGAGAGGAGGAAAACGTTTCTCGGAACTGAAGTCAGCAACAGAACAAAATCCCAAGCGCGCAGAAAACAATGCGGACAACTCGGTCATGATTATTGACTCCGACGAAGAAGGGGAGCCCGAGCCAGAAGAAGAGGAACCCGCCTTCGAATTCAGTCTTGAGGAGAGTGAGGTTAATCCTGCTGCTCCATACGAAGAGATTTTGCGACAAATTGATATTCCCCTTGGAAGCCGAGTGCTAGATGTGGCAGTGCCCCGAGTTCTTACTGAAGAAGCTCGCTCACCCCTAGACCCCTTCCCACCCATCCTGAGAAATACAATCGTTGTGTCGGCCATCTGCTCCGATCTTTCGACTAAGGTCGTAACTCTGCCGCTTGTTCCCCCACACCCTGCGCAGACTGACTCAAAAAGCTGGAACATCCAAACTCTCACAGTCAATGGAGCCACAACTCATCAAGACATTCCGCGTGGTCTATCTCTTACTTTCACCTGCCATGAGTTTGAAGAAGAGCAAGACCAAAGGAAGTCACGGGGTCGCTTTGGAAGCTATGGGAAATGGGACCTGCTTGTAGCTACGCATTCTGCTGAGGGTTGCGGTGCGCTCTTGCTGCACCGTATCCCTATTCGCGAATCATCGGGCTCATTCCATCTCTTGGATGAAGAAATCATCTCTCAACGACGGCTCTTGCCTGCGCCTGCGCAGAGGATTGCTTTCAACCCATCAACATGGCCATCCATCCGTCACGCCAACCTGCTTGTCGCATTCCACAGTGGATGCGTCAAGATCTACTCATGTTTTTCCGTCAAGAAAGCTTCGAAACCTAAACGGAGAAGCTCACTACCGCAAGAAGATTACGAAACCATCGACACAGAAGGTCGGTGGTTAATCACCCTGTATCCTGGCTTCGAGCAAGGTCCCGTAGGAATCCCTCGACGAAAGAGGATTATCGATGCGGACTGGGTGCTCGGCGGCCGAGCAGTGATGGTACTTCTTGAGGATGGCGAATGGGGCGTGTGGGATATTGAAGGCGCCGGGCCTGGGGCTGCAAAGGGCCCACTGCACCGCCAGACAAGCATTCAAGGTGTCACTGGCGGCTCACTAGCTTCATATGCAGTTAGTGGTCGTATCATGACTCCGCTTTCCAACAGCAACTCTGAGACGGAGCAGCGGCCCCGGTTTGCTCCCATGACACCTTCCACCAGGCGCGTTCGCGAAGATGGTTTGTTGAAGGGTTCTATGAGCACAGCCAGCCCCTCCCACCGCGGCCAGATCTCGGTTTTGCAGACGAACCCTTCATCAGATGCCTTGCCCGATGAGTCGATTCTGCTCCGTCACGGCCGCCAGAGTGCTATAATCACGAGTCTCCTATCTCTTTGGCGGAACGCCGTCAAGTCCACAGGCACCTTCGATTCCTCAAACCGCTGTCGACTATCTCCCTTCCAAGACGTGAATCTTATGGGTCAGAATTTCCAGGCAATCGGCCACCTGCCGGCTCCAGCTCGTCATTCTCGACAAGCTGAGAAACAATCATTTGATGTACTTGTCGCAGCAGAATCCCAGCTCACGATCCTTGCTCCGAAATTGAAGGAGTCTGACCATGAAGAGAGCCAACCTGCTGTGAAGCAGGAAGACACGGACGAGATCGACCAGTTGATGCTCCAACGTGGCGAATTGGATGTGGAGGGGATGGGTCGTCTATTGAATGGTATGGCCGGCGGAAATGCTCCTCCTCTTCGCATGGGTAGCCCCGTGAAGCGGACTCGTGTTTTCGCCTGATATGGAAGCGGGCATTTGACCAGCCATAGATGATCACATGATACTAATACCCATGTTCCCTTGTGGGATTTATTTCTTCCTTCTTCTTGCTTTGCTTGTTCTACTTACGTGAAATTCTCTCTCCTAGAACCCATTCGCGCTGTAAGGTGGAGCGCAAGGCGAGAACCATGCCTTGAAATTCCTTCTTCGGGAGTGAATAAGCTCTGTATCGGATGCGATATATCAATTACCATTACAAACAAGTGCTATGGCACGAGCCCCATGCAACGCAATGTTGTAATGCTTGCATTTGACTTTGGGTCCCATCTTCGACCCTGTACTGCTGCGGATACCGGTCTGCCTCTTGGCGATCCTTACATCGGTAGCTGCAGTGGGCGAGGGTAGAAGGTGGCCAAGGTTTGGATGCAAGTACATATGGGCATGATGGGACATTTTGTTTACAGACGTAGGATTGTAGCTGCTACAATACCACAATAAGACTGGACTCGTATCATCATCGATGTTGTACTCTATGCATATAAAAGATCCTATTTACTCCTAAATCGTAATGTTAAGAAGACCATGGAACAAGATACGACGCAACTCTTAGGTCGATCTGTGCTGGCCCTCCTTCAGAAGGCCGCGATCACCACCGCCACCCTTCTGCCACAACCAGATACCCTCAACGGCCCAAGCAGCAGCACTAGCATGACGACCAACACCCGAAGCAACAGGTATGAGATTAGGGTTTTCCTCGGCACTCTTTTGGTCTTGAGAAGGTTTGCTCTTATTTCTGCCCAGAGTCTGACCAGCATCGCCATCCGCTTCAGCAAGCATACCGGCAACAACACCTTCTTTCTCAATGACAAACCAGAGCCCTTCAGACAACTGCCCACCCCGTTCTCCGAACTCTGCCCGACCAAGACGGAACAGGATTCGGCCGATCACTTGCCACGCAATACATCGCTGTGCGGGGAATGTCGAGCGTGCGAGGATGGCCAACTCCGGGATTGTATATCCCGCTGCATGAGGGTCGTCGCCGTGATGGTGTAAACCCATGGTCGTCGGCAGAGAAAGAGAAGTCTCGGGGGCGAGGATTGTGCCTGTTAGCGAGAAGCGGACCGCTGACGGTGCCAAGGAGATAGCACTGCTGGCTGGGTGGTAGGCAGATGTTGAGTCTGGGTCTTCTTCGTCGGCGGAGAGAGGTTGGAGCCAGGACAGTGTAGAAGGGTCCTGCGCTATCTCTGGAAAGTAATGTGACTGTAGATCTGCCAGGAAGGAAGGCGAAGACGGATCAAGCACTGGCATCGGCCTGGTTGGCTGAGGGAAGTGGAAGGTTTCTAGGGTTGCCGGGTCGAGGGAGGGGCGTTGAGAAGCGGGGTGAAGGTCTTTCGGAAGTGCGGATGGAGGAAGGTCTTCATTTCTGGGGTGCGGCGGCAAAGACACCGATGAAGGCTTTGGTAAAGAGTGGGGTTGCGCAGTTGAGGGTGTGGATTTGGATGAAACGGGTGCAATGTCAGGCACATCGAATGATACCGATTTCTTCGGCTTGGAGGACTTTTCATCTGTAGGTGTCGGCGAGGCAGTCTCGTCACCAGTCAGTGTATCCTCTTCAATATTTGCTCTTCGAAGGAAGCGTTCAAGGAGGCCCGGGTCCATCTGTTCCATTAACTCTTCACGTTCACGTTGAATCTGCGCGTCCGACATGGACGCCAGATGGCGGCGGTTCTCCTCGTCGATAGTTTGCTTGTCATCTTGAACGGTCGGTGCGGTCAGTGGAGCTGGGGTGGGATCTGCGACAGTAGACTGGTTTGCTCGTCGCTGTTTGAAGGAGGATGGCTTGCGCTGGCGAGGTGCTGGGAAACCAGTTGAGGTTGACAGTTTTGGTGCCGGGGGAATGGCGGTGGAGGGAACCCGTTCTTGAATTTCTCCTACGAGAGAGAATGGGGATTGAGAAGGAATCTCTGGACCAGATTCATCATCCAAGTCCAGGACAAAGCGTTCACCACGAAAAGCCATGATATGATCAATAATGCAAAGAAGAGAAAAAAAAGTGATGAGTTATGTCAGCGCGGGGGATGCGGCTCCCAAAGCTAAAAATGGGGCTGCAGAATAGTCTAACTGTATTGGGCTAGTGAAAGCCAGCGGATGTGCTAGTCCTAATCAGGTTCCTCACATCTATCTATACAAATTCGTCGATCCTTCTTGTCAATATACAATGATCTTGTATCGATACTATATTGTTGTGCGTTCTTTGAGGGATTTATGCAGATATTTGCTGTAGTACTTCTTTGTGTAATCATAATTAGTATCAATTATGCAACTGTTGACTGTGTCATGAGCTTCAACTGGGATACACAAAGATGAATGTTACCTTCACATGAGTATAACTATAACAGACTTTTTGAAAAGCAAATCTGAAATGAGACATCAAAATAAATCAACAATCAGTCAGATTGATATTATATAGGCACCGAATTTGAAACTAAGCCATATACACAGATAAATCTTGGGAACCTTAGAAAAGTAGTATAGATGCATTTGAGGTACCACAATTTGAACAACTTATACAAAGGGAATAGATTAATCTTCAAGACTCATCGCTAGAATAAAAACCTATATAATTCTAATTCTAATGATGTAGATATAGATATAGATATAAATGTAAATAAATAATACCAATGATATCTGAACTAGTCAGATTTCCTAGTATATAAGAGCTTTGACATATCAATTTACAGTAGTATGTACCTTGAAAGTTAGCAAATAATAGTTGCTTTAACCCCAATTCAATAATCTGCTTTCCCTTCGTCTCCCCTTTCTTCCCTTTTTCTCTTTTTTTTCCTTTTCTCTTCCCCGATTTCCTACCCTATTTGCCTTTTTTTACCCTCTCCTTCTCTCCCTTTCCCCGTGTGTTTCTTCATCCTTTCCCTGCGGTTTTCTTACCCGTGTTCTTTTTTTCCGTCACCCACACAGATCTCCCTTATCTTCTTTGTGTTTCATCTCCCATCTTTCCGCTTTGGCAACCTTCGCAATCTGAATACAACCATAATTGTACACGTCTTCGCGACCGACTTCAACAACCCCCAAATCAAGTTCATCACCACCACACCTGGATTTGATTAAAAGCCATCAATTTGTGAATCGCTCATAATTGTCACAATAATTATGTCTACAGATCCGCCTACAGCGGGTGTACCCAAAGCAGAGGGGCCAACCATTGACGTGGACGCCAAACCCGACACAAGCGCCCGACGTGCCTCCGGTACCTCTAGGCGGTCGCGTCGTAAGAAGGATGACGAACCCGACGCAAAACTAGCCAAGAAAAATAAAGAACCCAAGGAATCCAAGGAACCTAAAGAAATCAAGGAGAAACCGGCCCGCGCTCCTCGTCGCCCTCGAGAAAAATCAACTGGTACAATCAGCTCGCGCAAAAAACCCAAGCTGGAGCCCGCGGAAGAAACTACAAGGGCTCCTGCGCCGGACGCCCAAGGCCCTCCAACCCTGTCAGCGCCTCAATCCCAGCCTACCCACCCTACTCAGTCTATCCAGCCGGCTCAACCTCCCTCTTATTCTCAAAGCCCACACCCTCCTACAGCGCCCAGTGGGATATACCAGCTGTCACAACCACTGCAGCCCCCACGTCCGCAATCGCAAACCCCAGTACCTCAACCCTTGCAACCTCAAAGAACAAGTGGACAAAACTTCGATCCAATTCGCTCTGCATTCGACAATCCATCTCCAGCTCCCGCATATAGTCCTTCTGCTCGCGCGTTGTCACCACGCAATGGTTATCGCGCTAGCGCATCACCGGCGATTTCCAGCATCATCGATCCGCCTAACCAGAACCATCATGTCTACACCCCGCTTGCACGATCTACCTCTGGACATGTTTCCGGAGTCTCCTCGCCGGTGCCGCCTATGATGGCTCCCACGCCCTCTCACCCATCCTTGGCGCCATCGCCTCTTCCCGCATCGTCTCCCTCCCACGCAGCGATGCACACTCCACAGCCAATGTCATATTCCAACCACTACACTACACCGTATCCCCCTACCGAGCAACGGCCACCTCCCTCACAGGCTCCTAAGCCCGAATTATCTCCACCAACAACCCGTCAACCTCAACCTCTTGCGCAATCGGAACCTATCATACAGCCGACTCCTCCTCGACAATTCCAAGCAGTGGAAGCCGAGCCAACGGACCCACCAAAAGAGCAATCGGCCCCGAGCGCCAAGAAAGAAAAGGGCGCAGCTACGCCGGCATCAAAAGCACCATCTCCCAAGCCCGCCCGACCTGCCAAGGAAACGCCTCATCTACCTCAAGGCTCTGGCCTGATCACCAATGCACTGTTTGGTGGGGTCGATGAATCGGCCAAGTCCCCAGACTCACGAAGCACGCCCAATATCATCGTCCACGTCCCGCTGAACAAGGGTAACCAGATTGTCAACTTTGCGCGACTCGCAGAAGAGCAGTATGGCTTTGCTGCTTTGCATCCTCGTCTGGCTGCACATAAAGCACGCCTGGCTCGGGTAGCAGCAGCTGGAGCCGCTTTGGAGAAGACCGACAAGAACGCTAAGGGAATCTCTGCAGGCGAGAGCGCTGATGAGGATCTGAGCATGGATGCTGGTGGTGATAGTGACGTGGATGGTGATGTTGCTATGGGTGGTACCGGTGCAGGAACCAATGGTGCGCCATCTGAGGCAAGTGATGGAAAGAAAAAGCGCCGCAAGAAGGTTGAAGAATACGACCGTGATGACCCATTCGTCGACGACAGCGAGATGGTGTGGCAGGAGCAGGCAGCTGCCAGTAAGGATGGGTTCTTCGTCTACAGTGGACCCTTGGTGCCAGACGGCGAGAAGATCCAGGTGGAACGGTATGTCTAATCACGTTGTTCACGTATTTCAATTTTTGCTGACTTATTCGCAGAGCCGACGGTACAATCAAACGTGGTCGTGGGCGCGGCCGAGGAACAGGCCGGAGCCGCGCTTTGGTCTCACACCCGCATGTTCCAATTGCCGCGGCTGTGCCTATATCTCAAGATACTGGCCTGCCATTGCGTGGCCCTGGCTCTCGAGGCGGCACATCGCGTCGCCCGCGAGGCAATAAGAAGACTGAGGGCGAGAAGCACACCACTGAGAAGAACGGATCAACTGCCTCGCCCGTTACTGAAAGCCGTGGCGGTCGTGGCGGTGCTTCAGCCTCTGGCCGTGGCGGAAGCAATAGCACTCGAGGCGGAAAGTCCTCTTCAGCCTCAGCTTCGACTTCGACCCCGGGACCGACACCTGACCTCGCTCCTACCCCTGCACCCTCGACCCCGCATATTGTTCCTGCACCACCTGGTCCTAGTCCTCTAGCTGGCCCTGAGCTGATGATGAAATAGAGGTTTTGATTGATCTGTCATGGGAGGCTGGCGTTTGCTTTATGGCGTTTGGGACTTGACGTTTCTGTCGACATTTATTTTCATTGCGATATTGTTTTGCTCATGGGCTTTTTTTGGTCATGTTGTGCTGTTTGTTTTTTGGTCCAGGCGCAGTTTGATCAACACATGAGCTCTGTATGTATACCTTGATTTGTTGTTGTGGCTGGATTTCTATATGGGTATTATTACAATCAAGTAAGATATTGATGTGTTCAGGTATTTAGTTCTCCGAGCGCTATACTAATTGGGTTGCGTAGCCCATTTCGATAGTGTCGTGTCAGGGTAGGCAGTGCAAAGGGAGGGTAGGTTGCATTGTGGATCTAAGCTGGTGCATGACTAGAAAAGTGATCTGGAATGGATATAAAATTGGACTTGTTTATGTACGCCGTGTAATGCAGGAAGACATCCCAGCAGACAAGAGATGGAATCAAGAATGAACAACAAAGGGCCATTGCTAGGTATTCCAATCAACACAGTCATAGAGAAATGAAAGAACCAAAGAAAAAGAATGAAAAGAAGGAGATCCACGAACGGACAGGAGAATGAGGATTCGGTGTCAAGGTGGGTTGTCTGGGCTTTATCCTGGGGTTCTATCAAGATCATTTGAACACATCAGATAGAAGAAAAAGGCAATGTAGCCAAGATGGCAGTCCGCAATGGCAATCGAGGTTGTGTTGCAAAGCTGAGTTTTAGGTAGATATGCAAGTACATCTGAACATAAACATGACATGACATGGGAGAGGACAAAGAACCTGACAATAGATCATATTTGAGCACATCAATCAAACAATCACCTTATTAACGAGGTGTTGCACCGGGCTGGCTTCGCCAGTTCCCACCTGCTGGGACTGGTGGAGTAGGTGGCAGTCCATTTGGAGGAGGGGCGCGCAGTGGCAGTGGCATTGTCGAGTTGGACAAGCTGGTGCCGTATTTGTAATTATGGGAGCTCGCCGAGCGGGAGAAGCTCATTGGATTTCGAGAATCGATCGCGGAAGCGGGTTCGCCGCGTTGGCGCATCGGGGGGCGACCCACACGCGAAGGGCCATCGTCTTTTTCTTCAAGTGAGAGGTTCTCCAGGGAGGGAGGCTGCGGAGACCGCGTGGATCCAGACGATGAGTAATAATGAGAAGACTGAGGCTGGGATTTGGTCTGGAGCTGGGCCTGGGGCTGTGGCTCATAGTAACGGGGGTTGGAGGAATATTCGTTGGCAATCCGGGGGTCGCTGGATGTTGGGGTTCGGCTTGACTTGCTGATGGGTAGCGGTTTTCCAATAGTTGCTGATGTGGGAGCTGCAACAGGAGATGGGCTCGGGTTTGAAGTTGGCGTCTGAGCACCCCGGAGAGATTTCGGTGCTGGCGGTCCTAGGTAGGACTTGCGGTTGTATTTATCTACCATGCTCCTTGCCCATCCCTCAAGGTCAACAGGCGTCCGCTTGGCGGCTTGCAAGAAAGCATCCTTGTCCTGGAGGAGGTCAGTATTGTATAATTTCGTCACCAAACAAAATAAGGAAAAGATCAGCATACATATAGTTCTCGAGGCGTTGGCCGTTCCTCGGATTTTTTCAAAAGACACTTTCCAACAAAATCATGCAGAATAGGCGGGAAAGCATCACTCTTTGGCAGCTTGGGTGCCGTCTCGTGGACAATTTGCTGAAGAAGATCGAGAATACCCATCGGCCCTGCGCTGGCACGGTTTCCAGCAGCCGAGTCGGAATGATCGAAGGGGAATTTTCCCACAGCCAGCTCCATGACTGTCAAGCCCACACTCCATACATCTGAACGAACCGTGTAAGCTCCTCCCTGGATTCTTTCGGGTGCCATGTATGTGGAAGTGCCGACAAATGTATCGGCAATTGAGTTGACTGTCTCGGTAGCGACACCGAAGTCACAAAGCTTGATGTTGCCGCGGGAGTTGACCAATATATTGGAGGGCTTGATATCACGGTGCATAATGCGGTGGGTTTCGTATAGGTAGACAAGACCAGCCAGGACAGACTCGGTGATCTTTCCTAGCACGTCGACTCGCACAGGGCCGAAATCTTTAGAAACACGATCAAGAGATCTGGTTGTAAGTTAGCTATGTCCTCCTCGAATCCCACGTTAATCCACCTACCCGAGATCCATGTATTCCATGCACAGCACAATATCTCTGGCTTCGTTTTGGAATGCACCGTAAAAAGTGACAATATTGGGACAATTGCAGTCATGTCCGACTCGGAGTTCTCGTAGAATCTGTTTCCGCACGTTTTCTTTGGCCTCGACACGGATGATCTATTGCGGGGAGATACGGAATCAGAATTGGCTGACAAGTCGGGGGGAAAGCAAGAGACATATACGCACCTTTCTAGCCATCACTACCTTGGTAGATGCGTGCATCACCTTGGATACGGTACCTCCATTTCCAGCGCCAAGTTCCTTTAATGTGACCAAGTCCTCACTGCGAAGATCAAGGCGAAACTCCAAGCCAATTTCGAGGGTATCTGTGGGATTGCTTTCACTGTTTCCGTTCGATCCAAGGGCTTCATCCGCAGCGGGTTTGGGTGCAGCGTTGAGAGCAAGACCTTTGACGTTCTTGCGTTTCAACGTGCGGGCCTGGAACGGGTCCGCCATGGCGCTTTGGAGGGGTAGGAGTTGCAGCAACTCAAGGACGCGAAAGAAAAGATGAGAGTTTAAAAAGAGAGAGAGAATAGAAAGAATATCAAAATGGTTTTACCCAAGCCGATGTAGAGTGGTTAGAACCCCCGAGTTTAACAGCGGGGAAGCCGATATCACCTTGCGATGTTCTTGGCGACGCTGATTGGACCTTTCGGGCGCGTCGAGTTGACCAACTATAAATAAGATGTACCAGTCGGCGCCAAACTGAGGGATGGGAGAAAACTTTCAGAGGATCTACATGGATTTCAGACAAAGTCCCGCTACTATTAATGAAACAATAGGTGTTCGGGGGGGGTTCCACTCCGGCTGGATTGGGTTGAGAAGTTGATATCCGGTTTTATGTTCAGTATTTACAATATTGTACAATATTGTACGTATAGATGGTACAATATATAAACTTTAAATCTGAAAAATGTAATAATACAAATGAAATATGCATATTGAGGATTTGACTAGGGGTTATCGTTCGATGTACATTTGTCCACACAATGATTCACGTGATATCAAAGTCAAGCCACACCTTGGCTCAACAGTGGCTGGTGTGGCCAGCGTTCAGCCACAGAGGCACTAGCCAATCACCGCCACCCGCGTCCTCCCTCGCCGATGGCCGCGATTCTTGCTCTTTACAACTTGTTGCTTCAGCTTCATCTTCCCCTCTGCACTTCCAACTATCTTAAAACATTGAGCACTACCGAGACTCATACTTGCGCCCATCATCTCAAAACTTTCTACTTGAAGCTGCATTTTCAATCGCTCCTTGGTCCCTCCGAATAGGGATCTTCACCTTCGGGCAAGATGAGCCTTCGCGACCTGGTCGAGGGTGAGGCGATCATGGACGATGATGAGAATGATGAGGAGCTTCCCGATGACTACGATGGTGAGGTCCGCCAGGGCGCGGGGACTACAAACCATTACAATGACTCCAGCGAGGAAGAAGATGAAGAGGAGGATGACGAGGAGGCCGCTCGCGCCGTGAGTCTCGGTCCTGAGCCCAGGAAGCTTTATTGGTTGGCTGATATATCTTTAAAATACTAGGTTCGCGAAGGCTTCATCGTTGACGAAGATGAGGAGGACGAACGCGCCCATCGCAAACACAAGAAACGTCCCCGTGCTGCTCGTGAAGAAGAGCACCTAGACGAAGACGATTTGGAACTCATTGGGCACACCCCAAGCCATCAACGAGGACCAACCACAGAGGTATGTAAGCTATCGCGATGACTTTGATGTCTTGCTAACCAACAATACTTTGATATTAGTCGAAATTCAAGCGCTTGAAGCGAGGCAAGGATCGCGAGAGCCATCAACCGTCCCACGGCGTCGATGATATTTTCAACTCAGACGAAGAAGAGGAAGCACAGCAATACGCCCGACCAGGCCAGCGCCGCGTGATGCGCGATGAGATGGACGATTTCATCGAGGAGGACACTTTCTCCGACGACGAGGCTCAGCGTGAGCGAGATGACCTTGAGGTTGCGCCTGCGTCAAGAGTCAACAAGACTGGACTCATTCCGACTGACACATCGGGCTTGGACGAAAATGCGCTTGAGGATATGCGTGCTGCATTTGGTGACGGCACCGAGTACGACTTCGCATTGCAGATGGAAGATCAAGAGGATGCGGACAAACAGACCGAAGAACGTCATCTCGATTTAAAGGACGTCTTTGAACCATCCGAACTAGCCGAGCGGATGTTGACCGAAGACGATAATGAAATTCGTCTCGTCGATGAACCCGAGCGCCACCAGGTTGCTCGCAAGCCATATAAACATGTCACTTTGACTGAGGATCAGTTCCGGGAGGAAGCCGTCTGGATCTCAAACTTGATGTTGCTAAAGAAGCGCATGGAGCCTGAATTACGGGAACCTTTCCAGCGTTCCGTTGCTAAGATGTTGGAGTTTTTAATCACTGATGATTGGGAAGTGCCGTTTATCTTCCAACACCGCAAGGACTACATGATCCATGCCGTTAAGGATATGGATGAAGCCAACCAGGGCGACGATTCCGCTCAATACAGAATCCGCGCCGAGAAGCTTCTGAACATGACCGATCTATGGGACATATTCGACTACGACCTCAAATTCCGCGCTTTGGTTGATAAGCGCGGTACGATTCAAAAGTCTTATGACAGCTTGCGTGATCTCTTCAACGTTAACGACTCCAATGTGGAGGATCTACTTGCTGCTGCCGCCAGCATGGAGGAGCTTCAGGACGTGCAAGATTACATTCATTTCCAATACTCCTCACAGCTACGCGATTTGAACCAATTGAATGGTGAAGCCAATGGAGAGACACAACGACGCAAAGCAACTGGTCGATCATTCTTTGAGCGGGTTCGAAATGGCAAGGCTTACGGCATGGTGCGTGCCTTCGGAATCACTGCAGATGCCTTTGCTCAGAATGCCTCCAAAGATGGTCGCCGACAATACACCGAAGATCCGTCTGAGCACCCCGAGGGGATGGCGGATCAGTTTGTCGACAATGACTTTTCCAATAGCTCGCATGTTCTGAAGGCCGCAAAAACCATGTTTGCCGAAGAGCTTGCCCTTAGTCCCAAAATGCGCAAGGTCATTCGACAGGCTTATTACATGAACGGAGTTGTCGACTGTTTCCGCACAGAAAAAGGGCTTCGCCGGATTGATGAACAACACCCTTACGCTGAATTCAAATATCTGCGGAACCAACAGCTTAGTGACATTGCTCGCCGCCCAGAAATGTTCTTGCGCATGCTCAAGGCCGAGGAAGAAGGATTGGTCGATGTTCGGGTCCGCTTTGAAAATTTTGATCAATTCCGCTCTCGTCTATACGCCGACATCGAGTCAGACAACTACAGCGAAGTTGCTGATGCATGGAACCGTGTCCGTCGCGACGTGCTGGACTTGGCTCTTGGAAAATTGGAGAAGTTGATCAATCGTAGTGTCAAAGAAAACATTCGCCAGGAATGTGAGAACCATGTGGCCAAGGAGTGCCGTGAAGCGTTCTCACAGCGCCTGGATCAGGCACCTTATAAACCGAAGGGCATGGTCCTCGGCACTGTGCCCCGTGTTCTCACCCTGTCCACGGGATCCGGACAAGTGGGTAGGGATCCCATTCACTGGGCGTACACAGAAGAAGATGGTCGTGTCTTGGAGAATGGCAAGTTCGTCGATCTTTCATTGGGAGATGAGAGCCGTGGAATTGCAGATGGCGCCAACGTAGCCGCTTTCGTGGATTTGATTGATCGCCGTCGACCGGATATCATTGGTGTCTCGGGAATGACGCCAGAAACACGCCGTCTATATAAGCTTTTGTCTGAGCTTGTCGAGCAGAAGGATATGCGCGGCGCCTCCTACACAGATGACCGCGATGAAGAAGTCAGTGACCCGTTGGAGGTGGTCATCGTCAACGATGAGGTTGCCAGGTTGTATCACAACAGTCCTCGTGCCAGAAGCGACAACCCTGGCTTCGGGCCGTTGACCCATTACTGCGTGGGTCTGGGTCGCTACTTGCAAAGCCCGCTCAAGGAATATGCATCCTTGGGCCGTGATATTGTCTCCATCCAATTCAAGCCAGGCCAGCAATTAGTATCTCAGGATCTGCTTCTCAAGCAGCTGGAAACCGCTTTAGTGGACATGGTCAACCTTGTGGGTGTCGATCTTAACGAGGCAGTGGCCGACACAGCGACCGCCAATCTCTTACCGTATGTCTGTGGTCTTGGACCTCGAAAGGCTGCTCACCTGCTCAAAATTGTCAACATGAACGGCGGCGTTGTTAACAATCGAGTGGAATTGCTTGGTGTCAACGCCCAATACCCGGCCATGGGTGTCAAGGTCTGGAACAACTGTGCCAGTTTCGTTTATATCGACTTTGAAAATGCCGATCCAGATGCCGATCCACTGGACAACACTCGTGTACACCCCGAAGACTATGACATTGCACGCAAGATGGCTGCCGATGCTTTGGAGTTGGACGAGGAAGACATCAAGGCCGAGAATGATGAGAATGGCACAGGTGCGATCATGCGGAAGCTCTTCCGCGAGGAGGCACAGGATCGTGTCAACGATCTGATTCTGGAAGAGTATGCAGAGCAGCTGGAGAGGAATCTCAACCAGCGCAAGCGTGCTACTCTTGAGACAATCAGAGCTGAATTGCAACAGCCATACGAAGAATTGCGTAAGCAATTCGTTTTCCTCGGCACAGACGACATCTTTACAATGCTCACTGGTGAGACGCCTGAATCTCTCACGGTTGGTATGGTGGTACCTATTGCCATCAAGCGGGTGTTCGACGACCACATTGAGGCCAAGTTGGACTGCGGGGTGGATGTGCTCGTGGCCGAAACCGAACTTGGTCTTGACCATCGAGTTCAAGTGCGCAACGTATACCAGCCCCACCAGACTGTCCCTGCCAAGATACTATTCCTCAACCGCAAGACATTCTCTTGCAATGTGTCTCTGCGTGAAGAGCAGGTCACTCAGCCATCTCGCCGAAACCCAGACCATGGCTTTGGCGACTGGGACGACCAGCAAGAGCGAGCTGATAAGGAGTCATTGCAGGAGACAACACAGCGCGGTGGCCAGGCCATGCGTGTTATCAAGCACCCACTTTTCCGGCCTTTCAACTCAACGCAAGCTGAGGAATACCTGGGCTCCCAGAGCCCTGGCGATGTTGTAATCCGGCCGTCCTCCCGGGGCCACGATCACTTGGCCGTCACCTGGAAGGTGGAACAAGGTGTGTATCAACACATTGATGTTCTTGAACTTGATAAAGAGAACGAGTTCTCTGTCGGTCGTGTCCTTAGGGTCGGTGGTCGTTACAGTTACAGCGATCTGGACGACCTGATCGTCAACCATGTCAAGGCGATGGCCAAGAAGGTGGGCGAGATGGTTCTGCACGAAAAGTTCCAGAAAGGCAACAAAGCCGAGACGGGTATGTTTTTATGACAGCGATTTGTGGGTTTCTATTTCTAACAATTTGATAGATCAATGGCTCGAGACCTACACCAAGGCTAACCCTCGCCGTTCGGCATATGCCTTCTGCATCAATGCCAAATACCCCGGTTACTTCTACCTATGTTTCAAGGCAGGCGAACATGCACGACTTCAAAACTGGCCCGTCAAGGTTATTCCTCAGGGCTATGAACTGCAAAAGAACCCTTACCCGGACATGAATGCTCTGTGCAATGGCTTCAAGCTGATGTTCAGTAACATGAGCAAGGGTGGTCGGAGATGAGCTATCATATCATTCCATTTCTTATTTTCCCGTCTGTATAGTGTACTATCTTCTTTTCCTTGCCATGAAGTCTTTTCAAAAAGAAAAAAGGGGGTCAAATAGGGCATTGCATTTCTTTTTAATTTGATACACCTTGAGTTTTGACATGTAACCAAAATAATATTTCCAATTGCGATCTATATGACCTCGGTATACGGAGTAGACATCATATCCATAAGGCTGACAGTGTGAAAAAGGACACGAATACGAGTTATTTTGATCAACATGTGAGTACATGCCTGGCCTCGGTTTCAACCTGTTTTTTTGTTGGATTTCTTGGCCCCTCATTATATCATCTCAATATCAGTTTCTTGCTTAAGTATTGTACACCTAGATATACATTTGTGTGTATATATATACAAATTTAACCTCCGATCTTGAACGTGAATATCTTAATCTGTGGCGCATCTCGGCATTGCCACGTTCAGCCGCACCGGACCTGACGGGAAACTGTACAGTGTACAACAATCAGACTGAGGCTCTTACATACCCCTCAACTGCACCAACCATGGCAGCCATGGAGGAGCTGGAGATTCACAGCAAGGTACGATAACTTGTCTATTATCTACAGGTTGTGTCTCCTTTACTGATATGTGACGTGTTTTAGTCTTACTTCGTACGTTGGATTCATGTCAACGCCAACCATACCATCTCTTGGAGCATTCAACCGCACAAGAAGTCTGTCAACTTTGGTATTTTCAAACATCCTGGCCAGTCCTCTTCTTTGAGCTCCCATATCCCTCCCTCCGATTCCCAAAGTACCGATTCGACCGAGAACCTCCCCGCAACCGCATCGACTGCCGGCGCGCGACAACAACAGTCCGCCATAATCGACAAGTTGACAGGAATTGGCCTGAAAACGATCAAATGGACTGGGAAGTGCGAGGCAGACAAGATTACCCAAGGCACCTACGATGTACCGCACAGTGAAGGTGGTAATTACGCACTTGTTTTCGACAACACCTTCTCTAAACAAATCTCCAAGACCTTGACACTTGTCCTCCTCACATATCCGACCGGCTTGCAGCCTCATAGTTCAGCGTCGATTCCCACTGGACGTTCTCAAACAGGGGCATCGACTGATTCCTTACCGCAGTCCAAGCCCCGCGGAAGAGGTAACAGTCGGGCAACACTCAACTCGCAGATCGATACGTCGAACCAAAGTGTCCACACGGGACTATTGCAAAAGCGGCGCCGAAAGCGCCATCAAGGCTGGGCGCGTCGATATTTTTCGCTGGATTTCACCTCATGCACACTGTCATACTATCACGACCGTAACTCGGCCGCACTCCGAGGCGCGATCCCGCTCTCGCTAGCGGCTGTCGCAACAAACGAAAAGTCTCGGGAGATTTCAATTGACTCTGGCACCGAGATCTGGCACCTGCGTGCCAGTAACGAGCATGACTTTGGGGCCTGGAAGCAGGCTTTGGAGAGAGCTTCTTCCAAGGACAGCTCCAAGAACAACAGTTCCGGACTAGCTGCTCCCCCAGAGTTGCGGCTTTATGGGCCGTCGCAGCCTTCACCAGCGGAGGAGAGTGAGTGGGTGCGTATCCAGAGTCTTGTCAGCCAGGTGTCTGGGTCGCGAGATGCGATCCGTCGGCTTGCCAAAGATACAGACCCCAAGTACCTCGCTTCTCCGCTCCCCACTGCCACCGTTGACCGGCCTCGCTCGCGCGGTCGGTCTCCTAGTCCCCAACCAAGCCCCCAACCCGGGGCCGCTGAGGCTGCTGCTCCTAGCGAGGAGTCCAAGCGGCCATTTTGGAAGCGCAAGACGAGTGGTCAGTCACATGCTAGTAACAAGCGCCCGCCGGGGGTGACCTCGAACTCAAGTTCGTCGCAGCTTGCGGTACCTGCTACGGATGGCAAGGGAAGGCCCGCCAGTATCACCAGCCACACCGACAGTATGGATGGGATCCATGACCATTTGATGGCGGTGCTGCGCGATCTTGACACTACTATATCCGAGTTCGCCGCGTTGATTGCCGAGAGCGGGGAGCGACGACACCCGGTCAAGCCTTCTATGGTTCCCAGGCGGAGCATGGAGTCGGACATGTCACAAGAATTCTTTGACGCAACGGATGGCGGTGGGGACAGGTCTCCCCTCCTCACCATCCAGGATAGCGATGATGAGCGCTTTGAAGAAGACCATCCCGGCTCTACCACTGAGGAAGTCGAGGATGATGCTCCATCTGACAGCGACAGTGTATCGGACGCAACAGCAACTCGACAAGAAAGCGGCAGCGCATCAGGATTATTCCCCGTTAAACCAAAATCACTGATTCCGCTGCCTTTGGACCCTATAAAACGTCGCACGAACATTCCTGCTCCAACGGTACTACCCCCAAGCTTAATTGGCTTCCTGCGCAAGAACGTTGGCAAGGACTTGTCTACGATCTCCATGCCCGTTTCCGCAAATGAGCCAATGTCTCTGCTACAGCGTGCCGCGGAAATTCTGGAATACTCAAACCTTCTCGATCAAGCCAGTCAGTCCTCGGACCCTATTGAGCGACTGATGCTCGTAACTGCATTCGCCGTGTCTTCCCTCTCGGCTAACCGCGTTCGTGAGCGTTCAATCCGCAAACCCTTCAACCCAATGCTCGGCGAAACATACGAGCTAGTTCGAGAAGACCGCGGCTTCCGTTTCATTGCCGAGAAAGTGTCCCATCGCCCCGTCCAACTCGCCTACCAAGCCGACAGCAAAGAATGGTCTCTCTCACAGTCCCCCTCCCCAGCCAGAAATTTTGGGGTAAATCCGCCGAGATCACCACCGAAGGTCGCGTCCGCATCACTCTACACGCAACCGGCGACCGCTTCAGCTGGACACCTGCAACATCATTCCTACGCAACATCATCGCAGGCGAGAAATACGTCGAGCCAGTCGGTGAACTAGCAGTCACGAACGAGTCCACCGGCCACCGCTCAATATCCACCTTCAAAGCCGGTGGCATGTTCTCCGGTCGCAGCGAGGAAGTGTCTACCCGCGCCGTCGACGCAAACAACAAACCCCTTCCCCTCGGTCTATCAGGTACCTGGCCCTCTTCATTGACGCTTACTCGCGACGGCAACCCAACAGGCAACACTATCTGGACAGCCGGGCCTCTCGTCCCCTCTGCACCAAAACACTATGGCTTGACGGCTTTCGCGGCGGCTCTTAATGAAATCACCTCGATCGAAGAGAACCATCTGCCTGCTACGGACTCGCGACTGCGTCCTGACCAGCGCGCGCTGGAAGATGGCGACCTTGACCGCGCAGAAGAGGTCAAGGTGCAGCTTGAGGAGGGACAGCGGGCGCGTAGGCGTGAGATGGAAGAGGCGGGTGAGACTTGGGCTCCGCGCTGGTTTACGCGGGTTGGGGATGAGTCGGATGGAGAAACTGCTTGGCGGTTGAAGGGTGGGAAGGATGGGTATTGGGAGGAGAGAGCCAGAGGTAGCTGGTCTGGTGTTGTTCCTGTTTTTGAGACTTAGATTGGATCATGGTCCTTTCGACATGATAAGTGGTGAAAGCTTCGCTCTGTGGGCGAGGTGTTTTGGGCAGGACCTTCTTCACTCCATATAGAGATGAATAAATACATTTTGGTCTCTTGACTCCTCTACGGTGGCTAGATTTGGTGGCTTTTGTAAACCTCTTATGTACGAATAGACCTTCCTATGATTGTATCGCACCAACCAGCAGGTGATAGATTGTACTGACTGTTTAGAGGCTATGTGAAAAGAAAGTGGTCCGCCACGAGGAGCCGAGAATTTTGTTGAACGTGAGTTGTGTATCATTTTGAGTATGAACAAGTAGAAAGTCAAGCATCGAATCATCAGTCGGGTCAATTGGATAGAACAGACCAGGCAAAATCATAATAACAATCATTAAACGATGACTGCAGGTGTCTGAAATTCATCAAAAAACAAAAGACAACAGAAACGAAAGAAGGCATCAGCCATAACAAACAGAGAGAAACATATGAATAAATAAACAAAACCAACAATAACAGAAAACTGTTCTTGACTGATAAATCTGGCACAAAAACCCTGCCCGGTTGTCGTATCCCATGATATTTACTGAAAACCCAAAGAGTTGAAACCTGAATCAGTATGATCCAAAAAACCAACTACTCGTCATCATCATCATCAGATTGATGAGCAGTCCAGCGACGCGAGTTACGCATCTTAGCCGCCTTGCGAGCACTCTGGCGATCCACGGTGCCAGAGCTCTGGTCAGTCATGCGCATCATAACAGGAAGGCTGTCGAGAACGGAACGATTGCCCTGGAAGTAGTGCTCGGCAAAGCCACCTTGCAAGACACGGCGCAGAGCAGTCAGACGCACCCACTTCCACCATCGATCAATGGACATCACGCCATGCCGGCCGATCTTGACGGTCAAAGTGCTGCCGTAGTGGCGGTTGGTGTTTTGGTCGATGGCAGTGTTGTAGCGAGGGCCACGGCGGGGGTTCTCGACCGTAGTGAGGATCGAGGCGAAGTTGCTGTGCAGGGACTTCTTGTCGCGCTTGCTGATCTGCTTGGTATGGATGGTTGCCAAGTTGTGGAGCTGGGCTTCCAGCTCGGGGGTGTTGTGGTAGGCATTGTATCGCTTGACGAGCTTGGGCCCGGTCGTTGGGTCGTTATCATGCTTGTCGCTTTCATCCGAGTCACCGCTTTCTTCATCTTCGTCTTCGTCATCTTCCTCGGGGGTGTAACTTTTCTCGTAGAGGAGGGCGATGTTCTCACCCGAGGAGATCTGCACATTGGAGTCGGAGCTGTCGAGTTGGTCCATGAAGATTTGAACGGCCTCCTCACTTTCTTCTTCGAAATCGTCGATCTCGGTGGCGAGGAATCCCCACTGCTGAATTGCAGCGGTTACGACGACGGGGTCGTCCTTGGCCTCGACGGACTGACCATCAGAGGCGATGATGTCGAGAAAGAAAGTCATCTGTTCAAGCATGCCATCTGTGCCGGCACCTCCGAAAACAGTGCATGCTCCGAGACATTGGATAGCGGCTGCCTTGATGGCAGGGGAGGTGGAGTCACGGACGGTCCGGGTGAGCAGAGGCTCAGCATTTTCGTAAATGGTGTTGTCGAAAGCTGAAATGGCGAGCAACTCGATCGCACGGAGTGCAAGGGTCGCCTCGAGGTCGCTGACTTCAGTACGAACACTTCTGGCAAATGCAGCCAGCAAAGCTTCCACCGTGCCGTTCAATTCTTCTACGGCGTAGTGATATTTGGTCAGACGGCAGAATGCTCGCAGAGCCTCCTCGCGGCCTTGGACACTGCTGCGCTTGCGGTCGAGAATTTCTTGAATGCGATCACCGAGCTCCTGCTCCCAGTCGGGATTCTCAGTTTCTGGGTTCTCATCGTCGAATGAGCCGATGCTGTATACCGATTTGGTTAGCCGTTTTTTTGTTTTTGTAAAATTCCCGACATCATTGGTGACATCATCCCGCCATGTGTGTGGGGTCGTGTGAATTATAGTCTTGGAATGTTTTGGAATGTGCACAGAAGGGAGAGAAGAAAAAAAAGAATTTGCGAGTTAAGGGAGAGGAGAATGATAGCACTATTTACCTCATAGATGTCTCATCGGAAAGGAAACCTGAATCCTCTTCGTCGGAAGGTGCCCTGCTGGCATTTCGAGAGGATTGCTTAGAACCGGTTCGAGAATTAGTGCGGGAAGCTTCGCGGGAGGCCGCCTTGCGCGAGACGGTCTTGCCACTTTCGAAGATTTGGCGACGCAAGTCTGGCATGATGAAGTATGATGGAATTTTTCTTTGTTTTCTTGAAGAAGAAAAAAAAGGAAAACCCAAGTCTTCACGAAGAAAGTTGGAAAAATAATTTCTGGAGGATTGACTATCGATAAGCCGATAAGAAAATATGAGGGAAAAAAGGACCAGTTAATCTATAGGAACTGGACAATATTCAAATATTGAGGGTGAACGGAGTAAATAACTGGGCATGATCTCAAAAAGAGGTTCGAGTTTGTGAAAAAAGAGAAAGAAGAGAAGGAAAAGAAGAGCAAGAGCGATTCAAATCCCTTTCGAACTCTCGTGACTAATTCGATGCATCGGACGTCATTTTCTATTGTTCTACCTATTCTATTGCTCTCTGCACTTTCCACCAATTGGAGATGGCATGTTTTATTGTATTCTATGTATTTTCTATTTCCATGGTGTCCTTTGTCTTCGAGTCCATTACTTCGTAGATTATAGACAAGCAATAACTACTGAACAATACAATACAGGAATATAATACAGGATCATACCATCTTACAATACAAACTGTCTGCCATGGAAATCAGGTGTGAGTTCTTGACAAAATGCAATCATCTGATTGGTTGAGGTATCAGTCAGTGGTATTCTGAGTATAACTAAACCCTCCCCACACTCTTTTTCTTCTAGAAGAGCGATGCCCAAGGGAAGTGATTTGAAACCTACCGAACACACAAACTGGGACAAGCTAGGACAAGCTGGCGCAAGAACCAGATGTTACCTGCTCAAAGAACAGCATGCTAGTAATTCATTGGGTAGCTTGGACAGCGGATCTCCTTAGTTTCTCTTCTGATCGACCATTGAGATCAGAGCGATATGCAATGCATATGTTTAGTTTCCCTGATCATCTGCCGAGCAATGATGTCCCCAAGGATGTTGATTTCGAGACATGGAGACTTAACAGCACTGCTCGACCTCCGCAAATTCTCTCGGATCCCCATGCCAATGCTGCTCGTGCCATGGCGGGTCTGCCGGAGCATGTGTCTATATACTGAGTCCTTTCTTGACGAGCCCTTGAGCCAAATCATGAAGCTCTATCAATTCATCATGTCTAACCGAGCATGCGGTCAAGATGAGTAATCCAAGGGAATCCAAACTTTCGCTATTGGACATAAAATTGAACGTTCATAAAGCTGGTGTCGTATCGCTATGCAAAACAAAGTGACTCTTCCAATGTAAGTATCTAGATGTGTACAGCTTTCTCTTTAGAGGACTCTATGCAATTGGGAAAATTTGGCAATAGATGCATTACAAGAAATCCCGAAGCTGGGTTGTTTATTCCCTTTATGATTGTTTGAGGGGTATCATTATCATACAAACGAGCAATACAAAGCTGTTCTTTGGACAATTTACTGCCGCTTTTGCTGCAACACCAACTCGATGATTCGTCGAGCCTTGACGCCCTCCAGATACTCACGGCCTTCCTGTCGCCATTCATCTTCTTCATCTTCATCATCACCAATTTCCAGATCGACCTGGAGACTCACATCATAGGCGGCCCTGACCGTCCCGTCATCAACACGCACTCCATTTTGTACCAAAACCTGAATGCACTGTGCCAAACGAGCGATCTCCCGGCGTGTCTGCGGAGGGATGTCGTCATTTTGGCTAGAATAGATGGAGCTCGACACCATCTCTTCCATGCGAGTAATAGAGACATCCTCCGTAGCTGAAGCAGCAGCATCCCCATCAGAAACTTTGGAAATATGGATATAACCGTTCACCCCAAGAATAATTTGGACATCGCCACCGCCGTGGGCAGTGCTCACGACCGATATCTGTTGCCGAGTTCGGACCACACCACCAGTGCCGGATCCTCCAGCCGCAGCTAGGTCACTGCCCGAGGCGGAAGACGCAGCCCCAGCACCGCCCTTCACAGTAGAGCTAGACGCCCCAGTGCCTCCAGTGCCTGACACAGCAAGGAACACGCCGTTCCGAAGTTTACCGTACTTCAAAGACCGGGTATGTAATGATGCTGAGCCATCCTGGTGCACACTCTGCACTTCGGCAATCACCAAGTCGCCCTCGCCGAAGAATGTCCGGATCTGCAGCTCATCTGCGCTAGTTCGTCGACGCAGAATACCACCAGGCAAGTTAATTGCGGAAAGCGGGAGCTGAGCGAGTAGTGGCGCGGCGATATCAACCTTCCAACGTCGTGATTGCACTTCGACAATGCGACCCACGACTAAATCTCCAATCTCGGGGGTATAGCGCGCCCGCAACGGCAGCACGGAGAGTAGTTTATTTGTCTTTTGAACAGTACCGGCAACGGTCGAAATAATCGATGTCGAGAGCGGGTTCATAAAGGTACCATGACCTCTGCAGACTGTTAGTGGTTGGGGGAAAAATTAAGAGAAAGCCCCGCGCAGACAGCGCGGTCCATAGGATGACCTACCTCATCCATTGCGGATCATCTGTGACCACTTCACCTGGTGTGATAATTCCTGTACCGATATTCGAGTTTGCTTGTAAACGAGGGCGCTTGTGAGGTCGAGAAACACCGGTCATCTCAACGTCTTGCTCGGAGTCCACGGACATGGAGTCATCCGAGTCAGATTGGTAGGGAGCGAGGTCCTCCACTACTGGCGGTAGAATTGTGATTGGCATTGTAGGATATTTTGGCTAAGGTTGACCGCAAATGACTTTGGAATAATGGTGGAGAGCTCATGCTGGTATACTGGAACAAGATCTGAGAAGCAAAATTCCAGATCACGTGGATGACCCACTATATGTTGGTATATTATCAAGTGCATTTCCCACGGCTTGTAGCTTGGTTGTTCACAGGCCCCGGGGCTACTTTTACTTTACTAACTACATAACTATCAGGCCAACAGATCTCAAAGTAGTATCGATGTCTCAAAGATATTTGCTGTGCTAGTCATCAGCCTCCCACTAAACGTCAAAACCAACCCAACGCCCGTAGTAATACAAATATTGAAAATCCCATTGTACAACAAAATATAACATCTCAAGGCTTCTTGGTTGCTTTGGCTGCACTTGGATTGGGCTCTTCCTTCTTCTTTTTTGATCGACTGCTGCCTCCCTTTGGTCGATATCCAGTGTCCTCTTCGCGTTTGCGCTTGTTTTTAGGAGTGGGGTGGGTATCATCCTCGTCATACATCTCCTCATCCTTGCGCTGAGCCGGTGCTCGCTTAGAAGAGCGTTGGTTGGAAGGGCGAGATGCCGACTTTTCAGAGGCAATCTCGTTATCCTGTAGAGTCTGAGGTTGATTGCGACGCAGCCAATTGTAAACTGAGGCTGGGTTCCGAATTGAAAGATCACGCTCGCGCTCTGCGAATGTGGGACGATCTGGGATACGTGCAAGCTGCGCAGCGGCTGCCTCATCGCCAAGCTTAGCGTCCAATGCGAGATAGTACTCGGTTTCATGCTCGGGCGTGAAGTATCCGAGTTTGCGCTCGCTCTCGTTCTCGGCTTTTTGGGTCTGTGCAACAGTCTCTGGACTAGTATGATGGGTTTGCAACAAAGAGCTATACTGCTGAGATGGTGCAAACGCCTTGTTACGTTTGATGCTATCTTCAATCATGCGGTATGCATTGGTGTCAATGCTGCCGGCAGCCAATCCAGCTTTGGCCTCACCCCATGCTTGCTTCGCTAGTGTTGCGTCGTTGATCAAAGGCGCAATTTCTTGGTCCGGGGTGGGTAGCAAGGGAGGGTCCTTTGGCATGCTCAGATCGAAACGCATTTCAGGAGGAACGTGTAGGCTTTCATTGAACTCAAGAAGAACCTCAAGTAGTTGGCTATTCAAAATCATCAGAACAAGTTTTGCACAAGGGGTGACTGGCGCCATACTCATTTTGTTCCTGAATGCGCTTAGAGAGGTCTTCGATGCGCAGTTCCTCCCGAATCAGAGTCTCATTTTCACGAGTCCCCAGTTCAAATTTGACCTTGAGCTTGGCATACTTCTTTCTAAAAAAAAAGAGGTCAGTCAGCATCGTCTTAGGCTCTGAACGCGTGAGGATTCGTACTTAAAAGATCGGACCGATTGTTTTACAGGAGCTGGAGCCGAAGCTGAAGTATCAGGTACGCTATCAGCAAAAGACCTGGTGCCATGCAGTTCCGCCATGTTGCAGGGCAAAAGACAAAGGCGGGATGAAGAGATGGAAGGTTGAAGGGGGATGAGGTCGCCTTGCGCGATGCCAAGAAATGGACCCGGTCTCACGGGCTGCGTGGGAGGCGGGTCCGGCCTGCCGTAAAAAAATTAAATTATCGCCGATCTGAGTTCTTGTAACCTCTTTTTGTTATTGTCCATTATTTCATTCTCTTTTTCTTTCATTTTTTTTCACATATATTGCACGATGGGTGAAACAGACGACGTCACTCACAAGAAGCGCAAGCTGCAGGACGGTCCTGAGCTTGAAATTGATATCGATGCACCTGAACCAGTTTCGAAAAAGGCGCTGCGCAAAGCGAAAAAGAACAAGGGAGGCAATGGCGATGATGATGAAAACTCCGAGTCCAAGTCCAAGTCCAAGTCCAGCAAACCTGAAACCCAAGAGGCCGAGACTCAAGCGGCTACAGGCAAGCGGTCCGAATACGGTATTTGGATTGGAAATCTGTCGTTCACAGTGTCCAAGGAAGATCTGCGCATGTTCTTAGTAGCAAACTCCGATATTTCCGAGTCTGCAATCACTCGAATTCACCTTCCTAGTGGCCCGGAGAAATTTGGGAGGCCGCAGAACAGGGGTTTTGCTTACGTCGACTTCGCCAACAAGAAGTCCCTGCAAGAAGCAATTGGGCTCAGCGAGCAGCTCATGACCGGCCGTCGTGTACTCATCAAAGATGCAAAGAGCTTTGAGGGTCGTCCTTCGAAGTCTGAGAGAGAAGACAATGCCGCTGGCACCGCTGCGAAATCTGGCCACCCTCCATCCAAGCGACTCTTCGTCGGCAACCTGAGCTTTGATGTCACCAAGGAAAACTTAGAGGAAAATTTCAGCAAATGCGGAACGGTCACCAACGTGCATATGGCGACTTTCCAGGACACAGGAAAATGCAAGGGATACGCTTGGGTGGAGTTTGAAGAGCTTGCCGCCGCTGAAGCAGCGGTGAGAGGATTTATGTTGGTGAAGGAAGACGATGGCGAGGACGATGATCCTTCTGACAGCGATTCTGATTCGGCCTCCGAAAAGAAGTCGAAAAAGCTCAAGCCCAAAATGCGAAGGGTCTGGGTAAACCAGCTCATGGGTCGTCGTATGCGCATGGAGTTTGCTGAAGATGCGTCAACACGATACAAAAAGCGCTTTGGAAAGGATGCTCCAAAGGATGGACCCGCTATCACCGAAGCAGGCGAATCAAAGGAGAAACCCCGTTACAAGAAGAGAACCGACATTGACGAGTCTCGTTACTCCAAGGAAACCGTGCAGAAGCTCAGTGGTGGCATTGTCGAGTCCCAAGGCCAGAAGGTTACATTTGACTAGGCTAATGAACAATATGTTATGTGATTTCTGAATGGTGGAATATCATCCGCAAGTTCTCCCAGTATGATCTTTTTGATTTATTGCTTTTATTCCTTTTATACCCTGTGGATCAGTGTATTTGTTATCTCAAAGTTATGTGCCACACAAAATTTCACTGAGCAATTGTCACCGACAAAATTTCAACCCTTTTTTTTTCAACAATCTATTGAAAATCTCTTCAAACATTAGAAGGTCATCGAGTCTTGGTGGTACAGGTGGATGCGCAAGACAACGCATGTATACTTCCGGTTTAGCATACCACAACATTCAACCTGCATGGATTAAACAGGTGTAATGCGAGTCCACCAGAAAATCAATTAACATAACGTACATGGACCGTACAAACTTTTGAACATTTATCACCTTGATATCTAGATCTTCGAGTGTAGTCAATATTTATAGTCCGTAGATCGAACACTAAATCATTCTAGACCCATTGGCAGAACTGGCCTCACCGCTTGGACTAGACCCGATCAGGCCTGACGTCTCTCTCGCAATATGTCATGGGAACTTGAATCTCTCTGTGCTTCTCATACTTGAGCTGCATCTCCTTTCTTCTTCCCCCCTTGCTCTTTTATTCTTTTCTGCACCTTGTTGTACAAGGTGTCCCTTTTTTCCTATTGCTTTCCACCTTCTATTTCGGTATAGTTTTGTTTGGGGTACTTCCTATTTCATCGTCCTTGCTCAACATCGGTCACCCTCACCAGATTCCACTCCTTTCCCCTTGACTGCCTGTGTCAATACACTGGTCCTGTGCATCCGCTATCGCCAACAGAGAATATATCAGCCATTCAAAAGCGATACCCTGTGTCTCCACCATGGCTCCTCCTCGACGTCATATCGGAGCTAGCCGCAGAAAAAGACGTGAGGAAGATGGCGAAGATGAGGGTTCAATGGCTGGAGACCTGGGAGATGATTCTTTGAGTGAAGGCTCCGTTGGTAGCAACCAAGAGGACGAGGATGCGGATGGCGAAATCAGCGAAGAAAGCGAGGGCGAGGTTTCTACAATGGCAAAAAGCGAGCAAATCAACGGCAAAGGGCAAAAGTTTACAAGGAACAGCTCTGTCTCACCAAAACCAGGGCTAAAGACAACTGTTTCGGACACAGAGGCAATGTTGAACGGGTTGAAGGTTTCAGACGCTGGCGACGCCGCGGAGATTCAATTTGACCAACTCAAAGAACAACGGGATTCTCAGACCGGCAGAACACCGTCAGCCCCTCCAACCGAACCGAAGCAGAACAACTTGGCATCCAAAAAGCGCCGCGAGAATGACAAGTACGTCAAGGAGCGAGAACAAAACCCGGCTTTTGTTCCCACTCGCGGCAGCTTCTTCCTTCACGATAAACGATCGACGGAAAATGGCAATCGCTCTAGCAAGAGCAAGTCTCGCCCATATGGTCTTATCGTAGACGGAAACGCCAGAAGGTACAGCCATGACTCGAACGCTGGTGATTCTATTGCTAACATGACTACAAGGTCTTCTAAACCCGATGCCAGCGGGGGACAATGGGCACACGACCTGCACGATACCGTGGCTGGCGCCGATAGATCTCCACCAAAGCGCCTTATACCGTCGGCAATGCCTAATCCCGTTTTACCTGTTCCCACCGCACCAAGGTCCTCTCCGCCAAACCGATCATTCTCTAGCACAACCTTGGTTGGAAATGTTCCTGTCGTCGTTTCCTTGCCCGGCATGGCCAGCCCAATCCATTTCTCTGCTGTGCCTAAGAGACTTCACACTCGTCTTCCTCAACACCGACCTCCTCTGCGACGTGACAAACCGGTTCGGATCTCTCTTCCTAGTCAGCCTCCACGATACATATTCCCTTCGGTGGAGCGCTCATTCATATTTATTCCTCGCGCCTTGCGGCCGAACCAAGTCTCTCGGGGCCGAGGGGGGCGTGGTGGTGGCTGGTACAGTGGTCGTCGACCCAGCTACTACCCCAACTCCTCGTACACGCCGAGTGTCGTCAGCCGCCGATCTTCTTTTGGCGTGCCACCCTCTCAGGACGGATGGCCATCACCTGCGGGGTCTGTTTACTCCAGACCCACAATACCCACTGAGCCGAAGCCCGTCGTCCGCCTTCCTCCTCCACCTCGCCCACCTGTCGGGATCCCACCATTTGGTCCTGCGATGGCCATGCCACTTCCTCACCCAGCTTACCGGGAAAGCCGACCGGCCCCGATTCCAATGCATCAACCTCGTCCTCAAAAGACTGTCTCCGTGGCGGATATTGAAAGCCCGGTGACTTTCCCCTTCCCTTTTAATCCTCCTCAGCCCCAACAAGAACAGCCATTCCACCATCAGGTCCCTGTCCCCGTTCCTGTCCATGGTCCTCTTGAAAATGAAATGACTGCCCACGGACCACCCAGTCAACCCTCGGCCACTCCGCTCTCTCAAATCCCGGAGCGGGCTATTCATGCTGCACCTTTCCAACCCTATACCTATCAGCAACCTGGGTATTACCCTCCGAGCTATCCACCGGGTGGGATGTACTACCCGAATTCGGGCCCCGAATTCACTGGTTACAATGGACCCGTGGGACCTGGAGCGTCAGTCCCAAACTTCCCGGGACAGCAAGCCATGCCCTACACAGCTGGCGACCGGACATCTCAGCCAGGCACTGTTGCCCATGAATCTGGAGGCACTGTCTATTTCTATGATGCCAACAATATGTATGGAGGTCCAGGGTCAGGATCAGGTCCTGGAGGTGTAGTTGGGATGGGTGGAATGATGACACCGCCAGGTACCACCTTCTACTACCAACAGCCGGCTCAGTACTATTCGCAGTAAGACTTTGATTTCTTTCGTGTCTCATCTGTTTCTCTATCCTCTCATTTGCCTCTCAGTTTTTCTTTAAACTTGTTCTACTGGGCTTTACAACATTTTTTCTTGCATTCACACATTCCTTAGCCATGCCCTTTCTTTCCTATCTTAATTTTGTGTTTTGATGACTTCATTTTGGGCCCTTGTTAGATCTATGCATTTGAGCGTTCTTTATTCCCGTCATGTCCGCAACTTTTTTCCCCTACATAACTGGAATTTAGCATGGTTCTAGCCCGTCCAAATTCCCCCTCATCCAATCGGGCAATGAAATCCCGTACATCTCACCATGCATGACCTCACTATTTATGTCGTGTTTTCTCATTTGATGATCTTTTGCACCCCTCCTTTGGGCGTTTTCACAACACAAAAAAAGGGCAATTCCACAACACTCTTGGCAATAGTACAACTTATAGTACAATTAATAGTTTGACTACGTTGCATGTACATGTATTCAGCGTTCCCCCGGGTTGACGCCATATTATGTAATCAATATTTCACCGCCTTCTTAAGTGAGCTGATTCACAAGCAGCTGACCCATCACTTCTCTCTCTCTCTCTCTCTCTCCGCTTTTTCCCAATCAACTCGAACGACTTTGTACAACTCCCCTCGTTTTCCTTGCTCTTCCTTCTATTCCATCTATTCCATCCTCATAGTCATTCTTATTTTCTTTTACTATATCTCTCTTGTCTTCACTTTGTAATCCTCAGTACTGCTTCCTTCCATAAGCCCTAAATACACTGCTGCCTTGAGATAAGGTAGCTAGCTGTATTCACCTTTTCAGCTTTCATATTGATCATGGCAACACCATCTGCCCCCCTGGGACCAGAGCACCTGGTTACTGTCAAGGTTCTGTACAATGACAGTAATAGGCGCTTCAAGCTCCCTTTGAAAGACCTCAAGGCCCAGGTCTTCCCCCAGATGGTAAGTCTCCACTTAAGCTCCGACCGGACCGACACTCCCGATTCCTTATCTTTCTTTGATCATCAGTGTGATCGAACCTTTCCCTATAATTCCTATTTATATGTCTTGATTCATTTACTTCATCGTCAATTGTGCATTATCTTCCTGAACTAAATGATGGTTTTGGCTTAGCTCAGAACCCTTCTCGGCGTTCCGGCGGATGCCAACGTCATCCTCGAACGCTATTCCGACAGCGCCGGCTCGTATGTTCGCTTGGACTGTGACAATACTGCAGTTTACAAACAACTTTACCGTGCTGCCAAGGCGAAGTCTAAGCTTCGAATCAAGGTTTCTTCTCTCGAAACATCTCCTGCACCATTACCTTCTGAACCTACGATGGAGTTCAACAACCAGCCTCGTCACAGTTACCTCGAAACCGTCTTGAGCCCTGCTGCTCCTCCCAAGACTCTCCCAACTCTCCCCCTCATCAACTCGCCTCAGATCCCTCTTCCTGAAACGCAGCTGCCTATCGGCCAGCCTCGCTACCGCAATTTCGAGACGGATTCTGACAAGCATCAATTCCCTGTCATCTCTCACAACTCCCCCAACGGCATGTTCTGCATCGACTGCAATAAATGCGGTCGTTCTATTGCAAATGGGCACTATCACTGCAGCATTTGTGAGAACGGGGACTATGACTTGTGTCCACAATGTGTCGATGCGGGAGCGACTTGTCATGGCGATGGTCACTGGCTAATCAAGAGAATTGTCAAGGACGGTGCTGTCACCAACAGCACCACTGAGATTATTGCTCCTCGTGAGCAATCAGTCCAGGCTCCCGCCGACGTCAAGCGTGAGGTGATCACCAAGCCGGTGGTTCACGTCCCGGAGTCCATTCAAGAATCTGTTCCAGAGCCAGCCACTCCATCACCTTGTTTGGATGCTGCAGTCCAGGGTGAAGATAAACCCATGTGCAATGGATGCTGTCGTGGTATGTTTGTTTGTTTCTTTCTCCCTATACATCTTTCACTACAATTGCTAACAAGAAGCAGAGGCAGATGAGAGCAATCTTGTACGCTGCAATGACTGCGAAGATTATGATCTTTGTCTCCGCTGTCTCCTCCGTAACAAGCATGGTCACCACCCTGGCCACACCTTCCACCTTGGATCTGACCGTAAATTCTGCCTGAAGAATCTGATCACATCTCGCTGCCTGCCTGGCCGGCAGTTCCGCCACGCCGCTGTCTGCGACGGCTGTGACAAGGTATGTCCTGGTCCACTCGGTGGGAAGCCCAAAGCTAATATCATACAGCGTATCGTTGGCGTTCGTCACAAGTGCCTGGCCTGTCCTGATTGGGACTTCTGTCCCAACTGCATATTGACTGCCTCTGAGCATCACCCTGGCCATCGTTTTGTGCAGATTTATGACACCATCGGCGAGCCTGCTCGTGAGCATGAGATCCACTATGGCATCTTCTGCGATGGTCCTCTTTGCAAGAACAAGCCTGCCCAGAGTTACATCAACGGTGTTCGCTTCAAATGCGCTGTCTGCGATGATACCGATTTCTGCGCGAGCTGTGAAGCCCTCCCGACTGATCACCACAACCGTACTCACCCACTGGTCAAGTTTAAGACCCCAGTTCGTAGCGTGACGGTGAGCACACTGGGAGATGATGGCTCCAACCAAGCAGTTGCTTTGGGTGATCAAATTCCTTCTCCTGCCAAGTGCTTCGAGCAAATTATTGATAAGCATGAGCCTGTCGAGGTAGAAGCTCCCAAGCCCGTAGAGAAGGTCGAGCCACAACCATCCGTCAATGAGACGATCTCCGAGGCTGATGGTTCTGATGTGGTCAACTACAAGGCCTTCTTCATTCGTGACACCATCGCCGATGGTACTAAGATGGCCCCAGGCACCACGTTCCGTCAGACCTGGACTCTATACAACCCTGGGCCTTCGGCATGGCCTGCTGGCTGTGACGTGCGCTTTGTCGGTGGAGACACCATGTTCAACGTGGATTCCCATCACCCCTCCAGTGTTGAGACCATTCGCTCGGCAATGGAAAGCAACAAACTGTCTTCTCCACTGGCGGTAGGTGAGAGTGCTGACTTCACAGTCAATCTCCGCACTCCCGACCGCGAGGGCACGTCTATCTCCTACTGGCGCCTGAAGCTCCCCAACGGTATGGCTATTGGTCACCGTCTTTGGTGTGATGTTGAGGTATCGGCTGCTTTGGGGGGCGAATCTACTGCCAACTCTGAAGTTACCGGTAGCGCTATGATCTTCCCCAAGTTGGAGAAGGAGTCTCCGGCTTCCAGTACCCACGAAGTCAAGGCCCCTGCTCCCCAGGCACCAACCTTATCCAACTCCTCCGAGTGTGATGTCCTAGAGGACGTCGAAAGCCTCACTTTGGACGAGACAGAGACCGAAACCGACGCTGGTTTCTTGACTGACGAAGAATATGACGTCCTTGATGCTAGTGACCAGGAGTTCCTGGATGCCAAGTTTGCGGATTGAGAAAGGAGGATATAAATTCATGACATGATAGGGACTGGGAATTTGCACTTAATCTCTTCTTTTTTTCGGACTTACCAAGTCTAGTTCATGATGGCTAGACTCAATGAGATTGATCTTTTTCTTTTTCTTTTTTTTTTTCAACATTCAGCGGAAACAGAAAAATCGCAAAAAGATCTTGCTATAGCTTCTAAATGCATTTACTGTTTTATGTTCACTATAGGTCTCTATGTATATATGTAGTGACCGTACAGAGTTAGAATTCCATTATTCGACCTCGGGAAGGTTACTACGCATCCCGCGTCCACTCCCCCCGCGTAGCTTGAGACGATCGTTACTTAACATTGAGGTTCCACTGAGGACCCGAGGTACAATTATTAATGACATATGGCGGGGCTTGTCTTTTTTCTTCTTTTTCTTTGTTTTTCTCTTTTCTCTCGGTTGCTGCCTTGTTATAGTAATAACGGCCATTCGATTGAGCCATTGATATCATGGGACTCGGTACTACATTCACCCTCGGCCTGTTCGCCGCTCTGGTCGCCTTTCTGGCAGGCCCAATTAGCCATATCGTGCGAATTGGAGGTGTTTTTCTCTCTCCCAATCCAACTGTGCTGGGCGATGACCAAGGTCCAATCCCCATTGGGGATACCATGCACTGCGAGGATGTGCATCACTACCGCCCAGCGAACCTGCTGTTCACCGCGTGCGAAGACCACAAGAGCACGCGCTTTAGCTGGTTTCCGCCGCTGGGGAACTTCGTGCCGACGACGACCCGCGGCTCCATCCATGTCGTAGATCCCAAGGTGAGTTGTTCACAAATACGGCCTATAGAGCTCAAATGACCGAAAAAATAGACTATGAAATCAAGCCGCCTAGCATTCACCAACTTCGAAGGACCCTTCGTTACCCATGGGATTGATGTCATCGAAGATCCAGAGCAGGGTGATGCAGTTTACATCTTCGCTGTCAATCATCTGCCCAACCCTGCGTACTTTGAAGCCGGCGAGCCAGAAGGCGTGCACAAGGCCCACTCCCAAGTCGAGCTCTTCCACCACGTTCTGGAGTCCCAGACAGTTCAGCATGTGCGCTCTATTCATCATCCACTCGTAGAAACGCCCAATGACATTTATGCTGAAAGCCCGGTCTCCTTTTACGTTACCAATGATCACTTCTACCGTGAAGGCATCATGCGGCATGTCGAGGACGTCTGGCTCTCGGCAAAGTGGTCTAGTATCATTCACGTGCAGATCGCAGAGCTGAGCAAAGAAGCTACCGTCGAGGCATCCGTGGCACTGACGGGTCTCTGGAACAATAACGGTTTGAGCCACGGACGCACAGACAAGGAAATGATCATTTCCAGCGCTGTGGGAGGCGAGCTATACATCTCTACCCTTCAGTCGAATCATTCAATTGAGCTTCAGACTAGTATTCCCTTTGATACTGTCACTGATAACCCGAGTTATTATGCGGATCCGTACCGCACCGAAGCAGATGATGCTAGTGGTTTTGTTGTTGCAGGTATCTCGAAGGCTATTCACTTGGCTGCCAACGCCAAGGATGAGAATGCCACCGATCCTTCGCAGGTGTGGTACACTCGGATCCAGCCGGTTACTGGTGTGTGGGAGAAGAAACTGTTGTTTGAGGATGACGGGTCAAGAATTCGGACTGCCAGTGCGGCTGTTTTGGTTCCTGTCGAGCCTGATGGTAGTAAGAAGCTGGCTTGGCTGTTCGTTACTGGGTTTATGTCGGAGAGTATGATTGCTGTGCAGGTTGAACTATAGTGGTGGCCAAAAAGCAAGTCATACTATGTTGTACATATTTGTAAATTGTTTTTGAGCCTCATAGACGAACGGTCAACCTCTTGGTAATGACCGAAAAGCAATTTGACTAAATACTGCCCAAATCCATGGAATAGCTTGTTGATTAACTGTAACCCTTTTTTTTCAATCATTGCGATGGTAAAAGTCGAGATAAAACTATACTCAATAATACATGCGTCGGATAAACAGTGTCTGCTCGGAGCGCCAACAATCTTGTGACGATGCCACAGAGCAAAACCAAGCCTAGCACATGGTAATCAAAGATGCATAGAGGAAGATGATGTGCATGCAAGGAGGGTCTTCGATATGGATAAACAACCCGAGTTGGGATCCCACTTGAATCAATGATCATTCTCAGAAGTAGGGCGGTAGGGTGACTCAGAAGGTGATTAGAAAGGCTTCCTTACCACAAGCTGCTGGAGGGCTCGGTCAATCCATTCTTCGTACCCTGTGTCGTCTTTGGACTGCCCTGCTCTGGGGCATAGCCTGAAGCGAGGTGGGCAGCCTTAGGCCGAGAGCTGGCGTCGAGATCACGAACGGGACCAAACGAAGATCCATCATTGATCGGACATGCATATTGGAATCTGACTTTGGAAGCCTGACCAGCGAGCGCTAGGCTGGACTTGCGCTGACATCTGGGGGTAGGCTTCAGATAGGAGTCGAAAAGAGCCTTGCGCTTCAAGTCGAAAAAGCAACCTACAGTGAGAAGACAGAGAACAACAAAGAACGAGAATTAAATGACTGAAAAGCGCCTAGTGCCAAGGATTACCTCAGTAAATAAAGATTGAAGTACTCGAGCGACAATCCTTCGAGTTGAAATGTGGCTGGCTGAGCATACGAATCATGGGATGTAGCCGCTGCAATGCTCTACTTGCGTCCGTAATTGATATACAGTCATCCCCTTAAGCATGCAAGGGGGAGATAGGACGAGACCAAATCTGGTTTTTTGCACTTCAGCGCCAGTGTTCAAATATAAATATCTTGTTTCCCTCTCTTTATCCACTTCAGGTTCCATCGCTGAATTCCTCCTATCTCTTTCGAAATCACAAATCAACATCCCCTACTATAACCAGCAAGTCACCATGAAGCTTACCTTCCATCTTGTGTTCGCTCTTATCCCGACCCTACTAGTTGGTGCAACTCGACTCGAGTCCCAAGATTGCGCTCGTATGTGAACCCTAGCCCATACGAACAATTGCACTCAAAATTCTCACCTTATCTACAGCGCAAGGCAGAATTGTCGAGTTCTGCGAAGCTTGCTGTTCTGGCGAGTGCAAAGACACCGGTCTTTGGCCCGCACCGTGTGCATAGTCATTGGTATAGATTCTTTCCTGAGCATACTAGGAACCACGCTGATTGGTTCTAACCAGATTCAGCAGACTACTGCCACAGAATACTTTAAGCCTAGCAAATAGCTATGCTATCATTGAGCTTCTAGTTAGGCCGCAGTGGCATATCAACACGAGATTCTTTCTGTTCTAGGTTCTCTTTGTTTTGCTATGGTTCCGTCCCACTTGGAGCCCAGAGTTGGTTCGTTATATGCTATTATAGATGCCATGATTGCCGTCAAGTAACCAACGGAATCAAGCTCACCATACATATGAACAACCATATTGTGACTTGTATTTGCTATACTGCTACGGGGGAGGTTTAGGATAGGAGACGGTGCCTAAAGAAGCGACCGATGGGGGTTTTCGATGCACTAGATGCAGTAGATTTATTCTGTGCTAGGGATTTGTCATGTGTTTGCGCAGTGATCAGGTTGAACGGGTTGGTCTCATCTTATCACTAGATTCACACCGACTGTATTAGACAATGCTTGCCTGACCTAGGGTGACGGCCAGGTGCAGAACCTGCTCTCACTGCTCTAATAATTACGTCACTTTGCCTTGATTCTTTAAATCTATAGCATATCGATCATATCGAATAGAAATGATAGTTAATAACCTTGCTGCCCCTATATGGCTATAGATTGCTTCTATGAAAAAAGAAAAAAAACTAATGTTATGTAAGGGAGGTGAAGAGGATGTGCATGTTGCATGTTGAATATGTAGATCGTTCATCATCTCCAATTTTGAGATCTTGCGGTGGGACAGCCATTTGATTATAGATAGCCATCATGGACAACACGAATATGTACAGATATTTACACTTGAATCATCTTACTCCTTTAGACGACTAGTACCAACACGCCAGCGATCTCTTACAAAAGTATAATTGTGTCAATATGAAGGTGCTGTCTTTTGCTATGGCATTTGTCATTTCCGCACTTGCGGTAGCAGGACCTATGGATAGTTCATCTAGTAATAAACTAGTTGAAAGACAGGTATGCAATTTTCTATCCTAAGAACACTCTAAGTAATATTTAAGTGCTAACTAGGATGGACGTGAATAGGCTGTAAGTGATGACGCTTGACTGAAGAGCAATGACTTTGAGTATATAGCGCTGACGGGGATGGACATAAATAGGGTGTAAGCGATGACTCTTAACTGAAGAGCGATGACTCTTAGTATATAGCGCTGACTAGGATGGATATGAATAGGATGTGAGTAATGACCCTTAACTAAGGAACGATGACTTTGAGCAAACAGTGCTAGTGCTGATTGTAATAGATGTGAATAGGATATAAGTGATAACCCTGAACGATGACTTCAAGCAAATAGTGCTAATTAAAATGGACGTGAATAGATGCAAGTGATGACTGCGAAAATGTTCTAATCTAGCTCGAGTCTCCTCGAAAAGAATAGGATCGGTCCAGTATTAGTGCTCATTAGTTAGGGCCGGATGTACAGGCGTAGGTTCCATAGAGGAGGTCAGATATAAAGACTAAGGTAGAAATCTGTGTTATAGGAAACAACAATGTTAAGGTCGGCTGAAGGCTTAAGGCATAGGCCACGAGAATAAGAGAGTAGGAGGTGCAAGGACACCGGAAGGGAGGAGAGGCGAAGCATCTTATAGGCGCTCAAATGGACTGGGCGAATAGGGAGTGGACTTAGATTTAGCTGAAGGGGAGCCATTTTCGGCGTCGTTTTGATCGCCAGTGGAAACGAGGGGAACAAGTGTGTAAGTCGACAGCGTCAACATCAGGACCGGAGTATGACTGAAAGTGCTGGACGGGTGCAGAATAGTGGTGTTATAGGGCAGTGGGTGGTCAAGGGGCGGCTGGACGTCCAAAGTTACGGGTGGAAAGGCAGCCGTTTCGGGCCTTCAAAGCGGTTATTTTCGGCGTCAATCCCACAGGTCCTCAGATTCTAGTTGTAATTTCTAGCATTGGCTGGATAGAAGCTTGTCGCAAGCGAAAACAAGCCAGTATGGGAACAGCCCAATAGTGCGTGCATGTTCGAAAGTCTTACTTATACTCTCTTTCTCCAATAATACTGCTGCAGTTGGTCTTTGTTTTTTTGATATCGATGAACGGCTTGTGAGAGTTGATTATCATACATTGTCACAAGAAACAACACAGCCCTAATTCCTCATACCTCGTCCACCAATGTCACTACTAACCTGATCATTTATTACAGCCATGATGGTATAAACAACCTTCAAACCACGGAGGAAACCCTTTACTCTGTAATTGATGTATCAGAAGAAACAAAATAGTCCATACATTATTGTAGAAAATATTAAATCCCGAGGTCCGAATCTCAGCCTGAGGTGTCCACAGTTGATAACACAAGGTTAACACACGCCCTTTGTCTTCTCATCATCTCACAATGGCCTGCACAACTCGGCTCCAGCGAGCCCTTCCAGCTCAAATACAGCATTTGACGCGTCAATCACAACAATCTGTTGTTTTGCGCTGTCTATCCACCTCAGCGCACCGCCAGTCTCGCCAACCACCATCTCAACCAACAGCAACCACAGTCACAATCCCCCCCCAAAAACGACGTCAATGCTCCAATCAGCACACTCCCCATTGAACTCATCACTCCCGCCCCCCCTCCCCACATCCGCAGGTCTCGCCGACAAACTAAAGCGCTATGTCGAGTTCGGCCGCACATACGTGACCTTCTACAAAACGGGCCTGAAAAACGTCTACCGGAACTATCGAGCCTCCCTCCCCCTCCGAAAACAACTAGGCCTCCCAATCTACCTCCCCGTGTCCCCACCACGGACAATCTCCCACCAAAACCCCAAGAAAGAGCGCCAGGAATCCAATCTCGGGCGCGGTCAGTTCCAGCTCGTCCGTCGATCAGCGCGCGATGTGCGGCGCATGATCCCTTTCACGATGATTCTGATCGTCTGCGGGGAATTCACGCCGTTGATTATTCCGATCTTCGGGTCTGCGATTACGCCCGCTACGTGTCGGGTGCCGTCGCAGGTGGAGAAGGAGCGTGTTGGGTCGGTGAAGAGGAAACTTGCTGCGCTTGAGTCTGGTCGGTTGCCGCTTAAGCCGGATAGTTCTGAGCAGCTACGTCTTCTGGCAAAGCAGTTTGCTGATCTGGCTTGGACGGCGAGTGCCGACCCTGCCTCTGTTTTGCGGGCCTGTGCTGTTTTTGGGTTGGTCAAGCGCCATGATAAGACTGCCAGTGCGCTCCTTGCTGGCTTGATTTATCGGCCGAGGCTGACGCGGTATGTTGAATACCTGGCTATTGATGATAGGATGATCCGTGCTGGTGGTATCTCATCTATGAGTGCTACGGAGGTGCGCATTGCGGTTGAAGAGCGTGGCGGTGTGGATATCTCTGGCACTTCGGATCGGAAGCAGGCAGAGAAGTTGGAGAGGCGCTGGTTGGAACAGTGGATCGCTTTGAAAAAGACTGTACAGTAACAGTAACCTATGTACGTATGTATGTATGTAGACTTCAGACATGTATTATATCCAATTTGTTATTTTTTAATCTTGCTAAGGAAAGACATCACGCTAAGTAACTTTACAATTTGACCACAGATCGGGTATGAATGGCCCCCAAAAGAAATATTAAACCGCTGCCTGCGCCTGCGCTTGGCCACGAAGTTGCTTTGCCCACCTCAGTCCACAACTGTTGCAAAGATCGCGATTTCCGCTCGGTCCACGCCGCCACTCGGGCGTGTTCTTTGTCTTGCACATGGCGCACGACTTCTCAACCGCGATAGCACTTTGCTTGCGCTTGCGCTTCTTGCGGCGAGCCAGCAAGCGCTGGAGTTCATCGCCTAATGTGCGATTTTGCTTCTCTAGCTCGCGCAGCTCAATTTGCCAACTTGACCCTCGGGTGGGATTGAGCTCGGTGAAGAAGGTAGCCGGGTCCGCGGACGGTGAGATGCTGCGGTTTCCGGATGGTAGACCATTGAGACCTATAAGGGCAGATAGATCGGGGGTTTGTTGGCCGAGGGCACCGTATTGACGAGGTGGGAGTGGGTCGTCAAGTGTAAGGGTCGAAGTGCGTGCTGTGCCCGGAAGCGTAGCAAGGCTTTCGTCTGCGGCCGCTGAGATAGCAGTGGTGGAAGGAGGGAAAGATCGAGCGAATCGAATCTGGGCGACGAGGAAGGTAGGCTTATCCCCTTGCCGAGCGTCGCCGGTGTATATGGTTGTATGGGCAGCAAGCATGTGACCTTTCTTATGCCGCATCTGATGCTTGAACGCAGGAGGTTCACTCATTTTTTGGCTGCTGCCACCGACAGTGGCCAAACCAGCGCCTTGGCCACGACATGCTGCGTCTAGGGCTTGTGTGATGGTAGCAGCGCCACCAGAGTCAGGCTCCATGATCTCTTGCATGCCTTTGCCAATCAGGTCATCAGGCGAGCGGCCGAGCACTGGCTTCACTTTACTAGTGATGAACAAAATCACACCAGATAAGGATATTTTGGCCCAAATGTCATTCTCAGCAAGTGCGGCAGACGACCCCAGACGAGCAATCTGGTCGAGTGCGTAGACAGGTCGTGGTCGGCCTGTCATGACCAGATGTTTCCGACCCTGGTGGGGGTCAATGTGCCACGCGCCGTGACTCTCGAACCACATATAACCCCTGTACTTTTGTCTGATACGATACACAACGCTCACTGGGGCAGTGGTTGTGCTCGCTCGCAGATCACGGATCACAGGGCCGATATCGCTTGGATGGCAGATCGTGGAAAGCGTCTTGCCGACAAGCTCAACCGGCTCATACTCCAAAACCCTTTGACAAGAAGGAGAAAGGTACAAAAATTCACCGTTGAAGGAAAGCACATGAATCACATCGTCAGTGTTTTCAACCAAGATGCGATCCAGATAGTGCCGGTTGACTTCTTTTCCGGAGGCACTGGCTGCATTGAGAATGGCAGTCACTTCATCATGGCCGTATCGTGCCATGAGATCTGGCCGTGATGAATAAACATCTGGCGGGACTATATATTGAGGTAACTGGTCCCGCTGGTAATTCACACTGTAGGTGCCATCTATATGGAATGTTAGAGAAAAGAAAGTCTGTCCATTTTCCTTCTGTTGTGAACATACCATTATTTCTTCCGCTCACAGCGTCGGGCTTTTCAACCAGATCGACCTGAAAGCCAACATAGAATTTATACTCACCCGAGTCCCACTGTATGGGAATCATCGTGATAAGGTTCATGAACGGCTGTCCACCCTTGCGGTAATTGATGATACTGGCTTGGATCTCGCTGCGGTCGTCAATAGTTGATCGCAGTCGATTCACAGTCTGGCCATCAACGAAAGTCCGTTTTGCGCCAGCAGATACCTTGCCATCGGGTCCCTGGAGGAACCGACAATTACGGTCAATAATTTCAGCCCTGGTATAGCCTGTCAGACGTTCAAAGGCCTCCGAGACATAGATAATCGGCTGGTCCTCTTTCGTAATATCACACATCACGAATGCGCAAGAGAGATCCACTGCACCGATGTTGATTTTGGGGTTTGGCCTCATAGCCACGCGACCCTATGTCCGTTAGTGAAGTTATTTCATGATCTTGCACCGGTAGATCTTACCAGCGCCCCCAGTACATCAAAGCCACTGCTCGAATAGATTCCAGTATGTTCAGTTTTACCAATCGCAGGCTTTTCCAGCCCCGGTGAGAGATCCTCTTGGCCACGTCAGTGCTGATGGGCCATGCCGGGCGCATGAAACTTACCTGGGGTGGGAGCGGGCTTCTTGGGCTGAATCGCCACTGGTTGCGATGGGCGGGGTCCAAGCTGTGGCCGTTCGACACGGCGTTGGACCCGCGCCTGCACCAGCGACCGGTCACTAGTCCGACCGGAAAAGTCCGAGTCCTCAAAATTGATAGTTGAGTCGGTGCTTGTATCGTATTGGTCCTTACAGGCTGGAGCGGGAGCAGGCGCTGGAGCTGGAGCATGAGGTGGAGCAGGAGCTGGAGCTGAAGCCGGCTGAGAATAGACCGGCACAGATGGTTGATAGGGTGGGTATGTGGACTGAAACTGTGGAATCCCCATTCCCATGGTGGTAGGTGGGTAGGTTGAAGTATCGTAGGCATAGGCGTGGGTGGGGTCCATGTTCATGGGCATGGAGACGCCAGAGGCTGGGTCATATGTGAGCATGACATTTGACATGCGTCCTTCTAGGTCTGGTCGATCAAAGCTCTGTAGAGGCAGGTCCGAGTTCTGGGGGATCATGTCACTATAGGCATAGCTGGGAACCTGACCAGGGAAGGTCATATATGAAGGATCATGAATAGAATCATTAATATTGGAGGGAACATCCTCTTCTTCATCAAAATTCATATTGAAGCTGTTGTTCATAGCCATACTGAATCATTTGGGAGGGGGGGGAGCCTCGTGGGGTATATTGAATGCCGGAGAGAGTCCCAGAGCCCCGGTAACGGTAACGATAACGACTGAATTCTCGGGGAATCCAATGAAATGTTAGGAGGTTTTTGATCCCACTCTTCGAATTTTTTTACTGTTAAAAATTTGTTGTATACACTCTGTAGAGTTGTGTGTGTGTGTGTGTATACGTCTGTGTGCGAGAGTGCAGACGCCCTCGATATATGTGAAAAGGGAGAGAGAAAAAGAGTTGTTCTCTCCTCTCACAAAAGTACAAACCCTGTTGGTGGACCCTGGGAAAAGTACTGTGCACCCAATTAGCGCCGAATGGGAATTGACGTGTGATTTTCCTCTTTCAATCGCGTTCTTTGTTTTGTTTTGTTTCTTATTTTTGTGGTGTTTGGGGTATGAAGATATTCCAGTATAATCCAGGGGGTCAATAATGTGATTCGTCTCAGTGTAGAGGGTTGGGAACCGTCCACTTGTCCAGTGGTCGAGGGTGAAGTTGACGGGTTGTCCAGAGGCAAAAGCTGATTGATCACAAAAAAGAAACATACTTCCGGGGCAAATACGTGTGTCTTCCGCTTATTTGTGTAAACTGTACATTGTTGATTGTTGTATATATATAGAAACATAAGATTTGATCAAGACAGATGCAATGGATAGAGACTATTGATTTTGTTGATTCTACTGATTCCATTGACAATGGAAATGGCAAAGAAGAAAAAGGGGGTCTTGCATACATATTCAATATAAGCTATTAAGTCTAATTGGTTCCCCGTCAACCAACTCCGTCATGTCGGTCACCCCTTCCAAGGTCAACGCTCTACTTTGCCGTTGACATCTCCAATATATGGAGAAGATCTCAATCACCATCTGTGGAGATGGCGGGTGCGGTACGTTGCAGCAAACCTTTTCTCTCTTCCTGGGAATATTCCCACATCGTGATTCGGTGCCATGTTTCCGGGTTTCGAGGCGACGCGATCGAGATCTGATCAGATCGGGACATAGGCAAATCGTCCATCACCCTGCGGCTGGTCCGTAGTCAATGGGTGCACGAGTAGGTTGTCCTGACCCCTTGCAGTATTTACAGTTACTTGCTAATTGACCTGTCGCAGATACGATCCAACCATCGGTATTCTCACCTCCTGATTTGCCTCCTGATTCAAGCTTCTAACCCTTTGATTGTAAGAGGATTCCTACTCGGTCACCCGTAACGTCGATGGTCGCCCCTATTTTCTGTCCATTACCGACACCGCAGGTCAGGAAGAATACCGTGGACTATGGACGGCCTCTACGTTGAAATCGGACGCGTTCCTCCTGGTCTACGATATCACCAACCCTGCAAGCCTCGAAACGCTCGATCACTTCATGGACATGATCCATATGGAAGCTGAACAACGTGTCGAAGACAACCAGCGATTGCGCAAAGAGGGGAACGATATAGGCCTGGGTGGTAGGCCACCGCCAGTGAAGATCGTCGCAGGCAACAAGTGTGATCTCAAAGAGGGTCGAGTGGTAACCTCGCGAGACGGGCTCGCATACGCACGCAAACACGGCTGTGGATTTATGGAAACCAGCGCGCGCGAGATGGTCAACATTGAAGAAACCTTTGCCCGTACGATCAAACATCCCTAAATTGTCAACCAAATTGTCAATTGACAGCGTTAACCCCCACATAGATCTCGTCCGTCGCGTGGTCGAAGCCCGCCGAATTCAAAATAACGCGCTGCCTCGGGCCGAACCACGCACTCTCACTACCACTGCGCTGCCGCCAACCAGTTTATATGCCAACGACCCTCAATCTCGACGAAGTCGCGCGTGGACGTGGAAATTCATCAAACCCCGGAAGAGAACGGAACCAGGTGAACAGGGTCAGGCACATACCGGGGCAGTAAAACGGAAGTGTCAGGGTTTCTGTGCCTGTCAATTATGTTTTCACTGTTCATAAAGTGTTGATATGCTGTTGATCAGGCTGTTGATCATGCCGTACATATTCCCTTAGTATATAGAGGTTGGAATGTCCAGTGTACATAGAAAGTCTATAAAAGAGACGCACAATGTCATGTCGTACATAAAGGGGAATATTTCCTACGGAAAGCAACCCAAACCCACCTTCGGGGGAAATGGACTCGGAATGGGCCTCCGTGGCAATTACCCCGGAACATGTTGCTTGATAGAGAATAGCTACTTGTGTCTATCCATCATCCACGGATCGGCGAAGAATCTAGATCCAGTGTGTGACTTTGAATACGATCTCACATTTGCACACATTACCTAGATCGGGATTTCGGCTAAGCTTTGCATGAAGTCATAGCCTCAAGACCTCGGAATGGTAGCCGGAAAACATGATACTTGAATTTATCTAGGTACATATGTATCCTATGAGGCTTCATGGGGTCCACTGGCGGCCGGCAGAATTGAACGGAAAAAGTGATTCTGGACTCCGTGCTATGGTGTATCATGTTGCAAGATCTTCATATGTAACGAGAACAAAAACGAGGTTGTAGATCATAAATCAAGGATACGAGATGAAAGTACGAAGTATGCAAAGATCAAAAGGACCATCCATCGAATGGTCAACGTCATGGACTTCTGTGGCACCCAATGATAGACGGTTATCTCCATGATCTAAGACCATATAGTTACCGTAGGTGTATAATAGATTCTAGCCACCGCATTAATATGTTTTGTTTAGAGTCATGAATCACGATGACTTTTGATTACTGATGAGTTACTACTACCTGATTTAGGTAGGGTAATCAAGGGTAATCAAGTAGTCGCAGGTTGCCATGCAGCCGTTATTCCAAAAATACGCCAAACGCTTCTTGGTATTTTATTTCAGCCACATTTTCTATTATCCCGCACCCGATTGTCTTAGATTGGAGCTAAGCTGTAGCTAATTATTGGTTTAATAGTTTATTTAATATTGTTCATATGGTCTATGGTCTATGGTCAGGTACTCCGTAGTCAGGTAATACAGAGTACATCTTGTATTAAATATTTAATGAACACTCGGGTGCAACATGCAATCGGCAAACCTATGCCGATTCTGAAGATGTGAACATAAAATTATTCTTTATGCATTATACCGTGGATCATATTATACTGACCAGAGTGAGTTGGTTCTAACCTACATCGGTCCCTCTGTGTATATAATTATACATTATTATGTAGATTGTCAACATCGTGTAATCAACTCCCTAGGCGATCCAGTTCTCAAGACACACCTTCGTACGGAGTATGGAGTATGAAGAAAATCAAACTTAAAGCCGCTTACATATCCATTGATTTGCTGACACACTCTATGTCTTTGGCCGGAAGTGCAATCCACTCGGATATACGTCAGTCCAAAGTCTCCGAAGGCCGAAGGGCTGGAAGCTCCGCTTTCCGTAAGCCGTAATAATGAACTTAAGTCCAGGTGCCGAGTAGTATTCGTATGCAATATGGTATGGTATAATTGGGGAGTGCTGAGGTACGGAGTATGTAATTTATATTGTGATTTTATCCTCTGATCACCAACAGAAAAAATCAAAAAGAGTGGAGTATACAAGTGAACTAGAATATATGATTCGATCCGATCGCCTATGCTACAATTTATATCTGTCTTTTGGTAATCAATAATACCAAAATAATTAAAATCGAATAAAATAAAGAATCAAGTAAAATAAAATAAAATAATCCCTAAACTCGAACCCCCCTCTTTTTTTACTATATATGCACATCGCAGTCCCCGAGTCAACCTTTCCTGATTTTTCTATTTAATTGCGGTTGATATTAACAAAAGGAAGATTGGAAGATTAACTGACTTGGACTGTCCAACATTGAAGTCATCCCTGCATCCGTCTACTTTGTGAACTCAGTTTCTTGGTCTTCGCTCGACATCATTATATCATTGACCCCGATTGACGTCGATCAACCCTGATATTCGCCGGATCTGGAAGTATAGCTCATAAAAGGGTCAATCCCCAATTTCGACCCTATTTACGTGATATCCTCGATTCTTTCGACCGACCTTCACTGTATACATTATATATATATCACACGTTCGATATGGCAGCTCGACAATCATCACCAACTTCGGAGCATTCCCATTCGGACAGCAATGTCCGCAAGAGAGTATGCAAGGCTTGCGATCGGTGTCGCTTGAAGAAATCAAAGGTATGTCTCGATGCAAAGGCGAGCACTGGTGCAACACACACTGACGGGAACCAGTGTGATGGATCCAGTCCATGTTCGCGGTGTCGCGCAGATAATGCCATCTGTGTCTTTGGAGAGCGCAAGAAGGCGCACGATAAAGTGTACCCCAAGGGGTAAGCTTCACCCTTAAAACGACCCTCTAGGCATCCAAAGAACGGTATAGACTAACCAAAATCCCTTGATATAGATATGTGGAAATGCTCGAACAGCAACAAGCATGGCTAGTCCACGGTCTCCAAGAATTATATCGACGGAACATCGAAGGTGAAGGGTGGCCCGGCGAACAACTCAAACTCGAACCCAACGGTCACCCCTTGACGCACGACCTCCTCATGCGCCTCGGTGCCCTCGACAGTAGCAAGGGTGAGCGTTTCGAAGAGAACCCCGAAACCCTCCAGCAAGATCTATGGCACACCAACTCCGGCATGCAACGACAAGAATCATCCGACGGTGGCTCCGATAGTCCTCAATCGCCTGCCCGCTCCCGTTTCTCATCCGATGCCTTCTCCCAGCACACCATGCCCCCGACCCCACCAACGTATAGCCCGTCCACACGCGCGCATATCAAACCCGAGCCACCTCAGATGCCCAGCACCCCGCAATTTGCCCAGGCCATGTCTATGCAAGGGGTGGTGAACCCGCTCGCTCTGCAGGGCTCGCAACCATGGCCTAATAATGGGTTCAATCCGTTCGATGAAATGGATATGATGTCCACCGCGGATTACTCAAATATGAACTTTGACGATCAACAATTGTCTTCGCCGATGTTCAACCGCCAGGTCCCTATGAACTGCTTGTCTCAGAATGATTACGACGATTTCAACCAGTTCCTCAACCCGAACCCTACGGAGATCACATCGATTTAAGTGGGCTTCCACTCTTAACGCCGTATGACGTGATGCATGTATACTATACATGTCTGCTTTTTTTCTTTTCTTTTTCTTTTCTTTTCTTGGGTGGTTCTTTTTAACATTCCATCTGTTGTGAATTCCGGCGTTGGGATCCTAATCACCTCTGTACAGTGACTCGGTTTCGGGATTTGGAGTTTTGGTTCGGAGTTCTAAAACGGGGTTTCCAGGAGGCGCCTATATGGTGTTTTTGTCTTCTCTCTTTCTAATTCAAATGAAGTCTTTTTTTACCCTTCACATGTCACCGTTACACTTTCCCAAACGGGCAATTGATCTCATCTCTTTTATTATGTTCATTCTGTTCTTTATGGTTTTTCATCCTTCACGATTCATTATTCCAATCCAGGAACCAGAGATCTAGGGCCCGGAGCAAGATGCCGAGTTACTCCACCGAACCCTTTTCACGTTGACTAATCGTGTCGAAAAAAAGACGATGAAAAAAACGGGTATAACTCGGAATTATGAGGGCTCCAGGGCTTTAAGGATTTGATTATCAAGCCTTAATCTATATTACTCAGCGGATTTAATTTTTTTTCCAAGGATCCTGTTGCTCCACCTACTACGCCTTTGGGTGTTTTGAGCGATTTTCGCTGACTCGTTACTCGGTATGACTCGTTATGACTCGTTTTGAACTCGTTTTGAACTCGTTATGACTGTCTATATCTCTCTTACGTGAGACCGCCCTGTGCCCAACATTCGCCGAAATGCCGACTTACCGTTATGGGTCAAACGCCCCGACGGAAGCTCGAATGTGCGATTTCGTCTATTTTATTATAGTAGGCAACGGTCGAACTCTTTTTTTGATGAGTTAATCTGCTTGTCTTCGTATAATCAGTATTCGTATTCGTGTGGTTTTGCAACGCGTACTCCGTAGCAGGATTCGAACTAAAACCCCTGAGACGGGCCACATCGCCAAACCTGCTTCGAACCCACTAGTTGAAGGGTAGGGGAAACATGCCTGCCTAGTACATGCCAATCCATACCAATGGTCTCATCTTGGCATATGTCCCCTTTTTTTTTTCTTTCACAAGCTCAGTCTTTCAAAACTAAAACGAGTCCGGGGTAGAGATGATCCTTTCGGACACCGGACCCCGTCTTCTCCGACCGGATGTTAGCTGATCCTAACCCCGGTCACTTGTTATGTCCGTACAGTTCGTCCGTAAGGGTACAGAACAAGCCGCGTGAGTGTCTTGGTAGGTATAGACTTTGTATACTGGATCGTTAGACTTTGGAAGGCTGTGCATCGGTCACGAGCCTTGGAAGCTGGTCCAAGTCACGGGCCAAGGCATACCCTGACGATAGGACTCCATACGCTGAACCAGCCACACACATGTGGTTAGCTCCCACCTGGGCAAATCTCCGGCTCAATGGACAATTCAACCTCCTGTTTAGCCTAATCCTAGATCACAACAACGCGCAAAGGGGAATCAAATTTATGCTAAACTTCCAAAAATTGAAAGGTGTCATCGGTGATTCGTCCCGCATATTGCGGGGTTCCCACGTCATGTCGACCTTGAAAACAATTCCAACTTCCTTCAACTGTTCAAACTTATAAACAAAAGCAAAATGGCCGAACTAGCTGCATTTACCTTTCTGCCTCTGGGCGCGATCATCCAAGAGTTCCGTGTCGGGGACAAGAACATCGTACTCGGGTTCCCCACGCAGGAGGACTACGTCAAGCACAACACCCCGCACTATGGTGCCACCATTGGTCGCGTTGCCAATCGCATCAAGGATGGTCTTATCCACGATTTGAATGGTCAGAAAGTTCAACTGACGAAGAACAATGGTCCCAATGCACTGCACGGGGGTGAAAACGGTTGGGGTAAACGTGTGTTTGAGGGCCCCAGCACCGTAAGACACAATGGCCGCGATGCCTTGCTGTTCAAGTACCTCCACAAAGATGGTGAGGAGGGGTACCCTGGTACTGTGGAGGTGCGCGTGTGGTACAGCGCAAGCAAGGAGGGTGACGCTAAGTCTGTGCTGACCGCCGAGTACGAGGTGGAATTCATTGGCAATGAGTGCGAGGAGACTGTGGTCAATCTGACCAACCACAGGTAATAAAAAAAGCCTCTCCGGAGATCAATATATATAAATCATCCTATTAACACTTTAAACAGCTACTTCAACATCGGTGACGGCCCTGACATAACTGGCACCACTGCACAGCTCGCCACAGGGGACTACCTGCCTCTCGACGACACTGGTATTCCCACCGGCGGCATCGCCAAATTCCCACGCGATGTGACGACCCCATTCGAGCTTGCCGCGACAGGCGCACACATTGACGACGTCTTCATCCTGGAGCCCGATGCCAGCAAGGTCCCGCTGGATACGCGTGGCTTGCCCTTGCGACGCCTGGCGCAATTCAGCAACTCAAGCACGGGCTTGCATCTCGAGGTGCACAGCACCGAACCCGCGTTCCAGTTCTATACGGGCAAGTACATCAATGTACCATCGATCAATGGTGCCCCGGCCCACAATGAGGGGGCTGGGTTCTGTGTGGAGCCTAGTCGGTTCGTGAATGCGATTAACGAACCCGAGTGGCGGTCGATGGTGTTGTTGAAGAAGGGCCAGATCTTTGGTTGCAAGACAGTCTACAAGGCATGGCAGGAGTGATTACAGACTAAGCATTGAGTACCAAATTGTACCAAATTGTACTACCTACATACAAAAGGCGTTTACAGAGTGGAGACGAGACATGGACCTCGGCATGTATGATCATGTACTCCGTAATAATGTAATCGAAGTACAATATCGTACGATATTGTACTTCTTACAGTAAAACAAAATCAAAAAATAAAATAATACAGAAGAGCCGACTCCGAGGTCCATAATCATCTCCGTGACAAGTTCCGATCCGCGGATCCGCGGGTTCTCGGCAAACCGTTTCTCACGGAGAGATCAGATAGTTACATAGTACTCCGTACCCTAAGGGTATTCCATGGTCATTAAAGTAAATCACGCTAATCGGATTTCAAGAGGTCTAGAATTTGTTAATTTGTCCTATTTTGTGTGTTGTCATCCAAAACAAGGAATAATCCAAGTTCGTCCTAAGAGGAAACCTTTCCGATGACCCGCTCTCTTCGAGAAGTATTCCCTTTCTAGAGCAACTCCACTGTGTCAAGTCTGCCGTATTCCCGTTTTGCGGCACTTTATTCCTTTGGGCTCTGCTTTAGAGTTATGCTTTTACTTCCCATTGGAAACAATATCCCACCTCTGTCCGTCCTATTAGAATTTAGTGCCTAGTGCCGGGATTTTCATCTTAATCCCGCCGATAATCAAGATCACTAATCGATAATCAAGGACATAGCGTAGCGGGTCTCAATAATGGGCGGTTCTCACTGTGTGGCTTTGAGGATCGACGATATGGGTCTAACTAGTCGGTGCTACTAGCTGCTTTTTGTTCGCATGCTGAAAGGATGTACTATGTGCAATCTGTATTGTATCATTGTGTACAGGAGGCTGTATGCGTATCGTATCTCGGTGCATTGAACTAAGTATGAGTGTACGCTGTACTCCATGTAACAAATACAGATAGATACCTGAAGTGTAGATCTAGGTCTCGTTCTGACGATTCTATTACAAAGTTGAGATGTGAACCTTTAAATTCGCGGATGCCTCGCGTGAAAATTATTGTGCCGTCTTGTGTTCTATATAATTAACAGTATTGGATAATGTACGATCACACATCGAAATCAAGAATTCAAAATCAAGAATTCAAAATGACCCAAGTGAGCTCAACTGAGAAAAGAGTACTTAGGTCTATACTTCCACGTGACGCCGGTCAGAATCGGAGCGATACCGGGTGAACCCGAATCCTGCACCCCGCGCGGGGAATACAGATCCGACCTGATATGTCATCTTTCTCCCTTGAACATATCACAATGGCTTCAGCTCACGGGGATCTACGGCACCTACTGCCAGGCAACTACAAGCGCCATATCACATCCTGGTTGGAAGAGGATTGCCCAAGTTTAGACTATGGCGGCTTCGTCGTCGGCGAGTCAGAAGGTGAAGCCCGACTGCTGGGCAAGAGCAAGGTATTATACATCCCAATCCCACGAAGTCTCTCCAACATGATCTAATGACCACAGGGTATAATCGCAGGTGTCCCTTTCTTCGACGAAGTCTTCTCGCAACTAGGCTGCACGTACGGCTCCCCCTCCTGCACCTACTCATCCTCTATGCTAACCTCATTACCAGAATCGAATGGCACATCAAAGAAGGCGAAACAATAAATCCAATCCAGCACTGCGCAACCGTCCGCGGACCCATCCGCAAGATCCTGCTGGGCGAACGCGTAGCCCTCAACATCCTTGCGCGATGCTCCGGGATCGCTAGCAAGAGCGCCTCGATGCTCGCCGCACTGCGCGCACAGGGGTGGCAGGGCACACTTGCGGGTACGCGGAAGACAACGCCTGGATTTAGACTCGTTGAGAAATATGGCATGCTGGCTGGTGGTGCGGATCCCCATCGTCATGACCTGAGCTCCATGACAATGCTGAAGGATAACCACGTGTGGGCGTGTGCGAATAACCGGGCTGCTGCGGACGGGGGTCTCGCTGACCCATCGTCTATCGAGTCAATTGCGGCTGCCATTCCCCGTGCTGTGCAGGCTGCTAAGGCTACCGGTGGGTTTTCGACTAAGGTTGAGGTTGAGTGTCGAAGTGTTGAGGAGGCGAATGCGGCTATCGATGCTGGAGCGGATGTGATTATGCTGGATAACTTTACGCCGGAGGGAGTGCGCGAGGCTGCTGAGCAGTTGAAGAGTAAATGGGCTTCTAAGAGGGCGTTCTTGATTGAGGTTAGTGGAGGGTTAACCGAGGAGAATGCGCCGTCTCATGTTTGTGAACATATCGATATTCTGTCCACGAGCTCGATTCATCAGGGAACGGGAATTGTGGATTTCTCACTCAAGGTGTCTTTGCGATAGGCACTGTATCATAAAACTGTATGCATTCATCAATGAATATGAGCTTGTGTAAAGTACAATGAAACCAAAACGAATCTTCATAAGAAAATATTGCAAAACCCAACAGAAACCAAAGAAAAGAAAACGCCTCGCCTCGTCTCATGACCCTCGTGAATGATCGTTAAAAGTATGCGATAAACCTTGCAAGAGACCGACGCCGGGGGGGCGGGGGGGTATACTATAGTACATGGGGATGGGGAACCGCGGCGCTATCTAGCAAAATCACACTTCGATATCTACCGTGATGCCTTCTCCTTCACTCGAACTAGGTGCTTCATCCGAGACAGGTCGGTTGCGGCTACCGTCCGTAATGGTGCCCGAAGGTCCACGGCGCGTACGTTCACGACTGAGCTGGTCTCGAAGCCTCTGGTTTTCAGCATCGCGCTCCTCAAGTCTCTTGCGAGCACCACTGCGGTCGAGAAGGCGGCCCTCACGCTCGGATTTCAATCGTCTCTCCAACTCGTGCAGCCGATGGATCCATTTCTCATCTTGGCTGTCAAAGCCACTGTGCGAACTGCGTGTGCGTGGTACCATCGCTCCAGCATTGTTAGTCAACGTGCTCGTCGAAGAATGAGAGGGTACTGGGAGTCCAGTGGTACCGCGAGGGTGGGCTTTCTCTGCACGGGATCTTTCTGCGCTGGTCGAAGAGCCAGGACGTGCCTGGGATCGTTCTGATTCCGCTGCTGATGCCAAAGAAGGAGATCGAGGCCCCGATGATATGGCTGACGCCGCGGCTGCAGCTGCAGGACCATGTCCGCGCGAGTTGGATTGAAGCAAGTTGAGTTCAGCCTTCAGAAGCCGGTTCTCGCCACGCAATTTAGATATTTCTGGCGATGAGACCGATTGTCCACGGTCAGATCGCATATTCTTTACAGCCTCCTCGATGCGCTCTAGTTTCTTGATCCGTCCGTTATACGAGAGTTCAAGTGTATGGTAACGCTTGGTCAACTCGTGGTCAACACTCTTAATACGAGTTTTGAATCCTGTCATAACGGCCTCGACAGTCTTCATTGCAAGTATCAGATTGCGACTGAAGCCTGGCCAGAACAAAATATTACCAATGACCTCTTGGCTTGGAAGATTACCGTTGATCAAACTGTTCGAGTGTGCCCAGTCTGGTCCACAAAGACCCGATAGTTTCTTCCAAATGGTAAGGAAAACGACGTTGCGCTCATTCAGCTGGTCTTTGAACTGCTGTTCTAACGATGCATATCGCTTGCGGTCCTCGGTACGCGCCTTCTCCAGCTCCGTGATGCGGGAATTACTCTGCGTGATTGTTCGAGATGCCTGCTGATGAGATTTGAGCGACGACTCAAACGACTGTTTGTCGGCCCGGCGCGCATGTCGTTCACGGTCCAAAAGCTCTGAAAGTTTGCGTGACTCGAGACCATGGCTTTCTAGCAGAGAATCACGATTACGAAGTAGCGTCTCCTTCTCGTCTAGCTGCGAGCGGATGCTCTCCAATTCAAGTGCAGTCGACTCGAGCTCCTTTTGCAGCTTCATGATATTTGTAATCAAACTGGACCGACTGCCGCTGAGATCGCCCAGAGTTTCTCTAAGGTTGTTCTCAAGATCCATGAGTCGTTCTCGCCAGGTGGAAGTCTCGATTTCCTGAGCTGAAAGACTTTTCTTGAGTCGTCGGACTTCTTCTTTGGAAGCCGAGGCTTCGCGGTTCAATTCGTTCATGATGCGCTGAACATCCTGCTTCTCTTTACTTCCAACCACCTCACGCTGGTGTCGCTCATCCGCCAACCGTTGTTCGAGCTCTCTGGTTTTTTCTTTCTCGGTGACTAAACTCATGTGATAGTTTTTGAGATCAGATTCTAGGTCTCCGATGCGGATCTTATCGCCATCTTGCTCTTCGCGAAGGAATGCAATTTCATTCTGGCTCGACTCAATTTGAACGGTCAAACGTTGAACCTTGGTGTTGGCTTCGAACAGACTCTTTTCCATAGATTCCATCTCGCGATTGGCCTCATCCAGCTCTTGCTGAACGGATCTATATGCAGACAGGTTGTTCTGTGCATCTTCCTCGAGGCGAATGATACCTTCGCTGGCGGATCTCATTTCGGCTTCTAGAACCTTGAAACTTTCGTCCTGGTTTCTCAACTCCTCGTTTAGGCGCTGGCACTCTACGATCTTCTGATCGAGCTCGTCGCCAAGTGTATCCAGCTCCTCCTGTGCCTCGGCTCGCAAGTCCTGGAAAGCGGCATCTCGTTCGTCGGCCATATGCAAGGCCTGGTCCCGTTCTTGCTGTGCTCCGAGAATTTCTGCCTCGGCTTGATCCACGTCAGCTTGATACGCGTTGTCAAGTGCTTCAAGTTCGGCCATATATTCCTCAAGCTGGGCTCGGATAGCTTGGTTATCAAGCTTGAGAGTCGATACGAGGTCCCGGAGTTGTCCATTTTTCGCCTCTAATTCATCACGATCCATATCGCTGCGTGATACAGCCCCGTCGCTGGCCTGGGACGATGGTCGAATATGCGCGCGAGAGGCGGAGCGGTCAAATATGCTATCTCCAGCTAGCGATCGCGGATTGCGTCGCTCCCCAAGCTTCAACTCTTCGATTTCTTGGTAGAGACGTTCTTTCTCCCGGTTGCGAGATGTGAGCATGGAGGTCTGAGCACTGACTTCTTTTCTTAGTTCTGCATTCTCTTGCTTGAGAAGGCCCAGCTCTACAACAAGAGTGCTGGAGGCGCCGCGATCAGAGCTGTGGTCTGACTTATACATCTCACTCCGCAGACGGATTGACTCATCTCGGAGTTTCCGATTTTCTTCCTCGGCTTGCTCACGCGCCGATGTCTCGGCATCGAGCATATCTTTCCACATGTCCTGACAACATGTTAGTCTGGTTATGTTTAGGCTTACTTGTTTGTGTGACTTACTCGCTCCTCCCGCGCGCCTGCCTCAGACTCTCCCGCACGGTTATCACTTAACGACTTGACCATCTCGGCCAATCGCCGCTTTTCACTCTCCCGCGCTATGGTTTCGGACCTCATGCGCTCAATCTCGAGCTCATACGTTTCAATCCGTTCGCGTAAGAAGATGATCTCTTCGTCTTGCGCCGATTCACGGTCGCCATCCTCCGATGCCTCGGGATCATGGTTGACCATGGAATCCTTGTCCGATTGATGGTCTTTCACTTGCTTCTCCAAATCCCGAATTTTGCGTTTGAGACTCTGGTTGTCTTTGGAGAGCTTGACTTTGTCTGATTTGAGTTCAACATTTTCAGAGATCATTTCTTTAATACCTTCCTCAGAACGCTTGTTCAATGCCTCGTTGAGAAAATGAATTCGCATTTTCAGGTCAAAGTTTTCCTTTGCCAAGCGATCAATAGTGCTGCTCTGTTCCTTGAGAGTCAAATTTCGGCCGCTCTTCGCAAAAGGAGTTGATGCTCCCACGCGCTTCTCCGGAGATGGCTGGAAGTCTTCGCGGAACCGTTGCGCAAAGGTGGTTGGAATCTGGATACCTTTAACGCGCTCGGCAATTGTGGTATCAGTGGGGACACTGCTATCTTGTGGCTTCGCCTTTGGGGTGACCGGTGCCGAAACGTCATCTTGTTCGGCTGAATCATCGCGAGATTTGGGCGAGCTTTCCTCTTCCAGGGTATGCAGATTGCTTTCTGGACCGGGCGCATTTCTTTTGTCCACTAAATTCTCATCGCTGTATCCAGAAACCCCCGATGCCATGCTTCCAAGACTGGTTGCTCTTGTCATGTGTACACGACTTCCAGCATGAAGACTGCCGTAGGTGTCGGACGTTGCACCGCCAGTTTGAAGCGCATAATCCGCGCCTAGGGTGGCATCGCTATTCGTAGTTTCGGTATTGTTGCTGGCGATCGAGGAGCGGGAGAGACGATGTGATGACTGGCGGCTAGTCAGGTACTTAGGTCTGCTAGGTCTTTGGCTACTGGCGGCACTGCCGCTCTGATCACCGAATAACCTTGATGCGCCGGCGCCGGGAGATAAGCTGCGGGAGGTGTTTTGAAGCTTCGAAGTAGTGAGTTGTGATTCATTTTCGGTCATGGAAAAGTCGCTTCTAAAAGGGCGCTCGTCATGAGATAGCTCGGGATTATCGCGCGCATTATCGGACAGGGTAGATTGGTTTCGGCGCAAGACTGCTGCTGCTGTGGGCGATGAGGAGAAAGAGTCTAGCATTGAATTGTGCTCCTCGGTAGGGTGATTTTCTTCCGTGGGGCCGGCTGTTTCTGGATCTATGGGGGGAATGGTTCTTTCTTTTCCCCTTCGTTCAAGTCCATTTCAGGTTCTGTGAAGGACGGCTGCGAAGAGTCCTGGGTAGTATTCACGTCTTCTTTCGGAACTCCGACTAGATATGTATCGTCTGCACCAGCAACAGGGCCGGCCGCAGCGACATCGATTGTGGATGGCTCGGGCAGGAAGCTCGACTCGATATCCATCAGCTTGCGGCGCATTTCGTGTTCTTCGATTAGGGTTTGATTATTGGCACGTTCGTCGCCATTCTCACTGGATGGGTGAAATAGACTGCTATTGTCGCGTTCGGTGATCGAAGAAATAAAGCTGTGGTCGTCTAAATCCAGTTGCGCGGAGGTCATGGTAAAATCAGGGTCATAATCGGGCTCAGAGGGTTGCGCGTATTCGGATTGGGACTGTGTGACCTCAATCGGGGGATTCCCCCCGGTACGTCCTCTGCCATGAAGTAGATAGAGCTTATATCGGCATTCAAGGTCTGATCTGGGGTCTGGAATGCCGACGAGGGTGTCGGAGTTGTAACGGCTTGGGAGTCCAGTGTTTGGGTCTCCACCGACTCGCTACCCGCTTCGATCGACGAATCAGCGTCCATCATTTTTTGATTTTCTATTAACTATGAGAGCTCGCTATTTTGATGAATTGCAAGTTCATTGATATCTCAGAAGCAAGAAGAGAAATAAGCAAAAGGACTGAAGAAGTGGGAAAATGAAGAATAGAGAATAATGTATAGTATAGTAAGTAATAGATGTGCTTCAAATTTGGAAAGAGCTAACGTTGTCTATTATGCGATGTCTCTATAGTCCATACTCTCTAACTATATTCTCTACACTGGAGTTTATTTGCATATTTATGCATATTATCTGGGGTTCGAAGATTTAGGCGATCAAAGAAAATGTAGACTTAATTCTATATCCACTAGAACAACCCAATTTCCCAAATCAAAAACAGCAGGCGACGAAAGTTGAATTAGTTATTGAGAGACAGGGCGCACATGGTAGATATCTGAAACGAAGACAGTGCTAGCGCCGCTACAATGCAAACAAACGATTGGAAGAAAGGTAAATCACGTAAATAACAAGCAGATCATGAAAGCACCCAGTATTACACCGATTCATCACATCATTGGAATTCTCCACTTCACCTGTCTAACTTGCCTGGTGTTTGAGAAGAAAATGAGCAGAACTTGTCCTTGATCGCGATGACCTCGTAAGTACCCTCATCGGAGGTCTTTATGGTCTTGACATTCTCATAGGAGATGTCGTGCTTGATATCAAGAACCTCCGCTTTCTTCCCCTTGCGGGCGTTGGAGCTTCGAATGTATCTGTCTGGTGTTAGTAAATTCTCAACCCTAAAAGATTGGTGGCAACTTACGTGAATTCGAACGGTGGTGTGCCCCAGAACTCGAAGTGAAGCTCAGCCTCTCCACCTTCGTGAATATCCACTACTGTTTCTTTGCCCTTGCTGATACGCACACTTGGCATCGCGTGGATGACCTTGGTGATATCCTTGTGGGCCTTGCACTTGCCGCTGGCTCCGTCGCTGACCGCAGTGATGGTGAAATCACCAGGGTGTTCGGCGATACGACGGAAGACGGTGTTTTGGGACTTGGCCTTGCGCTGGGCATTGTTGAACTTGTAGAACACTTCGAATGGAGCATGGCCGGATAACGAGAATGAAAGCCGCTCGCCCACACAGTAGTCTGTCTTAGACTCGAGTGGGATGATGGTGGGGACATCAGAGATAGCAACTCTCACTGAGGAGGCATCGAATTCGGTGGTCTTTTGGCACCCTCGAGAATCGCGAACCTTGTGAATGCTGACCACATGCTGGCCCAAATCGAGGTGACGGCGGGGAATAAGCAAGTTGTGGCGGTTCGAGTTGATCTTGGGGATCGTGACAATCTCTGGCTTGGCGTTTGAGTTATGCTTAATGTTGATCTCTAGTGAGAATGGTGGCACGCCTTCCAATGTAATGGGGATGACTTCCTCTCCGCTGATATCTTCTTTACAAAATCCATAAACGTGACCAGGAGCATCGAATTTGGCAGATGGCAGAGGGTTCACCTTCTGTGTAACAACGAGAGGGTCGTTTTGGGGATCGTGATCGTAGAGATTGTCGGCGACTTGGGTGAACTTGTAAATGTACTCTCCAGGCTCCGAGGTATCCATTTCCATTGAAGTGACATGAAGAGCGGACTTCAAAGCCCGTGGCTTCGCCGAGGAGAGACCTCCACGGTCCGCCTTACGTCGCTTCTCGTATTGCAGGTTATACGGAGGGCTGCCGGACAACCGAACTTCGAGGCTATCATCATCACCTTGGCAAATCTCGGACTTCGCAACCTGTCTAGCTGCGCCGATGGGGCTGCCGTCCAGCGCAGTAATTTGAGGTCGAGGAATCCAAGAGACTTCAAATTCATTCGCAGATTGGTCCACAGTTCCTGGGCAAGCAGCGTCGAATACCTCACTAATCTCATAAAGACCTTGCTTATCCACAGTCAAAACACTGTTCGCATCCCAGAAGTTCTTTTGGATAGGCTGTGAGTCGACATCAGCGTTCCGGTACTTAACAGTCCAAGGCCGCTCGCCGCTCAATCTGACTGGGATCTCAATCTTAGAGCCTTGCAGGGCCAACACACTCCTCTTCTTGTCAATCTGACCGAAAGAGACATGCGGTGGTTGAGATCGGGCTTCAATGTTGATACTCTCCTTCAACGCTCGTTTGCATTGGGACTTGTCCTTCACATTGGTCAATGCCACGGTGTAACTACCGCCGCTGACCAGTTTGTCGGTTGTTATGGTCGCGATATCGATATCAGATTCTAGTGTCTTCTTCGTTCTCTTTCCATTATGAACGATCTCATATTGTAAAGACCAAGGAGCCTCTCCAAGGAAAGAAACCTCCACAGGAACTGATTCGCCGAAGCATGCATATCTCGACTGCCTTGACAAGAATTGAGCCGACGCTGCTGGTTTGACATCTTGCTCAAGCACAGGCAGCTTGTCCTTGAGGTTACGAGGCGAGTAGACAAAGTCTTCAAGATCCAGGAAGGTGTAACGGTAGAAACCTGCTTCTGAAGGAGTGAGGTCGAGCTGCGTGCGCATTCCGTCAATTGTAAGTACTTTGTTGACGACTCCCTTGGAGCTCTCAACGCTGTAACGGAGAGAGAATGGAGGGGATCCTGTAAGATCCAAATCAACGATCAACCCAATTGCGTTGTTTGCACATTTGTCAAAGACCTTCTCGGCCCGGACAGCAAGTTCTGGCTCAGGGGGGTTATGCAAATAGCAAGACGAAGGCTCCAAGATCTCTCCCTGGCAAAATTTGGTGGAGACAGAAGTCAGGGTATACAAACCGGGCTCCTTGATGTCCACGGCGTGATCCATATTCTTCATACTCACGGTCTTTTCATCGGCTGGCTCATCTTGCTGGGTATTGCCAGTGAAGGAGTAGCCGACAGAAAATGGACCATCACCAGAGTATGCGTTGCCATCAGGGTGGAAGCTGAAGGGAAATCTAGTACTGTCTCCCTTGGCTACCTGCAGCGGCTTTTGGAGGTTGCAGTGTTGCAGAGACAACTGCGGGCGTTCATGAACAGAGAACTGGTACCACTGGGATTGCGACTTGGTGGACGGCCGATCTCCTTCGTCGAAGATGGTAGAATAATTGGCCACGTTGCCAATGGCGTCATGTACTTCTTCAATAGTGTAGAACCATTCTCCGCCATCGTTCAGCGATTCATTCAAGGGAACTTCGATCTTCTGGCTTTGAGCCCAGGAAACATCGGGCTGGTTGACACTGAATAGAGCAGAAGTAGTCCGCCCGTTAAGCAGCGGGGAGCGCAAGTTGTCCGGTTGAATATTGAGGACCGAGAATCCACGATCAAGGTTGTTCACTTGACGACTGTATTTAATCTTCAACGGAGGTGTGCCCTCCACTTCCAGTTTGAAGTTGGACAGTTCTCCCTTGCACTTGTCGATGTGCGAATTCTTGATGAGTGCTCGCGGGCAAGATACCACTAGCGCATCGAACGTCCGCGTATGGACATCGAGCTGAGACTCATCGATCACCCGCTGAAGACGATAGATACCAGTCTTGCGGACCGGAAAGAGCAAGTCTCGATGAAGTTGTCCTGCGGTGTGTTTCTTTTCCGCCTGACGCTTGAGAGTCTTCAATTGCTTCGCCGGAATGGTGATGGTCTCGTTTTCGCCAGTGTTGAGGTCCATACGCAACACTTCGATCAAGATAGGGTCGGTTTGGTTGACGCGAATGGGGAGGTCGATCGTGGCTCTTTGAGAATCAAGACAAAGCGAACCTCGATCTGGATTGAGAACGGCGGATCTAGCAAAAGAAAACAATTAGAGTCAATTATATTACCAAAATAGCAGACGGAATAAACCCACCCCTCTGGCAGAATGTGTACAATTTGCCGTCCCAAGATCAACGACGCATTGTGAATAATATCACCCGGGTTGACCCTATGCTCAGAAATAGATATTTCACGATCATATGCCACCTTGACTAGTCCAGAAATCCAGACACCCCAAGGAATCTGCAGGTTTTAGCTCGGATCAGCCGTGACAGTAAAAACCTTGATACTTACTGGGATGCGGAACATTAAAAAGATGTTGCCCACAGCGTGTAGAAGAAATAGAGTCAATGTGGTCGGAAAAGCCCACTCCAACCAAGGTATACGTAGAGCTTGCAATCCAACCAAAAAGATTCCGTCTATTGTGGCCCATTTTAACAGTAACCAAGTGGAATCCAGGTCATCAGATGCGGTCAAAGATTCATAAAACCTCCACGCATTTAGGGCAATGTATACCGCAACTACATAGAGTCGCTGGGACGGCGCATCAATCACATTCGTTGGGATCAGTGGCACATTGCTGTTCGGATTCGGAGGTGGTGGTCTCGACAGCTTTGAGGCTGATTTAAATGGTGATTTTGTGGGCGATCTCGGTCGTGTATCTCTCGGTTGCGGTCGAGAAGGAGTCTGAGGATTGAAGAGTTTGCGACTTCTTACTGGATTTGTTTTGGGGGTCTCAGGAAAGGCAGAGGGGAGGAGGGGAGTGCCGTTAACACTCATGGCATGCTGTGGTTGCCAAAGCTAGGCGTGGCGAAGGGAGTGGGAAAAAAAAAAAAGTTCCCACCAAGGGAATATTAGGACAAAAGCTTGCCCTTCTCAAGATTGATGAAGCTGTATCGTACCTAGGTTGTTTCAGAGCTATAAGCAGAGTTAGAAAGAAAGAAAGAAACAAAAAGTTGAAAGTTGGTGGAGACGCGGGAAGCGCGTCGGAGCTTGGTCCAAAATGCCACTATGACCTAAGTGCCTCGTCTCTATTGTTCTCTCTCTCCCTCTCTGTGTACACTCTATTGTCTGTTGGTCAATTTGGATGATTGTTGCTGTTTTCTCTCATTTGTTTCTATTTAATTCGTTTTTATTTTGTTTAAAATCCCTTCAACTGCAGGCTTAGTCTTCTTTCACCGTTTCTTTCTCTCATTCCAAACTCATACTTTCAGTTGATTGATATCTGCTCAACACCTTTAAGCTTTCAAGTCATCCAGAATGGGCCCCAGAGTCAAGAGACGTCGGTTGACCGACCCTGAAGATCAAAGTGACGACATTTGCCAGCCTGCTTCCAGCCTGGATAAGGACAGCTGGAATGGATTTTGTGAGATTGAATCAGAGCCCGTATGGCTTGCTTCACATGAACAATGATTTCGTTTTGGAACTAATAGAATTTCTCATAGGCACTGTTCAATGTCATGCTGCGTGAATTCGGCGTCAAAGGCGTCAAAGTTCAAGAGGTCGTCTCTCTTGACGAAGAAATGATGGCCTTCCTCAAGTATTGTTATGTGTAACTTGATATCGAGGACGTGATGGCTAACACTACGCAGCAAGCCTGTATATGGCTTAATTTTTCTCTTTCGTTGGCGTCAAGATGACGGCGGAAAGCAAGAAGCAACTTGTCCAGACGGAATCTGGTTCGCAAATCAGGTCAGCACCCTTAGTCTCGGCAGATTATGCGTTGCTAATCAAGTAAAGACTGCCAACAATGCTTGCGCCAGCGTGGCGATGCTCAATATTGTGAACAATATCCCAGATGTTGACCTAGGTGAAAATCTGCGGTCCTTCAAAGAGTTCACTATGCCATTCACCCCAGCCTTGCGTGGGGATGCTATCAACAACTTCGAGTTTGTCAAAAGGATACACAACTCTTTTGCAAGGTATGTTGCTTTTTTTCACCCTACTATTTTCTTTGATCTTCTTATTGATCCCTATCTAGAAAAATGGACATTCTCAATTCGGATCTACAGCTCAAGGCCGAGGCAACTAGTAGAAAAAAGGGCTCCAAGGGCCAAGATGACGACGAATCAAATACCGCCTTCCACTTTATCGCATTTATGCCTGTCATGGGCCAACTATGGAAATTCGATGGCTTGGAGCGACAGCCTCGTACACTTGGTATGTTTCAACCCAACTAAATGCCGGGATGACCCTTGCTAACTCCAATAGGTGAATGTTCTGAAGACAACTGGCTCGAACTAGTCAAGCCCAATCTTCTCGATCGAATGGCTGCCTATGAAGAGGACCAGATTGAATTTTCGATCCTGGGACTTGTGCATGACCCTTTGCCTAATCTTGTCCGTGAATTGGCTACTAACGTGAGAACCATGGAGGTTCTCAACGAACGTGCCATGAACTTATGCTCTTCAACGAACACATTTTCTTTGGATGGGACTGTGCTCGGACCAGATGCATCCCTCTCCCTGACAAAAGAAGAGATTGATGCCGTGGTGATTCCTCCAAAAACTCTCAACGAGTACCGCACATGTTCAGAAAGTCAGTTACGGGAGTATCAGCAGACTACAGATAATCAACAGCGTGAACTTCGATCACGTATTCGTGAAGAGCAACAATCACATTGGTCGGATGACGAGTATGCCGCGGGTCGTCGGTATGATTATGGACCAGCGGTGCGCTTGTGGCTGCGACTCTTGGCACGAAAGCAACAGCTGCAGCAGATATCCCTCGTGGCCTAGTTGATTGGTTGATGATACCCCTTGTTTTTCTGTTTGTTTGTTTTTTCTCTGCAAGATACATTTCGCTACTTCTTCTCTTTTCTTGTATTTTGTATTTTGAAATAAAAATGAAATCATAATTATACATATATATAGTTATATCTACGGAGTACTTGTAGTTAGGGATATATTGAGACGGGTGACGTAGTGGCACCAGCCCTTGTTCTAGGAGCTTCATAGGGCTGCCGCCAATAAGTAGAATCCAACAATACCTAAGAATATAGTGTCTAGGCAACACCCTCTAATAATAATATTATAGTAATACCACTACACTGTACTTCTATCAATACTAATAATACCCAAAATATTAGTAATATCAATGATATCAATGATACTACTCCTCTTAGGTACTACAAGTAGGCCGACCATGTTGCGTCCCCCCACGGGCAAAAAATAAGTTCACACGTCACCGCCTCGTTATCGAATTGATCTCGCTCTCTCTCTCTTGTCTCCTTTTTGGAATGCCATTTTGGTGTATTGAATGCGATTTTTGGTGGAATCCTTGCTTTGCATTATATCATCCTTGTTTCAGCCCTTACCAACGCAGGAAACCTACCTAGTAGAATCTTCCTCTTTCAACCTCTTGGATTGCCACTCAACACGACTCAACACCTAGGCCTCCACTTTTCAACATATCTTTCTAAACACTTCAAACCATCATGTCAACCACTGCAGTGCCTGAGAAGGCCCCAGATGACTCCTCCAAGCTGAAGACCTTCCTCTCCATCCTTCGCAAGTAGGCAACTATCCTTTCCCCGCACCATTATGATGCGCACCACTCCCCGTCACTCCCCCGGCGCTAATACCAGGAACTAGGTTTGTTGGTGTGGCGGATATTGCGTCGGTTCGATTTTCTCTCCCGGCGCAACTGCTGGAGCCTCGGCCCAACCTGGGTAGGTCATTGTTCTTATGCTGTGCGGGGTTGAAGCTGACTGGCGGTGGCAAGAATACTGGCATTACTTAGATCGACCGGAGACCTTTGCGAGGTCAGCAAACGTGCCCATATTTGGCGGATGCTAGTGTGCTGACCCAAGAGCTACAGCATTGGAAAGTCGGATGACGAGCTTGGTCGGATGTTGGAGGTCTTACGATTCTGGTTTACCAAGGACTTGGTATGTTTTCACGACATCACCAACTCTATATCCTGCTCGAATTGCTGATCCTGCGACAGAAATACATCAAGGGGAAACCCTGCAAACCATACAACTCAACCCTGGGCGAATTCTTCAGAGTACGGGCGCCAATATTTCTTTAGGGGACATCCTTTGCTAAACAATATTTAGTGTTCATGGGACGTTAACGACAAGATCCCCGAGGAATCGAATCTCCCCGGTATCAAAGCAAGCTCCAATGGTTCTTCCACCGTAACCGACGGCGATGACAAAGTCAAAGTGTGCTACCTTACCGAACAGACCTCCCACCACCCTCCAGTCTCAGCATTCTACATCGACTGCCCTGAACGAGGCGTCTCTGCGCGCGGTTTCGACCAGATCAGCGCCAAGTTTACCGGCACCAGCATCCGGGTGAGCCCCGGTCAACACAATCTCGGAATTTTCGTCAATATCGAGAAGCGGGACAACGAGGAATACCAGTTGACCCATCCAGATGCCCATTTGGGAGGAATACTGCGTGGTGCACTCTCAATCACAGTTGCCGACACATGCTACGTCACCTGCCCAAAAACAGGCATGAAGGCGATTTTGCAGTATATGGAGGAAGGCTGGATTGGCCGGTCACAGAATAAGATGGAGGGTGTCATCTTCCGCTACAGCGCGGACAAGGATACCGTTACAAAAATCAAGGATGTGCCAGAAAAGGATATCATTGCGCGCATCACCGGCTCCTGGCACGGCAAGATATACTTCACCCCGGCAGGCAGCAAGCTGGCCATTCTGCTCATCGATATCACGCCACTCTTCCCCGTCACCAAGAGCCTCCCTCCGAACGAACAACAACTCTCAAATGAGTCATTGAAGTTCTGGTCAAATGTCACCAATGCCATTGTGGAAAAGCAGTTCAGCCAGGCGACGAAGCTCAAGCAGGATATTGAGGAACGGCAACGGGAACGGGCTGCAGAGCGCATGGAGAAGGGCACTGAGTGGAGCCCAAGGTTCTTTACCGGTGCCGTGACACCGTTAGGCAAGCCGCAGCTTACAGAGGAGGGGCAGAAGGCCCTTGAGGGGATTCGCTCGGGCAACTTCGCTTTGACGGAAAGTACAGTGCAGGGCGCATAGATTGTCATAATTGTATTTTCCCTTTGGCAGTGCAAAGCAACGTTGGCGTATCTGGCATGCGACCATACAAACTCGGCGTCTCTCGCGATCTGTGTTTTCTTTTTTGTTGTCCAATCTAATTTGCGTTGTGGTGTGTTATCTCACATATTTAGATCTTGTGCATTGTTCTCCAGGGCTCTCCTTGGAATTTTTCCTGTTGTGGATAGTTATGTACTCTGCGTGTAATGAGAAATACAATTGCACAGCGTTACATTCCAGGGCGAATAAACAGAGATTAAATCCATGATGAGACCAAAATGTCCATTTATGAAAGTAGTCTAAATATGATGATAGAACGATTAATCCTATTAAACAGAATATTACAATAAAGCTGGGTAAAGACCGAACGCCACGCCACGCCCAAATCATCAAGTACATCAACACATAATCCGTTTCAGTAGCCTCAAGCTGAAGCACTGACGACCTTGAACCCTGTACTGATAGTCTTAGTAATTTCTTCGTTCTTGTGCGGTAGAAGAGACAGGGCATATGTAACATCGTTCCACTGTCGTTCTGTCTCACAACGAGGGAGTCGAGCGGCGAGCTTTTCGGCCAGCTGGCGAGCATGTTTTTCCTATAATTATGTTAGCGAAGGCCAGTAGAAAACGGAATAGAAAAGCATACCTTCTCAATAAAGCCAATCAAGAATTTGACAATGCGGCGGAGGGACTGCTCATCCAGGTTACGCTCTGCACTCAACAGACTGAACATGTCAACAAAGTGGTTGTACACGGCATTGTCCTTGGTTGCCAGTTCGGTGAAGAACATGCGAGCCAGATCAGCGATCTTCTTGTCCTCGTCTTCCAGACATTTCGCCATCTCGCCCAGCTGTCCCTTAACCTTGACCTGACCAGCCAAGATGAGGAAGGTGAGGGTCATGAGACATGTGCGCTTCACGGAAGCATCGTCGTCATTGAGACGACGGTAGAGGAAGTCGGTGTTTTCGTCAATGAGATGGTTAAAGCAAACGGCCATATCGCCTAAAGCAATGACAGCATTGCTGCGGACGATGGGGTCTTCGGATCGCTCCATAATGGTGATCAGGAGCGGCAGATTTTTCTCACAATATTCGGCAGACACACACATCAGCTTGGCAAGACATAATGTTGCGGAGGCCTGCAGATCGCGATCCGGGTAAGAATTGTTGTTTGCCAGAATCTCTACTACCAAAGGGCCAAACTTAGCCAAGAGGGAGTTCTCTCCATAGAGCAGCTCCCGTTCTCGGATGTGAGCCATGGCGTCTTGGAAATCATCTTCAGTTGTTCCGCCAATCAGATCAAGCTCGTCGTCTTCGGCGTTATCTTCTTTTTGAGGTGCAGCAGCAGCCTTGTTCTTTTCTTGTTCAACCTTACGGCGTTTGAAGTCAAGCTCACAGAGTTCCAAATGCACTATTTGCTTGATGGCGATGTGGCCAACGACATAGAGCAGTTGAGATAGTGCAGCAGATGCTGGCTTGGGCTTGGATTCCTGCTCCTCAGCCGAGGTAGTGCAAGGTCGCTCCTGCTCCTCTTCCCCAGTGCCACTAAGAGAAGCATGAGAGGAAGGTGGGCGTTGTTGGAGGTGAGGCTGGAAAACAAATACAGTCTTCCGTCGGAGGATATCGGAACATAGCACATCTGGGTGTTTGGACAGAGCGTAAATGGCGTTCAGCGCGTGCTCTGCCACCCCATACCACTCCTTGCTGGCCGTCTCAATCTCAAGGATAGCAGCTAGGCGGACCAGAACAGAGTGATCGCTGGCGAGCTTGGGAATGCCGACAACTTCCTTTGATTTAGCTTGTCGGCCCGGGATCATGCGCCGCAAAGCAATACATGTGTATTTGGCGAGCACAAGATCAGACCTGCCGTAGGCACCCAAGCCAATGCGCAGCATGGCCTCAATCTCTTTGACCACAATCTCTGGATCCGCCAGAGCAAGCATACCGAGAACAATAATTGAGCCCCTACGCTGAGTGCGTGAGATCTCCTTCTTCTGGATACTGTAGACTTGCCATAGCTTAGCAATGACTGCCTCGGAAACATTACCGGCTTTCATCATGGTGCTCAACAGTTGCTCGAGACAGGTGAGTTCGGCAGGGGTTGCACCAAATGTCAGGCTGATCATGTTACGGGCAATATAGTTTGCAGCATCGTTGGGAGTGAAGGAGCCTGGCGCGTCGAAGAAGAGGCCCTTATAGCAGTCAATCAAGTGTGACTGGACACCCTTTCCTTCGTCGCTGTTACCCTTAGTCCAAATCAGACGCAGCATGCGGCGAATTCCACCGCGTGCAGTCTCAATCTTGTAGGCATCCATCATCACAAAGAAATCCATGGCTTCGATGACCTCACTCTTGTTTCGGGAGGAAAGCAGCTGAGTGACGACAGTGGAAGCTGAGTGAAGTACCTCTATGAACCGAATTGCCTCGTTGTAATACTTCCTGGTCAGTTGAAGTCGAGTTAGCAATTCAGACGTTGCAGCTTGTTCGGCGGCTTTTTGGACGGCAACGGCCTTCTCCTCGTCACTCATCCGAGGCGCTTTCGAGGGAGACTCATCCGGCAGCTGTGTAGCGTCATCCAATAGTTCGGGATCCACCTGGGTCATGTCGCCTGCTTCAAACCCAGGGGTTTCAGGGGGACGCAGAGCGTTCAGTTCTGCATCAACTGCATCTAGTCTCTCTGTCCATTCTTTGTATGAGAGTAGCCCGCCATGCATCACACTGAATGGATGTGTGGAAACGAGCTTGGAAAGCAGTTTGATTGCATTACGTCGTACGTTGCTGCTCTTGTCTTCCAAGCTTCTAGCAGCCAGTACTGCCGCTGCCTGTCGCCTTTTGGGGAATTTCTGCTCCAGATCGCAGATCCGCATGAAGACTTGAATGGCACGGCATCGGCAATAAGGGTTGATATCAAGGAACCGCTCTTCTAGAACGTCGAAAAAGGCGTTGATTTGCGTCTTGTAGTTGTCACTGCGTTCTTCTTGTCGACTGAGATCGGAAATGAGATTTCCGCAGACTTCGATCACTGCGCAGCGAAGTGTATATGCCTAGTCTTTAGGTTAGGTTGGTATGTCAGAGTAATGGGTGGGAATAATCACCTCGCTATCAAGCTGTTTGGCCAATAAAGTCATTTGCTTGATAATTAACCTGGGAGCAAGCTCGGACAATTTAATAATAAATGATGACACAGACTTGGGCCCTCTGGTGTCATTAGAGTTGAATTCTTTGTTTCCGAGCTCCCTAGGTACATAGTTAGTATCAAGCTGATTAAAGAAACGAAACGCTATGATCCACCATACTTCAAGATTTCATCGGAAAGCTGTGGGTAGTCATATTGCTCCGCGAGAATATGAAGGAACTCGGCCATGGGCTCAGAGAGATGCTCAAAGTAAGTTAAGCTTTGAACAATCGATGTTTGCGCTCCTACGTCAAGATTAGCCATCAAGCAGACCACAGTTTCATCGATCTACCCACCAAAGGCCTGCCCATGGTGTTTGACTGCAATACACAAAACCTTGAAAGCATGCATGCGGATAGCCATGCTCTTCACCCGCTGCTCGCTCTCAAGGACCAAATAGATGGTTCGGGTAAACAGGTTAATAAAAGTGTCACGGTCCGAGGTCGTCAGGAATATGCGTCCAAGTTTGAGCTTCATCACCTTGCACATGGTTTCCATGGAAATCTGGATTTGCGGTGTCCAGTCCCACTGGCCACTATTGGTGGATTTCTTCGATTTAGGTCCTCCCCTCCGCATGGGTGCCGTTTCTGTGGACTTCTCTGCTGCCTTGACCTCAACAGCTGATAAGGCCCACTGGAGGAGGAATCCGTACATTTCCAGCAGCTGTTTATGGTGTTGAATGGCATCCTGTTCGTCGGATTCAAGATCTCCGTGGATGATATCAGCCTCTACGGACAAGCCAGAGACGACCAAATCTAAAAGTTTGCTCAAAGACTTTGCGGGAAGGAGAGTCGAGTATCTGTGAGAATGAAAAGGTTCGTCAGAGTCGATTCCAGATGGGCGCCATCCGCCATAGGCAAGTTGGGAAGGGACCGGGGCGCACTTTAGCAAAAATTGCAGAGAATCGAACACTGAAGCTCTGGTTAATCCTTCTGGGTTCTCCGCCACGGCATCCACGATCGGGTTCAACACATTGTCAATCAAAGCTGGCGACAGCTGTTCAGGATCCGATTCGCAATCCAGCAATTCCGGGTCCGCATCAGGGGTAGAAATAGAAGTGGGATCACTCAAGTAGTACTTGAGTGACTCATTTATCTCAAATTGAATGCGGTCCTCCATGGTTGAAGAAAAAGAGGTGAAAGCGGGGAGAGAGGAATCCGATTTGTTGATAAGAACTGATTGTTTGGCTTTTGCCCTTTTTGGTCGACATTAGGTAATTCGTAATTTTCGCCTGGGCGGTATGAAGTTCATCACTATAGATCTTCCAAACTTGATTCCTGATCTACGCAAGTAAAACAAAGGACATTTCTCATAGGATAGGACAAGGATGTATTTCATCATTCGAAGAAATCCCTACCTTGCCCAATTATGTATCGCAGTCTTGGAATTGATGCATCGTAAATTGATCTAGCTACATGTTTGGACTACTTCATTCCCCGTTGACCGCCTTGTATTCAAGTATTGTCAATATCGTCACCGCATGGTAATTCGTTACCGCGTTTAGATTATTTTGGCAATTGCGATTTAATGTGAAAGAGATGTTTACATTCTACACGCGACTCGATTTTTCTTTGGAACTGATATCGTTTGATACTTGTTCTTGTCACCTTCAGCCTTGAGAAACTTTGCAAGTATTGATCTATGCTCGAACCCTTCTGTCTTTTCTTCTAGGCGATCGCCATGTCCGCTCTCCACGCTGCCTCGGACAGGTTTGCTTTACGGCCCGACAGCTCGGTCCAAAACTTAGTTGCATGGAAAAATGAATATACATTGGAAGGGGACGATGTCGGAGCTTCTCAAAGCAAAGATCCCCAGGAGACACAAGAGCTTGAGTATGAGGAGGAAGAAGTGGATGAAACAGTTCGAGAGGACATGGCAAAGCTCGAGGATACATTCCCAGGGATTTCAGACCGGTTTCGTCTGGTTAACAGGATTGGAGAAGGTATATCATGGTCTTGCAGCTGTCCGTCTTGCCAAGCCTCTTCACTGACCAATGATAGGTACATTCTCGACTGTATACAAAGCAGAGGATCTCCATTACGATGAATACAAGAACGATTGGGATATATTTTCACGAGCACAACAAGAAAACTATGCTAGCCCCCCAACCAAACGACGACGAATGGAGGGCGAGCCAACAGGACGGAAAAAGCCGCGATTCGTCGCATTGAAGAAAATCTATGTTACGAGTAGCCCGTTGCGAATCCAGAACGAGCTCGAGCTGCTCCATGATCTCCGAGGATGCGGCTCTGTCTGCCCTCTGATCACGGCCTTCCGATACCAGGACCAAGTAGTGGCAGTGTTGCCCTATTTCCCACACACAGACTTCCGCATTCAATACCGCACGTTCATGGTTGCAGACATGCGCCATTATCTACGATCTCTCCTGACCGCGCTAAACTCTGTACATGGACATGACATTCTTCACCGTGATATCAAGCCAACGTGGGTCCCACTCTATTCGTTACTGGGTCCCATGCTGACAGAATACATCAAGCAATTTTCTTTACAACCCAGACCTGAAAGAAGGCGTGCTGGTTGATTTTGGACTCGCTGAGGTATGGCTCATACCCACAAAGTGTTGACATATCTACTGACTAGCCCAACAGCGCCAAGGTTCGGAATACACCAGTCCATGTCTATGTACCCACCAGAATTATGTTCGCCGTAGTCGGATCCTCTCTAGTTACTACTCCAAAAACCCCCTTTCCACAGGCTTATCATCTGGCTATCCCAAGAATGATTCACGGCCATCAAGGCGAGCGAATCGTGCTGGAACTCGGGGGTTCCGAGCCCCGGAGGTTCTCCTAAAATGCACTTCACAGACTACTAAGATTGACATGTGGTCAGTGGGGGTCATCCTTTTGACCCTGTTGGGACGTCGATTCCCCTTCTTCAACTCTGCAGATGACATTGATGCGATGATCGAGATGGCAAGCATATTTGGCACCCCGCGCATGAAGGCTGCCGCGGCCATGCATGGTCAGATCTTTGAAACCAACATTCCAACAATTGGAGAGAAAGGTTATAGCTGGGAGAAGCTGGTGAAATGGTCAAGCTGTGTGGAGGACTTGACAGAAAGCGAGCAGCAAGCTACTCAACTCTTGTCTGGACTGATGGAATTGGACCCAACCAAGCGTCTCAGCGCCGCGGACGCTTTGCAGCATGATTTTTTCTTGCGCCCCGTTCACCATGATGTAGAATGGGGCGGTAATCCAGAAGAAAGTGCAGATTCAGCGGAAGAAGAGGAGGAGGACGAAGTGGATGAAGTTGCCATGCTATGAACCCCAATGTTATTCTGTACGAGCTATGATATTGATTCATGCCTAATTCATTCATGACAACGAACCAGACTATATGTGCCACCAGAAAAGCCCCCGCAAACGCATTATCTATGTTTTGTTGATATAAGACTAGCTTGCCTCTCCAAAATCATAATGACCGGTTTCCGCGGCATGCTTGGTGGCGCCTCTCTCCCCAGTAAACGTGCCTCCACAGACGTTGCAGCGGACAGTGAACCCAGAAGTATCCGTGTAATAGTGCTTGCTTTGTAAGACTTTACACAATTCTTTAGCTTTCGCCAAAGCAACCGGATCGACAGCATCGAAGATCTTTGTATCGCCATGTGCTAAAGGGTTGGCATGGGTATAAGGTGGATCAGAGGGAGACAACGCAAGAACATCGTAATGAATTCCGGAATACACCACAATACACCGTGTGGCTGCACCTTCGTTGAATTGGAACGTATTCAAGGTCTGTACATCAATGGAACAAATCTCGATGTTGAAATATTCGCTCAGGATTTTAAGCTCGATGGCGCCACCCCATGAATCCTCATTCTGGATCCAGGCACAATACTCGTCTGGCTTCTTTCCTAAAATTGCTGCTGTATATTCTGTCGGGTTTGACTGGATGGCTCCTGCAACGATTGAGCGCAGTTCAACCATCGTGTCCATGTCGCCCATGACTGCGGCGCCCACCGCTCGGAAGAGACACGAATTGTCGTCGGGCATGACGCGGAGAACAAATGTTCCTGCGTGTTCCGGGGAAGCAATTTCGGGCGGATCATCGGCGGTGTTCTCCTTTGGCTTTTGCGACATCGATGGTTGTGACGGCGCTGGGCGGGTGGTAGCATGCTGTGGCATACCGTCACTGCCAGGCCGGGTGGCCCCCTCTTTCTGTGCGACGATGAGTGACTCCCCATTTAAGTTTATCCCAGTGTCTGCGATTATTCTGTTTGATGGATAGTTGTTCAGTTCGAGAGGCTTGAGAGGGTATCCGTATTTCACATCAAAGGTCGCAAGGCCTGTCTTCTCCGCAATTTGGTCTTGGAGATCTTTGATGCTCGCGGAGTCATCTAGACTAATCGTTGACTGGCCAGAAGGCCCACGGACTCGAATTCTCATATTTGGCTGTGATATAGGAAAGGGTGAAGCGGCAAAGAGGGAGGAGCTAGCTACCCAGACAAGTCCCGCCGATAAGTGATATGACGATTTGCCGTGTGGGGTAAGTAAGCAATTGTAGTTGAAATGGTGGAATGAAACAGAAGGGTTTATCTAGATGTTTCTATGACATGAGTTTCACAAAGCACAATTCTTAAATTCCAGGTGCTGGAAGAATCACTATATGTCGGTATTTAGACACTGCAAACAGAACGAAAAGCTTCAAATGTTGGTAATACTAAGTCAATGAGACTTGGAGATCTCGCATATTCCGCTCCATATCGAGGACCATAGTGAGACCAACCATACTATTGTCAATTATAGCAGGTATATATACATACATTCTGGTGAGAGAAAAGGATAACATAACACATATAATCAAAATGAGAATGAAAAAAGCAGTGAAGCTTTCAGAGCAGTAGTCCCCTGTCATCAAATTACCGTATGTAACGTCAAATAATTCTGACTAAGCAGCAGAGCTTCACGCGCTCGTAAAACATTCTTCGACTCTCTACTCTCCTTACCCTGTGGAAATTAAGCATATTAGTTTGCTTATTCCTTCTGGTCCCAAACAGCATTCTCTCATTTGATTTGCGTGGAATCGCGCTCGACATGGAGTCGTCCGAGCAAGGTTCACAACCCCCGCGTGAGGAGCCCGTCAATTCCATCGAGAATGATGGGTCGATCACTCCCGAAACATGGAAATTGATGATGGACGTGGTCATGGCTATCTATGACTATCGCGAAGAAGAGTAAGCCCTCTATCAATTGTGGAAGCTATGCACAGCCCGGCTAACGTAGTGCGCCGCAGTGGCCATGATCCGTCGCGATTGTTCCATCGCAGCGTCAACAAACGTTATGTCCCCGACTACTACGATATCATTAAGGAGCCAATGGCTCTTAGTATTCTGAAGGCCCGCATAAATAAGAGGGAATACAAGCAATTCTCCGAATTTGTCCATGATTGCGCCTTGGTAAGTGATTGCGCCCTTCCAGGGTGGCACCTGGCTAATAATCTAGATCCCGCACAATGCGCAAACATACAATCGGCCCAAATCGCAAGCCTACGAAGACGCGCTTGTCGTCAAGGTAAGTCTCAGTCTTATATATAAAGGTTTTCTCGAGGTCAAGCTGACAATCTGTAGGAGGTTTTCGCCTCCGAGTTTAGAAAGCTAGCAGCCCGGGGCGCAATTCCCGCCGAGGAGGCAGAGCTTCCCGATCTAGGAGAGATTCCAGAGGCCGATCCCTTGCCTGATGATGACGAAGAAGAGGAGGAAGAGGAAGAAGACGATGAGGAGGATTCTGAAGATGAGGGACGACGCAGAAAGAAGCCTGGTCCTAAGCCTGGCTTCAAGCGTGGAATGGCCCCAAAGAACGAACCCGATCTTCGCAGAAAACGAGGTCGCCCTCCACGCGTGGACACACCTATGGAAACCCGTATCAAGACCATCTTGAAGGGAATTCGGAAGTTCAAGGGTGCTGGCGGACATTTAAAAATCACCCACTTTGAAAGACTTCCCGACAAAGCGACTTACCCGGACTATTATATGGAGATCAAGGAGCCTATCGCCATTGACATTATCAAGCGCAAGTCCAAGCGCAAGAAGTACAACTCTGTCGATCATTTCATGCGCGACCTCGATGTCATGTTCGAAAATGCGAAGGCTTACAACCAGTCTGATAGCCAGATCTTCAAGGATGCTGTCGACCTGCAGACTGAATCACGAAAGTTGGCCGATGCAGAGAAGAAGAAGCCTGATAGTGAGTTCCTGATGGAAGATGGGCGTTTCCCACTCCCTGATGGTATCCTCCATCGTGGTGAGCTATGGAAAGTTGGCGACTGGGTTCACATTCAAAACCAAAATGATGTGACCAAGCCAATTGTCGCACAAATCTACCGGACCTGGCAAGACTCAGATGGGGAGAAGTGGATCAACGCATGCTGGTACTACCGACCAGAGCAAACAGTGCATCACTTTGAAAAACACTTTTACCCCAATGAAGTTGTGAAGACCGGCCAATACCGAGACCACCGAATTGATGAGATTGTGGAACGTTGCTTCGTTATGTTTTTCACTCGTTACAGCCGTGGTCGCCCCAGAGACCTTGCGCCTGACAAGGAAATCTACGTTTGTGAGGCACGCTACAATGAGGAGAAACACAAATTGAACAAGATCAAAACCTGGGCCAGCTGTTTGCCAGATGAAGTTCGAGAGAAGGACTACGAAATGGACCTCTTTGATTTGCCGCGCAAGATAAAAAAGATCCCTAGTCCAATCAAGGACCTTCTCAAAGAGGATTCCAAGGAAACCGATGACCTTCCCCGTCCGACATGGGGAGCCGACAACGCACCCCCTGTCGTCGGCGCTGTTCATCGCCGCCCGCGAGATGAAAATGTAAGTTTCCGTAACAGCTCTCGCCTGGCAAAATGGTCGAAAGAACAAGCTGACAGACGCCCAGGAATCTCCACCCCCCGAACCAACACCATCCCCTCCCCCTGTTTTGCCCCAGTCCGTAGCACCCCGTCAGTCAATGGGCCAGCCAATCCCCATCACAGCCATGAGCCCTGGCACAAATACCCTTCAGACGCGGCCACCCGCACCCCCAATCACAATCCAAAACTCCCCGCCTCCAACCAACTCACCAGCCTACAATGCCCAGATGGCCCACGCCCAGCTATACCAACAATCTCTCCAACGGCGTGCAAGCAACTTCGCCACACCCCAGACACCAGCAGGCGCCTACCAGCCCTCGCCAGCACCACAGGCATACCCAGTCCAGCAAACTCCTTATAGCGGCTACCCTGGGAACCGTATGACAGCCCCGCCAGCAGTGTACAATCCCAACGCCCCGCGCCCAGTTGAAGTGTTCCATTTAAGCGACGTAGCCAACGCCGCAATCCCGGAAGATATCCGCAAGCAATTCCACTGTGACGACAATGGCCATGTCCTATTCTTCTCTGCCCCGCCGGTGGATTATATTCCGTCCTCAACACAGAAGCTTGGCCATTCCCTTAAGTATCTTGCTGCTAAGGAGGAGCGCCAAATCAAGGTTGAAGAGCGGAAACGCAAGCTCGCAGACGACAAGAAAGAGCGCGATGATGCTGCTAAGCGCCTCTGTGCTGATCAAGATTCTGTTTTTGCTGCTCGTGTCGAAAAACTTGCTGGCAGGGCTGTTGAGACTCTTATCCAGAAGGTTGTCACTGGTACTGGAGATCTGTATGGTTCTCTCCGCAGTGGCCAGAAAAATGGTGCTCTCGACCTTGGTGCTATGCATGAGCGTGGCCTCTTGGCTAGTCGTGCCAAGAAACAGACTCAACAGATTCAGGATCAGTCGGCGACTGAGGGCTTGGTCAATCTTAAAGGTACAGCTGTGTATTTGGATGAGGCTTAGAAAGCAAAGATGGTACGGTTGATGGCATGGGTTTTGTTCACTTCCAAAAGGCGCAATCTTTCTGGAGGCGTTTTGTTTCCTTTTTAGCCCTCTTTCTCGGTCTTTTTTAAGGCTCTTTTCGAGGCTTTTTAAAGACCTTTTAACTATTGTATGACTAGGCAGAACATCCAATGGAATTTAAATTTAATCTTTTCTACTATGTATTGTGGTGTCAATGAATTATTTATTTGCACATCTCCAATTTGTACATGCCTGTGATCATTCAATATCACCTATTCCATCAGACAAAAAACAATGAAGAAGACATAGCCTAGGAAACACTAGAAGCAAAAACAACGTCGTGAACTCATGAACAAGCGCAGAAAGGTAGTAAACCAGCAAGGGTCGATGTTTCAGCCCAGCATACAACGAATGGAGTAAACACAGAAAAAGCAGGGATTAATACAGTAAGTAGATGGCTGGATAGAAGAGATCTGAAAGCCCAGCAATGAGAGCATGTTGACTGGTCTAGATAGATTCCAATGTTGAGAGGGAAAAAAACAGATGCTGCGGCCAATCTATAACAGAAGGAAGGGGGGGTGGGGTTTTCTGTAGCCTTTTGTTTTTACCAGATATCTCTGGCAGAGAGATATCTATTGTCTTGGAATCCTTTTGGGTTTCTCTTTTTGATGCTCCGTGTGTTGTGCCCAAATGAACTCCAATGTCTGAATTTATTTTGGCCTTCTTCTTCTTCTTCTTTTCTTTTTTTTTCTCTTGCCGAATATGAACATATTTCAAGTATCCGTGTCTTGTTGCGTATCGTCATAACAGATTGAGATAAAGCAAGGATCAAGGGTCGGAGGTTTCTTTGTTCTCATTCCACGAGGCGCTATTCCGTTTGTTTCCCACTTCTTCTTCCATGTCGAAGACGAGGTCACTTGGATCCTCCTCCTCTTCAATCTTGCTAGTGTTGACAGGAGATGAAATGATTCGGTCAAGGCGGCCGCTAGGACCGGCAGAAGGCTGGCGAGCGGAACCAGGGTGAAGAGACATGCCTCCAAGCTGCTCAGATATCACTGACATCGCGGATTGACGTCCCGGGCTAGAAAGGAAAGACCCTCCATCATGAGATGCTCTACTGCTACCGATAGGTCCAAGACTGGGGCTGGTGATAGGGTTCAATGATGATTCCCGAAGAGGTGACCCAATGTGGAAAGAAGAAGAGCCATGAGATTCTTCTTCTTTGCGCTGACGCTGCTTAGCAAATAAGGCACCAAAGCGAGAAGGACTTGACGCCAATGGGGAGCCGGTCTTAGAGAAGCTGGTGCTGGTCATGCCGAGGCCGCTAAGGTCACGATGGCTGGAGCTTAGGTCGTGATCGGTCCGGGACAAGCGGCGCAGCTTTTCCTGTGGGGTCAGGACGTCATCATGCAGGTTGACGGGCAGATAGTCTTCTTCCATGGGAAAATTCTCATCCCAGTCCTCCAAGGCTGTAGGACGGGGAACACTAGCAGAAACGATGCGCGACTTGACAGGTCGCGATGAATGCATGAAACGGGTACCAATGATATCGTCTGGGGCCGGGGGAGACGATCCAATATACGACCCAGGCTTCCGCATGCTAGTCCCGTAACCAATGTCGCGCAAGTTCCGGAATACATCTGCTTGTCCAGGCCTCTGAGCGGGCGGCGATTCCAATCCAAATTGCGACGGCATAGAAGCAGCCACGGGGCCATAGCGGGCAGCGTGAGAAATACCCTGGCTGTCGAAGGAAGCTGGGAGACCCGCATCAAGGGCGGTAAGGTGGTTGTTATTGGGCGACATGGGGAATCGCACTTCGCCGGGGGGAGAGCCGAACTTGGAGCCAGCATCGGAGGCAAGACCCGTATCGATCGTCGGGATCCCATCATATGGTGACTGCTGGTCATGCAGGGATCCGTATTCCTCCTGCGGGGGCATTTGCGGGGCATATCGAGGCTGCTCGTGGCCGTTCATGCGCTGCTGCGAGAGTACCGAGTTGGTCAAGGCGGAGTCCTGGTTGACGTAGGCTTGCGGGTTCACTCGGCCACCCAAATTGAGATGGCCGCTTCCCATTCCCACGTTTCCAGTCGGTCGGTTGACTCTCCGTCCATCTGGTAGAATATGCGCCAGTGCGCACTTTGCGCCGAACTTGCAATTACCCTAAAAGCGGTTCCCCCGTTAACTTCCGACTGCCTCGGGGCACGTGAAACGAAACAATATCTTTGGGGCAATTCCTTCTCATACCTTGGTGAAATATTTGCAAGGAGCGTAGTCAATTCCGGCATCGGTGGAGTGTAAAAAAGGACAAGCGGGGCCTGCCTGACAGGCACCCTGGCGGAAGAATTTGCATGGAACGTGTTTGGTATCTGTACAGGTAATTGAAAAGAAAAAATGGTTAGCTTATCTCATTCCCAAAAAAAAACCAAAAAGAAAGACTGTAACGAAATTCGACGAACTCTTGTTGCTCTGGTTCGGCGGACTGCGGGCAACGTCAAGCGCCGATGGAGTGCGAGTATGACCGTTCTGGGGTGTAGCCCCAGCGGAAACTGGTAAAGGCGCACGACCTCTCATCTCTGCGTTACTATGTCGGCGAGATGAAGAACGAGAAGACACCTGCATGAAGAAGTTGGGAGGGGTTTGGAGATTTGGAGAGGGGAAAGAGAGAGATGGGCTCGGCGGGCGGTGGGTTGGGACTGACTCTACTCCATGTAGTTCACTACAATATTGTATGTAACTAGATGGTTGTATATTAATTCAACGACAATTTATTGATGATGATGAACAGAAGAGAAATAAAAGAAAAAAGGAAAAAAAGAATAGTCAATAAATTTAACAAATACATAACTAAATCTATACATATTGTAGTCATAATCATCATCTTGGAAGTCTTCATGACTGGTCTAGCTAGGTAGATATTATCTTTCCGCTTACCTCTCTCTCTCTTCTTCCAGTTTGCCTCCATTCCAGACCCAGATTGTTCACTGCATACCATCGGATATCATCAGATCAAAAGTGACTATGCAAGGAAACCCAGTACATATACACGGTCCCCTCGCCTGCCGATGATAATAATCATGTATTCATTACGGAGTATTTGTATGTCAAATGATGTGACCATGGTGGAGAACTGGAGAGATCACCATAGCCTCAATGATTTCTTATTGGAGCGTTCCTTCAAGCCCCAGAGATTCCTAAACACATGTTGTCGTCAGAATAATCCACCTCAAATAACTTTTTGTATCTCAAGTCTTACCCAGAGATTCCCTGCGGTCACGCCCTCCGGAAGAACCTCAGAGCACTGTCCCCACAACTCACGGAAAATCCGCCGACGCACGCTGACATGCCGCTGCCATTGTTTCCATTCCTTTTCAAGCTTTTCTCTTTCTGTCGGTGAAAGTTGAACAGGGTCGCCCTCGTGGTGGCTTGCCAAGCGGGCCTGGATCGCCGATTCTTCGCTCTCTAGACGGTCAATGTCCTGGCGAAGATCGGACACTCGAGGCGTTGTAGTCAGGGTGGCTAAAGCTGCTCGGGCCTTTTTCTCGGTTGCCTTTAAGATCAAGAGCTGACTCTCAAGGCTGTCGATTTCGAGCTTGAGTGCGGTGGCTACCTCGGAGGTTGTGTAATCCGAGGGGTCTTGTATTGCATGGTAGACGTTTTGTTTTCCTACACCACTGGATTAGAAAGCTCCTTGTTTATGGGTAGGTACGCAGGCTTATATCACTGACCAGACACCCGCCCTTCGATCTCTTTCTTCTCGTGCAGTTCTCGGAGAACCTTGGCGGCTTGTGCTGCACAATATATATTAGAAAAAGAAATGAAGAAGAAAAAAAAAACAAACAGAAGGGGCTCACATGACCAGCCATACCTTTGGTAATCTTGTTATGAAGGTTTGCGGAGACATCGATGGCCTAATAACAACGCTTGGTCAGCAGGAGGAGGTGCATCTGGGCAGCCCTGGAGCCTGGAGGAAAGTAAACCGAATATGGACGACTGTACCACACAACGTTAGCCGTTTCAAGTTAGAAATGAGTGATCAAGGCAAGCTTACTTTTGTTCGCCTGCAAATACGAAAAAATGAGCCATTGAACAGAACCATGACAGTACAGCAGCTACTCACGAAGGTATTCCCGGACCATGGAAGCATCTTCCAGTCAAGGGTCAGTAGATCAACTTCCAAAACTGGAAGGGAATCAATCTAACCATCACTTTTGACAGAAGCAGCGCCCCTCGGTTTACGAGGGGCCATAGTGAGACCCTTGGGGGAGATGATGGTGTTGAAGAGGAATACTAGGCCAGACTACACAAATAAGGACCTCACGTGAAACCATACAAACAGACTCGTTGCAATGCAATGTATTCATGACTCCTGATATCTGTCTCATGCCCCCCCAAAGAATCCCAAAAAGCTGAATAACCATATGTCCAAATACAATGAAAAGCCCAAAGGAAAATGAGAAAAAGTCCTGGGTGCAAATGCAGTTATATGGAAACAGGGAGGAGAAAATCCATTGAGACCATTCGTCCCCCGGACGACGAAAACTTTTGAAACCCCGGGATTATAGAGTAGAGACAAATGCAAGGCGGAGAAAAGAAGACGCAGAACGGCAGCAAAAAAACCATCGGATATTAGAAAGGGTTCAAGCCCGGGGTATCACATCACAATCTATCAAAGTTAGCTTGAGTTCATGAAGATCGGGACTTTGATGAATTCAAAGGTAAACCTACGCAATCATTGTCATTCTTCGCACTAGGAACACCCATTTCCTCAAAGGTCTTGGGTCCCTTGCCTGGCAGTTGGCCAGACTTGGCCGGTTTAGCAGCGGGCTTTTGCTGCGGTGGTTGCTGCGGTGGGGCAGATGAGGTCGACGACGCAACTGAAGGGGCCGGCTGGGGTGTGGAGGCACCCGAGCCTCGAGAAGGTTGTCGGGACTCTGTGCGGGGAGGGAACGAGGGAGAGCCCGGTGGGCGAGTTGCCTGCTGTCTAGGTGAAGGCATCCCGTTGTGGCCAGAAGCCGGGGTTCTCATAGGGTTGTTCTGATTTGGAGGTGCCGAATCCAGTCGAGGCGGAGGACGTCTTCCACCAGGAGGCGGCATTGGCGCAGAGTATCCAATATCGAGACGAGGGGTTCCACCGGGGCTGATCATGTTGGCAGCCTGTGGGCTAGTTGATCCAGCAGGTGCGCTGTGGGGCGTTCCAGGTCCAGGCTGGCGGTAGTTCATGGAACTGGGGCCACCAGGACCGCCGGGCCCATAGGATGGGGTGCGAGAACCAGGTCCTGGGTGAGGTTGGCCCCCGTAACCTGCAGGCACATTTTGTCGGAGGTTGGGGTTGACGCCGAAAGCAGAGCTTGGGCGAGGATCGGACAGTTGGTATCCCTGCTGGGGCCGAGGGCGAGTGGAGTGGGGACGATCGGGGTAAGGAGCAGCAGATGGTGGACCGTCAGAAAGGGTCATTCTCGATGGATCGGGCATTTGGATGTTCTCAGGGGTTGATTCTAGGGAATTGCCTCGCTGATGAGCAGTATATCGTGTCGACTTGATGCGTGAGATTGCGACCTTCTCATGATCCTTTCGGGACAGAGTCTTTGAGCGCGAGATACTTTCGATCCGACCAGATGCATCTTTGTTGCCACTGGCAGCAGCTTTGGCGTACCAAGAACGGGCTTCCTTGATGTCAGACTGAACAAAGATACCAACCTCATAGAAATATCCCAGAGCAAATTCAGCCGTAGGAAGACCGCTCTGAGCTGCACGTTGGGCGTATGTAAATGCTAGCTCATCATTCTTCTCAAAGACTCCCTCATGTCCACAAAGGAACCACTTGCTGATCGCCATCTCGGCTTCGGGTTCGCCTTGACGAGCCGCCAATGCATTGTAGTGCAAAGACAATGCGGGGTTAAAATCACAACTCAGCTGACAGAGTTCATATGCGGCTCCCATTTTGACCTGGGCTTTGGCGAATCCATGGTAGGCCGCTTTTTCAATATTGACACGAGACAAATTTAGATCCATTGGTAGGAAGCTTTCCGGCACGCTCACCTGAGGGAGCTCCCGGGCCAGAAGCATGCCGTATACCTGTTTCCTATTAGAGTAATTTCGGGAAGAATGTAATGAGGGGGAAAAGTCTCACATATGCACCTTGAGGTGCATTTTGGTCGCATGATTGCGCTGCCAATCGAATGTATTCCAATCCAGTGTTGAAATCCTGGCGCTGACCATGTTGACCCAAAAGAATCATCATTCCCAGGCGCTGGAAAAAAGAAGAAGAAAGGGTAAGTCACGATCTCACATTCTTGTGCGAAAAACAAAGATCCACTCACATAGTACGAAGCAGAATCCGCTCGCGATACACCCCGCTGATAATGCTTGATCGCCTTCTCTGGCTCTCCCGAGCTCTCGAACTGCATTCCGATCCGGTATTCAGCACGCGCATATCCCTTCTCAGCCGCCCGAGAATACGATCGAAATGCCTCCTTGCGGTCCACGGGGCAGCCAAATTTGCCGAACTCAAGCCACATGCCTTTGATAAATTCCGCTTTGGGGTGGCGCTGTTCGGCCAGAAAGCCAACAATATTCATGGCATCGACTCTGAGTTGGCGTTCGACCTGCGGGGTCTGCGGGCGCGGGGGTTGCGTGAGACTGAGACGGGCTTCGTTCTGTGCGGCGACCTCGACGAATGCGAGAGCATCCATAGCCCAAGCTAGTTGCATCTCGGGATCTGTAGTAGATAGTACAGCCATTCGTGCGCGCTCCAGGCTGGCTTCTCTTTGTTCATCGGTAGGCGGAACATTAGGTGGGGGGTTCCGTAGTACAGGGAATGGCGAGAAGTTGGGATGATCCATGCTGTCGTAAGTCGCAGATTGTGCGTAGGAAGTGGGATCTTGAATCTGGTTGTGTTGTGGCGGACCTGAGGCGGCCGATGAAGTGCGCGGGGGATAGGCGCCTTGGTACTGAGCGGGTTGTTGAGCGCGGCGGGGGTCATGAGCGCGATGTTCCAACTGAGCGATATTGTCCTGCATGTTCTCAGGCACTTCTGGCATCACTCTACCAGGATGAATTAGTACTCGTAATCTTGGCATCTTTATGGAGTAGATAGATGGGTGTTGTTTTCAACCATACCTTTGGGGAGAGGGAGATATGACCTCTGGCATGTAGAAGTCATCTTGGCCCCCTGGATACCTTGTCGCACGTACCGGTGGCTGACCGTAGCCCTGTGGCGGTCTATTCATTGTAACTTGTTTTTTTTTTTCCTTTCTTCTTCTTCAGATAATAGTTTAGGGGGGTGAAGACCCGTCAATAGTCCGAGAAGAGGGGAAAAGGGTTTTAAATTAAATCAGGCAGAACGAAAAGAGACGCCAAGAGTAAGAGAAATAGCCCACTTTACATATACGGAGTAGTACAAGTTAGTTAGACAATATAGTTATATTGTCAAGTACTATTTGTTCGGTTACATCTTACTACCCCACAGGTGAAATGTTGATTTATTAATAGAGTCGTTCTCTTCTAAGCTTGTTTATTAGTGTTAGTTGTACGTAGTATAAATACGATAGTTTTAGGTGACGGCTCAGCCTCATAAATGTGAGACAGTATGACAACACAATATAATCAAGCCAAAAGAAGAAGAATAATTAATTAATCAATATATAGATATAGATATAGATATATAGATATATACTACACAATATTGTATATTATTCTATCAAATATTGTAATTGAATCCTTAGAGTGAGTTCAATTTTTGTTGCAAGGTACATACATACATGTATGTATGTATGTAATATTTCCCGTAGTGAAGCTTGGATGATTTGTTATCCTCCCTCCTTTTCTAGAAATTCCATCTACAACAATTCTCCGTTGTACATGGCCTAAAGCTTGTGGGCTTTTTTTCATCTTGAATCTCTACAATGGAGCAGAATTTCCATCATCCTTACACACCTTATGACATTCAATTGCAATTTATGCAGTCCTTGTACACTTGCCTGGAAGAGAGCAAGATCGCCGTATTTGAATCCCCTACTGGTAAGCACGCTAGAGCTAATAGTGTTGTGTTTGATTTAATCGAACCTTGGATAAATAATCATTTGTACAGGTACTGTAAGTGTTTGTAGCGATCATGACTCCCTGGTGACATTGTGCTAACCCTCACATAGGGAAAATCTTTGAGCTTGATCTGTGCCTCTTTAACCTGGCTGCGAGACCACAAACGCAAGGCCTTTCAAGAATCCGTTGACAATGCAAAGTGTATGTCAGAAGAACCGGAATCGGTCATGTTGAATTAGATTGCAATCTAACATTTAAACCATCCCTAGCCGATGATGATGAGCCTGAGTGGATGGTAGAATTCGCCAAAAAAGAATCAAGGCGCGCGATCACTGAGAAGAGACAAGAATTTGAGTCACGACTAGCCAAGATTCGGCAAGAGGAAGAGCGTTTGAAACAGGCCCAGGACAGCGACCGACCTCGTAAAAAGCAGGTACGCATTCCCTTATCTGTTGCCAAGAACCATATGCTAAATGAATCATAACTAGCGACTTGATGAGTCGACATCTGAACCCGCTGCTGGCGATGATGATCAGTTTGTTCTCGATGATTACGACAGCGACACTGAAAATCAGAAAAGACTGACTGACTCGGGAAATGATGACGGTCTCTCCGCCAGCACCCTAGCCTTGCTAGAACGCTTTAAGGGACAATTCTCAACACAAAACAAAGAAGAGGAAGAAAATGTAAACGATGAGATCAAAATCTTCTTTTGCTCCAGAACCCATTCTCAACTAAGTCAGTTCGCCGGTGAACTGCGGCGAGTCACATTTCCATCCAGCATTCCCACCGATCTTGACCCAGAGAGCAAAGAAGATTTCTCTAAACTTGAGGAGCGAGTGAAGCATCTCTCACTAGGCTCCAGAAAGAACCTATGCATCAATCCCAAGGTTCGTGCGTTGGAGAACTCCACTGCAATCAACGAAAAGTGTTTGGATTTACAGCAACCCGGCGTAGCAGCCGATAAAAAATGCAAGTTCATTCCATCCAAAGATGATGAGGCCCTGGCACTTGAGTTTAGAGATCATGCGTTGGCTACAGTCAAGGACATTGAAGATATTGGCCAGGTTGGAACAAAACTCGGGATATGTCCCTACTATGCATCACGCCCAGTGATCAAACACAGCGAGGTCGGGTCCGCTCCTACGATGACTGCTTCGTGGCAAATAAAATACTGATACACAATAGATTGTGACACTTCCGTACCCCCTGTTGTTACAACGATCAGCCCGTGAGGCTCTCGATTTATCTGTCAAAGGCCATATCGTCATAATCGATGAGGCCCACAATCTCATGGATGCAATAGCCGGTATCCATTCAGTGACAGTATCACTGAGTCAATTGCAAACCGCCATCACGCAGCTAACGACATATGCTCGCAAATTCAAGAACCGGTTGAAAGGAAAGAACCGCAATTATGTGGCGCAGGTCATCCGGCTAGTAAGTTCTATCGCGGAGCATTTGAATTCAATATCTCAGCAAAAAGGTCCACTTGAAGGCTCAGTGCAGTCATCAAATCTCATGGCTGGAAAAGGAGTTGACCAGATAAATCCTTACAAACTCTCTCGGTATTTGCAAGAGAGCAAACTCGCCCGGAAGGTTGACGGCTATGTGGAATCCTCGCAACAGCCACAGCCTGGTCGACCCAAGGATAAAACAACAATTCCGGTTCTGTTTCACATACAGAGCTTCCTTCTCCCTCTGATGAACCCGTCAGAAGAGGGCCAACTTTTCTTCCAGAAGAGCGAAGACGATGTCATGTTGAAATACATGCTTCTTGATCCCACAAACCACTTCCGAGAAATTGCAGAAGATGCCCGCGCCGTTATTCTAGCTGGCGGTACCATGTCCCCGGTGAGTACAAATCATTCTTGTTACATTGCAAAGCCCTAATCGTTAACAGATGTCGGATTACGTGAATCATTTGTTTTCATATCTGCCCCCAGAACGACTCAATACATTCAGCTATGGCCATGTGATACCTAAGACCAACTTGGTCGCACAGACCCTAAATCAAGGGCTGATGGGCAACGAATTTGACTTTACATATGAGGCACGAAACTCCGAGAAAATGGTAAGCTCCTTCCTTCCACCCTGCGGAATTTCTCTGATATGCGTATGAATCAGATTACCGACCTCGGACGGACGATATCAACCCTTTGTCAAATTATTCCAGATGGTGTTGTTGCATTCTTCCCCAGTTACGACTACCTAAGTCAAGTTATGAATGTCTGGAAGAAGCCCATCCCCAACGGGAACGGCCAAAGCATTTTCAATCTACTTGAACGCAAGAAAAAAATTATGTACGAATCTCGCGAATCAGTGAAAACGACAGATTCGTTGCTACAAGAGTATACTGAAGCCGTTGAATCGGGATCGGGTGCCTTGCTTCTCTCCATCGTGGGCGGAAAGTTGTCAGAGGGTATCAATTTCTCTGATAAGCTGGGTCGAGGTGTCTTCATTATCGGTCTACCATTCCCCAATATTCGCAGTGCTATCTGGCAAGCTAAGATCCAGTATCTCGAGGACAAGACCTACAAACACGCCACTGGTTCCGAGGCAGAGAGGAAGGCCGCGGGCAAAGCAGCAGGGAGGGACTTTTACGAGAATTCATGCATGAGAGCAGTCAACCAATGTATTGGACGAGCCATCAGACATGTCAATGATTATGCTGCAATAATCATGATTGATCGCCGATATGAATCGCCGCGAATCCAGGGGAAATTGCCTGGTTGGATTAGAGGGAGCTTGGTCCCAGCACCTCCCGCGCGGGCGGCTCAGATGACAGTGCAGAGGCTTTCCAAATTTTTCGCTGAAAAAAAAGTAATAGCATAGGCAGAATCATAAGAGGTCCATTAGAATCAACGGGTGGTTCATACAAGATTCAATATTATAACCTGTTGAATCTGTTCCTTTACTTAAATAGATCAGATAGCCCTAATATAATGGCAGAATCTTAAATGCGGTGTGGATTCATGACATAATTACTGACAAAGAAAAAGCTCACCTGTAGGGTTAGGGCTTGTCACGGGTCATTTTAGCGGCGTGTGCAGTGCCCACACAGGATTTCAACATCCATAGACGGAACGACTATCCCCTTCAACGCCAAATATCTACGGTCTTGTCGAAACACCGCCGACAAGATGCCTACCCGTTTCTCGAAGACCCGGAAGCAGTGAGTCGACATCCTTTCCTGTGCCCTTTCAATCGAAACCCTTTTTTCGCCGATCGCGATCGAAAAAAAACCGACCTCGACACCTATCGCAACTATTCACCAACATTGACTAACTCTTTTTTTTACAGCCGCGGCCATGTGTCCGCCGGTTACGGTCGTGTCGGCAAGCACCGCAAGTCTCCCGGTGGTCGCGGTATGGCCGGTGGTCAACACCACCACCGTACCAACATTGACAAGTTCCACCCCGGTTACTTCGGTAAGGTCGGTATGCGTTACTTCCACAAGACCAACCAGCAATTCTGGAAGCCCACTGTCAACGTTGACAAGGTACGTTACAATCAGCGATCCGATTCGATATGAAGGAGAAGAGGGAAAAACTTGTGGATTGGTCTGGACTACGAGAAGCGCAAATGGGCACAATACGCACAAGAGGAGGGAAACCAATCCGACAAGAGAAAAATATATCACATTGAGTTGGGAACATTCGCTGACCGAGTGCCTTTTTTTCTATACAGCTCTGGTCCCTCGTCCCTGCCGAGCAGCGTGACGCCTACCTGAGCGGCCAGAAGACCGATGTCGCCCCTGTCATCGACCTCCTGCCCCTCGGTTACTCCAAGGTCCTCGGAAAGGGCCGTCTCCCTCAGATCCCCGTCGTCGTCCGTGCCCGCTACGTCAGCCGTGATGCCGAGGAGAAGATTAAGGCCGCCGGTGGTGTTGTTGAGCTCGTCGCATAAGCGTTTCGCGTCGATGTTTCTGATGAAGGCGAGTGAATAGGGACAATTTGCAGCCCTGGCGTTCGGACTTGTTCTATTAGCTCAAGCTCGTGCGCAAGGAGGACGCTCGGAACTCAAAATGAGATCTGCCCGAACCGGAACAAAGTCGGGTCGTGCGGTCGAAAAGAAAAAGGGTTTTTTTGTATGCAAAACCAGCATAGCATATGGCCTCCGAATGCCCTTACGATTTCACATTGTGTTAAGCAAATACCATAAGGAGGAATTTTTTCAACTGTGTTCGTGCCTGCGCTCGTCTAAGCTATTGCAAGTGAGGTTGTCGTATTCTCGTCCTCGAATTAATGGGCTAGCTACGTATGCTCATGTAGATTGGAACCCTGCCGGTCTGAACCATCGAGATCTTTTTCCCACGTGTACGGGCTACAGCGATCGTCTCCGTAGATTTGGGCTGATTTTACATTGAGGAAGGGTTACACTGTAGCACAGTTGCATTCAGCCATGTCGTCAAGCGATATTTAATTACAATCTAGTAATTTGCACTATTTACAATCCAAAATTTGAATGTTCATATCTTTGACTCGCGCACTGAACCTTGTCGTCCGGTGGTATCAGAGTCCACCGCCAGCGTCTCGCTGATAAACCGCACAGCTTCGACAATCATCTTAGGAGTGGCTTCATGTGCAGCCTCCTTGTCAATGATATCTTCAAAAGATACGCCCCCGTCACCAAACCAGCCATCGGGTGAGATAGCGTTCTTGAACCAATTGAGGAAAAGCTCACCTCGGTGGTACGGAACGAGCTTGTCTTTGCCACCAGACAAATTCAAAATGCGCTTTCCGGCCAAAGAACGAGTCAAGATGGGTCGTAGAACCTGCTGTTCGCTCTCAGACGGTTGAGGCAAGGGACCTTCGCGCAATGGACCCGTCGACGGCCCGCAGTCCACATACTTGAGCATCATACTGGCAGGATCGTATTGTTTCACGGTCTCCAGAAAAGATGATGGCAGAGCCTCTGAACCGAGGATCTTTACACCGGGCGGGTCACTCTTGGTCCATGATGGGAGTTTCGACAGACGAGCACGGTCAGCCATCAGATTTATATAATCTGGGCAGCCGATGATGACGACACCGGCGCTGATGCGAGGCTCATGCAGCAAGCAACTCCAGGCCGCATGTCCACCGAGTGAAACGCCCAGGACTAGGTTCTTGGTGATCTTGTGCTCGCCATTTGGGAAAGTGTAGGAAGCGAGATAGTCCATCAATACCGATGTATCTCTTGCTGTGCCCTCTGTAGCCTGGTTAGAACAGTACAACTTATTCAATTGGGGCAACTCACGAAAGATGGAGAACATATCCTGTGCATGTCTAGGGTTTCCGTTTTTCCAAGACTCATTGGCAAGTTCGTCGATCATGCGTGTGCCATGGTTTCGTTGGTCAAATGAGACCGCAATCAGGCCTTTGGCCGATGGAACGTCTTGGTTTCTAGTGTTCCAGTCGGTAATAGTGGCGTTGGCAAAGTGGTACATTCGCTTCTGGGTACCTAGTCTGGGGTGAAGAAGCCATAGACAAGCAACCTCGGAGGCCTCTGCACGAAGTTCTTCTAAACCAAAGACTGTTACTGAGATACCGGCAACTGTGAAGACTTTCCTGGAAACGGCGGGGGGCTTGGGGCTGCCTGAATCGGCCAAAGACTTCATTGGATCAGTCATTGCGCTTTTTGCAAATTTGAGAGTGGTTTAGACTATGTGAACTAGAGAGGTAATTGAGGGGTTTTGGTGGGGAGATATAAAGTGGTCCTACAGGCGAACTCGGGTATACTATGAGATTATGCCGAGGAGCCTTTGTGGCCGTTAGACTAGTACTCCGTACTAGTTCGTTTAATGCACCCCGAGTACCGCATAATTATAAATAAATGAGTGGGAAAATCTGTTTCCGATTTTAATCTTTTATGTCTTTATATCTTTTATAAATTCAATATTGGGGGGTTTTTCCTAGTTCCTGTTGTCGATAGGATCAAACATATGTATATATATTTCAATACACTTACCCAATACTAAGACATCTGACCTAAAACAATACGTATGTGTGATATTTGTTTCATGTAAAAAAATCCCTCAATTATCCAAGTCTTTAAAAACATGAAAATCCATAACCATAGTTCTTCCTTAGCATAGTTATATGCATCTACAGTAGTTAACTTGTGCCCCTTTTTATTACTTGACCGCCCGCGTGGCTGGACCTTTCTCCAGTCGGGGCGCAGCAACTGGGGCGGAACTCCACCGCAATTGAACTAATTATGCTCCTTTAATGTCAACAATCCTCTGCTCTCGGTTTTTTCTTTGAAAGCTTTGATTTTCAATTTTAACAATGACAATTTCTGGTCTGTTTTAGTAGTAAGGCTTCAACGTTGTGAAATCTGGTATCTTGACCCGCCTGGAACTGCAACTGATAATCACCTTGCATTAGCAGATTCCGATATGTCAACCTCTTCAGTCCACAAGGACGTGGAAACTGGCTCCCTGAAACTTGATACAAAAAGAGCAGACTCTTTTTTGAATTCAAAGGGTTCAAAATTAGCGTCCCCATTCCCCTCTCCCACCGAAGCCAAGGAACCGGCCTCAATCAGGCACACTCAACCCACGAACGAGATTGAGACGAGTGGCACGCTACCAGACAAAGAAAATGCGCGTCCTTCTTCACTTAAACAAGGCTCACCGAGAGGAAGACCATCTTTGAATACACGAGCACCCAACAGGTCGATTGACGACCAACAACCATTTACTCGTCATCAGCGTCAAGCGTCTATCCCTGGGGTATCCCCTCCATCGCGCGCCCAAAGTGTACAATTCCGAGATACAGATACAGAGGTTCCCGACGCGTCCCAGTCTCGGCCGCAATCGCGACCCGCATCTCGACCCGCATCCCAGCATGGTGACGATGAAGATCCAGGCCCCAAAGGAAAACAATCCTTGTTTGGCAAGCTTAAGTCATTCGCTGCAGTATCCCACTCGAGATCACCAAGCAGTGCAAGCGCAGATTTCCGACCACCCCCACCCGATCTAGCTACCCCGGGATCGGAAAGAGGGGAATTCCGTTTCCCAGAGGCTCTGGAAGAAGAAGGAAGCGAGGGGGACGCCGATGCGGAAGAAAGTGGAGGCGAGCAGCGTGACTCCCGGTCCAAGAAGAGAAAACAACGGCGACGAAAGCAACAAGAGGATGAAGACGGTGCTCAGACGGCTCCTACGACACCCAAGACTGGACGGAGGCCATCCTTCCACTTTTCTTCTTCGTTTGCACCGTTCGATAACTATCGCACCAACTTGTTCCCTCGAAGAGCGAGCACAACGGATTTCACACCCCAACAGCGGGAGGGTGTGTCGGAAGACGAAGGCCGTGAGAGGCTTAGCCGGCGCATGAGGAGTCGACCATGGACGAACACCCGAGGGGCTAGCTTTACTGGGCAAGACCCTGATGGTAACCAGGACGAACCGCGACCGTCCAATCTAAGGCGACTGACCGGGTTTGCCGGTCAAGGAAATGAAGAAAGCCTAACGGCAAGCTGGAGGCGCCATCGAAACGAACGAGGTACCAGTGCCAGTGCTCAGCGATGGAAGCAAATCAAGGCTGGACTCAAGCTCATTGGCCAGCGACGAAAGCCAGAAAATACAGTGGACAACAAAAAGTCCGCCGAGCTGCTTGCTGAACTCGCTTCAGCTGTGCCTGCTGCGCTGATCTTGGCCAGCGCTTTCCAGCGGGACGAGCACGGTAGCAAGAGAATCCCGATCCTGCTAGAACAATTGAAGGTTCGGGTTACGGATAGCCGGATTGATTCTCACTCGGGCGATCGTCACCTGGTATTCCGAATCGAAATGGAGTATGGAAGTGGTATGACTCGAATGAAGTGGATCATCTTCCGCACACTGAGGGACTTTGCCAACTTGCACCTCAAGTACAAACTTCATCTTGGAACTCAAAAGTACATCCAACTTCGGACGAGCGAGAACAGCCCTAGTCTCCCTCGTTTCCCCAGGAGCGCCTTCCCCTACATGCGAGGTGTACGAGGCCTAGAGAGTGAATTCGAGGACGAAGATGAAGAAGGTGGTTACGAGACTGGTGCAGAGGGTATGAGTGGGACAGAGAGGCCGCCTATAAAGAAAAAGCAGAGCCAGCAGCCACACCAGCGTCGGATCTCTGGCCCGCTTGCTCGCAGAAAGTCCAGCATTACCAACCAGGAAGGGGAGTGCACAGCTGCCGCAGGACCTTCATCCACCCATGAAGGAATATCCGGGGCCAGAAAAGAAACCTACCCCGGGAAACAGCGAAAGAAGCTTGAGCTCTATCTGCAGAAGATGATTAGGTTCTTGATCTTCAGGGCAGATAGCAATCGCTTGTGCAAGTTCTTGGAATTGTCCGCTCTTGGTGTCCGTTTGGCCGCAGAAGGCAGCTACCACGGCAAAGAAGGATTCCTGATCATCCAATCCTCCAAGGGTCTTGATTTCCGGAAGGCCCTCACCCCGTCTTTGGTTAAGAAACGCCATTGGCCCAAGTGGTTCCTGGTCAGACACAGCTACGTAGTTTGCGTGGACTCCCCCGAGGAGATGAACATCTACGACGTCTTTTTGGTTGATTCCCATTTCAAGATCCAAACACCGAAGCTCAGCCTCCGTAACCAGAACCCGAAAGACCTTGCTAAATCTGCCAAACAGTCGGCGAGACATCCACAACACCATACTCTACGACTTGAAAACTCAGAGCGCAAATTGAAGCTGCTGGCCCGAAATGAGCGTCAACTCCAACAATTTGAAGACTCGATTCGTTTCATGGTTGCAAACACCCCATGGATGCGCCCCAATCGATTTGACAGCTTTGCGCCTGTGCGACAGAACTGCTTTGCGCAGTGGCTGGTTGATGCACGGGACCACATGTGGGTTGTCTCACGAGCCATTAATCAGGCTAAGGACGTCATCTACATCCATGACTGGTGGCTGAGTCCAGAGCTGTACATGCGTCGCCCTGCTGCCATCAGTCAAAAATGGCGACTGGACCGCCTCCTACAGCAGAAAGCTCGTGAGGGTGTCAAGGTGTTTGTTATTATGTACCGCAACATCAATTCCGCCATTCCTATCGACTCGGAGTATTCCAAGTTCTCTCTCCTCGATCTCCATCCGAACATCTTCGTCCAACGATCACCAAATCAATTCCGTCAGAACACTTTCTTCTGGGCCCATCACGAGAAACTTTGTCTCATCGACCACACCATTGCATTTGTTGGTGGCATTGATTTGTGTTTTGGTCGTTGGGACACTCCTCAGCATCAACTGACTGATGACAAGCCTACTGGCTTCGAAACTACCGATGGACCCAAAGATGCAGACCACTGTCAACTCTGGCCAGGCAAGGACTACTCCAACCCTAGAATCCAGGATTTCTATGATCTGGACAAGCCTTATGAGGAGATGTACGATCGCAATGTTGTTCCACGGATGCCATGGCATGATATCTCCATGCATGTGGTAGGCCAGCCTGCTCGGGATCTTACTCGTCATTTTGTGCAACGTTGGAACTATATCTTGCGCCAACGAAAGCCTACCCGGCCGACACCGTTCCTTCTGCCCCCGCCAGATTTCAACCCCGCTGATCTCGAAGCTTTGGGTCTTGATGGAACCTGTGAGGTGCAGATTCTCCGTTCTAGCAGCATGTGGTCGACAGGTACACCTGATGTCACCGAGCATAGTATCATGAACGCTTACGTCAAGTTGATTGAAGAGTCCGAGCACTTCGTCTACATTGAGAACCAGTTCTTCATCAGCACTTGCGAGATCGAAGGCAGGAAGATTGAGAATCTCATTGGAGATGCTTTAGTTGAACGTATTGTCCGAGCAGCCAAGAATGAGGAAGCATGGCGTGCCGTCATTGTCATCCCGCTGATGCCAGGCTTCCAGAACACCGTCGACAGCGAAGGTGGAACGAGTGTTCGTCTTATTATGCAGTGCCAATACCGCAGTATCTGCCGTGGAGAAACATCAATCTTCGGCCGCCTTCGTGCTCTTGGTATTGAACCAGAGGACTACATCCAGTTCTTCAGTCTTCGAACCTGGGGTAAGATCGGACCGCAAAAGCAACTGGTGACCGAACAGCTGTACATTCACGCCAAGTGTATGGTCGTGGATGATCGCGCTGCCATCATTGGATCAGCGAACATCAACGAGCGATCCATGTTAGGCTCGCGTGATTCAGAAGTCGCGTCCATTGTCCGAGATACCGATATGATCATGTCAACCATGAACGGTAAGCCATACCTAGTTGGACGATTCCCGCATACCTTGCGTATGCGTTTGATGAGAGAGCATCTTGGAATTGATGTCGACGAGCTCATGGAGCACGACTTTGCTACTGAGGAGGAGCTGCGCAAAATTGAAGTTGCGGAGGGAGCTGGCCGTCCTGCCAATGACCGAGAACATAGAAACTCGGGTTCTTCGGCCATTGAACGACAAGATGAGAGAGAAATGATCGAGCGTCGGCACCGTGTTCAGGACGAATTCCTCTCCCGCTCCGAGGCCATGTATAGCTTCAATCATGATGTTGATTGGGAACAGGGCGCCAACCCTAATCTTAAATCTAACCGGAAGCTCACTGCTGACCCGCGAGTTACCGACAACCCTGATCACAGGAAAGACGTGGAAGGTGACGGTGTCGATAAACTGTCGGCCGCTATTCAGGCTGGGTTGGGAGTTGGGCGTGACTCCAATATCAACAATGGAAGAGAAGCCTTGCTCTCCCCTATAGCTTCGGAGGGCAGGGGTACCCTTGACCGGCCGAAATCATCATCCCAGCAAAAGTCAACATGTGCTTCCTCGAATATTAACGACCGAAGACCTGTGTCATCGAGCGAGAACAATCGCGTCTCGGAAGTCATTGGCGATATACCCTTACAAGGTCATGGAGCTTCTGGATCGTCGAGTCGCGAGTCCGAAACAAATGGTACCGGGTTGACCGTGTCTAGAGAAGAAAACGATGACTCTAACCATCACCATCCATTGGCTCCAGACCTCAAGCGTATCTTCATCGATAATGATTGCATGAGGGATCCGGTCATCGATGGCTTTTACCTGGACACATGGCAAGCTGTTGCCGAAAAGAACACGAAGATTTACCGCTCTGTGTTCCGCTGCATGCCCGACAATGAAGTCAAGAGCTGGAAGGAATACAAGGAGTATGCCGCATATGGCGAGCGCTTTGCAGAGATGCAGAGCCAGCAGGGTAACAAGCCATCCCAACCTCAACAAAAACCAAATAGCCCACCGCCGCAAGGTGCAGTCAACTCTCCCATGTCGATCGCCTCTCAATTGTCTTTCATTACCCCGAAGGTACCAGAGGGATCGCCTTCAGACCTGAAGAGCCCTCAAACAATCGACGAGAAGGTTGGATCTGGAAATGAGTCCGCCCGCCCTCAACCTGAACACCTGGCAAAGCACGAAACCTTGTCGTCTGTTGATGAAAAGGCTGCTTTCAAGACCGCATCAGACCCCAATCTTTTGAACAGTGTTACGAACGGAACCAGCGACGATAACGCTGTCGCTGGCGAAGACGTCGAAAAGACACGCTCGGCTTCGGCCCAGGTCGACTACTCCGAAGCCGTGAATCTGAACCTGAACTCCACAAGCCAGTCCCGGAGACGCAGGCGTAGAGCTACAACCATCGGGTCCAAGCGTGACCCCCATGGCGCAGACGAATTCATGGATAAAGGCCGTGCAGAAAACCTTCTAAGCAAGACGCAGGGCCATCTCATCCTCTGGCCGTATGACTGGTATGTACAGACTTGCAACCTGATTATATGCGATGAAATAGACTGACAAATCACAGGCTCGAAAAGGAAGAGCAGGGTGGTAATTGGCTTTATGCTTTGGATCAAATCTCTCCGCTGGAGATTTAGTAAGTTGCATCCTTGCATATGATTGTGGACTTGCATACTGACGAATATATAGCAACTAATATGTCCCGATTTGCTTTGCACTTGACGGCGTCTTCTTTATTTGATAGTTTGCTCGTGCTTGTTTACTTTTGCAACTCTCGAGCGGTGCTATAGCGACTGATGCATTTTCACTTTATCAAACCCTCATTCAATGGCTATTTTAGGCTATCATTTTAGTCTTGTCTTGCAAGCTAGGACTCAAAAAAATGACAATCATTTATGAAAACATGTTCACCTATGTTCATTTGAAATACAATAGTGGGGGAATCATCACATAATTGTGGTACATATAATACAAAATCGCTTCATAGCGTTACAGCGCTAGTGACCTATAATCTGACCACGCAGATTCTCCAAGCCATCAAAGTTGGCTCGCAGAGCACTCGCAAGAACGCTCGAGCTCTTCTTCCCATTTTCCGTCCAGCTATCACACGTGTGACGAAGCTGCTCATACGCAGCCGCATAAGCACCTTGCAACTCAGACGTGCGTGTACACGAACGACCAAGGTCATTCAGGCAATGAGTTGGGTCCTGGATGCACAAATGGTTCGCAACAAGTGTATTTCCCTTTGCCGCGGCAGTGCGCTTGGCACTCATGAAAGATCGCTGGCCGCGCTGTTGGGCTGATTCCTCGACGCCAGATGGCACGAGCATGCCGGGGCCGAAGAAACCAGGGGGGTTGACGGTGACACCCACGGTCTGCAAATCGACATCAGTGCCATAGAACTGCAGGAGAGCAAGGAGCTGGTCGCCTAGGTTATTGGAACTGGGGAGGCGGCCATGGTTCATCTTTAGGAAAGCCACAATGAGCACGACCAGCGCATCGGGGCTAATGCTTGCATGTGACGCACCGAAGAGCCCACGGGCTTCTAGCAGTGTGCGTGTTGCTGCATACAGCGGTCTGAGAGAAGGGTATTCGGTTTGGTAACCCTGCAAGCATTCCGTGATAGCAGGGATTCCCTCGCCGCAGTAGAACTGCAGTAGCAGTCCCGTTGACCGGTGTCGAGCAGATAGTGATGGATTTCGTTTATCTGATAGATAAACCTGGCCGCCGAAAGCTTCAATATGCTGTAAAGCTCTCTCGACCTGCCGGAGAAGGCGGATATGGGCATCTTGGATTTGAGGTCTAGTTGGACTTGGCCTTCGATCGCGCTCTGGTGATCGTGGGAGGTCTTCGAATGGTAGAATGAAGTCGAGATCTGAGTGTGCCAGAGCCAATCCGGTGCAGTGGGATCCAATGACTCGGGGTGCATGCGGAACTACTCTTTCAAGGAGTGAGGCTACCTCTGCCCTGATTTTCTCTATTTGAGATTGTTCCTGGGCACTTGGGGTTAAATATTTATCCAATGCTCGAATCTCTGTGTCTAGAACTATTTTGGCGTTGGCGCGAGGTAGCTCTAGATTGTTCAACCATGGAGTCTGTGCCGGTCCTTCTCCTGCAGGTTTAATGGCATCTTCAAGTCTGGACAGGGGTGACCGACGAAAGGATTCATCTGGTTTGTTCTTCTGCTTGTTTTGGCGTTTCTTGGGCGCCGGTTCGGAGGTATCAGGTGAATATTCTGAAGATGGTAGAGCTGGTTCCACGGGGGGTTGATAGCCGACGCGACTCTGAGGTGGGATCTCAGGTCGCCAGAGGCCAGGAGGGTCCTTGATTGGGTATATTTTGCGGACCAGACGCGCCCGATTTGTAGATCGATGGGCCTCTAGGGTCTTTCGAAGGTTATTTTCGAAGACATCGGGAGTCTTGGCTACCGAGATGGAGCTATGGAATGAACGGTGATGAGATCGTATTAGGCTAGATAGTCGCATCGCAGATTCACCGCATGTCGAAAGTGCTGAAGTAGACACCGAAGTGGATGTTAGCATGCCGAGGATGGAATACTTTCATATGTTTTTGATGGGGACTTTGATTGATGTTGAGGCCTCAGGCAGATATGAGCATGTGATCAATATCAAACCAAGATATACTCCCTAATACTGATAATTACTTACATATGTACAAATATCCATTACATGTTATATATGTAACCTCTATTGTATTCAAGATATAAATATAGCACTTAAGAAGAAGTTTATATATTCACTTCGCTACTCAGTGCTATGATATATAAGTACATACGTTGTATCAAAGTCCAATCCAATCATGACGTAGCACTGAGGAAATATACCCACTTAATGAGATTCTTAGTATCTTGATCTTGTCTTGTCAATTTGATTCTATTTCATTCCTTGATATATTTAGATATATACACACATAATATCTCTATATCTATCAGCAAACTTGTTTTTTACGTCGAAACTCCTTCTGGACTCGAACCCCGATTTCCCTGATAAGAAAGTGTGTGGCTTCACTTCACCGCTTGCCCCTCCATCTCTTTTCCCTGTTCCTGTGGAAATTCCCTTAATTACCTAGATTACCTGGTTTTGTTGGGACAATATTTTTCTTCCTCTTCTGTTTGTCTTCTTTGATTATTACATTCCTTTTCTTCGTCCATGGATTTCTTGCGCCAATAGTTTATTTTCGTGCCGATAATTGCTTATCGACTCTATTTCCCCCCGAGGTACCTTGATCACTTCCCCCTCCAAACCCACACATCACGGTCCTCGCTCAAGATCGTTTGGTTTATGTGACAATTGCATTCTAACATTCGCAGTCCACGGGCAACTGGTCTCGAATCTTCTCAATCTACCCCTCTAAACGTTCGCAGTTGTCATGTCTGAGTCAGAGAGTCCCGCAGACGTGCCCGACGGCCAGCCAAACCCGATACTCGTGGGACCCGGTTTAAAAGCCCTCAGTAAGGGTGCATATGCCGATGCGACCAATGCCACTCCTGCTTTAGACAGCAAGACAAGTGAGGTTCCTTCATACTTTGCCAGCCTCCCAGGGGGACAGGCTCAACCCGCGGATCCGTCTGACATCGCCTCCCAACCTGGGCAAGCGGCAAGGAAAGCATCATCGGGCATGGAACTGCTCCGACGTCTAAGCTTGGCCTCTGAATCTCCCATGTCCCCGGAGATTGACCCGAGCGTGGAGCACCCGGGACTTAACCTCAGTGGTCGCATCATTAGCGCCGCTTTCTGTATCCCATACAAGCTCAACTTTCAATCAGGGTCAGACTGGGTATGATGCGGCTTATTTTATCTTGGGTATCATATTACTAACTGGACATTAGACCCTCAAATCACGCTCTGGCACTTCCGCACTATTCGATTCATTCGCACACCTTGCATCAAACGAGACTTCTTGGTCACACACCCTAGTAGGCTGGACTGGAGAGGTTGAGCCTATCGTGGAAATGAAATCGCCCTTGCAACAAATACATCCGAATGCTGCAGGAAACGCACCTCCAGCTCCCAGCAATTCTGTTGCCAACCAGCCATTGAACAAAGCTACTGCACCGGTTCCTGTGGATGCAACCAAACAAGTTCCTGTCCATCCACTGGTAGAGGGGATCCATGTCACACAGAAGGACCGGGAGCGGCTTGATGAACAGTTGAGTTCCGGTCGCCATGGCCGGGTACTGCCCGTGTGGCTATCGGATGCATCGGAGGAGCCAGAAGATACCATACTACTCAAAGATCAAGGCAGATGGCGTCGGTATGCTGAGCGCGAGCTATACCCTTTACTTCACTACAAGCAGCATGGCCCAACAGATGGTCGATCCGAGCGACGGTGGTGGGCCGATTATCTTCGCATGAACCAGTTGTTCGCGGATCGTATTGCGCAGGAGTACCAAGAAGGAGACGTTGTTTGGATTCATGATTATCATCTGTTCCTTCTTCCCAGTCTTCTGCGGCAACGGATTCCCAACATCTATATTGGCTTTTATCTACACTCACCTTTTCCCAGCAGCGAGTTTGTACGGTGCCTGGCGAAGCGCAAGGAGATCCTGGAGGGAGTGCTTGGGGCAAACATGATTGGGTTCCAAACATTCTCCTACTCTCGGCACTTTACCTCGTGCTGTACACGCGTCTTGGGCTTTGAGTCGAATTCTGCTGGGGTGGATGCTTACGGTGCTCATGTTGCAGTCGATGTTTTCCCCATTGGCATCGACGCCCGTGCCATTCAAAAGGCAGCCTTTGGAGCGCCTGATATCGAAAAGGCCGTGCTGGGGATCCGAAAGCTGTATGCTGGGAAGAAAATTATTGTCGGCCGTGATCGACTGGACAGTGTTCGAGGTGTGGCACAGAAGTTACAGGCTTTCGAAATCTTCCTCGAGCGTTACCCTGAATGGCGCGAGAAAGTTGTGCTCATCCAGGTGACAAGTCCTACCAGCGTGGAAGAAGAGAAAGAGGATCCAAACAACAAGATTGCGGGCCAAATCTCTAATTTGGTTTCGACCATCAATGGAAAATTTGGCTCTTTGAGCTTCGCCCCTGTTCAGTACTACCCGCAGTACTTGTCCCCGCGCGAGTATTTCGCACTTTTGCGTGTTGCAGACGTCGGATTGATTACCACAGTGCGAGACGGTATGAACACAACAAGTCTCGAATATATCGTTTGCCAGCAAACCAACCACAGCCCTCTCATTCTGTCTGAATTCTCAGGTACCGCGGGCACATTGCCCAATGCCATTCACATCAACCCTTGGGATCTTGTCGGGGTGGCTGGAGCGATTAATCAAGCTTTGAAAATGCCCCCGGACCAGCGAAAGGACCAACACCTGAAGCTATACAAACATGTGGTGACAAACACAGTTGCCATGTGGGCCAAACAGTACCTCAATCGCCTACTGACCAACTTGTCCTCCTTTGACCAGTCGGTCGCCACACCTGCCCTCGATCGCGCGAAATTATTGAAGCAGTACCGTAAGGCTCGCCGACGTCTCTTCATGTTCGACTACGATGGCACATTGACGCCCATTGTCAAGGATCCTCAGGCGGCTATTCCATCGGATCGGGTGCTTCGTACTCTCAAGAGCTTGTCAGCCGACCCACGAAATGCTGTGTGGATTATCAGCGGACGAGACCAAGCTTTCCTGGACGAGTGGATGGGTCATATTCCAGAACTCGGATTGAGTGCCGAGCACGGTTGTTTCATCCGAAAGCCCGGATCAGAAGATTGGGAGAATTTGGCCGAGCGGAGTAACATGGGATGGCAGAAGGAAGTTGTCGATGTGTTCCAACACTACACAGAACGGACACAAGGCTCATTCATTGAACGAAAGCGTGTGGCACTGACCTGGCACTATCGCCGTGCAGACCCGGAGTATGGTGCGTTCCAGGCTCGCGAGTGTCGGAAAGAGTTGGAGAACACCGTCGCCAAACGGTGGGACGTTGAGGTCATGGCAGGCAAAGCCAACCTGGAGGTGCGGCCAACCTTTGTGAACAAAGGGTTCATTGCCACTAGGCTGGTTGACGAATATGGTCCCGGGAAGGCACCGGACTTCATCTTGTGTCTGGGTGATGATTTCACGGATGAAGGTAAGACAAGCTACACCTTTAAGCGAATACCTTACTAATATTGAGTAGATATGTTCCGTGCTCTTCAGAAATTTGACCTACCACGGGACCATGTGTACTCGGTGACTGTAGGAGCCAGCTCTAAGCAAACCGATGCCAGCTGGCACTTGCTGGAGCCAGCCGATGTCATTGGATCAATCCAAATGCTTTTCAGCAACGCCAACCAAGATCACTGAGGCCGAGATAAGACCTGGACCGAAAAATCCTATCGGGATACCATTTAACAAGTAATGCTCGGCCGGAAACCCAAACCCAAGACCCTGAAATCCCGGCATGCCGACATTTGCGAACGACGAAGATGAATTGATTTTTTCTTTTTTTCCTTCTCTTTTCTTTTGCTAGAGGGCTGTCATATTAAGCTAGGGCCCCGGTGTTACTACTATTATTACAGCCAGGTGTCAAACTTCTATTTCTCGATGGCTATTATGTCTTGTAATGTGCATATAGTTAACTAGTCAGTTAGTTAGATGAAGTACATACATGTTCTAAAACCATGCGGGGACCCCGGAATTGCGCCATATCAACTCATAGCGGAGAAGCTCCAGGATAAGCAATGATACATAAAGTATGAAGTATGAAGTATACATACGACCCACACTTCCCACCCTATAACTACATATGTATATCTATGTACAACGCGCTTTCGGACATGTCAAAGGGCGTCGGGGATCTTAGCGAATCTGTGATCGGCATGAATTCCGCACCCGCAATACCCGACTAGTGTATACCGGCTAATTTTCTTTTCTCCGATTTCTCAACTACCTACATATGTTATCCTTCTCGATTCAGACAATGGTCTGATACTTCTTATATTCTATATTCTAGACAAATGACACCCTCAAATACTGAGGAGAAACCAAGCATGGTCGAACAAATGCATACTCAGAATGAAAAGAGAGAGGAAAGTATAGACTATACCCGTCGTCAATCCTCAGACGAAGAATCAACTATCGACTCTGAGCCTAATGAGCCTAACGACCTCTCCCAAATTCCCACCAACGCGAGCGCTTTAGCCCGCACCCTATCAGTTGTACGCACTCGGGAATCTGGAAAGTCTCTCGGTCCGCCCCCAGATGGCGGTTTCCAAGCCTGGACACAAGTTGCGTTGGCCCATTTTGTCATCTTCAATACCTGGGGCTATATCAACAGCTTCGGTGTCTTTCAAACATACTACTCGCAGACGTTGGGTCATCCCCCTTCCGATATCTCCTGGGTAGGAAGTATCCAGATCTTCTTACTCTTCTTTATTGGTACATTTTCTGGCAGAGCCACCGATGCGGGCTACTTCAAGGTCACGTTGGCCTGCGGTGCCTTGTTGGAATGCTTTAGTATCTTCATGACCTCGTTGTGTACCAAATACTGGCAGTTGTTTTTGGCTCAGGGTCTTGGACAAGGAATTGGGTGCGGACTTATGTTCTGCCCGACGTTGGCTTTAATCTCGACCTATTTTGTGAAGAATCGTGGTATCGCAATTGGGATTGTTGCGTCAGGCTCTGCGACGGGTGGCCTAGTCTTTCCCGCGGTGATTATGAAGATGTTGCCGCAGGTGGGATATGGATGGACGGTCCGAACACTGGGGTTTATCTCGTTGGCGACGTTGACCCCCTGCGTGCTATTCCTGAAGCAGCGTCTTCCACCCCGTCAAAGTGGCCCATTAGTTGAATGGGCTGCATTCACAGAGCTGCCTTACCTGCTCTTTGCCATTGGGATGTTCTTGAACTTCTGGGGACTGTACGTTGGATTCTTCTATATCGGCAGTTTCAGCCGTAACATCATCGGTGTATCGACAGACAGATCGATTGATTTGCTATTGGTCATGAACGGAGTTGGATTAATCGGACGCCTGGTTCCCAATCTACTCGCGGATCAGTTCACCGGTCCTCTCAACCTGCTGATTCCCTTCAGCTTCGCGACTGCTGTTGTTGGCTACTGCTGGGCCGCGGTCAGTGATACGTCCGGGCTATGGGCTTTCGCAGTCTTTTATGGACTTTTTGCCGCGGGCATTCAATCCCTGTTCCCGGCGACCCTCAGCACCCTCACTACGGATCTCAAGAAGATCGGAGTGCGCATGGGCATGGTGCTCAGCGTGGTGGCGGTGGCGGCCCTCATTGGGTCACCGATCGCTGGTGCACTGGTGGTCCATGATGATGGCAATTACCTTTATGCTCAGATGTTTATGGGGACTGCGATCGTGGCTGGTGGCGTAACGTTGATCGGGGCCCGAGTGACTAAAGTGGGCACTGGTCTCGCGAGAGTTTGAATTGAAGTATGTACGACGTAAAAAGTTGTAAGTAGTTTGAGGAGGAACAAAAACGTATTCACGTATAATTCCATGTTTCAAGAGTATAAAATTCATCATATTAGAGACAATCGACAATATACTCGATCAGTATACTATACTTGAAACATACATATGTACCTAAAGAGAAGAAAGAGAGTAACAAATCGACGGGTTGTGGTTTGAGGACGGGAACCCCCACATGATTAATGGGAATGCGGTGACTCGTTCCTCTCTCTCTATTTTTTTTGTTCTCTACTTTGTTAGTGTTTTACTGTGTGACTTGGTTTGTTTCTTGATATTTCAAATCTACTGTATCTTTGAGAATTATTTGATTTATTCAGGTAAGTACTTGTTCGAATCTATATTGCCCTGCTTTGCCCCTCCAGTCGTTAACTGTGCTCCTGAGGGGGCCCCCACTACCACTTGAACGAGAATCTGATTCTAACAACATTCGGTATATAGACACGCGCTCAATATTTGGCAGTTACTCCAAGCTTTCATCTAAATATCAACATGGCGCCCCGTGGTCGTGGAGGAAAGTTCTCCAAGCCCACTCGTGGAGGTAGGTCGTGTGCGCCAACAGAACAGAGAAAGTTAAGACTGATTAAGCGCTATTGAACAGGAGGCAAGCACTTCAGCAGAGATCTTGCTGGAGTAGATAAGGAAGGAAACCAGATGGGCATGTGGCGGGTAAGCAGAGGGTCTCAATTCCATTCGCACGGCAAATCTAACTTTGTTCGTCCCAGGAACCCCAAGATGAAATTGAATCATCAGGCAACGAGGATTCTTCCTCGGAAGAAGAGAGCTCCGAAGAATCTAGCGAGGACGAGTCCAAGCCCCTCGAGTCATCCACAGCAACCGCAACCCGTGAAGAACGTCGCGCAGCCGCCAAAGCAAAGAAGCTCGCCGCATTGAAAAAGCGCAACCAAGGCCCCGCCCAACCGGGTGACCTCCCCCCCTCCGACTCAGAGGAATCTGACGAAGACCTTGTCCTCCCCGCCAACCCCAACCACACCGCCAAGTCCCGCTCCCAGACCCAGAAGGTCGATGGGCCCGCCGATTCCGCCCCCGCCCCCAAGAAGCCTGCCGCCAAGAAAGATGTCTCGCAGCTGTCCCGTCGTGAGCGGGAGGCTTTGCAAGCCCAGCAGGCGCGCGAACGTTACCAGAAGTTGCACGCGGAAGGTAAGACCGACGAAGCCAAGTCGGATCTTGCGCGGCTGGCTCTTATTCGAGAGCAGCGTGAAGCTGAGCGTCAACGCAAGCTGGCCGAGAAGGAGGAAAAGGATGAGCAGGCCAAGGAGCGTGCTGAGATTGCTATTGAGCGTGAGAATCGCATGCGGGCCGCTGCTGCTGGCAAGCTTTCTAAGAAGGCCGGTGGTAAGAAGAAATAGATCTGTGGATAGTCTCACTATTGGGAGGGGGTTTTTTCAAGATTATGTGATTATGAACTGTGTCGATGTGTCTCTAGTTATACATCTAGACATAATAAAAAAATCGAAGCAAAAATCAAGGTACGCCACATTTGGATATACTAGACAGTAATGTGAGATGTCTGATCCTAATATCATATACACCGACGCCTCCGGCATTAGATTAATGCCGTTTTTGGGCTGGCTTTGAAAATGCAGGAGCCAGTCAAAAGAAAGCAAAAGATAAAGAAAAAGATCAAGGTTCATACATGGGATTGGAAATCCCCGTGAGAAGGCAAAGCCATGAATAGAGGTCTATCGCACCGAGCTTCTTATATCACACGCCCAACAGTAATCCCTCAACACTGCGGCCTTGCATGACGATGCCCCAGCCAGCAATCAGACTGATTAGCCACAGAATAGCGAAGATGAGGATGGGCACAAGCAGGAGCTCGGTGTTGTGCAAGAATGGGAGGGCATTGTAGCCCAAGAAGGTGATATAGGTGTAGTAGATGAGGGCCGAAAGGTAGAGCGAGTTGCCTAGGAACGTTGCCAGGAAATTACTCGGGCTGCGGGTGAGCAGAGGAAGTAGGAGGAACTGTACCACGTAAAGGTGGAGGTAGAGGGGGAAGAAGGCACGGTTGGATACCTGGCAAATGGTTATTAGGGGTCTCAAAGTTGCGATCGTAGGATTCGGGAGCGGGCTTACATCAAAGCAATATCCAAACTCCAATTGGTCCTTCTCTCCTGGCTGCATGAACAAGCCCTGTGCAGCACCTCGTCTCCGGCCCCGGGACCCCCGCAAACCGGCTAGAGAGGCGGCGGCCCCATTGGGGCCGAATAGCTTGCCAATGATAAAGTATCCAATGGTTGAGATTAGGAGGGACGAGCCGATGAAATGCACGAACACGAAGAGGAACGTTAGGCGGATGATTGCGCCGAAACTCGGCGTGTAGGCGAGGCCCCAGGCAAATGCTGTGAGGAGGAGGAAGAATGAGAGAAGATATGTGAATGATGGGTCTGGCCGGTGCCATGTGTTCTTAGTTTCTGTCGTAGGACGTCAATAGGTGCTCGGTTAGGGTGGCAATAGTCATTGGTGACTGGCAAGCCTAGACTATATGGTGCTCGGGCGGTTTTCATGCGAGACATAAGGAGAACTATAAAAGGCGAAACTCACGTTTCTACATTCAACAAGACCGGTTAACACAGCTCTCGAACCGGAAACCCCAATGCCACTTACATGATAGTATATCGATTTGAAGACTTTTTTAGGGGCGATTAGCAGCGAAGTCATCTCCCAGACTGCCATTTCAAAGTCCATCTGTGGGAACTTGAAGAGTCTATTCCATATCAGCTACTGGTTTGTATGAAGGTGACTTGGTCCGTACCTTTTGAAGAAGCGCGGCATCCGGACGCTGGACCCGCGGGTTGCGGGAGTTGATCCAAAGGTCGACGAGCCGGCATGTTGACGAGGAACAGAGATGTGAGGGTTCATGGTCGCTTCAGAGAGCTCAAGGATAAAGTGAGACTCGGAGCATTGCAGGTTGTACGCGGAATTGGTCTTATGTCATTCATGGTCACGTGAATTTATATATCAAGAACAATGGGGGTCTGGGGGGAAATGCCGGTGTTTACATATATTTTCAGACCTACTCCGCATACTCCGTACAACGGACATATGTACATCTATGTACATCTATAGTCATTCACCCGTTATTGATATATAGATATACCTTTCTTGTACTCCGTATCTTTGGACCAAATAACTCATTCTCCAACCTGGACATACTTCTCTCAATTGATCCGGAAAAAGATCACCCTTTTGCATCCACTCCGCAAGGGGCTAAAGGCGATAGTAAGCGGAGATAAAAGCGTATCTGAAATCTTTGAAGATATCTTTCTTGTGGCTTGGCCTAAGATTGATTTGAGAGGGCTCGACTTGAAATCGCTTGGATCGTCTTGGACATCATTTTTATATGATATATCATATATTATGACATACAAGTAACAACCTTGGAAACATGTTACTGCATGATTCAGTCCAAATCTCCCGATATTTTTTAGGCCATAGGTTGAGAAGTTAGAAACAAATAATAAAAGCAGTAGAGTAGCCAAGTAATCTACCAAATCTGTAGATAGGTTATCTTGTACAAGCTATTTGTAGCATATGAAACCCCTGAATGTGTACTGCCGTATTCCCCACTCCGTATATGCAGCATAGTAATGCGTTGGCAGATCACTAAATACTAAAGACTAGTTTAATGCAATTCCCCTGTTTCAATTGTTTCAATTGTTTCGGGTTTGGAACACCTCTTTTTTTTTCGCATTAACCAAAATCTAATTAACCAAACTCGAATCAAACTTGAAGATATATCCATTCTGTCAAAGGGGGAGAAGGGACTATTAAGTTCCCCAAACCCTCAGTTCGTCCCGCCCCAGGCTTTCTCTTCTGCAAACTACTCTCTGGCTTTGTCAATCTTGGCCGTTCCCTCTCTCTTTCTCTTTTTTTGATTGCCGGGCTATACCGCGTTGTCATATACCCCTTGCTTGACAAGACATGCCATGACAGAAGTGATTGACCCTCTATAATAATTCCTGTGGTCGCGAACTGGTTTCCCTCTCCCCCCAACTGAGGAGCTCAACTCGCAAGTTGGGCCGTGGGCATATTGGGTATGTTATATCACTCTGAATTTCCCTAGTTCAATTATTATAATACCCTCCCCCATTGCCCTCATCCTTTCCACCTCATCCAGATAGCAATTGATATTGATAACTGGGTATTGATTTTGAAGCCGCGCCATAATGTCCCAACAACGCGAAACATACAACTCCCCTCCTCACACCCCCCCCTCCCAAACAGCAAGATACAAGTCGAAGCGCGGGTATTCAGCTCGACCATCCATTCGCGACGCCTTTCCAGATGTCATGGAGAATTCAAGGGTCAGCGACTCCGGAGATGATCGAGACCCGCATGATCTGTCTCTATCTCCGCAACATGCGGCGCGGACCTCCATCGTCGACAACATGCTTCTTTCGCTCGATCAATTCGCCCCTAGTTCGTCGGTTCTAGATGACTATCGTCTATTTAATTCCGCCTTTGAAAACGATCATCCCAATCATTATTCACAGGATTCTACTAGCCAAGGTCGGTATCGTCCTGGTCATACTTTCTCATCGTCCATGTCCTCGGACCCAGAATACGGGTATGATGATGGGAATGACCTCTATTCAACAATCACAGCGACCAAGGGTCGACGAAGCAACAGCAGCTCTACCTACCAGACGGCACCACGACAAGCGGGAAGCTCACGCGGAGGAGACGCAATCAGTTCTCGTGGTGCGGGAACGATGCCACGAACAAACACAGCCCGAAAAGGGAGCAAGGGGAGCTCATCGTCCACCGTGGACTACTCATATACCAGAGCACGAACAGACCAAAGTTTGGACCGGCGCTCAGCTAGTTTTGACTGCGGGCCCAAACGAACCTTTGCGTCTTATGCCGACACAAGTGTTGGCCATGATTCAATGTTGTACGACGATCATGATGCCGCGCCTACTCCGAGCGTCCCGGCAGGTCCACGAAGGGCCCCGGAATATAAGGCCCTGGAATATAATAGGCCACCAAACGCTGCTGCCTCCCGATCACCGACACCAGGGAAATCTGCCCAAGCGCCCCAGGTTCGAAAGGCCCGCCCCGAGAATATCGGCACGGGGACTCTGCGAGTTCGGGACAACGACTTCCTAAACATGGGTGATACAGATCTCGATCCCCCGACCATTCCGGGATCCTTGGAGCCTCCTGCTCCTAGCCCGACCATTTCCTATAACAAGCCGGCGTTTCCTCCCCCAGAACCGGTGGCAAACCTTAACATTTCAACCAGTATTTCTACCAATAACCCTGCTCCTAGCAATAAAGAACGCCCTGGTTTCTTCCGGCGTGTGTTTGGGTCCAAGAATCCGGCTCCTGGGCCTGTCGTTCCGGTAGAGATACCAAACTATAGCCCAAGCGAGTTAGCATATCTACAAGAGACCGAGGCCAAAGAAGCTACTGCAGCGGCTACCGTGGTAAATACACGTATCCAGCAGGCCCCTAAGAGCTCTGTGGGGGCCTCCCCGTCCTCTATTCGCACAGGACCCCACCAAGTCGTGAACAAGAAGTCTTCATTTTTCCGCAGGAGGAAGAGATCAGTGGTAGACCACGTTCCTCCACCAATCGTAATTCCTCAGCATCTTGTGCCGCAGACCCTAGATACCATGCAGCCGGAGCCGAGTCCGGTGAGCAGTCTCCGCCAGGTCATGAATCCTTATCTCGATGAAGAATCAGACAAGAAGGGAAATGCGGACTGGGAAGCTAAGATTCGACAGCCAGCTTTTCTGCAGGCACAGAAGAAAAGAGAGAGTGTTTCAGCTCCCGGAGCCCCCAAAGCTAGGACATCTGTTCAGCCCACCACTTCTCGTGACCAAGAGTCTTCGCCGCTTGCAGAGAACCGGTCTGAGCCCGCACCTGCGAAGGCCAAAGGTTTTACGGATTGTACTCCACAAGAGGAATTTCAGAACGCTGCTCAGTCTGCTACGCTATCCCCTGTCGTGGAGGATTTCTCACGCAGCATCCAATCACAGGCAGATGTTCCTCACGTGAATGTTGCAAAGCTAGCGCTTCCATCCGAAGACAAATTCTGTGAATCCCCTGTCGATTCTATCTCGACAGCATCGCACTATCAAACTGCAGCGAACACTCCGCTGATTGAGCAAGAAGAACCTAGGCCAGTCCTCAATGTCGAGGACAAAGCAGATGGACCAGGCGATACCATTGAAGACGGACCGACTGCAGCAGACCAAGAACAGGCACAAAAACTTTTCGATAGCCAGGACGAGGTTGTGGGCAATGACCCCGCTGCAGCGTGGCTCGGTGATCCTGACCGGGCAGCGATTCGTGAAGCATACATGCGATTGTTCAATTGGTCCAATCTCAACATTGTTTCCTCTCTCCGGTCTCTTTGCGATCGTCTAGTACTCAAAGGAGAAACCCAACAGGTAGATCGAGTATTGGATGCCTTTTCGACCAGATGGTGTGATTGCAACCCAAGTCATGGCTTCAAGGCCACTGATGTTGTTCACACCATTTGCTATTCCATCCTGCTGCTAAATACTGACCTGCACTTGGCGGACATTGAGTCGAAAATGACCAAGTCTCAATTTGTGCGAAACACCATGCCAACCATCCACCGAGTGGCAATGGATGCCGCTCCCGAGAGTTTTGAGACTCTGCGCCCAATCAATCGCTCATCCAAGAACCCCCTCGAAGCACACTCTGCCCCTACATCAGCGCGCTCCGCAAGTTTCCCCTCAGAGGTTGCACGGAGTTCGTTGGACAAAGACAGCGAGTCCAATATTGATGCCGGGCCACTGGTCAACACGCCATTCGTTGGAACTGTTAGAGCTTGGGAACAGCAAGTGGAAACGGTTCTCAAGGAGTTTTATACATCTATTCAAAAAGAAAGGCTCCCATTGTTCGGTGCTCAGCCTGAACGCGAAGTTTCTCGTATGTCGTCTAACAACTTCCTGGGCCCTTCTAGCAGTATGCTTCGCAGAAGTCCCAGTACAATCAGCAAGAGTGGCTCTGACATCTTCCCTCGTGGCCGCTCCGCTAATTCAACTCATGGAGCTGCACGATGGTCATCAAAACCCCGCTCCCGAGCTGGCAGACTTTACCCACCCTCTATGATGGGCTCCAGTCGTACCAGCCTCGACGACCAATCCTCCGTCTGGAGTCCAACCGGGTCCAGCACTTGGAGCAAGTATTCCTTGGGCAAATTCACATCGGCCTCTGTGGATTCCTTTGGCTCAGACTTCCCTCACAGCGGATATCAACAGTCGATTGGTTTTGCCAATGCCCTGAGCCAGGCTATCATTCGCGAAGACTCGGCTACCTCAGTATACAGTTATGAGGAGCCCGAACGGACCACTCCTCTTCTCGAAGACGATACATTGGCTCTTGCCGGAGCCCCGTGGGCTAAGGAGGGAAGCTTGAAGCACAAGCATCATCTGGATGCAGTCGACAAGCGCGCCAAAGACCGCAACTGGAACGACTGCTTTGCGGTCATTCAGCAAGGCTGGATGCGTCTCTTTTCTTTTAATAACTCTACTAAATCAATGCGACAAAAGGCAAAGCAGCGCGGAGGCGTTGTGGTCGGTGGTGGTAACTGGACAGAAAATGCTGAAGAACTTTGGAAATTCATGTTGCGTCAGACCATCGCCAGCGCTTTGCCTTCTCCCGGATACTCTAAATCCCGTCCTCATGTCTGGGCTCTGAGCTTGCCTACCGGTGCAGTTCACCTCTTCCAGGCTGGAACGCCTGAGATTGTGCGAGAATTCGTTTCAACTGCCAACTACTGGAGCGCCCGGTTATCCAAGCAACCGCTAGTAGGAGGCATCAGTAACATTGAATATGGATGGAGTGACTCTGTCATCAATAGTGCCCTAATCGGCGGCGGTGAAAGTCGATCCCCGCCGCCCTCATCGGGCGCACGGCCAAGTATTCAAAGCTCCATTCGAAGTTCTATTGACCAACAAGGCGTGCGACCTCGCCTTCCTGCAGACCGGGTGAATATCAGTGACTGGAGTCCACCGCAGCAGAGTATGGTGGCGTCCAACCTGACTGAAGAGGAGCAGCTAAAGGCACTGCAGGACTACGTGAAGAACGTCGAAGAAGATCTCTCTCGACACAACGAGCTGCGTTCTGCGATGAACCTTGCATTCTCCCCGCGCCATCCTAATGCCGCCAAGGCAATGGCCAACTGGGAGCGGAAATCCTCATATCTCTTGCGAGAGATTGTCAAATTTCGCACATACATTGATTCTCTGCGCAATGCCATCGGCTCAAAAGAGAAAATCTTCGCCTCCACTACCCATGAAAAGGAGGTCGAGGAAGTAACTGCAGAACCTGTTGTTGCATGAATTTTCTCTTGAACTTTGAATCGGATGACCCTTTCCGGTTGTATATACCCTTTTGGTTTGGGGCTCCGCGATACATACCTTAAAAAGTGATACCATGTCTTTCTTGTGGTATTTGGTTGCACATTTGTTTACTATACCTTCATTTCTGCTCGCTTTTGGTTCTTTTTCTTCCAGGGCGTGTTTTTATTGATTCTCTATTATGTTTAATGCTTGGGACGGTGATGTGATTCTATGCTATGGATACCATGATTGTCGATTAATGTTATGAATACCATCAATTTGCTCGTTTTTCAAATTTTACATTAGAGAGTTGACCCGAAAATAAATAGCTAGAAATTCCATTATTTGTTTTAGTTCATGCAATGATTCATGCGGTGGGCTCCTCGGCGACATAGTGTAGGTAAGCTCCCAACAACTTGGTTCCCTCAATGTAGTTACGCTTGTCTAGCTTCTCGTTGACGGAGTGGGCGGCATCAGTCGAGCTTCCCATGGGAAGGAGCAAGACGTTCTTGCCGGTAGCCTCCTCAAAAGTCAGTGTAACGGGAATACTATAAGCAGTTAGCCACGGAACTTTGATGTCGTTACTCATATGATCTTACCTTCCACCCTCACGGGTCATGTCAGGCTCAACTCCAAAGACCTGTTGAACAGCCTTGCCGGCAGCAGAGAAGTTCCAGTGCTTAGGGCTGGCGACCCACCACTTGCCGTCGTGCTGCAGCCATACATCCATGGTATTCTTGGTGTTAAGCTTGGCAAACTCGGCCTTGATGTGATCAAAGACCAGCTTGTTGACATCTTCGCTCTCCATGTTGGGCACGGTGCGAATGGAGAACTTACCAATGACCTTGGCGGGAATGACGGTCTTGGCACCAGGGGCCGAGTAGGCGCCCTCGATACCGTGGATAGACAGAGAGGGGTACCTCCAGCGGGCCATCAGAGTACGCTCCTTGGTGGGGTGGATACCGGTCTCGGAACCGAGTGACTCGTGGAGGTTGTCCATAGTGTAGCTGATGCCTCCGTATAGGGTCTTCTCGTCCTCGGTGAGGGGAGCCACAAGGTCCATGAGACCAGGGATCAGGATGTTACCCTGAGCATCAACAAGCTTAGACAGCACGTTAACCATATCAGTCATGGGCTCGTGAGCAGAACCACCGAAGACACCGGAGTGCAGATCCTGAGCAGGGCCGGAAATGCTGATGGAGTAGTAATTACAACCGCGCAGGCCATAGGTCAAGCAAGGCTTCTCGGTGCCGAGCCAGTAATTATCAGAAATACAAACGGCATCGGCATCCTTGAAGTACTTCTTGCTCTCTGCCTTGATAAAGTCATCCAGACCCTCGGAACCGTACTCCTCCATGCCTTCGAAACAGCACAGCAGGTTGACGGGAAACTCGATACCAGCCTTGCGGTGGGCATCGATCACGTTAAGCCAGCCCAGAACGGGACCCTTATCATCGGTGGAGCCACGGCCGTACATGCGGTCCTTCTCGTCGATGGTCAGCTCGAAAGGCTCGGTGTCCCAGCCGTCTTCCTTCAAGGCAGGCTGCACGTCATAGTGTCCGTAGACAAGAATAGTGCGCTTATTCTTATCGTTGCCGTATCTAGCAACCACTACTGGGGGCAGTTCGAGGTGTTCCTTTCCGGGCTGCTTGCCTAAAGGCCGTTGCTCGACCTCGGCTCCAAGAGCTGTGAGCTCATCGGCCAGGAATTGACCCATCTACAAATACATTGAACAATTAGCGACTATTGTGGTCTTCTGGCTGTTAGTCTTCTGATTTTGCTGGAAGGACTCACGCGGAACACATCCTTTCGGTTCTCGTCCTGTGCAGAGATAGAGGGGATCGCAACCGCCTTGCGCAAACCTGGACATCATCAGCTATCGGGGACCAGGTGAGACAGGACAAGTTGTCACGTACGATCGATGAAGTCGTTGGACGAGTCGTCGACCCTTTGAAAGAAAGAAAAAAAAAACAAGATCAGTGGAAAAGGTTCTCTGTTAAATTCAACAGGACTCACTGTTTGAAGAAGGGCTCTAGCTGGGGCGCCATTTTGGAATCGGAGATATAGCCGTAGAAGAAGCGGCGAGAGGCGAAAGAAGTACGAACACAAGGAGTAAATCTAGAAGAAAGAAAAGAACCTGCGAATGGAACACGGCGGAGGGGAAAGAGGGGCATTATCCGTGTTTGCCCTGAGGTAACCGGAGAGATGCTTGACCTTATCACGTAATTTTTTTTTTCCGTCCCGAGGTCCTATCACAGACAATATGTTACATATGTACAATAACTACGGAGTATGTTCACAGGTAGGAAGGTAGTTAGCGAATATTTTATGTGTGACATTATTTACTAGTGTGGACCTCTCTTTTGTTGCTTTGTTGCTATATTTATATCTAAGGATGCATACGGAGTAATTATATCCTAATTTTTTTACCCTTTTTGTACCAAAATTGCTTCTTTAATTGCTTTGAACTTCTCCAAGCTACCTCGAACTGTCCTATAATATATATATATACATAGGTATAAATAATATAGAAAAAAATAGAAAAATGGTATGAAATACATAGAACAATGCTAGATAAGCTAGAATACAAATGATTTTCTTTACAAAATTACCCCCTTTTGCTTGTCTGGTCTATCTCAAAAGAGACAGCAAAACATAACACACTATGCATCCTGGCCCCAGGCTTCCCGCCGCAGTTGGCGATCTTCTCTGGCCATGCGTCGCTTAGGACCCCATCGTGATTGCACAGCTTCCAGGATACGGGCCTGGATCTCCCTCTTCTCCGGGCTTGCCTGGCAAACCATGGCAATAAAGACGGGCGAACATTCAAAGCGCTTGGCAAGCTTGTTCCGGCTCCAAGTCATGGGATCAGTCATGCGAAGGTTGCGGATTTCTTCAATGTCTGAAGGGGTGAGGTGATATTTGCGTTCCGGCACGGACTTGTAAACACCGGGAAGATCTTCGGCATTGGTGGTTGTAGTCGAGAGAGTTGATACACGACGAACATCATCGGCAGGCAGAAATTTAGATGGGGTATGGTAGACATTGGGTGCACTAGATGGCGGATTGTGGATAATGTGATCGTGACCCTGTTGAGATGAAGCAAAGGAGGTGTCTGGCTTTACACGTAGTCGTTGCTTAGTGCGTCGGTATGAGGATTGGTTTCGGCGAAATCCGAGTGCCAGTGAGTCTGACAATGAGGGTAGAAGGAATGGCAAGGTGAGGAATGGCCGCCTTGTCGCGGCGATGGAGGTCGCCATTGTGATCCCAAACATGAGTCAATTGTTCAAGAACTGAAGAATAAAAGGGGATATAATTAGTCAATAGTTCCCAAATAATGTCTCAAGATGGTAGATATACCAACTAGTTAGATCAAGTAGTTGATTTCTTAAGGTGTGAAGGACCGAGGACGTGTTGGCATCTCTTGCGGCTTCAACCCGAATCTTTTTTCCATTTTGGTCTCGTGACCCCTGAGATTACATAACGATATGATACGACCTGGAGGCTCGGTTTACAGTATCGGTATTTTGTAATACCTGGTATTATAAACATCATACGTCAGTAAGTTGATCACCTGCTTTGACATATTATTCTTATCTTCCTACTTCGAGACAACTCTTTTGTATTCTAAAATTTTATATATATTTCAGTCATGGCCGTTGAAGTTTAACATCTTCTTATATCGCAATGTCGGACTCTACAGATCAGATGGATCCCCCGAAGTTCTCAGAAAGCGACTCTTTAACCGATAAGAGTACACGCGCACCGAAGCCTGCTTCTCTAATTTGGGGAGACAAACAGGAGGAGGCAGAGAGCGGCATATTGCCTGCGAGATCATTCGAAGTCTTGCGAACACCAAATGAATCAAGATACACCAGGCAACCCTCTTCTCCTGAAAGTTCAACACACCTGCCTCCTCGTATAAATTCCCCCGCTTCCCAGATCTTCGAACGCGATGTGCAAGAGGATATAGTTCCAGCTCAAGCATCTCCATCTATACCTGCCCATATTCGTACAGAAAACTACATCCCACCTGTCCTCGAAGCATCGTCAGCCGCAATCACAGATGACCGCCTCGATCCCGACTCGGTTGAGATTGTCACACATAGCCTCCATCAGCCTGCCGGTGCGATTTCCGCAGAGCAATCAATGTCATCTTCTATCGACGCCCATCTATCGAGACATGCGGATACAGATGAACTCTCATCGAGTTACGGAGCACTGGATACAACCGACGTGCGCCGATTGAGCTTCATTTCATTTGCGGACGTAGTCAATGCCGAGCACGCAGAAACAAATGAAGGTCACTTGGGCGGGATTTCTCGTGAGCGTCTAGGGGACATGAATTATCCTCCGTCCCCCTTGCGATCTCCTACTTCCTCGCATGCGCTGAGCACCTCACCGCCCACGAGCATTGCAACCTCTTTCAAAGGGCCTGATATGTCGCCTACTCGGTTGCCTGCTAGTTCTGCTCAAAGTCCCGTCTCATCCAGTTTCGGGGGAGATCTCAATGTAGAGACCATGCGGCAAGCTTTGAGGAAAACTGGCAGTGGAGACTTGGGTGGCATGACCAGTCAGGCTGTGAGTACCATCGGGGATGACCTGCTGGAACGTACGATCTAGCAGGCCTAGTTTGGCGTTTGGCTATTTTTTTTATTTTGCAGTGAAGGATGTAGGAGCAGGATCTCGTTTTCCCCCTTCTTTTTCTTAGTATACATACCTACATAGTAGGTAGATTGTGCGATATATGCTTATTGTGTGACATTCAATCTACGGATCCGGATAATTTAACCTTGAAAAAGACAGGTGTTGAATGGTCATATTGTAGAGGTTTGTAGAATGTTTAATCTTGGGCAGACGCTGCCTTATTGCTTGACATTTTGTACTGCATTCAAGGCCTTTTGTACCCTGGCGCGCAAATCTGGTACCTCTTCTAATCCAACGCTGATGCGCACAAGATCCGGATCCACATTGAATGACCTCGCCTGAATTTACGTTAGTTATCGTCAGCGGGGTTGGAGGAGGATACATACCCAATCCAGTTCACCGTAATGAGCTAGGAGAACATAAGGGGAGCTGACAGAGTTAGCAGATTCAAATTAAGTGGTTAGATTTACTAACCTCAAGGTGAAATTAGTCCCGAGACTAGGTCCCTTCAAGACCTCCAGGGTATCATAGAAAGCAATAGCCTCAGCATTGGAGTGGAACGTGACAGAAAACAGGCCACCATATCCGCCGTTGGGGTTACGGAGGCTGTCATATAATGGTCTCGTGGGACTGTATTTGGGGTAATACACATCTTTCACTGTGGAACTGTCAGCACAGCTGTGTGATATTGAAGGACTGAACATACCTAGAGGGGACTCCTTTAGCATAGCCGTGATGTTCTCGGTGGTGGAGTTGATTTGTTCAATGCGAGCCACGAAATCACGACTATTTCTTTCCAGGAAAACGGCGTCCTCCGCCCAGTAGATGTCTTCATAGTCTTGGTCATATGTTTTCTTCAGAGCTGGATAATACTGTGCATTAGGGTTGAGGACTGCACTTCCTCCCATGACGTTGCTATCTCCGCTGAAAATTTTGGTTAAGCTGCTGACAACGATATCTGCCAGATGCAGAACATTGATATTGAGGAAATTACTGATGGTCTCATCGACCACCACGGCAAATCCATATTGGTCTGCCAAGGCTCGAATCCGCTTCAGGTCAGGAGTTTTGAGGAGAGGATTTCCTGGCGCTTCGGTGAAGAGCCCAAGGAAACGCTCGCCAGCTTTCAATCGGGATTCAAGATCATCCAGATCTTCTGAAGAGCCGTGGCCATAAAATACACAGCCCGGTCCCCACTTTTGGAGGATCTTCAGAGTATCCGTGTAAGGAAACCCAAAACAAATTGATGGCAACTCCCCCCGAGTTGTCAGCAAAGTCTGGTGGGCGTTGAAAATGGCGCTCATGCCCGAAGGGTAAAGCAGCACATCCTCCTCTGAAATGCCAGCCACTCGGCCCTCTGACGATGCTGTCTCCAGAGCCTCTGGAAGCTCAGTATCGGCTGTTAGAACACCCGCAATGCGCTTGCGAACGGCCAACTTGGCCTGATTGGCGAGTGAAGTACTTAGGTTTCGACCAAAGCGCTCCTCAATGAATTGACCATAGTCTCGGCCATCTTCAGTGTTTCCTCTTGGGGGAGAGTCTCCAATGGAGCCCTTTCTCGCGCTGTTTTTGCTCTGGTACCTTCGGGGGCCCTTGCAAGGACGCTGCGAAATAGACTCCGCAGTTGCGGCACCTTTGTCTTCCACCAAGAAACCATCTTCCAGCGCACCAAGGCAGAATTCACCACGGCGACTAGATATTCCATTACCCGAGTGTTGCCAGACTTGCTTGGTAATGGGAGCATATTCTTTTGGGTAGATCACACACGACAGGGAAGACGTAATCGTTGATCCGGCTTCGGTTTGCGGGGATGGGACGAAGTTGACAATGCGGACTTTGTACGCCTGATCAGTGGGGATTTTCCCAAGCACAAAGGATTGACAGATGCGCGCGGGCTTGATTGACGCGAAGAGAGTTGCCGATTCGAGGTTGGGGTCGCCGACGCGACGAACAATTTCCTGAGCTAGCTTCTGAATAGTAGGATGAATGAAGAACCGTGGGTAACCACATTGCATCTTCTTAATGACCCAATCTTCTCCTTCCTCATAGCCAACGTTTGCCCTCCATGTTGGTAGCGATACACTGACAGCCTAAGCAATTTGTTAAAACATTATTGTTCATTGAGTCATGGAGGGGGTATATAGCGGGGTTCATACATGGTCAGTGTTTGGGGGTACGGGTCCTCCCAATGCTTGCAACATTATTTTCAATTGATATTAAAGAAATAAGAGGAAAAAAGTAAAGCAACAACAATATATCTTCTCAAGATAAACTATAAAAAGAAAGGAAAAGGGAAGAAGAAGAGAAGAAGAAGAAAAAATAGTAGATCAGTTAAATGATGTGATGCGATCTCGGCGACGCCCCATACCTGACAATTACCAATGAGTCAGCTGTATTGATACAGCAGTTACGGGTATCAGTTATCAAAAAAAAAAAAAAAAAAACCACTCGAGGGTTTACAATTGTTTTTACTTTAAACACCAAAAAGAAAAAAATGTCGGACCACACATCTAAACGCAGAAAGCTTAGTCCTTCACCAGATGCTGCACCTGCGAACCCTTTGAACCGAACGAAATTCACCGATCAAAAACGAAATGTAACACGAGGCAAAGATGAGCGCTCTGCAGAGCTTGCAATGGCCAGCGGTTTTTACAAATCCAGCTTCTTTAAGCTACAGATGGATGAGTTACTGGAAGGATTGAGACCCAATTACACCAAGCAAGTCTCAAAGGCACAAGAACCACTACATCAGATCAAGAGTGCCATTGAAGACCTCTCTGACAAAACTCCGCAATCTGTATCCGATGCGGAGAAAGAGCTACGTGCTTCAGGTCTAGTGATCCCATGGCCTGAGCCGCGGCCGAGCAAAGAAGCCAAATACAGTATGGCGTACGCGAAACCAGCCATAATCAACGTGGTGGGTAGCTTTGCGTTGAAGACTGGCGCTCGTTCTTTGGAATCGCGCCCAATTGATCTGGCAGTGACCATGCCAAACTCGCTCTTCCAGGAAAAGGATTATGTCAACTTCCGATACTTTCACAAACGGGCTTATTACATCGCGTGTCTGGCCGCTGGGATTCAAGATACCGTGAACAACCTTGGATTTGACCTCAAATTTAGTACCCAGGATGGAGATAGCCTCCGCCCTCTCATATTGCTCGAGCCCCGGGATTCAAATCTTTCGCAGATTCGCATCTTGACCACGATCGATCCCACCTTCTTCCCGATTACAAGAACGCTCCCAATGAAGAGTAACATTCGCCAAGCCTCTGCCAACTCGGAAATGGGTGAGCCGACCTCCTTCTACAATGCCAGCCTCCGTGCAGATGCCACTGTCTCTCTGTATCATAAATCGATCTATTTGGCTTCACAAAAGTGTGAGTCCTTCAAGGACGCATGTATTCTTGGTCGTACCTGGTTACACCAGCGAGGCTTCCACACTTCCTTCCAGAATGGAGGCTTCGGTGGGTTTGAATGGACGGTGCTTCTGTCCCTGCTTTTTGAAGGTGGCGGTCCTGCCGGACAACCGGTTTTGCTGCCATCATACAGCTGCTACCAAATTTTCAAAGCTACCATTCAATTTCTGGCTGGCAGGGATTTGACTACCCCACTCTTTGTCGGGCACGAAGTCCCCGTTCCTTCGGGCGTGCCTGTTGTGTTTGATGGTCGCAGAGGCTTGAACATTCTCTATAAAATGACATCTTGGTCCTACGCAACCCTACGTCATGAAGCCTCTACCACGTTGAAAATGCTCAACGAGTCGCGAGAGGACAACTTTGACCAAGTATTTATTTTGAAAGTTGATGAACCAGCCCTTAGGTTCGACCGCTTGATCACAATCAAGTCCTTCACCGGAGAAACGCTCCGAGCTCTGCAAGAGCAAACAACCTTGTACAATGTTCTTTCCAGGGCTTTGGGTGATCGAGTCAAACTTGTCTCTATCTCTTCTGATCCGGTTCATGCATGGTCGGTGAAATCTAAGCAGCCCAAGAAATCCAACGAGGGCGTGTCTGTGGGACTTTTGCTGAATGCTGAAAATGTTGGACGGATTGTTGATCACGGTCCGGCTGCAGAAGAAAAGGAGGAGTCGGCTTCATTCCAAGCTTTCTGGGGTGAAAAGTCTGAACTGCGACGATTCAAGGACGGTAGTATCTTGGAGAGTCTTGTTTGGTCGGAGGACTCGGAGGAATCTATCATACACCAAATTCTGGAGTATATCCTCCAGCGCCACTTTGGGATCGATGAGTTTGATTTCCTCGGCGATGAATATGACGAGCATCTCAAAGAGCATGGCGATAACATTCTGTCATACTCTAGCCCTGCATTCCAGTCAGTCAATGACGCTTTCAAGGACCTGGAGACATCTATCCGCGGCATGGACGAAGTGCCGTTGGAGGTTCGCCACCTGGCCCCGGCCAGCTCGCTCCTTCGGTATACCGCAGTGAGGCCAAGTGGCCCCACCGATATTGTCCTTCAATTCGAAAGCTCCTCGCGATGGCCTGATGATTTCGCAGCTATCCAGATGACTAAAATTGCGTTCCTCCTCAAGATTGGAGATGCTTTGGAACAATCGGGTGCTGCTTCCTCGTCTTGCCGTGTGGGCTTGGAAAATGAATCATCTAAAATCATCAACAATGCCTACTTAGATATTCCCCATTCCTCCGGTGTTCTGTTCCGTTTGAGGATCCACCATGACCGTGAGCAGACATTACTTGAGCGCAATCTCAAGGACCGAAACTTGAGCCCCCGAGAACGTGAAGAGGCTGCATTTGCCCTTTCCTGCTACAAAAAGACATTTGTTCAAATCCCACGCTTGACACAGGCACTCCGAAGTCTGTGCACTCGCTTCCCTTTGCTGTCGCCCACCATTCGCCTGACCAAACAATGGTTCAACTCCCACATGTTCACTGCCCAAATCAGCGATGAGTTGGTTGAATTGCTAGTGATTCGGACATTCACTCAGCCCAATCCTTGGGAATGTCCTTCAAGCGTCATGACTGGATTCTTAAGGACCTTGCACTCCCTCTCTCGGTGGGATTGGCAGCAGGAGCCGTTCATTGTTGACTTGGGAGGCGACTTGACCCCTGAAGTGACAGAAAACATCCGCACTCGCTTCACGGCCTGGCGCAACATTGATCCTGCGATGAACAATCTGGCCCTGTTCGTCGCCTCTGATCTTGACATGGAAGGCGTGACCTGGACTCAATACGAGATGCCCTCCAAGGTGGTAGCAGGTCGGATGTCCAGCTTGGCCACAGCTGCAGTGAGCTTGGTACGAACCAACTCCCACAACCTGGATATTACCGATCTATTCGATACCTCGCTTGCTCCCTATGACTTTGTCATCCATCTCCGTTCGAAATTGTTTAGCGCTTCCACCTCGGTCCCCAAATTCAAGAACCTGGCAGAGCCTCGTGCTTCTATGGGACCCACCATCAAGTCATTTGTTTGCGATGTCCACACCTGCTATAACCAAAGTATCTTGCTCTTCCATGGCGACGATCGTTGTCCAGTAATTGCTGGCCTTTGGAATCCGCAAACCCTGAAGCCACGCAGCTGGAACTTGAAGACTGCATATTCGACTGCACCAGCATCTGGCTCCAAGGATCAGGTGTCAATCAATCGCACTGCCATTTTGAATGAGATTGCGCGGTTAGGTCATGGGCTTGTTGAAAGCATCGAAGTTCATGGCAATGCAGAATAAATCACGTTTGATGATTCAATTTGATTTTTTCTCATGTACATTATCTCCCACATTTTCTTGGGGAGGTCAATATTAATATTACTGGTCTACAGACCCAACTCTCTCTCACCTTGGTGTCATTCTCATTGTAGTCTCGTATACAAAGGCTTCTCGTATACAAGGCTTTTGTGGTGAGAACTTGTACATTCCGTCTGGAAAATCTAGCTGCACTCTAGAATATGCACACTTTATTGTCATTTCTCTATACGATTGCAATGAATCTTGCTAACTATATGTCATTTGCCAAGTCGTTTTGACGTTCCTGGAGTATTCCCCCCAATTCCCTTTCAATCATAGCAGCGTACTATACTCCAATCTTGTTCTAGCGGGATACCTTGAATACAATGTTTTCAGACTTTTACTCACCTTTTCGATTGAAGTGAAGTCTTGTAAGTATTTATAATACTGTAGTAGTGTAGGAATTTTGGATCTGACTTCGGCTGAATCATCTCGGGCAGTGAATTGAGCCCGACGCCACTTCAAGTAAACTGTCATCATTTAATGAACATACATGTGCCTACATATGTATAATCAACCAGTTATTGACATATATAGGTAATTTTTTCGAATCATGACGACTGTTTGAAATGTATCATTGCCGGAATATCATCCCCAAGTCCGCAGCTGTCGCAAATGTAATCAGCGGAAAACACGCTATAACAAGATACAACCGTGTACCAGCTGTGTCAAGCTTGGCATGGAATGTGTGTTTCCACAAGGTCGTGCACTCCGGAGGGGAAAACGGGCATTGAAAGCAGAACTGGTGTCGCGTGTGAGGGATCTTGAGCTGCAGCTGCAGCGCAATCAGAACTCATACATCGATTAGCATGACGGTGCTTCTCCAGAATCTCGTTCTCACGATAATCACTCAAACTAGGGACCTGACAGTGGCTCAAGTAGACAATTTGGACAATTGATTGGCATTCGATATGTGGATCATGAGGCTCTTGTGGGCTTCAGAGTGAGGTTGGCCTTGAATAACCCTATACTTGGACTTGACTGATGAACTATATGATCTGGCAAGATCACGGCCAAATCTCCAAATGCATTCATGGGCCAGAGCCAGGCGATAGTTCCAACATGGCTCTCTTCGGGTTTCAATCACAAGCCTACACTCTTCGTAAGTTCCATCCACCATTGTTGACTAGTTTGGCACTATGAAAGGGTTATGAGAAATACGTCGCTCCGCTCGTCTTGATTCTCCCTAAAACAAGCATTCATACATTAGTCGCCAAAGCAGCCACCAACACAGAATTCATTGATCGCAACTGAGAAGCACTCGTGTTTGCCGTGTACTTCGCGGCCGTCTCAAGTATAAACCCCGAGAAGTGTTGTGATCGGCTGGGAGAGGATCACCGATCCAATTTACAACACTATCGCTTTGCAACAAAGCAGGCTCTTTCCCGTGCAGATCTTCTGCATTCTCGTCAATTCACCGTTTTACAGGCCGCGATGCTCTTCTTTATTGGGGGACGATCTGGCAATGAGCGATTTGCCTGGGCTATGACGGCAGTAGTCTACAAGCTTGTGCAATGAGTGGGTCTGCACAGAGATGGAACAAAACGCGGTTTCGATCCTTTTGATACAGAAATGCGTCGACGATCATGGTGGTCTATGTCTATCTATTTACTGGGGTGTTATCCTCCGAGCATCAAGGAATGACTCCGCAGATATATAAAAGAACTTACGACTCGAAGTTACCATTGAATCTCAATCATAGCGATTTGTTTCCAGACTCGAACGAGGCTTTCACTGAAAGAATAGGATTTGCCAATACAGCGTTCTTCCTGGCCCGCTGCGAGTTGAATGTGCGAGGTCGCAAATTGATGCATAATTTGACACCAGGCATCAGTTCAATTCGGTCATCAATCGACGATACCACTGCTATACTGCGTGAGCTCAACACTTAATCCAGAACCAACGTCTTCAGTTTTGTGACTACACCATTCCCATCCAATGGGTCACGGCGACAGTGAACCGGGTTGCCTTGGCCCGATCATTTCTTTCCTGATCCTTTTCTGCATATATTATATAAAAGGGCAATCTCAATATATGTATCAGTGTTTTCACTACGTTCCACCATGACTGCGATTCTCATCACCGGTGCCACTGGCAAATAAGGCGGGTCTTTGATCAAGAACCTTGTGAGCAAGATGCGCCCTTCCAGATATTAGCTGTAACACGCAATGTTCAGTCTATAGCAGCACCTCTTGGAAAAGACCAACGATGGCAATATGGCATGAACAATCCTCAAACCAACTGCATTCTACGAGAACCTAACCCCGGACTCTATCGGCAAGGTCTTTGCAACTTGTGTCAAGATGTCACTGAAGGGGGCCCTTATAGCAAATGGTGGCTGTCAATGACATTGGGGCTGTGGCTGCAGAGGTATTCTTGAGTCCAGCACCGTATCAAGGCTGTGCGCTTTCTTTGGCGGGTGATGAATTGAGTTATGAGCAGTTTGCAAAATGTTTCACGAGCAGATGGGGGAATCGCTACCGACTACATTCAGAATCTTTGGTGCTGGGTTGATGGCTATGATGAAGGATATGGGCTACTTGTTTAGGTGGTTCCATAATGAGGGATACAAGGCAGATGTGAAAGAGATGTAGAAGTTTCAACCTGGTCTCAAGGGGATTTAAGAGAAGGTTGGGGACTGAGAGCCAGTTTGTGAAATGGTGAGATTGTAACATATATAACAATGTATATACGTTGGCTATACTTACATAATGTGTACTCTGTAGTTATAGATGCCTCCAGTTAATGTTTTCATTCTTTGTCACAATCTTCAACAAAGAAAACAAAACTTCAAGCATCATTTTCTCAATCCTTTTTAGACGTATTGTTTCTCTCGACATGAAATTTCAAGCTACAAATATTTGAAGACCTGAAGACTTGGATAATACCTGAGCCTCTTTAGGAATCAGTGTGCCAGGTGAACCAAAGATCTGATTACTAAGTGACGCGAACGCGGGCACGCGCGATCATCGACTTATCGACTTATCGTGGGGCTCTGAGAGATCATCAGCAGCAAAAATGCCTTCATTGAAGCGTGTTCAGGTGTCTGAGGACTCAGAGGAAACTGATGGGTCTATGAGTTCGGTAAGATTCTTAATATCCTCGAGATAATACTTGCGCTCTGCTAACAAGATTCTAGAAGCGACAGAGAACGAACTCGGGTTTATCAGGCTCAGGCTCATCTCCTGCTGCTGCGCCAAACTTTCTCGCTGTCGATGATGAGATTCTTTCTGACGATGAGCTCGAACTTCGGCAAACCCAAATAATTCAAGAAAAATATTCCCACCACATCGAAGAGGCCAACGTGCCCGCCGAGCATGGAATCCTCGAACGCGTCGAATGCTACAACTTCATGTGCCATGACCACTTCAACATAGAGTTAGGCCCTTTGATTAATTTCATTGTTGGTAAGAACGGCAGTGGTAAGAGTGCGATCCTGACTGCGATCGTTCTTTGCTTGGGAGGTAAAGCGGCTGCCACCAATCGCGGCCAAAGCTTGAAAAGCTTCATCAAAGAAGGCAAAGAAAATGCACAAATCATCGTGCGGATCAAGAATCAAGGTGACGGCGCCTACATGTCGGATGATTATGGTAAATCTATCGTCGTGGAACGGCATTTCAACACCGCTGGAAATAGTCAATTCAAGATCAAGGCCGAGAACGGAAGGATTGTCTCGACAAAGAAAGCCGAGTTGGACGCCATCACAGACTACTTTTCGCTCCAGATCGATAATCCCATGAATGTGCTGTCCCAGGATATGGCCCGTCAATTCCTCAGCACATCCAGCCCGGCGGAGAAATACAAGTTTTTCGTCAAGGGCGTCCAACTTGAACAGCTGGATCAAGATTACCGGCTAATAGAGGAGTCGGTGGATCAGATCGAAGAGAAGCTGCGGGCATCGGCGACGGATATAGCTATCTTGGAAGATCGCAAGGTCAGAGCTCAGAAAAAGCTGGAGGCATCCGACCAGCATGATTCTCTGCGAGCCAAGGTGAGGAGTATTCGAAGCCAGATGGCTTGGGCCCAGGTTGAAGAGCAGGAAAGGGTATGTTTGCTTAGATTCTATCTCCAGAATCGTTCCTCTTTTCTTCTTTATTTCTTCTAAACTCTTCAGATGGTGATTGAACTCGCCGACGCCATCGCTATATCCGACCAAAAGATCGCCGAAGCCGAGTCCGACCTCACACGGTTTGATACCTTGTTCGACGAGGTCGAAACCGAAGGAACGGCCGCCGATGAGCATGCCTGGCGAGCTGCAGTGGCATTCAAAGAGGCCGAAGAAGCTCAAAAAGAGGTCAAAGAGAGACAAGCCGAGGAATTGGCCCGAAGAACCGAGCTCCAGGTACCCAATCTTTCTCAATCCTTTTTCTTTTTGTAGGTTCCATCTAACGATACAGGTCGAACAACGACAAATCCGAGATCATGTCAAAGCAGCAAGAGAGCGGATGGAAGAAACCCAAAAAAGATAGACAGCGAGAAACAGCGCCTGGCTGAGGTCAGCAATGGGGGCTACGCTCGCAAAGAAAATGAGTGGGAGCAGGCCGTTAAAGACGCTTCCATGGCCAAAGATACATACAATGAGCACCGCAATGGTGCCGCTGGCCTACATAGCGAGGCTGAAGTTGCTGAAAGGCAAGATTCAGAAGCATGGCAGCCGATTGAATTAAAAAACAAGGAAATCGAACAGGCCAAAAGTCAACTGGAAAACCTCAATAGACAAGGCGGAGAAATGCGGACAGGCAGGCACCCCAAAATACCTACCTTGCTCAGAGAAATCCAAAAGGAGCGGTCATTTCAGTCCCCCCGGTCGGGCCAATCTGCGACCATGTCACACTTCTAAAGCCAAAGTGGTCATCGGTGCTGGAGAATGTGCTTGGTGGCGCACTCAACGGTTTTATTGTGTCATCCAAAAGGGACTCAAATATCCTTCTAGCAATCATGGGGCGTTTGAAAGTGTAGGCCTCCCCTCTGGTCCCTGCCTTTTCGTCCCTGAACTCGCGCTTATATTTAATAGCCACTTCCCGGTTTTCATTGGCTCTGGGGGTCGTTTAGACACAACAGGAAAAGAACCAGACCCTCAATTCGATACAGTCTTGAGGACGCTTCAGGTATGTCAAACTGCACTTTTGCGCAGCTCGGCGCTAACCTGCTAGATTGATAACGAATTGGTCCGGCGACAACTGATTATCAACAATGGAATTGACCAGATGCTACTGATAGAGGATCGGGAAACAGCTTCTACTACGCTCTTCGACGGCGCACGGCCTAGAAATGTGGTGCGCTGCTACTGTATAGACTCAAGAGATCGACGCAGAGGTTTTCATCTTTCATACACCCGAACCGGTGAACCCAGCCAGTCTCCAGTTGCCGCATGGACCAGGGGTCCAAGGATGAAATTCGATTCTGCCTTGCAGATCAGGTGGGTCACCTCACTTATTCCGCAAGACATGATGCTTACTCAAAACAGTGCACAGCGCGAAATCGTCGCGGACCTAGAGCGTCAATTGGGGGATCTCGAGAAAGAGGCAGTCGCCGCTCGCTCACGCCGGGATAAGTGTAAGCTGGCATTGGCTCGGCACTCCAGAATCCAGAATGATCTGCGTTTGGCTATGCAGCAAGCCGAAGACCACGCTGAGGGGCTTAGAGAAGCCCTTGACAAAGAGAACGCCGACGATGGAAGCATCGACGCCCTCCAAGAAGCTCTCAAGGAGGCTGAGAGCGAATTGCAGCTCAATGAAGGTTCTTACGGAGATGCTCAGGCTGCGATGACTGCTAAAATGCAAACACTTAAAGAGATCATGCGAGAAATAAATGCACAGACAACAGCCCTCGACGCCTTGAAAGTGAAAGTGAATGTCGCTGAGAGCGAAAAGAATGTCGTGGAGAATAAACGGCGGACGCTTCACGACCATAAAAACGCCGCCATTGGACTTATTGACAACGACAAAGCACAAAGAGCCAACCTCGTCCAGAAACGAGAACAAGTACAAGCACGAGTCGAGGAGTACAACGAAAAAGCCGCCATGGTATCCGATCGGGTGCCTGTGGACGAAGGGGAGACTTCGTCAAGTCTGGAAAGAAAGTTGGAGACCCTGCAACGAGATATCAATCGTTATAATACGCAGTATGTTGCCTCATTTTATGTTTCTTTTCAATACTAACTACGATAGATTGGGAGCATCTCGCGCGGAGATTGCGGCCGAGGCAGCCAAAACGGCGACAGCATATTCAATAGCCGCGTCTCAAGTTGAGGAGCTGTCCTCATTGGCACACGTAGGTTCCTCTTTTACTTCTTTGGTCACATCTAACGTTCTCCAGCGCCTTAAGGATACCTTGAGTAATCGCAAAAAGCGATGGGAGATCTTTCGATCCCATATTTCGTCTCGGGCCAAGGCCCAATTCACTTACCTTCTCAGCGAGAGGAGTTTCCGTGGTCGTCTGCTCACTGATCACGTCAACAAATTGTTGGATCTCCAGGCAAGTTCCTCTTCCAGTATACAACTAATTTTTCTTATATATTCGTATCTAATTGTTGATTTAGGTTGAACCCGATATTACGAAAGACGATAGTACTGGACGGGGCGCAAAGACGCTCTCTGGCGGTGAAAAATCCTTCTCACAGGTCTGTATTTTGCTATCCCTCTGGGAAGCCATGGGATCTCCGATCCGCTGTCTAGACGAGTTGTAAGTTCGACCTCCCCATTGGATTGAATTTTACTAAACAAACATTAGTGATGTGTATATGGATCATATTAATCGAAAGATGTCCATTGACATGCTGGTAAGCTTCCTTCCCTTCTCCATTTACTTTGATACCATGACACTAACTTGTGTAGATGGTTGCAGCCAGACGGTCAATTGGCCGCCAATTTATATTAATTACGCCGGGATCAAAGACAGACATCACGATCTCTCCAGATGTGGTGGTCAAAGAACTGGCTGCACCTGAAAGGGGGCAAACAAGATTGAATTTTCAGTGAGATTTTGTACATAACTAGCGAATACCATATGAAGCGAATAGCGAATACCCAATCTCAATTTACTATCGAAGTTGTTCAATATATGCCACGTGACCTGGGCCAGTGGGACGTTTTAGCTTCACTTTACCTCAAACCTCTTCTCTCCCCGCCATTATCCTCCACCTATCAGTCCAAACAACCTCTTCTTATCACACACATCTGTGAATTTATTCATTTGGCGTCTAAAGAATTTCCTTTTGCCAAAAACTTTTTTGATCCGTTTCACAGGCTTCTTTCATTGACTGAACACCCGAATCTACCCCCCCTACAACCCTTCCAATCATCAGTTCACATACACCCTCGGCAACTTGACTCCCCGTCCACCTCCTCTCTACTCCTCCCCGCCTATTTCTTTTACCTTTAACCTTCGCAATGGCTGACGCGCTTGCTGCACAACTCAGCAATACTAAGCTGTAAGGCAGCTCAATCCCATTAAGTCCCGTGTATTAACTTGACTAGGGAAGCAAACCCACAACAAAGATTGCAAGATTCATTGAATCTACCTCCCAAAGATGCTCGCCCACAGACTGAGGTTTGTTTCTCTCTCTCTCTCTCTCTCTCCCTCCCTCACATATGAGATCCAAAATTCCAATCTAACTCGTATAGGATGTCACTGCCACAAAAGGTCTCGAGTTCGAGGACTTCTACATCAAACGTGAACTTATGATGGGAATTTTCGAGGCTGGATTTGAAAAGCCATCTCCTATTCAAGAAGAGACGATACCAGTTGCCCTCACCGGACGAGACATTCTAGCTCGAGCTAAGAATGGCACTGGAAAGACAGCTGCCTTTGTTATCCCCACCCTTGAGCGTATCAACCCCAAAAGTACGAAGACCCAGGCCTTGATTTTGGTTCCCACACGAGAGCTCGCTCTTCAAACATCACAAGTCTGCAAGACGCTCGGCAAACATCTTGGTATCAATGTCATGGTCACCACCGGTGGAACTGGCTTAATGGACGACATTATGCGATTGAATGATGCTGTTCACATCCTTGTGGGAACTCCCGGTCGAGTACTGGACCTGGCCAGTAAAGGTGTTGCCGACCTTTCCGAATGCCCAACATTTGTGATGGATGAGGCAGACAAACTGCTGTCTCCCGAATTCACCCCAGTCATTGAGCAACTGATGTCATTCCACCCCAAGGACCGTCAGGTTATGCTCTTCAGTGCCACTTTCCCTATGATTGTCAAGTCATTCAAAGACAAGCACATGCGCAACCCTTATGAGATTAACCTCATGGACGAACTTACTCTGCGCGGTATCACGCAATACTACGCATTCGTCGAAGAGAAGCAAAAGGTCCACTGTCTCAACACTCTGTTTTCCAAGCTCCAGATTAACCAGTCGATCATTTTCTGTAACTCGACTAACCGCGTGGAGCTGCTGGCCAAGAAAATCACCGAACTTGGCTATTCTTGCTTTTACTCTCATGCTCGGATGCTTCAGCAACACCGTAACCGCGTGTTCCATGATTTCCGCAACGGTGTCTGCCGCAACCTGGTCTGCTCTGATCTCTTGACCCGTGGTATCGATATTCAAGCGGTCAACGTTGTGATCAACTTTGATTTCCCCAAAAACGCGGAAACATATCTTCACCGTATTGGTCGTTCGGGCCGTTTCGGCCACTTGGGTCTCGCAATCAACCTCATCAACTGGGAGGATCGTTTCAATTTGTACAAGATTGAACAGGAACTAGGCACCGAAATCCAGCCCATTCCTCAGAATATTGATAAAAAGCTTTATGTGTACGATTCTCCGGAAAATATTCCTCGACCCATCTCCCACCCTGCCCCTCAAGCTGGTGCCGGATCAATGACCACCAACGACAGCCGTCAACCTCGTCGTCAAAGCAACCAAGCCCAACACCAGAATGGACAGCAGGGTCAATACTACAACAACAACAATAACCGGGGACGCGGGTCTTATCGTGGTCGTGGACAGGGGCAACGTCGCGGACCATCTAATGATAATCGGATGGCTTTCCAGCAACCGCAACAACCCCAGCAGTCTTAAGTTCACAACCTTGCCATCTGCTTTTTTTCCTTTCCCTCCCACCCCTCTCTCCCTCTCCCTCGATTTTCGTTTTCAAAATGTCTTCCTTCTCTGGGCAGCTGCAACGCGTGTATCATATGTTTTCCTCCCTGTTCCGGCCAATTCCTCTGAGTCGTTCGAATTGGTGTGATACTCATGCATTTTTGGCGCCTGCGCTCTTCTTTTCTCGATTGAAATTCGGGATGCAGGGCAAATGGCGTTCATGTTTGGGTCTTTTGAGTAATGGCGTTCCACGGAATTCGGAGAAGCGCTTTCTTCTACGCTCTCAACGAGTGACGATTCACCTTTGCGCCAGACCTGTTACTCCTGGCCCTCCCCAATCTCATGCATACATGTATGAGTAACCTTTTACCAAACAAAAAAGCAACAAAAAAACTGGAGGAGCACTCGCTATACGGATCCAAATAGATTTTAGCTAGTGAATTGACAACATCCCCTCCAAATCAATGTGTACGTGTAGTATAGTAGGTAGTGCTTATACACTTGATGATCTGCATAAATGGCACGTGCAGGAGGCCCTATATGCGGACCTCCGAGGTTCGGCGGCCGCACTTCTTTCTTTGTACCAACTCACAATGGCGACGGCGAATAAGGATCAGAAGGCTAAGGTTGGTTATATCTGCCCCCGAAATCTCTACTTACTCACAATTGATAGCCCAGTGCCCTCCGCTCCATTCTTGCGGGGTCCACCGCCGGAGCCGTGGAGATCGGTAAGTGCTTCAACCCCCCTACCAACAATAAGCTAACCATAAATGCTACAGCGATCACATACCCGGCCGAATGTATCGACTCCCCGCCTCCTTTTGACTACAAACTCCACTAACTGCTTCAGTCGCCAAGACCCGGACACAGCTCAATCGCCAACTTACCCAGGGCCAAAAGCTACCATGGCCACCCTTCGGGAGCCAGTGGTACGCAGGATGTACAACACTGATTATTGGAAACTCTCTTAAAGCCGGAATTCGTGCGTCTACCGCAATTCGTGGACTAGCAGATATTGACATGCTCTAGGCTTCGTTGCATTCGATGCTATCAAATCGGTTCTCCAGGATGAGAACGGCAAGATCTCGGGACCAAGGACGGTTGTTGCTGGATTCGGTGCTGGATTCACCGAATCGCTTTTCGCTGTTACTCCCTTTGAGAGCATCAAGACCCAACTGTGAGCTCCTTGATTCTTATTTAATAAACCTTTCTGACAGATCAGGATCGACGACCGCAAGTCCGCCAACCCTCGCATGCGGGGCTTCTTGCATGGTAGCAAGCTTATTTTCCAGGAGAGAGGCGTCAAAGGCTTCTTCCAGGGCTTTGTTCCTACTACAGCGAGACAGGCTGCTAACTCAGCAACCCGATTTACAGCTTATACAACACTAAAGCAGCTTGCAGAGGGCTACACAGCACCGGGAGAGAAGCTGGGTACTGTCAGCACTTTCGGCATTGGAGGAGTGGCAGGTTTAATCACTGTGTAAGTCGCTCATCGCCAAAAGAATTAGAGGCTTTTCTAACGTGAACAGTTATGTGACACAACCTTTGGACACGGTCAAAACAAGGTATGCAATACCCTTAAATGCCACTGGCTAGTACTGACACAAGCCAGAATGCAATCGCTCGAGGCCAGCAAGCACTACAAGAACAGTCTTGTCTGCGCAACCAGGATCGTCAAGGATGAAGGTGTATTCACTTTGTGGTCTGGCGCTATGCCACGTCTCGCCAGACTGATCATGAGTGGAGGAATTGTGTTTACAATGTTGGTACCAGCGTCAAACACACAAAAATTGGTTGCTAACTATTTCACAGGTATGAAAAGGCTATGGATGCTCTAGATCTCATGGATCCAGAGCGGAAGTATTTATAGAATTAGAGTGAATGGTATCTTTTATTTTACATCTTTTTGTTTTGCCATGTCCTCAGCGATCATGCCCTCAACATCGTTATTATTCATCCAGGTCCGCACGCTCTCCATGACAGTATCCAAACCGTCACCTCCGTCCAGAACGCCGTCCAAGTTGTGAATGGTGATACCAGTGCGATGGTCGGTGCAACGACTTTGACCGAAATTGTAGGTCCGAATCTTATCGCCTCGACCCATCTTCGCCACACCACCGAGGATGCCTCGTCTGAGCTGCACGAGCTCCTGTTCTCGGGCTTCTTGGCGGGCTTCAGCCAGCTTTGCTCGCAGCACTTGCCAAGCCTTTCTGCGGTTGGCTTGCTGAGACCGCTCATCTTGCATGGAAACCACCGTGTTTGTTGGGATATGGGTCAGTCGAATGGCAGACTCTGTTTTGTTTACGTGTTGCCCACCAGCACCCCCAGCTCTCATCTTTTCAATTCGCACCTCTTGGGGATCGATGTAATAATCGCTGGTTGGGTCTTCGAAATTCAAAGCATTATCCATCTCGCTACCGGTCTCCGGGAAACTCGGCAAGACCATTACGCTGACAGCGCTGGTATGGGTGCGGCCCTTGGTCTCAGTTGCAGGCACCCGCTGTACCCGATGCACCCCAGACTCCGTTCGTAGAAGATCGTACGCCCCATCGGCTTCAATTTCTATCACCGCTTCACTGAGACGGTCTTCTGACGGCCCAACCTCAGTGTCCTGCTTCAAAATGGTTGGGCGGAGGCCCCTGCGGAAGCAAAAGGCCATGTACATTCGTAGCAGTTCGAAGGCAAACAAGCCGGCTTCATCTCCGCCCGCGCCGGGTCGAATTTCAACCAAGCAAGGAAGATCCGCAAAGGGGTGTCGGGGAATGAGGGACTTCTTCAATCGGTCCGAAATTGATGGTAAGGCGTCATGACTGCTCTCAAGGTCTTCTGTTGCCAGAGACCGTAGTTCGGCATCGGTATTAGGGTCTTCTAATAAAGATTTGAGTTCGGCAATAGACTAAAAGAATTAGTAATCTGCGAGTGGCATCAAGCTATCCAGATCATACATCATTGGCATTATTCCATTCTTTCAAGACATTGGCAACCGGTGCCAATTCCCCGACTCGCTTTGCGGTTTTAGCATCAAATGACTCTCCCAGTCGATCTGAAAGCTTTGTATGTTCGGCTACCAGTAGGCTTGCTCTGGTTAAGAGAGCTGGGGACACGGCAGAATCCGATGCTATGTGGCGTTAGATCATTGTTGTTTCTTTCTTCCAGCATAGAGCACAATTTCAATTTTACCAGAATGAAAAGCGCGCAAAGGATTCAAAAGCCTAGGTCGCAATAAATTTCCACATATTGATTTGAAGCCGAGCATACTTTAATAACAAAAACAAAACAACAAAAAAAGGGTCGACAAGAGATCTGCTTTGGAAGCTGAGAAATATTTCAATACAGAGTGTCACATGACGGTATCGGAACGTTACCAGTAAAGGCCACGGAATATGCGACGTATGCGACAAATGCGATATGTTGTCTCTTTAAACTTCAAAACACGTTCTTCTCTTTTGTAGCCTCTCGCCTTCTTTTAAGTTATTTTTGCATATTTGTTGTCAACCCTTGTTTTTGGGTTCGGATTATGTTTATTTCCCTTCACTTATAGAGAGACCCTCTTTCAAATCCCCCGTTGTATTGCTCCGCTACTCTCCCGCTACTCCGATATGCTCGCGTCCTTGGAGCTGCTCACAGCCTTTTTGGCCTGTTTCTCAGTTGGATACGCTGTTCAAATTCCTCCGGATACACCCCTCTCTGAATTGATCGCCTCCGCCAAAGCCCATCTTGCGCAGGGCTCACCCCGAGATGCCGTGACATACTTCGACGCCGCAGTGTCGCGCGACCCAACCAATTATATTACTATCTTCCAACGAGGCGCAGCTTATTTGTCTATTGGTAAAAATTCACAGGCCTCGAGTGACTTTGATCGTGTCTTGGAGCTGAAGCCAGACTTTGAGGGCGCCCTTCTACAGCGATCCCGCCTCAAGGCACGATCTGGGCACTGGGAAGAGGCCCTACGGGATCTTGAGCGGGCTGGAAAGAAGTCTACGGATGATTACAAGGAACTAGAGGTTGCAAGGGATGCAACCGTTTTGGCTCTCAATGCCGAAAAGCAAGGCAACTGGGAGACCTGTGTCTCGGAGGCAAATGTGGCCATCCTGAAAGCAAACACGGCACTTCCACTGCGACAGGCTCGAGCTCGTTGCCACTTTGAAAGAGGCGAAACAGAAGAAGGTCTTAGCGATTTGGCGCATGTCTTGCAAATGTCACCCAGCTTAGTCGAGCCCCACTTACAGATGTCCTCTATGTTGTTTTACTCTCTGGGTGACAGTGAACGTGGCCTTGCTCAAATCCGCAAATGCCTTCATACCGATCCCGACTCAACCCCTTGCAACCGTCTCTATCGAAGTGAGCGGAAGCTCGCCAAGCGCTTGGAGAAATTACATGCCGCTCTAGACGGGCGCAAATTCAGCAATGCGGCCAATCTCTTGGTCGGTGATAAAGAGTCTACCGGTCTAATTACAGACACCAAGATCGATGTTGAAGAAGCACGAGAGGCTGGTCATATCCATCGTCTGGCGCCCAACAATCTCTACACATTTTTGGTCGAAAAGACCTGTGAAACTTACCGCGAGGTATGTATTATTAACCAAAATTTCAGGTCTCACTGCTAACCTCAGTAGATGCATATGATCAAGAAAGCTGGCCCTTATTGTACTGAAGCTCTCCAGCTTGTCCCTCATTCACTTGCCGGTCTCTTGTATCAAGCCCAGACCGCTATAGACGAGGATCGATTCGAGGACGCCATACGAACACTCGACTCGGCAAAGGACCACCACCCCGGTTCACAGGAAGTGCAGTCTCTTCATCAAAAGGCCCAAACTCTGCTCAAACGTTCCAAGCAGAAGGACTACTATAAGGTCCTGGGCATCAGCCGTGACGCCGATGATCGCACAATCAAGCGAGCTTATCGCCAGCTGGTAAAACAGCACCACCCAGATAAGGCTCATTCTCAGGGTGTGACTAAGGAGGAAGCGGAGAAGAAGATGGCGGCGATCAATGAAGCTTACGAGGTTCTGTCCGATTCTGAACTCCGTACAAGGTTTGATAACGGTGACGATCCCAATGATCCTGAGTCCCAGCAGCAACGCGGTAATCCGTTCCAAGGCAATCCATTCGGTGGTGGTGGTGGCGGTCAGCAGTTCTTCTTCCAGCAGGGCGGTCCACAGTTCCAAGGAGGATTTAAATTCCCTGGCGGTTTCCGATAGGAAATTATCACAAAGGTGTCAGGAGTTAAATATCCATTGTCGAATTCCGAGAGCAAATTGACTATTGTATTATTATTGTTGTTTTGTTTTGTTTCGGGTTACTCGTAGTATTAAGATCATCTTGGAGCATCTGTCAGAGGCACATAGCTGACCTGGAAGACCTTCTCCTTGTGAACGGAACCATCTTCCTTCTTGTCAACCACCCAGATGTACTGACCCCTGCTAAGACTACCATCGTTCTCCGATTCCACCGGGATGAATAGTCTTCCAGGAGCACGCAGTTGGTCAACCAAAGTTGGGTGAAGCTGTTCAGCTGCCGCGCCAACATGGATCGCATCATATGGCGCCCCCTCTTTCCATCCCAGGCGTCCATCCCCCGTGATGAAACTGACTTTCGTCGAGGACTGGAGTTCACTTCCTTCTTCAGACTTGTTCATGTTGTTACGAGCCAGGTCAGTCAGTTCGGATATATGGTCAATTCCAATCACTTGTCCCTGAGCAGCGTTTTCGGAAGCGCCGGTCACCAGATTCGCTAGAACATGGGTCAGGTATCCTGAGCCAGATCCAATATCCAAGACCCGAGCACCCGGTTTGAGATACTCGATCAGATACTCGCATGCATGACCATGCATATGTGGTGCTGATATGGTGGCCCCATGTCCGATGGGCTGAGGTGAGTCTGAGTATGGCCGAGATGGCGCATAGTGGGCTCGATCAACCTTAAATCGAGTTTAGCTCGTGTCTTGTTTCCATTCTTACTATCACTCACTGCGATCATGGCATCTTTCACTCGCTCGTGTTCAATCAATCCAGCCTTGAATAGGTTCTCAATTAATTCATTATTAGTGGAACCAGAACAGAACCACGCCATGGTCTGTGTTTTGCGAGTGTTGCGAATGTTGAGTAAATGACGGAACATATGAAGAGATGATGTAGCGCGGTGAAGTGAGGTATACACCGTAGTTGTATATCTATATATAATGACGACATACTGTCCGCATCACTATTCCACGTGATATTCTATCAAACCCTATGTACTCACTTATATAACATTTGTATATATAGATAAGTTATACCGATATAGTCTAATATAGTCTAGTGCGCGCTGGAGCTATAAATATACGTGCTAGATACAAAAACCTACATATCACTATATAACTAACTTGGTGTAACGTTAAATATTTATAACTAACTATAGTTACACATATAGTTTATATATAAGAACTAGCCAACAAAGGTCCTTTATAATATTACCATAGACAGTAAACAAACAGATATATACATTAAATATGTATATTCTAAAGATTAGGTAGATATGTTTGTTCATCGTAGATCTATAAAGCCCGGCCCCAGGGCTGGGGGAGATATACGATTAGTCAGAATTGACTTGATATATCAAAATGTTGAAAATCGTCGACTAATCGCGACTCAGTGCGACACAATCGCCGTGGGAACCTACGGCATCATGGACCCTACCAGGTCTCTAGAAATACCTCTCATCTGACATCATTTCAACTCCCATACAATGGCGGACCAAGTCAGTATCCGAGCCAACGTGGACCTGATGATCCTCGACTACCTGCTTGGCCTAACCATCAGTGGGATTCTGTGTGTGATGAGCAAGGAATGCACAAATGAAGATGTGAACTGGCTCGTGGAGTCTGTTCAAAGTAAGATTCATATCTCCTTTTCTCCCAAGAGATTATACTAACCGCGTCAGACTTCCGCGGAATGATTATTGTTCACCGAATCGAACCCCCCTTGCCCTGGGATTTAGATATCAAGCTGGGAATCTTCGACCTAGTCGACCTATTTCGCTTCTGGGAGCCCCCCAAGGATCGCACCCTCACCGACTTCACGCCACTGTCCGATATCGCAGTCCAGTTCATGGACTTTTGCCACTCCGCAAAGGAGAACGTATCCTGGACCCGCTGGTTCGACCTCGGTGCCCGTTTCATGGTCCACGCGATCATCGAAGAAGCTCCGCGTTTTCCAGAACCTATCAAAAGACTCCACGATTGGAAAAAGGACAACATTGACATTGATGCTCACTGGGAGGTCAGCCGTACGACCTTTTTGACGCAAATCCCGCCTCCATATGGTACTGCAGGCCCAGTCAGCGAAGAAAATCTCGTGGAGATGTTTCCTCTGTCTGACCTTGCATCAGAATTTACCGGGTTCGTCGAGGATCTCATGGAAGTACTGGACGCGCCCCTGCTTGTTCAACTGGAACAGGGCCAACTGGAAGGCTTCACGGCAGAGGAGACTCAGCGAATCCGTGACTACTGCATGATTTGATGCGCTTAGTTGAAATCAGACGATCAAGACTATGTTGTCAAGCGCGCTACATGTACAAGATCCAAACTGATGCCTTTTTATTTTTGATGTCCGAACCCAATGAAACAATGCTACAATAACAACAGATATCCAAAGCCCACTGGAAGACCTTTCCTTGATATGGCATTTATATCTTGGAACCTAATAATTTACAAAAGGGCGCAAGGCCACTCTAGGGTAAGAGAACATAGACAGAAACCGCGACAAACTCACGTCATTTACCCGAGGAGCATACGGCGAGGATCCTCGATGTACTCCTTGACCTGTGATATGATTAGTACGGGGCTCGAGAGAGAAAGCGGAAGTGACGTACCTTAACGAGGAAAGTGACAGCTTCACGACCATCCAGGAGACGGTGGTCGTAGGTGAGGGCGAGGTACATCATCTAAAAAGATCAGTAATGCATCTATTAGCTTTGAAAGTGGGGTTTCGTACCGGGCGAATCTCGATCTTGCCGTTCACAGCAACGGGCTTGTCCTTGATAGCGTGAAGACCCAAAACGGCTAGACAAATATTAGAAAAATACATCAAGTATTGATTGAATGGTGGGAACTGACCGGTCTGAGGAAGGTTGATGATGGGAGTACCCATCAGAGAACCGAAGACACCACCGTTGGAGATGGTGAAGGTACCACCGGCCATGTCCTCGATGGTCAACTTGTTGTCACGAGCCTAATCAACAGTCAATAACCTCCACATTCTGCGACCTTTGTGCTATGCTGACCTTCTTGCCGAGCTCAGCAATGGCCTGCTCGATTTCAACAAGATCCTTGCCCTCGGTGTTGCGAACAACAGGAGTGACAAGACCCTTCTCGGTGGCAACCGCAACACTGATGTCGACGTAGTCGCGGTAGACAATGGTGTCACCGCCGTTGGGGCCCTCAATTGAGGCGTTGACGGCGGGGATGTCCTTCATGGCAAGCACGCAAGCGCGGGAGAAGGCGCTCATGAAACCAAGCTTCACGCCGGTCTTCTTGAGCACATCATCCTTGTAGAGTTTGCGGAACTCCATCAGCGAGGACATGTCAACCTCGTTAAACGTGGTGAGAGAAGCAGCAGTGTTCTGGGACTGCTTCAGGCGCTCGGCAATACGCAGACGCATACGGTTCATCTTGACCTAAACCCCAAGTAAGTTAGTTGGTGCCATTCACACTAGCATTGAAAACATACCCGGCGTTCCTCACGACCACCAAGAGCTGGCTGAGCCGCTGCGGGTTGGGGCTTGGACTCCGCCTTGGGAGCCTCTTTGGGCTTCTCCGAAGGAGGAGGAGCAGTCTTCTTGGGTTCGGCCTCCTTGGGCTTCTCAGCCTCGGCGGGGGCGGGGGCGGACTCCTTGGGCTTCTCGGCGCCCTCATCCTTCTTTCCACCCTCGGGGGCGCTGCCAAGCTCAATCTTGACGAGATCCTGTCCAACAGTGACGGTATCTTCCTCGTTCACGAGGAACTCCTTGATGGTACCGGATTCCGGAGCATTGACCGAAACATCAATCTAGCAGAAAATCAAAGTTAGCGACACGTCGACCATGACTTCCTAATTTGTTCTCACCTTGTCGGTCTCGATTGTCGCAATTTCCTCGTCGCGCTCGACGAAGTCACCAACCTCTGTGCCGGAGAATCAGTATTTGTCTCCAAAGCTCAACCACAAAACAAAAGATAGCGCCCTACGTTTGGAGAACTGCTTGAGGGTACCCTCTGTGATGGACTCGGCCATGCTGGGGACCTTGACGATAGAATCGGCTGAAACATAACATTATGAGCAATCAATAAAAAGAAAAACTGCGATAGACTGTACAAACCATAGGTTCTGATTTGGTAGCCTCCCAGAGGAGCAAGGTTGAGTCGCGAAACATTGCTGAACGGGTGAGCCGAGATTGCGCCTCGGAGGATTGATATGAACTTACCTTGAGGCCTGCAGCAAGCCTGAAGCCTTGGTACGCGTCAGAGTAGATAGACCCTTCACACTGCGGAGCTGGGTTGAGGCCCGAGGAGTAGTCCTGGCCACAGCCGAGAAGCGCTGGGCCGAAAGGCGCGCAAGAGTGATTCTAGAAGCCATAATGTAAGATGAATAGAAAGAAAAAAGCGCAAAATGAGTTATCCGGGAACAAGGTCGACCGGGTTTGATTGAGAAAAAAGGCTTCAACTCTAAATAATAGAGCACAGAGGACAGAGAGAGATTCAAGCTCGGATTAGATCGGGACTCAAGGTAAATCGGGCTCTCCTACCGGCAAAGGCGGACTTATTCTTCTTACACTACGGTTGCGTGAATTGACCATTTGAGCACTTTGTCGTCGAACGAATTAGGAAGCCCAGAATAGTCAACCCCAAACCACATTCAAGCATTCAAGAACCCCTTCACCTGGGGTTGTCATACCTGATTCAATATAGATCTTGGGTTCATTTCTTTTCTTTCGTTTCTCTTCTTTCTTTTTTATCCCCAGCTGGCCGGAACTGGACCCGGAGCAAGACTTGAGCGCAATATGTCGACCTCCGCTGTGACGTGAATATACCTTCAACATCGTCCCATCGATCAATTCGCTGATGCTCTATAGGTCGCTATACCGACGGTCTTTGAAGCTGTCGCTTGACTGGGCCGTTCATCGCCAGATCTGGCGTGGACAAGCAGTCTACATTCGATCCCTGTTCGAAGCCAACAAGGACGTCCGTGATCCTCGCCAGCAACAGGTACGCAAATCGCAAGTGACTCAATTGCCAGCATATTCTAACACGTTACCTCTTCAGGTTTTGCTGCGTGAGACAGAGAAGTTGTTGGAGACATGGAAGCATCCCGATCCTTACCGGGCACCTACTGCGCCCGGCGGTAACAAGTGGGAGCGCAACCTGCCCGCACGAATCCTGCCATGTAAGTTAAAGTCCATTGTTCATTTCAGGGCTCTACTAACCCAGAATTTTTTTTTCTACAGATGCGCAACCCCCTGGTGCTCATTAAATTAAGTCAAGCGTGAGAAAATTCAAGATTGGATCAATCAAGCACGTAAAGGATGCGCATATCATTATAGAATACCGCAATTCAAAGTTATACTTGTCAAAATATCAAATGGAATATTTAGTCGAAAACAAGTGGAGATTACAATGTTCTACTTCAAAAAGATATAATTGTTTGAAGGACCTGGAGGCTTTTCATTGATCTGGGCTTAAAACCCGTGGCTAGTATCCGAAAGTTGAAATCCCTCAAACGAGTTAAGGTCGTCGGTATCATTCCATGTCCGTAGACATAATGTACAACCAGGAAATTGATGAAAAAAAGAGAAAACGCAGAGCCATAACGTGCCCGTCCCATAACCCCATTATCGTGTCAAAGAACCAATCCGCGCCGGAAAAGAAAACAAACAACCCGCGAAAAAAGAGAGACCCTTACAGCTCCTGGCTGCCCTTGCCGGCCTTAGGAGTCTTCTTGGGGAGAAGGTCTAGAAAGTGAAGGGTTAGCCGAATTCAATCATAGATGAAGTAACATAAAACATACTCTGGTGGATGTTGGGGAGAACACCACCCTGGGCAATGGTGACGTGACCCAGGAGCTTGTTCAACTCCTCGTCGTTGCGAATGGCGAGCTGGAGGTGACGGGGAATGATACGGGTCTTCTTGTTGTCACGAGCGGCGTTACCAGCCAACTCGAGAATTTCAGCAGCGAGGTACTCGAGAACAGCAGCGAGGTAAACGGGAGCACCGGCACCGACACGCTGAGCGTAGTTGCCCTTGCGGAGAAGACGGTGGACACGACCAACGGGGAATGCCAGACCAGCCTTGGAAGAACGACTGAGGGGGAAGATTGAAGTCAGTATGTGACGCACATATTTGAAAGCGAATAAAACGCGCAAAAGGATAAGCAACTTACGACTGAGCGTTCTTGCTGCCGCTAGCCTTGCCGCCAGACTTTCCTCCAGTCATTTTGATAGATTTGGTTTAAAAGGGTGGGAAAAAGGTAAAGGTTATTGGAAAGTGGTTGATGAGCGTGGATTATGGAAAGTCGCAAGAGTTGGGAGGAGCGTGTGGAAGCGGAGGGCCTTTATAAGAACGCGGGTGAGGGTGACGTTTGGCATCAATCACTTTCTAGATCACGAACTCGCTTAGATGGTGCAGCCAATAATCAATCAGATCAGACATTCCATTTTGGGTAAGGTTTCGTATTATTACTTCATTACCAAGAAATACCAGCTTGCTGGGTCATCTGACCGTGTTTGTATCCTACATTCTCCACCTTAAAACGCGTCAAGGTCCGTTTAATCATACAGATCATACCAGCACGTTACCGTATTGAAATTCTGTCTCCTTTGCACCCCCCCTCCCAAGATCAACTGTCCGTTGGCACACGAGTATAAAGACCGTGTCTCCCCTCGTCACCGCGTCTCACTTACTTTTCCTTCCCCATTCCATCTCTGTCTCATCCACCACCCTTCTTTCATCAATCTCTACAACTTCTGTTTCTTTTTAAAACTTTCAACTTTTAAAAACTACATTCAAAATGGCTCCCAAGGCTGCTGAGAAGAAGCCCTCCACCGGTGGCAAGGCTCCCGTTGGCGGCAAGGCTCCTGCTGAGAAGAAGGAGGCTGGCAAGAAGACTGCCACCACTGCCACTGGCGAGAAGAAGAAGCGTGGCAAGACCCGCAAGGAGACCTACTCTTCCTACATCTACAAGGGTGAGTTTCAAGTACCAAAACAAAATCTAAACAACGCGTTTACTAATTCCATTCTCAGTCCTCAAGCAGGTCCACCCCGACACTGGTATCTCTACTCGTGCCATGTCCATCTTGAACTCTTTTGTCAATGGTATGTCATTTTCTTCGCTCTTCAATCATAAGAAGGTCACGCGTATCTACGCGTTCCAAAAAAAAAACATGTTCTCTGACCTTGATTCTTTTCATAGACATCTTCGAGCGTGTCGCTACTGAGGCCTCCAAGCTTGCTGCCTACAACAAGAAGTCCACCATCTCTTCCCGGGAGATCCAGACCTCCGTCCGTCTCATCCTCCCCGGTGAGTTGGCCAAGCACGCCGTCTCCGAGGGCACCAAGGCTGTGACCAAGTACTCTTCTTCCGCCAAATAAGCGGCTTCTTTACGTTTTCTTTCGAGCTTGCTTTGTTTTTACTGCCTCTTGATCTGTTATGGGCACTGAGGCGGTCGGTTATGGGTGTTTTGCGGGTTTCTAATGCGTCATGGGATGGCTTGAATTTTCTTTTCCCCGATGGGTGATTTTATTTTTGAATGGTGACCTCTCGATACGTGAATGCGGTGTAACATAACTCGGGTCTGGGGTTGGGCACGGATTGTCCTCCCCTACTAGAACGCGAAATTCCAAATGCTTGATTGCATTGCATCATGATTCTATTTCTCTTTCTCTCTCCAAGTAACTTGACCAGGTAAAGGAAAAGATAACAACAGCGAGCAATTTCTCGAGCTACTCCAATCCATCCGAATCATCCAATACTTCTACTTCATTAACTGCTTCTGCTCGAGCTTCACCGTGTTCTGGTTTCTGTCCGGGAAAGATGTGCACAATGGGCTTACCAGCTGACGACTGAACTCGACTCTTCCAGTCAGCCCAGTCATCGTCGTTCTTGATCAAAAACCCGATCAGCATGCTAGGGTCCATGTCCTTGATATGAATTCTCCGTAGTCGGGTGGTATAGTAGCTATCCAGTTCTTCTTGGGTGTACAGCTCCTCTGGTCGATATGCTGTCGTGGGTCGAGTGGTGTGGGGATCGAGGAAAAATACATAGGAATCTTGAACCCCGAGGAAATAATGTGATGCGGATGGACGCCCGCTTGTTTTTTGGTCAGTTTTACAATTTGATATCTCTAGGGTGTTCACTTACCCCGCAATGCCAACGGACTGGGGATATTCAAGTGCAGCTCGTAGTCCATCCCAGTATACTGGAGTGATATGGTCAATCCCCAGTCTAGTTCCAATCAGGATCAATGTTGGCTGTATTTTGCCTGACTGGTCACGAGCCACTTGTGTAAATTTGTCTTCGTAGACATCTGATGTGTCGGTCACGTAGACTTTGATACTGGGAGACTCATGTTGGGTGGAGAGTAGCCTATTCCATCAGTATTTTCCTATTCTTGCCTCCTCTCTGATGACAACTCACTGGATGCACTTGGCAGTTGCCGATGGGCCGAACCATTCTCCTGGATATTTTCCGCATGATTCTGCCCCGCGATTGACAAAGCGATGTATAGAAAATGGAGCATCCGGGTGATCGGCGAACATCGATAGCAGCATGGACTCCTCCTCCACTTTTTCTCCACGGCGCCAATCTGATCAGTATTAGCTGTGAAGAGGGTCCGGTTGATTTGTAGCTTGTTTCTCACCTCTACCCAGCAATAGGACTGACAGTGTGTTTGCAAGTAGGCTTTGCCCGGATCTAATCATGCAACCCCACCCTGTATCCGATGTGAAGCCCTGAGGGTCCATCAGCTGACTTCTCAATCGTACCCCTAGGGTCATTGAGGAGGTTGCTTCCCGGGTTTTGGTTCGTGGAATCGGTGTGAAGTTAGATCGGTAGGTAATCCAGACTCGAGATCCGAAATCCGAGATAAAATCTTTTGGCCATGTATCATTCAGTATACTAGAATCGGTATGCTTTGAAGAACCGTGCGATTCGTTGGCTGCGTGTTTGTTAGATCAAGAAATATTGTTCAATCCAATCCAAGCTCACAGTCACTTTGGGTCTCCCTGGTTGCATATTGTTGACCCAGACACCATATCACTGTAGCAGGTTCATCATTTCTGGGTTCTGGGTCCCAGAAGTATTGGACTATGCGTTTGCATTTTTCCATGTCCACGGTCATGCTGTTGAGTGTAAATATGTTTGTGGTACGGATGGTCGGTGAGAGGTAGAGAGAGATATATATATATCTCCAACTAGTACGTAACTTAGGTGAAAGCCGAGTTCGTCAATCACACTATAATATCACATATCATCATGAAAAATGAACCAACAGACAATGAAGTAAACGGGATAAACAGAGTAAATAACAACAGCAACATAATATATATGCACATAAATTCTTAATGAGGGGGTGTTGTAGTCACGAGCAAAAGACGTCACCAATGACCTTTTCTTTGTTTTTACTTTGCACAACATACATATGTATCTATTAACAAAGAATGTCTATGGAACAAAGACTTTCATACAAGATCAAAATATATATATATATATCTCTCTATCCATACAAATTATATATGGTACAATGTTTACCTGCTGGTAACTTTGCAAGCCTTGGGTTAGTCAACGGGTTTGGTCACCGCCCGGCCCAGCCCAAAAGAAATCCCCGCCACTGAGAATAACCTCCAACACACACCCTTCGTTCCAACACTCATGGCCCGCCATGGGAAATTCAAGGCCCGTACCAGGCGGGCACCAGTGGCCAGAGGTAATACCAAATTATCTGTCGTATTCAATTGATAACTAATCATATCCAGACCCATCACCGCACCAGTTTACCATGCAGCAAGAAGCTCGCAATACCGAAACACATGGTCGATCATGGTCAGATAACAATCTCCGCCACAAGGCTGTACTCTTTGTGAGTGCAGGAAGTCTGGAACCGACACTAGAACAAGAAGAGGATCAGACCAAACTAGAGATAGATCAAGAAGAATCAGGTTCCATTGACACACCCGAGGAAAAGACCGAGGAAAAGACCGAGGAAAAGACCGAGGAAAAAACCGAAAACAGTGACAGTGACAGCGCATTCTTCTTTGATTCAAAAGGACAAGCAGCTGCCAACACCGGATATCCCGACCCTATTGTTCGATCGAACTTGTCCGAGCTAGACGACTCAAGTGAGGATGAAGTTGTGTTCACTGGTCGCAGGAAGAACGCAAAACCTATTTCCATCGAAACCCACCAGAACGATATTCAAAAAATTGTGCAGGTTGCCTCTGTATCGCCACAGGCCGCACCAAACCCCGAGATCATCCCACGGGATCCTCCGCCTATTGCCGTCCAAATAGAGCATACAAAATCATACACCGAGAAAACAAATTGGCCACCTGAAAAAGAGATTGATCCATTGGCTGACTATATTGCCAACATCGACAAAGACTACTACGAAGAAATCACTGGCATGAAGCTTGATTCAGAAGATGGCATTGACGTTGAAAAAGCTGCGACCCAACTGGATATCTCAGCTTCAAGCCCAGCAGGCTCCAAACATGAATTACCAGGATCATTGATTTCTGGTCGCCAATTGGACACAGACCAAATTGAAAGCTCTGTCGATGGTAAGTCCTCGGAAAGCAGGGTTATATCTCTCACAACACTGACAGGTCTTTAGGACTGGTTCAAATGCAACTGGACACGGAACATGACTCAACTGCAGTCTCGAGTGAAGATGACGAGGATGACCTTGTCCTCTCTATGTCCGATGACGATGCCCTTGAGGATTTCATCTTACTCGAAGATTTGGCCAACGGTTATTCCAAGTCCGGCAAGAAGGGTGTCCGATCCGGAAAGCCCTCATTCCCGTCGGCGTCAGCATTCGCTGATGCTCTTGAGGCTGATCCTTACTTTGGATTTGACATAATGGACTTTGATCGGCCTAGCCTACGGAACAAACCCAAGGGGAAGCACTCTATTCCCGACTTGGTACTATCCGACAGCGAGTTCGAGATCCAGCTTCAACAAGCCTGGCAGAACGATCGAAGCAAAAAGAAGCTGCGCAAGAAGGAGCGGGAAGAGCTCCGGGCGCAGGGATTGCTCGGTAGGAAACAAGGGAACCCAGACCTTGCGGTCAAATACTCCAAGGAGATGAATATGGAAGATTTCATGACTGAACTTCGATCGTTCCTTCTATCTTCCAAGACCAGGTATGGGTGATTTTTTTCTCTCTTTTTCTTGCTTGAGTTATTGTGTTACATAGCTAACCTGACCCAGCCTGTCATTACCGCCCATGACCAAGCAGCGCAGAAAGCTGATACATGAAATGGCCAACAACCTGAACTTGAAATCACAGTCACGCGGTCATGGACTCACTCGATTCCCCGTCTTAAACAAGACTGCCCGGACTCCCAGATACACACCGAAGACCATATCCAATGTGGACGAGCTGTTATCCGGGAGGAAGTTCAATCGGCGGCTGTTCAAATCTTGGGGTGCTGACGCGCCGAAGTCTTTCAAATCCAACCGCGGAAAATCTGGCGCGGCATCCTATATGGATGGTGACGTGGTTGGTGCCTCTGCCCCAGAGATTGGAGCCGAAAACCGAGGACGGGCCATGCTGGAGAAGATGGGGTGGAGTACAGGCACCGCTTTGGGTGCGGCTGACAACAAGGGAATATTACAGCCCGTTGCGCAGGTCGTCAAAAACTCACGAGCCGGGTTGGGTTAGGATATCCTCTCCTCTTCCCTCTCTCTCTTTCGTTTTGAAAAGGAACGCAGACAGAGAATAATTATCCCATGCGTACGCTACACATATAAGTCTAGAAATATGCCCTGGTCCACATACATGACACTAGGACACTAGTTTTTTCTTCCCACTCTTAGCAACCTTGACTGGCTGTGCATGATCAGATTCTTTGATGTGATCGAATAATTTAGACCTGGAGGCAAACTGTGCTTGGCAGTTTGCACACACGAAGCCACTGGGTTGAGCTGCCTGTTTTGCGGCCCGTTTCGCCCGCTTCTGCTTGGCCTTGCCCAACTTACGTGTCGATGACGGCTCGGTGAGACTCGAGGAGGATAGTTGATCATCTCCAGCTGCAGTGGATAAAGAATCCATATCATTTCGCAGCCTTGTCTCCACATATTCCCTGGAAGCATAATCGTCATCGTTGTCCGAAGTCACTGGTTGGTTTTGACTGGAAACTGGAGTCGGCGAAGATTGTTGCGCAGATGCCTGGTCATTCAGACCTTCTGTGGCATCAGCTTCAGGGCGGGGAATGGTGTGTGACTCGTTGACCTCGTTTTCATCGTTCTCCGAAGCCTCAGGTGGAGTGGCAACTGTGTTACCATTCAACCCATCCGCGGACTCCAAGTCCAATTCGTCATTCTGCAATCGCATCTCCCAGCATAGCTGTTTGACGGCTTTCAAATGTTTCTTACTACGTTCATGGGCCTCGTATTGCTTTTGGCTTTTGAAAAACTTGTGGCATGCCACGCACTCGAAGCTCTCAACTTCACTCTCTTCGCTCTCGTCGTCATCGTCTGCTACCGGTTGCTCCGACTGGGCCCAATCTGGAACGACATGATCTTTCATTTTGGCTTGATTGAATGCTCGTGATCTTGCCGCTTGCGCAGCAACTGACTGCCGGAGAGTTTCCTGGCGCTGGGCTTCACTTTGGGCATTAAATTTGTATCGTGGATCACGTTTCTTGATGAAAGCCACGAGGGATCTGACTGCATCGTTGAATTCTCGGATACCGTCATCCCGGAGGCGTTTATTCTCCTTCTCCATCATTCGTCTTACGCGACGATCAGGTGCTTCGGAATATCGATGGACATCTTTCCAAGCAAATGATTTTTGCGTGGAAAATCCAGTCCACATAGCATAGAATGGCCGTACGACGGTCTCGAAATCATCGTCACAGGATCCAAAAGACGGATATTCGATTGGATCTTGATGTTCCCACTGACATGCCAGTCTTTCCTCCAGCGCAAGCTGTTCGAATTGTTCCCGTAGGCCACCGAAGAATCCTGTGGGTGAATCGGAGAACTCCATTCGAGGGCTGAACTTTGAAAAGAGTTTGAGAACATCTTCAGCAGTTGTGATTCGAACATTGTATGAGTGTTGATCCCCGGCAGCTCCGTCTGTGCCCAAAAATGCTTCGCTGTGAGAATCGTACCAGGCTCGTTCCTGAGGATCTGCTAAAACCTCGTAGGCGGACTGAATTTCAGCGAAAAGTTTGGTCGCCTCATCCACATTTCCATAATTTCGATCTGGATGCAAGACGAGTGCTTTCTTTCTATATGCTTTTTTTATTCTGAAAATAATTTAGTATTGGTCTTTACCTGTGTATATATATAAACTCACTCCTCATCAGATGCACTCCGTGTTATTCCAAGTAATTCATAATAATCGGTCTTTTTGTGTTGTTCTGGTGCAGGGCTTGCCTGACTGGAATGGAATTGACCCATGGCAAAGAAAAGCAAAAGAAATCAAATGAGTGTTGAAGAACGAAGGAAGCTAATATCAAACGATAGCAGTTCGGTGAATCTCAAAACTTCATGATGAGGTAGATATAGAGAGAGAGGAGGGGAAAGGTGAAGTACAAAAAAAAAACATATGGAGTTTCGAGGTCTTGGCGTTCAGCTCTCAATCAACTACTTCCAAGGTTCCCTCATCTACATAATTACGTCTTCACTCTTAGTTTTCAATACTTTTCATATTTTCCATATTTTCAAGATCATGAAATGAAAAACCGTTTTATATGATTCATTAATTCTCTGATTCTCCCATTCTTCTCTTCTCTTGATTCTACTTTTGTCTTCGACTGATATATTCCACAGGGATGGTTCGGTCTTTAATTCATCTCCCAGACGAAATTTTGAATTCAATACTATGCCTCTCTTCTCCTCAAACTTGTGCTGCTGTCGAACAAACCCACCCTCGATTTCGAAATGTGACGAATGAACCTCTGCTATGGCGTTACTATTGTCAGTCGCATTACAAATATTGGGACCGACGACATGAGATACGCCAGAAACTTACTCGCCCCGTGAAAACAATCGAATGGAAGACACTTTTTGTATCAAGATACCTGGTCGATCGCTCCGTTACCCAGCTTCTTGATAGTATCCTCGATAGCCAAACGGGTCGCATCAAGAAATTCTGCTCTATGATTGATCTAGGGTACGATGCAAAAGATACTCTTCTACGGCATAGCCGGGTAAATTCTGGGGAGGATATATTGGCTAGAAGGTGGGCTCGCTGTCTCTGTAAAATCGACATGTGTTCTGCCTAAGTTGACCAATGCTTCTTGGCAAAAGATACTATGCCCGCGCTCTCTTGACTTGCCTTCATCGAAGTATTGCTGTGTCAGAATGGGCCAAGCTGAAGCGTGGGGAGCCGATGCACCTTGATCGAGCCCTGGGGTGTTTTGATCTCTTCGTATCTGAAAGTGAAAATGGAGATTTGGATGAAGTGAGTGCACAGCGGAATGGTATTCTTATCTGGATATATCTCTAATCGACATGATTGTTAGATCAAAGACTCTCTCAACATGATACTAGAACGCTTTGTTGCGTCTTGCTCCGATATTGACGTTCTTACCCCCCGGGATAAAGCTCTCGCCGTTGCATCCTGGCTGAGTGCAAATGATCTCACTGGACTCGATCCAGAAAGAGAATATCATACTCTGGAGCATAACTTTTTGGGATTAGCTCTCAACAAACCCGGTCATAATTCTCTCCCGCTGGTGTCAGCTGCGATATATTGCTTTGTCGCCCGGGGAGTTGGCCTTAATGCATACCCCTGTGGTTTTCCATTCCATGTCCATGTCATCATCACCCCCCAGCCTGGATTGGACATGAACGGTAACACTGTGCGCGGGGTAAGGCAGGGGGAGCCTCTGTACCTAGATCCATTCCGGGGAGCGAGAGAAATACCTATCTCGGATTTGCGCAGTCAGTTGACCTTCCTAGGGATGTCCAACTTAGATCAGACCATGACTTTGGGCGAGTCCGACATCTCGAGCGTCATCCTGCGCTGTGGCAAGAATATATTGAACTCAGTCCGTGTTGAAGCTCAACATCCAGGTTTGCGGGCCACCTCAGTAGATGCAGTGAGCGCAAAATACGCTGCACTTTGGTCTGTGATGCTACTGTCCAGTGATTCAAGGCCGATGGACCTGCACCATCAGTTGCCGCGACTTATGGAATTATTTGCCGCGGATTTCCCTTCGGACATATTTCTAGTCGAAAAACACATTGCTCCTCTGTTTCACGGGCAGTATGAACACGAGCTCATTTTGGAGAGTCTGCATGTAATGAGGGCCGTGGATGAAATTCCAAAGCAAGTTCGAAGACGAACTGATGGCAACACAAACACACGATATTCGATTGGTCAGGTTTTCCGCCATCGTCGCTATGATTACAAGGCTATCATCACTGGGTGGGACCCGGAATGTGGTGCGGGTGAGCAGTGGATGATGAGAATGGGTATTGATCGATTAGAAGCTGGGAGGCACCAAAGCTTCTACCATGTACTGTGAGTGAATGTGTACATTTGTTCTCTTCAGTGCTAACAGTAGATGTATAGTGTGGAAGATCGAAGCGTCCGATATGTGGCAGAGGAAAATATCGAACTTATACAGCCTCAATTCACTGAATTGTCAAGCAGTCTAACTGCTATTGCGGGTAGGCATTTCAAACGTTGGGATGAAACGAGCTTGATGTTTGTGAGTAATATGAAGGATGAATACCCCGATGACTAGATCAGGAGACTTAACACACCGCGCCCTAGCTTCTTAGCTAATAAAGTTAAAATGAATTTCCACCTTATCTAATTACCTATAATCTTTTACATCGACCTATCACTATAGTTCTATAGACTTTAAAGAAGAATCTTGTGAAGGCATGCACCTAGGCAATACACGTCTACCACCAAGACTGCCAAGCACTCTTTCTAACCTTCGGACTTTTCCCTAACAGGGGTTTGCCTATTTATTTTTAATGAGACTATGCAGGACGAGGAGTGTCGAAATTATAAAGAGGAATACTAAGTATGGGAAGGGAGTGTATAATTCTTGGTAATGGTATTTATAAATAAGGAAAGTGTTCAAGTTATTATTATAAATTGTTTCACCCTTCTTTTATATTAGAATGTATAGCGAATGTATATTTATCATAATTTTTATCGGCATACAAAATCTACTTTCTATTATTATTATTAGAATAGCGGCAAATAAAATTTTTCTATCAATTAATATTACTTAGAATAGTGGCGAATGAAATTTTATTATCAAAAAATAGTGATACTATAAAAGAATAATGTTAAAAAATGGAGATAATATCCCTCCTTGATCTATATGATATTTTATTATTTAGCTTGGTTATATATTATTTATGTCTATTTTTTAAACTCGCTAGTTCTATATATTAAGTGTATTTTATAGAGGTAGACTTTTAGTTGAAAAGTCTATTAGTTTATAATAAGTAGGAATGTAAATCAAATTAGTTTTATTATTTAAATAGCTTCTTTTATAAAATAATAAGATATTTCAATATATTTGGTTCTTTCATAGAATTCAGGATATTAACCTATCTTTTAGTAGATAGATTATCTACTAATATTTTAGGGACATTAACAGTGTACTGTTATTTATTCTTATTATTTAAATAAGTAAAAAGGCTTCTTAGATATAAAACTTCTTTAGTAGCTTCTTTTAGCACTATATATTTAGCTTATCTACTACTTAATACTACTATTTTTTATAGCTTACTGTTCTAGGAAATTATATTATTAATCAATATATTAAAGGATAGGCTAAAGATATATCTAGATATAGATTATCTACTGTCTAACTCATTCAACTAATCTAAGCTATAGTATCTCTTAGGAATATATCATCTATAGAGTAGTTATAAAATAAGCTTAGTTTTCGATCTTTAATAGATTTTTCTGAACTTCATGAAATGCATCAAAATACTTAATATCTAGATTGTATCTTAGAGTAGTAAATTATTATAATAGTGATATGCAGTCTAATTTCTAATACTGTATATAATAAAGAGCTAATTCTCTCTTAAAACTTATGTATATTATTATAAGAAGCTTCAATTTTATTCTTTATAATTTTATTCTAGGTTCTTCTAGGATTTTTTAAGGCTTAAATTTAACATTTTTATAGATACTAAATTTATTTAGAAATTTTCTATATACATCTAATTTGTTTATCAAATCCTTTATATAAATATCATCCGAATAAGTAACTAAAATATTATTGATATAATATATTAAAATACACTATATTTCTCTATTTATATAAACAAGGCTTTAGATAATAATTTATACTATAATTTAAGGCATTATTTTAGGCTATAAATCGCCTTTTTAGATAGTAGTATTTATTGATATTAGCTATCCCTTATTAATGACTAAATATCCTAATCTATATACCTCCGTACTTATCTCACCTTCTATAGCCGTTTAATTTTAGTTATTTTACAGTAATAAAATATGGATATAGTTGGTTTATTAAAATAAAGATATAGAATAAGAGTAACTTTATTTAGAAACCAAATTTCCTCGAAGCCTACTTTTCCGCCCGTTCTAGGACTTTTAAATCTAATGTTATTATCAATAGCTTCGGAGTAGCCGGTTTAGTAACTTTATTACCTAATTGAGTAAGTATAAAGATTTATATTTACCTTTAAGCCCCGACCCCCTTCTTAAATCAAGGAAGTATCAAAGTGCTTTTCTCGAGAAAGAAGTAAGCGGACTAGATCTTGAAGGTATATATCCTTAGCCGGAGGCCTCTTAGTTTTATTAAATATATAGATAGAGGGACTAATTAAATCACCTCCCTTTAGCCCTTATATACCGGGGGAGCCGGCTGTTCGACTACAGATGCGGCTCTTTAGGGGACATAGAATATATATGTTACTAGGGCATAAGAGAGAGATATATCTAGATAGACAATTTCCTAGTTAAATAAAATGGTAGCGACTAAGGGTTTATAGCGGCTAGGTGGTTAATTTAAACACATTCTTTAGTTCCTTAATATAATTAAGACTTAGTTTATATAGAATAGTATATTTATTACGAGCCAAGTCTTAATAAAAAGAGTGCATTCAACTAGAATACTAAACATAGGGAAAGAAAGAAAGAAAGAAACAACACGCTGAAACAATTAAGGTAGTGATACCTAAGGCATCCAATCAAACAATGTAAGACACGAAGTACGAAAGGCGGTGGAACACAGCAGAATCGGGTCAGGATCATTGATCCCGAATTCTTCGTGACAATATTTTGATAATATTATTACAAATATTTTATTAGCGTATGCTTTACTATTATCTATAAAGATTGTTTTTTTTCATTTGTTTATATTATTTTCTATTTAGTCTACTAGTTTCTTATATTAGTTGGTTGTTTATACGCTTCGTTTTCCTGATTTTAATAAAAAGACCTACATGATTTGATTCATTTTATCTAAAAAGGTAATATAATATTATTTATTACTATATTCATTTAGTAAAGGACCTCTTAAATTCTTATATCTTAGAGCTTTTTTGTAGATATATTTATTAATATCAAATAAAAGATTTAATTTATAATGTGTAATAAATGATGATCTTATTTAATTTTAATATTAAAGTATATTTTTAAAATAACTTTTAAAGGTTTAGAAGAAACATATATTAGGTGCTTATACTTTTATTTGATATATAAATTCTCTATTTTATTATTAATTTCATATTTCTATAGAAGATAAGAATATAGTAATATATACGTTATTTTTAATTTCTATAGTTATTGATTAGTTTGTATTATCATAAAGGGTTTAAAAACTTTCATAAAAATGATTGATAGTATTTCATCTAATTTATTAATATCTAATTGATTTATTAAAAATCATCTAAGACAATTAGAAAAGAAGTATAGGACTTCTAGTATAGTCTAAGCTAAACGTAATATAAGAATAAAGCAATAATTTTATAGTTCCTTAGGAATTAGTGATATTAAGAGATAAAAAACGCTATAAGGTCAGGTATCTTACTAATATACCTTTAGAATGATCTTCTTTTATAACGCGTTCCAAAGTACTATATTCTTGACCTTAAGCTTTGAGAGTCTTTTCTATAATACTAATTATTATTATCGATATTATTAAACTTAGATCTCGGATCTAAATCGGTCTTATAAAGGGCTATAGCTAAACTGTTTTAATTAGGGCTAGGCTGATATATCATAGGCTAGAGCCTATTAAGTATCACGTGCTTCTACGTAACCCACACCTAGGATTATTATAAAGAACCCTACTTTAGATAGTTCCTTTCGTTAAGATTAATAAGCTTAAGGATTATATGATTTATTTAATTCTTAATATTATATTTAGATATAATCATTCATTAGTTATTATAAACATAAGTATTAAAGTAAGTAATATAAGCAATTTTGTCTTAATTCGCTATTACTCTATTTAGTTATTAAGATTATATCTTAATATACGGAAGATCAAGAGTTCTACTAAGTATTTTATTTATAGTTATATAACTTAATAAACTATAATTAACTAATGTTTTTATATAGTAGAGTTTATTTACTTTAATATCAATTAAAAATAATAACTCTTCGTTTATATTTAGCTTTTCAATCCTCTTTCGCTTTTACTTATAGCTTAGAATAAGAGCTATTTATTCTCAACTTATTATTACTTAGTTTCTTTTTAGTCTTTTAGTTAATAAGTATAGAGATTTAGTAATAACTATAGTATTTTATTTTCTTATAATAAAGATATCTTCCTTCCTAATAATAAAATATAATAATAATTTATTATTATTTAAAGCGTCTATATCTATATCAATCGACTAGTAAGTCCTAAATAAGGAATAAGGATATTGTAATTTATATGCGAACTACTATAGTTTTATTTAATAATCTTAATAAGATCTACTACTTAATTTTATTAAGTTAATCTAAAGCTTTAAAATTAAAAAAAACTCTTTCTTTAGCTGCAGTAAGAATTTAAAAAAAGCGGTCCCTTTAGTCTAAATAATTTAATGAAGCTAATAAGCTATTCTTACTTATATATTTATATTATTATAAATAGGTTTAAGGTATTTAAGTGGATTTTTTAATCTATTAGTATCTTAGTAGTATTTTATAAAAATTTCAATGTATTTTTATATTGGTTTTTTTGTTTATAAGAATATATAAATAAACAAAGTAGATCTATACTCCTTTATAACTTTAAGGAAATAATTCTTACTTTTAAACCTTCTTTATCCTAAAATTACTTGATAAATATATAACTAGCTAATTTAGGTATAAGATTTTTTATAGTATAAGAGTTAACCATATTTTATGAAAACCTTTACTAAATTTTTACTTTCTAAATAATACGTCAGAAGTATAGTATAGTACTTGTATATAAGTGTATATTTTACTTGACTACTTCCTTCTTATACTACATTTAGATCTTTTTTGTACCTATAAATTATAAAATTTTATCTAATTACTCTATAGCTCTATATAGCCGAAATAGGGAACCCTTAGTAAAATTATACTAGCGTAGGACTATATAAGAGTTCTATAACTCTTATAAGACTCTTATAAGACTACTAGGGTGATAAGACCGGATTTATTTCAGTCTTATAGCTAATAAATAAGACCTACCAATAATAATAATAAAAAAGAATTGACTACGTATAATCTAAATTTATTCAACCTCCCTTCCTCTAATTAATTAATGCTAATATAGGAACGAAA